GCTCGTCTTTCATCTCACAACATGAAGGGATGTTTGAATCCCCTGGGGAGACCTTAGAGAAAGCCCTAGGTCCCTGCCTCATTTTGATGTAATGCCTCACATCCCGCTGACACCTCGAGAGGCACGCGGAGTTCATTGCTTCAAAAGGTGACGATGCCTGACTCCTCTTGGATACTGATACGAATCCCAAACTCGCTGTGACTACTGGAAAGGGTCCTTGGGTGCCCTGCCTCACCTCGAGAAGCGTCCCTTTTGCCCTGCCAACCCTCGAAGAGATTCCTGAGGTGTCCCTCATTACTAGACAGGAGTCCTGACGTCACTGAAGAAACTCGTGTTTTGAAGGGCCATCCCCGCCGTAAGTCGTAAACATACCCCAGGTCCCCGCCGCAACTCGAGAAAAACCATGAGACTTCCCCGTAGAGGCGAGATGAGGCCCCATTCCCCTGTAGTGCATGCAGAGTTATTCCGTGATCCCATTCAAACAAGTCAGGAGCTTCGACTTGCTTAATGGATCTCGAGACTGTCCCCAAGAACACTGTCACCAGTCTAGACGCACCCTGAGGTCACCCCAGCAAGGCAAAGCAGCTCCATGTGCCCCAAATCAACTCGAGATGAGACTCGATTCCCATGCATTGACTCCAGAGCCATTCCCCGTTCCCCATTCAACACGACCGGTGGTTCGACTTCCTTCAGGCAACTCCAGAGATGCCCCGAGAACACTGTCCCTAGTCTAGAGGAACACCAACGTCAGCACAGCAACTAGAGGAATACACCGTGTACCCCAAATCGTCTCGAGATGAGAGCTGATTCCCTGGCTTAGACTCAAGCCTTATGCCAACTTCCCAGAAGCACCTCAGGAGGAGGCTTCTCTCAGCAATAGGTATGTGGGAGGGACCCCGAGTTTGCTGCCTCAAGGGGAATATACAGCGAGAAGCCCTAACTTGAAAGGAGGCCGGATTTCCTTGCAGTGGCTTGAATACAGGCTCGTCTTTCATCTCACAACATGAAGGGATGTCTGAATCCCCTGTGGAGACCTTAGAGAAAGCCCTAGGTCCCTGCCTCATTTTGACAGAATGCCTCACATCCCGCTGACACCTCGAGATGCACTCGGAGTTCATTGCTTCAAAAGGTGAGGATGCCTGATTCCTCTAGAATACTGAGAGGAATCCCCAAATCCCTGTGGCTACTGGAAAGGGTCCTTTGGTGCCCTGCCTCACATCGAGAAGCGTCCCTTTTGCCCTGCCAAGCCTCGAAGAGATTCCTGAGGTGTCCATCGTTACTAGATAGGAGTCCTGACGTCACTGAAGAAACTCGTGTTTTGAAGGGCCATCCCCACCGTAAGTCGAGTACATACCCCAGGTCCCCGTCGCAAGTTGAGAAAAGCCATGAGACTTGCCCCTAGAGGCGAGATGAGGCCCCATTCCCCTGCAATGCATGCAGAGCTATTCTGTGATCCCATTCAAACAAGTCAGGCGCTTCGACTTGCTTAATGGATCTCGAGACAGTCCCCAAGAACACTGTCACCAGTCTAGACGGACCCTGAGGTCATCCCAGCAACGCAAAGCAGCTCCATGTGCCCCAAATCAACTCGAGATGAGGCCCGATTCCCCTGCATTGACTCCAGATCCATTCCCCGTTCCCCATTCAACACGACCGGTGGCTCGACTTCCTTCAGGCAACTCCAGAGATGCCCCGAGAACACTGTCCCAAGTCTAGAGGAACACCAACTTCAGCACAGCAACTCGAGGAATGCTCCGTGTACCCCAAATCGTCTCGAGATGAGAGCTGATTCCCTGGCTTAGGCTCAAGACGTATGCCAACTTCCAGTAGCATCTCAGGAGGAGGCTTCTCTCAGCAATAGGTATGTGGGAGGGACCCCGAGTTTGCTGCCTCAAGGGGAATATACAGCGAGAAGCCCTAACTTGAAAGGAGGCCGGATTTCCTTGCAGTGGCTTGAATACAGGCTCGTCTTTCATCTCACAACATGAAGGGATGTTTGAATCCCCTGTGGAGACCTTAGAGAAAGCCCTAGGTCCCTGCCTCATTTTCACGGAATGCCTCACATCCAGCTGACACCTCGAGAGGCACGCGCAGTTCATTGCTTCAAAAGGTGACGATGCCTGACTCATCTTGAATACTGATACGAATCCCAAAATCGCTGTGGCTACTGGAAAGGGTCCTTGGGTGCCCTGCCTCACCTCGAGAAGCGTCCCTTTTGCCCTGCCAGGCCTCGAAGAGATTCCTGAGGTGTCCCTCGTTACTAGACAGGAGTCCTGACGTCACTGAAGAAACTCGTGTTTTGAAGGCCCATCCCCGCCGTAAGTCGAGAACATAGCCCAGGTCCCCGCCGCAACTCGAGAAAAACCATGAGACTTCCCCCTAGAGGCGAGATGAGGCCCCATTCCACTGTAGTGCATGCAGAGCTATTCCGTGATCCCATTCAAACAAGTCAGGAGCTTCGACTTGCTTAATGGATCTCGAGACAGTCCCCAAGAACACTGTCACCAGTCTAGACGGACCCTGAGGTCAACCCAGCAACGCAAAGCAGCTCCATGTGCCCCAAATCAACTCGAGATGAGGCCCGATTCCCCTGCATTGACTCCAGAGCCATTCCCCGTTCCCCATTCAACACGACCGGTGGCTCGACTTCCTTCAGGCAACTCCAGAGATGCCCCGAGAACACTGTCCCAAGTCGAGAGGAACACCAACTTCAGCACAGCAACTCGAGAAATGCTCCGTGTACCCCAAATCGTCTCGAGATGAGAGCTGATTCCCTGGCTTAGGCTCAAGACGTATGCCAACTTCCCAGAAGCACCTCAGGAGGAGGCTTCTCTCAGCAATAGGTATGTGGGAAGGACCCCGAGTTTGCTGCCTCAAGGGGAATATACAGCGAGAAGCCCTAACTTGAAAGGAGGCCGGATTTCCTTGCAGTGGCTTGAATACAGGCTCGTCTTTCATCTCACAACATGAAGGGATGTCTGAATCCCCTGTGGAGACCTTAGAGAAAGCCCTAGGTCCCTGCCTCATTTTGACGGAATGCCTCACATCCCGCTGACACCTCGAGAGGCACGCGGAGTTCATTGCTTCAAAAGGTGACGATGCCTGACTCCTCTTGAATACTGATAGGAATCCCAAAATCCCTGTGGCTACTGGAAAGGGTCCTTGGGTGCCCTGCCTCACCTCGAGAAGCGTCCCTTTTGCCCTGCCAAGCCTCGAAGAGATTCCTGAGGTGTCCCTCGTTACTAGACAGGAGTCCTGACGTCACTGAAGAAACTCGTGTTTTGAAGGGCCATCCCCGCCGTAAGTCGAGAACATACCCCAGGTCCCCGCCGCAACTCGAGAAAAACCATGAGACTTCCCCCTAGAGGCGAGATGAGGCCCCATTCCCCTGCAATGCATGCAGAGCTATTCCGTGATCCCATTCAAACAAGTCAGGAGCTTCGACTTGCTTAATGGATCTCGAGAGAGTCCCCAAGAACACTGTCACCAGTCTAGACGGACCCTGAGGTCACCCCAGCAACGCAAAGCAGCTCCATGTGCCCCAAATCAACTCGAGATGAGGCCCGATTCCCCTGCATTGACCCAAGAGCCATTCCCCGTTCCCCATTCAACACGACCGGTGGCTCGACTTCCTTCAGGCAACTCCAGAGATGCCCCGAGAACACTGTCCCAAGTCTAGAGGAACACCAACTTCAGCACAGCAACTCGAGGAATGCTCCGTGTACCCCAAATCGTCTCGAGATGAGAGCTGATTCCCTGGCTTAGGCTCAAGACGTATGCCAACTTCCCAGAAGCACCTCAGGAGGAGGCTTCTCTCAGCAATAGGTATGTGGGAAGGACCCCGAGTTTGCTGCCTCAAGGGGAATATACAGCGAGAAGCCCTAACTTGAAAGGAGGCCGGATTTCCTTGCAGTGGCTTGAATACAGGCTCGTCTTTCATCTCACAACATGAAGGGATGTCTGAATCCCCTGTTGAGACCTTAGAGAAAGCCCTAGGTCCCTGCCTCATTTTGACGGAATGCCTCACATCCCGCTGACACCTCGAGAGGCACGCGGAGTTCATTGCTTCAAAAGGTGACGATGCCTGACTCCTCTTGAATACTGATAGGAATCCCAAAATCCCTGTGGCTACTGGAAAGGGTCCTTGGGTGCCCTGCCTCACCTCGAGAAGCGTCCCTTTTGCCCTGCCAAGCCTCGAAGAGATTCCTGAGGTGTCCCTCGTTACTAGACAGGAGTCCTGACGTCACTGAAGAAACTCGTGTTTTGAAGGGCCATCCCCGCCGTAAGTCGAGAACATACCCCAGGTCCCCGCCGCAACTCGAGAAAAACCATGAGACTTCCCCCTAGAGGCGAGATGAGGCCCCATTCCCCTGCAGTGCATGCAGAGCTATTCCGTGATCCCATTCAAACAAGTCAGGAGCTTCGACTTGCTTAATGGATCTCGAGACAGTCCCCAAGAACACTGTCACCAGTCTAGACGGACCCTGAGGTCACCCCAGCAACGCAAAGCAGCTCCATGTGCCCCAAATCAACTTGAGATGAGGCCCGATTCCCCTGCATTGACTCCAGAGCCATTCCCCGTTCCCCATTCAACATGACCGGTGGCTCGACTTCCTTCAGGCAACTCCAGAGATGCCCCGAGAACACTGTCCCAAGTCTAGAGGAACACCAACTTCAGCACAGCAACTCGAGGAATGCTCCGTGTACCCCAAATCGTCTCGAGATGAGAGCTGATTCCCTGGCTTAGGCTCAAGACGTATGCCAACTTCCCAGAAGCACCTCAGGAGGAGGCTTCTCTCAGCAATAGGTATGTGGGAGGGACCCCGAGTTTGCTGCCTCAAGGGGAATATACAGCGAGAAGCCCTAACTTGAAAGGAGGCCGGATTTCCTTGCAGTGGCTTGAATACAGGCTCGTCTTTCATCTCACAACATGAAGGGATGTCTGAATCCCCTGTGGAGACCTTAGAGAAAGCCCTAGGTCCCTGCCTCATTTTGACGGAATGCCTCACATCCCGATGAAACCTCGAGAGGCACGCGGAGTTCATTGCTTCAAAAGGTGACGATGCCTGACTCCTCTTGAATACTGATAGGAATCCCAAAATCCCTGTGGCTACTGGAAAGGGTCCTTGGGTGCCCTGCCTCACCTCGAGAAGCGTCCCTTTTGCCCTGCCAAGCCTCGAAGAGATTCCTGAGGTGTCCCTCGTTACTAGACAGGAGTCCTGACGTCACTGAAGAAACTCGTGTTTTGAAGGGCCATCCCCGCCGTAAGTCAAGAACATACCCCAGATCCCCGCCGCAACTCGAGAAAAACCATGAGACTTCCCCCTAGAGGCGAGATGAGTCCCCATTCCCCTGCAGTGCATGCAGAGCTATTCCGTGATCCCATTCAAACAAGTCAGGAGCTTCGACTTGCTTAATGGATCTCGAGAGAGTCCCCAAGAACACTGTCACCAGTCTAGACGGACCCTGAGGTCACCCCAGCAACGCAAAGCAGCTCCATGTGCCCCAAATCAACTCGAGATGAGGCCCGATTCCCCTGCATTGACTCCAGAGCCATTCCCCGTTCCCCATTCAACACGACCGGTGGCTCGACTTCCTTCAGGCAACTCCAGAGATGCCCCGAGAACACTGTCCCAAGTCTAGAGGAACACCAACTTCAGCACAGCAACTCGAGGAATGCTCCGTGTACCCCAAATCGTCTCGAGATGCGAGCTGATTCCCTGGCTTAGGCTCAAGACGTATGCCAACTTCCCAGAAGCACCTCAGGAGGAGGCTTCTCTCAGCAATAGGTATGTGGGAGGGACCCCGAGTTTGCTGCCTCAAGGGGAATATACAGCGAGAAGCCCTAACTTGAAAGGAGGCCGGATTTCCTTGCAGTGGCTTGAATACAGGCTCGTCTTTCATCTCACAACATGAAGGGATGTCTGAATCCCCTGTGGAGACCTTAGAGAAAGCCCTAGGTCCCTGCCTCATTTTGACGGAATGCCTCACATCGCGCTGACACCTCGAGAGGCACGCGGAGTTCATTGCTTCAAAAGGTGACGATGCCTGACTCCTCTTGAATACTGATAGGAATCCCAAAATCCCTGTGGCTACTGGAAAGGGTCCTTTGGTGCCCTGCCTCACCTCGAGAAGCGTCCCTTTTGCCCTGCCAAGCCTCGAAGAGATTCCTGAGGTGTCCCTCGTTACTAGACAGGAGTCCTGACGTCACTGAAGAAACTCGTGTTTTGAAGGGCCATCCCCGCCGTAAGTCGAGAACATACCCCAGGTCCCCGCCGCAACTCGAGAAAAACCATGAGACTTCCCCCTAGAGGCGAGATGAGGCCCCATTCCCCTGCAGTGCATGCAGAGCTATTCCGTGATCCCATTCAAACAAGTCAGGAGCTTCGACTTGCTTAATGGATCTCGAGACACTCCCCAAGAACACTGTCACCAGTCTAGACGGACCCTGAGGTCATCCCAGCAACGCAAAGCAGCTCCATGTGCCCCAAATCAACTCGAGATGAGGCCCGATTCCCCTGCATTGACTCCAGAGCCATTCCCCGTTCCCCATTCAACACGACCGGTGGCTCGACTTCCTTCAGGCAACTCCAGAGATGCCCCGAGAACACTGTCCCAAGTCTAGAGGAACACCAACTTCAGCACAGCAACTCGAGGAATGCTCCGTGTACCCCAAATCGTCTCGAGATGAGAGCTGATTCCCTGGCTTAGGCTCAAGACGTATGCCAACTTCCCAGAAGCACCTCAGGAGGAGGCTTCTCTCAGCAATAGGTATGTGGGAGGGACCCCGAGTTTGCTGCCTCAAGGGGAATATACAGCGAGAAGCCCTAACTTGAAAGGAGGCCGGATTTCCTTGCAGTGGCTTGAATACAGGCTCGTCTTTCATCTCACAACATGAAGGGATGTTTGAATCCCCTGGGGAGACCTTAGAGAAAGCCCTAGGTCCCTGCCTCATTTTGATGTAATGCCTCACATCCCGCTGACACCTCGAGAGGCACGCGGAGTTCATTGCTTCAAAAGGTGACGATGCCTGACTCCTCTTGGATACTGATACGAATCCCAAACTCGCTGTGACTACTGGAAAGGGTCCTTGGGTGCCCTGCCTCACCTCGAGAAGCGTCCCTTTTGCCCTGCCAACCCTCGAAGAGATTCCTGAGGTGTCCCTCATTACTAGACAGGAGTCCTGACGTCACTGAAGAAACTCGTGTTTTGAAGGGCCATCCCCGCCGTAAGTCGTAAACATACCCCAGGTCCCCGCCGCAACTCGAGAAAAACCATGAGACTTCCCCGTAGAGGCGAGATGAGGCCCCATTCCCCTGTAGTGCATGCAGAGTTATTCCGTGATCCCATTCAAACAAGTCAGGAGCTTCGACTTGCTTAATGGATCTCGAGACAGTCCCCAAGAACACTGTCACCAGTCTAGACGCACCCTGAGGTCACCCCAGCAAGGCAAAGCAGCTCCATGTGCCCCAAATCAACTCGAGATGAGACTCGATTCCCATGCATTGACTCCAGAGCCATTCCCCGTTCCCCATTCAACACGACCGGTGGTTCGACTTCCTTCAGGCAACTCCAGAGATGCCCCGAGAACACTGTCCCTAGTCTAGAGGAACACCAACGTCAGCACAGCAACTAGAGGAATACACCGTGTACCCCAAATCGTCTCGAGATGAGAGCTGATTCCCTGGCTTAGACTCAAGCCTTATGCCAACTTCCCAGAAGCACCTCAGGAGGAGGCTTCTCTCAGCAATAGGTATGTGGGAGGGACCCCGAGTTTGCTGCCTCAAGGGGAATATACAGCGAGAAGCCCTAACTTGAAAGGAGGCCGGATTTCCTTGCAGTGGCTTGAATACAGGCTCGTCTTTCATCTCACAACATGAAGGGATGTCTGAATCCCCTGTGGAGACCTTAGAGAAAGCCCTAGGTCCCTGCCTCATTTTGACAGAATGCCTCACATCCCGCTGACACCTCGAGATGCACTCGGAGTTCATTGCTTCAAAAGGTGAGGATGCCTGATTCCTCTAGAATACTGAGAGGAATCCCCAAATCCCTGTGGCTACTGGAAAGGGTCCTTTGGTGCCCTGCCTCACATCGAGAAGCGTCCCTTTTGCCCTGCCAAGCCTCGAAGAGATTCCTGAGGTGTCCATCGTTACTAGATAGGAGTCCTGACGTCACTGAAGAAACTCGTGTTTTGAAGGGCCATCCCCACCGTAAGTCGAGTACATACCCCAGGTCCCCGTCGCAAGTTGAGAAAAGCCATGAGACTTGCCCCTAGAGGCGAGATGAGGCCCCATTCCCCTGCAATGCATGCAGAGCTATTCTGTGATCCCATTCAAACAAGTCAGGCGCTTCGACTTGCTTAATGGATCTCGAGACAGTCCCCAAGAACACTGTCACCAGTCTAGACGGACCCTGAGGTCATCCCAGCAACGCAAAGCAGCTCCATGTGCCCCAAATCAACTCGAGATGAGGCCCGATTCCCCTGCATTGACTCCAGATCCATTCCCCGTTCCCCATTCAACACGACCGGTGGCTCGACTTCCTTCAGGCAACTCCAGAGATGCCCCGAGAACACTGTCCCAAGTCTAGAGGAACACCAACTTCAGCACAGCAACTCGAGGAATGCTCCGTGTACCCCAAATCGTCTCGAGATGAGAGCTGATTCCCTGGCTTAGGCTCAAGACGTATGCCAACTTCCAGTAGCATCTCAGGAGGAGGCTTCTCTCAGCAATAGGTATGTGGGAGGGACCCCGAGTTTGCTGCCTCAAGGGGAATATACAGCGAGAAGCCCTAACTTGAAAGGAGGCCGGATTTCCTTGCAGTGGCTTGAATACAGGCTCGTCTTTCATCTCACAACATGAAGGGATGTTTGAATCCCCTGTGGAGACCTTAGAGAAAGCCCTAGGTCCCTGCCTCATTTTCACGGAATGCCTCACATCCAGCTGACACCTCGAGAGGCACGCGCAGTTCATTGCTTCAAAAGGTGACGATGCCTGACTCATCTTGAATACTGATACGAATCCCAAAATCGCTGTGGCTACTGGAAAGGGTCCTTGGGTGCCCTGCCTCACCTCGAGAAGCGTCCCTTTTGCCCTGCCAGGCCTCGAAGAGATTCCTGAGGTGTCCCTCGTTACTAGACAGGAGTCCTGACGTCACTGAAGAAACTCGTGTTTTGAAGGCCCATCCCCGCCGTAAGTCGAGAACATAGCCCAGGTCCCCGCCGCAACTCGAGAAAAACCATGAGACTTCCCCCTAGAGGCGAGATGAGGCCCCATTCCACTGTAGTGCATGCAGAGCTATTCCGTGATCCCATTCAAACAAGTCAGGAGCTTCGACTTGCTTAATGGATCTCGAGACAGTCCCCAAGAACACTGTCACCAGTCTAGACGGACCCTGAGGTCAACCCAGCAACGCAAAGCAGCTCCATGTGCCCCAAATCAACTCGAGATGAGGCCCGATTCCCCTGCATTGACTCCAGAGCCATTCCCCGTTCCCCATTCAACACGACCGGTGGCTCGACTTCCTTCAGGCAACTCCAGAGATGCCCCGAGAACACTGTCCCAAGTCGAGAGGAACACCAACTTCAGCACAGCAACTCGAGAAATGCTCCGTGTACCCCAAATCGTCTCGAGATGAGAGCTGATTCCCTGGCTTAGGCTCAAGACGTATGCCAACTTCCCAGAAGCACCTCAGGAGGAGGCTTCTCTCAGCAATAGGTATGTGGGAAGGACCCCGAGTTTGCTGCCTCAAGGGGAATATACAGCGAGAAGCCCTAACTTGAAAGGAGGCCGGATTTCCTTGCAGTGGCTTGAATACAGGCTCGTCTTTCATCTCACAACATGAAGGGATGTCTGAATCCCCTGTGGAGACCTTAGAGAAAGCCCTAGGTCCCTGCCTCATTTTGACGGAATGCCTCACATCCCGCTGACACCTCGAGAGGCACGCGGAGTTCATTGCTTCAAAAGGTGACGATGCCTGACTCCTCTTGAATACTGATAGGAATCCCAAAATCCCTGTGGCTACTGGAAAGGGTCCTTGGGTGCCCTGCCTCACCTCGAGAAGCGTCCCTTTTGCCCTGCCAAGCCTCGAAGAGATTCCTGAGGTGTCCCTCGTTACTAGACAGGAGTCCTGACGTCACTGAAGAAACTCGTGTTTTGAAGGGCCATCCCCGCCGTAAGTCGAGAACATACCCCAGGTCCCCGCCGCAACTCGAGAAAAACCATGAGACTTCCCCCTAGAGGCGAGATGAGGCCCCATTCCCCTGCAATGCATGCAGAGCTATTCCGTGATCCCATTCAAACAAGTCAGGAGCTTCGACTTGCTTAATGGATCTCGAGAGAGTCCCCAAGAACACTGTCACCAGTCTAGACGGACCCTGAGGTCACCCCAGCAACGCAAAGCAGCTCCATGTGCCCCAAATCAACTCGAGATGAGGCCCGATTCCCCTGCATTGACCCAAGAGCCATTCCCCGTTCCCCATTCAACACGACCGGTGGCTCGACTTCCTTCAGGCAACTCCAGAGATGCCCCGAGAACACTGTCCCAAGTCTAGAGGAACACCAACTTCAGCACAGCAACTCGAGGAATGCTCCGTGTACCCCAAATCGTCTCGAGATGAGAGCTGATTCCCTGGCTTAGGCTCAAGACGTATGCCAACTTCCCAGAAGCACCTCAGGAGGAGGCTTCTCTCAGCAATAGGTATGTGGGAAGGACCCCGAGTTTGCTGCCTCAAGGGGAATATACAGCGAGAAGCCCTAACTTGAAAGGAGGCCGGATTTCCTTGCAGTGGCTTGAATACAGGCTCGTCTTTCATCTCACAACATGAAGGGATGTCTGAATCCCCTGTTGAGACCTTAGAGAAAGCCCTAGGTCCCTGCCTCATTTTGACGGAATGCCTCACATCCCGCTGACACCTCGAGAGGCACGCGGAGTTCATTGCTTCAAAAGGTGACGATGCCTGACTCCTCTTGAATACTGATAGGAATCCCAAAATCCCTGTGGCTACTGGAAAGGGTCCTTGGGTGCCCTGCCTCACCTCGAGAAGCGTCCCTTTTGCCCTGCCAAGCCTCGAAGAGATTCCTGAGGTGTCCCTCGTTACTAGACAGGAGTCCTGACGTCACTGAAGAAACTCGTGTTTTGAAGGGCCATCCCCGCCGTAAGTCGAGAACATACCCCAGGTCCCCGCCGCAACTCGAGAAAAACCATGAGACTTCCCCCTAGAGGCGAGATGAGGCCCCATTCCCCTGCAGTGCATGCAGAGCTATTCCGTGATCCCATTCAAACAAGTCAGGAGCTTCGACTTGCTTAATGGATCTCGAGACAGTCCCCAAGAACACTGTCACCAGTCTAGACGGACCCTGAGGTCACCCCAGCAACGCAAAGCAGCTCCATGTGCCCCAAATCAACTTGAGATGAGGCCCGATTCCCCTGCATTGACTCCAGAGCCATTCCCCGTTCCCCATTCAACATGACCGGTGGCTCGACTTCCTTCAGGCAACTCCAGAGATGCCCCGAGAACACTGTCCCAAGTCTAGAGGAACACCAACTTCAGCACAGCAACTCGAGGAATGCTCCGTGTACCCCAAATCGTCTCGAGATGAGAGCTGATTCCCTGGCTTAGGCTCAAGACGTATGCCAACTTCCCAGAAGCACCTCAGGAGGAGGCTTCTCTCAGCAATAGGTATGTGGGAGGGACCCCGAGTTTGCTGCCTCAAGGGGAATATACAGCGAGAAGCCCTAACTTGAAAGGAGGCCGGATTTCCTTGCAGTGGCTTGAATACAGGCTCGTCTTTCATCTCACAACATGAAGGGATGTCTGAATCCCCTGTGGAGACCTTAGAGAAAGCCCTAGGTCCCTGCCTCATTTTGACGGAATGCCTCACATCCCGATGAAACCTCGAGAGGCACGCGGAGTTCATTGCTTCAAAAGGTGACGATGCCTGACTCCTCTTGAATACTGATAGGAATCCCAAAATCCCTGTGGCTACTGGAAAGGGTCCTTGGGTGCCCTGCCTCACCTCGAGAAGCGTCCCTTTTGCCCTGCCAAGCCTCGAAGAGATTCCTGAGGTGTCCCTCGTTACTAGACAGGAGTCCTGACGTCACTGAAGAAACTCGTGTTTTGAAGGGCCATCCCCGCCGTAAGTCAAGAACATACCCCAGATCCCCGCCGCAACTCGAGAAAAACCATGAGACTTCCCCCTAGAGGCGAGATGAGTCCCCATTCCCCTGCAGTGCATGCAGAGCTATTCCGTGATCCCATTCAAACAAGTCAGGAGCTTCGACTTGCTTAATGGATCTCGAGAGAGTCCCCAAGAACACTGTCACCAGTCTAGACGGACCCTGAGGTCACCCCAGCAACGCAAAGCAGCTCCATGTGCCCCAAATCAACTCGAGATGAGGCCCGATTCCCCTGCATTGACTCCAGAGCCATTCCCCGTTCCCCATTCAACACGACCGGTGGCTCGACTTCCTTCAGGCAACTCCAGAGATGCCCCGAGAACACTGTCCCAAGTCTAGAGGAACACCAACTTCAGCACAGCAACTCGAGGAATGCTCCGTGTACCCCAAATCGTCTCGAGATGCGAGCTGATTCCCTGGCTTAGGCTCAAGACGTATGCCAACTTCCCAGAAGCACCTCAGGAGGAGGCTTCTCTCAGCAATAGGTATGTGGGAGGGACCCCGAGTTTGCTGCCTCAAGGGGAATATACAGCGAGAAGCCCTAACTTGAAAGGAGGCCGGATTTCCTTGCAGTGGCTTGAATACAGGCTCGTCTTTCATCTCACAACATGAAGGGATGTCTGAATCCCCTGTGGAGACCTTAGAGAAAGCCCTAGGTCCCTGCCTCATTTTGACGGAATGCCTCACATCGCGCTGACACCTCGAGAGGCACGCGGAGTTCATTGCTTCAAAAGGTGACGATGCCTGACTCCTCTTGAATACTGATAGGAATCCCAAAATCCCTGTGTCTACTGGAAAGGGTCCTTTGGTGCCCTGCCTCACCTCGAGAAGCGTCCCTTTTGCCCTGCCAAGCCTCGAAGAGATTCCTGAGGTGTCCCTCGTTACTAGACAGGAGTCCTGACGTCACTGAAGAAACTCGTGTTTTGAAGGGCCATCCCCGCCGTAAGTCGAGAACATACCCCAGGTCCCCGCCGCAACTCGAGAAAAACCATGAGACTTCCCCCTAGAGGCGAGATGAGGCCCCATTCCCCTGCAGTGCATGCAGAGCTATTCCGTGATCCCATTCAAACAAGTCAGGAGCTTCGACTTGCTTAATGGATCTCGAGACACTCCCCAAGAACACTGTCACCAGTCTAGACGGACCCTGAGGTCATCCCAGCAACGCAAAGCAGCTCCATGTGCCCCAAATCAACTCGAGATGAGGCCCGATTCCCCTGCATTGACTCCAGAGCCATTCCCCGTTCCCCATTCAACACGACCGGTGGCTCGACTTCCTTCAGGCAACTCCAGAGATGCCCCGAGAACACTGTCCCAAGTCTAGAGGAACACCAACTTCAGCACAGCAACTCGAGGAATGCTCCGTGTACCCCAAATCGTCTCGAGATGAGAGCTGATTCCCTGGCTTAGGCTCAAGACGTATGCCAACTTCCCAGAAGCACCTCAGGAGGAGGCTTCTCTCAGCAATAGGTATGTGGGAGGGACCCCGAGTTTGCTGCCTCAAGGGGAATATACAGCGAGAAGCCCTAACTTGAAAGGAGGCCGGATTTCCTTGCAGTGGCTTGAATACAGGCTCGTCTTTCATCTCACAACATGAAGGGATGTTTGAATCCCCTGTGGAGACCTTAGAGAAAGCCCTAGGTCCCTGCCTCATTTTCACGGAATGCCTCACATCCCGCTGACACCTCGAGAGGCACGCGGAGTTCATTGCTTCAAAAGGTGACGATGCCTGACTCCTCTTGAATACTGATAGGAATCCCAAAATCCCTGTGGCTACTGGAAAGGGTCCTTGGGTGCCCTGCCTCACCTCGAGAAGCGTCCCTTTTGCCCTGCCAAGCCTCGAAGAGATTCCTGAGGTGTCCCTCGTTACTAGACAGGAGTCCTGACGTCACTGAAGAAACTCGTGTCTTGAAGGGCCATCCCCGCCGTAAGTCGAGAACATACCCCAGGTCCCCGCCGCAACTCGAGAAAAACCATGAGACTTCCCCCTAGAGGCGAGATGAGGCCCCATTCCCCTGCAGTGCATGCAGAGCTATTCCGTGATCCCATTCAAACAAGGCAGGAGCTTCGACTTGCTTAATGGATCTCGAGACAGTCCCCAAGAACACTGTCACCAGTCTAGACGGACCCTGAGGTCACCCCAGCAACGCAAAGCAGCTCCATGTGCCCCAAATCAACTCGAGATGAGGCCCGATTCCCCTGCATTGACTCCAGAGCCATTCCCCGTTCCCCATTCAACACGACCGGTGGCTCGACTTCCTTCAGGCAACTCCAGAGATGCCCCGAGAACACTGTCCCAAGTCTAGAGGAACACCAACTTCAGCACAGCAACTCGAGGAATGCTCCGTGTACCCCAAATCGTCTCGAGATGAGAGCTGATTCCCTGGCTTAGGCTCAAGACGTATGCCAACTTCCCAGAAGCACCTCAGGAGGAGGCTTCTCTCAGCAATAGGTATGTGGGAGGGACCCCGAGTTTGCTGCCTCAAGGGGAATATATAGCGAGAAGCCCTAACTTGAAAGGAGGCCGGATTTCCTTGCACTGGCTTGAATACAGGCTCGTCTTTCATCTCACAACATGAAGGGATGTCTGAATCCCCTGTGGAGACCTTAGAGGAAAGACCTAGGTCCCTGCCTCATTTTGACGGAATGCCTCACATCCCGCTGACACCTCGAGAGGCACGCGGAGTTCATTGCTTCAAAAGGTGACGATGCCTGACTCCTCTTGAATACTGATAGGAATCCCAAAATCACTGTGGCTACTGGAAAGGGTCCTTGGGTGCCCTGCCTCACCTCGAGAAGCGTCCCTTTTGCCCTGCCAAGCCTCGAAGATATTCCTGAGGTGTCCCTCGTTACTAGACAGGAGTCCTGACGTCACTGAAGAAACTCGTGTCTTGAAGGGCCATCCCCGCCGTAAGTCGAGAACATACCCCAGGTCCCCGCCGCAACTCGAGGAAAACCATGAGACTTCCCCCTAGAGGCGAGATGAGGCCCCATTCCCCTGCAGTGCATGCAGAGCTATTCCGTGATCCCATTCAAACAAGTCAGGAGCTTCGACTTGCTTAATGGATCTCGAGACACTCCCCAAGAACACTGTCACCAGTCTAGACGGACCCTGAGGTCATCCCAGCAACGCAAAGCAGCTCCATGTGCCCCAAATCAACTCGAGATGAGGCCCGATTCCCCTGCATTGACTCCAGAGCCATTCCCCGTTCCCCATTCAACATGACCGGTGGCTCGACTTCCTTCAGGCAACTCCAGAGATGCCCCGAGAACACTGTCCCAAGTCTAGAGGAACACCAACTTCAGCACAGCAACTCGAGGAATGCTCCGTGTACCCCAAATCGTCTCGAGATGAGAGCTGATTCCCTGGCTTAGGCTCAAGACGTATGCCAACTTCCCAGAAGCACCTCAGGAGGAGGCTTCTCTCAACAATAGGTATGTGGGAGGGACCCCGAGTTTGCTGCCTCAAGGGGAATATACAGCGAGAAGCCCTAACTTGAAAGGAGGCCGGAGTTCCTTGCAGTGGCTTGAATACAGGCTCGTCTTTCATCTCACAACATGAAGGGATGTTTGAATACCCTGTGGAGACCTTAGAGAAAGCCCTAGGTCCCTGCCTCATTTTCACGGAATGCCTCACATCCCGCTGACACCTCGAGAGGCACGCGGAGTTCATTGCTTCAAAAGGTGACGATGCCTGACTCCTCTTGAATACTGATAGGAATCCCAAAATCCCTGTGGCTACTGGAAAGGGTCCTTGGGTGCCCTGCTTCACCTCGAGAAGCGTCCCTTTTGCCCTGCCAGGCCTCGAAGAGATTCCTGAGGTGTCCCTCGTTACTAGACAGGAGTCCTGACGTCACTGAAGAAACTCGTGTTTTGAAGGCCCATCCCCGCCGTAAGTCGACAACATACCCCAGGTCCCCGCCGCAACTCGAGAAAAACCATGAGACTTCACCCTAGAGGCGAGATGAGGCCCCATTTCCCTGTAGTGCATGCAGAGCTATTCCGTGATCCCATTCAAACAAGTCAGGAGCTTCGACTTGCTTAATGGATCTCGAGACAGTCCCCAAGAACACTGTCACCAGTCTAGACGGACCCTGAGGTCACCCCAGCAACGCAAAGCAGCTCCATGTGCCCCAAATCAACTCGAGATGAGGCCCGTTTCCCCTGCATTGACTCCAGAGCCATTCCCCGTTCCCCATTCAACACGACCGGTGGCTCGACTTCCTTCAGGCAACTCCAGAGATGCCCTGAGAACACTGTCCCAAGTCTAGAGGAACACCAACTTCAGCACAGCAACTCGAGGAATGCTCCGTGTACCCCAAATCGTCTCGAGATGAGAGCTGATTCCCTGGCTTAGGCTCAAGACGTATGCCAACTCCCCAGAAGCACCTCAGGAGGAGGCTTCTCTCAGCAATAGGTATGTGGGAGGGACCCCGAGTTTGCTGCCTCAAGGGGAATATACAGCGAGAAGCCCTAACTTGAAAGGAGGCCTAATTTCCTTGCAGTGGCTTGAATACAGGCTCGTCTTTCATCTCACAACATGAAGGGATTTCTGAATGCCCTGTGGAGACCTTAGAGAAAGCCCTAGGTCCCTGCCTCATTTTGACGGAATGCCTCACATCACGCTGACACCTCGAGAGGCACGCGGAGTTCATTGCTTCAAAAGGTGACCATGCCTGACTCCTCTTGAATACTGATAGGAATCCCAAAATCCCTGTGGCTACTGGAAAGGGTCCTTGGGTGCCCTGCCTCACCTCGAGAAGCGTCCCTTTTGCCCTGCCAAGCCTCGAAGAGATTCCTGAGGTGTCCCTCGTTACTAGACAGGAGTCCTGACGTCACTGAAGAAACTCGTGTTTTGAAGGGCCATCCCCGCCGTAAGTCGAGAACATACCCCAGGTCCCCGCCGCAACTCGAGAAAAACAATGAGACTTCCCCCTAGAGGCGAGATGAGGCCCCATTCCCCTGCAGTGCATGCAGAGCTATTCCGTGATCCCATTCAAACAAGTCAGGAGCTTCGACTTGCCTAATGGATCTCGAGACAGTCCCCAAGAACACTGTCACCAGTCTAGACGGACCCTGAGGTCACCCCAGCAACGCAAAGCAGCTCCATGTGCCCCAAATCAACTCGAGATGAGGCCCGATTCCCCTGCATTGACTCCAGAGCCATTCCCCGTTCCCCATTCAACACGACCGGTGGCTCGACTTCCTTCAGGCAACTCCAGAGATGCCCCGAGAACACTGTCCCAAGTCTAGAGGAACACCAACTTCAGCACAGCAACTCGAGGAATGCTCCGTGTACCCCAAATCGTCTCGACATGAGAGCTGATTCCCTGGCTTAGGCTCAAGCCTTATGCCAACTTCCCAGAAGCACCTCAGGAGGAGGCTTCTCTCAGCAATAGGTATGTGGGAGGGACCCCGAGTTTGCTGCCTCAAGGGGAATATACAGCGAGAAGCCCTAACTTGAAAGGAGGCCGGATTTCCTTGCAGTGGCTTGAATATAGGCTCGTCTTTCATCTCACAACATGAAGGGATGTCTGAATCCCCTGTGGAGACCTTAGAGAAAGCCCTAGGTCCCTGCCTCATTTTGACAGAATGCCTCACATCCCGCTGACACCTCGAGATGCACTCGGAGTTCATTGCTTCAAAAGGTGAGGATGCCTGATTCCTCTAGAATACTGATAGGAATCCCAAAATCCCTGTGGCTACTGGAAAGGGTCATTTGGTGCCCTGCCTCACATCGAGAAGCGTCCCTTTTGCCCTGCCAAGCCTCGAAGAGATTCCTGAGGTGTCCCTCGTTACTAGATAGGAGTCCTGACGTCACTGAAGAAACTCGTGTTTTGAAGGGCCATCCCCACCGTAAGTCGAGTACATACCCCAGGTCCCCGTCGCAAGTTGAGAAAAGCCATGAGACTTGCCCCTAGAGGCGAGATGAGGCCCCATTCCCCTGCAATGCATGCAGAGCTATTCTGTGATCCCATTCAAACAAGTCAGGCGCTTCGACTTGCTTAATGGATCTCGAGACAGTCCCCAAGAACATTGTCACCAGTCTAGACGGACCCTGAGGTCATCCCAGCAACGCAAAGCAGCTCCATGTGCCCCAAATCAACTCGAGATGAGGCCCGATTCCCCTGCATTGACTCCAGATCCATTCCCCGTTCCCCATTCAACACGACCGGTGGCTCGACTTCCTTCAGGCAACTCCAGAGATGCCCCGAGAACACTGTCCCAAGTCTAGAGGAACACCAAATTCAGCACAGCAACTCGAGGAATGCTCCGTGTACCCCAAATCGTCTCGAGATGAGAGCTGATTCCCTGGCTTAGGCTCAAGACGTATGCCAACTTCCAGTAGCATCTCAGGAGGAGGCTTCTCTCAGCAATAGGTATGTGGGAGGGACCCCGAGTTTGCTGCCTCAAGGGGAATATACAGCGAGAAGCCCTAACTTGAAAGGAGGCCGGATTTCCTTGCAGTGGCTTGAATACAGGCTCGTCTTTCATCTCACAACATGAAGGGATGTTTGAATCCCCTGTGGAGACCTTAGAGAAAGCCCTAGGTCCCTGCCTCATTTTCACGGAATGCCTCACATCCCGCTGACACCTCGAGAGGCACGCGGAGTTCATTGCTTCAAAAGGTGACGATGCCTGACTCATCTTGAATACTGATACGAATCCCAAAATCGCTGTGGCTACTGGAAAGGGTCCTTGGGTGCCCTGCCTCACCTCGAGAAGCGTCCCTTTTTGCCCTGCCAGGCCTCGAAGAGATTCCTGAGGTGTCCCTCGTTACTAGACAGGAGTCCTGACGTCACTGAAGAAACTCGTGTTTTGAAGGCCCATCCCCGCCGTAAGTCGAGAACATACCCCAGGTCCCCGCCGCAACTCGAGAAAAACCATGAGACTTCCCCCTAGAGGCGAGATGAGGCCCCATTCCCCTGTAGTGCATGCAGAGCTATTCCGTGATCCCATTCAAACAAGTCAGGAGCTTCGACTTGCTTAATGGATCTCGAGACAGTCCCCAAGAACACTGTCACCAGTCTAGACGGACCCAGAGGTCAACCCAGGAACGCAAAGCAGCTCCATGTGCCCCAAATCAACTCGAGATGAGGCCCGATTCCCCTGCATTGACTCCAGAGCCATTCCCCGTTCCCCATTCAACACGACCGGTGGCTCGACTTCCTTCAGGCAACTCCAGAGATGCCCCGAGAACACTGTCCCATGTCTAGAGGAACACCAACTTCAGCACAGCAACTCGAGAAATGCTCCGTGTACCCCAAATCGTCTCGAGATGAGAGCTGATTCCCTGGCTTAGGCTCAAGACCTATGCCAACTCCCCAGAAGCACCTCAGGAGGAGGCTTCTCTCAGCAATAGGTATGTGGGAGGGACCCCGAGTGTGCTGCCTCAAGGGGAATATACAGCGAGAAGCCCTAACTTGAAAGGAGGCCGGATTTCCTTGCAGTGGCTTGAATACAGGCTCGTCTTTCATCTCACAACATGAAGGGATGTCTGAATGCCCTGTGGAGACCTTAGAGAAAGCCCTAGGTCCCTGCCTCATTTTGACGGAATGCCTCACATCACGCTGACACCTCGAGAGGCACGCGGAGTTCATTGCTTCAAAAGGTGACGATGCCTGACTCCTCTTGAATACTGATAGGAATCCCAAAATCCCTGTGGCTACTGGAAAGGGTCCTTGGGTGCCGTGCCTCACCTCGAGAAGCGTCCCTTTTGCCCTGCCAAGCCTCGAAGAGATTCCTGAGGTGTCCCTCGTTACTAGACAGGAGTCCTGACGTCACTGAAGAAACTCGTGTTTTGAAGGGCCATCCCCGCTGTAAGTCGAGAACATACCCCAGGTCCCTGCCACAACTCGAGAAAAACCATGAGACTTCCCCCTAGAGGCGAGATGAGGCCCCATTCCCCTGCAGTGCATGCAGAGCTATTCCGTGATCCCATTCAACCAAGTCAGGAGCTTCGACTTGCTTAATGGATCTCGAGACAGTCCCCAAGAACATTGTCACCAGTCCAGACGGACCCTGAGGTCACCCCAGCAACGCAAAGCAGCTTCATGTGCCCCAGATCAACTCGAGATGAGGCCCGATTCCCCTGCATTGACTCCAGAGCCATTCCCCATTCCCCATTCAACACGACCGGTGGCTCGACTTCCTTCAGGCAACTCCAGAGATGCCCCGAGAACACTGTCCCAAGTCTAGAGGAACACCAACTTCAGCACAGCAACTCGCAGAATGCTCCGTGTACCCCAAATCGTCTCGAGATGAGAGCTGATTCCCTGGCTTAGACTCAAGCCTTATGCCAACTTCCCAGAAGCACCTCAGGAGGAGGCTTGTCTCAGCAATAGGTATGTGGGAGGGACCCCGAGTTTGCTGCCTCAAGGGGAATATACAGCGAGAAGCCCTAACTTGAAAGGAGGCCGGATTTCCTTGCAGTGGCTTGAATACAGGCTCGTCTTTCATCTCACAACATGAAGGGATGTCTGAATCCCCTGTGGAGACCTTAGAGAAAGACCTAGGTCCCTGCCTCATTTTGACAGAATGCCTCACATCCCGCTGACACCTCGAGATGCACTCGGAGTTCATTGCTTCAAAAGGTGAGGAAGCCTGATTCCTCTAGAATACTGATAGGAATCCCAAAATCCCTGTGGCTACTGGAAAGGGTCCTTGGGTGCCCTGCCTCACATCGAGAAGCGTCCCTTTTGCCCTGCCAAGCCTCGAAGAGATTCCTGAGGTGTCCCTCGTTACTAGACAGGAGTCCTGACGTCACTGAAGAAACTCGTGTTTTGAAGGGCCATCCCCGCCGTAAGTCGAGTACATACCCCAGGTCCCCGTCGCAAGTTGAGAAAAGCCATGAGACTTGCCCCTAGAGGCGAGATGAGGCCCCATTCCCCTGCAATGCATGCAGAGCAATTCCGTGATCCCATTCAAACAAGTCAGGCTCTTCTACTTGCTTAATGGATCTCGAGACAGTCCCCAAGAACACTGTCACCAGTCTAGACGGACCCTGAGGTCACCCCAGCAACGCAAAGCAGCTCCATGTGCCCCAAATCAACTCGAGATGAGGCCCGATTCCCCTGCATTGACTCCAGATCCGTTCCCCGTTCCACATTCAACACGACCGGTGGCTCGACTTCCTTCAGGCAACTCCAGAGATGCCCCGAGAACACTGTCCCAAGTCTAGAGGAACACCAACTTCAGCACTGCAACTCGAGGAATGCTCCGTGTACCCCAAATCGTCTCGAGATGAGAGCTGATTCCCTGGCTTAGGCTCAAGACGTATGCCAACATCCCAGTAGCACCTCAGGAGGAGGGTTCTCTCAGCAATAGGTATGTGGGAGTGACCCCGAGTTTGCTGCCTCAAGGGGAATATACAGCGAGAAGCCCTAACTTGAAAGGAGGCCGGATTTCCTTGCAGTGGCTTGAATACAGGCTCGTCTTTCATCTCAAAACATGAAGGGATGTTTGAATCCCCTGTGGAGACCTTAGAGAAAGCCCTAGGTCCCTGCCTCATTTTCACGGAATGCCTCACATCCCGCTGACACCTCGAGAGGCACGTGGAGTTCATTGCTTCAAAAGGTGACGATGCCTGACTCCTCTTGAATACTGATACGAATCCCAAAATCGCTGTGGCTACTGGAAAGGGTCCTTGGGTGCCCTGCCTCACCTCGAGAAGCGTCCCTTTTGCCCTGCCAAGCCTCGAAGAGATTCCTGAGGTGTCCCTCGTTACTAGACAGGAGTCCTGACGTCACTGAAGAAACTCGTGTCTTGAAGGGCCATCCCCGCCGTAAGTCGAGAACATACACCAGGTCCCCGCCGCAACTCGAGAAAAACCATGAGACTTCCCCCTAGAGGCGAGATGAGGCCCCATTCCCCTGCAGTGCATGCAGAGCTATTCCGTGATCCCATTCAAACAAGTCAGGAGCTTCGACTTGCTTAATGGATCTCGAGACAGTCCCCAAGAACACTGTCACCAGTCGAGACGGACCCTGAGGTCACCCCAGCAACGCAAAGCAGCTCCATGTGCCCCAAATCAACTCGAGATGAGGCCCGATTCCCCTGCATTGACTCCAGAGCCATTCCCCGTTCCCCATTCAACACGACCGGTGGCTCGACTTCCTTCAGGCAACTCCAGAGATGCCCCGAGAACACTGTCCCAAGTCTAGAGGAACACCAACTTCAGCACAGCAACTCGAGGAATGTTCCGTGTACCCCAAATCGTCTCGAGATGAGAGCTGATTCCCTGGCTTAGGCTCAAGGTGTATGCCAACTTCCCAGAAGCACCTCAGGAGGAGGCTTCTCTCAGCAATAGGTATGTGGGAGGGACCCCGAGTTTGCTGCCTCAAGGGGAATATACAGCGAGAAGCCCTAACTTGAAAGGAGGCCGGATTTCCTTGCAGTGTCTTGAATACAGGCTCGTCTTTCATCTCACAACATGAAGGGATGTCTGAATCCCCTGTGGAGACCTTAGAGAAAGCCCTAGGTCCCTGCCTCATTTTGACGGAATGCCTCACATCCCGCTGACACCTCGAGAGGCACGCGGAGTTCATTGCTTCAATAGGTGACGATGCCTGACTCCTCTTGAATACTGATAGGAATCCCAAAATCACTGTGGCTACTGGAAAGGGTCCTTGGGTGCCCTGCCTCACCTCGAGAAGCGTCCCTTTTGCCCTGCCAAGCCTCGAAGAGATTCCTGAGGTGTCCCTCGTTACTAGACAGGAGTCCTGACGTCACTGAAGAAACTCGTGTCTTGAAGGGCCATCCCCGCCGTAAGTCGAGAACATACCCCAGGTCCCCGCCGCAACTCGAGAAAAACCATGAGACTTCCCCCTAGAGGCGAGATGAGGCCCCATTCCCCTGCAGTGCATGCAGAGCTATTCCGTGATCCCATTCAAACAAGGCAGGAGCTTCGACTTGCTTAATGGATCTCGAGACAGTCCCCAAGAACACTGTCACCAGTCGAGACGGACCCTGAGGTCACCCCAGCAACGCAAAGCAGCTCCATGTGCCCCAAATCAACTCGAGATGAGGCCCGATTCCCCTGCATTGACTCCAGAGCCATTCCCCGTTCCCCATTCAACACGACCGGTGGCTCGACTTCCTTCAGGCAACTCCAGAGATGCCCCGAGAACACTGTCCCAAGTCTAGAGGAACACCAACTTCAGCACAGCAACTCGAGGAATGCTCCGTGTACCCCAAATCGTCTCGAGATGAGAGCTGATTCCCTGGCTTAGGCTCAAGACGTATGCCAACTTCCCAGAAGCACCTCAGGAGGAGGCTTCTCTCAGCAATAGGTATGTGGGAGGGACCCCGAGTTTGCTGCCTCAAGGGGAATATACAGCGAGAAGCCCTAACTTGAAAGGAGGCCGGATTTCCTTGCACTGGCTTGAATACAGGCTCGTCTTTCATCTCACAACATGAAGGGATGTCTGAATCCCCTGTGGAGACCTTAGAGGAAAGCCCTAGGTCCCTGCCTCATTTTGACGGAATGCCTCACATCCCGCTGACACCTCGAGAGGCACGCGGGGTTCATTGCTTCAAAAGGTGACGATGCCTGACTCCTCTTGAATACTGATAGGAATCCCAAAATCCCTGTGGCTACTGGAAAGGGTCCTTGGGTGCCCTGCCTCACCTCGAGAAGCGTCCCTTTTGCCCTGCCAAGCCTCGAAGAGATTCCTGAGGTGTCCCTCGTTACTAGACAGGAGTCCTGACGTCACTGAAGAAACTCGTGTCTTGAAGGGCCATCCCCGCCGTAAGTCGAGAACATACCCCAGGTCCCCGCCGCAACTCGAGAAAAACCATGAGACTTCCCCCTAGAGGCGAGATGAGGCCCCATTCCCCTGCAGTGCATGCAGAGCTATTCCGTGATCCCATTCAAACAAGTCAGGAGCTTCGACTTGCTTAATGGATCTCGAGACAGTCCCCAAGAACACTGTCACCAGTCTAGACGGACACTGAGGTCACCCAAGCAACGCAAAGCAGCTCCATGTGCCCCAAATCAACTCGAGATGAGGCCCGATTCCCCTGCATTGACTCCAGAGCCATTCCCCGTTCCCCATTCAACACGACCGGTGGCTCGACTTCCTTCAGGCAACTCCAGAGATGCCCCGAGAACACTGTCCCAAGTCTAGAGGAACACCAACTTCAGCACAGCAACTCGAGGAATGCTCCGTGTACCCCAAATCGTCTCGAGATGAGAGCTGATTCCCTGGCTTAGGCTCAAGACGTATGCCAACTTCCCAGAAGCACCTCAGGAGGAGGCTTCTCTCAGCAATAGGTATGTGGGAGGGACCCCGAGTTTGCTGCCTCAAGGGGAATATACAGCGAGAAGCCCTAACTTGAAAGGAGGCCGGATTTCCTTGCAGTGGCTTGAATACAGGCTCGTCTTTCATCTCACAACATGAAGGGATGTTTGAATACCCTGTGGAGACCTTAGAGAAAGCCCTAGGTCCCTGCCTCATTTTCACGGAATGCCTCACATCCCGCTGACACCTCGAGAGGCACGCGGAGTTCATTGCTTCAAAAGGTGACGATGCCTGACTCCTCTTGAATACTGATAGGAATCCCAAAATCCCTGTGGCTACTGGAAAGGGTCCTTGGGTGCCCTGCTTCACCTCGAGAAGCGTCCCTTTTGCCCTGCCAGGCTTCGAAGAGATTCCTGAGGTGTCCCTCGTTACTAGACAGGAGTCCTGACGTCACTGAAGAAACTCGTGTTTTGAAGGGCCATCCCCGCCGTAAGTCGACAACATACCCCAGGTCCCCGCCGCAACTCGAGAAAAACCATGAGACTTCACCCTAGAGGCGAGATGAGGCCCCATTCCCCTGTAGTGCATGCAGAGCTATTCCGTGATCCCATTCAAACAAGTCAGGAGCTTCGACTTGCTTAATGGATCTCGAGACAGTCCCCAAGAACACTGTCACCAGTCTAGACGGACCCTGAGGTCACCCCAGCAACGCAAAGCAGCTCCATGTGCCCCAAATCAACTCGAGATGAGGCCCGTTTCCCCTGCATTGACTCCAGAGCCATTCCCCGTTCCCCATTCAACACGACCGGTGGCTCGACTTCCTTCAGGCAACTCCAAAGATGCGCTGAGAACACTGTCCCAAGTCTAGAGGAACACCAACTTCAGCACAGCAACTCGAGGAATGCTCCGTGTACCCCAAATCGTCTCGAGATGAGAGCTGATTCCCTGGCTTAGGCTCAAGACGTATGCCAACACCCCAGAAGCACCTCAGGAGGAGGCTTCTCTCAGCAATAGGTATGTGGGAGGGACCCCGAGTTTGCTGCCTCAAGTGGAATATACAGCGAGAAGCCCTAACTTGAAAGGAGGCCTGATTTCCTTGCAGTGGCTTGAATACAGGCTCGTCTTTCATCTGACAACATGAAGGGATGTCTGAATCCCCTGTGGAGACCTTAGAGAAAGCCCTAGGTCCCTGCCTCATTTTGACGGAATGCCTCACATCACGCTGACACCTCGAGAGGCAGGCGGAGTTCATTGCTTCAAAAGGTGACCATGCCTGACTCCTCTTGAATACTGACAGGAATCCCAAAATCCCTGTGGCTACTGGAAAGGGTCCTTGGGTGCCCTGCCTCACCTCGAGAAGCGTCCCTTTTGCCCTGCCAAGCCTCGAAGAGATTCCTGAGGTGTCCCTCGTTACTAGACAGGAGTCCTGACATCACTGAAGAAACTCGTGTTTTGAAGGGCCATCCCCGCCGTAAGTCGAGAACATACCCCAGGTCCCCGCCGCAACTCGAGAAAAACCATGAGACTTCCCCCTAGAGGCGAGATGAGGCCCCATTCCCCTGCAGTGCATGCAGAGCTATTCCGTGATCCCATTCAAACAAGTCAGGAGCTTCGACTTGCCTAATGGATCTCGAGACAGTCCCCAAGAACACTGTCACCAGTCTAGACGGACCCTGAGGTCACCCCAGCAACGCAAAGCAGCTCCATGTGCCCCAAATCAACTCGAGATGAGGCCCGATTCCCCTGCATTGTCTCCAGAGCCATTCCCCGTTCCCCATTCAACACGACCGGTGGCTCGACTTCCTTCAGGCAACTCCAGAGATGCCCCGAGAACACTGTCCCAAGTCTAGAGGAACACCAACTTCAGCACAGCAACTCGAGGAATGCTCCGTGTACCCCAAATCATCTCGACATGAGAGCTGATTCCCTGGCTTAGGCTCAAGACGTATGCCAACTTTCCAGAAGCAACTCAGGAGGAGGCTTCTCTCAGCAATAGGTATGTGGGAGGGACCCCGAGTTTGCTGCCTCAAGGGGAATATACAGCGAGAAGCCCTAACTTGAAAGGAGGCCGGATTTCCTTGCAGTGGCTTGAATACAGGCTCGTCTTTCATCTCACAACATGAAGGGATGTTTGAATCCCCTGGGGAGACCTTAGAGAAAGCCCTAGGTCCCTGCCTCATTTTGATGGAATGCCTCACATCCCGCTGACACCTCGAGAGGCACGCGGAGTTCATTGCTTCAAAAGGTGACGATGCCTGACTCCTCTTGAATACTGATACGAATCCCAAACTCGCTGTGACTACTGGAAAGGGTCCTTGGGTGCCCTGCCTCACCTCGAGAAGCGTCCCTTTTGCCCTGCCAACCCTCGAAGAGATTCCTGAGGTGTCCCTCATTACTAGACAGGAGTCCTGACATCACTGAAGAAACTCGTGTTTTGAAGGGCCATCCCCGCCGTAAGTCGTAAACATACCCCAGGTCCCCGCCGCAACTCGAGAAAAACCATGAGACTTCCCCGTAGAGGCGAGATGAGGCCCCATTCCCCTGTAGTGCATGCAGAGCTATTCCGTGATCCCATTCAAACAAGTCAGGAGCTTCGACTTGCTTAATGGATCTCGAGACAGTCCCCAAGAACACTGTCACCAGTCTAGACGCACCCTGAGGTCACCCCAGCAACGCAAAGCAGCTCCATGTGCCCCAAATCAACTCGAGATGAGACTCGATTCCCATGCATTGATTCCAGAGCCACTCCCCGTTCCCCATTCAACACGACCGGTGGTTCGACTTCCTTCAGGCAACTCCAGAGATGCCCCGAGAACACTGTCCCTAGTCTAGAGGAACACCAACGTCAGCACAGCAACTCGAGGAATACACCGTGTACCCCAAATCGTCTCGAGATGAGAGCTGATTCCCTGGCTTAGACTCAAGCCTTATGCCAACTTCCCAGAAGCACCTCAGGAGGAGGCTTCTCTCAGCAATAGGTATGTGGGAGGGACCCCGAGTTTGCTGCCTCAAGGGGAATATACAGCGAGAAGCCCTAACTTGAAAGGAGGCCGGATTTCCTTGCAGTGGCTTGAATACAGGCTCGTCTTTCATCTCACAACATGAAGGGATGTCTGAATCCCCTGTGGAGACCTTAGAGAAAGCCCTAGTTCCCTGCCTCATTTTGACAGAATGCCTCACATCCCGCTGACACCTCGAGATGCACTCGGAGTTCATTGCTTCAAAAGGTGAGGATGCCTGATTCCTCTAGAATACTGAGAGGAATCCCAAAATCCCTGTGGCTACTGGAAAGGGTCCTTTGGTGCCCTGCCTCACATCGAGAAGCGTCCCTTTTGCCCTGCCAAGCCTCGAAGAGATTCCTGAGGTGTCCCTCGTTACTAGATAGGAGTCCTGACGTCACTGAAGAAACTCGTGTTTTGAAGGGCCATCCCCACCGTAAGTCGAGTACATACCCCAGGTCCCCGTCGCAAGTTGAGAAAAGCCATGAGACTTGCCCCTAGAGGCGAGATGAGGCCCCATTCCCCTGCAATGCATGGAGAGCTATTCCGTGATCCCATTCAAACAAGTCAGGCGCTTCGACTTGCTTAATGGATCTCGAGACAGTCCCCAAGAACACTGTCACCAGTCTAGACGGACCCTGAGGTCACCCCAGCAACGCAAAGCAGCTCCATGTGCCCCAAATCAACTCGAGATGAGGCCCGATTCCCCTGCATTGACTCCAGATCCATTCCCCGTTCCCCATTCAACACGACCGGTGGCTCGACTTCCTTCAGGCAACTCCAGAGATGCCCCGAGAACACTGTCCCAAGTCTAGAGGAACACCAACTTCAGCACAGCAACTCGAGGAATGCTCCGTGTACCCCAAATCGTCTCGAGATGAGAGCTGATTCCCTGGCTTAGGCTCAAGACGTATGCCAACTTCCAGTAGCACCTCAGGAAGAGGCTTCTCTCAGCAATAGGTATGTGGGAGGGACCCCGAGTTTACTGCCTCAAGGGGAATATACAGCGAGAAGCCCTAACTTGAAAGGAGGCCGGATTTCCTTGCAGTGGCTTGAATACAGGCTCGTCTTTCATCTCACAACATGAAGGGATGTTTGAATCCCCTGTGGAGACCTTAGAGAAAGCCCTAGGTCCCTGCCTCATTTTCACGGAATGCCTCACATCCCGCTGACACCTCGAGAGGCACGCGCAGTTCATTGCTTCAAAAGGTGACGATGCCTGACTCCTCTTGAATACTGATACGAATCCCAAAATCCCTGTGGCTACTGGAAAGGGTCCTTGGGTGCCCTGCCTCACCTCGAGAAGCGTCCCTTTTGCCCTGCCAAGCCTCGTAGAGATTCCTGAGGTGTCCCTCCTTACTAGACAGGAGTCCTGACGTCACTGAAGAAACTCGTGTTTTGAAGGGCCATCCCCGCCGTAAGTCGAGAACATACCCCAGGTCCCCGCCGCAACTCGAGAAAAACCATGAGACTTCCCACTAGAGGCGAGACGAGGCCCCATTCCCCTGTAGTGCATGCAGAGCTATTCCGTGATCCCATTCAAACAAGTCAGGAGCTTCGACTTGCTTAATGGATCTCGAGACAGTCCCCAAGAACACTGTCACCAGTCTAGACGGACCCTGAGGTCACCCCAGCAACGCAAAGCAGCTCCATGTGCCCCAAATCAACTCGAGATGAGGCCCGATTCCGCTGCATTGACTCCAGATCCATTCCCCGTTTCCCATTCAACACGACCGGTGGCTCGACTTCCTTCAGGCAACTCCAGAGATGCCCCGAGAACACTGTCCCAAGTCTAGAGGAACACCAACTTCAGCACAGCAACTCGAGGAATGCTCCGTGTACCCCAAATCGTCTCGAGATGAGAGCTGATTCCCTGGCTTAGGCTCAAGACGTATGCCAACTTCCCAGAAGCACCTCAGGAGGAGGCTTCTCTCAGCAATAGTTATGTGGGAGGGACCCCGAGTTTGCTGCCTCAAGGGGAATATACAGCGAGAAGCCCTAACTTGAAAGGAGGCCGGATTTCCTTGCAGTGGCTTGAATACAGGCTCGTCTTTCATCTCACAACATGAAGGGATGTCTGAATCCCCTGTGGAGACCTTAGAGAAAGCCCTAGGTCCCTGCCTCATTTTGACGGAATGCCTCACATCCCGCTGACACCTCGAGAGGCACGCGGAGTTCATTGCTTCAAAAGGTGACGATGCCTGACTCCTCTTGAATACTGATAGGAATCCCAAAATCCCTGTGGCTGCTGGAAAGGGTCCTTGGGTGCCCTGCCTCACCTCCATAAGCGTCCCTTTTGCCCTGCCAAGCCTCGAAGAGATTCCTGAGGTGTCCCTCGTTACTAGACAGGAGTCCTGACATCACTGAAGAAACTCGTGTTTTGAAGGGCCATCCCCGCCGTAAGTCGACAACATACCCCAGGTCCCCGCCGCAACTCGAGAAAAACCATGAGACTTCCCCCTAGAGGCGAGATGAGGCCCCATTCCCCTGCAGTGCATGCAGAGCTATTCCGTGATCCCATTCAAACAAGTCAGGAGCTTCGACTTGCCTAATGGATCTCGAGAGAGTCCCCAAGAACACTGTCACCAGTCTAGACGGACACTGAGGTCACCCCAGCAACGCAAAGCAGCTCCATGTGCCCCAAATCAACTCGAGATGAGGCCCGATTCCCCTGCATTGTCTCCAGAGCCATTCCCCGTTCCCCATTCAACACGACCGGTGGCTCGACTTCCTTCAGGCAACTCCAGAGATGCCCCGAGAACACTGTCCCAAGTCTAGAGGAACACCAACTTCAGCACAGCAACTCGAGGAATGCTCCGTGTACCCCAAATCATCTCGACATGAGAGCTGATTCCCTGGCTTAGGCTCAAGACGTATGCCAACTTTCCAGAAGCAACTCAGGAGGAGGCTTCTCTCAGCAATAGGTATGTGGGAGGGACCCCGAGTTTGCTGCCTCAAGGGGAATATACAGCGAGAAGCCCTAACTTGAAAGGAGGCCGGATTTCCTTGCACTGGCTTGAATACAGGCTCGTCTTTCATCTCACAACATGAAGGGATGTTTGAATCCCCTGGGGAGACCTTAGAGAAAGCCCTAGGTCCCTGCCTCATTTTGATGGAATGCCTCACATCCCGCTGACACCTCGAGAGGCACGCGGAGTTCATTGCTTCAAAAGGTGACGATGCCTGACTCCTCTTGAATACTGATACGAATCCCAAACTCGCTGTGACTACTGGAAAGGGTCCTTGGGTGCCCTGCCTCACCTCGAGAAGCGTCCCTTTTGCCCTGCCAACCCTCGAAGAGATTCCTGAGGTGTCCCTCATTACTAGACAGGAGTCCTGACGTCACTGAAGAAACTCGTGTTTTGAAGGGCCATCCCCGCCGTAAGTCGTAAACATACCCCAGGTCCCCGCCGCAACTCGAGAAAAACCATGAGACTTCCCCGTAGAGGCGAGATGAGGCCCCATTCCCCTGTAGTGCATGCAGAGCTATTCCGTGATCCCATTCAAACAAGTCAGGAGCTTCGACTTGCTTAATGGATCTCGAGACAGTCCCCAAGAACACTGTCACCAGTCTAGACGCACCCTGAGGTCACCCCAGCAACGCAAAGCAGCTCCATGTGCCCCAAATCAACTCGAGATGAGACTCGATTCCCATGCATTGACTCCAGAGCCATTCCCCGTTCCCCATTCAACACGACCGGTGGTTCGACTTCCTTCAGGCAACTCCAGAGATGCCCCGAGAACACTGTCCCTAGTCTAGAGGAACACCAACGTCAGCACAGCAACTCGAGGAATACACCGTGTACCCCAAATCGTCTCGAGATGAGAGCTGATTCCCTGGCTTAGACTCAAGACGTATGCCAACTTCCCAGAAGCACCTCAGGAGGAGGCTTCTCTCAGCAATAGGTATGTGGGAGGGACCCCGAGTTTGCTGCCTCAAGGGGAATATACAGCGAGAAGCCCTAACTTGAAAGGAGGCCGGATTTCCTTGCAGTGGCTTGAATACAGGCTCGTCTTTCATCTCACAACATGAAGGGATGTCTGAATCCCCTGTGGAGACCTTAGAGAAAGCCCTAGTTCCCTGCCTCATTTTGACAGAATGCCTCACATCCCGCTGACACCTCGAGATGCCCTCGGAGTTCATTGCTTCAAAAGGTGAGGATGCCTGATTCCTCTAGAATACTGATAGGAATCCCAAAATCCCTGTGGCTACTGGAAAGGGTCCTTTGGTGCCCTGCCTCACATCGAGAAGCGTCCCTTTTGCCCTGCCAAGCCTCGAAGAGATTCCTGAGGTGTCCCTCGTTACTAGATAGGAGTCCTGACGTCACTGAAGAAACTCGTGTTTTGAAGGGCCATCCCCACCGTAAGTCGAGTACATACCCCAGGTCCCCGTCGCAAGTTGAGAAAAGCCATGAGACTTGCCCCTAGAGGCGAGATGAGGCCCCATTCCCCTGCAATGCATGCAGAGCTATTCCGTGATCCCATTCAAACAAGTCAGGCGCTTCGACTTGCTTAATGGATCTCGAGACAGTCCCCAAGAACACTGTCACCAGTCTAGACGGACCCTGTGGTCATCCCAGCAATGCAAAGCAGCTCCATGTGCCCCAAATCAACTCGAGATGAGGCCCGATTCCCCTGCATTGACTCCAGATCCATTCCCCGTTCCCCATTCAACACGACCGGTGGCTCGACTTCCTTCAGGCAACTCCAGAGATGCCCCGAGAACACTGTCCCAAGTCTAGAGGAACACCAACTTCAGCACAGCAACTCGAGGAATGCTCCGTGTACCCCAAATCGTCTCGAGATGAGAGCTGATTCCCTGGCTTAGGCTCAAGACGTATGCCAACTTCCAGTAGCACCTCAGGAGGAGGCTTCTCTCAGCAATAGGTATGTGGGAGGGACCCCGAGTTTACTGCCTCAAGGGGAATATACAGCGAGAAGCCCTAACTTGAAAGGAGGCCGGATTTCCTTGCAGTGGCTTGAATACAGGCTCGTCTTTCATCTCACAACATGAAGGGATGTTTGAATCCCCTGTGGAGACCTTAGAGAAAGCCCTAGGTCCCTGCCTCATTTTCACGGAATGCCTCACATCCCGCTGACACCTCGAGAGGCACGCGCAGTTCATTGCTTCAAAAGGTGACGATGCCTGACTCCTCTTGAATACTGATACGAATCCCAAAATCGCTGTGGCTACTGGAAAGGGTCCTTGGGTGCCCTGCCTCACCTCGAGAAGCGTCCCTTTTGCCCTGCCAAGCCTCGAAGAGATTCCTGAGGTGTCCCTCCTTACTAGACAGGAGTCCTGACGTCACTGAAGAAACTCGTGTTTTGAAGGGCCATCCCCGCCGTAAGTCGAGAACATACCCCAGGTCCCCGCCGCAACTCGAGAAAAACCATGAGACTTCCCCCTAGAGGCGAGACGAGGCCCCATTCCCCTGTAGTGCATGCAGAGCTATTCCGTGATCCCATTCAAACAAGTCAGGAGCTTCGACTTGCTTAATGGATCTCGAGACAGTCCCCAAGAACACTGTCACCATTCTAGACGGACCCTGAGGTCACCCCAGCAACGCAAAGCAGCTCCATGTGCCCCAAAACAACTCGAGATGAGGCCCGATTCCCCTGCATTGACTCCAGATCCATTCCCCGTTTCCCATTCAACACGACCGGTGGCTCGACTTCCTTCAGGCAACTCCAGAGATGCCCCGAGAACACTGTCCCAAGTCTAGAGGAACACCAACTTCAGCACAGCAACTCGAGCAATGCTCCGTGTACCCCAAATCGTCTCGAGATGAGAGCTGATACCCTGGCTTAGGCTCAAGACGTATGCCAACTTCCCAGAAGCACCTCAGGAGGAGGCTTCTCTCAGCAATAGGTATGTGGGAGGGACCATGAGTTTGCTGCCTCAAGGGGAATATACAGCGAGAAGCCCTAACTTGAAAGGAGTCCGAACTTCCTTGCAGTGGCTTGAATCCAGGCTCGTCTTTCATCTCACAACATGAAGGGATGTCTGAATCCCCTGTGGAGACCTTAGAGAAAGCCCTAGGTCCCTGCCTCATTTTGACGGAATGCCTCACATCCCGCTGACACCTCGAGAGGCACGCGGAGTTCATTGCTTCAAAAGGTGACGATGCCTGACTCCTCTTGAATACTGATAAGAATCCCAAATCCCTGTGGCTACTGGAAAGGGTCCTTGGGTGCCCTGCCTCACCTCAAGAAGCGTCCCTTTTGCCCTGCCAAGCCTCGAAAAGATTCCTGAGGTGTCCCTCGTTACTAGACAGGAGTCCTGACGTCACTGAAGAAACTCGTGTTTTGAAGGGCCATCCCCGCCGTAAGTCGAGAACATACCCCAGCTCCCCGTCGCAACTCGAGAAAAACCATGAGACTTCCCCCTAGAGGCGAGATGAGGACCCATTCCCCTGCAGTGCATGCAGAGCTATTCCGTGATCCCATTCAAACAAGTCAGGAGATTCGACTTGCTTAATGGATCTCGAGACAGTCCCCAAGAACACTGTCACCAGTCTAGACGCACCCTGAGGTCACCCCAGCAACGCATAGCAGCTTCATGTGCCCCAAATCAACTCGAGATGAGGCCCGATTCCCCTGCATTGACTCCAGGGCCATTCCCTGTTCCCCATTCAACACGACCGGTGGCTCGACTTCCTTCAGGCAACTCCAGAGATGCCCCGAGAACACTGTCCCAAGTCTAGAGTAACACCAACTACAGCACAGCAACTCGAGGAATGCTCCGTGTACCCCAAATCATCTCGAGATGAGAGCTGATTCCCTGGATTAGGTTCAAGACGTATGCCAACTTCCCAGAAGCACCTCAGGAGGAGGCTTCTCTCAGCAATAGGTATGTGGGAGGGACCCCGAGTTTGCTGCCTCAAGGGGAATATAGAGAGAGAAGCCCTAACTTGAAAGGAGGCCGGATTTCCTTGCAGTGGCTTGAATACAGGCTCGTCTTTCATCTCACAACATGAAGGGATGTCTGAATCCCCTGTGGAGACCTTAGAGAAAGCCCTAGGTCCCTGCCTCATTTTGACAGAATGCCTCACATCCCGCTGACACCTCAAGAGGCTCGCCGAGTTCATTGCTTCAAAAGGTGACGATGCCTGACTCCTCTTGAATACTGATAGGAATCCCAAAATCCCTGTGGCTACTGCAAAGGGTCCTTGGTTGCCCTGCCTCACCTCGAGAAGCGTCCCTTTTGCCCTGCCAGGCCTCGAAGAGATTCCTGAGGTGTCCCTCGTTACTAGACAGGAGTCCTGACGTCACTGAAGAAACTCGTGTTTTGAAGGCCCATCCCCGCCGTAAGTCGAGAACATACCCCAGGTCCCCGCCGCAACTCGAGAAAAACCATGAGACTTCCCCCTAGAGGCGAGATGAGGCCCCATTCCCCTGTAGTGCATGCAGAGCTATTCCGTGATCCCATTCAAACAAGTCAGGAGCTTCGACTTGCTTAATGGATCTCGAGACAGTCCCCAAGAACACTGTCACCAGTCTAGACGGACCCTGAGGTCAACCCAGCAACGCAAAGCAGCTCCATGTGCCCCAAATCAACTCGAGATGAGGCCCGATTCCCCTGCATTGACTCCAGAGCCATTCCCCATTCCCCATTCAACACGACCGGTGGCTCGACTTCCTTCAGGCAACTCCAGAGATGCCCAGAGAACACTGTCCCAAGTCTAGAGGAACACCAACTTCAGCACAGCAACTCGCAGAATGCTCCGTGTACCCCAAATCGTCTCGAGATGAGAGCTGATTCCCTGGCTTAGACTCAAGCCTTATGCCAACTTCCCAGAAGCACCTCAGGAGGAGGCTTCTCTCAGCAATAGGTATGTGGGAGGGACCCCGAGTTTGCTGCCTCTAGGGGAATATACAGCGAGAAGCCCTAACTTGAAAGGAGGCCGGATTTCCTTGCAGTGGCTTGAATACAGGCTCGTCTTTCATCTCACAACATGAAGGGATGTCTGAATCCCCTGTGGAGACCTTAGAGAAAGCCCTAGGTCCCTGCCTCATTTTGACAGAATGCCTCACATCCCGCTGACACCTCGAGATGCACTCGGAGTTCATTGCTTCAAAAGGTGAGGATGCCTGATTCCTCTAGAATACTGATAGGAATCCCAAAATCCCTGTGGCTACTGGAAAGGGTCCTTTGGTGCCCTGCCTCACCTCGAGAAGCGTCCCTTTTGCCCTGCCAAGCCTCGAAGAGATTCCTGAGGTGTCCCTCGTTACTAGACAGGAGTCCTGACGTCACTGAAGAAACTCGTGTTTTGAAGGGCCATCCCCGCCGTAAGTCGAGAACATACCCCAGGTCCCTGCCACAACTCGAGAAAAACCATGAGACTTCCCCCTAGAGGCGAGATGAGGCCCCATTCCCCTGCAGTGCATGCAGAGCTATTCCGTGATCCCATTCAAACAAGTCAGGAGCTTCGACTTGCTTAATGGATCTCGAGACAGTCCCCAAGAACACTGTCACCAGTCCAGACGGACCCTGAGGTCACCCCAGCAACGCAAAGCAGCTTCATGTGCCCCAGATCAACTCGAGATGAGGCCCGATTCCCCTGCATTGGCTCCAGAGCCATTCCTCATTCCCCATTCAACATGACCGGTGGCTCGACTTCCTTCAGGCAACTCCAGAGATGCCCCGAGAACACTGTCCCAAATCTAGAGGAACACCAACTTCAGCACAGCAACTCGCAGAATGCTCCGTGTACCCCAAATCGTCTCGAGATGAGAGCTGATTCCCTGGCTTAGGCTCAAGACGTATGCCAACTTCCCAGAAGCACCTCAGGAGGAGGCTTCTCTCAGCAATAGGTATGTGGGAGGGACCCCGAGTTTGCTGCCTCAAGGGGAATATACAGCGAGAAGCCCTAACTTGAAAGGAGGCCGGATTTCCATGCAGGGGCTTGAATACAGGCTCGTCTTTCATCTCACAACATGAAGGGATGTTTGAATCGCCTGTGGAGACCTTAGAGAAAGCCCTAGGTCCCAGCCTCATTTTCACGGAATGCCTCACATCCCGCTGACACCTCGAGAGGCACGCGGAGTTCATTGCTTCAAAAGGTGACGATGCCTGACTCCTCTTGAATACTGATACGAATCCCAAAATCGCTGTGGCTACTGGAAAGGGTCCTTTGGTGACCTGCCTCACCTCGAGAAGCGTCCCTTTTGCCCTGCCAAGCCTCGAAGAGATTCCTGAGGTGTCCCTCGTTACTAGACAGGAGTCCTGACGTCACTGAAGAAACTCGTGTTTTGAAGGGCCATCCCCGCCGTAAGTTGAGAACATACCCCAGGTCCCGGCCGCAACTCGAGAAAAACCATGAGACTTCCCCCTAGAGGCGAGATGAGGCCCCATTCCCCTGTAGTGCATGCAGAGCTATTCCGTGATCCCATTCAAACAAGTCAGGAGCTTCAACTTGCTTAATGGATCTCGAGACAGTCCCCAAGAACACTGTCACCAGTCTAGACGGACCCTGAGGTCACCCCAGCAACGCAAAGCAGCTCCATGTGCCCCAAATCAACTCGAGATGAGGCCCGATTCCCCTGCATTGACTCCAGATCCATTCCCCGTTCCCCATTCAACACGACCGGTGGCTCGACTTCCTTCAGGCAACTCCAGAGATGCCCCGAGAACACTGTCCCAAGTCTAGAGGAACACCAACTTCAGCACAGCAACTCGAGCAATGCTCCGTGTACCCCAAATCGTCTCGAGATGAGAGCTGATTCCCTGGCTTAGGCTCAAGACGTATGCCAACTTCCCAGAAGCACCTCAGGAGAAGGCTACTCTCAGCAATAGGTATGTGGGAGGGACCCCGAGTTTGCTGCCTCAAGGGGAATATACAGCGAGAAGCCCTAACTTGAAAGCAGGCCGGATTTCCTTGCAGTGGCTTGAATACAGGCTCGTCTTTCATCTCACAACATGAAGGGATGTCTGAATCCCCTGTGGAGACCTTAGAGAAAGCCCTAGGTCCCTGCCTCATTTTGACGGAATGCCTCACATCCCGCTGACACCTCGAGAGGCACGCGGAGTTCATTGCTTCAAAAGGTGACGATGCCTGACTCCTCTTGAATACTGATAGGAATCCCAAAATCCCTGTGGCTGCTGGAAAGGGTCCTTGGGTGCCCTGCCTCACCTCGAGAAGCGTCCCTTTTGCCCTGCCAAGCCTCGAAGAGATTCCTGAAGTGTCCCTCGTTACTAGACAGGAGTCCTGACGTCACTGAAGAAACTCGTGTTTTGAAGGCTCATCCCCGCCGTAAGTCGAGAACATACCCCAGGTCCCCGCCGCAACTCGAGAAAAACCATGAGACTTCCCCCTAGAGGCGAGATGAGGCCCCATTCCCCTGTAGTGCATGCAGAGCTATTCCGTGATCCCATTCAAACAAGTCAGGAGCTTCGACTTGCTTAATGGATCTCGAGACAGTCACCAAGAACACTGTCACCAGTCTAGACGGACCCTGAGGTCAACCCAGCAACGCAAAGCAGCTCCATGTGCCCCAAATCAACTCGAGATGAGGCCCGATTCCCCTGCATTGACACCAGAGCCATTCCCCGTTCCCCATTCAACACGAACGGTGGCTCGACTTCCTTCAGGCAACTCCAGAGATGCCCTGAGAACACTGTCCCAAGTCTAGAGGAACACCAACTTCAGCACAGCAACTCGAGAAATGCTCCGTGTACCCCAAATCGTCTCGAGATGAGAGCTGATTCCCTGGCTTAGGCTCAAGACCTATGCCAACTCCCCAGAAGCACCTCAGGAGGAGGCTTCTCTCAGCAATAGGTATGTGGGAGGGACCCCGAGTGTGCTGCCTCAAGGGGAATATACAGCGAGAAGCCCTAACTTGAAAGGAGGCCGAATTTCCTTGCAGTGGCTTGAATACAGGCTCGTCTTTCATCTCACAACATGAAGGGATGTCTGAATGCCCTGTGGAGACCTTAGAGAAAGCCCTAGGTCCCTGCCTCATTTTGACGGAATGCCTCACATCCCGCTGACACCTCGAGAGGCACGCGGAGTTCATTGCTTCAAAAGGTGACTATGCCTGACTCCTCTTGAATACTGATAGGAATCCCAAAATCCCTGTGGCTACTGGAAAGGGTCCTTGGGTGCCCTGCCTCACCTCGAGAAGCGTCCCTTTTGCCCTGCCAAGCCTCGAAGAGATTCCTGAGGTGTCCCTCGTTACTAGACAGGAGTCCTGATGTCACGGAAGAAACTCGTGTTTTGAAGGGCCATCCCCCCCGTAAGTCAAGAACATACCCCAGGTCCCTGCCACAACTCGAGAAAAACCATGAGACTTCCCCCTAGAGGCGAGATGAGGCCCCATTCCCCTGCAGTGCATGCAGAGCTATTCCGTGATCCCATTCAAACAAGTCAGGAGCTTCGACTTGCTTAATGGATCTCGAGACAGTCCCCAAGAACACTGTCACCAGTCCAGACGGACCCTGAGGTCACCCCAGCAACGCAAAGCAGCTTCATGTGCCCCAGATCAACTCGAGATGAGGCCCGATTCCCCTGCATTGACTCCAGAGCCATTCCGCGTTCCCCATTCAACACGACCGGTGGCTCGACTTCCTTCAGGCAACTCCAGAGATGCCCCGAGAACACTGTCCCAAGTCTAGAGGAACACCAACTTCAGCACAGCAACTCGCAGAATGCTCCGTGTACCCCAAATCGTCTCGAGATGAGAGCTGATTCCCTGGCTTAGGCTCAAGACGTATGCCAACTTCCCAGTAGCACCTCAGGAGGAGGCTTCTCTCAGCAATAGGTATGTGGGAGTGACCCCGAGTTTGCTGCCTCAAGGGGAATATACAGCGAGAAGCCCTAACTTGAAAGGAGGCCGGATTTCCTTGCTGTGGCTTGAATACAGGCTCGTCTTTCATCTCACAACATGAAGGGATGTTTGAATCCCCTGTGGAGACCTTAGAGAAAGCCCTAGGTCCCTGCCTCATTTTCACGGAATGCCTCACATCCCGCTGACACCTCGAGAGGCACGTGGAGTTCATTGCTTCAAAAGGTGACGATGCCTGACTCCTCTTGAATACTGATACGAATCCCAAAATCGCTGTGGCTACTGGAAAGGGTCCTTGGGTGCCCTGCCTCACCTCGAGAAGCGTCCCTTTTGCCCTGCCATGCTTCGAAGAGATTCCTGAGGTGTCCCTCGTTACTAGACAGGAGTCCTGACGTCACTGAAGAAACTCGTGTTTTGAAGGGCCATCCCCGCCGTAAGTCGAGAACATACCCCAGGTCCCCGCCGCAACTCGAGAAAAACCATGAGACTTCCCCCTAGAGGCGAGATGAGGCCCCATTCCCCTGCAGTGCATGCAGAGCTATTCCGTGATCCCATTCAAACAAGTCAGGAGCTTCGACTTGCTTAATGGATCTCGAGACAGTCCCCAAGAACACTGTCACCAGTCTAGACGGACACTGAGGTCACCCCAGCAACGCAAAGCAGCTCCATGTGCCCCAAATCAACTCGAGATGAGGCCCGATTCCCCTGCATTGACTCCAGATCCATTCCCCGTTCCCCATTCAACACCACCGGTGGCTCGACTTCCTTCAGGCAACTCCTGAGATGCCCCGAGAACACTGTCCCAAGTCTAGAGGAACACCAACTTCAGCACAGCAACCCGAGGAATGCTCCGTGTACCCCAAATCGTCTCGAGATGAGAGCTGATTCCCTGGCTTAGGCTCAAGACGTATGCCAACTTCCCAGAAGCACCTCAGGAGGAGGCTTCTCTCAGAAATATGTATGTGGGAGGGACCCCGAGTTTGCTGCCTCAAGGGGAATATACAGCGAGAAGCCCTAACTTGAAAGGAGGCCGGATTTCCTTGCAGTGGCTTGAATACAGGCTCGTCTTTCATCTCACAACATGAAGGGTGTCTGAATCCCCTGTGGAGACCTTAGAGAAAGCCCTAGGTCCCTGCCTCATTTTGACAGAATGCCTCACATCCCGCTGACACCTCGAGATGCACGCGGAGTTCATTGCTTCAAAAGGTGAGGATGCCTGATTCCTCTTGAATATTGATAAGAATCCCAAATCCCTGTGGCTACTGGAAAGGGTCCTTGGGTGCCCTGCCTCACCTCAAGAAGCGTCCCTTTTGCCCTGCCAAGCCTCGAAAAGATTCCTGAGGTGTCCCTCGTTACTAGACAGGAGTCCTAACGTCACTGAAGTAACTCGTGTTTTGAAGGGCCATCCCCGCCGTAAGTCGAGAACATACCCCAGCTCCCCGTCGCAACTCGAGAAAAACCATGAGACTTCCCCCTAGAGGCGAGATGAGGCCCCATTCCCCTGCAGTGCATGCAGAGCTATTCCGTGATCCCATTCAAACAAGTCAGGAGATTCGACTTGCTTAATGGATCTCGAGACAGTCCCCAAGAACACTGTCACCAGTCTAGACGGACCCTGAGGTCACCCCAGCAACGCAAAGCAGCTTCATGTGCCCCAAATCAACTCGAGATGAGGCCCGATTCCCCTGCATTGACTCCAGGGCCATTCCCCGTTCCGCATTCAACACGACCGGTGGCTCGACTTCCTTCAGGCAACTCCAGAGATGCCCCGAGAACACTGTCCCAAGTCTAGAGTAATACCAACTACAGCACAGCAACTCGAGGAATGCTCCGTGTACCCCAAATCGTCTCGAGATGAGAGCTGATTCCCTGGCTTAGGTTCAAGACGTATGCCAACTTCCCAGAAGCACCTCAGGAGGAGGCTTCTCTCAGCAATAGGTATGTGGGAGGTACCCCGAGTTTGCTGCCTCAAGGGGAATATACAGCGAGAAGCCCTAACTTGAAAGGAGGCCGGATTTCCTTGCAGTGGCTTGAATACAGGCTCGTCTTTCATCTCACAACATGAAGGGATGTCTGAATGCCCTGTGGAGACCTTAGAGAAAGCCCTAGGTCCCTGCCTTATTTTGACGGAATGCCTCACATCACGCTGACACCTCGAGAGGCACGCGGAGTTCATTGCTTCAAAAGGTGACGATGCCTGACTCCTCTTGAATACTGATAGGAATCCCAAAATCCCTGTGGCTACTGGAAAGTGTCCTTGGGTGCCCTGCCTCACCTCGAGAAGCGTCCCTTTTGCCCTGCCAAGCCTCGAAGAGATTCCTGAGTTGTCCCTCGTTACTAGACAGGAGTCCTGACGTCACTGAAGAAACTCGTGTTTTGAAGGGCCATCCCCGCTGTAAGTCGAGAACATACCCCAGGTCCCCGCCGCAAGTCGAGAAAAACCATGAGACTTCCCCCTAGAGGCGAGATGAGGCCCCATTCCCCTGTAGTGCATGCAGAGCTATTCCGTGATCCCATTCAAACAAGTCAGGAGCTTCGACTTGCTTAATGGATCTCGAGACAGTCCCCAAGCACACTGTCACCAGTCTAGACGGACCCTGAGGTCACCGCAGCAATGCAAAGCAGCTCCATGTGCCCCAAATCAACTCGAGATGAGGCCCGATTCCCATGCATTGACTCCAGAGCCATTCCCCATTCCCCATTCAACACGACCGGTGGCTCGACTTCCTTCAGGCAACTCCAGAGATGCCCCGAGAACACTGTCCCAAGTCTAGAGGAACACCAACTTCAGCACAGCAACTCGCAGAATGCTCCGTGTACCCCAAATCGTCTCGAGATGAGAGCTGATTCCCTGGCTTAGGCTCAAGACGTATGCCAACTTTCCAGAAGCATCTCAGGAGGAGGCTTCTCTCAGCAATAGGTATGTGGGAGGGACCCCGAGTTTGCTGCCTCAAGGGGAATATACAGCGAGAAGCCCTAACTTGAAAGGAGGCCGGATTTCCTTGCAGTGGCTTGAATACAGGCTCGTCTTTCATCTCACAATATGGAGGAATGTCTGAATCCCCTGTGTAGACCTTAGAGAAAGCCCTAGGTCCCTGCCTCATTTTGACGGAATGCCTCACATCACGCTGACACCTCGAGAGGCACGCGGAGTTCATTGCTTCAAAAGGTGACGATGCCTGACTCCTCTTGAATACTGATAGGAATCCGAAAATCACTGTGGCTACTGGAAAGGGTCCTTGGGTGCCCTGCCTCACCTCGAGAAGCGTCCCTTTTGCCCTGCCAAGCCTCGAAGAGATTCCTGAGGTGTCCCTCGTTACTAGACAGGAGTCCTGACGTCACTGAAGAAACTGGTGTTTTGAAGGGCCATCCCCGCCGTAAGTCGAGAACATACCCTAGGTTCCCGCCGCAACTCGAGAAGAACCATGAGACTTCCCCCTAGAGGCGAGATGAGGCCCCATTCCCCTGCAGTGCATGCAGAGCTATTCCGTGATCCCATTCAAACAAGTCAGGAGCTTCGACTTGCTTAATGGATCTCGAGACAGTCCCCAAGAACACTGTCACCAGTCCAGACGGACCCTGAGGTCACACCAGCACCGCAAAGCAGCTCCATGTGCCCCAAATCAACTCGAGATGAGGCCCGATTCCCCTGCATTGACTCCAGAGCCATTCCCCGTTCCCCATTCAACACGACCGATGGCTCGACTTCCTTCAGGCAACTCCAGAGATGCCCCGAGAACACTGTCCCAAGTCTAGAGGAACACCAACTTCAGCACAGCAACTCGAGGAATGCTCCGTGTACCCCAAATCGTCTCGAGTTGAGAGCTGATACCCTGGCTTAGGCTCAAGACGTATGCCAACTTCCCAGAAGCACCTCAGGAGGAGGCTTCTCTCAGCAATAGGTATGTGGGAGGGACCATGAGTTTGCTGCCTCAAGGGGAATATACAGCGAGAAGCCCTAACTTGAAAGGAGTCCGAACTTCCTTGCAGTGGCTTGAATCCAGGCTCGTCTTTCATCTCACAACATGAAGGGATGTCTGAATCCCCTGTGGAGACCTTAGAGAAAGCCCTAGGTCCCTGCCTCATTTTGACGGAATGCCTCACATCCCGCTGACACCTCGAGAGGCACGCGGAGTTCATTGCTTCAAAAGGTGACGATGCCTGACTCCTCTTGAATACTAATAGGAATCCCAAAATCCCTGTGGCTACTGGAAAGGGTCCTTGGGTGCCCTGCCTCACCTCAAGAAGCGTCCCTTTTGCCCTGCCAAGCCTCGAAAAGATTCCTGAGGTGTCCCTCGTTACTAGACAGGAGTCCTGACGTCACTGAAGAAACTCGTGTTTTGAAGGGCCATCCCCGCCGTAAGTCGAGAACATACCCCAGCTCCCCGTCGCAACTCGAGAAAAACCATGAGACTTCCCCCTAGAGGCGAGATGAGGACCCATTCCCCTGCAGTGCATGCAGAGCTATTCCGTGATCCCATTCAAACAAGTCAGGAGATTCGACTTGCTTAATGGATCTCGAGACAGTCCCCAAGAACACTGTCACCAGTCTAGACGCACCCTGAGGTCACCCCAGCAACGTATAGCAGCTTCATGTGCCCCAAATCAACTCGAGATGAGGCCCGATTCCCCTGCATTGACTCCAGGGCCATTCCCTGTCCCCATTCAACACGACCGGTGGCTCGACTTCCTTCAGGCAACTCCAGAGATGCCCCGAGAACACTGTCCCAAGTCTAGAGTAACACCAACTACAGCACAGCAACTCGAGGAATGCTCCGTGTACCCCAAATCATCTCGAGATGAGAGCTGATTCCCTGGATTAGGTTCAAGACGTATGCCAACTTCCCAGAAGCACCTCAGGAGGAGGCTTCTCTCAGCAATAGGTATGTGGGAGGGACCCCGAGTTTGCTGCCTCAAGGGGAATATAGAGAGAGAAGCCCTAACTTGAAAGGAGGCCGGATTTCCTTGCAGTGGCTTGAATACAGGCTCGTCTTTCATCTCACAACATGAAGGGATGTCTGAATCCCCTGTGGAGACCTTAGAGAAAGCCCTAGGTCCCTGCCTCATTTTGACAGAATGCCTCACATCCCGCTGACACCTCAAGAGGCTCGCCGAGTTCATTGCTTCAAAAGGTGACGATGCCTGACTCCTCTTGAATACTGATAGGAATCCCAAAATCCCTGTGGCTACTGGAAAGGGTCCTTGGTTGCCCTGCCTCACCTCGAGAAGCGTCCCTTTTGCCCTGCCAGGCCTCGAAGAGATTCCTGAGGTGTCCCTCGTTACTAGACAGGAGTCCTGACGTCACTGAAGAAACTCGTGTTTTGAAGGCCCATCCCCGCCGTAAGTCGAGAACATACCCCAGGTCCCCGCCGCAACTCGAGAAAAACCATGAGACTTCCCCCTAGAGGCGAGATGAGGCCCCATTCCCCTGCAGTGCATGCAGAGCTATTCCGTGATCCCATTCAAACAAGTCAGGAGCTTCGACTTGCTTAATGGATCTCGAGACAGTCCCCAAGAACACTGTCACCAGTCTAGACGGACCCTGAGGTCACCCCAGCAACGCAAAGCAGCTCCATGTGCCCCAAATCAACTCGAGATGAGGCCCGATTCCCCTGCATTGACTCCAGAGCCATTCCCCATTCCCCATTCAACACGACCGGTGGCTCGACTTCCTTCAGGCAACTCCAGAGATGCCCAGAGAACACTGTCCCAAGTCTAGAGGAACACCAACTTCAGCACAGCAACTCGCAGAATGCTCCGTGTACCCCAAATCGTCTCGAGATGAGAGCTGATTCCCTGGCTTAGGCTCAAGACGTATGCCAACTTTCCAGAAGCACCTCAGGAGGAGGCTTCTCTCAGCAATAGGTATGTGGGAGGGACCCCGAGTTTGCTGCCTCAAGGGGAATATACCGCGAGAAGACCTAACTTGAAAAGGAGGCCGGATTTCCATGCAGGGGCTTGAATACAGGCTCGTCTTTCATCTCACAATATGGAGGAATGTCTGAATCCCCTGTGTAGACCTTAGAGAAAGCCCTAGGTCCCTGCCTCATTTTGACGGAATGCCTCACATCCCGCTGACACCTCGAGAGGCACGCGGAGTTCATTGCTTCAAAAGGTGACGATGCCTGACTCCTCTTGAATACTGATAGGAATCCCAAAATCACTGTGGCTACTGGAAAGGGTCCTTGGGTGCCCTGCCTCACCTCGAGAAGCGTCCCTTTTGCCCTGCCAAGCCTTGAAGAGATTCCTGAGGTGTCCCTCGTTACTAGACAGGAGTCCTGACGTCACTGAAGAAACTCGTGTTTTGAAGGGCCATCCCCGCCGTAAGTCGAGAACATACCCCAGGTCCCCGCCGCAACTCGAGAAGAACCATGAGACTTCCCCCTAGAGGCGAGATGAGGCCCCATTCCCCTGCAGTACATGCAGAGCTATTCCGTGATCCCATTCAAACAAGTCAGGAGCTTCGACTTGCTTAATGGATCTCGAGAGAGTCCCCAAGAACACTGTCACCAGTCCAGACGGACCCTGAGGTCACCCCAGCAACGCAAAGCAGCTCCATGTGCCCCTAATCAACTCGAGATTAGGCCCGATTCCCCTGCATTGACTCCAGAGCCATTCCCCGTTCCCCATTCAACACGACCGGTGGCTCGACTTCCTTCAGGCAACTCCAGAGATGCCCCGAGAACACTGTCCCAAGTCTAGAGGAACACCAACTTCAGCACAGCAACTCGAGGAATGCTCCGTGTACCCCAAATCGTCTCGAGATGAGAGCTGATTCCCTGGCTTAGGCTCAAGACGTATGCCAACTTCCCAGAAGCACCTCAGGAGGAGGCTTCTCTCAGCAATAGGTATGTGGGAGGGACCATGAATTTGCTGCCTCAAGGGGAATATACAGCGAGAAGCCCTAACTTGAAAGGAGTCCGAATTTCCTTGTAGTGGCTTGAATACAGGCTCGTCTTTCATCTCACAACATGAAGGGATGTCTGAATCCCCTGTGGAGACCTTAGAGAAAGCCCTAGGTCCCTGCCTCATTTTGATGGAATGCCTCACATCCCGCTGACACCTCGAGAGGCACGCGGAGTTCATTGCTTCAAAAATGACGATGCCTGACGCCTCTTGAATATTGATAGGAATCCCAAAATCCCTGTGGCTACTGGAAAGGGTCCTTGGGTGCCCTGCCTCACCTCGAGAAGCGTCCCTTTTGCCCTGCCAGGCCTCGAAGGGATTCCTGAGGTGTCCCTCGTTACTAGACAGGAGTCCTGACGTCACTGAATAAACTCGTGTTTTGAAGGCCCATCCCCGCCGTAAGTGGAGAACATACCCCAGGTCCCCGCCGCAACTCGAGAAAAACCATGAGACTTCCCCCTAGAGGCGAGATGAGGCCCCATACCCCTGCAGTGCATGCAGAGCTATTCCGTGATCCCATTCAAACAAGTCAGGAGCTTCGACTTGCTTAATGGATCTCGAGACAGTCCCCAAGAACACTGTCACCAGTCTAGACGGACCCTGAGGTCACCCCAGCAACGCAAAGCAGCTCCATGTGCCCCAAATCAACTCGAGATGAGGCCCGTTTCCCCTGCTTTGACTCCAGAGCCATTCCCCGTTCCCCATTCAACACGACCGGTGGCTCGACTTCCTTCAGGCAACTCCAGAGATGCCCTGAGAACACTGTCCCAAGTCTAGAGGAACACCAACTTCAGCACAGCAACTCGAGGAATGCTCCGTGTACCCCAAATCGTCTCGAGATGAGAGCTGATTCCCTGGCTTAGGCTCAAGACGTATGCCAACTCCGCAGAAGTACCTCAGGAGGAGGCTTCTCTCAGCAATAGGTATGTGGGAGGGACCACGAGTTTGCTGCCTCAAGGGGAATATACAGCGAGAAGCCCTAACTTGAAAGGAGGCCGGATTTCCTTGCAGTGGCTTGAATACAGGCTCGTCTTTCATCTCACAACATGAAGGGATGTCCGAATGCCCTGTGGAGTCCTTAGAGAAAGCCCTAGGTCCCTGCCTCATTTTGACGGAATGCCTCACATCCCGCTGACACCTCGAGAGGCACGCGGAGTTCATTGCTTCAAAAGGTGACGATGCCTGACTCCTCTTGAATACTGATAGGAATCCCAAAATCCCTGTGGCTACTGGAAAGGGTCCTTGGGTGCCCTGCCTCACCTCGAGAAGCGTCCCTTTTGCCCTGCCAAGCCTCGAAGAGATTCCTGAGGTGTCCCTCGTTACTAGACAGGAGTCCTGACGTCACTGAAGAAACTCGTGTTTTGAAGGGCCATCCCCGCCGTAAGTCGATAACGTACCCCAGGTCACTGCTGCAACTCGAGGAAAACCATGAGACTTCCCCCTAGAGGCGAGATGAGGCCCCATTCCCCTGCAGTGCATGCAGAGCTATTCCGTGATCCCATTCAAACAAGTCAGGAGCTTCGACTTGCTTAATGGATCTCGAGACAGTCCCCAAGAACACTGTCACCAGTCTAGACGGACCCTGAGGTCACCCCAGCAACGCAAAGCAGCTCCATGTGCCCCAAATCAACTCGAGATGAGGCCCGATTCCCCTGCATTGACTCCAGAGCAATTCCCCGTTCCCCATTCAACACGACCGGTGGCTCGACTTCCTTCAGGCAACTCCAGAGATGCCCCGAGAACACTGTCCCAAGTCTAGAGGAACACCAACTTCAGCACAGCAATTCGAAGAATGCTCCGTGTACCCCAAATCGTCTCGAGATGAGAGCTGATTCCCTGGCTTAGGCTCAAGACGTATGCCAACTTTCCAGAAGCACCTCAGGAGGAGGCTTCTCTCAGCAATAGGTATGTGGGAGGGACCCCGAGTTTGCTGCCTCAAGGGGAATATACCGCGAGAAGACCTAACTTGAAAAGGAGGCCGGATTTCCATGCAGGGGCTTGAATACAGGCTCGTCTTTCATCTCACAATATGGAGGAATGTCTGAATCCCCTGTGTAGACCTTAGAGAAAGCCCTAGGTCCCTGCCTCATTTTGACGGAATGCCTCACATCCCGCTGACACCTCGAGAGGCACGCGGAGTTCATTGCTTCAAAAGGTGACGATGCCTGACTCCTCTTGAATACTGATAGGAATCCCAAAATCACTGTGGCTACTGGAAAGGGTCCTTGGGTGCCCTGCCTCACCTCGAGAAGCGTCCCGTTTGCCCTGCCAAGCCTTGAAGAGATTCCTGAGGTGTCCCTCGTTACTAGACAGGAGTCCTGACGTCACTGAAGAAACTCGTGTTTTGAAGGGCCATCCCCGCCGTAAGTCGAGAACATACCCCAGGTCCCCGCCGCAACTCGAGAAGAACCATGAGACTTCCCCCTAGAGGCGAGATGAGGCCCCATTCCCCTGCAGTACATGCAGAGCTATTCCGTGATCCCATTCAAACAAGTCAGGAGCTTCGACTTGCTTAATGGATCTCGAGAGAGTCCCCAAGAACACTGTCACCAGTCCAGACGGACCCTGAGGTCACCCCAGCAACGCAAAGCAGCTCCATGTGCCCCTAATCAACTCGAGATTAGGCCCGATTCCCCTGCATTGACTCCAGAGCCATTCCCCGTTCCCCATTCAACACGACCGGTGGCTCGACTTCCTTCAGGCAACTCCAGAGATGCCCCGAGAACACTGTCCCAAGTCTAGAGGAACACCAACTTCAGCACAGCAACTCGAGGAATGCTCCGTGTACCCCAAATCGTCTCGAGATGAGAGCTGATTCCCTGGCTTAGGCTCAAGACGTATGCCAACTTCCCAGAAGCACCTCAGGAGGAGGCTTCTCTCAGCAATAGGTATGTGGGAGGGACCATGAATTTGCTGCCTCAAGGGGAATATACAGCGAGAAGCCCTAACTTGAAAGGAGTCCGAATTTCCTTGTAGTGGCTTGAATACAGGCTCGTCTTTCATCTCACAACATGAAGGGATGTCTGAATCCCCTGTGGAGACCTTAGAGAAAGCCCTAGGTCCCTGCCTCATTTTGATGGAATGCCTCACATCCCGCTGACACCTCGAGAGGCACGCGGAGTTCATTGCTTCAAAAATGACGATGCCTGACGCCTCTTGAATATTGATAGGAATCCCAAAATCCCTGTGGCTACTGGAAAGGGTCCTTGGGTGCCCTGCCTCACCTCGAGAAGCGTCCCTTTTGCCCTGCCAGGCCTCGAAGGGATTCCTGAGGTGTCCCTCGTTACTAGACAGGAGTCCTGACGTCACTGAATAAACTCGTGTTTTGAAGGCCCATCCCCGCCGTCAGTGGAGAACATACCCCAGGTCCCCGCCGCAACTCGAGAAAAACCATGAGACTTCCCCCTAGAGGCGAGATGAGGCCCCATACCCCTGCAGTGCATGCAGAGCTATTCCGTGATCCCATTCAAACAAGTCAGGAGCTTCGACTTGCTTAATGGATCTCGAGACAGTCCCCAAGAACACTGTCACCAGTCTAGACGGACCCTGAGGTCACCCCAGCAACGCAAAGCAGCTCCATGTGCCCCAAATCAACTCGAGATGAGGCCCGTTTCCCCTGCTTTGACTCCAGAGCCATTCCCCGTTCCCCATTCAACACGACCGGTGGCTCGACTTCCTTCAGGCAACTCCAGAGATGCCCTGAGAACACTGTCCCAAGTCTAGAGGAACACCAACTTCAGCACAGCAACTCGAGGAATGCTCCGTGTACCCCAAATCGTCTCGAGATGAGAGCTGATTCCCTGGCTTAGGCTCAAGACGTATGCCAACTCCGCAGAAGTACCTCAGGAGGAGGCTTCTCTCAGCAATAGGTATGTGGGAGGGACCACGAGTTTGCTGCCTCAAGGGGAATATACAGCGAGAAGCCCTAACTTGAAAGGAGGCCGGATTTCCTTGCAGTGGCTTGAATACAGGCTCGTCTTTCATCTCACAACATGAAGGGATGTCCGAATGCCCTGTGGAGACCTTAGAGAAAGCCCTAGGTCCCTGCCTCATTTTGACGGAATGCCTCACATCCCGCTGACACCTCGAGAGGCACGCGGAGTTCATTGCTTCAAAAGGTGACGATGCCTGACTCCTCTTGAATACTGATAGGAATCCCAAAATCCCTGTGGCTACTGGAAAGGGTCCTTGGGTGCCCTGCCTCACCTCGAGAAGCGTCCCTTTTGCCCTGCCAAGCCTCGAAGAGATTCCTGAGGTGTCCCTCGTTACTAGACAGGAGTCCTGACGTCACTGAAGAAACTCGTGTTTTGAAGGGCCATCCCCGCCGTAAGTCGATAACGTACCCCAGGTCACTGCTGCAACTCGAGGAAAACCATGAGACTTCCCCCTAGAGGCGAGATGAGGCCCCATTCCCCTGCAGTGCATGCAGAGCTATTCCGTGATCCCATTCAAACAAGTCAGGAGCTTCGACTTGCTTAATGGATCTCGAGACAGTCCCCAAGAACACTGTCACCAGTCTAGACGGACCCTGAGGTCACCCCAGCAACGCAAAGCAGCTCCATGTGCCCCAAATCAACTCGAGATGAGGCCCGATTCCCCTGCATTGACTCCAGAGCAATTCCCCGTTCCCCATTCAACACGACCGGTGGCTCGACTTCCTTCAGGCAACTCCAGAGATGCCCCGAGAACACTGTCCCAAGTCTAGAGGAACACCAACTTCAGCACAGCAATTCGAAGAATGCTCCGTGTACCCCAAATCGTCTCGAGATGAGAGCTGATTCCCTGGCTTAGGCTCAAGACGTATGCCAACTTTCCAGAAGCACCTCAGGAGGAGGCTTCTCTCAGCAATAGGTATGTGGGAGGGACCCCGAGTTTGCTGCCTCAAGGGGAATATACCGCGAGAAGACCTAACTTGAAAAGGAGGCCGGATTTCCATGCAGGGGCTTGAATACAGGCTCGTCTTTCATCTCACAATATGGAGGAATGTCTGAATCCCCTGTGTAGACCTTAGAGAAAGCCCTAGGTCCCTGCCTCATTTTGACGGAATGCCTCACATCCCGCTGACACCTCGAGAGGCACGCGGAGTTCATTGCTTCAAAAGGTGACGATGCCTGACTCCTCTTGAATACTGATAGGAATCCCAAAATCACTGTGGCTACTGGAAAGGGTCCTTGGGTGCCCTGCCTCACCTCGAGAAGCGTCCCTTTTGCCCTGCCAAGCCTTGAAGAGATTCCTGAGGTGTCCCTCGTTACTAGACAGGAGTCCTGACGTCACTGAAGAAACTCGTGTTTTGAAGGGCCATCCCCGCCGTAAGTCGAGAACATACCCCAGGTCCCCGCCGCAACTCGAGAAGAACCATGAGACTTCCCCCTAGAGGCGAGATGAGGCCCCATTCCCCTGCAGTACATGCAGAGCTATTCCGTGATCCCATTCAAACAAGTCAGGAGCTTCGACTTGCTTAATGGATCTCGAGAGAGTCCCCAAGAACACTGTCACCAGTCCAGACGGACCCTGAGGTCACCCCAGCAACGCAAAGCAGCTCCATGTGCCCCTAATCAACTCGAGATTAGGCCCGATTCCCCTGCATTGACTCCAGAGCCATTCCCCGTTCCCCATTCAACACGACCGGTGGCTCGACTTCCTTCAGGCAACTCCAGAGATGCCCCGAGAACACTGTCCCAAGTCTAGAGGAACACCAACTTCAGCACAGCAACTCGAGGAATGCTCCGTGTACCCCAAATCGTCTCGAGATGAGAGCTGATTCCCTGGCTTAGGCTCAAGACGTATGCCAACTTCCCAGAAGCACCTCAGGAGGAGGCTTCTCTCAGCAATAGGTATGTGGGAGGGACCATGAATTTGCTGCCTCAAGGGGAATATACAGCGAGAAGCCCTAACTTGAAAGGAGTCCGAATTTCCTTGTAGTGGCTTGAATACAGGCTCGTCTTTCATCTCACAACATGAAGGGATGTCTGAATCCCCTGTGGAGACCTTAGAGAAAGCCCTAGGTCCCTGCCTCATTTTGATGGAATGCCTCACATCCCGCTGACACCTCGAGAGGCACGCGGAGTTCATTGCTTCAAAAATGACGATGCCTGACGCCTCTTGAATATTGATAGGAATCCCAAAATCCCTGTGGCTACTGGAAAGGGTCCTTGGGTGCCCTGCCTCACCTCGAGAAGCGTCCCTTTTGCCCTGCCAGGCCTCGAAGGGATTCCTGAGGTGTCCCTCGTTACTAGACAGGAGTCCTGACGTCACTGAATAAACTCGTGTTTTGAAGGCCCATCCCCGCCGTAAGTGGAGAACATACCCCAGGTCCCCGCCGCAACTCGAGAAAAACCATGAGACTTCCCCCTAGAGGCGAGATGAGGCCCCATACCCCTGCAGTGCATGCAGAGCTATTCCGTGATCCCATTCAAACAAGTCAGGAGCTTCGACTTGCTTAATGGATCTCGAGACAGTCCCCAAGAACACTGTCACCAGTCTAGACGGACCCTGAGGTCACCCCAGCAACGCAAAGCAGCTCCATGTGCCCCAAATCAACTCGAGATGAGGCCCGTTTCCCCTGCTTTGACTCCAGAGCCATTCCCCGTTCCCCATTCAACACGACCGGTGGCTCGACTTCCTTCAGGCAACTCCAGAGATGCCCTGAGAACACTGTCCCAAGTCTAGAGGAACACCAACTTCAGCACAGCAACTCGAGGAATGCTCCGTGTACCCCAAATCGTCTCGAGATGAGAGCTGATTCCCTGGCTTAGGCTCAAGACGTATGCCAACTCCGCAGAAGTACCTCAGGAGGAGGCTTCTCTCAGCAATAGGTATGTGGGAGGGACCACGAGTTTGCTGCCTCAAGGGGAATATACAGCGAGAAGCCCTAACTTGAAAGGAGGCCGGATTTCCTTGCAGTGGCTTGAATACAGGCTCGTCTTTCATCTCACAACATGAAGGGATGTCCGAATGCCCTGTGGAGACCTTAGAGAAAGCCCTAGGTCCCTGCCTCATTTTGACGGAATGCCTCACATCCCGCTGACACCTCGAGAGGCACGCGGAGTTCATTGCTTCAAAAGGTGACGATGCCTGACTCCTCTTGAATACTGATAGGAATCCCAAAATCCCTGTGGCTACTGGAAAGGGTCCTTGGGTGCCCTGCCTCACCTCGAGAAGCGTCCCTTTTGCCCTGCCAAGCCTCGAAGAGATTCCTGAGGTGTCCCTCGTTACTAGACAGGAGTCCTGACGTCACTGAAGAAACTCGTGTTTTGAAGGGCCATCCCCGCCGTAAGTCGATAACGTACCCCAGGTCACTGCTGCAACTCGAGGAAAACCATGAGACTTCCCCCTAGAGGCGAGATGAGGCCCCATTCCCCTGCAGTGCATGCAGAGCTATTCCGTGATCCCATTCAAACAAGTCAGGAGCTTCGACTTGCTTAATGGATCTCGAGACAGTCCCCAAGAACACTGTCACCAGTCTAGACGGACCCTGAGGTCACCCCAGCAACGCAAAGCAGCTCCATGTGCCCCAAATCAACTCGAGATGAGGCCCGATTCCCCTGCATTGACTCCAGAGCAATTCCCCGTTCCCCATTCAACACGACCGGTGGCTCGACTTCCTTCAGGCAACTCCAGAGATGCCCCGAGAACACTGTCCCAAGTCTAGAGGAACACCAACTTCAGCACAGCAATTCGAAGAATGCTCCGTGTACCCCAAATCGTCTCGAGATGAGAGCTGATTCCCTGGCTTAGGCTCAAGACGTATGCCAACTTTCCAGAAGCACCTCAGGAGGAGGCTTCTCTCAGCAATAGGTATGTGGGAGGGACCCCGAGTTTGCTGCCTCAAGGGGAATATACCGCGAGAAGACCTAACTTGAAAAGGAGGCCGGATTTCCATGCAGGGGCTTGAATACAGGCTCGTCTTTCATCTCACAATATGGAGGAATGTCTGAATCCCCTGTGTAGACCTTAGAGAAAGCCCTAGGTCCCTGCCTCATTTTGACGGAATGCCTCACATCCCGCTGACACCTCGAGAGGCACGCGGAGTTCATTGCTTCAAAAGGTGACGATGCCTGACTCCTCTTGAATACTGATAGGAATCCCAAAATCACTGTGGCTACTGGAAAGGGTCCTTGGGTGCCCTGCCTCACCTCGAGAAGCGTCCCGTTTGCCCTGCCAAGCCTTGAAGAGATTCCTGAGGTGTCCCTCGTTACTAGACAGGAGTCCTGACGTCACTGAAGAAACTCGTGTTTTGAAGGGCCATCCCCGCCGTAAGTCGAGAACATACCCCAGGTCCCCGCCGCAACTCGAGAAGAACCATGAGACTTCCCCCTAGAGGCGAGATGAGGCCCCATTCCCCTGCAGTACATGCAGAGCTATTCCGTGATCCCATTCAAACAAGTCAGGAGCTTCGACTTGCTTAATGGATCTCGAGAGAGTCCCCAAGAACACTGTCACCAGTCCAGACGGACCCTGAGGTCACCCCAGCAATGCAAAGCAGCTCCATGTGCCCCTAATCAACTCGAGATTAGGCCCGATTCCCCTGCATTGACTCCAGAGCCATTCCCCGTTCCCCATTCAACACGACCGGTGGCTCGACTTCCTTCAGGCAACTCCAGAGATGCCCCGAGAACACTGTCCCAAGTCTAGAGGAACACCAACTTCAGCACAGCAACTCGAGGAATGCTCCGTGTACCCCAAATCGTCTCGAGATGAGAGCTGATTCCCTGGCTTAGGCTCAAGACGTATGCCAACTTCCCAGAAGCACCTCAGGAGGAGGCTTCTCTCAGCAATAGGTATGTGGGAGGGACCATGAATTTGCTGCCTCAAGGGGAATATACAGCGAGAAGCCCTAACTTGAAAGGAGTCCGAATTTCCTTGTAGTGGCTTGAATACAGGCTCGTCTTTCATCTCACAACATGAAGGGATGTCTGAATCCCCTGTGGAGACCTTAGAGAAAGCCCTAGGTCCCTGCCTCATTTTGATGGAATGCCTCACATCCCGCTGACACCTCGAGAGGCACGCGGAGTTCATTGCTTCAAAAATGACGATGCCTGACGCCTCTTGAATATTGATAGGAATCCCAAAATCCCTGTGGCTACTGGAAAGGGTCCTTGGGTGCCCTGCCTCACCTCGAGAAGCGTCCCTTTTGCCCTGCCAGGCCTCGAAGGGATTCCTGAGGTGTCCCTCGTTACTAGACAGGAGTCCTGACGTCACTGAATAAACTCGTGTTTTGAAGGCCCATCCCCGCCGTAAGTGGAGAACATACCCCAGGTCCCCGCCGCAACTCGAGAAAAACCATGAGACTTCCCCCTAGAGGCGAGATGAGGCCCCATACCCCTGCAGTGCATGCAGAGCTATTCCGTGATCCCATTCAAACAAGTCAGGAGCTTCGACTTGCTTAATGGATCTCGAGACAGTCCCCAAGAACACTGTCACCAGTCTAGACAGACCCTGAGGTCACCCCAGCAACGCAAAGCAGCTCCATGTGCCCCAAATCAACTCGAGATGAGGCCCGTTTCCCCTGCTTTGACTCCAGAGCCATTCCCCGTTCCCCATTCAACACGACCGGTGGCTCGACTTCCTTCAGGCAACTCCAGAGATGCCCTGAGAACACTGTCCCAAGTCTAGAGGAACACCAACTTCAGCACAGCAACTCGAGGAATGCTCCGTGTACCCCAAATCGTCTCGAGATGAGAGCTGATTCCCTGGCTTAGGCTCAAGACGTATGCCAACTCCGCAGAAGTACCTCAGGAGGAGGCTTCTCTCAGCAATAGGTATGTGGGAGGGACCACGAGTTTGCTGCCTCAAGGGGAATATACAGCGAGAAGCCCTAACTTGAAAGGAGGCCGGATTTCCTTGCAGTGGCTTGAATACAGGCTCGTCTTTCATCTCACAACATGAAGGGATGTCCGAATGCCCTGTGGAGACCTTAGAGAAAGCCCTAAGTCCCTGCCTCATTTTGACGGAATGCCTCACATCCCGCTGACACCTCGAGAGGCACGCGGAGTTCATTGCTTCAAAAGGTGACGATGCCTGACTCCTCTTGAATACTGATAGGAATCCCAAAATCCCTGTGGCTACTGGAAAGGGTCCTTGGGTGCCCTGCCTCACCTCGAGAAGCGTCCCTTTTGCCCTGCCAAGCCTCGAAGAGATTCCTGAGGTGTCCCTCGTTACTAGACAGGAGTCCTGACGTCACTGAAGAAACTCGTGTTTTGAAGGGCCATCCCCGCCGTAAGTCGATAACGTACCCCAGGTCACTGCTGCAACTCGAGGAAAACCATGAGACTTCCCCCTAGAGGCGAGATGAGGCCCCATTCCCCTGCAGTGCATGCAGAGCTATTCCGTGATCCCATTCAAACAAGTCAGGAGCTTCGACTTGCTTAATGGATCTCGAGACAGTCCCCAAGAACACTGTCACCAGTCTAGACGGACCCTGAGGTCACCCCAGCAACGCAAAGCAGCTCCATGTGCCCCAAATCAACTCGAGATGAGGCCCGATTCCCCTGCATTGACTCCAGAGCAATTCCCCGTTCCCCATTCAACACGACCGGTGGCTCGACTTCCTTCAGGCAACTCCAGAGATGCCCCGAGAACACTGTCCCAAGTCTAGAGGAACACCAACTTCAGCACAGCAATTCGAAGAATGCTCCGTGTACCCCAAATCGTCTCGAGATGAGAGCTGATTCCCTGGCTTAGGCTCAAGACGTATGCCAACTTTCCAGAAGCACCTCAGGAGGAGGCTTCTCTCAGCAATAGGTATGTGGGAGGGACCCCGAGTTTGCTGCCTCAAGGGGAATATACCGCGAGAAGACCTAACTTGAAAAGGAGGCCGGATTTCCATGCAGGGGCTTGAATACAGGCTCGTCTTTCATCTCACAATATGGAGGAATGTCTGAATCCCCTGTGTAGACCTTAGAGAAAGCCCTAGGTCCCTGCCTCATTTTGACGGAATGCCTCACATCCCGCTGACACCTCGAGAGGCACGCGGAGTTCATTGCTTCAAAAGGTGACGATGCCTGACTCCTCTTGAATACTGATAGGAATCCCAAAATCACTGTGGCTACTGGAAAGGGTCCTTGGGTGCCCTGCCTCACCTCGAGAAGCGTCCCTTTTGCCCTGCCAAGCCTTGAAGAGATTCCTGAGGTGTCCCTCGTTACTAGACAGGAGTCCTGACGTCACTGAAGAAACTCGTGTTTTGAAGGGCCATCCCCGCCGTAAGTCGAGAACATACCCCAGGTCCCCGCCGCAACTCGAGAAGAACCATGAGACTTCCCCCTAGAGGCGAGATGAGGCCCCATTCCCCTGCAGTACATGCAGAGCTATTCCGTGATCCCATTCAAACAAGTCAGGAGCTTCGACTTGCTTAATGGATCTCGAGAGAGTCCCCAAGAACACTGTCACCAGTCCAGACGGACCCTGAGGTCACCCCAGCAACGCAAAGCAGCTCCATGTGCCCCTAATCAACTCGAGATTAGGCCCGATTCCCCTGCATTGACTCCAGAGCCATTCCCCGTTCCCCATTCAACACGACCGGTGGCTCGACTTCCTTCAGGCAACTCCAGAGATGCCCCGAGAACACTGTCCCAAGTCTAGAGGAACACCAACTTCAGCACAGCAACTCGAGGAATGCTCCGTGTACCCCAAATCGTCTCGAGATGAGAGCTGATTCCCTGGCTTAGGCTCAAGACGTATGCCAACTTCCCAGAAGCACCTCAGGAGGAGGCTTCTCTCAGCAATAGGTATGTGGGAGGGACCATGAATTTGCTGCCTCAAGGGGAATATACAGCGAGAAGCCCTAACTTGAAAGGAGTCCGAATTTCCTTGTAGTGGCTTGAATACAGGCTCGTCTTTCATCTCACAACATGAAGGGATGTCTGAATCCCCTGTGGAGACCTTAGAGAAAGCCCTAGGTCCCTGCCTCATTTTGATGGAATGCCTCACATCCCGCTGACACCTCGAGAGGCACGCGGAGTTCATTGCTTCAAAAATGACGATGCCTGACGCCTCTTGAATATTGATAGGAATCCCAAAATCCCTGTGGCTACTGGAAAGGGTCCTTGGGTGCCCTGCCTCACCTCGAGAAGCGTCCCTTTTGCCCTGCCAGGCCTCGAAGGGATTCCTGAGGTGTCCCTCGTTACTAGACAGGAGTCCTGACGTCACTGAATAAACTCGTGTTTTGAAGGCCCATCCCCGCCGTAAGTGGAGAACATACCCCAGGTCCCCGCCGCAACTCGAGAAAAACCATGAGACTTCCCCCTAGAGGCGAGATGAGGCCCCATACCCCTGCAGTGCATGCAGAGCTATTCCGTGATCCCATTCAAACAAGTCAGGAGCTTCGACTTGCTTAATGGATCTCGAGACAGTCCCCAAGAACACTGTCACCAGTCTAGACGGACCCTGAGGTCACCCCAGCAACGCAAAGCAGCTCCATGTGCCCCAAATCAACTCGAGATGAGGCCCGTTTCCCCTGCTTTGACTCCAGAGCCATTCCCCGTTCCCCATTCAACACGACCGGTGGCTCGACTTCCTTCAGGCAACTCCAGAGATGCCCTGAGAACACTGTCCCAAGTCTAGAGGAACACCAACTTCAGCACAGCAACTCGAGGAATGCTCCGTGTACCCCAAATCGTCTCGAGATGAGAGCTGATTCCCTGGCTTAGGCTCAAGACGTATGCCAACTCCGCAGAAGTACCTCAGGAGGAGGCTTCTCTCAGCAATAGGTATGTGGGAGGGACCACGAGTTTGCTGCCTCAAGGGGAATATACAGCGAGAAGCCCTAACTTGAAAGGAGGCCGGATTTCCTTGCAGTGGCTTGAATACAGGCTCGTCTTTCATCTCACAACATGAAGGGATGTCCGAATGCCCTGTGGAGACCTTAGAGAAAGCCCTAAGTCCCTGCCTCATTTTGACGGAATGCCTCACATCCCGCTGACACCTCGAGAGGCACGCGGAGTTCATTGCTTCAAAAGGTGACGATGCCTGACTCCTCTTGAATACTGATAGGAATCCCAAAATCCCTGTGGCTACTGGAAAGGGTCCTTGGGTGCCCTGCCTCACCTCGAGAAGCGTCCCTTTTGCCCTGCCAAGCCTCGAAGAGATTCCTGAGGTGTCCCTCGTTACTAGACAGGAGTCCTGACGTCACTGAAGAAACTCGTGTTTTGAAGGGCCATCCCCGCCGTAAGTCGATAACGTACCCCAGGTCACTGCTGCAACTCGAGGAAAACCATGAGACTTCCCCCTAGAGGCGAGATGAGGCCCCATTCCCCTGCAGTGCATGCAGAGCTATTCCGTGATCCCATTCAAACAAGTCAGGAGCTTCGACTTGCTTAATGGATCTCGAGACAGTCCCCAAGAACACTGTCACCAGTCTAGACGGACCCTGAGGTCACCCCAGCAACGCAAAGCAGCTCCATGTGCCCCAAATCAACTCGAGATGAGGCCCGATTCCCCTGCATTGACTCCAGAGCAATTCCCCGTTCCCCATTCAACACGACCGGTGGCTCGACTTCCTTCAGGCAACTCCAGAGATGCCCCGAGAACACTGTCCCAAGTCTAGAGGAACACCAACTTCAGCACAGCAATTCGAAGAATGCTCCGTGTACCCCAAATCGTCTCGAGATGAGAGCTGATTCCCTGGCTTAGGCTCAAGACGTATGCCAACTTTCCAGAAGCACCTCAGGAGGAGGCTTCTCTCAGCAATAGGTATGTGGGAGGGACCCCGAGTTTGCTGCCTCAAGGGGAATATACCGCGAGAAGACCTAACTTGAAAAGGAGGCCGGATTTCCATGCAGGGGCTTGAATACAGGCTCGTCTTTCATCTCACAATATGGAGGAATGTCTGAATCCCCTGTGTAGACCTTAGAGAAAGCCCTAGGTCCCTGCCTCATTTTGACGGAATGCCTCACATCCCGCTGACACCTCGAGAGGCACGCGGAGTTCATTGCTTCAAAAGGTGACGATGCCTGACTCCTCTTGAATACTGATAGGAATCCCAAAATCACTGTGGCTACTGGAAAGGGTCCTTGGGTGCCCTGCCTCACCTCGAGAAGCGTCCCTTTTGCCCTGCCAAGCCTTGAAGAGATTCCTGAGGTGTCCCTCGTTACTAGACAGGAGTCCTGACGTCACTGAAGAAACTCGTGTTTTGAAGGGCCATCCCCGCCGTAAGTCGAGAACATACCCCAGGTCCCCGCCGCAACTCGAGAAGAACCATGAGACTTCCCCCTAGAGGCGAGATGAGGCCCCATTCCCCTGCAGTACATGCAGAGCTATTCCGTGATCCCATTCAAACAAGTCAGGAGCTTCGACTTGCTTAATGGATCTCGAGAGAGTCCCCAAGAACACTGTCACCAGTCCAGACGGACCCTGAGGTCACCCCAGCAACGCAAAGCAGCTCCATGTGCCCCTAATCAACTCGAGATTAGGCCCGATTCCCCTGCATTGACTCCAGAGCCATTCCCCGTTCCCCATTCAACACGACCGGTGGCTCGACTTCCTTCAGGCAACTCCAGAGATGCCCCGAGAACACTGTCCCAAGTCTAGAGGAACACCAACTTCAGCACAGCAACTCGAGGAATGCTCCGTGTACCCCAAATCGTCTCGAGATGAGAGCTGATTCCCTGGCTTAGGCTCAAGACGTATGCCAACTTCCCAGAAGCACCTCAGGAGGAGGCTTCTCTCAGCAATAGGTATGTGGGAGGGACCATGAATTTGCTGCCTCAAGGGGAATATACAGCGAGAAGCCCTAACTTGAAAGGAGTCCGAATTTCCTTGTAGTGGCTTGAATACAGGCTCGTCTTTCATCTCACAACATGAAGGGATGTCTGAATCCCCTGTGGAGACCTTAGAGAAAGCCCTAGGTCCCTGCCTCATTTTGATGGAATGCCTCACATCCCGCTGACACCTCGAGAGGCACGCGGAGTTCATTGCTTCAAAAATGACGATGCCTGACGCCTCTTGAATATTGATAGGAATCCCAAAATCCCTGTGGCTACTGGAAAGGGTCCTTGGGTGCCCTGCCTCACCTCGAGAAGCGTCCCTTTTGCCCTGCCAGGCCTCGAAGGGATTCCTGAGGTGTCCCTCGTTACTAGACAGGAGTCCTGACGTCACTGAATAAACTCGTGTTTTGAAGGCCCATCCCCGCCGTAAGTGGAGAACATACCCCAGGTCCCCGCCGCAACTCGAGAAAAACCATGAGACTTCCCCCTAGAGGCGAGATGAGGCCCCATACCCCTGCAGTGCATGCAGAGCTATTCCGTGATCCCATTCAAACAAGTCAGGAGCTTCGACTTGCTTAATGGATCTCGAGACAGTCCCCAAGAACACTGTCACCAGTCTAGACGGACCCTGAGGTCACCCCAGCAACGCAAAGCAGCTCCATGTGCCCCAAATCAACTCGAGATGAGGCCCGTTTCCCCTGCTTTGACTCCAGAGCCATTCCCCGTTCCCCATTCAACACGACCGGTGGCTCGACTTCCTTCAGGCAACTCCAGAGATGCCCTGAGAACACTGTCCCAAGTCTAGAGGAACACCAACTTCAGCACAGCAACTCGAGGAATGCTCCGTGTACCCCAAATCGTCTCGAGATGAGAGCTGATTCCCTGGCTTAGGCTCAAGACGTATGCCAACTCCGCAGAAGTACCTCAGGAGGAGGCTTCTCTCAGCAATAGGTATGTGGGAGGGACCACGAGTTTGCTGCCTCAAGGGGAATATACAGCGAGAAGCCCTAACTTGAAAGGAGGCCGGATTTCCTTGCAGTGGCTTGAATACAGGCTCGTCTTTCATCTCACAACATGAAGGGATGTCCGAATGCCCTGTGGAGACCTTAGAGAAAGCCCTAGGTCCCTGCCTCATTTTGACGGAATGCCTCACATCCCGCTGACACCTCGAGAGGCACGCGGAGTTCATTGCTTCAAAAGGTGACGATGCCTGACTCCTCTTGAATACTGATAGGAATCCCAAAATCCCTGTGGCTACTGGAAAGGGTCCTTGGGTGCCCTGCCTCACCTCGAGAAGCGTCCCTTTTGCCCTGCCAAGCCTCGAAGAGATTCCTGAGGTGTCCCTCGTTACTAGACAGGAGTCCTGACGTCACTGAAGAAACTCGTGTTTTGAAGGGCCATCCCCGCCGTAAGTCGATAACGTACCCCAGGTCACTGCTGCAACTCGAGGAAAACCATGAGACTTCCCCCTAGAGGCGAGATGAGGCCCCATTCCCCTGCAGTGCATGCAGAGCTATTCCGTGATCCCATTCAAACAAGTCAGGAGCTTCGACTTGCTTAATGGATCTCGAGACAGTCCCCAAGAACACTGTCACCAGTCTAGACGGACCCTGAGGTCACCCCAGCAACGCAAAGCAGCTCCATGTGCCCCAAATCAACTCGAGATGAGGCCCGATTCCCCTGCATTGACTCCAGAGCAATTCCCCGTTCCCCATTCAACACGACCGGTGGCTCGACTTCCTTCAGGCAACTCCAGAGATGCCCCGAGAACACTGTCCCAAGTCTAGAGGAACACCAACTTCAGCACAGCAATTCGAAGAATGCTCCGTGTACCCCAAATCGTCTCGAGATGAGAGCTGATTCCCTGGCTTAGGCTCAAGACGTATGCCAACTTTCCAGAAGCACCTCAGGAGGAGGCTTCTCTCAGCAATAGGTATGTGGGAGGGACCCCGAGTTTGCTGCCTCAAGGGGAATATACCGCGAGAAGACCTAACTTGAAAAGGAGGCCGGATTTCCATGCAGGGGCTTGAATACAGGCTCGTCTTTCATCTCACAATATGGAGGAATGTCTGAATCCCCTGTGTAGACCTTAGAGAAAGCCCTAGGTCCCTGCCTCATTTTGACGGAATGCCTCACATCCCGCTGACACCTCGAGAGGCACGCGGAGTTCATTGCTTCAAAAGGTGACGATGCCTGACTCCTCTTGAATACTGATAGGAATCCCAAAATCACTGTGGCTACTGGAAAGGGTCCTTGGGTGCCCTGCCTCACCTCGAGAAGCGTCCCGTTTGCCCTGCCAAGCCTTGAAGAGATTCCTGAGGTGTCCCTCGTTACTAGACAGGAGTCCTGACGTCACTGAAGAAACTCGTGTTTTGAAGGGCCATCCCCGCCGTAAGTCGAGAACATACCCCAGGTCCCCGCCGCAACTCGAGAAGAACCATGAGACTTCCCCCTAGAGGCGAGATGAGGCCCCATTCCCCTGCAGTACATGCAGAGCTATTCCGTGATCCCATTCAAACAAGTCAGGAGCTTCGACTTGCTTAATGGATCTCGAGAGAGTCCCCAAGAACACTGTCACCAGTCCAGACGGACCCTGAGGTCACCCCAGCAACGCAAAGCAGCTCCATGTGCCCCTAATCAACTCGAGATTAGGCCCGATTCCCCTGCATTGACTCCAGAGCCATTCCCCGTTCCCCATTCAACACGACCGGTGGCTCGACTTCCTTCAGGCAACTCCAGAGATGCCCCGAGAACACTGTCCCAAGTCTAGAGGAACACCAACTTCAGCACAGCAACTCGAGGAATGCTCCGTGTACCCCAAATCGTCTCGAGATGAGAGCTGATTCCCTGGCTTAGGCTCAAGACGTATGCCAACTTCCCAGAAGCACCTCAGGAGGAGGCTTCTCTCAGCAATAGGTATGTGGGAGGGACCATGAATTTGCTGCCTCAAGGGGAATATACAGCGAGAAGCCCTAACTTGAAAGGAGTCCGAATTTCCTTGTAGTGGCTTGAATACAGGCTCGTCTTTCATCTCACAACATGAAGGGATGTCTGAATCCCCTGTGGAGACCTTAGAGAAAGCCCTAGGTCCCTGCCTCATTTTGATGGAATGCCTCACATCCCGCTGACACCTCGAGAGGCACGCGGAGTTCATTGCTTCAAAAATGACGATGCCTGACGCCTCTTGAATATTGATAGGAATCCCAAAATCCCTGTGGCTACTGGAAAGGGTCCTTGGGTGCCCTGCCTCACCTCGAGAAGCGTCCCTTTTGCCCTGCCAGGCCTCGAAGGGATTCCTGAGGTGTCCCTCGTTACTAGACAGGAGTCCTGACGTCACTGAATAAACTCGTGTTTTGAAGGCCCATCCCCGCCGTCAGTGGAGAACATACCCCAGGTCCCCGCCGCAACTCGAGAAAAACCATGAGACTTCCCCCTAGAGGCGAGATGAGGCCCCATACCCCTGCAGTGCATGCAGAGCTATTCCGTGATCCCATTCAAACAAGTCAGGAGCTTCGACTTGCTTAATGGATCTCGAGACAGTCCCCAAGAACACTGTCACCAGTCTAGACGGACCCTGAGGTCACCCCAGCAACGCAAAGCAGCTCCATGTGCCCCAAATCAACTCGAGATGAGGCCCGTTTCCCCTGCTTTGACTCCAGAGCCATTCCCCGTTCCCCATTCAACACGACCGGTGGCTCGACTTCCTTCAGGCAACTCCAGAGATGCCCTGAGAACACTGTCCCAAGTCTAGAGGAACACCAACTTCAGCACAGCAACTCGAGGAATGCTCCGTGTACCCCAAATCGTCTCGAGATGAGAGCTGATTCCCTGGCTTAGGCTCAAGACGTATGCCAACTCCGCAGAAGTACCTCAGGAGGAGGCTTCTCTCAGCAATAGGTATGTGGGAGGGACCACGAGTTTGCTGCCTCAAGGGGAATATACAGCGAGAAGCCCTAACTTGAAAGGAGGCCGGATTTCCTTGCAGTGGCTTGAATACAGGCTCGTCTTTCATCTCACAACATGAAGGGATGTCCGAATGCCCTGTGGAGACCTTAGAGAAAGCCCTAGGTCCCTGCCTCATTTTGACGGAATGCCTCACATCCCGCTGACACCTCGAGAGGCACGCGGAGTTCATTGCTTCAAAAGGTGACGATGCCTGACTCCTCTTGAATACTGATAGGAATCCCAAAATCCCTGTGGCTACTGGAAAGGGTCCTTGGGTGCCCTGCCTCACCTCGAGAAGCGTCCCTTTTGCCCTGCCAAGCCTCGAAGAGATTCCTGAGGTGTCCCTCGTTACTAGACAGGAGTCCTGACGTCACTGAAGAAACTCGTGTTTTGAAGGGCCATCCTCGCCGTAAGTCGATAACGTACCCCAGGTCACTGCTGCAACTCGAGGAAAACCATGAGACTTCCCCCTAGAGGCGAGATGAGGCCCCATTCCCCTGCAGTGCATGCAGAGCTATTCCGTGATCCCATTCAAACAAGTCAGGAGCTTCGACTTGCTTAATGGATCTCGAGACAGTCCCCAAGAACACTGTCACCAGTCTAGACGGACCCTGAGGTCACCCCAGCAACGCAAAGCAGCTCCATGTGCCCCAAATCAACTCGAGATGAGGCCCGATTCCCCTGCATTGACTCCAGAGCAATTCCCCGTTCCCCATTCAACACGACCGGTGGCTCGACTTCCTTCAGGCAACTCCAGAGATGCCCCGAGAACACTGTCCCAAGTCTAGAGGAACACCAACTTCAGCACAGCAATTCGAAGAATGCTCCGTGTACCCCAAATCGTCTCGAGATGAGAGCTGATTCCCTGGCTTAGGCTCAAGACGTATGCCAACTTTCCAGAAGCACCTCAGGAGGAGGCTTCTCTCAGCAATAGGTATGTGGGAGGGACCCCGAGTTTGCTGCCTCAAGGGGAATATACCGCGAGAAGACCTAACTTGAAAAGGAGGCCGGATTTCCATGCAGGGGCTTGAATACAGGCTCGTCTTTCATCTCACAATATGGAGGAATGTCTGAATCCCCTGTGTAGACCTTAGAGAAAGCCCTAGGTCCCTGCCTCATTTTGACGGAATGCCTCACATCCCGCTGACACCTCGAGAGGCACGCGGAGTTCATTGCTTCAAAAGGTGACGATGCCTGACTCCTCTTGAATACTGATAGGAATCCCAAAATCACTGTGGCTACTGGAAAGGGTCCTTGGGTGCCCTGCCTCACCTCGAGAAGCGTCCCTTTTGCCCTGCCAAGCCTTGAAGAGATTCCTGAGGTGTCCCTCGTTACTAGACAGGAGTCCTGACGTCACTGAAGAAACTCGTGTTTTGAAGGGCCATCCCCGCCGTAAGTCGAGAACATACCCCAGGTCCCCGCCGCAACTCGAGAAGAACCATGAGACTTCCCCCTAGAGGCGAGATGAGGCCCCATTCCCCTGCAGTACATGCAGAGCTATTCCGTGATCCCATTCAAACAAGTCAGGAGCTTCGACTTGCTTAATGGATCTCGAGAGAGTCCCCAAGAACACTGTCACCAGTCCAGACGGACCCTGAGGTCACCCCAGCAACGCAAAGCAGCTCCATGTGCCCCTAATCAACTCGAGATTAGGCCCGATTCCCCTGCATTGACTCCAGAGCCATTCCCCGTTCCCCATTCAACACGACCGGTGGCTCGACTTCCTTCAGGCAACTCCAGAGATGCCCCGAGAACACTGTCCCAAGTCTAGAGGAACACCAACTTCAGCACAGCAACTCGAGGAATGCTCCGTGTACCCCAAATCGTCTCGAGATGAGAGCTGATTCCCTGGCTTAGGCTCAAGACGTATGCCAACTTCCCAGAAGCACCTCAGGAGGAGGCTTCTCTCAGCAATAGGTATGTGGGAGGGACCATGAATTTGCTGCCTCAAGGGGAATATACAGCGAGAAGCCCTAACTTGAAAGGAGTCCGAATTTCCTTGTAGTGGCTTGAATACAGGCTCGTCTTTCATCTCACAACATGAAGGGATGTCTGAATCCCCTGTGGAGACCTTAGAGAAAGCCCTAGGTCCCTGCCTCATTTTGATGGAATGCCTCACATCCCGCTGACACCTCGAGAGGCACGCGGAGTTCATTGCTTCAAAAATGACGATGCCTGACGCCTCTTGAATATTGATAGGAATCCCAAAATCCCTGTGGCTACTGGAAAGGGTCCTTGGGTGCCCTGCCTCACCTCGAGAAGCGTCCCTTTTGCCCTGCCAGGCCTCGAAGGGATTCCTGAGGTGTCCCTCGTTACTAGACAGGAGTCCTGACGTCACTGAATAAACTCGTGTTTTGAAGGCCCATCCCCGCCGTAAGTGGAGAACATACCCCAGGTCCCCGCCGCAACTCGAGAAAAACCATGAGACTTCCCCCTAGAGGCGAGATGAGGCCCCATACCCCTGCAGTGCATGCAGAGCTATTCCGTGATCCCATTCAAACAAGTCAGGAGCTTCGACTTGCTTAATGGATCTCGAGACAGTCCCCAAGAACACTGTCACCAGTCTAGACGGACCCTGAGGTCACCCCAGCAACGCAAAGCAGCTCCATGTGCCCCAAATCAACTCGAGATGAGGCCCGTTTCCCCTGCTTTGACTCCAGAGCCATTCCCCGTTCCCCATTCAACACGACCGGTGGCTCGACTTCCTTCAGGCAACTCCAGAGATGCCCTGAGAACACTGTCCCAAGTCTAGAGGAACACCAACTTCAGCACAGCAACTCGAGGAATGCTCCGTGTACCCCAAATCGTCTCGAGATGAGAGCTGATTCCCTGGCTTAGGCTCAAGACGTATGCCAACTCCGCAGAAGTACCTCAGGAGGAGGCTTCTCTCAGCAATAGGTATGTGGGAGGGACCACGAGTTTGCTGCCTCAAGGGGAATATACAGCGAGAAGCCCTAACTTGAAAGGAGGCCGGATTTCCTTGCAGTGGCTTGAATACAGGCTCGTCTTTCATCTCACAACATGAAGGGATGTCCGAATGCCCTGTGGAGACCTTAGAGAAAGCCCTAGGTCCCTGCCTCATTTTGACGGAATGCCTCACATCCCGCTGACACCTCGAGAGGCACGCGGAGTTCATTGCTTCAAAAGGTGACGATGCCTGACTCCTCTTGAATACTGATAGGAATCCCAAAATCCCTGTGGCTACTGGAAAGGGTCCTTGGGTGCCCTGCCTCACCTCGAGAAGCGTCCCTTTTGCCCTGCCAAGCCTCGAAGAGATTCCTGAGGTGTCCCTCGTTACTAGACAGGAGTCCTGACGTCACTGAAGAAACTCGTGTTTTGAAGGGCCATCCCCGCCGTAAGTCGATAACGTACCCCAGGTCACTGCTGCAACTCGAGGAAAACCATGAGACTTCCCCCTAGAGGCGAGATGAGGCCCCATTCCCCTGCAGTGCATGCAGAGCTATTCCGTGATCCCATTCAAACAAGTCAGGAGCTTCGACTTGCTTAATGGATCTCGAGACAGTCCCCAAGAACACTGTCACCAGTCTAGACGGACCCTGAGGTCACCCCAGCAACGCAAAGCAGCTCCATGTGCCCCAAATCAACTCGAGATGAGGCCCGATTCCCCTGCATTGACTCCAGAGCAATTCCCCGTTCCCCATTCAACACGACCGGTGGCTCGACTTCCTTCAGGCAACTCCAGAGATGCCCCGAGAACACTGTCCCAAGTCTAGAGGAACACCAACTTCAGCACAGCAATTCGAAGAATGCTCCGTGTACCCCAAATCGTCTCGAGATGAGAGCTGATTCCCTGGCTTAGGCTCAAGACGTATGCCAACTTTCCAGAAGCACCTCAGGAGGAGGCTTCTCTCAGCAATAGGTATGTGGGAGGGACCCCGAGTTTGCTGCCTCAAGGGGAATATACCGCGAGAAGACCTAACTTGAAAAGGAGGCCGGATTTCCATGCAGGGGCTTGAATACAGGCTCGTCTTTCATCTCACAATATGGAGGAATGTCTGAATCCCCTGTGTAGACCTTAGAGAAAGCCCTAGGTCCCTGCCTCATTTTGACGGAATGCCTCACATCCCGCTGACACCTCGAGAGGCACGCGGAGTTCATTGCTTCAAAAGGTGACGATGCCTGACTCCTCTTGAATACTGATAGGAATCCCAAAATCACTGTGGCTACTGGAAAGGGTCCTTGGGTGCCCTGCCTCACCTCGAGAAGCGTCCCTTTTGCCCTGCCAAGCCTTGAAGAGATTCCTGAGGTGTCCCTCGTTACTAGACAGGAGTCCTGACGTCACTGAAGAAACTCGTGTTTTGAAGGGCCATCCCCGCCGTAAGTCGAGAACATACCCCAGGTCCCCGCCGCAACTCGAGAAGAACCATGAGACTTCCCCCTAGAGGCGAGATGAGGCCCCATTCCCCTGCAGTACATGCAGAGCTATTCCGTGATCCCATTCAAACAAGTCAGGAGCTTCGACTTGCTTAATGGATCTCGAGAGAGTCCCCAAGAACACTGTCACCAGTCCAGACGGACCCTGAGGTCACCCCAGCAACGCAAAGCAGCTCCATGTGCCCCTAATCAACTCGAGATTAGGCCCGATTCCCCTGCATTGACTCCAGAGCCATTCCCCGTTCCCCATTCAACACGACCGGTGGCTCGACTTCCTTCAGGCAACTCCAGAGATGCCCCGAGAACACTGTCCCAAGTCTAGAGGAACACCAACTTCAGCACAGCAACTCGAGGAATGCTCCGTGTACCCCAAATCGTCTCGAGATGAGAGCTGATTCCCTGGCTTAGGCTCAAGACGTATGCCAACTTCCCAGAAGCACCTCAGGAGGAGGCTTCTCTCAGCAATAGGTATGTGGGAGGGACCATGAATTTGCTGCCTCAAGGGGAATATACAGCGAGAAGCCCTAACTTGAAAGGAGTCCGAATTTCCTTGTAGTGGCTTGAATACAGGCTCGTCTTTCATCTCACAACATGAAGGGATGTCTGAATCCCCTGTGGAGACCTTAGAGAAAGCCCTAGGTCCCTGCCTCATTTTGATGGAATGCCTCACATCCCGCTGACACCTCGAGAGGCACGCGGAGTTCATTGCTTCAAAAATGACGATGCCTGACGCCTCTTGAATATTGATAGGAATCCCAAAATCCCTGTGGCTACTGGAAAGGGTCCTTGGGTGCCCTGCCTCACCTCGAGAAGCGTCCCTTTTGCCCTGCCAGGCCTCGAAGGGATTCCTGAGGTGTCCCTCGTTACTAGACAGGAGTCCTGACGTCACTGAATAAACTCGTGTTTTGAAGGCCCATCCCCGCCGTAAGTGGAGAACATACCCCAGGTCCCCGCCGCAACTCGAGAAAAACCATGAGACTTCCCCCTAGAGGCGAGATGAGGCCCCATACCCCTGCAGTGCATGCAGAGCTATTCCGTGATCCCATTCAAACAAGTCAGGAGCTTCGACTTGCTTAATGGATCTCGAGACAGTCCCCAAGAACACTGTCACCAGTCTAGACAGACCCTGAGGTCACCCCAGCAACGCAAAGCAGCTCCATGTGCCCCAAATCAACTCGAGATGAGGCCCGTTTCCCCTGCTTTGACTCCAGAGCCATTCCCCGTTCCCCATTCAACACGACCGGTGGCTCGACTTCCTTCAGGCAACTCCAGAGATGCCCTGAGAACACTGTCCCAAGTCTAGAGGAACACCAACTTCAGCACAGCAACTCGAGGAATGCTCCGTGTACCCCAAATCGTCTCGAGATGAGAGCTGATTCCCTGGCTTAGGCTCAAGACGTATGCCAACTCCGCAGAAGTACCTCAGGAGGAGGCTTCTCTCAGCAATAGGTATGTGGGAGGGACCACGAGTTTGCTGCCTCAAGGGGAATATACAGCGAGAAGCCCTAACTTGAAAGGAGGCCGGATTTCCTTGCAGTGGCTTGAATACAGGCTCGTCTTTCATCTCACAACATGAAGGGATGTCCGAATGCCCTGTGGAGACCTTAGAGAAAGCCCTAAGTCCCTGCCTCATTTTGACGGAATGCCTCACATCCCGCTGACACCTCGAGAGGCACGCGGAGTTCATTGCTTCAAAAGGTGACGATGCCTGACTCCTCTTGAATACTGATAGGAATCCCAAAATCCCTGTGGCTACTGGAAAGGGTCCTTGGGTGCCCTGCCTCACCTCGAGAAGCGTCCCTTTTGCCCTGCCAAGCCTCGAAGAGATTCCTGAGGTGTCCCTCGTTACTAGACAGGAGTCCTGACGTCACTGAAGAAACTCGTGTTTTGAAGGGCCATCCCCGCCGTAAGTCGATAACGTACCCCAGGTCACTGCTGCAACTCGAGGAAAACCATGAGACTTCCCCCTAGAGGCGAGATGAGGCCCCATTCCCCTGCAGTGCATGCAGAGCTATTCCGTGATCCCATTCAAACAAGTCAGGAGCTTCGACTTGCTTAATGGATCTCGAGACAGTCCCCAAGAACACTGTCACCAGTCTAGACGGACCCTGAGGTCACCCCAGCAACGCAAAGCAGCTCCATGTGCCCCAAATCAACTCGAGATGAGGCCCGATTCCCCTGCATTGACTCCAGAGCAATTCCCCGTTCCCCATTCAACACGACCGGTGGCTCGACTTCCTTCAGGCAACTCCAGAGATGCCCCGAGAACACTGTCCCAAGTCTAGAGGAACACCAACTTCAGCACAGCAATTCGAAGAATGCTCCGTGTACCCCAAATCGTCTCGAGATGAGAGCTGATTCCCTGGCTTAGGCTCAAGACGTATGCCAACTTTCCAGAAGCACCTCAGGAGGAGGCTTCTCTCAGCAATAGGTATGTGGGAGGGACCCCGAGTTTGCTGCCTCAAGGGGAATATACCGCGAGAAGACCTAACTTGAAAAGGAGGCCGGATTTCCATGCAGGGGCTTGAATACAGGCTCGTCTTTCATCTCACAATATGGAGGAATGTCTGAATCCCCTGTGTAGACCTTAGAGAAAGCCCTAGGTCCCTGCCTCATTTTGACGGAATGCCTCACATCCCGCTGACACCTCGAGAGGCACGCGGAGTTCATTGCTTCAAAAGGTGACGATGCCTGACTCCTCTTGAATACTGATAGGAATCCCAAAATCACTGTGGCTACTGGAAAGGGTCCTTGGGTGCCCTGCCTCACCTCGAGAAGCGTCCCTTTTGCCCTGCCAAGCCTTGAAGAGATTCCTGAGGTGTCCCTCGTTACTAGACAGGAGTCCTGACGTCACTGAAGAAACTCGTGTTTTGAAGGGCCATCCCCGCCGTAAGTCGAGAACATACCCCAGGTCCCCGCCGCAACTCGAGAAGAACCATGAGACTTCCCCCTAGAGGCGAGATGAGGCCCCATTCCCCTGCAGTACATGCAGAGCTATTCCGTGATCCCATTCAAACAAGTCAGGAGCTTCGACTTGCTTAATGGATCTCGAGAGAGTCCCCAAGAACACTGTCACCAGTCCAGACGGACCCTGAGGTCACCCCAGCAACGCAAAGCAGCTCCATGTGCCCCTAATCAACTCGAGATTAGGCCCGATTCCCCTGCATTGACTCCAGAGCCATTCCCCGTTCCCCATTCAACACGACCGGTGGCTCGACTTCCTTCAGGCAACTCCAGAGATGCCCCGAGAACACTGTCCCAAGTCTAGAGGAACACCAACTTCAGCACAGCAACTCGAGGAATGCTCCGTGTACCCCAAATCGTCTCGAGATGAGAGCTGATTCCCTGGCTTAGGCTCAAGACGTATGCCAACTTCCCAGAAGCACCTCAGGAGGAGGCTTCTCTCAGCAATAGGTATGTGGGAGGGACCATGAATTTGCTGCCTCAAGGGGAATATACAGCGAGAAGCCCTAACTTGAAAGGAGTCCGAATTTCCTTGTAGTGGCTTGAATACAGGCTCGTCTTTCATCTCACAACATGAAGGGATGTCTGAATCCCCTGTGGAGACCTTAGAGAAAGCCCTAGGTCCCTGCCTCATTTTGATGGAATGCCTCACATCCCGCTGACACCTCGAGAGGCACGCGGAGTTCATTGCTTCAAAAATGACGATGCCTGACGCCTCTTGAATATTGATAGGAATCCCAAAATCCCTGTGGCTACTGGAAAGGGTCCTTGGGTGCCCTGCCTCACCTCGAGAAGCGTCCCTTTTGCCCTGCCAGGCCTCGAAGGGATTCCTGAGGTGTCCCTCGTTACTAGACAGGAGTCCTGACGTCACTGAATAAACTCGTGTTTTGAAGGCCCATCCCCGCCGTAAGTGGAGAACATACCCCAGGTCCCCGCCGCAACTCGAGAAAAACCATGAGACTTCCCCCTAGAGGCGAGATGAGGCCCCATACCCCTGCAGTGCATGCAGAGCTATTCCGTGATCCCATTCAAACAAGTCAGGAGCTTCGACTTGCTTAATGGATCTCGAGACAGTCCCCAAGAACACTGTCACCAGTCTAGACGGACCCTGAGGTCACCCCAGCAACGCAAAGCAGCTCCATGTGCCCCAAATCAACTCGAGATGAGGCCCGTTTCCCCTGCTTTGACTCCAGAGCCATTCCCCGTTCCCCATTCAACACGACCGGTGGCTCGACTTCCTTCAGGCAACTCCAGAGATGCCCTGAGAACACTGTCCCAAGTCTAGAGGAACACCAACTTCAGCACAGCAACTCGAGGAATGCTCCGTGTACCCCAAATCGTCTCGAGATGAGAGCTGATTCCCTGGCTTAGGCTCAAGACGTATGCCAACTCCGCAGAAGTACCTCAGGAGGAGGCTTCTCTCAGCAATAGGTATGTGGGAGGGACCACGAGTTTGCTGCCTCAAGGGGAATATACAGCGAGAAGCCCTAACTTGAAAGGAGGCCGGATTTCCTTGCAGTGGCTTGAATACAGGCTCGTCTTTCATCTCACAACATGAAGGGATGTCCGAATGCCCTGTGGAGACCTTAGAGAAAGCCCTAGGTCCCTGCCTCATTTTGACGGAATGCCTCACATCCCGCTGACACCTCGAGAGGCACGCGGAGTTCATTGCTTCAAAAGGTGACGATGCCTGACTCCTCTTGAATACTGATAGGAATCCCAAAATCCCTGTGGCTACTGGAAAGGGTCCTTGGGTGCCCTGCCTCACCTCGAGAAGCGTCCCTTTTGCCCTGCCAAGCCTCGAAGAGATTCCTGAGGTGTCCCTCGTTACTAGACAGGAGTCCTGACGTCACTGAAGAAACTCGTGTTTTGAAGGGCCATCCCCGCCGTAAGTCGATAACGTACCCCAGGTCACTGCTGCAACTCGAGGAAAACCATGAGACTTCCCCCTAGAGGCGAGATGAGGCCCCATTCCCCTGCAGTGCATGCAGAGCTATTCCGTGATCCCATTCAAACAAGTCAGGAGCTTCGACTTGCTTAATGGATCTCGAGACAGTCCCCAAGAACACTGTCACCAGTCTAGACGGACCCTGAGGTCACCCCAGCAACGCAAAGCAGCTCCATGTGCCCCAAATCAACTCGAGATGAGGCCCGATTCCCCTGCATTGACTCCAGAGCAATTCCCCGTTCCCCATTCAACACGACCGGTGGCTCGACTTCCTTCAGGCAACTCCAGAGATGCCCCGAGAACACTGTCCCAAGTCTAGAGGAACACCAACTTCAGCACAGCAATTCGAAGAATGCTCCGTGTACCCCAAATCGTCTCGAGATGAGAGCTGATTCCCTGGCTTAGGCTCAAGACGTATGCCAACTTTCCAGAAGCACCTCAGGAGGAGGCTTCTCTCAGCAATAGGTATGTGGGAGGGACCCCGAGTTTGCTGCCTCAAGGGGAATATACCGCGAGAAGACCTAACTTGAAAAGGAGGCCGGATTTCCATGCAGGGGCTTGAATACAGGCTCGTCTTTCATCTCACAATATGGAGGAATGTCTGAATCCCCTGTGTAGACCTTAGAGAAAGCCCTAGGTCCCTGCCTCATTTTGACGGAATGCCTCACATCCCGCTGACACCTCGAGAGGCACGCGGAGTTCATTGCTTCAAAAGGTGACGATGCCTGACTCCTCTTGAATACTGATAGGAATCCCAAAATCACTGTGGCTACTGGAAAGGGTCCTTGGGTGCCCTGCCTCACCTCGAGAAGCGTCCCTTTTGCCCTGCCAAGCCTTGAAGAGATTCCTGAGGTGTCCCTCGTTACTAGACAGGAGTCCTGACGTCACTGAAGAAACTCGTGTTTTGAAGGGCCATCCCCGCCGTAAGTCGAGAACATACCCCAGGTCCCCGCCGCAACTCGAGAAGAACCATGAGACTTCCCCCTAGAGGCGAGATGAGGCCCCATTCCCCTGCAGTACATGCAGAGCTATTCCGTGATCCCATTCAAACAAGTCAGGAGCTTCGACTTGCTTAATGGATCTCGAGAGAGTCCCCAAGAACACTGTCACCAGTCCAGACGGACCCTGAGGTCACCCCAGCAACGCAAAGCAGCTCCATGTGCCCCTAATCAACTCGAGATTAGGCCCGATTCCCCTGCATTGACTCCAGAGCCATTCCCCGTTCCCCATTCAACACGACCGGTGGCTCGACTTCCTTCAGGCAACTCCAGAGATGCCCCGAGAACACTGTCCCAAGTCTAGAGGAACACCAACTTCAGCACAGCAACTCGAGGAATGCTCCGTGTACCCCAAATCGTCTCGAGATGAGAGCTGATTCCCTGGCTTAGGCTCAAGACGTATGCCAACTTCCCAGAAGCACCTCAGGAGGAGGCTTCTCTCAGCAATAGGTATGTGGGAGGGACCATGAATTTGCTGCCTCAAGGGGAATATACAGCGAGAAGCCCTAACTTGAAAGGAGTCCGAATTTCCTTGTAGTGGCTTGAATACAGGCTCGTCTTTCATCTCACAACATGAAGGGATGTCTGAATCCCCTGTGGAGACCTTAGGGAAAGCCCTAGGTCCCTGCCTCATTTTGATGGAATGCCTCACATCCCGCTGACACCTCGAGAGGCACGCGGAGTTCATTGCTTCAAAAATGACGATGCCTGACGCCTCTTGAATATTGATAGGAATCCCAAAATCCCTGTGGCTACTGGAAAGGGTCCTTGGGTGCCCTGCCTCACCTCGAGAAGCGTCCCTTTTGCCCTGCCAGGCCTCGAAGGGATTCCTGAGGTGTCCCTCGTTACTAGACAGGAGTCCTGACGTCACTGAATAAACTCGTGTTTTGAAGGCCCATCCCCGCCGTAAGTGGAGAACATACCCCAGGTCCCCGCCGCAACTCGAGAAAAACCATGAGACTTCCCCCTAGAGGCGAGATGAGGCCCCATACCCCTGCAGTGCATGCAGAGCTATTCCGTGATCCCATTCAAACAAGTCAGGAGCTTCGACTTGCTTAATGGATCTCGAGACAGTCCCCAAGAACACTGTCACCAGTCTAGACGGACCCTGAGGTCACCCCAGCAACGCAAAGCAGCTCCATGTGCCCCAAATCAACTCGAGATGAGGCCCGTTTCCCCTGCTTTGACTCCAGAGCCATTCCCCGTTCCCCATTCAACACGTCCGGTGGCTCGACTTCCTTCAGGCAACTCCAGAGATGCCCTGAGAACACTGTCCCAAGTCTAGAGGAACACCAACTTCAGCACAGCAACTCGAGGAATGCTCCGTGTACCCCAAATCGTCTCGAGATGAGAGCTGATTCCCTGGCTTAGGCTCAAGACGTATGCCAACTCCCCAGAAGCACCTCAGGAGGAGGCTTCTCTCAGCAATAGGTATGTGGGAGGGACCCCGAGTTTGCTGCCTCAAGGGGAATATACCGCGAGAAGCCCTAACTTGAAAAGGAGGCCGGATTTCCATGCAGGGGCTTGAATACAGGCTCGTCTTTCATCTCACAACATGAAGGGATGTTTGAATCGCCTGTGGAGACCTTAGAGAAAGCCCTAGGTCCCAGCCTCATTTTCACGGAATGCCTCACATCCCGCTGACACCTCGAGAGGCACGCGGAGTTCATTGCTTCAAAAGGTGACGATGCCTGACTCCTCTTGAATACTGATACGAATCCCAAAATCGCTGTGGCTACTGGAAAGGGTCCTTGGGTGACCTGCCTCACCTCGAGAAGCGTCCCTTTTGCCCTGCCAAGCCTCGAAGAGATTCCTGAGGTGTCCCTCGTTACTAGACAGGAGTCCTGACGTCACTGAAGTAACTCGTGTTTTGAAGGGCCATCCCCGCCGTAAGTCGAGAACATACCCCAGGTCCCGGCCGCAACTCGAGAAAAACCATGAGACTTCCCCCTAGAGGCGAGATGAGGCCCCATTCCCCTGTAGTGCATGCAGAGCTATTCCGTGATCCCATTCAAACAAGTCAGGAGCTTCAACTTGCTTAATGGATCTCGAGACAGTCCCCAAGAACACTGTCACCAGTCTAGACGGACCCTGAGGTCACCCCAGCAACGCAAAGCAGCTCCATGTGCCCCAAATCAACTCGAGATGAGGCCCGATTCCCCTGCATTGACTCCAGATCCATTCCCCGTTCCACATTCAACACGACCGGTGGCTCGACTTCCTTCAGGCAACTCCAGAGATGCCCCGAGAACACTGTCCCAAGTCTAGAGTAACACCAACTTCAGCACAGCAACTCGAGGAATGCTCCGTGTACCCCAAATCGTCTCGAGATGAGAGCTGATTCCCTGGCTTAGGCTCAAGACGTATGCCAACTTCCCAGAAGCACCTCAGGAGGAGGCTACTCTCAGCAATAGGTATGTGGGAGGGACCCCGAGTTTGCTGCCTCAAGGGGAATATACAGCGAGAAGCCCTAACTTGAGAGGAGGCCGGATTTCCTTGCAGTGGCTTGAATACAGGCTCGTCTTTCATCTCACAACATGAAGGGATGTCTGAATCCCCTGTGGAGACCTTAGAGAAAGCCCTAGGTCCCTGTCTCATTTTGACGGAATGCCTCACATCCCGCTGACACCTCGAGAGGCACGCGGAGTTCATTGCTTCAAAAGGTGACGATGCCTGACTCCTCTTGAATACTGATAGGAATCCCAAAATCCCTGTGGCTACTGGAAAGGGTCCTTGGGTGCCCTGCCTCACCTCGAGAAGCGTCCCTTTTGCCCTGCCAAGCCTCGAAGAGATTCCTGAGGTGTCCCTCGTTACTAGACAGGAGTCCTGACGTCACTGAAGAAACTCGTGTTTTGAAGGCCCATCCCCGCCGTAAGTCGAGAACATACCCCAGGTCCCCGCCGCAACTCGAGAAAAACCATGAGACTTCCCCCTAGAGGCGAGATGAGGGCTCATTCCCCTGTAGTGCATGCAGAGCTATTCCGTGATCCCATTCAAACAAGTCAGGAGCTTCGACTTGCTTAATGGATCTCGAGACAGTCCCCAAGAACACTGTCACCAGTCTAGACGGACCCTGAGGTCACCCCAGCAACGCAAAGCAGCTCCATGTGCCCCAAATCAACTCGAGATGAGGCCCGATTCCCATGCATTGACTCCAGAGCCATTCCCCGTTCCCCATTCAACACGACCGGTGGCTCGACTTCCTTCAGGCAACTCCAGAGATGCCCCGAGAACACTCTCCCTAGTCTAGAGGAACACCAACTTCAGCACAGCAACTCGAGGAATGCTCCGTGTACCCCAAATTGTCTCGAGATTAGAGCTGATTCCCTGGCTTAGGCTCAAGACGTATGCCAACTTCCCAGAAGCAACTCAGGAGGAGGCTTCTCTCAGAAATATGTATGTGGGAGGGACCCCGAGTTTGCTGCCTCAAGGGGAATATACAGTGAGAAGCCCTAACTTGAAAGGAGGCCGGATTTCCTTGCAGTGGCTTGAATACAGGCTCGTCTTTCATCTCACAACATGAAGGGTGTCTGAATCCCCTGTGGAGACATTAGAGAAAGCCCTAGGTCCCTGCCTCATTTTGACAGAATGCCTCACATCCCGCTGACACCTCGAGATGCACGCGGAGTTCATTGCTTCAAAAGGTGAGGATGCCTGATTCCTCTTGAATACTGATAAGAATCCCAAATCCCTGTGGCTACTGGAAAGGGTCCTTGGGTGCCCTGCCTCACCTCAAGAAGCGTCCCTTTTGCCCTGCCAAGCCTCGAAAAGATTCCTGAGGTGTCCCTCGTTACTAGACAGGAGTCCTGACGTCACTGAAGAAACTCGTGTTTTGAAGGGCCATCCCCGCCGTAAGTCGAGAACATACCCCAGCTCCCCGTCGCAACTCGAGAAAAACCATGAGACTTCCCCCTAGAGGCGAGATGAGGCCCCATTCCCCTGCAGTGCATGCAGAGCTATTCCGTGATCCCATTCAAACAAGTCAGGAGATTCGATTTGCTCAATGGATCTCGAGACAGTACCCAAGAACACTGTCACCAGTCTAGACGGACCCTGAGGTCACCCCACCAACGCAAAGCAGCTTCATGTGCCCCAGATCAACTCGAGATGAGGCCCGATTCCCCTGCATTGACTCCAGGGCCATTCCCCGTTCCCCATTCAACACGACCGGTGGCTCGACTTCCTTCAGGCAACTCCAGAGATGCCCCGAGAACACTGTCCCAAGTCTAGAGTAACACCAACTACAGCACAGCAACTCGAGGAATGATCCGTGTACCCCAAATCGTCTCGAGATGAGAGCTGATTCCCTGGCTTAGGTTCAAGACGTATGCCAACTTCCCAGAAGCACCTCAGGAGGAGGCTTCTCTCAGCAATAGGTATGTGGGAGGGACCCCGAGTTTGCTGCCTCAAGGGGAATATAGAGAGAGAAGCCCTAACTTGAAAGGAGGCCGGATTTCCATTCAGGGGCTTGAAAACAGGCTCGTCTTTCATCTCACAACATGAAGGGATGTCTGAATCCCCTGTGGAGACCTTAGAGAAAGCCCTAGGTCCCTGCGTCATTTTGACAGAATGCCTCACATCCCGCTGACACCTCAAGAGGCTCGCCGAGTTCATTGCTTCAAAAGGTGACGATGCCTGACTACTCTTGAATACTGATAGGAATCCCAAAATCCCTGTGGCTACTGGAAAGGGTCCTTGGGTGCCCTGCCTCACCTCGAGAAGCGTCCCTTTTGCCCTGCCAGGCCTCGAAGAGATTCCTGAGGTGTCCCTCGATACTAGACAGGAGTCCTGACGTCACTGAAGAAACTCGTGTTTTGAAGGGCCATCCCCGCCGTAAGTCGAGAACATACCCCAGGTCCCCGCCGCAACTCGAGAAAAACCATGAGACTTCCCCCTAGAGGCGAGATGAGGCCCCATTCCCCTGTAGTGCATGCAGAGCTATTCCGTGATCCCATTCAAACAAGTCAGGAGCTTCGACTTGCTTAATGGATCTCGAGACAGTCCCCAAGAACACTGTCACCAGTCTAGACGGACCCTGAGGTCAACCCAGCAACGCAAAGCAGCTCCATGTGCCCCAAATCAACTCGAGATGAGGCTCGTTTCCCCTGCATTGACTCCAGAGCCATTCCCCGTTCCCCATTCAACACGACCGGTGGCTCGACTTCCTTCAGGCAACTCCAAAGATGCCCTGAGAACACTCTCCCAAGTCTAGAGGAACACCAACTTCAGCACAGCAACTCGAGGAATGCTCCGTGTACCCCAAATCGTCTCGAGATGAGAGCTGATTCCCTGGCTTAGGCTCAAGACCTATGCCAACTCCCCAGAAGCACCTCAGGAGGAGGCTTCTCTCAGCAATAGGTATGTGGGAGGGACCCCGAGTTTGCTGCCTCAAGGGGAATATACAGCGAGAAGCCCTAACTTGAAAGGAGGCCGGATTTCCTTGCAGTGGCTTGAATACAGGCTCGTCTTTCATCTCACAACATGAAGGGATGTCTGAAAGCCCTGTGGAGACCTTAGAGAAAGCCCTAGGTCCCTGCCTCATTTTGTCGGAATGCCTCACATCACGCTGACACCTCGAGAGGCACGCGGAGTTCATTGCTTCAAAAGGTGACGATGCCTGACTCCTCTTGAATACTGATAGGAATCCCAAAATCCCTGTGGCTACTGGAAAGGGTCCTTGGGTGCCCTGCCTCACCTCGAGAAGCGTCCGTTTTGCCCTGCCAAGCCTCGAAGAGATTCCTGAGGTGTCCCTTGTTACTAGACAGGAGTCCTGACGTCACTGAAGAAACTCGTGTTTTGAAGGGCCATCCCCGCCGTAAGTCGAGAGCATACCCCAGGTCCCTGCCACAACTCGAGAAAAACCATGAGACTTCCCCCTAGAAGCGAGATGATTCCCCATTCCCCTGCAGTGCATGCAGAGCTATTCCGTGATCCCATTCAAACAAGTCAGGAGCTTCGACTTGCTTAATGGATCTCGAGACAGTCCCCAAGAACACTGTCAGAAGTCCAGACGGACGCTGAGGTCACCCCAGCAACGCAAAGCAGCTTCATGTGCCCCAGATCAACTCGAGATGAGGCCCGATTCCCCTGCATTGACTCCAGAGCCATTCCCCATTCCCCATTCAACACGACCAGTGGCTCGACTTCCTTCAGGCAACTCCAGAGATGCCCCGAGAACACTGTCCCAAGTCTAGAGGAACACCAACTTCAGCACAGCAACTCGCACAATGCTCCGTGTACCCCAAATCGTCTCGAGATGAGAGCTGATTCCCTGGCTTAGGCTCAAGACGTATGCCAACTTTCCAGAAGCACCTCAGGAGGAGGCTTCTCTCAGCAATAGGTATGTGGGAGGGACCCCGAGTTTGCTGCCTCAAGGGGAATATACCGCGAGAAGCCCTAACTTGAAAGGAGGCCGGATTTCCTTGCAGTGGCTTGAATACAGGCTCGTCTTTCATGTCACAATATGGAGGAATGTCTGAATCCCCTGTGTAGACCTTAGAGAAAGCCCTAGGTCCCTTCCTCATTTTGACGGAATGCCTCACATCCCGCTGACACCTCGAGAGGCACGCGGAGTTCATTGCTTCAAAAGGTGACGATGCCTGACTCCTCTTGAATACTGATAGGAATCCCAAAATCACTGTGGCTACTGGAAAGGGTCCTTGGGTGCCCTGCCTCACCTCGAGAAGCGTCCCTTTTGCCCTGCCAAGCCTCGAAGAGATTCCTGAGGTGTCCCTCGTTACTAGACCGGAGTCCTGACGTCACTGAAGAAACTCATGTTTTGAAGGGCCATCCCCGCCGTAAGTCGAGAACATACCCCAGGTCCCCGCCGCAACTCGAGAAGAACCATGAGACTTCCCCCTAGAGGCGAGATGAGGCCCCATTCCCCTGCAGTGCATGCAGAGCTATTCCGTGATCCCATTCAAACAAGTCAGGAGCTTCGACTTGCTTAATGGATCTCGAGACAGTCCCCAAGAACACTGTCACCAGTCCAGACGGACCCTGAGGTCACACCAGCACCGCAAAGCAGCTCCATGTGCCCCAAATCAACTCGAGATGAGGCCCGATTCCCCTGCATTGACTCCAGAGCCATTCCCCGTTCCACATTCAACACGACCGGTGGCTCGACTTCCTTCAGGCAACTCCAGAGATGCCCCGAGAACACTGTCCCAAGTCTAGAGGAACACCAACTTCAGCACAGCAACTCGAAGAATGCTCCGTGTACCCCAAATCGTCTCGAGATGAGAGCTGATTCCCTGGCTTAGGCTCAAGACGTATGCCAACTTTCCAGAAGCACCTCAGGAGGAGGCTTCTCTCAGCAATAGGTATGTGGGAGGGACACCGAGTTTGCTGCCTCAAGGGGAATATACAGCGAGAAGCCCTAACTTGAAACGAAGCCAGATTTCCTTGCAGCGGCTTGAATACAGGCTCGTCTTTCATCTCACAACATGAAGGTATGTCTGAATCCCCTGTGGAGACCTTAGAGAAAGCCCTAGGTCCCTGCCTCATTTTGACGGAATGCCTCACATCCCGCTGACACCTCGAGAGGCACGCGGAGTTAATTGCTTCAAAAATGACAATGCCTGACTCCTCTTGAATACTGATAGGAATCCCAAAATCCCTGTGGCTACTGGAAAGGGTCCTTGGGTGCCCTGCCTCACCTCGAGAAGAATCCCTTTTGCCCTGGCAAGCCTCGAAGAGATTCCTGAGGTGTCCCTCGTTACTAGACAGGAGTCCTGACGTCACTGAAGAAACTCGTGTTTTGAAGGGCCATCCCCGCCGTAAGTCGAGAACATACCCCAGGTCCACGCCGCAACTCGAGAAAAACCATGAGACTTCCCCCTAGAGGCGAGATGAGGCCCCATTCCCCTGCAGTGCATGCAGAGCTATTCCGTGATCCCATTCAAACAAGTCAGGAGCTTCGACTTGCTTAATGGATCTCGAGACAGTCCCCAAGAACACTGTCACCAGTCCAGATGGACACTGAGGTCACCCCAGCAACGCAAAGCAGCTCCATGTGCCTCAAATCAACTCGAGATGAGGACCGATTCCCCTGCATTGACTCCAGAGCCATTCCCCGTTCGCCATTCAACACGACCGGTGGCTCGACTTCCTTCAGGCAACTCCAGAGATGCCCCGAGAACACTGTCTCAAGTCTAGAGGAACACCAACTTCAGCACAGCAACTCGAGGAATGCTCCGTGTACCCCAAATCGTCTCGAGATGAGAGCTGATCCCTGGCTTACGCTCAAGACGTATGCCAACATCCCAGAAGCACCTCAGGAGGAGGCTTCTCTCAGCAATAGGTATTTGGCAGGGACCCCGAGTTTGCTGCCTCAAGGGGAATATACAGCGAGAAGCCCTAACTTGAAAGGAGTCCGAATTTCCTTGCAGTGGCTTGAATACAGGCTCGTCTTTCATCTCACAACATGAAGGGATGTCTGAATCCCCTGTGGAGACCTTAGAGAAAGCCCTAGGTCCCTGCCTCATTTTGACGGAATGCCTCACATCCCGCTGACACCTCGAGAGGCACGCGGAGTTCATTGCTTCAAAAGGTGACGATGCCTGACTCCTCTTGAATACTGATAGGAATCCCAAAATCCCTGTGGCTACTGGAAAGGGTCCTTGGGTGCCCTGCCTCACCTCGAGAAGCGTCCCTTTTGCCCTGCCAAGCCTCGAAGAGATTCCTGAGGTGTCCCTCGTTACTAGACAGGAGTCCTGACGTCACTGAAGAAACTCGTGTTTTGAAGGGCCATCCCCGCCGTAAGTCGAGAACATACCCCAGGTCCCTGCCGCAACTCGAGAAAAACCATGAGACTTCCCCCTGGAGGCGAGATGAGGCCCCATTCCCCTGCAGTGCATGCAGAGCTATTCCGTGATCCCATTCAAACAAGTCAGGAGCTTCGACTTGCTTAATGGATCTCGAGACAGTCCCCAAGAACACTGTCACCAGTCTAGACGGACCCTGAGGTCACCCCAGCAATGCAAAGCAGCTCCATGTGCCCCAAATCAACTCGAGATGAGGCCCGATTCCCCTGCATTGACTCCAGAGCCATTCCCCGTTCCCCATTCAACACGACCGGTGGCTCGACTTCCTTCAGGCAACTCCAGAGATGCCCCGAGAACACTGTCCCAAGTCTAGAGGAACACCAACTTCAGCACAGCAACTCGAAGAATGCTCCGTGTACCCCAAATCGTCTCGAGATGAGAGCTGATTCCCTGGCTTAGGCTCAAGACGTATGCCAACTTTCCAGAAGCACCTCAGGAGGAGGCTTCTCTCAGCAATAGGTATGTGGGAGGGACCCCGAGTTTGCTGCCTCAAGGGGAATATACCGCGAGAAGCCCTAACTTGAAAGGAGGCCGGATTTCCTTGCAGTGGCTTGAATACAGGCTCGTCTTTCATCTCACAATATGGAGGGATGTCTGAATCCCCTGTGTAGACCTTAGATTAAGCCCTAGGTCCCTGCCTCATTTTGACGGAATGCCTCACATCCCAATGACACCTCGAGAGGCACGCGGAGTTCATTGCTTCAAAAGGTGACGATGCCTGACTCCTCTTGAATACTGATAGGAATCCCAAAATCCCTGTGGCTACTGGAAAGGGTCCTTGGGTGCCCTGCCTCACATCGAGAAGCATCCCTTTTGCCCTGCCAAGCCTCGAAGAGATTCCTGAGGTGTCCCTCGTTACTAGACAGGAGTCCTGACGTCACTGAAGAAACTCGTGTTTTGAAGGGCCATCCCCGCCGTAAGTCGAGAACATACCCCAGGTCCCCGCCGCAACTCGAGAAAAACCATGAAACTTCCCCCTAGAGGCGAGATGAGGCCCCATTCCCCTGCAGGGCATGCAGAGCTATTCCGTGATCCCATTCAAACAAGGCAGGAGCTTCGACTTGCTTAATGGATCTCGAGACAGTCCCCAAGAACACTGTCACCAGTCCAGACGGACCCTGAGGTCACCCCAGCACCGCAAAGCAGCTCCATGTGCCCCAAATCAACTCGAGATGAGGCCCGATTCCCCTGCATTGACTCCAGAGCCATTCCCCGTTCCCCATTCAACACGACCGGTGGCTCGACTTCCTTCAGGCAACTCCAGAAATGCCCCGAGAACACTGTCCCAAGTCTAGAGGAACACCAACTTCAGCACAGCAACTCGAGGAATGCTCCGTGTACCCCAAATCGTCTCGAGATGAGAGCTGATTCCCTGGCTTAGGCTCAAGACGTATGCCAACTTCCCAGAAGCACCTCAGGAGGAGGCTTCTCTCAGCAATAGGTATGTGGGAGGGACCCCGAGTTTGCTGCCTCAAGGGGAATATACCGCGAGAAGCCCTAACTTGAAAGGAGGCCGGATTTCCTTGCAGGGGCTTGAATACAGGCTCGTCTTTCATCTCACAACATGAAGGGATTTCTGAATCCCCTGTGGAGACCTTAGAGAAAGCCCTAGGTCCCTGCCTCATTTTGACGGAATGCCTCACATCCCGCTGACACCTCGAGAGGCACGCGGAGTTCATTGCTTCAAAAGTGATGATGCCTGACTCCTCTTGAATACCGATAGGAATCCCAAAATCCCTGTGGCTACTGGAAAGGGTCCTTGGGTGCACTGCCTCACCTCGAGAAGCGTCCCTTTTGCCCTGCCAAGCCTCGAAGAGATTCCTGAGGTGTCCCTCGTTACTAGACAGGAGTCCTGACGTCACTGAAGAAACTCGTGGTTTGAAGGGCCATCCCCGCCATAAGTCGAGGACATAGCCCAGGTCCCCATCGCAAGTCGAGAAAAACCATGAGACTTCCCCCTAGAGGGGAGATGAGGCCCCATTCCCCTGCAATGCATGCAGAGCTATTCCGTGATCACATTCAAACAAGTCAGGAGCTTCGACTTGCTTAATGGATCTCGAGACAGTCCGCAAGAACACTGTCACCAGTCTAGACGGACCATGAGGTCACCCCAGCAACGCAAAGCAGCTCCATGTGCCCCAAATCAACTCGAGATGAGGCCCGATTCCGCTGCATTGGCTCCAGAGCCATTCCCCGTTCCCCATTCAACACGACCGGTGGCTCGAGTTCCTTCAGGCAACTCCAGAGATGCCCCGAGAACACTGTCCCAAGTCTAGAGGAACAACAACTTCAGCACAGCAACTCGAGGAATGATACGTGTACCCCAAATCGTCTCGAGATGAGAGCTGATTCCCTGGCTTAGGCTCAAGACGTATGCCAACTTCCCAGAAGCAACTCAGGAGGAGGCTTCTCTCAGCAATAGGTATGTGGGAGGGACCCCGAGTTTGCTGCCTCAAGGGGAATATACAGCGAGAAGCCCTAACTTGAAAGGAGTACGAATTTCCTTGCAGGGGCTTGAATACAGGCTCGTCTTTCATCTCACAACATGAAGGGATGTCTGAATCCCCTGTGGAGACCTTAGAGAAAGTCCTAGGTCCCTGCCTCATTTTGACGGAATGCCTCACATCCCGCTGACACCTCGAGAGGCACGCGGAGTTAATTGCTTCAAAAATGACGATGCCTGACTCCTCTTGAATACTGATAGGAATCCCAAAATCCCTGTGGCTACTGGAAAGGGTCCTTGGGTGCCCTGCCTCACATCGAGAAGCGTCCCTTTTGCCCTGCCAAGCCTCGAAGAGATTCCTGAGGTGTCCCACGTTACTAGACAGGACTCCTGACGTCACTGAAGAAACTCGTGTTTTGAAGGGCCATCCCCGCCGTAAGTCGAGAACATACCCCAGGTCCCCGCCGCAACTCGAGAAAAACCATGAGACTTCCCCCCTAGAGGCGAGATGAGGCCCCATTCCCCTGCAGTGCATGCAGAGCTATTCCGTGATCCCATTCAAACAAGTCAGGAGCTTCGACTTGCTTAATGGATCTCGAGACAGTCCCCAAGAACACTGTCACCAGTCTAGACGGACCCTGAGGTCACCCCAGCACCGCAAAGCAGCTCCATGTGCCCCAAATCAACTCGAGATGAGGCCCGATTCCCCTGCATTGACTCCAGAGCCATTCCCCGTTCCCCATTCAACACGACCGGTGGCTCGACTTCCTTCAGGCAACTCCAGAGATGCCCCGAGAACACTGTCCCTAGTCTAGAGGAACACCAACTTCAGCACAGCAACTCGAGGAATGCTCCGTGTACCCCAAATCATCTCGAGATGAGAGCTGATTCCCTGGCTTAGGCTCAAGACGTATGCCAACTCCCCAGAAGCACCTCAGGAGGAAGCTTCTCTCAGCAATAGGTATCTGGGAGGGACCCCGAGTTTGCTGCCTCAAGGGGAATATACCGCGAGAAGCCCTAACTTGAAAGGAGGCCGGATTTCCTTGCAGTGGCTTGAATACAGGCTCGTCTTTCATCTCACAACATGAAGGGATGTCTGAATCCCCTGTGGAGACTTTAGAGAAAGCCCTAGGTCCCTGCCTCATTTTGACCGAATCGTCACATCCCGCTGACACCTCGAGAGGCACGCGGAGTTCATTGCTTCAAAAATGACGATGCCTGACTCCTCTTGAATACTGATAGGAATCCCAAAATCCCTGTGGCTACTGGAAAGCGTCCTTGGGTGCCCTGCCTCACCTCGAGAAGCATCCCTTTTGCCCTGGCAAGCCTCGAAGAGATTCCTGAGGTGTCCCTCGTTACTAGACAGGAGTCCTGACGTCACTGAAGAAACTCGTGTTTTGAAGGGCCATCCCCGCCGTAAGTCGAGAACATACCCCAGGTCCCCGCCGCAACTCGAGAAAAACCATGAGACTTCCCCCTAGAGGCGAGATGAGGCCCCATTTCCCTGCAGTGCATGCAGAGCTATTCCGTGATCCCATTCATACAAGTCAGGAGCTTCGACTTGCTTAATGGATCTCGAGAAAGTCCCCAAGAACACTGTCACCAGTCTAGACGGACCCTGAGGTCACCACAGTAACGCAAAGCAGCTCCATGTGCCCCAAATCAACTCGAGATGGGGCCCGATTCCCCTGCATTGACTCCAGAGCCATTCCTCGTTCCCCATTCAACACGACCGGTGGCTCGACTTCCTTCAGGAAACTCCAGAGATGCCCCAAGAACACTGTCCCAAGTCTTGAGGAACACCAACTTCAGCACAGCAACTGGAGGAATGCTCCGTGTACCCCAAATCGTCTCGAGATGAGAGCTGATTCCCTCGCTTAGGCTCAAGACGTATGCCAACTTTCCAGAAGCACCTCAGGAGGAGGCTTCTCTCAGCAATAGGTATGTGGGAGGGACCCCGAGTTTGCTGCCTCAAGGGGAATATACCGCGAGAAGCCCTAACTTGAAAGGAGGCCGGATTTCCTTGCAGGGGCTTGAATACAGGCTCGTCTTTCATCTCACAACATGAAGGGATGTCAGAATCCCCTGTGGAGACCTTAGAGAAAGCCCTAGGTCCCTGCCTCATTTTGACGGAATGCCTCACATCCCGCTGACACCTCGAGAGGCACGCGGAGTTCATTGCTTCAAAAGGTGACGATGCCTGACTCCTCTTGAATACTGATAGGAATCACAAACTCGCTGTGGCTACTGGAAAGGGTCCTTGGGTGCCCTGCCTCACCTCGAGAAGCGTACCTTTTGCCTGCCAAGCCTCGAAGAGATTCCTGAGGTGTCCCTCGTTACTAGACAGCAGTCCTGATGTCACTGAAGAAACTCGTGTTTTGAAGGGCCATCCCCGCCGTAAGTCGAGGACATAGCCCAGGTCCCCATCGCAAGTCCATAAAAACCATGAGACTTCCCCCTAGAGGGGAGATGACCCCCATTCCCCTGCAATGCATGCAGAGTTATTCCGTGATCCCATTCAAACAAGTCAGGAGCTTCGACTTGCTTAATGGATCTCGAGACAGTCCCCAAGAACACTGTCACCAGTCTAGACGGACCCTGAGGTCACCCCAGCAACGCAAAGCAGCTCCATGTGCCCCAAATCAAATCGAGATGCGGCCCGATTCCCCTGCATTGACTCCAGAGCCATTCCCCGTTTCCCATTCAACACGACTGGTGGCTCGACGTCCTTCAGGCAACTCCAGAGATGCCCTGAGAACACTGTCCCAAGTCTAGAGGAACACCAACTTCAGCACAGCAACTCGAGGAATGCTCCGTGTACCCCAAATCGTCTCGAGATGAGAGCTGATTCCCTGGCTTAGGCTCAAGACGTACACCAACTCCCCAGAAGCACCTCAGGAGGAGGCTTCTCTCAGCAATAGGTATGTGGGAGAGACCCCGAGTTTGCTGCCTCAAGGGGAATATACAGCGAGAAGCTCTAACTTGAAAGGAGGCCGGATTTCCTTGCAGTGGCTTGAATACAGGCTCGTCTTTCATCTCACAACATGAAGGGATGTCTGAATGCCCTGTGGAGACCTTAGAGAAAGCCCTAGGTCCCTGCCTCATTTTGACGGAATGCCTCACATCCCGCTGACACCACGAGAGGCACGCGGAGTTCATTGCTTCAAAAGGTGACGATGCCTGACTCCTCTTGAATACTGATAGGAATCCCAAAAATCCTGTGGCTACTGGAAAGGGTCCTTGGGTGCCCTGCCTCACCTCGAGAAGCGTTCCTTTTGCCCTGCCAAGCCTCGAAGAGATTCCTGAGGTGTCCCTCTTTACTAGACAGGAGTCCTGACGTCACTGAAGAAACTCGTGTTTTGAAGGGCCATCCCCGCCGTAAGTCGAGAACATACCCCAGGTCCCCGCCGCAACTCGAGAAAAACCATGAGACTTCCCCCTAGAGGCGAGATGAGGCCCCATTCCCCTGCAGTGCATGCAGAGCTATTCCGTGATCCCATTCAAACAAGTCAGGAGCTTCGACTTGCTTAATGGATCTCGAGACAGTCCCCAAGAACACTGTCACCAGTCTAGACGGACCCTGAGGTCAACCCAGCAACGCAAAGCAGCTCCATGTGCCCCAAATCAACTCGAGATGAGGCTCGTTTCCCCTGCATTGACTCAAGAGCCATTACCCGTTCCCCATTCAACACGACCGGTGGCTCGACTTCCTTCATGCAACTCCAAAGATGCCCTGAGAACACTCTCCCAAGTCTAGAGGAACACCAACTTCAGCACAGCAACTCGAGGAATGCTCCGTGTACCCCAAATCGTCTCGAGATGAGAGCTGATTCCCTGGCTTAGGCTCAAGACCTATGCCAACTCCCCAGAAGCACCTCAGGAGGAGGCTTCTCTCAGCAATAGGTATGTGGGAGGGACCCCGAGTTTGCTGCCTCAAGGGGAATATACAGCGAGAAGCCCTAACTTGAAAGGAGGCCGGATTTCCTTGCAGTGGCTTGAATACAGGCTCGTCTTTCATCTCACAACATGAAGGGATGTCTGAAAGCCCTGTGGAGACCTTAGAGAAAGCCCTAGGTCCCTGCCTTATTTTGTCGGAATGCCTCACATCACGCTGACACCTCGAGAGGCACGCGGAGTTCATTGCTTCAAAAGGTGACGATGCCTGACTCCTCTTGAATACTGATAGGAATCCCAAAATCCCTGTGGCTACTGGAAAGGGTCCTTGGGTGCCCTGCCTCACCTCGAGAAGCGTCCGTTTTGCCCTGCCAAGCCTCGAAGAGATTCCTGAGGTGTCCCTCGTTACTAGACAGGAGTCCTGACGTCACTGAAGAAACTCGTGTTTTGAAGGGCCATCCCCGCCGTAAGTCGAGAACATACCCCAGGTCCCCGCCGCAACTCGAGAAAAACCATGAGACTTCCCTCTAGAGGCGAGATGAGGCCCCATACCCCTGCAGTGCATGCAGAGCTATTCCGTGATCCCATTCAAACAAGTCAGGAGCTTCGACTTGCTTAATGGATCTCGAGACAGTCCCCAAGAACACTGTCAGAAGTCCAGACGGACGCTGAGGTCACCCCAGCAATGCAAAGCAGCTTCATGTGCCCCAGATCAACTCGAGATGAGGCCCGATTCCCCTGCATTGACTCCAGAGCCATTCCCCATTCCCCATTCAACACGACCAGTGGCTCGACTTCCTTCAGGCAACTCCAGAGATGCCCCGAGAACACTGTCCCAAGTCTAGAGGAACACCAACTTCAGCACAGCAACTCGCACAATGCTCCGTGTACCCGAAATCGTCTCGAGATGAGAGCTGATTCCCTGGCTTAGGCTCAAGACGTATGCCAACTTTCCAGAAGCACCTCAGGAGGAGGCTTCTCTCAGCAATAGGTATGTGGGAGGGACCCCGAGTTTGCTGCCTCAAGGGGAATATACCGCGAGAAGCCCTAACTTGAAAGGAGGCCGGATTTCCTTGCAGTGGCTTGAATACAGGCTCGTCTTTCATCTCACAATATGGAGGAATGTCTGAATCCCCTGTGTAGACCTTAGAGAAAGCCCTAGGTCCCTTCCTCATTTTGACGGAATGCCTCACATCCCGCTGACACCTCGAGAGGCACGCGGAGTTCATTGCTTCAAAAGGTGACGATGCCTGACTCCTCTTGAATACTGATAGGAATCCCAAAATCACTGTGGCTACTGGAAAGGGTCCTTGGGTGCCCTGCCTCACCTCGAGAAGCGTCCCTTTTGCCCTGCCAAGCCTCGAAGAGATTCCTGAGGTGTCCCTCGTTACTAGACAGAAGTCCTGACGTCACTGAAGAAACTCATGTTTTGAAGGGCCATCCCCGCCGTAAGTCGAGAACATACCCCAGGTCCCCGCCGCAACTCGAGAAGAACCATGAGACTTCCCCCTAGAGGCGAGATGAGGCCCCATTCCCCTGCAGTGCATGCAGAGCTATTCCGTGATCCCATTCAAACAAGTCAGGAGCTTCGACTTGCTTAAAGGATCTCGAGACAGTCCCCAAGAACACTGTCACCAGTCCAGACGGACCCTGAGGTCACACCAGCACCGCAAAGCAGCTCCATGTGCCCCAAATCAACTCGAGATGAGGCCCGATTCCCCTGCATTGACTCCAGAGCCATTCCCCGTTCCCCATTCAACACGACCGGTGGCTCGACTTCCTTCAGGCAACTCCAGAGATGCCCCGAGAACACTGTCCCAAGTCTAGAGGAACACCAACTTCAGCACAGCAACTAGAAGAATGCTCCGTGTACCCCAAATCGTCTCGAGATGAGAGCTGATTCCCTGGCTTAGGCTCAAGACGTATGCCAACTTTCCAGAAGCACCTCAGGAGGAGGCTTCTCTCAGCAATAGGTATGTGGGAGGGACACCGAGTTTGCTGCCTCAAGGGGAATATACAGCGAGAAGCCCTAACTTGAAAGGAGTACGAATTTCCTTGCAGGGGCTTGAATACAGGCTCGTCTTTCATCTCACAACATGAAGGGATGTCTGAATCCCCTGTGGAGACCTTAGAGAAAGTCCTAGGTCCCTGCCTCATGTTGACGGAATGCCTCACATCCCGCTGACACCTCGAGAGGCACGCGGAGTTTATTGCTTCAAAAATGACGATGCCTGACTCCTCTTGAATACTGATAGGAATCCCAAAATCCCTGTGGCTACTGGAAAGGGTCCTTGGGTGCCCTGCCTCACATCGAGAAGCGTCCCTTTTGCCCTGCCAAGCCTCGAAGAGATTCCTGAGGTGTCCCACGTTACTAGACAGGACTCCTGACGTCACTGAAGAAACTCGTGTTTTGAAGGGCCATCCCCGCCGTAAGTCGAGAACATACCCCAGGTCCCCGCCGCAACTCGAGAAAAACCATGAGACTTCCCCCTAGAGGCGAGATGAGGCCCCATTCCCCTGCAGTGCATGCAGAGCTATTCCGTGATCCCATTCAAACAAGTCAGGATCTTCGACTTGCTTAATGGATCTCGAGACAGTCCCCAAGAACACTGTCACCAGTCTAGACGGACCCTGAGGTCACACCAGCACCGCAAAGCAGCTCCATGTGCCCCAAATCAACTCGAGATGAGGCCCGATTCCCCTGCATTGACTCCAGAGCCATTCCCCGTTCCCCATTCAACACGACCGGTGGCTCGACTTCCTTCAGGCAACTCCAGAGATGCCCCGAGAACACCTTCCCATGTCTAGAGGAACACCAACTTCAGCACAGCAACTCGAGGAATGCTCCGTGTACCCCAAATCGTCTCGAGATGAGAGCTGATTCCCTGGCTTAGGCTCAAGACGTATGCCAACTTTCCAGAAGCACCTCAGGAGGAGGCTTCTCTCAGCAATAGGTATGTGGGAGGGACACCGAGTTTGCTGCCTCAAGGGGAATATACAGCGAGAAGCCCTAACTTGAAACGAAGCCAGATTTCCTTGCAGTGGCTTGAATACAGGCTCGTCTTTCATCTCACAACATGAAGGTATGTCTGAATCCCCTGTGGAGACCTTAGAGAAAGCCCTAGGTCCCTGCCTCATTTTGACGGAATGCCTCACATCCCGCTGACACCTCGAGAGGCACGCGGAGTTAATTGCTTCAAAAATGACGATGCCTGACTCCTCTTGAATACTGATAGGAATCCCAAAATCCCTGTGGCTACTGGAAAGTGTCCTTGGGTGCCCTGCCTCACCTCGAGAAGAATCCCTTTTGCCCTGGCAAGCCTCGAAGAGATTCCTGAGGTGTCCCTCGTTACTAGACAGGAGTCCTGACGTCACTGAAGAAACTCGTGTTTTGAAGGGCCATCCCCGCCGTAAGTCGAGAACATACCCCAGGTCCCCGCCGCAACTCGAGAAAAACCATGAGACTTCCCCCTAGAGGCGAGATGAGGCCCCATTCCCCTTCAGTGCATGCAGAGCTATTCCGTGATCCCATTCAAACAAGTCAGGAGCTTCGACTTGCTTAATGGATCTCGAGACAGTCCCCAAGAACACTGTCACCAGTCCAGACGGACACTGAGGTCACCCCAGCAACGCAAAGCAGCTCCATGTGCCCCAAATCAACTCGAGATGAGGACCGATTCCCCTGCATTGACTCCAGAGCCATTCCCCATTCGCCATTCAACACGACCGGTGGCTCGACTTCCTTCAGGCAACTCAAGAGATGCCCCGAGAACACTGTCTCAAGTCTAGAGGAACACCAACTTCAGCACAGCAACTCGAGGAATGCTCCGTGTACCCCAAATCGTCTCGAGATGAGAGCTGATCCCTGGCTTAGGCTCAAGACGTATGCCAACTTCCCAGAAGCACCTCAGGAGGAGGCTTCTCTCAGCAATAGGTATGTGGGAGGGACCCCGAGTTTGCTGCCTCAAGGGGAATATACAGCGAGAAGCCCTAACTTGAAAGGAGACCGAATTTCCTTGCAGTGGCTTAAATACAGGCTCGTCTTTCATCTCACAACATGAAGGGATGTCTGAATCCCCTGTGGAGACCTTAGAGAAAGCCCTAGGTCCCTGCCTCATTTTGACGGAATGCCTCACATCCCGATGAAACCTCGAGAGGCACGCGGAGTTCATTGCTTCAAAAGGTGACGATGCCTGACTCCTCTTGAATACTGATAGGAATCCCAAAATCCCTGTGGCTACTGGAAAGGGTCCTTGGGTGCCCTGCCTCACCTCGAGAAGCGTCCCTTTTGCCCTGCCAAGCCTCGAAGAGATTCCTGAGGTGTCCCTCATTACTAGACAGGAGTCCTGACGTCACTGAAGAAACTCGTGTTTTGAAGGGCCATCCCCGCCGTAAGTCGAGAATATACCCCAGGTCCCTGCCGCAACTCGAGAAAAACCATGAGACTTCCCCCTGGAGGCGAGATGAGGCCCCATTCCCCTGCAGTGCATGCAGAGCTATTCCGTGATCCCATTCAAACAACTCAGGAGCTTCGACTTGCTTAATGGATCTCGAGACAGTCCCCAAGAACACTGTCACCAGTCTAGACGGACCCTGAGGTCACCCCAGCAATGCAAAGCAGCTCCATGTGCCCCAAATCAACTCGAGATGAGGCCCGATTCCCCTGCATTGACTCCAGAGCCATTCCCCGTTCCCCATTCAACACGACCGGTGGCTCGACTTCCTCAGGCAACTCCAGAGATGCCCCGAGAACACTGTCCCAAGTCTAGAGAACACCAACTTCAGCACAGCAACTCGAAGAATGCTCCGTGTACCCCAAATCGTCTCGAGATGAGAGCTGATTCCCTGGCTTAGGCTCAAGACGTATGCCAACTTTCCAGAAGCACCTCAGGAGGAGGCTTCTCTCAGCAATAGGTATGTGGGAGGGACCCCGAGTTTGCTGCCTCAAGGGGAATATACCGCGAGAAGCCCTAACTTGAAAGGAGGCCGGATTTCCTTGCACTGGCTTGAATACAGGCTCGTCTTTCATCTCACAATATGGAGGGATGTCTGAATCCCCTGTGTAGACCTAAGAGAAAGCCCTAGGTCCCTGCCTCATTTTGACGGAATGCCTCACATCCCGATGACACCTCGAGAGGAACGCGGAGTTCATTGCTTCAAAAGGTGACGATGCCTGACTCCTCTTGAATACTGATAGGAATCCCAAAATCCCTGTGGCTACTGGAAAGGGTCCTTGGGTGCCCTGCCTCACATCGAGAAGCATCCCTTTTGCCCTGCCAAGCCTCGAAGAGATTCCTGAGGTGTCCCTCGTTACTAGACAGGACTCCTGACGTCACTGAAGAAACTCGTGTTTTGAAGGGCCATCCCCGCCGTAAGTCGAGAACATACCCCAGGTCCCCGCCGCAACTCGAGAAAAACCATGAGACTTCCCCCTAGAGGCGAGATGAGGCCCCATTCCCCTGCAGTGCATGCAGAGCTATTTCGTGATCCCATTCAAACAAGGCAGGAGCTTCGACTTGCTTAATGGATCTCGAGACAGTCCCCAAGAACACTGTCACCAGTCCAGACGGACCCTGAGGTCACCCCAGCACCGCAAAGCAGCTCCATGTGCCCCAAATCAACTCGAGATGAGGCCCGATTCCACTGCATTGACTCCAGAGCCATTCCCCGTTCCGCATTCAACACGACCGGTGGCTCGACTTCCTTCAGGCAACTATAGAAGTGCCCCGAGAACACTGTCCCAAGTCTAGAGGAACACCAACTTCAGCACAGCAACTGGAGGAATGATCCGTGTACCCCAAATCGTCTCGAGATGAGAGCTGATTCCCTCGCTTAGGCTCAAGACGTATGCCAACTTTCCAGAAGCACCTCAGGAGGAGGCTTCTCTCAGCAATAGGTATGTGGGAGGGACCCCGAGTTTGCTGCCTCAAGGGGAATATACCGCGAGAAGCCCTAACTTGAAAGGAGGCCGGATTTCCTTGCAGGGGCTTGAATACAGGCTCGTCTTTCATCTCACAACATGAAGGGATGTCAGAATCCCCTGTGGAGACCTTAGAGAAAGCCCTAGGTCCCTGCCTCATTTTGACGGAATGCCTCACATCCCGCTGACACCTCGAGAGGCACGCGGAGTTCATTGCTTCAAAAGGTGACGATGCCTGACTCCTCTTGAATACTGATAGGAATCCCAAACTCGCTGTGGCTACTGGAAAGGGTCCTTGGGTGCCCTGCCTCACCTCGAGAAGCGTACCTTTTGCCTGCCAAGCCTCGAAGAGATTCCTGAGGTGTCCCTCGTTACTAGACAGCAGTCCTGATGTCACTGAAGAAACTCGTGTTTTGAAGGGCCATCCCCGCCGTAAGTCGAGGACATAGCCCAGGTCCCCATCGCAAGTCCATAAAAACCATGAGACTTCCCCCTAGAGGGGATATGACCCCCATTCCCCTGCAATGCATGCAGAGCTATTCCGTGATCCCATTCAAACAAGTCAGGAGCTTCGACTTGCTTAATGGATCTCGAGAAAGTCCCCAAGAACACTGTCACCAGTCTAGACGGACCCTGAGGTCACCCCAGCAACGCAAAGCAGCTCCATGTGCCCCAAATCAACTCGAGATGCGGCCCGATTCCCCTGCATTGACTCCAGAGCCATTCCCCGTTCCCCATTCAACACGACTGGTGGCTCGACGTCCTTCAGGCAACTCCAGAGATGCCCTGAGAACACTGTCCCAAGTCTAGAGGAACACCAACTTCAGCACAGCAACTCGAGGAATGCTCCGTGTACCCCAAATCGTCTCGAGATGAGAGCTGATTCCCTGGCTTAGGCTCAAGACGTACACCAACTCCCCAGAAGCACCTCAGGAGGAGGCTTCTCTCAGCAATAGGTATGTGGGAGAGACCCCGAGTTTGCTGCCTCAAGGGGAATATACAGCGAGAAGCCCTAACTTGAAAGGAGGCCGGATTTCCTTGCAGTGGCTTGAATACAGGCTCGTCTTTCATCTCACAACATGAAGGGATGTCTGAATGCCCTGTGGAGACCTTAGAGAAAGCCCTAGGTCCCTGCCTCATTTTGACGGAATGCCTCACATCCCGCTGACACCACGAGAGGCACGCGGAGTTCATTGCTTCAAAAGGTGACGATGCCTGACTCCTCTTGAATACTGATAGGAATCCCAAAAATCCTGTGGCTACTGGAAAGGGTCCTTGGGTGCCCTGCCTCACCTCGAGAAGCGTCCCTTTTGCCCTGCCAAGCCTCGAAGAGATTCCTGAGGTGTCCCTCTTTACTAGACAGGAGTCCTGACGTCACTGAAGAAACTCGTGTTTTGAAGGGCCATCCCCGCCGTAAGTCGAGAACATACCCCAGGTCCCCGCCGCAACTCGAGAAAAACCATGAGACTTCCCCCTAGAGGCGAGATGAGGCCCCATTCCCCTGCAGTGCATGCAGAGCTATTCCGTGATCCCATTCAAACAAGTCAGGAGCTTCGACTTGCTTAATGGATCTCGAGACAGTCCCCAAGAACACTGTCACCAGTCTAGACGGACCCTGAGGTCAACCCAGCAACGCAAAGCAGCTCCATGTGCCCCAAATCAACTCGAGATGAGGCTCGTTTCCCCTGCATTGACTCCAGAGCCATTACCCGTTCCCCATTCAACACGACCGGTGGCTCGACTTCCTTCAGGCAACTCCAAAGATGCCCTGAGAACACTCTCCCAAGTCTAGAGGAACACCAACTTCAGCACAGCAACTCGAGGAATGCTCCGTGTACCCCAAATCGTCTCGAGATGAGAGCTGATTCCCTGGCTTAGGCTCAAGACCTATGCCAACTCCCCAGAAGCACCTCAGGAGGAGGCTTCTCTCAGCAATAGGTATGTGGGAGGGACCCCGAGTTTGCTGCCTCAAGGGGAATATACAGCGAGAAGCCCTAACTTGAAAGGAGGCCGGATTTAATTGCAGTGGCTTGAATACAGGCTCGTCTTTCATCTCACAACATGAAGGGATGTCTGAAAGCCCTGTGGAGACCTTAGAGAAAGCCCTAGGTCCCTGCCTCATTTTGTCGGAATGCCTCACATCACGCTGACACCTCGAGAGGCACGCGGAGTTCATTGCTTCAAAAGGTGACGATGCCTGACTCCTCTTGAATACTGATAGGAATCCCAAAATCCCTGTGGCTACTGGAAAGGGTCCTTGGGTGCCCTGCCTCACCTCGAGAAGCGTCCGTTTTGCCCTGCCAAGCCTCGAAGAGATTCCTGAGGTGTCCCTCGTTACTAGACAGGAGTCCTGACGTCACTGAAGAAACTCGTGTTTTGAAGGGCCATCCCCGCCGTAAGTCGAGAACATACCCCAGGTCCCTGCCACAACTCGAGAAAAACCATGAGACTTCCCCCTAGAAGCGAGATGAGGCCCCATTCCCCTGCAGTGCATGCAGAGCTATTCCGTGATCCCATTCAAACAAGTCAGGAGCTTCGACTTGCTTAATGGATCTCGAGACAGTCCCCAAGAACACTGTCAGAAGTCCAGACGGACGCTGAGGTCACCCCAGCAACGCAAAGCAGCTTCATGTGCCCCAGATCAACTCGAGATGAGGCCCGATTCCCCTGCATTGACTCCAGAGCCTTTCCCCATTCCCCATTCAACACGACCAGTGGCTCGACTTCCTTCAGGCAACTCCAGAGATGCCCCGAGAACACTGTCCCAAGTCTAGAGGAACACCAACTTCAGCACAGCAACTCGCACAATGCTCCGTGTACCCCAAATCGTCTCGAGATGAGAGCTGATTCCCTGGCTTAGGCTCAAGACGTATGCCAACTTTCCAGAAGCACCTCAGGAGGAGGCTTCTCTCAGCAATAGGTATGTGGGAGGGACCCCGAGTTTGCTGCCTCAAGGGGAATATACCGCGAGAAGCCCTAACTTGAAAGGAGGCCGGATTTCCTTGCAGTGGCTTGAATACAGGCTCGTCTTTCATCTCACAATATGGAGGAATGTCTGAATCCCCTGTGTAGACCTTAGAGAAAGCCCTAGGTCCCTTCCTCATTTTGAAGGAATGCCTCACATCCCGCTGACACCTCGAGAGGCACGCGGAGTTCATTGCTTCAAAAGGTGACGATGCCTGACTCCTCTTGAATACTGATAGGAATCCCAAAATCCCTGTGGCTACTGGAAAGGGTCCTTGGGTGCCCTGCCTCACCTCGAGAAGCGTCCCTTTTGCCCTGCCAAGCCTCGAAGAGATTCCTGAGGTGTCCCTCGTTACTAGACAGGAGTCCTGACGTCACTGAAGAAACTCATGTTTTGAAGGGCCATCCCCGCTGTAAGTCGAGAACATACCCCAGGTCCCCGCCGCAACTCGAGAAGAACCATGAGACTTCCCCCTAGAGGCGAGATGAGGCCCCATTCCCCTGCAGTGCATGCAGAGCTATTCCGTGATCCCATTCAAACAAGTCAGGAGCTTCGACTTGCTTAATGGATCTCGAGACAGTCCCCAAGAACACTGTCACCAGTCCAGACGGACCCTGAGGTCACACCAGCACCGCAAAGCAGCTCCATGTGCCCCAAATCAACTCGAGATGAGGCCCGATTCCCCTGCATTGACTCCAGAGCCATTCCCCGTTCCCCATTCAACACGACCGGTGGCTCGACTTCCTTCAGGCAACTCCAGAGATGCCCCGAGAACACTGTCCCAAGTCTAGAGGAACACCAACTTCAGCACAGCAACTCGAAGAATGCTCCGTGTACCCCAAATCGTCTCGAGATGAGAGCTGATTCCCTGGCTTAGGCTCAAGACGTATGCCAACTTTCCAGAAGCACCTCAGGAGGAGGCTTCTCTCAGCAATAGGTATGTGGGAGGGACACCGAGTTTGCTGCCTCAAGGGGAATATACAGCGAGAAGCCCTAACTTGAAACGAAGCCAGATTTCCTTGCAGTGGCTTGAATAGAGGCTCGTCTTTCATCTCACAACATGAAGGAATGTCTGAATCCCCTGTGGAGACCTTAGAGAAAGCCCTAGGTCCCTGCCTCATTTTGACGGAATGCCTCACATCCCGCTGACACATCGAGAGGCACGCGGAGTTAATTGCTTCAAAAATGACGATGCCTGACTCCTCTTGAATACTGATAGGAATCCCAAAATCCCTGTGGCTACTGGAAAGTGTCCTTGGGTGCCCTGCCTCACCTCGAGAAGAATCCCTTTTGCCCTGGCAAGCCTCGAAGAGATTCCTGAGGTGTCCCTCGTTACTAGACAGGAGTCCTGACGTCACTGAAGAAACTCGTGTTTTGAAGGGCCATCCCCGCCGTAAGTCGAGAACATACCCCAGGTCCCCGCCGCAACTCGAGAAAAACCATGAGACTTCCCCCTAGAGGCGAGATGAGGCCCCATTCCCCTGCAGTGCATGCAGAGCTATTCCGTGATCCCATTCAAACAAGTCAGGAGCTTCGACTTGCTTAATGGATCTCGAGACAGTCCCCAAGAACACTGTCACCAGTCCAGACGGACACTGAGGTCACCCCAGCAACGCAAAGCAGCTCCATGTGCCCCAAATCAACTCGAGATGAGGACCGATTCCCCTGCATTGACTCCAGAGCCATTCCCCGTTCCCCATTCAACACGACCGGTGGCTCGACTTCCTTCAGGCAACTCCAGAGATGCCCCGAGAACACTGTCTCAAGTCTAGAGGAACACCAACTTCAGCACAGCAACTCGAGGAATGTTCCTTGTACCCCAAATCGTCTCGAGATGAGAGCTGATCCCTGGCTTAGGCTCAAGACGTATGCCAACTTCCCAGAAGCACCTCAGGAGGAGGCTTCTCTCAGCAATAGGTATGTGGGAGGGACCCCGAGTTTGCTGCCTCAAGGGGAATATACAGCGAGAAGCCCTAACTTGAAAGGAGTCCGAATTTCCTTGCAGTGGCTTGAATACAGGCTCGTCTTTCATCTCACAACATGAAGGGATGTCTGAATCCCCTGTGGAGACCTTAGAGAAAGCCCTAGGTCCCTGCCTCATTTTGACGGAATGCCTCACATCCCGCTGACACCTCGAGAGGCACGCGGAGTTCATTGCTTCAAAAGGTGACGATCCCTGACTCCTCTTGAATACTGATAGGAATCCCAAAATCCCTGTGACTACTGGAAAGGGTCCTTGGGTGCCCTGCCTCACCTCGAGAAGCGTCCCTTTTGCCCTGCCAAGCCTCGAAGAGATTCCTGAGGTGTCCCTCGTTACTAGACAGGAGTCCTGACGTCACTGAAGAAACTCGTGTTTTGAAGGGCCATCCCCGCCGTAAGTCGAGAACATACCCCAGGTCCCTGCCGCAACTCGAGAAAAACCATGAGACTTCCCCCTGGAGGCGAGATGAGGCCCCATTCCCCTGCAGTGCATGCAGAGCTATTCCGTGATCCCATTCAAACAAGTCAGGAGCTTCGACTTGCTTAATGGATCTCGAGACAGTCCCCAAGAACACTGTCACCAGTCTAGACGGACCCTGAGGTCACCCCAGCAATGCAAAGCAGCTCCATGTGCCCCAAATCAACTCGAGATGAGGCCCGATTCCCCTGCATTGACTCCAGAGCCATTCCCCGTTCCCCATTCAACACGACCGGTGGCTCGACTTCCTTCAGGCAACTCCAGAGATGCCCCGAGAACACTGTCCCAAGTCTAGAGGAACACCAACTTCAGCACAGCAACTCGAAGAATGCTCCGTGTACCCCAAATCGTCTCGAGATGAGAGCTGATTCCCTGGCTTAGGCTCAAGACGTATGCCAACTTTCCAGAAGCACCTCAGGAGGAGGCTTCTCTCAGCAATAGGTATGTGGGAGGGACCCCGAGTTTGCTGCCTCAAGGGGAATATACCGCGAGAAGCCCTAACTTGAAAGGAGGCCGGATTTCCTTGCAGTGGCTTGAATACAGGCTCGTCTTTCATCTCAAAATATGGAGGGATGTCTGAATCCCCTGTGTAGACCTTAGAGAAAGCCCTAGGTCCCTGCCTCATTTTGACGGAATGCCTCACATCCCGATGACACCTCGAGAGGCATGCGGAGTTCATTGCTTCAAAAGGTGACGATGCCTGACTCCTCTTGAATACTGATAGGAATCCCAAAATCCCTGTGGCTACTGGAAAGGGTCCTTGGGTCCCCTGCCTCACATCGAGAAGCATCCCTTTTGCCCTGCCAAGCCTCGAAGAGATTCCTGAGGTGTCCCTCGTTACTAGACAGGAGTCCTGACGTCACTGAAGAAACTCGTGTTTTGAAGGGCCATCCCCGCCGTAAGTCGAGAACATACCCCAGGTCCCCGGCGCAACTCGAGAAAAACCATGAAACTTCCCCCTAGAGACGAGATGAGGCCCCATTCCCCTGCAGTGCATGCAGAGCTATTCCGTGATCCCATTCAAACAAGGCAGGAGCTTCGACTTGCTTAATGGATCTCGAGACAGTCCCCAAGAACACTGTCACCAGTCCAGACGGACCCTGAGGTCACCCCAGCACCGCAAAGCAGCTCCATGTGCCCCAAATCAACTCGAGATGAGGCCCGATTCCCCTGCATTGACTCCAGAGCCATTCCCCGTTCCCCATTCAACACGACCGGTGGCTCGACTTCCTTCAGGCAACTCCAGAAATGCCCCGAGAACACTGTCCCAAGTCTAGAGGAACACCAACTTCAGCACAGCAACTCGAGGAATGCTCCGTGTACCCCAAATCGTCTCGAGATGAGAGCTGATTCCCTGGCTTAGGCTCAAGACGTATGCCAACTTCCCAGAAGCACCTCAGGAGGAGGCTTCTCTCAGCAATAGGTATGTGGGAGGGACCCCGAGTTTGCTGCCTCAAGGGGAATATACCGCGAGAAGCCCTAACTTGAAAGGAGGCCGGAATTCCTTGCAGGGGCTTGAATACAGGCTCGTCTTTCATCTCACAACATGAAGGGATTTCTGAATCCCCTGTGGAGACCTTAGAGAAAGCCCTAGGTCCCTGCCTCATTTTGACGGAATGCCTCACATCCCGCTGACACCTCGAGAGGCACGCGGAGTTCATTGCTTCAAAAGTGATGATGCCTGACTCCTCTTGAATACCGATAGGAATCCCAAAATCCCTGTGGCTACTGGAAAGGGTCCTTGGGTGCACTGCCTCACCTCGAGAAGCGTCCCTTTTGCCCTGCCAAGCCTCGAAGAGATTCCTGAGGTGTCCCTCGTTACTAGACAGGAGTCCTGACGTCACTGAAGAAACTCGTGGTTTGAAGGGCCATCCCCGCCATAAGTCGAGGACATAGCCCAGGTCCCCATCGCAAGTCGAGAAAAACCATGAGACTTCCCCCTAGAGGAGAGATGAGGCCCCATTCCCCTGCAATGCATGCAGAGCTATTCCGTGATCACATTCAAACAAGTCAGGAGCTTCGACTTGCTTAATGGATCTCGAGACAGTCCGCAAGAACACTGTCACCAGTCTAGACGGACCATGAGGTCACCCCAGCAACGCAAAGCAGCTCCATGTGCCCCAAATCAACTCGAGATGAGGCCCGATTCCGCTGCATTGGCTCCAGAGCCATTCCCCGTTCCCCATTCAACACGACCGGTGGCTCGAGTTCCTTCAGGCAACTCCAGAGATGCCCCGAGAACACTGTCCCAAGTCTAGAGGAACAACAACTTCAGCACAGCAACTCGAGGAATGATACGTGTACCCCAAATCGTCTCGAGATGAGAGCTGATTCCCTGGCTTAGGCTCAAGACGTATGCCAACTTCCCAGAAGCAACTCAGGAGGAGGCTTCTCTCAGCAATAGGTATGTGGGAGGGACCCCGAGTTTGCTGCCTCAAGGGGAATATACAGCGAGAAGCCCTAACTTGAAAGGAGTACGAATTTCCTTGCAGGGGCTTGAATACAGGCTCGTCTTTCATCTCACAACATGAAGGGATGTCTGAATCCCCTGTGGAGACCTTAGAGAAAGTCCTAGGTCCCTGCCTCATGTTGACGGAATGCCTCACATCCCGCTGACACCTCGAGAGGCACGCGGAGTTTATTGCTTCAAAAATGACGATGCCTGACTCCTCTTGAATACTGATAGGAATCCCAAAATCCCTGTGGCTACTGGAAAGGGTCCTTGGGTGCCCTGCCTCACATCGAGAAGCGTCCCTTTTGCCCTGCCAAGCCTCGAAGAGATTCCTGAGGTGTCCCACGTTACTAGACAGGACTCCTGACGTCACTGAAGAAACTCGTGTTTTGAAGGGCCATCCCCGCCGTAAGTCGAGAACATACCCCAGGTCCCCGCCGCAACTCGAGAAAAACCATGAGACTTCCCCCTAGAGGCGAGATGAGGCCCCATTCCCCTGCAGTGCATGCAGAGCTATTCCGTGATCCCATTCAAACAAGTCAGGAGCTTCGACTTGCTTAATGGATCTCGAGACAGTCCCCAAGAACACTGTCACCAGTCTAGACGGACCCTGAGGTCACACCAGCACCGCAAAGCAGCTCCATGTGCCCCAAATCAACTCGAGATGAGGCCCGATTCCCCTGCATTGACTCCAGAGCCATTCCCCGTTCCCCATTCAACACGACCGGTGGCTCGACTTCCTTCAGGCAACTCCAGAGATGCCCCGAGAACACCTTCCCAAGTCTAGAGGAACACCAACTTCAGCACAGCAACTCGAGGAATGCTCCGTGTACCCCAAATCGTCTCGAGATGAGAGCTGATTCCCTGGCTTAGGCTCAAGACGTATGCCAACTTTCCAGAAGCACCTCAGGAGGAGGCTTCTCTCAGCAATAGGTATGTGGGAGGGACACCGAGTTTGCTGCCTCAAGGGGAATATACAGCGAGAAGCCCTAACTTGAAAGGAAGCCAGATTTCCTTGCAGTGGCTTGAATACAGGCTCGTCTTTCATCTCACAACATGAAGGTATGTCTGAATCCCCTGTGGAGACCTTAGAGAAAGCCCTAGGTCCCTGCCTCATTTTGACGGAATGCCTCACATCCCGCTGACACCTCGAGAGGCACGCGGAGTTAATTGCTTCAAAAATGACGATGCCTGACTCCTCTTGAATACTGATAGGAATCCCAAAATCCCTGTGGCTACTGGAAAGTGTCCTTGGGTGCCCTGCCTCACCTCGAGAAGAATCCCTTTTGCCCTGGCAAGCCTCGAAGAGATTCCTGAGGTGTCCCTCGTTACTAGACAGGAGTCCTGACGTCACTGAAGAAACTCGTGTTTTGAAGGGCCATCCCCGCCGTAAGTCGAGAACATACCCCAGGTCCCCGCCGCAACTCGAGAAAAACCATGAGACTTCCCCCTAGAGGCGAGATGAGGCCCCATTCCCCTTCAGTGCATGCAGAGCTATTCCGTGATCCCATTCAAACAAGTCAAGAGCTTCGACTTGCTTAATGGATCTCGAGACAGTCCCCAAGAACACTGTCACCAGTCCAGACGGACACTGAGGTCACCCCAGCAACGCAAAGCAGCTCCATGTGCCCCAAATCAACTCGAGATGAGGACCGATTCCCCTGCATTGACTCCAGAGCCATTCCCCATTCGCCATTCAACACGACCGGTGGCTCGACTTCCTTCAGGCAACTCCAGAGATGCCCCGAGAACACTGTCTCAAGTCTAGAGGAACACCAACTTCAGCACAGCAACTCGAGGAATGCTCCGTGTACCCCAAATCGTCTCGAGATGAGAGCTGATCCCTGGCTTAGGCTCAAGACGTATGCCAACTTCCCAGAAGCACCTCAGGAAGAGGCTTCTCTCAGCAATAGGTATGTGGGAGGGACCCCGAATTTGCTGCCTCAAGGGGAATATACAGCGAGAAGCCCTAACTTGAAAGGAGACCGAATTTCCTTGCAGTGGCTTGAATACAGGCTCGTCTTTCATCTCACAACATGAAGGGATGTCTGAATCCCCTGTGGAGACCTTAGAGAAAGCCCTAGGTCCCTGCCTCATTTTGACGGAATGCCTCACATCCCGCTGACACCTCGAGAGGCACGCGGAGTTCATTGCTTCAAAAGGTGACGATGCCTGACTCCTCTTGAATACTGATAGGAATCCCAAAATCCCTGTGGCTACTGGAAAGGGTCCTTGGGTGCCCTGCCTCACCTCGAGAAGCGTCCCTTTTGCCCTGCCAAGCCTCGAAGAGATTCCTGAGGTGTCCCTCGTTACTAGACAGGAGTCCTGACGTCACTGAAGAAACTCGTGTTTTGAAGGGCCATCCCCGCCGTAAGTCGAGAACATACCCCAGGTCCCTGCCGCAACTCGAGAAAAACCATGAGACTTCCCCCTGGAGGCGAGATGAGGCCCCATTCCCCTGCAGTGCATGCAGAGCTATTCCGTGATCCCATTCAAACAACTCAGGAGCTTCGACTTGCTTAATGGATCTCGAGACAGTCCCCAAGAACACTGTCACCAGTCTAGACGGATCCTGAGGTCACCCCAGCAATGCAAAGCAGCTCCATGTGCCCCAAATCAACTCGAGATGAGGCCCGATTCCCCTGCATTGACTCCAGAGCCATTCCCCGTTCCCCATTCAACACGACCGGTGGCTCGACTTCCTTCAGGCAACTCCAGAGATGCCCCGAGAACACTGTCCCAAGTCTAGAGAACACCAACTTCAGCACAGCATCTCGAAGAATGCTCCGTGTACCCCAAATCGTCTCGAGATGAGAGCTGATTCCCTGGCTTAGGCTCAAGACGTATGCCAACTTTCCAGAAGCACCTCAGGAGGAGGCTTCTCTCAGCAATAGGTATGTGGGAGGGACCCCGAGTTTGCTGCCTCAAGGGGAATATACCGCGAGAAGCCCTAACTTGAAAGGAGGCCGGATTTCCTTGCACTGGCTTGAATACAGGCTCGTCTTTCATCTCACAATATGGAGGGATGTCTGAATCCCCTGTGTAGACCTAAGAGAAAGCCCTAGGTCCCTGCCTCATTTTGACGGAATGCCTCACATCCCGATGACACCTCGAGAGGCACGCGGAGTTCATTGCTTCAAAAGGTGACGATGCCTGACTCCTCTTGAATACTGATAGGAATCCCAAAATCCCTGTGGCTACTGGAAAGCGTCCTTGGGTGCCCTGCCTCACTTCGAGAAGCATCCCTTTTGCCCTGGCAAGCCTCGAAGAGATTCCTGAGGTGTCCCTCGTTACTAGACAGGAGTCCTGACGTCACTGAAGAAACTCGTGTTCTGAAGGGCCAGCCCCGCCGTAAGTCGAGAACATACCCCAGGTCCCCGCCGCAACTCGAGAAAAACCATGAGACTTCCCCCTAGAGGCGAGATGAGGCCCCATTCCCCTCCAGTGCATGCAGAGATATTCTGTGATCCCACTCAAACAAGTCAGGAGCTTCGACTTGCTTAATGGGTCTGGAGACAGTCCCCAAGAACACTGTCACCAGTCTAGACGGACCCTGAGGTCACCCCAGCAACGCAAAGCAGCTCCATGTGCCCCAAATCAACTCGAGATGAGGCCAGTTTCCCCTGCATTGACTCCAGAGCCATTCCCCGTTCCCCATTCAACACGACCGGTGGCTCGACTTCCTTCAGGCAACTCCAGAGATGCCCTGAGAACACTGTCCCAAGTCTAGAGGAACACCAACTTCAGCACAGCAACTCGAGGAATGCTCCGTGTACCCCAAATCGTCTCGAGATGAGAGCTGATTCCCTGGCTTAGGCTCAAGACGTATGCCAACTCCCCAGAAGCACCTCAGGAGGAAGCTTCTCTCAGCAATAGGTATCTGGGAGGGACCCCGAGTTTGCTGCCTCAAGGGGAATATACCGCGAGAAGCCCTAACTTGAAAGGAGGACGGATTTCCTTGCAGTGGCTTGAATACAGGCTCGTCTTTCATCTCACAACATGAAGGGATGTCTGAATCCCCTGTGGAGACTTTAGAGAAAGCCCTAGGTCCCTGCCTCATTTTGACCGAATCGTCACATCCCGCTGACACCTCGAGAGGCACGCGGAGTTCATTGCTTCAAAAATGACGATGCCTGACTCCTCTTGAATACTGATAGGAATCCCAAAATCCCTGTGGCTACTGGAAAGCGTCCTTGGGTGCCCTGCCTCACTTCGAGAAGCATCCCTTTTGCCCTGGCAAGCCTCGAAGAGATTCCTGAGGTGTCCCTCGTTACTAGACAGGAGTCCTGACGTCACTGAAGAAACTCGTGTTTTGAAGGGCCATCCCCGCCGTAAGTCGAGAACATACCCCAGGTCCCCGCCGCAACTCGAGAAAAACCATGAGACTTCCCCCTAGAGGCGAGATGAGGCCCCATTTCCCTGCAGTGCATGCGGAGCTATTCCGTGATCCCATTCATACAAGTCTGGAGCGTCGACTTGCTTAATGGATCTCGAGAAAGTCCCCAAGAACACTGTCACCAGTCTAGATGGACCCTGAGGTCACCCCAGTAACGCAAAGCAGCTCCATGTGCCCCAAATCAACTCGAGATGGGGCCCGATTCCCCTGCATTGACTCCAGAGCCATTCCTCGTTCCCCATTCAACACGACCGGTGGCTCGACTTCCTTCAGGAAACTCCAGAGTTGCCCCAAGAACACTGTCCCAAGTCTTGAGGAACACCAACTTCACCACAGCAACTGGAGGAATGATCCGTGTACCCCAAATCGTCTCGAGATGAGAGCTGATTCCCTCGCTTAGGCTCAAGACGTATGCCAACTTTCCAGAAGCACCTCAGGAGGAGGCTTCTCTCAGCAATAGGTATGTGGGAGGGACCCCGAGTTTGCTGCCTCAAGGGGAATATACCGCGAGAAGCCCTAACTTGAAAGGAGGCCGGATTTCCTTGCAGGGGCTTGAATACAGGCTCGTCTTTCATCTCACAACATGAAGGGATGTCAGAATCCCCTGTGGAGACCTTAGAGAAAGCCCTAGGTCCCTGCCTCATTTTGACGGAATGCCTCACATCCCGCTGACACCTCGAGAGGCACGCGGAGTTCATTGCTTCAAAAGGTGACGATGCCTGACTCCTCTTGAATACTGATAGGAATCCCAAACTCGCTGTGGCTACTGGAAAGGGTCCTTGGGTGCCCTGCCTCACCTCGAGAAGCGTACCTTTTGCCTGCCAAGCCTCGAAGAGATTCCTGAGGTGTCCCTCGTTACTAGACAGCAGTCCTGATGTCACTGAAGAAACTCGTGTTTTGAAGGGCCATCCCCGCCGTAAGTCGAGGACATAGCCCAGGTCCCCATCGCAAGTCCATAAAAACCATGAGACTTCCCCCTAGAGGGGATATGACCCCCATTCCCCTGCAATGCATGCAGAGCTATTCCGTGATCCCATTCAAACAAGTCAGGAGCTTCGACTTGCTTAATGGATCTCGAGACAGTCCCCAAGAACACTGTCACCAGTCTAGACGGACCCTGAGGTCACCCCAGCAACGCAAAGCAGCTCCATGTGCCCCAAATCAACTCGAGATGCGGCCCGATTCCCCTGCATTGACTCCAGAGCCATTCCCCGTTCCCCATTCAACACGACTGGTGGCTCGACGTCCTTCAGGCAACTCCAGAGATGCCCTGAGAACACTGTCCCAAGTCTAGAGGAACACCAACTTCAGCACAGCAACTCGAGGAATGCTCCGTGTACCCCAAATCGTCTCGAGATGAGAGCTGATTCCCTGGCTTAGGCTCAAGACGTACACCAACTCCCCAGAAGCACCTCAGGAGGAGGCTTCTCTCAGCAATAGGTATGTGGGAGAGACCCCGAGTTTGCTGCCTCAAGGGGAATATACAGCGAGAAGCCCTAACTTGAAAGGAGGCCGGATTTCCTTGCAGTGGCTTGAATACAGGCTCGTCTTTCATCTCACAACATGAAGGGATGTCTGAATGCCCTGTGGAGACCTTAGAGAAAGCCCTAGGTCCCTGCCTCATTTTGACGGAATGCCTCACATCCCGCTGACACCACGAGAGGCACGCGGAGTTCATTGCTTCAAAAGGTGACGATGCCTGACTCCTCTTGAATACTGATAGGAATCCCAAAAATCGTGTGGCTACTGGAAAGGGTCCTTGGGTGCCCTGCCTCACCTCGAGAAGCGTCCCTTTTGCCCTGCCAAGCCTCGAAGAGATTCCTGAGGTGTCCCTCTTTACTAGACAGGAGTCCTGACGTCACTGAAGAAACTCGTGTTTTGAAGGGCCATCCCCGCCGTAAGTCGAGAACATACCCCAGGTCCCCGCCGCAACTCGAGAAAAACCATGAGACTTCCCCCTAGAGGCGAGATGAGGCCCCATTCCCCTGCAGTGCATGCAGAGCTATTCCGTGATCCCATTCAAACAAGTCAGGAGCTTCGACTTGCTTAATGGATCTCGAGACAGTCCCCAAGAACACTGTCACCAGTCCAGACGGACCCTGAGGTCACACCAGCACCGCAAAGCAGCTCCATGTGCCCCAAATCAACTCGAGATGAGGCCCGATTCCCCTGCATTGACTCCAGAGCCATTCCCCGTTCCCCATTCAACACGACCGGTGGCTCGACTTCCTTCAGGCAACTCCAGAGATGCCCCGAGAACACTGTCCCAAGTCTAGAGGAACACCAACTTCAGCACAGCAACTCGAAGAATGCTCCGTGTACCCCAAATCGTCTCGAGATGAGAGCTGATTCCCTGGCTTAGGCTCAAGACGTATGCCAACTTTCCAGAAGCACCTCAGGAGGAGGCTTCTCTCAGCAATAGGTATGTGGGAGGGACACCGAGTTTGCTGCCTCAAGGGGAATATACAGCGAGAAGCCCTAACTTGAAACGAAGCCAGATTTCCTTGCAGTGGCTTGAATACAGGCTCGTCTTTCATCTCACAACATGAAGGTATGTCTGAATCCCCTGTGGAGACCTTAGAGAAAGCCCTAGGTCCCTGCCTCATTTTGACGGAATGCCTCACATCCCGCTGACACCTCGAGAGGCACGCGGAGTTAATTGCTTCAAAAATGACGATGCCTGACTCCTCTTGAATACTGATAGGAATCCCAAAATCCCTGTGGCTACTGGAAAGTGTCCTTGGGTGCCCTGCCTCACCTCGAGAAGAATCCCTTTTGCCCTGGCAAGCCTCGAAGAGATTCCTGAGGTGTCCCTCGTTACTAGACAGGAGTCCTGACGTCACTGAAGAAACTCGTGTTTTGAAGGGCCATCCCCGCCGTAAGTCGAGAACATACCCCAGGTCCCCGCCGCAACTCGAGAAAAACCATGAGACTTCCCCCTAGAGGCGAGATGAGGCCCCATTCCCTGCAGTGCATGCAGAGCTATTCCGTGATCCCATTCAAACAAGTCAGGAGCTTCGACTTGCTTAATGGATCTCGAGACAGTCCCCAAGAACACTGTCACCAGTCCAGACGGACACTGAGGTCACCCCAGCAACGCAAAGCAGCTCCATGTGCCCCAAATCAACTCGAGATGAGGACCGATTCCCCTGCATTGACTCCAGAGCCATTCCCCGTTCCCCATTCAACACGACCGGTGGCTCGACTTCCTTCAGGCAACTCCAGAGATGCCCCGAGAACACTGTCTCAAGTCTAGAGGAACACCAACTTCAGCACAGCAACTCGAGGAATGCTCCGTGTACCCCAAATCGTCTCGAGATGAGAGCTGATCCCTGGCTTAGGCTCAAGACGTATGCCAACTTCCCAGAAGCACCTCAGGAGGAGGCTTCTCTCAGCAATAGGTATGTGGGAGGGACCCCGAGTTTGCTGCCTCAAGGGGAATATACAGCGAGAAGCCCTAACTTGAAAGGAGTCCGAATTTCCTTGCAGTGGCTTGAATACAGGCTCGTCTTTCATCTCACAACATGAAGGGATGTCTGAATCCCCTGTGGAGACCTTAGAGAAAGCCCTAGGTCCCTGCCTCATTTTGACGGAATGCCTCACATCCCGCTGACACCTCGAGAGGCACGCGGAGTTCATTGCTTCAAAAGGTGACGATGCCTGACTCCTCTTGAATACTGATAGGAATCCCAAAATCCCTGTGGCTACTGGAAAGGGTCCTTGGGTGCCCTGCCTCACCTCGAGAAGCGTCCCTTTTGCCCTGCCAAGCCTCGAAGAGATTCCTGAGGTGTCCCTCGTTACCAAACAGGAGTCCTGACGTCACTGAAGAAACTCGTGTTTTGAAGGGCCATCCCCGCCGTAAGTCGAGAACATACCCCAGGTCCCTGCCGCAACTCGAGAAAAACCATGAGACTTCCCCCTGGAGGCGAGATGAGGCCCCATTCCCCTGCAGTGCATGCAGAGCTATTCCGTGATCCCATTCAAACAACTCAGGAGCTTCGACTTGCTTAATGGATCTCGAGACAGTCCCCAAGAACACTGTCACCAGTCTAGACGGATCCTGAGGTCACCCCAGCAATGCAAAGCAGCTCCATGTGCCCCAAATCAACTCGAGATGAGGCCCGATTCCCCTGCATTGACTCCAGAGCCATTCCCCGTTCCCCATTCAACACGACCGGTGGCTCGACTTCCTTCAGGCAACTCCAGAGATGCCCCGAGAACACTGTCCCAAGTCTAGAGAACACCAACTTCAGCACAGCAACTCGAAGAATGCTCCGTGTACCCCAAATCGTCTCGAGATGAGAGCTGATTCCCTGGCTTAGGCTCAAGACGTATGCCAACTTTCCAGAAGCAACTCAGGAGGAGGCTTCTCTCAGCAATAGGTATGTGGGAGGGACCCCGAGTTTGCTGCCTCAAGGGGAATATACCGCGAGAAGCCCTAACTTGAAAGGAGGCCGGATTTCCTTGCACTGGCTTGAATACAGGCTCGTCTTTCATCTCACAATATGGAGGGATGTCTGAATCCCCTGTGTAGACCTAAGAGAAAGCCCTAGGTCCCTGCCTCATTTTGACGGAATGCCTCACATCCCGATGACACCTCGAGAGGCACGCGGAGTTCATTGCTTCAAAAGGTGACGATGCCTGACTCCTCTTGAATACTGATAGGAATCCCAAAATCCCTGTGGCTACTGGAAAGCGTCCTTGGGTGCCCTGCCTCACTTCGAGAAGCATCCCTTTTGCCCTGGCAAGCCTCGAAGAGATTCCTGAGGTGTCCCTCGTTACTAGACAGGAGTCCTGACGTCACTGAAGAAACTCGTGTTCTGAAGGGCCAGCCCCGCCGTAAGTCGAGAACATACCCCAGGTCCCCGCCGCAACTCGAGAAAAACCATGAGACTTCCCCCTAGAGGCGAGATGAGGCCCCATTCCCCTCCAGTGCATGCAGAGATATTCTGTGATCCCACTCAAACAAGTCAGGAGCTTCGACTTGCTTAATGGGTCTGGAGACAGTCCCCAAGAACACTGTCACCAGTCTAGACGGACCCTGAGGTCACCCCAGCAACGCAAAGCAGCTCCATGTGCCCCAAATCAACTCGAGATGAGGCCAGTTTCCCCTGCATTGACTCCAGAGCCATTCCCCGTTCCCCATTCAACACGACCGGTGGCTCGACTTCCTTCAGGCAACTCCAGAGATGCCCTGAGAACACTGTCCCAAGTCTAGAGGAACACCAACTTCAGCACAGCAACTCGAGGAATGCTCCGTGTACCCCAAATCGTCTCGAGATGAGAGCTGATTCCCTGGCTTAGGCTCAAGACGTATGCCAACTCCCCAGAAGCACCTCAGGAGGAAGCTTCTCTCAGCAATAGGTATCTGGGAGGGACCCCGAGTTTGCTGCCTCAAGGGGAATATACCGCGAGAAGCCCTAACTTGAAAGGAGGACGGATTTCCTTGCAGTGGCTTGAATACAGGCTCGTCTTTCATCTCACAACATGAAGGGATGTCTGAATCCCCTGTGGAGACTTTAGAGAAAGCCCTAGGTCCCTGCCTCATTTTGACCGAATCGTCACATCCCGCTGACACCTCGAGAGGCACGCGGAGTTCATTGCTTCAAAAATGACGATGCCTGACTCCTCTTGAATACTGATAGGAATCCCAAAATCCCTGTGGCTACTGGAAAGCGTCCTTGGGTGCCCTGCCTCACTTCGAGAAGCATCCCTTTTGCCCTGGCAAGCCTCGAAGAGATTCCTGAGGTGTCCCTCGTTACTAGACAGGAGTCCTGACGTCACTGAAGAAACTCGTGTTTTGAAGGGCCATCCCCGCCGTAAGTCGAGAACATACCCCAGGTCCCCGCCGCAACTCGAGAAAAACCATGAGACTTCCCCCTAGAGGCGAGATGAGGTCCCATTTCCCTGCAGTGCATGCAGAGCTATTCCGTGATCCCATTCATACAAGTCTGGAGCGTCGACTTGCTTAATGGATCTCGAGAAAGTCCCCAAGAACACTGTCACCAGTCTAGACGGACCCTGAGGTCACCCCAGTAACGCAAAGCAGCTCCATGTGCCCCAAATCAACTCGAGATGGGGCCCGATTCCCCTGCATTGACTCCAGAGCCATTCCTCGTTCCCCATTCAACACGACCGGTGGCTCGACTTCCTTCAGGAAACTCCAGAGATGCCCCAAGAACACTGTCCCAAGTCTTGAGGAACACCAACTTCAGCACAGCAACTGGAGGAATGATCCGTGTACCCCAAATCGTCTCGAGATGAGAGCTGATTCCCTCGCTTAGGCTCAAGACGTATGCCAACTTTCCAGAAGCACCTCAGGAGGAGGCTTCTCTCAGCAATAGGTATGTGGGAGGGACCCCGAGTTTGCTGCCTCAAGGGGAATATACCGCGAGAAGCCCTAACTTGAAAGGAGGCCGGATTTCCTTGCAGGGGCTTGAATACAGGCTCGTCTTTCATCTCACAACATGAAGGGATGTCAGAATCCCCTGTGGAGACCTTAGAGAAAGCCCTAGGTCCCTGCCTCATTTTGACGGAATGCCTCACATCCCGCTGACACCTCGAGAGGCACGCGGAGTTCATTGCTTCAAAAGGTGACGATGCCTGACTCCTCTTGAATACTGATAGGAATCCCAAACTCGCTGTGGCTACTGGAAAGGGTCCTTGGGTGCCCTGCCTCACCTCGAGAAGCGTACCTTTTGCCTGCCAAGCCTCGAAGAGATTCCTGAGGTGTCCCTCGTTACTAGACAGCAGTCCTGATGTCACTGAAGAAACTCGTGTTTTGAAGGGCCATCCCCGCCGTAAGTCGAGGACATAGCCCAGGTCCCCATCGCAAGTCCATAAAAATCATGAGACTTCCCCCTAGAGGGGATATGACCCCCATTCCCCTGCAATGCATGCAGAGCTATTCCGTGATCCCATTCAAACAAGTCAGGAGCTTCGACTTGCTTAATGGATCTCGAGACAGTCCCCAAGAACACTGTCACCAGTCTAGACGGACCCTGAGGTCACCCCAGCAACGCAAAGCAGCTCCATGTGCCCCAAATCAACTCGAGATGCGGCCCGATTCCCCTGCATTGACTCCAGAGCCATTCCCCGTTCCCCATTCAACACGACTGGTGGCTCGACGTCCTTCAGGCAACTCCAGAGATGCCCTGAGAACACTGTCCCAAGTCTAGAGGAACACCAACTTCAGCACAGCAACTCGAGGAATGCTCCGTGTACCCCAAATCGTCTCGAGATGAGAGCTGATTCCCTGGCTTAGGCTCAAGACGTACACCAACTCCCCAGAAGCACCTCAGGAGGAGGCTTCTCTCAGCAATAGGTATGTGGGAGAGACCCCGAGTTTGCTGCCTCAAGGGGAATATACAGCGAGAAGCCCTAACTTGAAAGGAGGCCGGATTTCCTTGCAGTGGCTTGAATACAGGCTCGTCTTTCATCTCACAACATGAAGGGATGTCTGAATGCCCTGTGGAGACCTTAGAGAAAGCCCTAGGTCCCTGCCTCATTTTGACGGAATGCCTCACATCCCGCTGACACCACGAGAGGCACGCGGAGTTCATTGCTTCAAAAGGTGACGATGCCTGACTCCTCTTGAATACTGATAGGAATCCCAAAAATCGTGTGGCTACTGGAAAGGGTCCTTGGGTGCCCTGCCTCACCTCGAGAAGCGTCCCTTTTGCCCTGCCAAGCCTCGAAGAGATTCCTGAGGTGTCCCTCTTTACTAGACAGGAGTCCTGACGTCACTGAAGAAACTCGTGTTTTGAAGGGCCATCCCCGCCGTAAGTCGAGAACATACCCCAGGTCCCCGCCGCAACTCGAGAAAAACCATGAGACTTCCCCCTAGAGGCGAGATGAGGCCCCATTCCCCTGCAGTGCATGCAGAGCTATTCCGTGATCCCATTCAAACAAGTCAGGAGCTTCGACTTGCTTAATGGATCTCGAGACAGTCCCCAAGAACACTGTCACCAGTCTAGACGGACCCTGAGGTCAACCCAGCAACGCAAAGCAGCTCCATGTGCCCCAAATCAACTCGAGATGAGGCTCGTTTCCCCTGCATTGACTCCAGAGCCATTACCCGTTCCCCATTCAACACGACCGGTGGCTCGACTTCCTTCAGGCAACTCCAAAGATGCCCTGAGAACACTCTCCCAAGTCTAGAGGAACACCAACTTCAGCACAGCAACTCGAGGAATGCTCCGTGTACCCCAAATCGTCTCGAGATGAGAGCTGATTCCCTGGCTTAGGCTCAAGACCTATGCCAACTCCCCAGAAGCACCTCAGGAGGAGGCTTCTCTCAGCAATAGGTATGTGGGAGGGACCCCGAGTTTGCTGCCTCAAGGGGAATATACAGCGAGAAGCCCTAACTTGAAAGGAGGCCGGATTTCCTTGCAGTGGCTTGAATACAGGCTCGTCTTTCATCTCACAACATGAAGGGATGTCTGAAAGCCCTGTGGAGACCTTAGAGAAAGCCCTAGGTCCCTGCCTCATTTTGTCGGAATGCCTCACATCACGCTGACACCTCGAGAGGCACGCGGAGTTCATTGCTTCAAAAGGTGACGATGCCTGACTCCTCTTGAATACTGATAGGAATCCCAAAATCCCTGTGGCTACTGGAAAGGGTCCTTGGGTGCCCTGCCTCACCTCGAGAAGCGTCCGTTTTGCCCTGCCAAGCCTCGAAGAGATTCCTGAGGTGTCCCTCGTTACTAGACAGGAGTCCTGACGTCACTGAAGAAACTCGTGTTTTGAAGGGCCATCCCCGCCGTAAGTCGAGAACATACCCCAGGTCCCTGCCACAACTCGAGAAAAACCATGAGACTTCCCCCTAGAAGCGAGATGAGGCCCCATTCCCCTGCAGTGCATGCAGAGCTATTCCGTGATCCCATTCAAACAAGTCAGGAGCTTCGACTTGCTTAATGGATCTCGAGACAGTCCCCAAGAACACTGTCAGAAGTCCAGACGGACGCTGAGGTCACCCCAGCAACGCAAAGCAGCTTCATGTGCCCCAGATCAACTCAAGATGAGGCCCGATTCCCCTGCATTGACTCCAGAGCCATTCCCCATTCCCCATTCAACACGACCAGTGGCTCGACTTCCTTCAGGCAACTCCAGAGATGCCCCGAGAACACTGTCCCAAGTCTAGAGGAACACCAACTTCAGCACAGCAACTCGCACAATGCTCCGTGTACCCCAAATCGTCTCGAGATGAGAGCTGATTCCCTGGCTTAGGCTCAAGACGTATGCCAACTTTCCAGAAGCACCTCAGGAGGAGGCTTCTCTCAGCAATAGGTATGTGGGAGGGACCCCGAGTTTGCTGCCTCAAGGGGAATATACCGCGAGAAGCCCTAACTTGAAAGGAGGCCGGATTTCCTTGCAGTGGCTTGAATACAGGCTCGTCTTTCATCTCACAATATGGAGGAATGTCTGAATCCCCTGTGTAGACCTTAGAGAAAGCCCTAGGTCCCTTCCTCATTTTGACGGAATGCCTCACATCCCGCTGACACCTCGAGAGGCACGCGGAGTTCATTGCTTCAAAAGGTGACGATGCCTGACTCCTCTTGAATACTGATAGGAATCCCAAAATCACTGTGGCTACTGGAAAGGGTCCTTGGGTGCCCTGCCTCACCTCGAGAAGCGTCCCTTTTGCCCTGCCAAGCCTCGAAGAGATTCCTGAGGTGTCCCTCGTTACTAGACAGGAGTCCTGACGTCACTGAAGAAACTCATGTTTTGAAGGGCCATCCCCGCCGTAAGTCGAGAACATACCCCAGGTCCCCGCCGCAACTCGAGAAGAACCATGAGACTTCCCCCTAGAGGCGAGATGAGGCCCCATTCCCCTGCAGTGCATGCAGAGCTATTCCGTGATCCCATTCAAACAAGTCAGGAGCTTCGACTTGCTTAATGGATCTCGAGACAGTCCCCAAGAACACTGTCACCAGTCCAGACGGACCCTGAGGTCACACCAGCACCGCAAAGCAGCTCCATGTGCCCCAAATCAACTCGAGATGAGGCCCGATTCCCCTGCATTGACTCCAGAGCCATTCCCCGTTCCCCATTCAACACGACCGGTGGCTCGACTTCCTTCAGGCAACTCCAGAGATGCCCCGAGAACACTGTCCCAAGTCTAGAGGAACACCAACTTCAGCACAGCAACTCGAAGAATGCTCCGTGTACCCCAAATCGTCTCGAGATGAGAGCTGATTCCCTGGCTTAGGCTCAAGACGTATGCCAACTTTCCAGAAGCACCTCAGGAGGAGGCTTCTCTCAGCAATAGGTATGTGGGAGGGACACCGAGTTTGCTGCCTCAAGGGGAATATACAGCGAGAAGCCCTAACTTGAAACGAAGCCAGATTTCCTTGCAGTGGCTTGAATACAGGCTCGTCTTTCATCTCACAACATGAAGGTATGTCTGAATCCCCTGTGGAGACCTTAGAGAAAGCCCTAGGTCCCTGCCTCATTTTGACGGAATGCCTCACATCCCGCTGACACCTCGAGAGGCACGCGGAGTTAATTGCTTCAAAAATGACGATGCCTGACTCCTCTTGAATACTGATAGGAATCCCAAAATCCCTGTGGCTACTGGAAAGTGTCCTTGGGTGCCCTGCCTCACCTCGAGAAGAATCCCTTTTGCCCTGGCAAGCCTCGAAGAGATTCCTGAGGTGTCCCTCGTTACTAGACAGGAGTCCTGACGTCACTGAAGAAACTCGTGTTTTGAAGGGCCATCCCCGCCGTAAGTCGAGAACATACCCCAGGTCCCCGCCGCAACTCGAGAAAAACCATGAGACTTCCCCCTAGAGGCGAGATGAGGCCCCATTCCCCTGCAGTGCATGCAGAGCTATTCCGTGATCCCATTCAAACAAGTCAGGAGCTTCGACTTGCTTAATGGATCTCGAGACAGTCCCCAAGAACACTGTCACCAGTCCAGACGGACACTGAGGTCACCCCAGCAACGCAAAGCAGCTCCATGTGCCCCAAATCAACTCGAGATGAGGACCGATTCCCCTGCATTGACTCCAGAGCCATTCCCCGTTCCCCATTCAACACGACCGGTGGCTCGACTTCCTTCAGGCAACTCCAGAGATGCCCCGAGAACACTGTCTCAAGTCTAGAGGAACACCAACTTCAGCACAGCAACTCGAGGAATGCTCCGTGTACCCCAAATCGTCTCGAGATGAGAGCTGATCCCTGGCTTAGGCTCAAGACGTATGCCAACTTCCCAGAAGCACCTCAGGAGGAGGCTTCTCTCAGCAATAGGTATGTGGGAGGGACCCCGAGTTTGCTGCCTCAAGGGGAATATACAGCGAGAAGCCCTAACTTGAAAGGAGTCCGAATTTCCTTGCAGTGGCTTGAATACAGGCTCGTCTTTCATCTCACAACATGAAGGGATGTCTGAATCCCCTGTGGAGACCTTAGAGAAAGCCCTAGGTCCCTGCCTCATTTTGACGGAATGCCTCACATCCCGCTGACACCTCGAGAGGCACGCGGAGTTCATTGCTTCAAAAGGTGACGATCCCTGACTCCTCTTGAATACTGATAGGAATCCCAAAATCCCTGTGACTACTGGAAAGGGTCCTTGGGTGCCCTGCCTCACCTCGAGAAGCGTCCCTTTTGCCCTGCCAAGCCTCGAAGAGATTCCTGAGGTGTCCCTCGTTACTAGACAGGAGTCCTGACGTCACTGAAGAAACTCGTGTTTTGAAGGGCCATCCCCGCCGTAAGTCGAGAACATACCCCAGGTCCCTGCCGCAACTCGAGAAAAACCATGAGACTTCCCCCTGGAGGCGAGATGAGGCCCCATTCCCCTGCAGTGCATGCAGAGCTATTCCGTGATCCCATTCAAACAAGTCAGGAGCTTCGACTTGCTTAATGGATCTCGAGACAGTCCCCAAGAACACTGTCACCAGTCTAGACGGACCCTGAGGTCACCCCAGCAATGCAAAGCAGCTCCATGTGCCCCAAATCAACTCGAGATGAGGCCCGATTCCCCTGCATTGACTCCAGAGCCATTCCCCGTTCCCCATTCAACACGACCGGTGGCTCGACTTCCTTCAGGCAACTCCAGAGATGCCCGGAGAACACTGTCCCAAGTCTAGAGGAACACCAACTTCAGCACAGCAACTCGAAGAATGCTCTGTGTACCCCAAATCGTCTCGAAATGAGAGCTGATTCCCTGGCTTAGGCTCAAGACGTATGCCAACTTTCCAGAAGCACCTCAGGAGGAGGCTTCTCTCAGCAATAGGTATGTGGGAGGGACCCCGAGTTTGCTGCCTCAAGGGGAATATACCGCGAGAACCCCTAACTTGAAAGGAGGCCGGATTTCCTTGCAGTGGCTTGAATACAGGCTCGTCTTTCATCTCACAATATGGAGGGATGTCTGAATCCCCTGTGTAGACCTTAGAGAAAGCCCTAGGTCCCTGCCTCATTTTGACGGAATGCCTCACATCCCGATGACACCTCGAGAGGCACGCGGAGTTCATTGCTTCAAAAGGTGACGATGCCTGACTCCTCTTGAATACTGATAGGAATCCCAAAATCCCTGTGGCTACTGGAAAGGGTCCTTGGGTGCCCTGCCTCACATCGAGAAGCATCCCTTTTGCCCTGCCAAGCCTCGAAGAGATTCCTGAGGTGTCCGTCGTTACTAGACAGGAGTCCTGACGTCACTGAAGAAACTCGTGTTTTGAAGGGCCATCCCCGCCGTAAGTCGAGAACATACCCCAGGTCCCCGCGGCAACTCGAGAAAAACCATGAAACTTCCCCCTAGAGACGAGATGAGGCCCCATTCCCCTGCAGTGCATGCAGAGCTATTCCGTGATCCCATTCAAACAAGGCAGGAGCTTCGACTTGCTTAATGGATCTCGAGACAGTCCCCAAGAACACTGTCACCAGTCCAGACGGACCCTGAGGTCACCCCAGCACCGCAAAGCAGCTCCATGTGCCCCAAATCAACTCGAGATGAGGCCCGATTCCCCTGCATTGACTCCAGAGCCATTCCCCGTTCCCCATTCAACACGACCGGTGGCTCGACTTCCTTCAGGCAACTCCAGAAATGCCCCGAGAACACTGTCCCAAGTCTAGAGGAACACCAACTTCAGCACAGCAACTCGAGGAATGCTCCGTGTACCCCAAATCGTCTCGAGATGAGAGCTGATTCCCTGGCTTAGGCTCAAGACGTATGCCAACTTACCAGAAGCACCTCAGGAGGAGGCTTCTCTCAGCAATAGGTATGTGGGAGGGACCCCGAGTTTGCTGCCTCAAGGGGAATATACCGCGAGAAGCCCTAACTTGAAAGGAGGCCGGATTTCCTTGCAGGGGCTTGAATACAGGCTCGTCTTTCATCTCACAACATGAAGGGATTTCTGAATCCCCTGTGGAGACCTTAGAGAAAGCCCTAGGTCCCTGCCTCATTTTGACGGAATGCCTCACATCCCGCTGACACCTCGAGAGGCACGCGGAGTTCATTGCTTCAAAAGTGATGATGCCTGACTCCTCTTGAATACCGATAGGAATCCCAAAATCCCTGTGGCTACTGGAAAGGGTCCTTGGGTGCACTGCCTCACCTCGAGAAGCGTCCGTTTTGCCCTGCCAAGCCTCGAAGAGATTCCTGAGGTGTCCCTCGTTACTAGACAGGAGTCCTGACGTCACTGAAGAAACTCGTGGTTTGAAGGGCCATCCCCGCCATAAGTCGAGGACATAGCCCAGGTCCCCGCCGCAACTCGAGAAAAACCATGAGACTTCCCCCTAGAGGCGAGATGAGGCCCCATTCCCCTGCAGTGCATGCAGAGCTATTCCGTGATCCCATTCATACAAGTCTGGAGCGTCGACTTGCTTAATGGATCTCGAGAAAGTCCCCAAGAACACTGTCACCAGTCTAGACGGACCCTGAGGTCACCCCAGTAACGCAAAGCAGCTCCATGTGCCCCAAATCAACTCGAGATGGGGCCCGATTCCCCTGCATTGACTCCAGAGCCATTCCTCGTTCCCCATTCAACACGACCGGTGGCTCGACTTCCTTCAGGAAACTCCAGAGATGCCCCAAGAACACTGTCCCAAGTCTTGAGGAACACCAACTTCAGCACAGCAACTGGAGGAATGATCCGTGTACCCCAAATCGTCTCGAGATGAGAGCTGATTCCCTCGCTTAGGCTCAAGACGTATGCCAACTTTCCAGAAGCACCTCAGGAGGAGGCTTCTCTCAGCAATAGGTATGTGGGAGGGACCCCGATTTCGCTGCCTCAAGGGGAATATACCGCGAGAAGCCCTAACTTGAAAGGAGGCCGGATTTCCTTGCAGGGGCTTGAATACAGGCTCGTCTTTCATCTCACAACATGAAGGGATGTCAGAATCCCCTGTGGAGACCTTAGAGAAAGCCCTAGGTCCCTGCCTCATTTTGACGGAATGCCTCACATCCCGCTGACACCTCGAGAGGCACGCGGAGTTCATTGCTTCAAAAGGTGACGATGCCTGACTCCTCTTGAATACTGATAGGAATCCCAAACTCGCTGTGGCTACTGGAAAGGGTCCTTGGGTGCCCTGCCTCACCTCGAGAAGCGTACCTTTTGCCTGCCAAGCCTCGAAGAGATTCCTGAGGTGTCCCTCGTTACTAGACAGCAGTCCTGATGTCACTGAAGAAACTCGTGTTTTGAAGGGCCATCCCCGCCGTAAGTCGAGGACATAGCCCAGGTCCCCATCGCAAGTCCATAAAAATCATGAGACTTCCCCCTAGAGAGGATATGACCCCCATTCCCCTGCAATGCATGCAGAGCTATTCCGTGATCCCATTCAAACAAGTCAGGAGCTTCGACTTGCTTAATGGATCTCGAGACAGTCCCCAAGAACACTGTCACCAGTCTAGACGGACCCTGAGGTCACCCCAGCAACGCAAAGCAGCTCCATGTGCCCCAAATCAACTCGAGATGCGGCCCGATTCCCCTGCATTGACTCCAGAGCCATTCCCCGTTCCCCATTCAACACGACTGGTGGCTCGACGTCCTTCAGGCAACTCCAGAGATGCCCTGAGAACACTGTCCCAAGTCTAGAGGAACACCAACTTCAGCACAGCAACTCGAGGAATGCTCCGTGTACCCCAAATCGTCTCGAGATGAGAGCTGATTCCCTGGCTTAGGCTCAAGACGTACACCAACTCCCCAGAAGCACCTCAGGAGGAGGCTTCTCTCAGCAATAGGTATGTGGGAGAGACCCCGAGTTTGCTGCCTCAAGGGGAATATACAGCGAGAAGCCCTAACTTGAAAGGAGGCCGGATTTCCTTGCAGTGGCTTGAATACAGGCTCGTCTTTCATCTCACAACATGAAGGGATGTCTGAATGCCCTGTGGAGACCTTAGAGAAAGCCCTAGGTCCCTGCCTCATTTTGACGGAATGCCTCACATCCCGCTGACACCACGAGAGGCACGCGGAGTTCATTGCTTCAAAAGGTGACGATGCCTGACTCCTCTTGAATACTGATAGGAATCCCAAAAATCGTGTGGCTACTGGAAAGGGTCCTTGGGTGCCCTGCCTCACCTCGAGAAGCGTCCCTTTTGCCCTGCCAAGCCTCGAAGAGATTCCTGAGGTGTCCCTCTTTACTAGACAGGAGTCCTGACGTCACTGAAGAAACTCGTGTTTTGAAGGGCCATCCCCGCCGTAAGTCGAGAACATACCCCAGGTCCCCGCCGCAACTCGAGAAAAACCATGAGACTTCCCCCTAGAGGCGAGATGAGGCCCCATTCCCCTGCAGTGCATGCAGAGCTATTCCGTGATCCCATTCAAACAAGTCAGGAGCTTCGACTTGCTTAATGGATCTCGAGACAGTCCCCAAGAACACTGTCACCAGTCTAGACGGACCCTGAGGTCAACCCAGCAACGCAAAGCAGCTCCATGTGCCCCAAATCAACTCGAGATGAGGCTCGTTTCCCCTGCATTGACTCCAGAGCCATTACCCGTTCCCCATTCAACACGACCGGTGGCTCGACTTCCTTCAGGCAACTCCAAAGATGCCCTGAGAACACTCTCCCAAGTCTAGAGGAACACCAACTTCAGCACAGCAACTCGAGGAATGCTCCGTGTACCCCAAATCGTCTCGAGATGAGAGCTGATTCCCTGGCTTAGGCTCAAGACCTATGCCAACTCCCCAGAAGCACCTCAGGAGGAGGCTTCTCTCAGCAATAGGTATGTGGGAGGGACCCCGAGTTTGCTGCCTCAAGGGGAATATACAGCGAGAAGCCCTAACTTGAAAGGAGGCCGGATTTCCTTGCAGTGGCTTGAATACAGGCTCGTCTTTCATCTCACAACATGAAGGGATGTCTGAAAGCCCTGTGGAGACCTTAGAGAAAGCCCTAGGTCCCTGCCTCATTTTGTCGGAATGCCTCACATCACGCTGACACCTCGAGAGGCACGCGGAGTTCATTGCTTCAAAAGGTGACGATGCCTGACTCCTCTTGAATACTGATAGGAATCCCAAAATCCCTGTGGCTACTGGAAAGGGTCCTTGGGTGCCCTGCCTCACCTCGAGAAGCGTCCGTTTTGCCCTGCCAAGCCTCGAAGAGATTCCTGAGGTGTCCCTCGTTACTAGACAGGAGTCCTGACGTCACTGAAGAAACTCGTGTTTTGAAGGGCCATCCCCGCCGTAAGTCGAGAACATACCCCAGGTCCCTGCCACAACTCGAGAAAAACCATGAGACTTCCCCCTAGAAGCGAGATGAGGCCCCATTCCCCTGCAGTGCATGCAGAGCTATTCCGTGATCCCATTCAAACAAGTCAGGAGCTTCGACTTGCTTAATGGATCTCGAGACAGTCCCCAAGAACACTGTCAGAAGTCCAGACGGACGCTGAGGTCACCCCAGCAACGCAAAGCAGCTTCATGTGCCCCAGATCAACTCGAGATGAGGCCCGATTCCCCTGCATTGACTCCAGAGCCATTCCCCATTCCCCATTCAACACGACCAGTGGCTCGACTTCCTTCAGGCAACTCCAGAGATGCCCCGAGAACACTGTCCCAAGTCTAGAGGAACACCAACTTCAGCACAGCAACTCGCACAATGCTCCGTGTACCCCAAATCGTCTCGAGATGAGAGCTGATTCCCTGGCTTAGGCTCAAGACGTATGCCAACTTTCCAGAAGCACCTCAGGAGGAGGCTTCTCTCAGCAATAGGTATGTGGGAGGGACCCCGAGTTTGCTGCCTCAAGGGGAATATACCGCGAGAAGCCCTAACTTGAAAGGAGGCCGGATTTCCTTGCAGTCGCTTGAATACAGGCTCGTCTTTCATCTCACAATATGGAGGAATGTCTGAGTCCCCTGTGTAGACCTTAGAGAAAGCCCTAGGTCCCTTCCTCATTTTGACGGAATGCCTCACATCCCGCTGACACCTCGAGAGGCACGCGGAGTTCATTGCTTCAAAAGGTGACGATGCCTGACTCCTCTTGAATACTGATAGGAATCCCAAAATCACTGTGGCTACTGGAAAGGGTCCTTGGGTGCCCTGCCTCACCTCGAGAAGCGTCCCTTTTGCCCTGCCAAGCCTCGAAGAGATTCCTGAGGTGTCCCTCGTTACTAGACAGGAGTCCTGACGTCACTGAAGAAACTCATGTTTTGAAGGGCCATCCCCGCCGTAAGTCGAGAACATACCCCAGGTCCCCGCCGCAACTCGAGAAGAACCATGAGACTTCCCCCTAGAGGCGAGATGAGGCCCCATTCCCCTGCAGTGCATGCAGAGCTATTCCGTGATCCCATTCAAACAAGTCAGGAGCTTCGACTTGCTTAATGGATCTCGAGACAGTCCCCAAGAACACTGTCACCAGTCCAGACGGACCCTGAGGTCACACCAGCACCGCAAAGCAGCTCCATGTGCCCCAAATCAACTCGAGATGAGGCCCGATTCCCCTGCATTGACTCCAGAGCCATTCCCCGTTCCCCATTCAACACGACCGGTGGCTCGACTTCCTTCAGGCAACTCCAGAGATGCCCCGAGAACACTGTCCCAAGTCTAGAGGAACACCAACTTCAGCACAGCAACTCGAAGAATGCTCCGTGTACCCCAAATCGTCTCGAGATGAGAGCTGATTCCCTGGCTTAGGCTCAAGACGTATGCCAACTTTCCAGAAGCACCTCAGGAGGAGGCTTCTCTCAGCAATAGGTATGTGGGAGGGACACCGAGTTTGCTGCCTCAAGGGGAATATACAGCGAGAAGCCCTAACTTGAAACGAAGCCAGATTTCCTTGCAGTGGCTTGAATACAGGCTCGTCTTTCATCTCACAACATGAAGGTATGTCTGAATCCCCTGTGGAGACCTTAGAGAAAGCCCTAGGTCCCTGCCTCATTTTGACGGAATGCCTCACATCCCGCTGACACCTCGAGAGGCACGCGGAGTTAATTGCTTCAAAAATGACGATGCCTGACTCCTCTTGAATACTGATAGGAATCCCAAAATCCCTGTGGCTACTGGAAAGTGTCCTTGGGTGCCCTGCCTCACCTCGAGAAGAATCCCTTTTGCCCTGGCAAGCCTCGAAGAGATTCCTGAGGTGTCCCTCGTTACTAGACAGGAGTCCTGACGTCACTGAAGAAACTCGTGTTTTGAAGGGCCATCCCCGCCGTAAGTCGAGAACATACCCCAGGTCCCCGCCGCAACTCGAGAAAAACCATGAGACTTCCCCCTAGAGGCGAGATGAGGCCCCATTCCCCTGCAGTGCATGCAGAGCTATTCCGTGATCCCATTCAAACAAGTCAGGAGCTTCGACTTGCTTAATGGATCTCGAGACAGTCCCCAAGAACACTGTCACCAGTCCAGACGGACACTGAGGTCACCCCAGCAACGCAAAGCAGCTCCATGTGCCCCAAATCAACTCGAGATGAGGACCGATTCCCCTGCATTGACTCCAGAGCCATTCCCCGTTCCCCATTCAACACGACCGGTGGCTCGACTTCCTTCAGGCAACTCCAGAGATGCCCCGAGAACACTGTCTCAAGTCTAGAGGAACACCAACTTCAGCACAGCAACTCGAGGAATGCTCCGTGTACCCCAAATCGTCTCGAGATGAGAGCTGATCCCTGGCTTAGGCTCAAGACGTATGCCAACTTCCCAGAAGCACCTCAGGAGGAGGCTTCTCTCAGCAATAGGTATGTGGGAGGGACCCCGAGTTTGCTGCCTCAAGGGGAATATACAGCGAGAAGCCCTAACTTGAAAGGAGTCCGAATTTCCTTGCAGTGGCTTGAATACAGGCTCGTCTTTCATCTCACAACATGAAGGGATGTCTGAATCCCCTGTGGAGACCTTAGAGAAAGCCCTAGGTCCCTGCCTCATTTTGACGGAATGCCTCACATCCCGCTGACACCTCGAGAGGCACGCGGAGTTCATTGCTTCAAAAGGTGACGATCCCTGACTCCTCTTGAATACTGATAGGAATCCCAAAATCCCTGTGACTACTGGAAAGGGTCCTTGGGTGCCCTGCCTCACCTCGAGAAGCGTCCCTTTTGCCCTGCCAAGCCTCGAAGAGATTCCTGAGGTGTCCCTCGTTACTAGACAGGAGTCCTGACGTCACTGAAGAAACTCGTGTTTTGAAGGGCCATCCCCGCCGTAAGTCGAGAACATACCCCAGGTCCCTGCCGCAACTCGAGAAAAACCATGAGACTTCCCCCTGGAGGCGAGATGAGGCCCCATTCCCCTGCAGTGCATGCAGAGCTATTCCGTGATCCCATTCAAACAAGTCAGGAGCTTCGACTTGCTTAATGGATCTCGAGACAGTCCCCAAGAACACTGTCACCAGTCTAGACGGACCCTGAGGTCACCCCAGCAATGCAAAGCTGCTCCATGTGCCCCAAATCAACTCGAGATGAGGCCCGATTCCCCTGCATTGACTCCAGAGCCATTCCCCGTTCCCCATTCAACACGACCGGTGGCTCGACTTCCTTCAGGCAACTCCAGAGATGCCCCGAGAACACTGTCCCAAGTCTAGAGGAACACCAACTTCAGCACAGCAACTCGAAGAATGCTCTGTGTACCCCAAATCGTCTCGAGATGAGAGCTGATTCCCTGGCTTAGGCTCAAGACGTATGCCAACTTTCCAGAAGCACCTCAGGAGGAGGCTTCTCTCAGCAATAGGTATGTGGGAGGGACCCCGAGTTTGCTGCCTCAAGGGGAATATACCGCGAGAACCCCTAACTTGAAAGGAGGCCGGATTTCCTTGCAGTGGCTTGAATACAGGCTCGTCTTTCATCTCACAATATGGAGGGATGTCTGAATCCCCTGTGTAGACCTTAGAGAAAGCCCTAGGTCCCTGCCTCATTTTGACGGAATGCCTCACATCCCGATGACACCTCGAGAGGCACGCGGAGTTCATTGCTTCAAAAGGTGACGATGCCTGACTCCTCTTGAATACTGATAGGAATCCCAAAATCCCTGTGGCTACTGGAAAGGGTCCTTGGGTGCCCTGCCTCACATCGAGAAGCATCCCTTTTGCCCTGCCAAGCCTCGAAGAGATTCCTGAGGTGTCCCTCGTTACTAGACAGGAGTCCTGACGTCACTGAAGAAACTCGTGTTTTGAAGGGCCATCCCCGCCGTAAGTCGAGAACATACCCCAGGTCCCCGCCGCAACTCGAGAAAAACCATGAAACTTCCCCCTAGAGACGAGATGAGGCCCCATTCCCCTGCAGTGCATGCAGAGCTATTCCGTGATCCCATTCAAACAAGGCAGGAGCTTCGACTTGCTTAATGGATCTCGAGACAGTCCCCAAGAACACTGTCACCAGTCCAGACGGACCCTGAGGTCACCCCAGCACCGCAAAGCAGCTCCATGTGCCCCAAATCAACTCGAGATGAGGCCCGATTCCCCTGCATTGACTCCAGAGCCATTCCCCGTTCCCCATTCAACACGACCGGTGGCTCGACTTCCTTCAGGCAACTCCAGAAATGCCCCGAGAACACTGTCCCAAGTCTAGAGGAACACCAACTTCAGCACAGCAACTCGAGGAATGCTCCGTGTACCCCAAATCGTCTCGAGATGAGAGCTGATTCCCTGGCTTAGGCTCAAGACGTATGCCAACTTACCAGAAGCACCTAAGGAGGAGGCTTCTCTCAGCAATAGGTATGTGGGAGGGACCCCGAGTTTGCTGCCTCAAGGGGAATATACCGCGAGAAGCCCTAACTTGAAAGGAGGCCGGATTTCCTTGCAGGGGCTTGAATACAGGCTCGTCTTTCATCTCACAACATGAAGGGATTTCTGAATCCCCTGTGGAGACCTTAGAGAAAGCCCTAGGTCCCTGCCTCATTTTGACGGAATGCCTCACATCCCGCTGACACCTCGAGAGGCACGCGGAGTTCATTGCTTCAAAAGTGATGATGCCTGACTCCTCTTGAATACCGATAGGAATCCCAAAATCCCTGTGGCTACTGGAAAGGGTCCTTGGGTGCACTGCCTCACCTCGAGAAGCGTCCGTTTTGCCCTGCCAAGCCTCGAAGAGATTCCTGAGGTGTCCCTCGTTACTAGACAGGAGTCCTGACGTCACTGAAGAAACTCGTGGTTTGAAGGGCCATCCCCGCCATAAGTCGAGGACATAGCCCAGGTCCCCATCGCAAGTCGAGAAAAACCATGAGACTTCCCCCTAGAGGGGAGATGAGGCCCCATTCCCCTGCAATGCATGCAGAGCTATTCCGTGATCACATTCAAACAAGTCAGGAGCTTCGACTTGCTTAATGGATCTCGAGACAGTCCGCAAGAACACTGTCACCAGTCTAGACGGACCATGAGGTCACCCCAGCAACGCAAAGCAGCTCCATGTGCCCCAAATCAACTCGAGATGAGGCCCGATTCCGCTGCATTGGCTCCAGAGCCATTCCCCGTTCCCCATTCAACACGACCGGTGGCTCGAGTTCCTTCAGGCAACTCCAGAGATGCCCCGAGAACACTGTCCCAAGTCTAGAGGAACAACAACTTCAGCACAGCAACTCGAGGAATGATACGTGTACCCCAAATCGTTTCGAGATGAGAGCTGATTCCCTGGCTTAGGCTCAAGACGTATGCCAACTTCCCAGAAGCAACTCAGGAGGAGGCTTCTCTCAGCAATAGGTATGTGGGAGGGACCCCGAGTTTGCTGCCTCAAGGGGAATATACAGCGAGAAGCCCTAACTTGAAAGGAGTACGAATTTCCTTGCAGGGGCTTGAATACAGGCTCGTCTTTCATCTCACAACATGAAGGGATGTCTAAATCCCCTGTGGAGACCTTAGAGAAAGTCCTAGGTCCCTGCCTCATGTTGACGGAATGCCTCACATCCCGCTGACACCTCGAGAGGCACGCGGAGTTTATTGCTTCAAAAATGACGATGCCTGACTCCTCTTGAATACTGATAGGAATCCCAAAATCCCTGTGGCTACTGGAAAGGGTCCTTGGGTGCCCTGCCTCACATCGAGAAGCGTCCCTTTTGCCCTGCCAAGCCTCGAAGAGATTCCTGAGGTGTCCCACGTTACTAGACAGTACTCCTGACGTCACTGAAGAAACTCGTGTTTTGAAGGGCCATCCCCGCCGTAAGTCGAGAACATACCCCAGGTCCCCGCCGCAACTCGAGAAAAACCATGAGACTTCCCCCTAGAGGCGAGATGAGGCCCCATTCCCCTGCAGTGCATGCAGAGCTATTCCGTGATCCCATTCAAACAAGTCAGGAGCTTCGACTTGCTTAATGGATCTCGAGACAGTCCCCAAGAACACTGTCACCAGTCTAGACGGACCCTGAGGTCACACCAGCACCGCAAAGCAGCTCCATGTGCCCCAAATCAACTCGAGATGAGGCCCGATTCCCCTGCATTGACTCCAGAGCCATTCCCCGTTCCCCATTCAACACGACCGGTGGCTCGACTTCCTTCAGGCAACTCCAGAGATGCCCCGAGAACACCTTCCCAAGTCTAGAGGAACACCAACTTCAGCACAGCAACTCGAGGAATGCTCCGTGTACCCCAAATCGTCTCGAGATGAGAGCTGATTCCCTGGCTTAGGCTCAAGACGTATGCCAACTTTCCAGAAGCACCTCAGGAGGAGGCTTCTCTCAGCAATAGGTATGTGGGAGGGACACCGAGTTTGCTGCCTCAAGGGGAATATACAGCGAGAAGCCCTAACTTGAAACGAAGCCAGATTTCCTTGCAGTGGCTTGAATACAGGCTCGTCTTTCATCTCACAACATGAAGCTATGTCTGAATCCCCTGTGGAGACCTTAGAGAAAGCCCTAGGTCCCTGCCTCATTTTGACGGAATGCCTCACATCCCGCTGACACCTCGAGAGGCACGCGGAGTTAATTGCTTCAAAAATGACGATGCCTGACTCCTCTTGAATACTGATAGGAATCCCAAAATCCCTGTGGCTACTGGAAAGTGTCCTTGGGTGCCCTGCCTCACCTCGAGAAGAATCCCTTTTGCCCTGGCAAGCCTCGAAGAGATTCCTGAGGTGTCCCTCGTTACTAGACAGGAGTCCTGACGTCACTGAAGAAACTCGTGTTTTGAAGGGCCATCCCCGCCGTAAGTCGAGAACATACCCCAGGTCCCCGCCGCAACTCGAGAAAAACCATGAGACTTCCCCCTAGAGGCGAGATGAGGCCCCATTCCCCTTCAGTGCATGCAGAGCTATTCCGTGATCCCATTCAAACAAGTCAGGAGCTTCGACTTGCTTAATGGATCTCGAGACAGTCCCCAAGAACACTGTCACCAGTCCAGACGGACACTGAGGTCACCCCAGCAACGCAAAGCAGCTCCATGTGCCCCAAATCAACTCGAGATGAGGACCGATTCCCCTGCATTGACTCCAGAGCCATTCCCCATTCGCCATTCAACACGACCGGTGGCTCGACTTCCTTCAGGCAACTCAAGAGATGCCCCGAGAACACTGTCTCAAATCTAGAGGAACACCAACTTCAGCACAGCAACTCGAGGAATGCTCCGTGTACCCCAAATCGTCTCGAGATGAGAGCTGATCCCTGGCTTAGGCTCAAGACGTATGCCAACTTCCCAGAAGCACCTCAGGAGGAGGCTTCTCTCAGCAATAGGTATTTGGCAGGGACCCCGAGTTTGCTGCCTCAAGGGGAATATACAGCGAGAAGCCCTAACTTGAAAGGAGACCGAATTTCCTTGCAGTGGCTTGAATACAGGCTCGTCTTTCATCTCACAACATGAAGGGATGTCTGAATCCCCTGTGGAGACCTTAGAGAAAGCCCTAGGTCCCTGCCTCATTTTGACGGAATGCCTCACATCCCGCTGACACCTCGAGAGGCACGCGGAGTTCATTGCTTCAAAAGGTGACGATGCCTGACTCCTCTTGAATACTGATAGGAATCCCAAAATCCCTGTGGCTACTGGAAAGGGTCCTTGGGTGCCCTGCCTCACCTCGAGAAGCGTCCCTTTTGCCCTGCCAAGCCTCGAAGAGATTCCTGAGGTGTCCCTCGTTACTAGACAGGAGTCCTGACGTCACTGAAGAAACTCGTGTTTTGAAGGGCCATCCCCGCCGTAAGTCGAGAACATACCCCAGGTCCCTGCCGCAACTCGAGAAAAACCATGAGACTTCCCCCTGGAGGCGAGATGAGGCCCCATTCCCCTGCAGTGCATGCTGAGCTATTCCGTGATCCCATTCAAACAACTCAGGAGCTTCGACTTGCTTAATGGATCTCGAGACAGTCCCCAAGAACACTGTCACCAGTCTAGACGGACCCTGAGGTCACCCCAGCTCCGCAAAGCAGCTCCATGTGCCCCAAATCAACTCGAGATGAGGCCCGATTCCCCTGCATTGACTCCAGAGCCATTCCCCGTTCCCCATTCAACACGACCAGTGGCTCGACTTCCTTCAGGCAACTCCAGAGATGCCCCGAGAACACTGTCCCAAGTCTAGAGGAACAAAAACTTCAGCACAGCCACTCGAGGTATGCTCCGTGTACCCCAAATCGTCTCGAGATGAGAGCTCATTCCCTGGCTTAGGCTCAAGACGTATGCCAACTTCCCAGAAGCACCTCAGGAGGAGGCTTCTCTCAGCAATAGGTATGTGGGAGGGACCCTGAGTTTGCTGCCTCAAGGGGAATATACAGCGAGAAGACCTAACTTGAAAGGAGTCCGAATTTCCTAGCAGTGGCTTGAATACAGGCACGTCTTTCATCTCACAATATGAAGGGATGTCTGAATCCGCTGTGGAGACGTTAGAGAAAGCCCTAGGTCCCTGCCTCATTTTGACGGAATGCCTCACATCCCGCTGACACCTCGACAGGCACGCGGAGTTAATTGCTTCAAAAATGACGATGCCTGACTCCTCTTGAATACTGATAGGAATCCCAAAATCCCTGTGGGTACTGGAAAGGGTCCTTGGGTGCCCTGCCTCACATCGAGAAGCGTCCCTTTTGCCCTGCCAAGCCTCGAAGAGATTCCTGAGGTGTCCCTCGTTACTAGACAGGAGTCCTGACGTCACTGAAGAAACTCGTGTCTTGAAGGGCCATCCCCGCCGTAAGTCGAGAACATACCCCAGGTCCCCGCCGCAACTCGAGAAAAACCATGAGACTTCCCCCTAGAGGCGAGATGAGGCCCCATTCCCCTGCAGTGCATGCAGAGCTATTCCGTGATCCCATTCAAACAAGTCAGGAGCTTCGACTTGCTTAATGGATCTCGAGACAGTCCCCAAGAACACTGTCACCAGTCTAGACGGACCCTGAGGTCACCCCAGCAACGCAAAGCAGCTCCATGTGCCCCAAATCAACACGATATGAGGCCCGATTCCCCTGCATTGACTCCAGAGCCATTCCCCGTTCCCCATTCAACACGACCGGTGGCTCGACTTCCTTCAGGCAACTCCAGAGATGCCCCGAGAAGACTGTCCCAAGTCTAGAGGAACACCAACTTCAGCACAGCAACTCGAGGAATGCTCCGTGTACCCCAAATCGTCTCGAGATGAGAGCTGATTCCCTGGCTTAGGCTCAAGACGTATGCCAACTTCCCAGAAGCACCTCAGGAGGAGGCTTCTCTCAGCAAAAGTTATGTGGGAGGGACCCCGAGTTTGCTGCCTCAAGTGGAATATACAGCGAGAAGCCCTAACTTGAAAGGAGCCCGATTTCCTTGCAGGGGCTTGAATACAGGCTCGTCTTTCATCTCACAACATGAAGGGATGTCTGAATCCCCTGTGGAGACCTTAGAGAAAGCCCTAGGTCCCTGCCTCATTTTGACGGAATGCCTCACATCCCGCTGACACCTCGAGAGGCACGCGGAGTTCATTGCTTCAAAAGGTGACGATGCCTGACTCCTCTTGAATACTGATAGGAATCCCAAAATCCCTGTGGCTACTGGAAAGGGTCCTTGGGTGCCCAGCCTCAACTCGAGAAGTGTCCCTTTTGCCCTGCCAAGCCTCGAAGAGATTCCTGAGTTGTCCCTCGTTACTAGACAGGAGGCCTGACGTCACTGAAGAAACTCGTGTCTTGAAGGGCCATCCCCGCCCTAAGTCGAGAACATACCCTAGGTCCCCGCCGCAACTCGAGAAAAACCATGAGACTTCCCCCTAGAGGCGAGATGAGGCCCCATTCCCCTGCAGTGCATGCAGAGCTATTCCGTGATCCCATTCAAACAAGTCAGGAGCTTCGACTTGCTTAATGGATCTCGAGACAGTCCCCAAGAACACTGTCACCAGTCTAGACGGACCCTGAGGTCACCCCAGCAATGCAAAGCAGCTCCATGTGCCCCAAATCAACTCGAGATGAGGCCCGATTCCCCTGCATTGACTCCAGAGCCATTCCCCGTTCCCCATTCAACACGACCGGTGGCTCGACTTCCTTCAGGCAACTCCAGAGATGCCCCGAGAACACTGTCCCAAGTCTAGAGGAACACCAACTTCAGCACAGCAACTCTAGGAATGCTCCGTGTACCCCAAATCGTCTCGAGATGAGAGCTGATTCCCTGGCTTAGGCTCAAGACGTATGCCAACTTCCCAGAAGCACCTCAGGAGGAGGCTTCTCTCAGCAATAGGTATGTGGGAGGGACCCCGAGTTTGCTGCCTCAAGGGGAATATACAGCGAGAAGCCCTAACTTGAAAGGAGGCCGGATTTCCTTGCAGTGGCTTGAATACAGGCTCGTCTTTCATCTCACAACATGAAGGGATGTCTGAATCCCCTGTGGAGACCTTAGAGAAAGCCCTAGGTCCCTGCCTCATTTTGACGGAATGCCTCACATCCCGCTGACACCTCGAGAGGCACGCGGAGTTCATTGCTTCAAAAGGTGACGATGCCTGACTCCTCTTGAATACTGATAGGAATCCCAAAATCCCTGTGGCTACTGGAAAGGGTCCTTGGGTGCCCTGCCTCACCTCGAGAAGCGTCCCTTTTGCCCTGCCAAGCCTCGAAGAGATTCCTGAGGTGTCCCTCGTTACTAGACAGGAGTCCTGACGTTACTGAAGAAACTCGTGTCTTGAAGTGCCATCCCCGCCGTAAGTCGAGAACATACCAAAGGTCCCCGCCGCAACTCGAGAAAAACCATGAGACTTCCCCCTAGAGGCGAGATGAGGCCCCATTCCCCTGCAGGGCATGCAGAGCTATTCCGTGATCCCATTCAAACAAGTCAGGAGCTTCGACTTGCTTAATGGATCTCGAGACAGTCCCCAAGAACACTGTCAACAGTCTAGACGGACCCTGAGGTCACCCCAGCAACGCAAAGCAGCTCCATGTGCCCCAAATCAACTCGAGATGAGGCCCGATTCCCCTGCATTGACTCCAGAGCCATTCCCCGTTCCCCATTCAACACGACCGGTGGCTCGACTTCCTTCAGGCAACTCCAGAGATGCCCCGAGAACACTGTCCCAAGTCTAGAGGAAAACCAACTTCAGCACAGCAACTCGAGGAATGCTCCGTGTACCCCAAATCGTCTCGAGATGAGAGCTGATTCCCTGGCTTAGGCTCAAGACGTATGCCAACTTCCCAGAAGCACCTCAGGAGGAGGCTTCTCTCAGCAATAGGTATGTGGGAGGGACCCCGAGTTTGCTGCCTCAAGGGGAATATACAGCGAGAAGCCCTAACTTGAAAGGAGGCCGGATTTCCTTGCAGTGGCTTGAACACAGGCTCGTCTTTCATCTCACAACATGAAGGGATGTTTGAATCCCCTGTGTAGACCTTAGAGAAAGCCCTAGGTCCCTGCCTCATTTTGACGGAATGCCTCACATCCCGCTGACACCTCGAGAGGCACGCGGAGTTCATTGCTTCAAAAGGTGACGATGCCTGACTCCTCTTGAATGCTGATAGGAATCCCAAAATCCCTGTGGCTACTGGAAAGGGTCCTTGGCTGCCCTGCCTCACCTCGAGAAGCGTCCCTTTTGCCCTGCCAAGCCTCGAAGAGATTCCTGAGGTGTCCCTCGTTACTAGACAGGAGTCCTGACGTCACTGAAGAAACTCGTGTCTTGAAGGGCCATCCCCGCCGTAAGTCGAGAACATACCCCAGGTCCCCGCCGCAACTCGAGAAAAACCATGAGACTTCCCCCTAGAGGCGAGATGAGGCCCCATTCCCCTGCAGTGCATGCAGAGCTATTCCGTGATCCCATTCAAACAAGTCAGGAGCTTCGACTTGCTAAATGGATCTCGAGACAGTCCCCAAGAACACTGTCACCAGTCTAGACGGACCCTGAGGTCACCCCAGCAACGCCAAGCAGCTCCATGTGCCCCAAATCAACACGAGATGAGGCCCGATTCCCCTGCATTGACTCCAGAGCCATTCCCCGTTCCCCATTCAACACGACCGGTGGCTCGACTTCCTTCAGGCAACTCCAGAGATGCCCCGAGAACACTGTCCCAAGTCTAGAGGAACACCAACTTCAGCACAGCAACTCGAGGAATGATCCGTGTACCCCAAATCGTCTCGAGATGAGAGCTGATTCCCTGGCTTAGGTTCAAGACGTATGCCAACTTTCCAGAAGCACCTCAGGAGGAGGCTTCTCTCAGCAATAGGTATGTGGGAGGGACACCGAGTTTGCTGCCTCAAGGTGAATATACAGCGAGAAGCCCTAACTTGAAACGAGGCCATATTTCCTTGCAGTGGATTGAATACAGGCTCGTCTTTCATCTCACAACATGAAGGGATGTCTGAATCCCCTGTGGAGACCTTAGAGAAAGCCCTAGGTCCCTGCCTCATTTTGACGGAATGCCTCACATCCCGCTGACACCTCGAGAGGCACGCGGAGTTCATTGCTTTAAAAGGTGACGATGCCTGACTCCTCTTGAATGCTGATAGGAATCCCAAAATCCCTGTGGCTACTGGAAAGGGTCCTTGGGTGCCCTGCCTCACCTCGAGAAGCGTCCCATTTGCCCTGCCAAGCCTCGAAGAGATTCCTGAGGTGTCCCTCGTTACTAGACAGGAGTCCTGACGTCACTGAAGAAACTCGTGTTCTGAAGGGCCAGCCCGCCGTAAGTCGAGAACATACCCCAGGTCCCCGCCGCAACTCGAGAAAAACCATGAGACTTCCCCCTAGAGGCGAGATGAGGCCCCATTCCCCTGCAGTGCATGCAGAGCTTTCCGTGATCCCATTCAAACAAGTCAGGAGCTTCGACTTGCTTAATGGATCTCCAGACAGTCCCCAAGAACACTGTCACCAGTCCAGACGGACCCTGAGGTCACCCCAGCACTGCAAAGCAGCTCCATGTGCCCCAAATCAACTCGAGATGAGGCCCGATTCCCCTGCATTGACTCCAGAGCCATTCCCCGTTCCCCATTCAACACGACCGGTGGCTCGACTTCCTTCAGGCAACTCCAGAAATGCCCCGAGAACACTGTCCCAAGTCTAGAGGAACACCAACTTCAGCACAGCAACTCGAGGAATGCTCCGTGTACCCCAAATAGTCTCGAGATGAGAGCTGATTCCCTGGCTTAGGCTCAAGACGTATGCCAACTTTCCAGAAGCACCTCAGGAGGAGGCTTCTCTCAGCAATAGGTATGTGGGAGGGACCCCGAGTTTGCTGCCTCAAGGGGAATATACAGCGAGAAGCCCTAACTTGAAAGGAGTCCGAATTTCCTTGCAGTGGCTTGAATACAGGCTCGTCTTTGATCTCACAACATGAAGGGATGTCTGAATCCCCTGTGGAGACCTTAGAGAAAGCCCTAGGTCCCTGCCTCATTTTGACGGAATGCCTCACATCCCGCTGACACCTCGAGAGGCACGCGGAGTTAATTGCTTCAAAAATGACGATGCCTGACTCCTCTTGAATACTGATAGGAATCCCAAAATCCCTGTGGCTACTGGAAAGGGTCCTTGGGTGCCCTGCCTCACCTCGAGAAGCATCCCTTTTGCCCTGGCAAGCCTGGAAGAGATTCCTGAGGTGTCCCTCGTTACTAGACAGGAGTCCTGACGTCACTGAAGAAACTCGTGGTTTGAAGGGCCATCCCCGCCGTAAGTCGAGAACATACCCCAGGTCCCCGCCGCAACTCGAGAAAAACCATGAGACTTCCCCCTAGAGGCGAGATGAGGCCGCATTCCCCTGCAGTGCATGCAGAGCTATTCCGTGATCCCATTCAAACAAGTCAGGAGCTTCGACTTGCTTAATGGATCTCGAGACAGTCCCCAAGAACACTGTCACCAGTCTAGACGGACCCTGAGGTCACCCCAGCAACGCAAAGCAGCTCCATGTGGCCCAAATCAACTCGAGATGGGGCCCGATTCAAATGCATTGACTCCAGAGCCATTCCTCGTTCCCCATTCAACACGACCGGTGGCTCGACTTCCTTCAGGAAACTCCAGAGATGCCCCAAGAACACTGTCCCAAGTCTAGAGGAACACCAACTTCAGCACAGCAACTCGAAGAATGCTCCGTGTACCCCAAATCGTCTCGAGATGAGAGCTGATTCCCTCGCTTAGGCTCAAGACGTATGCCAACTTTCCAGAAGCACCTCAGGAGGAGGCTTCTCTCAGCAATAGGTATGTGGGAGGGACCCCGAGTTTGCTGCCTCAAGGGGAATATACAGCGAGAAGCCCTAACTTGAAAGGAGGCCGGATTTCCTTGCAGGGGCTTGAATACAGGCTCGTCTTTCATCTCACAACATGAAGGGATGTCTGAATCCCCTGTGGAGACCTTAGAGAAAGCCCTAGGTCCCTGCCTCATTTTGACGGAATGCCTCACATCCCGCTGACACCTCGAGAGGCACGCGGAGTTCATTGCTTCAAAAGGTGACGATGCCTGACTCCTCTTGAATACTGATAGGAATCCCAAAATCCCTGTGGCTACTGGAAAGGGTCCTTGGGTGCCCTGCTTCACCTCGAGAAGCGTCCCTTTTGCCCTGCCAAGCCTCGAAGAGATTCCTGAGGTGTCCCTCATTACTAGACAGGAGTCTTGACGTCACTGAAGAAACTCGTGTTTTGAAGGGCCATCCCCGCCGTAAGTCGAGAACATACCCCAGGTCGCTGCCGCAACTCGAGAAAAACCATGAGACTTCCCCCTAGAGGCGAGATGAGGCCCCATTCCCCTGCAGTGCATGCAGAGCTATTCCGTGATCCCATTCAAACAAGGCAGGAGCTTCGACTTGCTTAATGAATCTCGAGACAGTCCCCAAGAACACTGTCACCAGTCGAGACGGATCATGAGGTCAACCCAGCAACGCAAAGCAGCTCCATGTGCCCCAAATCAACTCGAGATGAGGCCCGATTCCGCTGCATTGACTCCAGAGCCATTCCCCGTTCCCCATTCAACACGACCGGTGGCTCGACTTCCTTCACGCAACTCCAGAGATGCCCTGAGAACACTGTCCCAAGTCTAGAGGAAAAACAACTTCAGAACAGCAACTCGAGGAATGATCCGTGTACCCCAAATCGTCTCGAGATGAGAGCTGATTCCCTGGCTTAGGCTCAAGACGTATGCCAACTTTCCAGAAGCACCTCAGGAGGAGGCTTCTCTCAGCAATAGGTATGTGGGAGGGACACCGAGTTTGCTGCCTCAAGGGGAACATACAGCGAGAAGCCCTAACTTGAAACGAGGCCAGATTTCCTTGCAGTGGCTTGAATACAGGCTCGTCTTTCATCTCACAACATGAAGGGATGTCTGAATCCCGTGTGGAGACCTTAGAGAAAGCCCTAGGTCCCTGCCTCATTTTGACGGAATGCCTCACATCCCGCTGACACCTCGAGATGCACGCGGAGTTCATTGATTTAAAAGGTGACGATGCCTGACTCCTCTTGAATGCTGATAGGAATCCCAAAATCCCTGTGGCTACTGGAAAGGGTCCTTGGGTGCCCTGTCTCACCTCGAGAAGCGTCCCTTTTGCCCTGCCAAGCCTCGAAGAGATTCCTGAGGTGTCCCTCGTTACTAGACAGGAGTCCTGACGTCACTGAAGAAACTCGTGGTTTGAAGGGCCATCCCTGCCGTAAGTCGAGAACATACCCCAGGTCCCCGCCGCAACTCGAGAAAAACCATGAGACTTCCCCTTAGAGGCGAGATGAGGCCGCATTCCCCTGCAGTGCATGCAGAGCAATTCCGTGATCCCATTCAAACTAGTCAGGAGCTTCGACTTGCTTAATGGATCTCGAGACAGTCCCCAAGAACACTGTCACCAGTCTAGACGGACACTGAGGTCACCCCAGCAACGCAAAGCAGCTCCATGTGCCCCAAATAAACTCGAGATGGGGCCCGATTCCCCTGCATTGACTCCAGAGCCATTCCTTGTTCCCCATTCAACACGACCGGTGGCTCGACTTCCTTCAGGAAACTCCAGAGATGCCCCAAGAACACTGTCCCAAGTCTAGAGGAACACCAACTTCAGCACAGCAACTCGAGGAATGTTCCTTGTACCCCAAATAGTCTCGAGATGAGAGCTGATTCCCTGGCTTAGGCTCAAGACGTATGCCAACTTTCTAGAAGCACCTCAGGAGGAGGCTTCTCTCAGCAATAGTTATGTGGGAGGGACCCCGAGTTTGCTGCCTCAAGGGGAATATACAGCGAGAAGCCCTAACTTGAAAGGAGTCCGAATTTCCTTGCAGTGGCTTGAATACAGGCTCTTCTTTCATCTCACAACATGAAGGGATGTCTGAATCCCCTGTGGAGACCTGAGAGAAAGCCCTAGGTCCCTGCCTCATTTTGACGGAATGCCTCACATCCCGCTGACACCTCGAGAGGCACGCGGAGTTAATTGCTTCAAAAATGACGATGCCTGACTCCTCTTGAATACTGATAGGAATCCCAAAATCCCTGTGGCTACTGGAAAGGGTCCTTGGGTGCCCTGCCTCACCTCGAGAAGCATCCCTTTTGCCCTGGCAAGCCTGGAAGAGATTCCTGAGGTGTCCCTCGTTACTAGACAGGAGTCCTGACGTCACTGAAGAAACTCGTGTTTTGAAGGGCCATCCCCGCCGTAAGTCGAGAACATACCCCAGGTCCCCGCCGCAACTCGAGAAAAACCATGAGACTTCCCCCTAGAGGCGAGATGAGGCCCCATTCCCCTGCAGTGCATGCAGAGCTATTCCGTGATCCCATTCAAACAAGTCAGGAGCTTCGACTTGCTTAATGGATCTCGAGACAGTCCCCAAGAACACTGTCACCAGTCTAGACGGACCCTGAGGTCACCCCAGCAACGCAAAGCAGCTCCATGTGGCCCAAATCAACTCGAGATGGGGCCCGATTCTCCTGCATTGACTCCAGAGCCATTCCTCGTTCCCCATTCAACACGACCGGTGGCTCGACTTCCTTCAGGAAACTCCAGAGATGCCCCAAGAACACTGTCCCAAGTCTAGAGGAACACCAACTTCAGCACAGCAACTGGAGGAATGCTCCGTGTACCCCAAATCGTCTCGAGATGAGAGCTGATTCCCTCGCTTAGGCTCAAGACGTATGCCAACTTTCCAGAAGCACCTCAGGAGGAGGCTTCTCTCAGCAGTAGTTATGTGGGAGGGACCCCGAGTTTGCTGCCTCAAGGGGAATATACCGCGAGAAGCCCTAACTTGAAAGGAGGCCGGATTTCCTTGCAGGGGCTTGAATACAGGCTCGTCTTTCATCTCACAACATGAAGGGATGTCTGAATCCCCTGTGGAGACCTTAGAGAAAGCCCTAGGTCCCTGCCTCATTTTGACGGAATGCCTCACATCCCGCTGACACCTCGAGAGGCACGCGGAGTTCATTGCTTCAAAAGGTGACGATGCCTGACTCCTCTTGAATACTGATAGGAATCCCAAAATCCCTGTGGCTACTGGAAAGGGTCCTTGGGTGCCCTGCCTCACCTCGAGAAGCGTCCCTTTTGCCCTGCCAAGCCTCGAAGAGATTCCTGAGGTGTCCCTCGTTACTAGACAGGAGTCCTGATGTCACTGAAGAAACTCGTGGTTTGAAGGGCCATCCCCGCCGTAAGTCGAGGACATAGCCCAGGTCCCCATCGCAAGTCGAGAAAAACCATGAGACTTCCCCCTAGAGGGGAGATGAGGCCCCATTCCCCTGCAATGCATGCAGAGCTATTCCGTGATCCCATTCAAACAAGTCAGGAGCTTCGACTTGCTTAATGGATCTCGAGACAGTCCCCAAGAACACTGTCACCAGTCGAGACGGATCATGAGGTCACCCCAGCAACGCAAAGCAGCTCCATGTGCCCCAAATCAACTCGAGATGAGGCCCGATTCCGCTGCATTGACTCCAGAGCCATTCCCCGTTCCCCATTCAACACGACCGGTGGCTCGACTTCCTTCACGCAACTCCAGAGATGCCCTGAGAACACTGTCCCAAGTCTAGAGGAAAAACAACTTCAGAACAGCAACTCGAGGAATGATCCGTGTACCCCAAATCGTCTCGAGATGAGACCTGATTCCCTGGCTTAGGCTCAAGACGTATGCCAACTTTCCAGAAGCACCTCAGGAGGAGGCTTCTCTCAGCAATAGGTATGTGGGAGGGACACCGAGTTTGCTGCCTCAAGGGGAATATACAGCGAGAAGCCCTAACTTGAAACGAGGCCAGATTTCCTTGCAGTGGCTTGAATACAGGCTCGTCTTTCATCTCACAACATGAAGGGATGTCTGAATTCCGTGTTCAGACCTTAGAGAAAGCCCTAGATCCCTGCCCCATTTTGACGGAATGCCTCACATCCCGCTGACACCTCGAGATGCACGCGGAGTTCATTGATTTAAAAGGTGACGATGCCTGACTCCTCTTGAATGCTGATAGGAATCCCAAAATCCCTGTGGCTACTGGAAAGGGTCCTTGGGTGCCCTGTCTCACCTCGAGAAGCGTCCCTTTTGCCCTGCCAAGCCTCGAAGAGATTCCTGAGGTGTCCCTCGTTACTAGACAGGAGTCCTGACGTCACTGAAGAAACTCGTGGTTTGAAGGGCCATCCCCGCCGTAAGTCGAGAACATACCCCAGGTCCCCGCCGCAACTCGAGAAAAACCATGAGACTTCCCCCTAGAGGCGAGATGAGGCCGCATTCCCCTGCAGTGCATGCAGAGCTATTCCGTGATCCCATTCAAACAAGTCAGGAGCTTCGACTTGCTTAATGGATCTCGAGACAGTCCCCAAGAACACTGTCACCAGTCTAGACGGACACTGAGGTCACCCCAGCAACGCAAAGCAGCTCCATGTGGCCCAAATCAACTCGAGATGGGGCCCGATTCCCCTGCATTGACTCCAGAGCCATTCCTCGTTCCCCATTCAACACGACCGGTGGCTCGACTTCCTTCAGGAAACTCCAGAGATGCCCCAAGAACACTGTCCCAAGTCTAGAGGAACACCAACTTCAGCACAGCAACTCGAGAAATGCTCCGTGTACCCCAAAACGTCTCGAGATGAGAGCTGATTCCCTCGCTTAGGCTCAAGACGTATGCCAACTTTCCAGAAGCACCTCAGGAGGAGGCTTCTCTCAGGAATAGTTATGTGGGAGGGACCCCGAGTTTGCTGCCTCAAGGGGAATATACCGCGAGAAGCCCTAACTTGAAAGGAGGCCGGATTTCCTTGCAGGGGCTTGAATACAGGCTCGTCTTTCATCTCACAACATGAAGGGATGTCTGAATCCCCTGTGGAGACCTTAGAGAAAGCCCTAGGTCCCTGCCTCATTTTGACGGAATGCCTCACATCCCGCTGACACCTCGAGAGGCACGCGGAGTTCATTGCTTCAAAAGGTGACGATGCCTGACTCCTCTTGAATACTGATAGGAATCCCAAAATCCCTGTGGCTACTGGAAAGGGTCCTTGGGTGCCCTGCCTCACCTCGAGAAGCGTCCCTTTTGCCCTGCCAAGCCTCGAAGAGATTCCTGAGGTGTCCCTCGTTACTAGACAGGAGTCCTGATGTCACTGAAGAAACTCGTGGTTTGAAGGGCCATCCCCGCCGTAAGTCGAGGACATAGCCCAGGTCCCCATCGCAAGTCGAGAAAAACCATGAGACTTCCCCCTAGAGGGGAGATGAGGCCCCATTCCCCTGCAATGCATGCAGAGCTATTCCGTGATCCCATTCAAACAAGTCAGGAGCTTCGACTTGCTTAATGGATCTCGAGACAGTCCCCAAGAACACTGTCACCAGTCGAGACGGATCATGAGGTCACCCCAGCAACGCAAAGCAGCTCCATGTGCCCCAAATCAACTCGAGATGAGGCCCGATTCCGCTGCATTGACTCCAGAGCCATTCCCCGTTCCCCATTCAACACGACCGGTGGCTCGACTTCCTTCACGCAACTCCAGAGATGCCCTGAGAACACTGTCCCAAGTCTAGAGGAAAAACAACTTCAGAACAGCAACTCGAGGAATGATCCGTGTACCCCAAATCGTCTCGAGATGAGACCTGATTCCCTGGCTTAGGCTCAAGACGTATGCCAACTTTCCAGAAGCACCTCAGGAGGAGGCTTCTCTCAGCAATAGGTATGTGGGAGGGACACCGAGTTTGCTGCCTCAAGGGGAATATACAGCGAGAAGCCCTAACTTGAAACGAGGCCAGATTTCCTTGCAGTGGCTTGAATACAGGCTCGTCTTTCATCTCACAACATGAAGGGATGTCTGAATTCCGTGTTCAGACCTTAGAGAAAGCCCTAGATCCCTGCCCCATTTTGACGGAATGCCTCACATCCCGCTGACACCTCGAGATGCACGCGGAGTTCATTGATTTAAAAGGTGACGATGCCTGACTCCTCTTGAATACTGATAGGAATCCCAAAATCCCTGTGGCTACTGGAAAGGGTCCTTGGGTGCCCTGTCTCACCTCGAGAAGCGTCCCTTTTGCCCTGCCAAGCCTCGAAGAGATTCCTGAGGTGTCCCTCGTTACTAGACAGGAGTCCTGACGTCACTGAAGAAACTCGTGGTTTGAAGGGCCATCCCCGCCGTAAGTCGAGAACATACCCCAGGTCCCGCCGCAACTCGAGAAAAACCATGAGACTTCCCCCTAGAGGCGAGATGAGGCCGCATTCCCCTGCAGTGCATGCAGAGCTATTCCGTGATCCCATTCAAACAAGTCAGGAGCTTCGACTTGCTTAATGGATCTCGAGACAGTCCCCAAGAACACTGTCACCAGTCTAGACGGACACTGAGGTCACCCCAGCAACGCAAAGCAGCTCCATGTGGCCCAAATCAACTCGAGATGGGGCCCGATTCCCCTGCATTGACTCCAGAGCCATTCATCGTTCCCCATTCAACACGACCGGTGGCTCGACTTCCTTCAGGAAACTCCAGAGATGCCCCAAGAACACTGTCCCAAGTCTAGAGGAACACCAACTTCAGCACAGCAACTCGAGAAATGCTCCGTGTACCCCAAATCGTCTCGAGATGAGAGCTGATTCCCTCGCTTAGGCTCAAGACGTATGCCAACTTTCCAGAAGCACCTCAGGAGGAGGCTTCTCTCAGCAATAGTTATGTGGGAGGGACCCCGAGTTTGCTGCCTCAAGGGGAATATACCGCGAGAAGCCCTAACTTGAAAGGAGGCCGGATTTCCTTGCAGGGGCTTGAATACAGGCTCGTCTTTCATCTCACAACATGAAGGGATGTCTGAATCCCCTGTGGAGACCTTAGAGAAAGCCCTAGGTCCCTGCCTCATTTTGACGGAATGCCTCACATCCCGCTGACACCTCGAGAGGCACGCGGAGTTCATTGCTTCAAAAGGTGACGATGCCTGACTCCTCTTGAATACTGATAGGAATCCCACAATCCCTGTGGCTACTGGAAAGGGTCCTTGGGTGCCCTGCCTCACCTCGAGAAGCGTCCCTTTTGCCCTGCCAAGCCTCGAAGAGATTCCTGAGGTGTCCCTCGTTACTAGACAGGAGTCCTGATGTCACTGAAGAAACTCGTGGTTTGAAGGGCCATCCCCGCCGTAAGTCGAGGACATAGCCCACGTCCCCATCGCAAGTCGAGAAAAACCATGAGACTTCCCCCTAGAGGGGAGATGAGGCCCCATTCCCCTGCAATGCATGCAGAGCTATTCCGTGATCCCATTCAAACAAGTCAGGAGCTTCGACTTGCTTAATGGATCTCGAGACAGTCCCCAAGAACACTGTCACCAGTCGAGACGGATCATGAGGTCACCCCAGCAACGCAAAGCAGCTCCATGTGCCCCAAATCAACTCGAGATGAGGCCCGATTCCGCTGCATTGACTCCAGAGCCATTCCCCGTTCCCCATTCAACACGACCGGTGGCTCGACTTCCTTCACGCAACTCCAGAGATGCCCTGAGAACACTGTCCCAAGTCTAGAGGAAAAACAACTTCAGAACAGCAACTCGAGGAATGATCCGTGTACCCCAAATCGTCTCGAGATGAGACCTGATTCCCTGGCTTAGGCTCAAGACGTATGCCAACTTTCCAGAAGCACCTCAGGAGGAGGCTTCTCTCAGCAATAGGTATGTGGGAGGGACACCGAGTTTGCTGCCTCAAGGGGAATATACAGCGAGAAGCCCTAACTTGAAACGAGGCCAGATTTCCTTGCAGTGGCTTGAATACAGGCTCGTCTTTCATCTCACAACATGAAGGGATGTCTGAATCCCGTGTGGAGACCTTAGAGAAAGCCCTAGGTCCCTGCCTCATTTTGACGGAATGCCTCACATCCCGCTGACACCTCGAGATGCACGCGGAGTTCATTGATTTAAAAGGTGACGATGCCTGACTCCTCTTGAATGCTGATAGGAATCCCAAAATCCCTGTGGCTACTGGAAAGGGTCCTTGGGTGCCCTGTCTCACCTCGAGAAGCGTCCCTTTTGCCCTGCCAAGCCTCGAAGAGATTCCTGAGGTGTCCCTCGTTACTAGACAGGAGTCCTGACGTCACTGAAGAAACTCGTGGTTTGAAGGGCCATCCCTGCCGTAAGTCGAGAACATACCCCAGGTCCCCGCCGCAACTCGAGAAAAACCATGAGACTTCCCCCTAGAGGCGAGATGAGGCCGCATTCCCCTGCAGTGCATGCAGAGCTATTCCGTGATCCCATTCAAACAAGTCAGGAGCTTCGACTTGCTTAATGGATCTCGAGACAGTCCCCAAGAACACTGTCACCAGTCTAGACGGACACTGAGGTCACCCCAGCAACGCAAAGCAGCTCCATGTGCCCCAAATAAACTCGAGATGGGGCCCGATTCCCCTGCATTGACTCCAGAGCCATTCCTTGTTCCCCATTCAACACGACCGGTGGCTCGACTTCCTTCAGGAAACTCCAGAGATGCCCCAAGAACACTGTCCCAAGTCTAGAGGAACACCAACTTCAGCACAGCAACTCGAGGAATGTTCCTTGTACCCCAAATAGTCTCGAGATGAGAGCTGATTCCCTGGCTTAGGCTCAAGACGTATGCCAACTTTCCAGAAGCACCTCAGGAGGAGGCTTCTCTCAGCAATAGGTATGTGGGAGGGACCCCGAGTTTTCTGCCTCAAGGGGAATATACAGCGAGAAGCCCTAACTTGAAAGGAGTCCGAATTTCCTTGCAGTGGCTTGAATACAGGCTCGTCTTTCATCTCACAACATGAAGGGATGTCTGAATCCCCTGTGGAAACCTTAGAGAAAGCCCTAGGTCCCTGCCTCATTTTGACGGAATGCCTCACATCCCGCTGACACCTCGAGAGGCACGCGGAGTTAATTGCTTCAAAAATGACGATGCCTGACTCCTCTTGAATACTGATAGGAATCCCAAAATCCCTGTGGCTACTGGAAAGGGTCCTTGGGTGCCCTGCCTCACCTCGAGAAGCATCCCTTTTGCCCTGGCAAGCCTGGAAGAGATTCCTGAGGTGTCCCTCGTTACTAGACAGGAGTCCTGACGTCACTGAAGAAACTCGTGTTTTGAAGGGCCATCCCCGCCGTAAGTCGAGAACATACCCCAGGTCCCCGCCGCAACTCGAGAAAAACCATGAGACTTCCCCCTAGAGGCGAGATGAGGCCCCATTCCCCTGCAGTGCATGCAGAGCTATTCCGTGATCCCATTCAAACAAGTCAGGAGCTTCGACTTGCTTAATGGATCTCGAGACAGTCCCCAAGAACACTGTCACCAGTCTAGACGGACCCTGAGGTCACCCCAGCAACGCAAAGCAGCTCCATGTGGCCCAAATCAACTCGAGATGGGGCCCGATTCCCCTGCATTGACTCCAGAGCCATTCCTCGTTCCCCATTCAACACGACCGGTGGCTCGACTTCCTTCAGGAAACTCCAGAGATGCCCCAAGAACACTGTCCCAAGTCTAGAGGAACACCAACTTCAGCACAGCAACTGGAGGAATGCTCCGTGTACCCCAAATCGTCTCGAGATGAGAGCTGATTCCCTCGCTTAGGCTCAAGACGTATGCCAACTTTCCAGAAGCACCTCAGGAGGAGGCTTCTCTCAGCAATAGTTATGTGGGAGGGACCCCGAGTTTGCTGCCTAAAGGGGAATATACCGCGAGAAGCCCTAACTTGAAAGGAGGCCGGATTTCCTTGCAGGGGCTTGAATACAGGCTCGTCTTTCATCTCACAACATGAAGGGATGTCTGAATCCCCTGTGGAGACCTTAGAGAAAGCCCTAGGTCCCTGCCTCATTTTGACGGAATGCCTCACATCCCGCTGACAACTCGAGAGGCACGCGGAGTTCATTGCTTCAAAAGGTGACGATGCCTGACTCCTCTTGAATACTGATAGGAATCCCAAAATCCCTGTGGCTACTGGAAAGGGTCCTTGGGTGCCCTGCCTCACCTCGAGAAGCGTCCCTTTTGCCCTGCCAAGCCTTGAAGAGATTCCTGAGGTGTCCCTCGTTACTAGACAGGAGTCCTGATGTCACTGAAGAAACTCGTGGTTTGAAGGGCCATCCCCGCCGAAAGTCGAGGACATAGCCCAGGTCCCCATCGCAAGTCGAGAAAAACCATGAGACTTCCCCCTAGAGGGGAGATGAGGCCCCATTCCCCTGCAATGCATGCAGAGCTATTCCGTGATCCCATTCAAACAAGTCAGGAGCTTTGACTTGCTTAATGGATCTAGAGACAGTCCCCAAGAACACTGTCACCAGTCGAGACGGATCATGAGGTCACCCCAGCAACGCAAAGCAGCTCCATGTGCCCCAAATCAACTCGAGATGAGGCCGGATTCCGCTGCATTGACTCCAGAGCCATTCCCCGTTCCCCATTCAACACGACCGGTGGCTCGACTTCCTTCACGCAACTCCAGAGATGCCCTGAGAACACTGTCCCAAGTCTAGAGGAAAAACAACTTCAGAACAGCAACTCGAGGAATGATCCGTGTACCCCAAATCGTCTCGAGATGAGAGCTGATTCCCTGGCTTAGGCTCAAGACGTATGCCAACTTTCCAGAAGCACCTCAGGAGGAGGCTTCTCTCAGCAATAGGTATGTGGGAGGGACACCGAGTTTGCTTCCTCAAGGGGAATATACAGCGAGAAGCCCTAACTTGAAACGAGGCCAGATTTCCTTGCAGTGGCTTGAATACAGGCTCGTCTTTCATCTCACAACATGAAGGGATGTCTGAATCCTGTGTGGAGACCTTAGAGAAAGCCCTAGGTCCCTGCCTCATTTTGACGGAATGCCTCACATCCCGCTGACACCTCGAGATGCACGCGGAGTTCATTGATTTAAAAGGTGACGATGCCTGACTCCTCTTGAATGCTGATAGGAATCCCAAAATCCCTGTGGCTACTGGAAAGGGTCCTTGGGTGCCCTGTCTCACCTCGAGAAGCGTCCCTTTTGCCCTGCCAAGCCTCGAAGAGATTCCTGAGGTGTCCCTCGTTACTAGACAGGAGTCCTGACGTCACTGAAGAAACTCGTGGTTTGAAGGGCCATCCCCGCCGTAAGTCGAGAACATACCCCAGGTCCCCGCCGCAACTCGAGAAAAACCATGAGACTTCCCCCTAGAGGCGAGATGAGGCCGCATTCCCCTGCAGTGCATGCAGAGCTATTCCGTGATCCCATTCAAACAAGTCAGGAGCTTCGACTTGCTTAATGGATCTCGAGACAGTCCCCAAGAACACTGTCACCAGTCTAGACGGACACTGAGGTCACCCCAGCAACGCAAAGCAGCTCCATGTGCCCCAAATCAACTCGAGATGGGGCCCGATTCCCCTGCATTGACTCCAGAGCCATTCCTTGTTCCCGATTCAACACGACCGGTGGCTCGACTTCCTTCAGGAAACTCCAGAGATGCCCCAAGAACACTGTCCCAAGTCTAGAGGAACACCAACTTCAGCACAGCAACTCGAGGAATGTTCCTTGTACCCCAAATAGTCTCGAGATGAGAGCTGATTCCATGGCTTAGGCTCAAGACGTATGCCAACTTTCCAGAAGCACCTCAGGAGGAGGCTTCTCTCAGCAATAGGTATGTGGGAGGGACCCCGAGTTTGCTGCCTCAAGGGGAATATACCGCGAGAAGCCCTAACTTGAAACGAGGCCAGATTTCCTTGCAGTGGCTTGAATACAGGCTCGTCTTTCATCTCACAACATGAAGGGATGTCTGAATCCCCTGTGGAGACCTTAGAGAAAGCCCTAGGTCCCTGCCTCATTTTGACGGAATGCCTCACATCCCGCTGACACCTCGAGAGGCACGCGGAGTTAATTGCTTCAAAAATGACGAAGCCTGACTCTTCTTGAATACTGATAGGAATCCCAAAATCCCTGTGGCTACTGGAAAGGGTCCTTGGGTGCCCTGCCTCACCTCGAGAAGCATCCCTTTTGCCCTGGCAAGCCTCGAAGAGATTCCTGAGGTGTCCCTCGTTACTAGACAGGAGTCCTGACGTCACTGAAGAAACTCGTGGTTTGAAGGGCCATCCCCGCCGTAAGTCGAGAACATACCCCAGGTCCCCGCCGCAACTCGAGAAAAACCATGAGACTTCCCCCTAGAGGCGAGATGAGGCCGCATTCCCCTGCAGTGCATGCAGAGCTATTGCGTGATCCCATTCAAACAAGTCAGGAGCTTCGACTTGCTTAATGGATCTCGAGACAGTCCCCAAGAACACTGTCACCAGTCTAGACGGACACTGAGGTCACCCCAGCAACGCAAAGCAGCTCCATGTGCCCCAAATAAACTCGAGATGGGGCCCGATTCCCCTGCATTGACTCCAGAGCCATTCCTTGTTCCCCATTCAACACGACCGTTGGCTCGACTTCCTTCAGGAAACTCCAGAGATGCCCCAAGAACACTGTCCCAAGTCTAGAGGAACACCAACTTCAGCACAGCAACTCGAGGAATGTTCCTTGTACCCCAAATAGTCTCGAGATGAGAGCTGATTCCCTGGCTTAGGCTCAAGACGTATGTCAACTTTCCAGAAGCACCTCAGGAGGAGGCTTCTCTCAGCAATAGGTATGTGGGAGGGACCCCGAGTTTGCTGCCTCAAGGGGAATATACAGCGAGAAGCCCTAACTTGAAAGGAGTCCGAATTTCCTTGCAGTGGCTTGAATACAGGCTCGTCTTTCATCTCACAACATGAAGGGATGTCTGAATCCCCTGTGGAAACCTTAGAGAAAGCCCTAGGTCCCTGCCTCATTTTGACGGAATGCCTCACATCCCGCTGACACCTCGAGAGGCACGCGGAGTTAATTGCTTCAAAAATGACGATGCCTGACTCCTCTTGAATACTGATAGGAATCCCAAAATCCCTGTGGCTACTGGAAAGGGTCCTTGGGTGCCCTGCCTCACCTCGAGAAGCATCCCTTTTGCCCTGGCAAGCCTGGAAGAGATTCCTGAGGTGTCCCTCGTTACTAGACAGGAGTCCTGACGTCACTGAAGAAACTCGTGTTTTGAAGGGCCATCCCCGCCGTAAGTCGAGAACATACCCCAGGTCCCCGCCGCAACTCGAGAAAAACCATGAGACTTCCCCCTAGAGGCGAGATGAGGCCCCATTCCCCTGCAGTGCATGCAGAGCTATTCCGTGATCCCATTCAAACAAGTCAGGAGCTTCGACTTGCTTAATGGATCTCGAGACAGTCCCCAAGAACACTGTCACCAGTCTAGACGGACCCTGAGGTCACCCCAGCAACGCATAGCAGCTCCATGTGGCCCAAATCAACTCGAGATGGGGCCCGATTCCCCTGCATTGACTCCAGAGCCATTCCTCGTTCCCCATTCAACACGACCGGTGGCTCGACTTCCTTCAGGAAACTCCAGAGATGCCCCAAGAACACTGTCCCAAGTCTAGGGGAACACCAACTTCAGCACAGCAACTGGAGGAATGCTCCGTGTACCCCAAATCGTCTCGAGATGAGAGCTGATTCCCTCGCTTAGGCTCAAGACGTATGCCAACTTTCCAGAAGCACCTCAGGAGGAGGCTTCTCTCAGCAATAGTTATGTGGGAGGGACCCCGAGTTTGCTGCCTCAAGGGGAATATACCGCGAGAAGCCCTAACTTGAAAGGAGGCCGGATTTCCTTGCAGGGGCTTGAATACAGGCTCGTCTTTCATCTCACAACATGAAGGGATGTCTGAATCCCCTGTGGAGACCTTAGAGAAAGCCCTAGGTCCCTGCCTCATTTTGACGGAATGCCTCACATCCCGCTGACACCTCGAGAGGCACGCGGAGTTCATTGCTTCAAAAGGTGACGATGCCTGACTCCTCTTGAATACTGATAGGAATCCCAAAATCCCTGTGGCTACTGGAAAGGGTCCTTGGGTGCCCTGCCTCACCTCGAGAAGCGTCCCTTTTGCCCTGCCAAGCCTCGAAGAGATTCCTGAGGTGTCCCTCATTACTAGACAGGAGTCTTGACGTCACTGAAGAAACTCGTGTTTTGAAGGGCCATCCCCGCCGTAAGTCGAGAACATACCCCAGGTCGCTGCCGCAACTCGAGAAAAACCATGAGACTTCCCCCTAGAGGCGAGATGAGGCCCCATTCCCCTGCAGTGCATGCAGAGCTATTCCGTGATCCCATTCAAACAAGTCAGGAGCTTCGACTTGCTTAATGGATCTCGAGACAGTCCCCAAGAACACTGTCACCAGTCTAGACGGACCCTGAGGTCACCCCAGCAACGCAAAGCAGCTCCATGTGCCCCAAATCAACTCGAGATGAGGCCCGATTCCCCTGCATTGACTCCAGAGCCATTCCCCGTTCCGCATTCAACACGACCGGTGGCTCGACTTCCTTCAGGCAACTCCAGAGATGCCCCGAGAACACTGTCCCAAGTCTAGAGGAACACCAACTTCAGCACAGCAACTCGAAGAATGCTCCGTGTACCCCAAATCGTCTCGAGATGAGAGCTGATTCCCTGGCTTAGGTTCAAGACGTATGCCAACTTTCCAGAAGCACCCCAGGAGGAGGCTTCTCTCAGCAATAGGTATGTGGGAGGGACCCCGAGTTTGCTGCCTCAAGGGGAATATACCGCGAGAAGCCCTAACTTGAAAGGAGGCTGGATTTCCTTGCAGGGGCTTGAATACAGGCTCGTCTTTCATCTCACAACATGAAGGGATGTCTGAATCCACTGTGGAGACCTTAGAGAAAGCCCTAGGTCCCTGCCTCATTTTGACGGAATGCCTCACATCCCGCTGACACCTCGAGAGGCACGCGGAGTTCATTGCTTCAAAAGGTGACGATGCCTGACTCCTCTTGAACACTGATAGGAATCCCAAAATCCCTGTGGCTACTGGAAAGGGTCCTTGGGTGCCCTGCCTCACCTCGAGAAGCGTCCCTTTTGCCCTGCCAAGCCTCGAAGAGATTCCTGAGGTGTCCCTCGTTACTTGACAGGAGTCCTGATGTCACTGAAGAAACTCGTGGTTTGAAGGGCCATCCCCGCCGTAAGTCGAGGACATAGCCCAGGTCCCCATCGCAAGTCGAGAAAAACCATGAGACTTCTCCCTAGAGGGGAGATGAGGCCCCATTCCCCTGCAATGCATGCAGACCTATTCCGTGATCCCATTCAAACAAGTCAGGAGCTTCGACTTGCTGAATGGATCTCGAGACAGTCCCCAAGAACACTGTCACCAGTCTAGACGGACCATGAGGTCAGCCCAGCAACGCAAAGCAGCTCCATGTGCCCCAAATCAACTCGAGATGAGGCCCGATTCGGCTGCATTGACTCCAGAGCCATTCCCCGTTCCCCATTCAACACGACCGGTGGCTCGACTTCCTTCACGCAACTCCAGAGATGCCCCGAGAACACTGTCCCAAGTCTAGAGGAACAACAACTTCAGCACAGCAACTCGAGGAATGATACGTGTACCCCAAATCGTCTCGAGATGAGAGCTGATTCCCTGGCTTAGGCTCAAGACGTATGCCAACTTTCCAGAAGCACCTCAGGAGGAGGCTTCTCTCAGCAATAGGTATGTGGGAGGGACACCGAGTTTGCTGCCTCAAGGGGAATATACAGCGAGAAGCCCTAACTTGAAACGAGGCCAGATTTCCTTGCAGTGGCTTGAATACAGGCTCGTCTTTCATCTCACAACATGAAGGGATGTCTGAATCCCCTGTGGAGACCTTAGAGAAAGCCCTAGGTCCCTGCCTCATTTTTACGGAATGCCTCACATCCCGCTGACACCTCGAGAGGCACGCGGAGTTCATTGATTTAAAAGGTGACGATGCCTGACTCCTCTTGAATGCTGATAGGAATCACAAAATCCCTGTGGCTACTGGAAAGGGTCCTTGGGTGCCCTGCCTCACCTCGAGAAGCGTCCCATTTGCCCTGCCAAGCCTCGAAGAGATTCCTGAGGTGTCCCTCGTTACTAGACAGGAGTCCTGACGTCACTGAAGAAACTCGTGTTCTGAAGGGCCAGCCCCGCCGTAAGTCGAGAACATACCCCAGGTCCCCGCCGCAACTCGAGAAAAACCATGAGACTTCCCCCTAGAGGCGAGATGAGGCCCAATTCCCCTGCAGTGCATGCAGAGCTATTCCGTGATCCCATTCAAACAAGTCAGGAGCTTCGACTTGCTTAATGGATCTCGAGACAGTCCCCAAGAACACTGTCACCAGTCCAAACGGACCCTGAGGTCACCCCAGCACCGCAAAGCAGCTCCATGTGCCCCAAATCAACTCGAGATGAGGCCCGATTCCCCTGCATTGACTCCAGAGCCATTCCCCGTTCCCCATTCAACACGACCTGTGGCTCGACTTCCTTCAGGCAACTCCAGAGATGCCCCGAGTACACTGTCCCAAGTCTAGAGGAACACCAACTTTAGCACAGCAACTCGAGGAATGCTCCGTGTACCCCAAATCGTCTCGAGATGAGAGCTGATTCCCTGGCTTAGGTTCAAGACGTATGCCAACTTCCCAGAAGCACCTCAGGAGGAGGCTTCTCTCAGCAATAGGTATGTGGGAGTGACCCCGAGTTTGCTGCCTCAAGGGGAATATACAGCGAGAAGCCCTAACTTGAAAGGAGTCCGAATTTCCTTGCAGTGGCTTGAATACAGGCTCGTCTTTCGTCTCACAACATGAAGGGATGTCTGAATCCCCTGTGGAGACCTTAGAGAAAGCCCTAGGTCCCTGCCTCATTTTGACGGAATGCCTCACATCCCGCTGACAACTCGAGAGGCACGCGGAGTTAATTGCTTCAAAAATGACGATGCCTGACTCCTCTTGAATACTGATAGGAATCCCAAAATCCCTGTGGCTACTGGAAAGGGTCCTTGGGTGCAGTGCCTCACCTCGAGAAGCATCCCTTTTGCCCTGGCAAGCCTCGAAGAGATTCCTGAGGTGTCCCTCGTTACTAGACAGGAGTCCTGACGTCACTGAAGAAACTCGTGTTTTGAAGGGCCATCCCCGCCGTAAGTCGAGAACATACCCCAGGTCCCCGCCGCAACTCGAGAAAAACCATGAGACTTCCCCCTAGAGGCGAGATGAGGCCCCATTCCCCTGCAGTGCATGCAGAGCTATTCCGTGATCCCATTCAAACAAGTCAGGAGCTTCGACTTGCTTAATGGATCTCGAGACAGTCCCCAAGAACACTGTCACCAGTCCAGACGGACCCTGAGGTCACCCCAGCACCGCAAAGCAGCTCCATGTGCCCCAAATCAACTCGAGATGAGGCCCGATTCCCCTGCATTGACTCCAGAGCCATTCCCCGTTCGCCATTCAACACGACCGCTGGCTCGACTTCCTTCAGGCAACTCCAGAGATGCCCCGAGAACACTGTCCCAAGTCTAGAGGAACACCAACTTCAGCACAGCAACTCGAGGAATGCTCCGTGTACCCCAAATCGTCTCGAGATGAGAGCTGATTCCCTGGCTTAGGCTCAAGACGTATGCCAACTTCCCAGAAGCACCTCAGGAGGAGGCTTCTCTCAGCAATAGGTATGTGGGAGGGACCCCGAGTTTGCTGCCTCAAGGGGAATATACAGCGAGAAGCCCTAACTTGAAAGGAGTCCTAATTTCCTTGCAGTGGCTTGAATACAGGCTCGTCTTTCATCTCACAACATGAAAGGATATCTGAATCCCCTGTGGAGACCTTAGAGAAAGCCCTAGGTCCCTGCCTCATTTTGACGGAATGCCTCACATCCCGTTGACACCTCGAGAGGCACGCGGAGTTAATTGCTTCAAAAATGACGATGCCTGACTCCTCTTGAATACTGATAGGAATCCCAAAATCCCTGTGGCTACTGGAAAGGGTCCTTGGGTGCCCTGCCTCACCTCGAGAAGCATCCCTTTTGCCCTGGCAAGCCTCGAAGAGATTCCTGAGGTGTCCCTCGTTACTAGACAGGAGTCCTGACGTCACTGAAGAAACTCGTGTTTTGAAGGGCCATCCCCGCCGTAAGTCGAGAACATACCCCAGGTCCCCGCCGCAACTCGAGAAAAACCATGAGACTTCCCCCTAGAGGCGAGATGAGGCCCCAATCCCCTGCAGTGCATGCAGAGCTATTCCGTGATCCCATTCATACAAGTCAGGAGCTTCGACTTGCTTAATGGATCTCGAGACAGTCCCCAAGAACACTGTCACCAGTCTAGACGGACCCTGAGGTCACCCCAGCAACGCAAAGCAGCTCCATGTGCCCCAAATCAACTCGAGATGGGGCCCGATTCCCCTGCATTGACTCCAGAGCCATTCCTCGTTCCCCACTCACACGACCGGTGGCTCGACTTCCTTCAGGAAACTCCAGAGATGCCCCAAGAACACTGTCCCAAGTCTAGAGGAACACCAACTTCAGCACAGCAACTCGAGGAATGCTCCGTGTACCCCAAATCGTCTCGAGATGAGAGCTGATTCCCTCGCTTAGGCTCAAGACGTATGCCAACTTTCCAGAAGCACCTCAGGAGGAGGCTTCTCTCAGCAATAGTTATGTGGGAGGGACCCCGAGTTTGCTGCCTCAAGGGGAATATACCGCGAGAAGCCCTAACTTGAAAGGAGGCCGGATTTCCTTGCAGGGGCTTGAATACAGGCTCGTCTTTCATCTCACAACATGAAGGGATGTCTGAATCCCCTGTGGAGACCTTAGAGAAAGCCCTAGGTCCCTGCCTCATTTTGACGGAATGCCTCACATCCCGCTGACACCTCGAGAGGCACGCGGAGTTCATTGCTTCAAAAGGTGACGATGCCTGACTCCTCTTGAATACTGATAGGAATCCCAAAATCCCTGTGGCTACTGGAAAGGGTCCTTGGGTGCCCTGCCTCACCTCGAGAAGCGTCCCTTTTGCCCTGCCAAGCCTCGAAGAGATTCCTGAGGTGTCCTTCGTTACTAGACAGGAGTCCTGATGTCACTGAAGAAACTCGTGGTTTGAAGGGCCATCCCCGCCGTAAGTCGAGGACATAGCCCAGGTCCCCATCGCAAGTCCATAAAAACCATGAGACTTCCCCCTAGAGGGGAGATGAGGCCCCATTCCCCTGCAGTGCATGCAGAGCTATTCCGAGATCCCATTCAAACAAGTCAGGAGCTTCGACTTGCTTAATGGATCTCCAGACAGTCCCCAAGAACACTTTCACCAGTCTAGACGGACCCTGAGGTCACCCCAGCTCCGCCAAGCAGCTCCATGTGCCCCAAATCAACTCGAGATGAGGCCCGATTCCCTTGCATTGACTCCAGAGCCATTCCCCGTTCCCCATTCAACACGACCGGTGGCTCGACTTCCTTCAGGAAACTCCAGAGATGCCCCGAGAACACTGTCCCAAGTCTAGAGGAACAAAAACTTCAGCACAGCAACTTGAGGAATGCTCCGTGTACCATAAATCGTCTCGAGATGAGAGCTCATTCCCTGGCTTAGGCTCAAGACGTATGCCAACTTCCCAGAAGCACCTCAGGAGGTGGCTTCTCTCAGCAATAGGTATGTGGGAGGGACCCTGAGTTTGCTGCCTCAAGGGAAATATACAGCGAGAAGACCTAACTTGAAAGGAGTCCGAATTTCCTTGCAGTGGCTTGAATACAGGCTCGTCTTTCATCTCACAATATGAAGGGATGTCTGAATCCGCTGTGGAGACCTTAGAGAAAGCCCTAGGTCCCTGCCTCATTTTGACGGAATGCCTCACATCCCGCTGACACCTCGACAGGCACGCGGAGTTAATTGCTTCAAAAATGACGATGCCTGACTCCTCTTGAATACTGATAGGAATCCCAAAATCCCTGTGGCTACTGGAAAGGGTCCTTGGGTGCCCTGCCTCACATCGAGAAGCGTCCCTTTTGCCCTGCCAAGCCTCGAAGAGATTCCTGAGGTGTCCCTCGTTACTAGACAGGAGTCCTGACGTCACTGAAGAAACTCTTGTCTTGAAGGGCCATCCCCGCCGTAAGTCGAGAACATACCCCAGGTCCCCGCCGCAACTAGAGAAAAACCATGAGACTTCCCCCTAGAGGCGAGATGAGGCCCCATTCCCCTGCAGTGCATGCAGAGCTATTCCGTGATCCCATTCAAACAAGTCAGGAGCTTCGACTTGCTTAATGGATCTCGAGACAGTCCCCAAGAACACTATCACCAGTCTAGACGGACCCTGAGGTCACCCCAGCAACGCAAAGCAGCTGATGTGCCCCAAATCAACACGATATGAGGCCCGATTCCCCTGCATTGACTCCAGAGCCATTCCCCGTTCCCCATTCAACACGACCGGTGGCTCGACTTCCTTCAGGCAACTCCAGAGATGCCCCGAGAAGACTGTTCCAAGTCTAGAGGAACACCAACTTCAGCACAGCAACTCGAGGAATGCTCCGTGTACCCCAAATCGTCTCGAGATGAGAGCTGATTCCCTGGCTTAGGCTCAAGACGTATGCCAACTTCCCAGAAGCACCTCAGGAGGAGGCTTCTCTCAGCAATAGGTATGTGGGAGGGACCCCGAGTTTGCTGCCTCAAGTGGAATATACAGCGAGAAGCCCTAACTTGAAAGGAGCCCGGATTTCCTTGCAGTGGCTTGAATACAGGCTCGTCTTTCATCTCACAACATGAAGGGATGACTGAATCCCCTGTGGAGACCTTAGAGAAAGCCCTAGGTCCCTGCCTCATTTTGACGGAATGCCTCACATCCCGCTGACACCTCGAGAGGCACGCGGAGTTCATTGCTTCAAAAGGTGACGATGCCTGATTCCTCTTGAATACTGATAGGAATCCCAAAATCCCTGTGGCTACTGGAAAGGGTCCTTGGGTGCCCTGCCTCAACTCGAGAAGTGTCCCTTTTGCCCTGCCAAGCCTCGAAGAGATTCCTGAGGTGTCCCTCGTTACTAGACAGGAGTCCTGACGTCACTGAAGAAACTCGTGTCTTGAAGGGCCATCCCCGCCCTAAGTCGAGAACATACCCCAGGTCCCCGCCACAACTCGAGAAAAACCATGAGACTTCCCCCTAGAGGCGAGATGAGGCCCCATTCCCCTGCAGTGCATGCAGAGCTATTCCGTGATCCCATTCAAACAAGTCAGGAGCTTCGACTTGCTTAATGGATCTCGAGACAGTCCCCAAGAACACTGTCACCAGTATAGACGGACCCTGAGGTCACCCCAGCAACGCAAAGCAGCTCCATGTGCCCCAAATCAACTAGAGATGAGGCCCGATTCCCCTGCATTGACTCCAGAGCCATTCCCCGTTCCCCATTCAACACGACCGGTGGCTCGACTTCCTTCAGGCAACTCCAGAGATGCCCCGAGAACACTGTCCCAAGTCTAGAGGAACACCAACTTCAGCACAGCAACTCTAGGAATGCTCCGTGTACCCCAAATCGTCTCGAGATGCGAGCTGATTCCCTGGCTTAGGCTCAAGACGTATGCCAACTTCCCAGAAGCACCTCAGGAGGAGGCTTCTCTCAGCAATAGGTATGTGGGAGGGACCCCGAGTTTGCTGCCTCAAGGGGAATATACAGCGAGAAGCCCTAACTTGAAAGGAGGCCGGATTTCCTTGCAGTGGCTTGAATACAGGCTCGTCTTTCATCTCACAACATGAAGGGATGTCTGAATCCCCTGTGGAGACCTTAGAGAAAGCCCTAGGTCCCTGCCTCATTTTGACGGAATGCCTCACATCCCGCTGACACCTCGAGAGGCACGCGGAGTTCATTGCTTCAAAAGGTGACGATGCCTGACTCCTCTTAAATACTGATAGGAATCCCAAAATCCCTGTGGCTACTGGAAAGGGTCCTTGGGTGCCCTGCCTCACCTCGAGAAGCGTCCATTTTGCCCTGCCAAGCCTCGAAGAGATTACTGAGGTGTCCCTCGTTACTAGACAGGAGTCCTGACGTCACTGAAGAAACTCGTGTTTTGAAGGGCCATCCCCGCCGTAAGTCGAGAACATACCCCAGGTCCCCGCCGCAACTCGAGAAAAACCATGAGACTTCCCCCTAGAGGCGAGATGAGGCCCCATTCCCCTGCAGTGCATGCAGAGCTATTCCGTGATCCCATTCAAACAAGTCAGGAGCTTCGACTTGCTTAATGGATCTCGAGACAGTCCCCAAGAACACTGTCACCAGTCTAGACGGACCCTGAGGTCACCCCAGCAACGCAAAGCAGCTCCATGTGCCCCAAATCAACTCGAGATGAGGCCGGATTCCCCTGCATTGACTCCAAGGCCATTCCCCGTTCCCCATTCAACACGACCGGTGGCTCGACTTCCTTCAGGCAACTCCAGAGATGCCCCGAGAACACTGTCCCAAGTCTAGAGGAACACCAACTTCAGCACAGCAACTCTAGGAATGCTCCGTGTACCCCAAATCGTCTCGAGATGCGAGCTGATTCCCTGGCTTAGGCTCAAGACGTATGCCAACTTCCCAGAAGCACCTCAGGAGGAGGCTTCTCTCAGCAATAGGTATGTGGGAGGGACCCCGAGTTTGCTGCCTCAAGGGGAATATACAGCGAGAAGCCCTAACTTGAAAGGAGGCCGGATTTCCTTGCAGTGGCTTGAATACAGGCTCGTCTTTCATCTCACAACATGGAGGGATGTCTGAATCCCCTGTGGAGACCTTAGAGAAAGCCCTAGGTCCCTGCCTCATTTTGACGGAATGCCTCACATCCCGCTGACACCTCGAGAGGCACGCGGAGTTCATTGCTTCAAAAGGTGACGATGCCTGACTCCTCTTAAATACTGATAGGAATCCCAAAATCCCTGTGGCTACTGGAAAGGGTCCTTGGGTGCCCTGCCTCACCTCGAGAAGCGTCCCTTTTGCCCTGCCAAGCCTCGAAGAGATTACTGAAGTGTCCCTCGTTACTAGACAGGAGTCCTGACGTCACTGAAGAAACTCGTGTTTTGAAGGGCCATCCCCGCCGTAAGTCGAGAACATACCCCAGGTCCCCGCCGCAACTCGAGAAAAACCATGAGACTTCCCCCTAGAGGCGAGATGAGGACCCATTCCCCTGCAGTGCATGCAGAGCTATTCCGTGATCCCATTCAAACAAGTCAGGAGCTTCGACTTGCTTAATGGATCTCCAGACAGTCCCCAAGAACACTGTCACCAGTCTAGACGGACCCTGAGGTCACCCCAGCAACGCAAAGCAGCTCCATGTGCCCCAAATCAACTCGAGATGAGGCCCGATTCCCCTGCATTGACTCCAGAGCCATTCCCCGTTCCCCATTCAACACGACCGGTGGCTCGACTTCCTTCAGGCAACTCCAGAGATGCCCCGAGAACACTGTCCCAAGTCTAGAGGAACACCAACTTCAGCACAGCAACTCGAGGAATGCTCCGTGTACCCCAAATCGTCTCGAGATGAGAGCTGATTCCCTGGCTTAGGCTCAAGACGTATGCCAACTTCCCAGAAGCACCTCAGGAGGAGGCTTCTCTCAGCAATAGTTATGTGGGAGGGACCCCGAGTTTGCTGCCTCAAGGGGAATATACAGCGAGAAGCCCTAACTTGAAAGGAGGCCGGATTTCCTTGCAGTGGCTTGAATACAGGCCCGTCTTTCATCTCACAACATGAAGGGATGTCTGAATCCCCTGTGGAGACCTTAGAGAAAGCCCTAGGTCCCTGCCTCATTTTGACGGAATGCCTCACATCCCGCTGACACCTCGAGAGGCACGCGGAGTTCATTGCTTCAAAAGGTGACGATGCCTGACTCCTCTTGAATACTGATAGGAATCCCAAAATCCCTGTGGCTACTGGAAAGGGTCCTTGGGTGCCCTGCCTCACCTCGAGAAGCATCCCTTTTGCCCTGGCAAGCCTGGAAGAGATTCCTGAGGTGTCCCTCGTTACTAGACAGGAGTCCTGACGTCACTGAAGAAACTCGTGTTTTGAAGGGCCATCCCCGCCGTAAGTCGAGAACATACCCCAGGTCCCCGCCGCAACTCGAGAAAAACCATGAGACTTCCCCCTAGAGGCGAGATGAGGCCCCATTCCCCTGCAATGCATGCAGAGCTATTCCGTGATCCCATTCAAACAAGTCAGGAGCTTCGACTTGCTTAATGGATCTCGAGACAGTCCCCAAGAACACTGTCACCAGTCTAGACGGACCATGAGGTCACCCCAGCAACGCAAAGCAGCTCCATGTGCCCCAAATCAACTAGAGATGAGGCCCGATTCCGCTGCATTGACTCCAGAGCCATTCCCCGTTCCCCATTCAACACGACCGGTGGCTCGACTTCCTTCAGGCAACTCCAGAGATGCCCCGAGAACACTGTCCCAAGTCTAGAGGAACACCAACTTCAGCACAGCAACTGGAGGAATGCTCCGTGTACCCCAAATCGTCTCGAGATGAGAGCTGATTCCCTGGCTTAGTCTCAAGACGTATGCCAACTTTCCAGAAGCACCTCAGGAGGAGGCTTCTCTCAGCAATAGGTATGTGGGAGGGACCCCGAGTTTGCTGCCTCAAGGGGAATATACCGCGAGAAGCCCTAACTTGAAAGGAGGCCGGATTTCCTTGCAGTGGCTTGAATACAGGCTCGTCTTTCATCTCACAATATGGAGGGATGTCTGAATCCCCTGTGTAGACCTTAGAGAAAGCCCTAGGTCCCTGCCTCATTTTGACGGAATGCCTCACATCCCGCTGACACCTCGAGAGGCCCGCGGAGTTCATTGCTTCAAAAGGTGACGATGCCTGACTCCTCTTGAATACTGATAGGAATCCGAAAATCCCTGTGGCTACTGGAAAGGGTCCTTGGGTGCCCTGCCTCACCTCGAGAAGCGTCCCTTTTGCCCTGCCAAGCCTCGAAGAGATTCCTGAGGTGTCCCTCGTTACTAGACAGGACTCCTGACGTCACTGAAGAAACTCGTGTTTTGAAGGGCCATCCCCGCCGTAAGTCGAGAACATACCCCAGGTCCCCGCCGCAACTCGAGAAAAACCATGAGACTTCCCCCTAGAGGCGAGATGAGGCCCCATTCCCCTGCAATGCATGCAGAGCTATTCCGCGATCCCATTCAAACAAGTCAGGAGCTTCGACTTGCTTAATGGATCTCGAGACAGTCCCCAAGAACACTGTCACCAGTCCAGACGGACCATGAGGTCACCCCAGCAACGCAAAGCAGCTCCATGTGCCCCAAATCAACTCGAGATGAGGCCCGATTCCGCTGCATTGACTCCAGAGCCATTCCCCGTTCCCCATTCAACACGACCGGTGGCTCGACTTCCTTCAGGCAACTCCAGAGATGCCCCGAGAACACTGTCCCAAGTCTAGAGGAACACCAACTTCAGCACAGCAACTCGAGGAATGATCCGTGTACCCCAAATCGTCTCGAGATGAGAGCTGATTCCCTGGCTTAGGTTCAAGACGTATGCCAACTTTCCAGAAGCACCTCAGGAGGAGGCTTCTCTCAGCAATAGGTATGTGGGAGGGACACCGAGTTTGCTGCCTCAAGGGGAATATACAGCGAGAAGCCCTAACTTGAAACGAGGCCAGATTTCCTTGCAGTGGCTTGAATACAGGCTCGTCTTTCATCTCACAACATGAAGGGATGTCTGAATCCCCTGTGGAGACCTTAGAGAAAGCCGTAGGTCCCTGCCTCATTTTTACGGAATGCCTCACATCCCGCTGACACCTCGAGAGGCACGCGGAGTTCATTGATTTAAAAGGTGACGATGCCTGACTCCTCTTGAATGCTGGTAGGAATCCCAAAATCCCTGTGGCTACTGGAAAGGGTCCTTGGGTGCCCTGCCTCACCTCGAGAAGCGTCCCATTTGCCCTGCCAAGCCTCGAAGAGATTAATGAGGTGTCCCTCGTTACTAGACAGGAGTCCTGACGTCACTGAAGAAACTCGTGTTCTGAAGGGCCAGCCCCGCCGTAAGTCGAGAACATACCCCAGGTCCCCGCCGCAACTCGAGAAAAACCATGAGACTTCCCCCTAGAGGCGAGATGAGGCCCCATTCCCCTGCAGTGCATGCAGAGCTATTCCGTGATCCCACTCAAACAAGTCAGGAGCTTCGACTTGCTTAATGGATCTCCAGACAGTCCCCAAGAACACTGTCACCAGTCCAGACGGACCCTGAGGTCACCCCAGCACCGCAAAGCAGCTCCATGTGCCCCAAATCAACTCGAGATGAGGCCCGATTCCCCTGCATTGACTCCAGAGCCATTCCCCGTTCCCCATTCAACACGACCGGTGGCTCGACTTCCTTCAGGCAACTCCAGAAATGCCCCGAGAACACTGTCCCAAGTCTAGAGGTACACCAACTCCAGCACAGCAACTCGAGGAATGCTCCGTGTACCCCAAATCGTCTCCAGATGAGAGCTGATTCCCTGGCTTAGGCTCAAGACGTATGCCAACTTCCCAGAAGCACCTCAGGAGGAGGCTTCTCTCAGCAATAGGTATGTGGGAGGGACCCCGAGTTTGCTGCCTCAAGGGGAATATACCGCGAGAAGCCCTAACTTGAAAGGAGGCCGGATTTCCTTGCAGTGGCTTGAATACAGGCTCGTCTTTCATCTCACAATATGGAGGGATGTCTGAATCCCCTGTGTAGACCTTAGAGAAAGCCCTAGGTCCCTGCCTCATTTTGACGGAATGCCTCACATCCCGCTGACACCTCGAGAGGCCCGCGGAGTTCATTGCTTCAAAAGGTGACGATGCCTGACTCCTCTTGAATACTGATAGGAATCCGAAAATCCCTGTGGCTACTGGAAAGGGTCCTTGGGTGCCCTGCCTCACCTCGAGAAGCGTCCCTTTTGCCCTGCCAAGCCTCGAAGAGATTCCTGAGGTGTCCCTCGTTACTAGACAGGACTCCTGACGTCACTGAAGAAACTCGTGTTTTGAAGGGCCATCCCCGCCGTAAGTCGAGAACATACCCCAGGTCCCCGCCGCAACTCGAGAAAAACCATGAGACTTCCCCCTAGAGGCGAGATGAGGCCCCATTCCCCTGCAATGCATGCAGAGCTATTCCGCGATCCCATTCAAACAAGTCAGGAGCTTCGACTTGCTTAATGGATCTCGAGACAGTCCCCAAGAACACTGTCACCAGTCCAGACGGACCATGAGGTCACCCCAGCAACGCAAAGCAGCTCCATGTGCCCCAAATCAACTCGAGATGAGGCCCGATTCCGCTGCATTGACTCCAGAGCCATTCCCCGTTCCCCATTCAACACGACCGGTGGCTCGACTTCCTTCAGGCAACTCCAGAGATGCCCCGAGAACACTGTCCCAAGTCTAGAGGAACACCAACTTCAGCACAGCAACTCGAGGAATGATCCGTGTACCCCAAATCGTCTCGAGATGAGAGCTGATTCCCTGGCTTAGGTTCAAGACGTATGCCAACTTTCCAGAAGCACCTCAGGAGGAGGCTTCTCTCAGCAATAGGTATGTGGGAGGGACACCGAGTTTGCTGCCTCAAGGGGAATATACAGCGAGAAGCCCTAACTTGAAACGAGGCCAGATTTCCTTGCAGTGGCTTGAATACAGGCTCGTCTTTCATCTCACAACATGAAGGGATGTCTGAATCCCCTGTGGAGACCTTAGAGAAAGCCGTAGGTCCCTGCCTCATTTTTACGGAATGCCTCACATCCCGCTGACACCTCGAGAGGCACGCGGAGTTCATTGATTTAAAAGGTGACGATGCCTGACTCCTCTTGAATGCTGGTAGGAATCCCAAAATCCCTGTGGCTACTGGAAAGGGTCCTTGGGTGCCCTGCCTCACCTCGAGAAGCGTCCCATTTGCCCTGCCAAGCCTCGAAGAGATTCCTGAGGTGTCCCTCGTTACTAGACAGGAGTCCTGACGTCACTGAAGAAACTCGTGTTCTGAAGGGCCAGCCCCGCCGTAAGTCGAGAACATACCCCAGGTCCCCGCCGCAACTCGAGAAAAACCATGAGACTTCCCCCTAGAGGCGAGATGAGGCCCCATTCCCCTGCAGTGCATGCAGAGCTATTCCGTGATCCCACTCAAACAAGTCAGGAGCTTCGACTTGCTTAATGGATCTCCAGACAGTCCCCAAGAACACTGTCACCAGTCCAGACGGACCCTGAGGTCACCCCAGCACCGCAAAGCAGCTCCATGTGCCCCAAATCAACTCGAGATGAGGCCCGATTCCCCTGCATTGACTCCAGAGCCATTCCCCGTTCCCCATTCAACACGACCGGTGGCTCGACTTCCTTCAGGCAACTCCAGAAATGCCCCGAGAACACTGTCCCAAGTCTAGAGGTACACCAACTCCAGCACAGCAACTCGAGGAATGCTCCGTGTACCCCAAATCGTCTCGAGATGAGAGCTGATTCCCTGGCTTAGGCTCAAGACGTATGCCAACTTCCCAGAAGCACCTCAGGAGGAGGCTTCTCTCAGCAATAGGTATGTGGGAGGGACCCCGAGTTTGCTGCCTCAAGGGGAATATACAGCGAGAAGCCCTAACTTGAAAGGAGTCCGAATTTCCTTGCAGTGGCTTGAATACAGGCTCGTCTTTCATCTCACAACATGAAGGGATGTCTGAATCCCCTGTGTAGACCTTAGACAAAGCCCTAGGTCCCTGCCTCATTTTGACGGAATGCCTCACATCCCGCTGACACCTCGAGAGGCACGCGGAGTTAATTGCTTCAAAAATGACGATGCCTGACTCCTCTTGAATACTGATAGTAATCCCAAAATCCCTGTGGCTACTGGAAAGGGTCCTTGGGTGCCCTGCCTCACCTCGAGAAGCATCCCTTTTGCCCTGGCAAGCCTCGAAGTGATTCCTGAGGTGTCCCTCGTTACTAGACAGGAGTCCTGACGTCACTGAAGAAACTCGTGTTTTGAAGGGCCATCCCCGCCGTAAGTCGAGAACATACCCCAGGTCCCCGCCGCAACTCGAGAAAAACCATGAGACTTCCCCCTAGAGGCGAGATGAGGCCCCATTCCCCTGCAGTGCATGCAGAGCTATTCCGTGATCCCATTCAAACAAGTCAGGAGCTTCGACTTGCTTAATGGATCTCGAGACAGTCCCCAAGAACACTGTCACCAGTCTAGACGGACCCTGAGGTCACCCCAGCAACGCAAAGCAGCTCCATGTGCCACAAATCAACTCGAGATGGGGCCCGATTCCCCTGCATTGACTCCAGAGCCATTCCTCGTTCCCCATTCAACACGACCGGTGGCTCGACTTCCTTCAGGAAACTCCAGAGATGCCCAAAGAACACTGTCCCAAGTCTAGAGGAACACCAACTTCAGCACAGCAACTCGAGGAATGCTCCATGTACCCCAAATCGTCTCGAGATGAGAGCTGATTCCCTGGCTTAGGCTCAAGACGTATGCCAACTTTCCAGAAGCACCTCAGGAGGAGGCTTCTCTCAGCAATAGGTATGTGGGAGGGACCCCGAGTTTGCTGCCTCAAGGGGAATATACCGCGAGAAGCCCTAACTTGAAAGGAGGCCGGATTTCCTTGCAGGGGCTTGAATACAGGCTCGTCTTTCATCTCACAACATGAAGGGATGTCTGAATCCCCTGTGGAGACCTTAGAGAAAGCCCTAGGTCCCTGCCTCATTTTGACGGAATGCCTCACATCCCGCTGACAACTCGAGAGGCACGCGGAGTTCATTGCTTCAAAAGGTGACGATGCCTGACTCCTCTTGAATACTGATAGGAATCCCAAAATCACTGTGGCTACTGGAAAGGGTCCTTGTGTGCACTGCCTCACCTCGAGAAGCGTCCCTTTTGCCCTGCCAAGCCTCGAAGAGATTCCTGAGGTGTCCCACGTTACTAGACAGGAGTCCTGACGTCACTGAAGAAACTCGTGTTTTGAAGGTCCATCCCCGCCGTAAGTCGAGAACATACCCCAGGTCCCTGCCGCAACTCGAGAAAAACCATGAGACTTCCCCCTGGAGGCGAGATGAGGCCCCATTCCCCTGCAGTGCATGCAGAGCTATTCCGTGATCCCATTCAAACAAGTCAGGAGCTTCGACTTGCTTAATGGATCTCGAGACAGTCCCCAAGAACACTGTCACCAGTCTAGACGGACCCTGAGGTCACCCCAGCAACGCAAAGCAGCTCCATGTGCCCCAAATCAACTCGAGATGGGGCCCGATTCCCCTGCATTGACTCCAGAGCCATTCCCCGTTCCCCATTCAACACGACCGGTGGCTCGACTTCCTTCAGGAAACTCCAGAGATGCCCCGAGAACACTGTCCCAAGTCTAGAGGAACACCAACTTCAGCACAGCAACTCGAGGAATGATCCGTGTACCCCAAATCGTCTCGAGATGAGAGCTGATTCCCTGGCTTAGGTTCAAGACGTATGCCAACTTTCCAGAAGCACCTCAGGAGGAGGCTTCTCTCAGCAATAGGTATGTGGGAGGGACACCGAGTTTGCTGCCTCAAGGGGAATATACAGCGAGAAGCCCTAACTTGAAACGAGGCCAGATTTCCTTGCAGTGGCTTGAATACAGGCTCGTCTTTCATCTCACAACATGAAGGGATATCTGAATCCCCTGTGGAGACCTTAGAGAAAGCCGTAGGTCCCTGCCTCATTTTTACGGAATGCCTCACATCCCGCTGACACCTCGAGAGGCACGCGGAGTTCATTGCTTTAAAAGGTGACGATGCCTGACTCCTCTTGAATGCTGTTAGGAATCCCAAAATCCCTGTGGCTACTGGAAAGGGTCCTTGGGTGCCCTGCCTCACCTCGAGAAGCGTCCCATTTGCCCTGCCAAGCCTCGAAGAGATTCCTGAGGTGTCCCTCGTTACTAGACAGGAGTCCTGACGTCACTGAAGAAACTCGTGTTCTGAAGGGCCAGCCCCGCCGTAAGTCGAGAACATACCCCAGGTCCCCGCCGCAACTCGAGAAAAACCATGAGACTTCCCCCTAGAGGCGACATGAGGCCCCATTCCCCTGCAGTGCATGCAGAGCTATTCCGTGATCCCATTCAAACAAGTCAGGAGCTTCGACTTGTTAATGGATCTCCAGACAGTCCCCAAGAACACTGTCACCAGTCGAGACGGACCATGAGGTCACCCCAGCAACGCAAAGCAGCTCCATGTGCCCCAAATCAACTCGAGATGAGGCCCGATTCCCCTGCATTGACTCCAGAGCCATTCCCCGTTCCCCATTCAACACGACCGGTGGCTCGACTTCCTTCAGGCAACTCCAGAGATGCCCTGAGAACACTGTCCCAAGTCTAGAGGAACACCAACTTCAGCACAGCAACTCGAGGAATGCTCCGTGTACCCCAAATCGCATCGAGATGAGAGCTGATTCCCTGGCTTAGGCTCAAGACGTATGCCAACTCCCCAGAAGCACCTCAGGAGGAGGCTTCTCTCAGCAATAGGTATGTGGGAGGGACCCCGAGTTTGCTGCCTCAAGGGGAATATACAGCGAGAAGCCCTAACTTGAAAGGAGGCCGGATTTCCTTGCAGTTACTTGAATACAGGCTCGTCTTTCATCTCACAACATGAAGGGATGTCCGAATGCCCTGTGGAGACCTTAGAGAAAGCCCTAGGTCCCTGCCTCATTTTGACGGAATGCCTCACATCCCGCTGACACCTCGAGAGGCACGCGGAGTTCATTGCTTCAAAAGGTGACGATGCCTGACTCCTCTTGAATACTGATAGGAATCCCAAAAATCCTGTGGCTACTGGAAAGGGTCCTTGGGTGCCCTGCCTCACCTCGAGAAGAATCCCTTTTGCCCTGCCAAGCCTCGAAGAGATTCCTGAGGTGTCCCTCGTTACTAGACAGGAGTCCTGACGTCACTGAAGAAACTCGTGTTTTGAAGGGCCATCCCCGCCGTAAGTCGAGAACATACCCCAGGTCGCTGCCGCAACTCGAGAAAAACCATGAGACTTCCCCCTAGAGGCGAGATGAGGCCCCATTCCCCTTCAGTGCATGCAGAGCTATTCCGTGATCCCATTCAAACAAGTCAGGAGCTTCGACTTGCTTAATGGATCTCGAGACAGTCCCCAAGAACACTGTCACCAGTCTAGACGGACCCTGAGGTCACCCCAGCAACGCAAAGCAGATCCATGTGCCCCAAATCAACTCGAGATGAGGCCCGATTCCCCTGCATTGACTCCAGAGCCATTCCCCGTTCCCCATTCAACACGACCGGTGGCTCGACTTCCTTCAGGCAACTCCAGAGATGCCCCGAGAAGACTGTCCCAAGTCTAGAGGAACACCAACTTCAGCACAGCATCTCGAAGAATGCTCCGTGTACCCCAAATCGTCTCGAGATGAGAGCTGATTCCCTGGCTTAGGTTCAAGACGTATGCCAACTTTCCAGAAGCACCTCAGGAGGAGGCTTCTCTCAGCAATAGGTATGTGGGAGGGACACCGAGTTTGCTGCCTCAAGGGGAATATACAGCGAGAAGCCCTAACTTGAAACGAGGCCGGATTTCCTTGCAGTGGCTTGAATACAGGCTCGTCTTTCATCTCACAACATGAAGGGATGTCTGAATCCCCTGTGGAGACCTTAGAGAAAGCCCTAGGTCCCTGCCTCATTTTGACGGAATGCCTCACATCCCGCTGACACCTCGAGAGGCACGCGGAGTTCATTGCTTTAAAAGGTGACGATGCCTGACTCCTCTTGAATGCTGATAGGAATCCCAAAATCCCTGTGGCTACTGGAAAGGGTCCTTGGGTGCCCTGCCTCACCTCGAGAAGCGTCCCATTTGCCCTGCCAAGCCTCGAAGAGATTCCTGAGGTGTCCCTCGTTACTAGACAGGAGTCCTGACGTCACTGAAGAAACTCGTGTTCTGAAGGGCCAGCCCGCCGTAAGTCGAGAACATACCCCAGGTCACCGCCGCAACTCGAGAAAAACCATGAGACTTCCCCCTAGAGGCGAGATGAGGCCCCATTCCCCTGCAGTGCATGCAGAGCTATTCCGTGATCCCATTCAAACAAGGCAGGAGCTTCGACTTGCTTAATGGATCTCCAGACAGTCCCCAAGAACACTGTCACCAGTCCAGACGGACCCTGAGGTCACCCCAGCACTGCAAAGCAGCTCCATGTGCCCCAAATCAACTCGAGATGAGGCCCGATTCCCCTGCATTGACTCCAGAGCCATTCTCCGTTCCCCATTCAACACGACCGGTGGCTCGACTTCCTTCAGGCAACTCCAGAAATGCCCCGAGAACACTGTCCCAAGTCTAGAGGAACACCAACTTCAGCACAGCAACTCGAGGAATGCTCCGTGTACCCCAAATCGTCTCGAGATGAGAGCTGATTCCCTGGCTTAGGCTCAAGACGTATGCCAACTTCCCAGAAGCACCTCAGGAGGAGGCTTCTCTCAGCAATAGGTATGTGGGAGGGACCCCGAGTTTGCTGCCTCAAGGGGAATATACAGCGAGAAGCCCTAACTTGAAAGGAGTCCGAATTTCCTTGCAGTGGCTTGAATACAGGCTCGTCTTTCATCTCACAATATGAAGGGATGTCTGAATCCGCTGTGGAGACCTTAGAGAAAGCCCTAGGTCCCTGCCTCATTTTGACGGAATGCCTCACATCCCGCTGACAACTCGAGAGGCACGCGGAGTTCATTGCTTCAAAAGGTGACGATGCCTGACTCCTCTTGAATACTGATAGGAATCCCAAAATCACTGTGGCTACTGGAAAGGGTCCTTGTGTGCACTGCCTCACCTCGAGAAGCGTCCCTTTTGCCCTGCCAAGCCTCGAAGAGATTCCTGAGGTGTCCCACGTTACTAGACAGGAGTCCTGACGTCACTGAAGAAACTCGTGTTTTGAAGGTCCATCCCCGCCGTAAGTCGAGAACATACCCCAGGTCCCTGCCGCAACTCGAGAAAAACCATGAGACTTCCCCCTGGAGGCGAGATGAGGCCCCATTCCCCTGCAGTGCATGCAGAGCTATTCCGTGATCCCATTCAAACAAGTCAGGAGCTTCGACTTGCTTAATGGATCTCGAGACAGTCCCCAAGAACACTGTCACCAGTCTAGACGGACCCTGAGGTCACCCCAGCAACGCAAAGCAGCTCCATGTGCCCCAAATCAACTCGAGATGGGGCCCGATTCCCCTGCATTGACTCCAGAGCCATTCCCCGTTCCCCATTCAACACGACCGGTGGCTCGACTTCCTTCAGGAAACTCCAGAGATGCCCCGAGAACACTGTCCCAAGTCTAGAGGAACACCAACTTCAGCACAGCAACTCGAGGAATGATCCGTGTACCCCAAATCGTCTCGAGATGAGAGCTGATTCCCTGGCTTAGGTTCAAGACGTATGCCAACTTTCCAGAAGCACCTCAGGAGGAGGCTTCTCTCAGCAATAGGTATGTGGGAGGGACACCGAGTTTGCTGCCTCAAGGGGAATATACAGCGAGAAGCCCTAACTTGAAACGAGGCCAGATTTCCTTGCAGTGGCTTGAATACAGGCTCGTCTTTCATCTCACAACATGAAGGGATATCTGAATCCCCTGTGGAGACCTTAGAGAAAGCCGTAGGTCCCTGCCTCATTTTTACGGAATGCCTCACATCCCGCTGACACCTCGAGAGGCACGCGGAGTTCATTGCTTTAAAAGGTGACGATGCCTGACTCCTCTTGAATGCTGTTAGGAATCCCAAAATCCCTGTGGCTACTGGAAAGGGTCCTTGGGTGCCCTGCCTCACCTCGAGAAGCGTCCCATTTGCCCTGCCAAGCCTCGAAGAGATTCCTGAGGTGTCCCTCGTTACTAGACAGGAGTCCTGACGTCACTGAAGAAACTCGTGTTCTGAAGGGCCAGCCCCGCCGTAAGTCGAGAACATACCCCAGGTCCCCGCCGCAACTCGAGAAAAACCATGAGACTTCCCCCTAGAGGCGACATGAGGCCCCATTCCCCTGCAGTGCATGCAGAGCTATTCCGTGATCCCATTCAAACAAGTCAGGAGCTTCGACTTGTTAATGGATCTCCAGACAGTCCCCAAGAACACTGTCACCAGTCGAGACGGACCATGAGGTCACCCCAGCAACGCAAAGCAGCTCCATGTGCCCCAAATCAACTCGAGATGAGGCCCGATTCCCCTGCATTGACTCCAGAGCCATTCCCCGTTCCCCATTCAACACGACCGGTGGCTCGACTTCCTTCAGGCAACTCCAGAGATGCCCTGAGAACACTGTCCCAAGTCTAGAGGAACACCAACTTCAGCACAGCAACTCGAGGAATGCTCCGTGTACCCCAAATCGCATCGAGATGAGAGCTGATTCCCTGGCTTAGGCTCAAGACGTATGCCAACTCCCCAGAAGCACCTCAGGAGGAGGCTTCTCTCAGCAATAGGTATGTGGGAGGGACCCCGAGTTTGCTGCCTCAAGGGGAATATACAGCGAGAAGCCCTAACTTGAAAGGAGGCCGGATTTCCTTGCAGTTACTTGAATACAGGCTCGTCTTTCATCTCACAACATGAAGGGATGTCCGAATGCCCTGTGGAGACCTTAGAGAAAGCCCTAGGTCCCTGCCTCATTTTGACGGAATGCCTCACATCCCGCTGACACCTCGAGAGGCACGCGGAGTTCATTGCTTCAAAAGGTGACGATGCCTGACTCCTCTTGAATACTGATAGGAATCCCAAAAATCCTGTGGCTACTGGAAAGGGTCCTTGGGTGCCCTGCCTCACCTCGAGAAGAATCCCTTTTGCCCTGCCAAGCCTCGAAGAGATTCCTGAGGTGTCCCTCGTTACTAGACAGGAGTCCTGACGTCACTGAAGAAACTCGTGTTTTGAAGGGCCATCCCCGCCGTAAGTCGAGAACATACCCCAGGTCGCTGCCGCAACTCGAGAAAAACCATGAGACTTCCCCCTAGAGGCGAGATGAGGCCCCATTCCCCTTCAGTGCATGCAGAGCTATTCCGTGATCCCATTCAAACAAGTCAGGAGCTTCGACTTGCTTAATGGATCTCGAGACAGTCCCCAAGAACACTGTCACCAGTCTAGACGGACCCTGAGGTCACCCCAGCAACGCAAAGCAGATCCATGTGCCCCAAATCAACTCGAGATGAGGCCCGATTCCCCTGCATTGACTCCAGAGCCATTCCCCGTTCCCCATTCAACACGACCGGTGGCTCGACTTCCTTCAGGCAACTCCAGAGATGCCCCGAGAAGACTGTCCCAAGTCTAGAGGAACACCAACTTCAGCACAGCATCTCGAAGAATGCTCCGTGTACCCCAAATCGTCTCGAGATGAGAGCTGATTCCCTGGCTTAGGTTCAAGACGTATGCCAACTTTCCAGAAGCACCTCAGGAGGAGGCTTCTCTCAGCAATAGGTATGTGGGAGGGACCCCGAGTTTGCTGCCTCAAGGGGAATATACAGCGAGAAGCCCTAACTTGAAAGGAGGCTGGATTTCCTTGCAGTGGCTTGAATACAGGCTCGTCTTTCATCTCACAACATGAAGGGATGTCTGAATGCCCTGTGGAGACCTTAGAGAAAGCCCTAGGTCCCTGCCTCATTTTGACGGAATGCCTCACATCCCGCTGACACATCGAGAGGCTCGCGGAGTTCATTGCTTCAAAAGGTGACGATGCCTGACTCCTCTTGAATACTGATAGGAATCCCAAAAATCCTGTGGCTACTGGAAAGGGTCCTTGTGTGCCCTGCCTCACCTCGAGAAGCGTCCCTTTTGCCCTGCCAAGCCTCGAAGAGATTCCTGAGGTGTCCCTCGTTACTAGACAGGAGTCCTGACGTCACTGAAGAAACTCGTGTTTTGAAGGGCCATCCCCGCCGTAAGTCGAGAACATAACCCAGGTCGCTGCCGCAACTCGAGAAAAACCATGAGACTTCCCCCTAGAGGCGAGATGAGGCCCCATTCCCCTGCAGTGCATGCAGAGCTATTCCGTGATCCCATTCAAACAAGTCAGGAGCTTCGACTTGCTTAATGGATCTCGAGACAGTCCCCAAGAACACTGTCACCAGTCTAGACGGACCCTGAGGTCACCCCAGCAACGCAAAGCAGCTCCATGTGCCCCAAATTAACTCGAGATGAGGCCCGATTCCCCTGCATTGAATCCAGAGCCATTCCCCGTTCCCCATTCAACACGACCGGTGGCTCGACTTCCTTCAGGAAACTCCAGAGATGCCCCGAGAACACTGTCCCAAGTCTAGAGGAACACCAACTTCAGCACAGCAACTCGAGGAATGATCCGTGTACCCCAAATCGTCTCGAGATGAGAGCTGATTCCCTGGCTTAGGTTCAAGACGTATGCCAACTTTCCAGAAGCACCTCAGGAGGAGGCTTCTCTCAGCAATAGGTATGTGGGAGGGACACCGAGTTTGCTGCCTCAAGGGGAATATACAGCGAGAAGCCCTAACTTGAAACGAGGCCGGATTTCCTTGCAGTGGCTTGAATACAGGCTCGTCTTTCATCTCACAACATGAAGGGATGTCTGAATCCCCTGTGGAGACCTTAGAGAAAGCCCTAGGTCCCTGCCTCATTTTGACGGAATGCCTCACATCCCGCTGACACCTCGAGAGGCACGCGGAGTTCATTGCTTTAAAAGGTGACGATGCCTGACTCCTCTTGAATGCTGATAGGAATCCCAAAATCCCTGTGGCTACTGGAAAGGGTCCTTGGGTGCCCTGCCTCACCTCGAGAAGCGTCCCATTTGCCCTGCCAAGCCTCGAAGAGATTCCTGAGGTGTCCCTCGTTACTAGACAGGAGTCCTGACGTCACTGAAGAAACTCGTGTTCTGAAGGGCCAGCCCGCCGTAAGTCGAGAACATACCCCAGGTCACCGCCGCAACTCGAGAAAAACCATGAGACTTCCCCCTAGAGGCGAGATGAGGCCCCATTCCCCTGCAGTGCATGCAGAGCTATTCCGTGATCCCATTCAAACAAGGCAGGAGCTTCGACTTGCTTAATGGATCTCCAGACAGTCCCCAAGAACACTGTCACCAGTCCAGACGGACCCTGAGGTCACCCCAGCACTGCAAAGCAGCTCCATGTGCCCCAAATCAACTCGAGATGAGGCCCGATTCCCCTGCATTGACTCCAGAGCCATTCTCCGTTCCCCATTCAACACGACCGGTGGCTCGACTTCCTTCAGGCAACTCCAGAAATGCCCCGAGAACACTGTCCCAAGTCTAGAGGAACACCAACTTCAGCACAGCAACTCGAGGAATGCTCCGTGTACCCCAAATCGTCTCGAGATGAGAGCTGATTCCCTGGCTTAGGCTCAAGACGTATGCCAACTTCCCAGAAGCACCTCAGGAGGAGGCTTCTCTCAGCAATAGGTATGTGGGAGGGACCCCGAGTTTGCTGCCTCAAGGGGAATATACAGCGAGAAGCCCTAACTTGAAAGGAGTCCGAATTTCCTTGCAGTGGCTTGAATACAGGCTCGTCTTTCATCTCACAATATGAAGGGATGTCTGAATCCGCTGTGGAGACCTTAGAGAAAGCCCTAGGTCCCTGCCTCATTTTGACGGAATGCCTCACATCCCGCTGACACCTCGACAGGCACGCGGAGTTAATTGCTTCAAAAATGACGATGCCTGACTCCTCTTGAATACTGATAGGAATCCCAAAATCCCTGTGGCTACTGGAAAGGGTCCTTGGGTGCCCTGCCTCACATCGAGAAGCGTCCCTTTTGCCCTGCCAAGCCTCGAAGAGATTCCTGAAGTGTCCCTCGTTACTAGACAGGAGTCCTGACGTCACTGAAGAAACTCGTGTCTTGAAGGGCCATCCCCGCCATAAGTCGAGAACATACCCCAGGTCCCCGCCGCAACTCGAGAAAAACCATGAGACTTCCCCCTAGAGGCGAGATGAGGCCCCATTCCCCTGCAGTGCATGCAGAGCTATTCCGTGATCCCATTCAAACAAGTCAGGAGCTTCGACTTGCTTAATGGATGTCGAGACAGTCCCCAAGAACACTGTCACCAGTCTAGACGGACCCTGAGGTCACCCCAGCAACGCAAAGCAGCTCCATGTGCCACAAATCAACACGATATGAGGCCCGATTCCCCTGCATTGACTCCAGAGCCATTCCCCGTTCCCCATTCAACACGACCGGTGGCTCGACTTCCTTCAGGCAACTCCAGAGATGCCCCGAGAAGACTGTCCCAAGTCTAGAGGAACACCAACTTCAGCACAGCAACTCGAGGAATGCTCCGTGTACCCCAAATCGTCTCGAGATGAGAGCTGATTCCCTGGCTTAGGCTCAAGACGTATGCCAACTTCCCAGAAGCACCTCAGGAGGAGGCTTCTCTCAGCAATAGGTATGTGGGAGGGACCCCGAGTTTGCTGCCTCAAGTGGAATATACAGCGAGAAGCCCTAACTTGAAAGGAGGCCGGATTTCCTTGCAGTGGCTTGAATACAGGCTCGTCTTTCATCTCACAACATGAAGGGATGTCTGAATCCCCTGTGGAGACCTTAGAGAAAGCCCTAGGTCCCTGCCTCATTTTGACGGAATGCCTCACATCCCGCTGACACCTCGAGAGGCACGCGGAGTTCATTGCTTCAAAAGGTGACGATGCCTGACTCCTCTTGAATACTGATAGGATTCCCAAAATCCCTGTGGCTACTGGAAAGGGTCCTTGGGTGCCCTGCCTCAACTCGAGAAGTGTCCCTTTTGCCCTGCCAAGCCTCGAAGAGATTCCTGAGGTGTCCCTCGTAACTAGACAGGAGGCCTGACGTCACTGAAGAAACTCTTGTCTTGAAGGGCCATCCCCGCCCTAAGTCGAGAACATAACCCAGGTCCCCGCCGCAACTCGAGAAAAACCATGAGACTTCCCCCTAGAGGCGAGATGAGGCCCCATTCCCCTGCAGTGCATGCAGAGCTATTCCGTGATCCCATTCAAACAAGTCAGGAGCTTCGACTTGCTTAATGGATCTCGAGACAGTCCCCAAGAACACTGTCACCAGTCTAGACGGACCCTGAGGTCACCCCAGCAACGCAAAGGAGCTCCATGTGCCCCAAATCAACTCGAGATGAGGCCCGATTCCGCTGCATTGACTCCAGAGCCATTCCCCGTTCCCCATTCAACACGACCGGTGGCTCGACTTCCTTCAGGCAACTCCAGAGATGCCCCGAGAACACTGTCCCAAGTCTAGAGGAACACCAACTTCAGCACAGCAACTCTAGGAATGCTCCGTATACCCCAAATCGTCTCGAGATGCGAGCTGATTCCCTGGCTTAGGCTCAAGACGTATGCCAACTTCCCAGAAGCACCTCAGGAGGAGGCTTCTCTCAGCAATAGGTATGTGGGAGGGACCCCGAGTTTGCTGCCTCAAGGGGAATATTCAGCGAGAAGCCCTAACTTGAAAGGAGGCCGGATTTCCTTGCAGTGGCTTGAATACAGGCTGGTCTTTCATCTCACAACATGAAGGGATGTCTGAATCCCCTGTGGAGACCTTAGAGAAAGCCCTAGGTCCCTGCCTCATTTTGACGGAATGCCTCACATCCCGCTGACACCTCGAGAGGCACGCGGAGTTCATTGCTTCAAAAGGTGAGGATGCCTGACTCCTCTTGAATACTGATAGGAATCCCAAAATCCCTGTGGCTACTGGAAAGGGTCCTTGGGTGCCCTGCCTCACCTCGTGAAGCTCCCTTTTGCCCTGCCAAGCCTCGAAGAGATTCCTGAGGTGTCCCTCGTTACTAGACAGGAGTCCTGACGTCACTGAAGAAACTCGTGTCTTGAAGTGCCATCCCCGCCTTAAGTCGAGAACATACCCCAGGTCCCCGCCGCAACTCGAGAAAAACCATGAGACTTCCCCCTAGAGGCGAGATGAGGCCCCATTCCCCTGCAGGGCATGCAGAGCTATTCCGTGATCCCATTCAAACAAGTCAGGAGCTTCGACTTGCTTAATGGATCTCGAGACAGTCCCCAAGAACACTGTCACCAGTCTAGACGGACCCTGAGGTCACCCCAGCAAAGCAAAGCAGCTCCATGTGCCCCAAATCAACTCGAGATGAGGCCCGATTCCCCTGCATTGACTCCAGAGCCATTCCCCGTTCCCCATTCAACACGACCGGTGGCTCGACTTCCTTCAGGCAACTCCAGAGATGCCCCGAGAACACTGTCCCAAGTCTAGAGGAACACCAACTTCAGCACAGCAACTCGAGGAATGCTCCGTGTACCCCAAATCGTCTCGAGATGAGAGCTGATTCCCTGGCTTAGGCTCAAGACGTATGCCAACTTCCCAGAAGCACCTCAGGAGGAGGCTTCTCTCAGCAATAGGTATGTGGGAGGGACCCCGAGTTTGCTGCCTCAAGGGGAATATACAGCGAGAAGCCCTAACTTGAAAGGAGGCCGGATTTCCTTGCAGTGGCTTGAACACAGGCTCGTCTTTCATTTCACAACATGAAGGGATGTTTGAATCCCCTGTGTAGACCTTAGAGAAAGCCCTAGGTCCCTGCCTCATTTTGACGGAATGCCTCACATCCCGCTGACACCTCGAGAGGCACGCGGAGTTCATTGCTTCAAAAGGTGACGATGCCTGACTCCTCTTGAATACTGATAGGAATCCCAAAATCCCTGTGGCTACTGGAAAGGGTCCTTGGCTGCCCTGCCTCACCTCGAGAAGCGTCCCTTTTGCCCTGCCAAGCCTCGAAGAGATTCCTGAGGTGTCCCTCGTTACTAGACAGGAGTCCTGACGTCACTGAAGAAACTCGTGTCTGGAAGGGCCATCCCCGCCGTAAGTCGAGAACATACCCCAGGTCCCCGCCGCAACTCGAGAAAAACCATGAGACTTCCCCCTAGAGGCGAGATGAGGCCCCATTCCCCTGCAGTGCATGCAGAGCTATTCCGTGATCCCATTCATACAAGTCAGGAGCTTCGACTTGCTTAATGGATCTCGAGACAGTCCCCAAGAACACTGTCACCAGTCTAGACGGACCCTGAGGTCACCCCAGCAACGCAAAGCAGCTCCATGTGCCCCAAATCAACAAGAGATGAGGCCCGATTCCCCTGCATTGACTCCAGAGCCATTCCCCGTTCCCCATTCAACACGACCGGTGGCTCGATTTCCTTCAGGCAACTCCAGAGATGCCCCGAGAACACTGTCCCAAGTCTAGAGGAACACCAACTTCAGCACAGCAACTCGAGGAATGCTCCGTGTACCCCAAATCGTCTCGAGATGAGAGCTGATTCCCTGGCTTAGTCTCAAGACGTATGCCAACTTTCCAGAAGCACCTCAGGAGGAGGCTTCTCTCAGCAATAGGTATGTGGGAGGGACCCCGAGTTTGCTGCCTCAAGGGGAATATACAGCGAGAAGCCCTAACTTGAAAGGAGGCCGGATTTCCTTGCAGTGGCTTGAATACAGGCCCGTCTTTCATCTCACAACATGAAGGGATGTCTGAATCCCCTGTGGAGACCTTAGAGAAAGCCCTAGGTCCCTGCCTCATTTTGACGGAATGCCTCACATCCCGCTGACACCTCGAGAGGCACGCGGAGTTCATTGCTTCAAAAGGTGACGATGCCTGACTCCTCTTGAATACTGATAGGAATCCCAAAATCCCTGTGGCTACTGGAAAGGGTCCTTGGGTGCCCTGCCTCACCTCGAGAAGCGTCCCTTTTGCCCTGCCAAGCCTCGAAGAGATTCCTGAGGTGTCCCTCGTTACTAGACAGGACTCCTGACGTCACTGAAGAAACTCGTGTTTTGAAGGGCCATCCCCGCCGTAAGTCGAGAACATACCCCAGGTCCCCGCCGCAACTCGAGAAAAACCATGAGACTTCCCCCTAGAGGCGAGATGAGGCCCCATTCCCCTGCAGTGCATGCAGAGCTATTCCGTGATCCCATTCAAACAAGTCAGGAGCTTCGACTTGCTTAATGGATCTCGAGACAGTCCCCAAGAACACTGTCACCAGTCTAGACGGACCATGAGGTCACCCCAGCAACGCAAAGCAGATCCATGTGCCCCAAATCAACTCGAGATGAGGCCCGATTCCGCTGCATTGACTCCAGAGCCATTCCCCGTTCCCCATTCAACACGACCGGTGGCTCGACTTCCTTCAGGCAACTCCAGAGATGCCCCGAGAACACTGTCCCAAGTCTAGAGGAACACCAACTTCAGCACAGCAACTCGAGGAATGATCCGTGTACCCCAAATCGTCTCGAGATGAGAGCTGATTCCCTGGCTTAGGTTCAAGACGTATGGCAACTTTCCAGAAGCACCTCAGGAGGAGGCTTCTCTCAGCAATAGGTATGTGGGAGGGACACCGAGTTTGCTGCCTCAAGGGGAATATACAGCGAGAAGCCCTAACTTGAAACGAGGCCAGATTTCCTTGCAGTGGCTTGAATACAGGCTCGTCTTTCATTTCACAACATGAAGGGGTGTCTGAATCCCCTGTGGAGACCTTAGAGAAAGCCCTAGGTCCCTGCCTCATTTTGACAGAATGCCTCACATCCCGCTGACACCTCGAGAGGCACGCGGAGTTAATTGCTTCAAAAATGACGATGCCTGACTCCTCTTGAATACTGATAGGAATCCCAAAATCCCTGTGGGTACTGGAAAGGGTTCTTGGGTGCCCTGCCTCACTTCGAGAAGCATCCCTTTTGCCCTGGCAAGCCTGGAAGAGATTCCTGAGGTGTCCCTCGTTACTAGACAGGAGTCCTGACGTCACTAAAGAAACTCGTGTTTTGAAGGGCCATCCCCGCCGTAAGTCGAGAACATACCCCAGGTCCCCGCCGCAACTCGAGAAAAACCATGAGACTTCCCCCTAGAGGCGAGATGAGGCCCCATTCCCCTGCAGTGCATGCAGAGCTATTCCGTGATCCCATTCAAACAAGTCAGGAGCTTCGACTTGCTTAATGGATCTCGAGAGAGTCCCCAAGAACACTGTCACCAGTCTAGACGGACCCTGAGGTCACCCCAGCAACGCAAAGCAGCTCCATGTGGCCCAAATCAACTCGAGATGGGGCCCGATTCCCCTGCATTGACTCCAGAGCCATTCCTCGTTCCCCATTCAACACGACCGGTGGCTCGACTTCCTTCAGGAAACTCCAGAGATGCCCCAAGAACACTGTCCCAAAACTAGAGGAACACCAACTTCAGCACAGCAACTCGAGGAATGCTCCGTGTACCCCAAATCGTCTCGAGATGAGAGCTGATACCCTGGCTTAGGCTCAAGACGTATGCCAACTTTCCAGAAGCACCTCAGGAGTAGGCTTCTCTCAGCAATAGGTATGTGGGAGGGACCCCGAGTTTGCTGCCTCAAGGGGAATATACCGCGAGAAGCCCTAACTTGAAAGGAGGCCGGATTTCCTTGCAGTGGCTTGAATACAGGCTCGTCTTTCATCTCACAATATGGAGGGATGTCTGAATCCCCTGTGTAGACCTTAGAGAAAGCCCTAGGTCCCTGCCTCATTTTTACGGAATGCCTCACATCCCGCTGACACCTCGAGAGGCACGCGGAGTTCATTGATTTAAAAGGTGACGATGCCTGACTCCTCTTGAATGCTGATAGGAATCCCAAAATCCCTGTGGCTACTGGAAAGGGTCCTTGGGTGCTCTGCCTCACCTCTAGAAGCGTCCCTTTTGCCCTGCCAAGCCTCGAAGGGATTCCTGAGGTGTCCCTCGTTACTAGACAGGAGTCCTGACGTCACTGAAGAAACTCGTGTTTTGAAGGGCCATCCCCGCCGTAAGTCGAGAACATACCCCAGGTCGCTGCCGCAACTCGAGAAAAACCATGAGACTTCCCCCTAGAGGCGAGATGAGGCCCCATTCCCTGCAGTGCATGCAGAGCTATTCCGTGATCCCATTCAAACAAGTCAGGAGCTTCGACTTGCTTAATGGATCTCGAGACAGTCCCCAAGAACACTGTCACCAGTCTAGACGGACCCTGAGGTCACCCCAGCAACGCAAAGCAGCTCCATGTGCCCCAAATCAACTCGAGATGAGGCCCGATTCCCCTGCATTGACTCCAGGGCCATTCCCCGTTCCCCATTCAACACGACCGGTGGCTCGACTTCCTTCAGGCAACTCCAGAGATGCCCCGAGAAGACTCTCCCAAGTCTAGAGGAACACCAACTTCAGCACAGCAACTCGAAGAATGCTCCGTGTACCCCAAATCGTCTCGAGATGAGAGCTGATTCCCTGGCTTAGTCTCAAGACGTATGCCAACTTTCCAGAAGCACCTCAGGAGGAGGATTCTCTCAGCAATAGGTATGTGGGAGGGACCCCGAGTTTGCTGCCTCAAGGGGAATATACCGCGAGAAGCCCTAACTTGAAAGGAGGCCGGATTTCCTTGCAGTGGCTTGAATACAGGCTCGTCTTTCATCTCACAATATGGAGGGATGTCTGAATCCCCTGTGTAGACCTTAGAGAAAGCCCTAGGTCCCTGCCTCATTTTGACGGAATGCCTCACATCCCGCTGACACCTCGAGAGGCACGCGGAGTTCATTGCTTCAAAAGGTGACGATGCCTGACTCCTCTTGAATACTAATAGGAATCCCAAAATCCCTGTGGCTACTGGAAAGGGTCCTTGGGTGCCCTGCCTCACCTCGAGAAGCGTCCCTTTTGCCCTGCCAAGCCTCGAAGAGATTCCTGAGGTGTCCCTCGTTACTAGACAGGACTCCTGACGTCACTGAAGAAACTCGTGTTTTGAAGGGCCATCCCCGCCGTAAGTCGAGAACATACCCCAGGTCCCCGCCGCAACTCGAGAAAAACCATGAGACTTCCCCCTAGAGGCGAGATGAGGCCCCATTCCCCTGCAATGCATGCAGAGCTATTCCGTGATCCCATTCAAACAAGTCAGGAGCTTCGACATGCTTAATGGATCTCGAGACCGTCCCCAAGAACACTGTCACCAGTCTAGACGGACCATGAGGTCACCCCAGCAACGCAAAGCAGCTCCATGTGCCCCAAATCAACTCGAGATGAGGCCCGATTCCGCTGCATTGACTCCAGAGCCATTCCCCGTTCCCCATTCAACACGACCGGTGGCTCGACTTCCTTCAGGCAACTCCAGAGATGCCCCGAGAACACTGTCCCAAGTCTAGAGGAACACCAACTTCAGCACAGCAACTCTAGGAATGCTCCGTGTACCCCAAATCGTCTCGAGATGCGAGCTGATTCCCTGGCTTAGGCTCAAGACGTATGCCAACTTCCCAGAAGCACCTCAGGAGGAGGCTTCTCTCAGCAATAGGTATGTGGGAGGGACCCCGAGTTTGCTGCCTCAAGGGGAATATACAGCGAGAAGCCCTAACTTGAAAGGAGGCCGGATTTCCTTGCAGTGGCTTGAATACAGGCTCGTCTTTCATCTCACAACATGAAGGGATGTCTGAATCCCCTGTGGAGACCTTAGAGAAAGCCCTAGGTCCCTGCCTCATTTTGACGGAATGCCTCACATCCCGCTGACACCTCGAGAGGCACGCGGAGTTCATTGCTTCAAAAGGTGACGATGCCTGACTCCTCTTGAATACTGATAGGAATCCCAAAATCCCTGTGGCTACTGGAAAGGGTCCTTGGGTGCCCTGCCTCACCTCGTGAAGCTCCCTTTTGCCCTGCCAAGCCTCGAAGAGATTCCTGAGGTGTCCCTCGTTACTAGACAGGAGTCCTGACGTCACTGAAGAAACTCGTGTCTTGAAGTGCCATCCCCGCCGTAAGTCGAGAACATACCCCAGGTCCCCGCCGCAACTCGAGAAAAACCATGAGACTTCCCCCTAGAGGCGAGATGAGGCCCCATTCCCCTGCAGGGCATGCAGAGCTATTCCGTGATCCCATTCAAACAAGTCAGGAGCTTCGACTTGCTTAATGGATCTCGAGACAGTCCCCAAGAACACTGTCACCAGTCTAGACGGACCCTGAGGTCACCCCAGCAAAGCAAAGCAGCTCCATGTGCCCCAAATCAACTCGAGATGAGGCCCGATTCCCCTGCATTGACTCCAGAGCCATTCCCCGTTCCCCATTCAACACGACCGGTGGCTCGACTTCCTTCAGGCAACTCCAGAGATGCCCCGAGAACACTGTCCCAAGTCTAGAGGAACACCAACTTCAGCACAGCAACTCGAGGAATGCTCCGTGTACCCCAAATCGTCTCGAGATGAGAGCTGATTCCCTGGCTTAGTCTCAATACGTATGCCAACTTTCCAGAAGCACCTCAGGAGGAGGCTTCTCTCAGCAATAGGTATGTGGGAGGGACCCCGAGTTTGCTGCCTCAAGGGGAATATACAGCGAGAAGCCCTAACTTGAAAGGAGGCCGGTTTTCCTTGCAGTGGCTTGAATACAGGCCCGTCTTTCATCTCACAACATGAAGGGATGTCTGAATCCCCTGTGGAGACCTTAGAGAAAGCCCTAGGTCCCTGCCTCATTTTGACGGAATGCCTCACATCCCGCTGACACCTCGAGAGGCACGCGGAGTTCATTGCTTCAAAAGGTGACGATGCCTGACTCCTCTTGAATACTGATAGGAATCCCAAAATCCCTGTGGCTACTGGAAAGGGTCCTTGGGTGCCCTGCCTCACCTCGAGAAGCGTCCCTTTTGCCCTGCCAAGCCTAGAAGAGATTCCTGAGGTGTCCCTCGTTACTAGACAGGACTCCTGACGTCACTGAAGAAACTCGTGTTTTGAAGGGCCATCCCCGCCGTAAGTCGAGAACATACCCCAGGTCCCCGCCGCAACTCGAGAAAAACCATGAGACTTCCCCCTAGAGGCGAGATGAGGCCCCATTCCCCTGCAGTGCATGCAGAGCTATTCCGTGATCCCATTCAAACAAGTCAGGAGCTTCGACTTGCTTAATGGATCTCGAGACAGTCCCCAAGAACACTGTCACCAGTCTAGACGGACCATGAGGTCACCCCAGCAACGCAAAGCAGATCCATGTGCCCCAAATCAACTCGAGATGAGGCCCGATTCCGCTGCATTGACTCCAGAGCCATTCCCCGTTCCCCATTCAACACGACCGGTGGCTCGACTTCCTTCAGGCAACTCCAGAGATGCCCCGAGAACACTGTCCCAAGTCTAGAGGAACACCAACTTCAGCACAGCAACTCGAGGAATGATCCGTGTACCCCAAATCGTCTCGAGATGAGAGCTGATTCCCTGGCTTAGGTTCAAGACGTATGGCAACTTTCCAGAAGCACCTCAGGAGGAGGCTTCTCTCAGCAATAGGTATGTGGGAGGGACACCGAGTTTGCTGCCTCAAGGGGAATATACAGCGAGAAGCCCTAACTTGAAACGAGGCCAGATTTCCTTGCAGTGGCTTGAATACAGGCTCGTCTTTCATTTCACAACATGAAGGGATGTCTGAATCCCCTGTGGAGACCTTAGAGAAAGCCCTAGGTCCCTGCCTCATTTTGACAGAATGCCTCACATCCCGCTGACACCTGGAGAGGCACGCGGAGTTCATTGCTTTAAAAGGTGACGATGCCTGACTCCTCTTGAATGCTGATAGGAATCCCAAAATCCCTGTGGCTACTGGAAAGGGTCCTTGGGTGCCCTGCCTCACCTCGAGAAGCGTCCCATTTGCCCTGCCAAGCCTCGAAGAGATTCCTGAGGTGTCCCTCGTTACTAGACAGGAGTCCTGACGTCACTGAAGAAACTCGTGTTCTGAAGGGCCAGCCCGCCGTAAGTCGAGAACATACCCCAGGCCCCGCCGCAACTCGAGAAAAACCATGAGACTTCCCCCTAGAGGCGAGATGAGGCCCCATTCCCGTGCAGTGCATGCAGAGCTATTCCGTGATCCCATTCAAACAAGTCAGGAGCTTCGACTTGCTTAATGGATCTCGAGACAGTCCCCAAGAACACTGTCACCAGTCCAGACGGACCCTGAGGTCACCCCAGCACTGCAAAGCAGCTCCATGTGCCCCAAATCAACTCGAGATGAGGCCCGATTCCCCTGCATTGACTCCAGAGCCATTCCCCGTTCCCCATTCAACACGACCGGTGGCTCGACTTCCTTCAGGCAACTCCAGAAATGCCCCGAGAACACTGTCCCAAGTCTAGAGGAACACCAACTTCAGCACAGCAACTCGAGGAATGCTCCGTGTACCCCAAATCGTCTTGAGATGAGAGCTGATTCCCTGGCTTAGGCTCAAGACGTATGCCAACTTCCCAGAAGCACCTCAGGAGGAGGCTTCTCTCAGCAATAGGTATGTGGGAGGGACCCCGAGTTTGCTGCCTCAAGGGGAATATACAGCGAGAAACCCTAACTTGAAAGGAGTCCGAATTTCCTTGCAGTGGCTTGAATACAGGCTCGTCTTTCATCTCACAACATGAAGGGATGTCTGAATCCCCTGTGGAGACCTTAGAGAAAGCCCTAGGTCCCTGCCTCATTTTGACGGAATGCCTCACATCCCGCTGACACCTCGAGAGGCACGCGGAGTTAATTGCTTCAAAAATGACGATGCCTGACTCCTCTTGAATACTGATAGGAATCCCAAAATCCCTGTGGCTACTGGAAAGGGTCCTTGGGTGCCCTGCCTCACTTCGAGAAGCATCCCTTTTGCCCTGGCAAGCCTGGAAGAGATTCCTGAGGTGTCCCTCGTTACTAGACAGGAGTCCTGACGTCACTAAAGAAACTCGTGTTTTGAAGGGCCATCCCCGCCGTAAGTCGAGAACATACCCCAGGTCCCCGCCGCAACTCGAGAAAAACCATGAGACTTCCCCCTAGAGGCGAGATGAGGCCCCATTCCCCTGCAGTGCATGCAGAGCTATTCCGTGATCCCATTCAAACAAGTCAGGAGCTTCGACTTGCTTAATGGATCTCGAGAGAGTCCCCAAGAACACTGTCACCAGTCTAGACGGACCCTGAGGTCACCCCAGCAACGCAAAGCAGCCCCATGTGGCCCAAATCAACTCGAGATGGGGCCCGATTCCCCTGCATTGACTCCAGAGCCATTCCTCGTTCCCCATTCAACACGACCGGTGGCTCGACTTCCTTCAGGAAACTCCAGAGATGCCCCAAGAACACTGTCCCAAAACTAGAGGAACACCAACTTCAGCACAGCAACTCGAGGAATGCTCCGTGTACCCCAAATCGTCTCGAGATGAGAGCTGATACCCTGGCTTAGGCTCAAGACGTATGCCAACTTTCCAGAAGCACCTCAGGTGTAGGCTTCTCTCAGCAATAGGTATGTGGGAGGGACCCCGAGTTTGCTGCCTCAAGGGGAATATACCGCGAGAAGCCCTAACTTGAAAGGAGGCCGGATTTCCTTGCAGTGGCTTGAATACAGGCTCGTCTTTCATCTCACAATATGGAGGGATGTCTGAATCCCCTGTGTAGACCTTAGAGAAAGCCCTAGGTCCCTGCCTCATTTTTACGGAATGCCTCACATCCCGCTGACACCTCGAGAGGCACGCGGAGTTCATTGCTTCAAAAGGTGACGATGCCTGACTCCTCTTGAATGCTGATAGGAATCCCAAAATCCCTGTGGCTACTGGAAAGGGTCCTTGGGTGCCCTGCCTCACCTCGAGAAGCGTCCCATTTGCCCTGCCAAGCCTCGAAGAGATTCCTGAGGTGTCCCTCGTTACTAGACAGGAGTCCTGACGTCACTGAAGAAACTCGTGTTCTGAAGGGCCAGCCCGCCGTAAGTCGAGAACATACCCCAGGTCACCGCCGCAACTCGAGAAAAACCATGAGACTTCCCCCTAGAGGCGAGATGAGGCCCCATTCCCCTGCAGTGCATGCAGAGCTATTCCGTGATCCCATTCAAACAAGGCAGGAGCTTCGACTTGCTTAATGGATCTCCAGACAGTCCCCAAGAACACTGTCACCAGTCCAGACGGACCCTGAGGTCACCCCAGCACTGCAAAGCAGCTCCATGTGCCCCAAATCAACTCGAGATGAGGCCCGATTCCCCTGCATTGACTCCAGAGCCATTCTCCGTTCCCCATTCAACACGACCGGTGGCTCGACTTCCTTCAGGCAACTCCAGAAATGCCCCGAGAACACTGTCCCAAGTCTAGAGGAACACCAACTTCAGCACAGCAACTCGAGGAATGCTCCGTGTACCCCAAATCGTCTCGAGATGAGAGCTGATTCCCTGGCTTAGGCTCAAGACGTATGCCAACTTCCCAGAAGCACCTCAGGAGGAGGCTTCTCTCAGCAATAGGTATGTGGGAGGGACCCCGAGTTTGCTGCCTCAAGGGGAATATACAGCGAGAAGCCCTAACTTGAAAGGAGTCCGAATTTCCTTGCAGTGGCTTGAATACAGGCTCGTCTTTCATCTCACAATATGAAGGGATGTCTGAATCCGCTGTGGAGACCTTAGAGAAAGCCCTAGGTCCCTGCCTCATTTTGACGGAATGCCTCACATCCCGCTGACACCTCGACAGGCACGCGGAGTTAATTGCTTCAAAAATGACGATGCCTGACTCCTCTTGAATACTGATAGGAATCCCAAAATCCCTGTGGCTACTGGAAAGGGTCCTTGGGTGCCCTGCCTCACATCGAGAAGCGTCCCTTTTGCCCTGCCAAGCCTCGAAGAGATTCCTGAAGTGTCCCTCGTTACTAGACAGGAGTCCTGACGTCACTGAAGAAACTCGTGTCTTGAAGGGCCATCCCCGCCATAAGTCGAGAACATACCCCAGGTCCCCGCCGCAACTCGAGAAAAACCATGAGACTTCCCCCTAGAGGCGAGATGAGGCCCCATTCCCCTGCAGTGCATGCAGAGCTATTCCGTGATCCCATTCAAACAAGTCAGGAGCTTCGACTTGCTTAATGGATGTCGAGACAGTCCCCAAGAACACTGTCACCAGTCTAGACGGACCCTGAGGTCACCCCAGCAACGCAAAGCAGCTCCATGTGCCCCAAATCAACACGATATGAGGCCCGATTCCCCTGCATTGACTCCAGAGCCATTCCCCGTTCCCCATTCAACACGACCGGTGGCTCGACTTCCTTCAGGCAACTCCAGAGATGCCCCGAGAAGACTGTCCCAAGTCTAGAGGAACACCAACTTCAGCACAGCAACTCGAGGAATGCTCCGTGTACCCCAAATCGTCTCGAGATGAGAGCTGATTCCCTGGCTTAGGCTCAAGACGTATGCCAACTTCCCAGAAGCACCTCAGGAGGAGGCTTCTCTCAGCAATAGGTATGTGGGAGGGACCCCGAGTTTGCTGCCTCAAGTGGAATATACAGCGAGAAGCCCTAACTTGAAAGGAGGCCGGATTTCCTTGCAGTGGCTTGAATACAGGCTCGTCTTTCATCTCACAACATGAAGGGATGTCTGAATCCCCTGTGGAGACCTTAGAGAAAGCCCTAGGTCCCTGCCTCATTTTGACGGAATGCCTCACATCCCGCTGACACCTCGAGAGGCACGCGGAGTTCATTGCTTCAAAAGGTGACGATGCCTGACTCCTCTTGAATACTGATAGGATTCCCAAAATCCCTGTGGCTACTGGAAAGGGTCCTTGGGTGCCCTGCCTCAACTCGAGAAGTGTCCCTTTTGCCCTGCCAAGCCTCGAAGAGATTCCTGAGGTGTCCCTCGTAACTAGACAGGAGGCCTGACGTCACTGAAGAAACTCTTGTCTTGAAGGGCCATCCCCGCCCTAAGTCGAGAACATAACCCAGGTCCCCGCCGCAACTCGAGAAAAACCATGAGACTTCCCCCTAGAGGCGAGATGAGGCCCCATTCCCCTGCAGTGCATGCAGAGCTATTCCGTGATCCCATTCAAACAAGTCAGGAGCTTCGACTTGCTTAATGGATCTCGAGACAGTCCCCAAGAACACTGTCACCAGTCTAGACGGACCCTGAGGTCACCCCAGCAACGCAAAGGAGCTCCATGTGCCCCAAATCAACTCGAGATGAGGCCCGATTCCGCTGCATTGACTCCAGAGCCATTCCCCGTTCCCCATTCAACACGACCGGTGGCTCGACTTCCTTCAGGCAACTCCAGAGATGCCCCGAGAACACTGTCCCAAGTCTAGAGGAACACCAACTTCAGCACAGCAACTCTAGGAATGCTCCGTATACCCCAAATCGTCTCGAGATGCGAGCTGATTCCCTGGCTTAGGCTCAAGACGTATGCCAACTTCCCAGAAGCACCTCAGGAGGAGGCTTCTCTCAGCAATAGGTATGTGGGAGGGACCCCGAGTTTGCTGCCTCAAGGGGAATATACAGCGAGAAGCCCTAACTTGAAAGGAGGCCGGATTTCCTTGCAGTGGCTTGAATACAGGCTGGTCTTTCATCTCACAACATGAAGGGATGTCTGAATCCCCTGTGGAGACCTTAGAGAAAGCCCTAGGTCCCTGCCTCATTTTGACGGAATGCCTCACATCCCGCTGACACCTCGAGAGGCACGCGGAGTTCATTGCTTCAAAAGGTGAGGATGCCTGACTCCTCTTGAATACTGATAGGAATCCCAAAATCCCTGTGGCTACTGGAAAGGGTCCTTGGGTGCCCTGCCTCACCTCGTGAAGCTCCCTTTTGCCCTGCCAAGCCTCGAAGAGATTCCTGAGGTGTCCCTCGTTACTAGACAGGAGTCCTGACGTCACTGAAGAAACTCGTGTCTTGAAGTGCCATCCCCGCCTTAAGTCGAGAACATACCCCAGGTCCCCGCCGCAACTCGAGAAAAACCATGAGACTTCCCCCTAGAGGCGAGATGAGGCCCCATTCCCCTGCAGGGCATGCAGAGCTATTCCGTGATCCCATTCAAACAAGTCAGGAGCTTCGACTTGCTTAATGGATCTCGAGACAGTCCCCAAGAACACTGTCACCAGTCTAGACGGACCCTGAGGTCACCCCAGCAAAGCAAAGCAGCTCCATGTGCCCCAAATCAACTCGAGATGAGGCCCGATTCCCCTGCATTGACTCCAGAGCCATTCCCCGTTCCCCATTCAACACGACCGGTGGCTCGACTTCCTTCAGGCAACTCCAGAGATGCCCCGAGAACACTGTCCCAAGTCTAGAGGAACACCAACTTCAGCACAGCAACTCGAGGAATGCTCCGTGTACCCCAAATCGTCTCGAGATGAGAGCTGATTCCCTGGCTTAGGCTCAAGACGTATGCCAACTTCCCAGAAGCACCTCAGGAGGAGGCTTCTCTCAGCAATAGGTATGTGGGAGGGACCCCGAGTTTGCTGCCTCAAGGGGAATATACAGCGAGAAGCCCTAACTTGAAAGGAGGCCGGATTTCCTTGCAGTGGCTTGAACACAGGCTCGTCTTTCATTTCACAACATGAAGGGATGTTTGAATCCCCTGTGTAGACCTTAGAGAAAGCCCTAGGTCCCTGCCTCATTTTGACGGAATGCCTCACATCCCGCTGACACCTCGAGAGGCACGCGGAGTTCATTGCTTCAAAAGGTGACGATGCCTGACTCCTCTTGAATACTGATAGGAATCCCAAAATCCCTGTGGCTACTGGAAAGGGTCCTTGGCTGCCCTGCCTCACCTCGAGAAGCGTCCCTTTTGCCCTGCCAAGCCTCGAAGAGATTCCTGAGGTGTCCCTCGTTACTAGACAGGAGTCCTGACGTCACTGAAGAAACTCGTGTCTGGAAGGGCCATCCCCGCCGTAAGTCGAGAACATACCCCAGGTCCCCGCCGCAACTCGAGAAAAACCATGAGACTTCCCCCTAGAGGCGAGATGAGGCCCCATTCCCCTGCAGTGCATGCAGAGCTATTCCGTGATCCCATTCATACAAGTCAGGAGCTTCGACTTGCTTAATGGATCTCGAGACAGTCCCCAAGAACACTGTCACCAGTCTAGACGGACCCTGAGGTCACCCCAGCAACGCAAAGCAGCTCCATGTGCCCCAAATCAACAAGAGATGAGGCCCGATTCCCCTGCATTGACTCCAGAGCCATTCCCCGTTCCCCATTCAACACGACCGGTGGCTCGATTTCCTTCAGGCAACTCCAGAGATGCCCCGAGAACACTGTCCCAAGTCTAGAGGAACACCAACTTCAGCACAGCAACTCGAGGAATGCTCCGTGTACCCCAAATCGTCTCGAGATGAGAGCTGATTCCCTGGCTTAGTCTCAAGACGTATGCCAACTTTCCAGAAGCACCTCAGGAGGAGGCTTCTCTCAGCAATAGGTATGTGGGAGGGACCCCGAGTTTGCTGCCTCAAGGGGAATATACAGCGAGAAGCCCTAACTTGAAAGGAGGCCGGATTTCCTTGCAGTGGCTTGAATACAGGCCCGTCTTTCATCTCACAACATGAAGGGATGTCTGAATCCCCTGTGGAGACCTTAGAGAAAGCCCTAGGTCCCTGCCTCATTTTGACGGAATGCCTCACATCCCGCTGACACCTCGAGAGGCACGCGGAGTTCATTGCTTCAAAAGGTGACGATGCCTGACTCCTCTTGAATACTGATAGGAATCCCAAAATCCCTGTGGCTACTGGAAAGGGTCCTTGGGTGCCCTGCCTCACCTCGAGAAGCGTCCCTTTTGCCCTGCCAAGCCTCGAAGAGATTCCTGAGGTGTCCCTCGTTACTAGACAGGACTCCTGACGTCACTGAAGAAACTCGTGTTTTGAAGGGCCATCCCCGCCGTAAGTCGAGAACATACCCCAGGTCCCCGCCGCAACTCGAGAAAAACCATGAGACTTCCCCCTAGAGGCGAGATGAGGCCCCATTCCCCTGCAGTGCATGCAGAGCTATTCCGTGATCCCATTCAAACAAGTCAGGAGCTTCGACTTGCTTAATGGATCTCGAGACAGTCCCCAAGAACACTGTCACCAGTCTAGACGGACCATGAGGTCACCCCAGCAACGCAAAGCAGATCCATGTGCCCCAAATCAACTCGAGATGAGGCCCGATTCCGCTGCATTGACTCCAGAGCCATTCCCCGTTCCCCATTCAACACGACCGGTGGCTCGACTTCCTTCAGGCAACTCCAGAGATGCCCCGAGAACACTGTCCCAAGTCTAGAGGAACACCAACTTCAGCACAGCAACTCGAGGAATGATCCGTGTACCCCAAATCGTCTCGAGATGAGAGCTGATTCCCTGGCTTAGGTTCAAGACGTATGGCAACTTTCCAGAAGCACCTCAGGAGGAGGCTTCTCTCAGCAATAGGTATGTGGGAGGGACACCGAGTTTGCTGCCTCAAGGGGAATATACAGCGAGAAGCCCTAACTTGAAACGAGGCCAGATTTCCTTGCAGTGGCTTGAATACAGGCTCGTCTTTCATTTCACAACATGAAGGGGTGTCTGAATCCCCTGTGGAGACCTTAGAGAAAGCCCTAGGTCCCTGCCTCATTTTGACAGAATGCCTCACATCCCGATGACACCTCGAGAGGCACGCGGAGTTAATTGCTTCAAAAATGACGATGCCTGACTCCTCTTGAATACTGATAGGAATCCCAAAATCCCTGTGGGTACTGGAAAGGGTCCTTGGGTGCCCTGCCTCACTTCGAGAAGCATCCCTTTTGCCCTGGCAAGCCTGGAAGAGATTCCTGAGGTGTCCCTCGTTACTAGACAGGAGTCCTGACGTCACTAAAGAAACTCGTGTTTTGAAGGGCCATCCCCGCCGTAAGTCGAGAACATACCCCAGGTCCCCGCCGCAACTCGAGAAAAACCATGAGACTTCCCCCTAGAGGCGAGATGAGGCCCCATTCCCCTGCAGTGCATGCAGAGCTATTCCGTGATCCCATTCAAACAAGTCAGGAGCTTCGACTTGCTTAATGGATCTCGAGAGAGTCCCCAAGAACACTGTCACCAGTCTAGACGGACCCTGAGGTCACCCCAGCAACGCAAAGCAGCTCCATGTGGCCCAAATCAACTCGAGATGGGGCCCGATTCCCCTGCATTGACTCCAGAGCCATTCCTCGTTCCCCATTCAACACGACCGGTGGCTCGACTTCCTTCAGGAAACTCCAGAGATGCCCCAAGAACACTGTCCCAAAACTAGAGGAACACCAACTTCAGCACAGCAACTCGAGGAATGCTCCGTGTACCCCAAATCGTCTCGAGATGAGAGCTGATACCCTGGCTTAGGCTCAAGACGTATGCCAACTTTCCAGAAGCACCTCAGGAGTAGGCTTCTCTCAGCAATAGGTATGTGGGAGGGACCCCGAGTTTGCTGCCTCAAGGGGAATATACCGCGAGAAGCCCTAACTTGAAAGGAGGCCGGATTTCCTTGCAGTGGCTTGAATACAGGCTCGTCTTTCATCTCACAATATGGAGGGATGTCTGAATCCCCTGTGTAGACCTTAGAGAAAGCCCTAGGTCCCTGCCTCATTTTTACGGAATGCCTCACATCCCGCTGACACCTCGAGAGGCACGCGGAGTTCATTGATTTAAAAGGTGACGATGCCTGACTCCTCTTGAATGCTGATAGGAATCCCAAAATCCCTGTGGCTACTGGAAAGGGTCCTTGGGTGCTCTGCCTCACCTCTAGAAGCGTCCCTTTTGCCCTGCCAAGCCTCGAAGGGATTCCTGAGGTGTCCCTCGTTACTAGACAGGAGTCCTGACGTCACTGAAGAAACTCGTGTTTTGAAGGGCCATCCCCGCCGTAAGTCGAGAACATACCCCAGGTCGCTGCCGCAACTCGAGAAAAACCATGAGACTTCCCCCTAGAGGCGAGATGAGGCCCCATTCCCTGCAGTGCATGCAGAGCTATTCCGTGATCCCATTCAAACAAGTCAGGAGCTTCGACTTGCTTAATGGATCTCGAGACAGTCCCCAAGAACACTGTCACCAGTCTAGACGGACCCTGAGGTCACCCCAGCAACGCAAAGCAGCTCCATGTGCCCCAAATCAACTCGAGATGAGGCCCGATTCCCCTGCATTGACTCCAGAGCCATTCCCCGTTCCCCATTCAACACGACCGGTGGCTCGACTTCCTTCAGGCAACTCCAGAGATGCCCCGAGAAGACTCTCCCAAGTCTAGAGGAACACCAACTTCAGCACAGCAACTCGAAGAATGCTCCGTGTACCCCAAATCGTCTCGAGATGAGAGCTGATTCCCTGGCTTAGTCTCAAGACGTATGCCAACTTTCCAGAAGCACCTCAGGAGGAGGATTCTCTCAGCAATAGGTATGTGGGAGGGACCCCGAGTTTGCTGCCTCAAGGGGAATATACCGCGAGAAGCCCTAACTTGAAAGGAGGCCGGATTTCCTTGCAGTGGCTTGAATACAGGCTCGTCTTTCATCTCACAATATGGAGGGATGTCTGAATCCCCTGTGTAGACCTTAGAGAAAGCCCTAGGTCCCTGCCTCATTTTGACGGAATGCCTCACATCCCGCTGACACCTCGAGAGGCACGCGGAGTTCATTTCTTCAAAAGGTGACGATGCCTGACTCCTCTTGAATACTAATAGGAATCCCAAAATCCCTGTGGCTACTGGAAAGGGTCCTTGGGTGCCCTGCCTCACCTCGAGAAGCGTCCCTTTTGCCCTGCCAAGCCTCGAAGAGATTCCTGAGGTGTCCCTCGTTACTAGACAGGACTCCTGACGTCACTGAAGAAACTCGTGTTTTGAAGGGCCATCCCCGCCGTAAGTCGAGAACATACCCCAGGTCCCCGCCGCAACTCGAGAAAAACCATGAGACTTCCCCCTAGAGGCGAGATGAGGCCCCATTCCCCTGCAATGCATGCAGAGCTATTCCGTGATCCCATTCAAACAAGTCAGGAGCTTCGACATGCTTAATGGATCTCGAGACCGTCCCCAAGAACACTGTCACCAGTCTAGACGGACCATGAGGTCACCCCAGCAACGCAAAGCAGCTCCATGTGCCCCAAATCAACTCGAGATGAGGCCCGATTCCGCTGCATTGACTCCAGAGCCATTCCCCGTTCCCCATTCAACACGACCGGTGGCTCGACTTCCTTCAGGCAACTCCAGAGATGCCCCGAGAACACTGTCCCAAGTCTAGAGGAACACCAACTTCAGCACAGCAACTCTAGGAATGCTCCGTGTACCCCAAATCGTCTCGAGATGCGAGCTGATTCCCTGGCTTAGGCTCAAGACGTATGCCAACTTCCCAGAAGCACCTCAGGAGGAGGCTTCTCTCAGCAATAGGTATGTGGGAGGGACCCCGAGTTTGCTGCCTCAAGGGGAATATACAGCGAGAAGCCCTAACTTGAAAGGAGGCCGGATTTCCTTGCAGTGGCTTGAATACAGGCTCGTCTTTCATCTCACAACATGAAGGGATGTCTGAATCCCCTGTGGAGACCTTAGAGAAAGCCCTAGGTCCCTGCCTCATTTTGACGGAATGCCTCACATCCCGCTGACACCTCGAGAGGCACGCGGAGTTCATTGCTTCAAAAGGTGACGATGCCTGACTCCTCTTGAATACTGATAGGAATCCCAAAATCCCTGTGGCTACTGGAAAGGGTCCTTGGGTGCCCTGCCTCACCTCGTGAAGCTCCCTTTTGCCCTGCCAAGCCTCGAAGAGATTCCTGAGGTGTCCCTCGTTACTAGACAGGAGTCCTGACGTCACTGAAGAAACTCGTGTCTTGAAGTGCCATCCCCGCCGTAAGTCGAGAACATACCCCAGGTCCCCGCCGCAACTCGAGAAAAACCATGAGACTTCCCCCTAGAGGCGAGATGAGGCCCCATTCCCCTGCAGGGCATGCAGAGCTATTCCGTGATCCCATTCAAACAAGTCAGGAGCTTCGACTTGCTTAATGGATCTCGAGACAGTCCCCAAGAACACTGTCACCAGTCTAGACGGACCCTGAGGTCACCCCAGCAAAGCAAAGCAGCTCCATGTGCCCCAAATCAACTCGAGATGAGGCCCGATTCCCCTGCATTGACTCCAGAGCCATTCCCCGTTCCCCATTCAACACGACCGGTGGCTCGACTTCCTTCAGGCAACTCCAGAGATGCCCCGAGAACACTGTCCCAAGTCTAGAGGAACACCAACTTCAGCACAGCAACTCGAGGAATGCTCCGTGTACCCCAAATCGTCTCGAGATGAGAGCTGATTCCCTGGCTTAGTCTCAATACGTATGCCAACTTTCCAGAAGCACCTCAGGAGGAGGCTTCTCTCAGCAATAGGTATGTGGGAGGGACCCCGAGTTTGCTGCCTCAAGGGGAATATACAGCGAGAAGCCCTAACTTGAAAGGAGGCCGGTTTTCCTTGCAGTGGCTTGAATACAGGCCCGTCTTTCATCTCACAACATGAAGGGATGTCTGAATCCCCTGTGGAGACCTTAGAGAAAGCCCTAGGTCCCTGCCTCATTTTGACGGAATGCCTCACATCCCGCTGACACCTCGAGAGGCACGCGGAGTTCATTGCTTCAAAAGGTGACGATGCCTGACTCCTCTTGAATACTGATAGGAATCCCAAAATCCCTGTGGCTACTGGAAAGGGTCCTTGGGTGCCCTGCCTCACCTCGAGAAGCGTCCCTTTTGCCCTGCCAAGCCTCGAAGAGATTCCTGAGGTGTCCCTCGTTACTAGACAGGACTCCTGACGTCACTGAAGAAACTCGTGTTTTGAAGGGCCATCCCCGCCGTAAGTCGAGAACATACCCCAGGTCCCCGCCGCAACTCGAGAAAAACCATGAGACTTCCCCCTAGAGGCGAGATGAGGCCCCATTCCCCTGCAGTGCATGCAGAGCTATTCCGTGATCCCATTCAAACAAGTCAGGAGCTTCGACTTGCTTAATGGATCTCGAGACAGTCCCCAAGAACACTGTCACCAGTCTAGACGGACCATGAGGTCACCCCAGCAACGCAAAGCAGATCCATGTGCCCCAAATCAACTCGAGATGAGGCCCGATTCCGCTGCATTGACTCCAGAGCCATTCCCCGTTCCCCATTCAACACGACCGGTGGCTCGACTTCCTTCAGGCAACTCCAGAGATGCCCCGAGAACACTGTCCCAAGTCTAGAGGAACACCAACTTCAGCACAGCAACTCGAGGAATGATCCGTGTACCCCAAATCGTCTCGAGATGAGAGCTGATTCCCTGGCTTAGGTTCAAGACGTATGGCAACTTTCCAGAAGCACCTCAGGAGGAGGCTTCTCTCAGCAATAGGTATGTGGGAGGGACACCGAGTTTGCTGCCTCAAGGGGAATATACAGCGAGAAGCCCTAACTTGAAACGAGGCCAGATTTCCTTGCAGTGGCTTGAATACAGGCTCGTCTTTCATTTCACAACATGAAGGGATGTCTGAATCCCCTGTGGAGACCTTAGAGAAAGCCCTAGGTCCCTGCCTCATTTTGACAGAATGCCTCACATCCCGCTGACACCTGGAGAGGCACGCGGAGTTCATTGCTTTAAAAGGTGACGATGCCTGACTCCTCTTGAATGCTGATAGGAATCCCAAAATCCCTGTGGCTACTGGAAAGGGTCCTTGGGTGCCCTGCCTCACCTCGAGAAGCGTCCCATTTGCCCTGCCAAGCCTCGAAGAGATTCCTGAGGTGTCCCTCGTTACTAGACAGGAGTCCTGACGTCACTGAAGAAACTCGTGTTCTGAAGGGCCAGCCCGCCGTAAGTCGAGAACATACCCCAGGCCCCGCCGCAACTCGAGAAAAACCATGAGACTTCCCCCTAGAGGCGAGATGAGGCCCCATTCCCGTGCAGTGCATGCAGAGCTATTCCGTGATCCCATTCAAACAAGTCAGGAGCTTCGACTTGCTTAATGGATCTCGAGACAGTCCCCAAGAACACTGTCACCAGTCCAGACGGACCCTGAGGTCACCCCAGCACTGCAAAGCAGCTCCATGTGCCCCAAATCAACTCGAGATGAGGCCCGATTCCCCTGCATTGACTCCAGAGCCATTCCCCGTTCCCCATTCAACACGACCGGTGGCTCGACTTCCTTCAGGCAACTCCAGAAATGCCCCGAGAACACTGTCCCAAGTCTAGAGGAACACCAACTTCAGCACAGCAACTCGAGGAATGCTCCGTGTACCCCAAATCGTCTTGAGATGAGAGCTGATTCCCTGGCTTAGGCTCAAGACGTATGCCAACTTCCCAGAAGCACCTCAGGAGGAGGCTTCTCTCAGCAATAGGTATGTGGGAGGGACCCCGAGTTTGCTGCCTCAAGGGGAATATACAGCGAGAAACCCTAACTTGAAAGGAGTCCGAATTTCCTTGCAGTGGCTTGAATACAGGCTCGTCTTTCATCTCACAACATGAAGGGATGTCTGAATCCCCTGTGGAGACCTTAGAGAAAGCCCTAGGTCCCTGCCTCATTTTGACGGAATGCCTCACATCCCGCTGACACCTCGAGAGGCACGCGGAGTTAATTGCTTCAAAAATGACGATGCCTGACTCCTCTTGAATACTGATAGGAATCCCAAAATCCCTGTGGCTACTGGAAAGGGTCCTTGGGTGCCCTGCCTCACTTCGAGAAGCATCCCTTTTGCCCTGGCAAGCCTGGAAGAGATTCCTGAGGTGTCCCTCGTTACTAGACAGGAGTCCTGACGTCACTAAAGAAACTCGTGTTTTGAAGGGCCATCCCCGCCGTAAGTCGAGAACATACCCCAGGTCCCCGCCGCAACTCGAGAAAAACCATGAGACTTCCCCCTAGAGGCGAGATGAGGCCCCATTCCCCTGCAGTGCATGCAGAGCTATTCCGTGATCCCATTCAAACAAGTCAGGAGCTTCGACTTGCTTAATGGATCTCGAGAGAGTCCCCAAGAACACTGTCACCAGTCTAGACGGACCCTGAGGTCACCCCAGCAACGCAAAGCAGCCCCATGTGGCCCAAATCAACTCGAGATGGGGCCCGATTCCCCTGCATTGACTCCAGAGCCATTCCTCGTTCCCCATTCAACACGACCGGTGGCTCGACTTCCTTCAGGAAACTCCAGAGATGCCCCAAGAACACTGTCCCAAAACTAGAGGAACACCAACTTCAGCACAGCAACTCGAGGAATGCTCCGTGTACCCCAAATCGTCTCGAGATGAGAGCTGATACCCTGGCTTAGGCTCAAGACGTATGCCAACTTTCCAGAAGCACCTCAGGTGTAGGCTTCTCTCAGCAATAGGTATGTGGGAGGGACCCCGAGTTTGCTGCCTCAAGGGGAATATACCGCGAGAAGCCCTAACTTGAAAGGAGGCCGGATTTCCTTGCAGTGGCTTGAATACAGGCTCGTCTTTCATCTCACAATATGGAGGGATGTCTGAATCCCCTGTGTAGACCTTAGAGAAAGCCCTAGGTCCCTGCCTCATTTTTACGGAATGCCTCACATCCCGCTGACACCTCGAGAGGCACGCGGAGTTCATTGATTTAAAAGGTGACGATGCCTGACTCCTCTTGAATGCTGATAGGAATCCCAAAATCCCTGTGGCTACTGGAAAGGGTCCTTGGGTGCTCTGCCTCACCTCTAGAAGCGTCCCTTTTGCCCTGCCAAGCCTCGAAGTGATTCCTGAGGTGTCCCTCGTTACTAGACAGGAGTCCTGACGTCACTGAAGAAACTCGTGTTCTGAAGGGCCAGCCCCGCCGTAAGTCGAGAACATACCCCAGGTCCCCGCCGCAACTCGAGAAAAACCATGAGACTTCCCCCTAGAGGCGAGATGAGGCCCCATTCCCCTGCAGTGCATGCAGAGATATTCCGTGATCCCATTCAAACAAGTCAGGAGCTTCGACTTGCTTAATGGGTTTCGAGACAGTCCCCAAGAACACTGTCACCAGTCTAGACGGACCCTGAGGTCACCCCAGCAACGCAAAGCAGCTCCATGTGCCCCAAATCAACTCGAGATGAGGCCCGTTTCCCCTGCATTGACTCCAGAGCCATTCCCCGTTCCCCATTCAACACGACCGGTGGCTCTACTTCCTTCAGGCAACTCCAGAGATGCCCTGAGAACACTGTCCCAAGTCTAGAGGAACACCAACTTCAGCACAGCAACTCGAGGAATGCTCCGTGTACCCCAAATCGTCTCGAGATGAGAGCTGGTTCCCTGGCTTAGGCTCAAGACGTATGCCAACTCCCCAGAAGCACCTCAGGAGGAGGCTTCTCTCAGCAATAGGTATGTGGGAGGGACCCCGAGTTTGCTGCCTCAAGGGGAATATACAGCGAGAAGCCCTAACTTGAAAGGAGGCCGGATTTCCTTGCAGTGGCTTGAATACAGGCTCGTCTTTCATCTCACAACATGAAGGGATGTCTGAATGCCCTGTGGAGACCTTAGAGAAAGCCCTAGGTCCCTGCCTCATTTTGACGGAATGCCTCACATCCCGCTGACATATCGAGAGGCACGCGGAGTTCATTGCTTCAAAAGGTGACGATGCCTGACTCCTCTTGAATACTGATAGGAATCCCAAAAATCCTGTGGCTACTGGAAAGGGTCCTTGGGTGCCCTGCCTCACCTCGAGAAGCGTCCCTTTTGCCCTGCCAAGCCTCGAAGAGATTCCTGAGGTGTCCGTCGTTACTAGACAGGACTCCTGACGTCACTGAAGAAACTCGTGTTTTGAAGGGCCATCCCCGCCGTAAGTCGAGAACATACCCCAGGTCGCTGCCGCAACTCGAGAAAAACCATGAGACTTCCCCCTAGAGGCGAGATGAGGCCCCATTCCCTGCAGTGCATGCAGAGCTATTCCGTGATCCCATTCAAACAAGTCAGGAGCTTCGACTTGCTTAATGGATCTCGAGACAGTCCCCAAGAACACTGTCACCAGTCTAGACGGACCATGAGGTCACCCCAGCAACGCAAAGCAGCTCCATGTGCCCCAAATCAACTCGAGATGAGGCCCGATTCCGCTGCATTGACTCCAGAGCCATTCCCCGTTCCCCATTCAACACGACCGGTGGCTCGACTTCCTTCAGGCAACTCCAGAGATGCCCTGAGAACACTGTCCCAAGTCTAGAGGAACACCAACTTCAGCACAGCAACTCGAGGAATGCTCCGTGTACCCCAAATCGTCTCGAGATGAGAGCTGGTTCCCTGGCTTAGGCTCAAGACATATGCCAACTCCCCAGAAGCACCTCAGGAGGAGGCTTCTCTCAGCAATAGGTATGTGGGAGGGAACCCGAGTTTGCTGCCTCAAGGGGAATATACAGCGAGAAGCCCTAACTTGAAAGGAGGCCGGATTTCCTTGCAGTGGCTTGAATACAGGCTCGTCTTTCATCTCACAACATGAAGGGATGTCTGAATGCCCTGTGGAGACCTTAGAGAAAGCCCTAGGTCCCTGCCTCATTTTGACGGAATGCCTCTCATCCCGCTGACACCTCGAGAGGCACGCGGAGTTCATTGCTTTAAAAGGTGACGATGCCTGACTCCTCTTGAATGCTGATAGGAATCCCAAAATCCCTGTGGCTACTGGAAAGGGTCCTTGGGTGCCCTGCCTCACCTCAAGAAGCGTCCCATTTGCCCTGCCAAGCCTCGAAGAGATTCCTGAGGTGTCCCTCGTTACTAGACAGGAGTCCTGACGTCCCTGAAGAAACTCGTGTTCTGAAGGGCCAGCCCGCCGTAAGTCGAGAACATACCCCAGGTCCCCGCCGCAACTCGAGAAAAACCATGAGACTTCCCCCTAGAGGCGAGATGAGGCCCCATTCCCCTGCAGTGCATGCAGAGCTATTCCGTGATCCCATTCAAACAAGTCAGGAGCTTCGACTTGCTTAATGGATCTCCAGACAGTCCCCAAGAACACTGTCACCAGTCCAGACGGACCCTGAGGTCACCCCAGCACTGCAAAGCAGCTCCATGTGCCCCAAATCAACTCGAGATGAGGCCCGATTCCCCTGCATTGACTCCAGAGCCATTCCCCGTTCCCCATTCAACACGACCGGTGGCTCGACTTCCTTCAGGCAACTCCAGAAATGCCCCGAGAACACTGTCCCAAGTCTAGAGGAACACCAACTTCAGCACAGCAACTCGAGGAATGCTCCGTGTACCCCAAATCGTCTCGAGATGAGAGCTGATTCCCTGGCTTAGGCTCAAGACGTATGCCAACTTCCCAGAAGCACCTCAGGAGGAGGCTTCTCTCAGCAATAGGTATGTTGGAGGGACCCCGAGTTTGCTGCCTCAAGGGGAATATACAGCGAGAAGCCCTAACTTGAAAGGAGTCCGAATTTCCTTGCAGTGGCTTGAATACAGGCTCGTCTTTCATCTCACAACATGAAGGGATGTCTGAATCCCCTGTGGAGACCTTAGAGAAAGCCCTAGGTCCCTGCCTCATTTTGACGGAATGCCTCACATCCCCCTGACACCTCGAGAGGCACGCGGAGTTAATTGCTTCAAAAATGACGATGCCTGACTCCTCTTGAATACTGATAGGAATCCCAAAATCCCTGTGGCTACTGGAAAGGGTCCTTGGGTGCCCTGCCTCACCTCGAGAAGCATCCCTTTTGCCCTGGCAAGGCTGGAAGAGATTCCTGAGGTGTCCCTCGTTACTAGACAGGAGTCCTGATGTCACTGAAGAAACTCGTGGTTTGAAGGGCCATCCCCGCCGTAAGTCGAGGACATAGCCCAGGTCCCCATCGCAAGTCGAGAAAAACCATGAGACTTCCCCCTAGAGGGGAGATGAGGCCCCATTCCCCTGCAATGCATGCAGAGCTATTCCGTGATCCCATTCAAACAAGTCAGGAGCTTCGACTTGCTTAATGGATCTCGAGACAGTCCCCAAGAACACTGTCACCAGTCGAGACGGATCATGAGGTCACCCCAGCAACGCAAAGCAGTTCCATGTGCCCCAAATCAACTCGAGATGAGGCCCGATTCCGCTGCATTGACTCCAGAGCCATTCCCCGTTCCCCATTCAACACGACCGGTGGCTCGACTTCCTTCACGCAACTCCAGAGATGCCCTGAAAACACTGTCCCAAGTCTAGAGGAAAAACCACTTCAGAACAGCAACTCGAGGAATGATCCGTGTACCCCAAATCGTCTCGAGATGAGAGCTGATTCCCTGGCTTAGGCTCAAGACGTATGCCAACTTTCCAGAAGCACCTCAGGAGGAGGCTTCTCTCAGCAATAGGTATGTGGGAGGGACACCGAGTTTGCTGCCTCAAGGGGAATATACAGCGAGAAGCCCTAACTTGAAACGAGGCCAGATTTCCTTGCAGTGGCTTGAATACAGACTCGTCTTTCATCTCACAACATGAAGGGATGTCTGAATCCCCTGTGGAGACCTTAGAGAAAGCCCTAGGTCCCTGCCTCATTTTTACGGAATGCCTCACATCCCCTGACACCTCGAGAGGCACGCGGAGTTCATTGATTTAAAAGGTGACGATGCCTGACGCCTCTTGAATGCTGATAGGAATCCCAAAATCCCTGTGGCTACTGGAAAGGGTCCTTGGGTGCCCTGTCTCACCTCGAGAAGCGTCCCTTTTGCCCTGCCAAGCCTCGAAGAGATTCCTGAGGTGTCCCTCGTTACTAGACAGGAGTCCTGACGTCACTGAAGAAACTCGTGTTCTGAAGGGCCAGCCCCGCCGTAAGTCGAGATCATACCCCAGGTCCCCACCGCAACTCGAGAAAAACCATGAAACTTCCCCCTAGAGGGGAGATGAGGCCCCATTCCTCTGCAATGCATGCAGAGCTATTCCGTGATCCCATTCAAACAAGTCAGGAGCTTCGACTTGCTTAATGGATCTCGAGACAGTCCCCAAGAACACTGTCACCAGTCGAGACGGACCATGAGGTCACCCCAGCAACGCAAAGCAGCTCCATGTGCCCCAAATCAACTCGAGATGAGGCCCGTTTCCCCTGCATTGACTCCAGAGCCATTCCCCGTTCCCCATTCAACACGACCGGTGGCTCGACTTCCTTCAGGCAACTCCAGAGATGCCCTGAGAACACTGTCCCAAGTCTAGAGGAACACCAACTTCAGCACAGCAACTCGAGGAATGCTCCGTGTACCCCAAATGGTCTCGAGATGAGAGCTGATTCCCTGGCTTAGGCTCAAGACGTATGCCAACTCCCCAGAAGCACCTCAGGAGGAGGCTTCTCTCAGCAATAGGTATGTGGGAGGGACCCCGAGTTTGCTGCCTCAAGGGGAATATACAGCGAGAAGCCCTAACTTGAAAGGAGGCCGGATTTCCTTGCAGTGGCTTGAATACAGGCTCGTCTTTCATCTCACAACATGAAGGGATGTCTGAATGCCCTGTGGAGACCTTAGAGAAAGCCCTAGGTCCCTGCCTCATTTTGACGGAATGCCTCACATCCCGCTGACACCTCGAGAGGCACGCGGAGTTCATTGCTTCAAAAGGTGACGATGCCTGACTCCTCTTGAATACTGATAGGAATCCCAAAAATCCTGTGGCTACTGGAAAGGGTCCTTGGGTGCCCTGCCTCACCTCGAGAAGCGTCCCTTTTGCCCTGCCAAGCCTCGAAGAGATTCCTGAGGTGCCCCTCGTTACTAGACAGGAGTCCTGACGTCACTGAAGAAACTCGTGTTTTGAAGGGCCATCCCCGCCGTAAGTCGAGAACATACCCCAGGTCGCTGCCGCAACTCGAGAAAAACCATGAGACTTCCCCCTAGAGGCGAGATGAGGCCCCATTCCCCTGCAGTGCATGCAGAGCTATTCCGTGATCCCATTCAAACAAGTCAGGAGCTTCGACTTGCTTAATGGATCTCGACACAGTCCCCAAGAACACTGTCACCAGTCTAGACGGACCCTGAGGTCACCCCAGCAACGCAAAGCAGCTCCATGTGCCCCAAATCAACTCGAGATGAGGCCCGATTCCGCTGCATTGACTCCAGAGCCATTCCCCGTTCCCCATTCAACACGACCGGTGGCTCGACTTCCTTCAGGCAACTCCAGAGATGCCCCGAGAACACTGTCCCAAGTCTAGAGGAACACCAACTTCAGCACAGCAACTCGAGGAATGATCCGTGTACCCCAAATCGTCTCGAGATGAGAGCTGATTCCCTGGCTTAGGTTCAAGACGTATGCCAACTTTCCAGAAGCACCTCAGGAGGAGGCTTCTCTCAGCAATAGGTATGTGGGAGGGACACCGAGTTTGCTGCCTCAAGGGGAATATACAGCGAGAAGCCCTAACTTGAAACGAGGCCAGATTTCCTTGCAGTGGCTTGAATACAGGCTCGTCTTTCATCTCACAACATGAAGGGATGTCTGAATCCCCTGTGGAGACCTTAGAGAAAGCCGTAGGTCCCTGCCTCATTTTTACGGAATGCCTCACATCCCGCTGACACCTCGAGAGGCACGCGGAGTTCATTGCTTTAAAAGGTGACGATGCCTGACTCCTCTTGAATGCTGGTAGGAATCCCAAAATCCCTGTGGCTACTGGAAAGGGTCCTTGGGTGCCCTGCCTCACCTCGAGAAGCGTCCCATTTGCCCTGCCAAGCCTCGAAGAGATTCCTGAGGTGTCCCTCGTTACTAGACAGGAGTCCTGACGTCACTGAAGAAACTCGTGTTCTGAAGGGCCAGCCCCGCCGTAAGTCGAGAACATACCCCAGGTCCCCGCCGCAACTCGAGAAAAACCATGAGACTTCCCCCTAGAGGCGAGATGAGGCCCCATTCCCGTGCAGTGCATGCAGAGCTATTCCGTGATCCCATTCAAACAAGTCAGGAGCTTCGACTTGTTAATGGATCTCGAGAGAGTCCCCAAGAACACTGTCACCAGTCCAGACGGACCCTGAGGTCACCCCAGCACCGCAAAGCAGCTCCATGTGCCCCAAATCAACTCGAGATGAGGCCCGATTCCCCTGCATTGACTCCAGAGCCATTCCCCGTTCCACATTCAACACGACCGGTGGCTCGACTTCCTTCAGGCAACTCCAGAAATGCCCCGAGAACACTGTCCCAAGTCTAGAGGAACACCAACTCCAGCACAGCAACTCGAGGAATGCTCCGTGTACCCAAAATCGTCTCGAGATGAGAGCTGATTCCCTGGCTTAGGCTCAAGACGTATGCCAACTTCCCAGAAGCAACTCAGGAGGAGGCTTCTCTCAGCAATAGGTATGTGGGAGGGACCCCGAGTTTGCTGCCTCAAGGGGAATATACAGCGAGAAGCCCTAACTTGAAAGGAGTCCGAATTTCCTTGCAGTGGCTTGAATACAGGCTCGTCTTTCATCTCACAACATGAAGGGATGTCTGAATCCCCTGTGGAGACCTTAGAGAAAGCCCTAGGTCCCTGCCTCATTTTGACGGAATGCCTCACATCCCGCTGACACCTCGAGAGGCACGCGGAGTTAATTGCTTCAAAAATGACGATGCCTGACTCCTCTTGAATACTGATAGGAATCCCAAAATCCCTGTGGCTACTGGAAAGGGTCCTTGGGTGCCCTGCCTCACCTCGAGAAGCATCCCTTTTGCCCTGGCAAGCCTCGAAGTGATTCCTGAGGTGTCCCTCGTTACTAGATAGGAGTCCTGACGTCACTGAAGAAACTCGTGTTTTGAAGGGCCATCCCCGCCGTAAGTCGAGAACATACCCCAGGTCCCCGCCGCAACTCGAGAAAAACCATGAGACTTCCCCCTAGAGGCGAGATGAGGCCCCATTCCCCTGCAGTGCATGCAGAGCTATTCCGTGACCCCTTCAAACAAGTCAGGAGCTTCGACTTGCTTAATGGATCTCGAGACAGTCCCCAAGAACACTGTCACCAGTCTAGACGGACCCTGAGGTCACCCCAGCAACGCAAAGCAGCTCCATGTGCCACAAATCAACTCGAGATGGGGCCCGATTCCCCTGCATTGTCTCCAGAGCCATTCCTCGTTCCCCATTCAACACGACCGGTGGCTCGACTTCCTTCAGGAAACTCCAGAGATGCCCAAAGAACACTGTCCCAAGTCTAGAGGAACACCAACTTCAGCACAGCAACTCGAGGAATGCTCCGTGTACCCCAAATCGTCTCGAGATGAGAGCTGATTCCCTGGCTTAGGCTCAAGACGTATGCCAACTTCCCAGAAGCACCTCAGGAGGAGGCTTCTCTCAGCAATAGTTATGTGGGAGGGACCCCGAGTTTGCTGCCTCAAGGGGAATATACCGCGAGAAGCCCTAACTTGAAAGGAGGCCGGATTTCCTTGCAGGGGCTTGAATACAGGCTCGTCTTTCATCTCACAACATGAAGGGTTGTCTGAATCCCCTGTGGAGACCTTAGAGAAAGCCCTAGGTCCCTGCCTCATTTTGACGGAATGCCTCACATCCCGCTGACACCTCGAGAGGCACGCGGAGTTCATTGCTTCAAAAGGTGACGATGCCTGACTCCTCTTGAATACTGATAGGAATCCCAAAATCCCTGTGGCTACTGGAAAGGGTCCTTGTGTGCCCTGCCTCACATCGAGAAGCATCGCTTTTGCCCTGCCAAGCCTCGAAGAGATTCCTGAGGTGTCCCTCGTTACTAGACAGGACTCCTGACGTCACTGAAGAAACTCGTGTTTTGAAGGGCCATCCCCGCCGTAAGTCGAGAACATACCCCAGGTCCCCGCCGCAACTCGAGAAAAACCATGAGACTTCCGCCTAGAGGCGAGATGAGGCCCCATTCCCCTGCAGTGCATGCAGAGCTATTCCGTGATCACATTCAAACAAGGCAGGAGCTTCGACTTGCTTAATGGATCTTGAGACAGTCCCCAAAAACACTGTCACCAGTCCAGAAGGACCCTGAGGTCACCCCAGCACCGCAAAGCAGTTCCATGTGCCCCAAATCAACTCGAGATGAGGCCCGATTCCCCTGCATTGACTCCAGAGCCATTCCCCGTTCCCCATTCAACACGACCGGTGGCTCGACTTCCTTCAGGCAACTCCAGAGATGCCCCGAGAACACTGTCCCAAGTCTAGAGGAACACCAACTTCAGCACAGCAACTCGAGGAATGATCCGTGTACCCCAAATCGTCTCGAGATGAGAGCTGATTCCCTGGCTAAGGTTCAAGACGTATGCCAACTTTCCAGAAGCACCTCAGGAGGAGGCTTCTCTCAGCAATAGGTATGTGGGAGGGACACTGAGTTTGCTGCCTCAAGGGGAATATACAGCGAGAAGCCCTAACTTGAAACGAGGCCAGATTTCCTTGCAGTGGCTTGAATACAGGCTCTTCTTTCATCTCATAACATGAAGGGATGTCTGAATCCCCTGTGGAGACCTTAGAGAAAGCCCTAGGTCCCTGCCTCATTTTGACGGAATGCCTCACATCCCGCTGACACCTCGAGAGGCACGCGGAGTTCATTGCTTCAAAAGGTGACGATGCCTAACTCCTCTTGAATACTGATAGGAATCCCAAAATCCCTGTGGCTACTGGAAAGGGTCCTTGTGTGCCCTGCCTCACCTCGAGAAGCGTCCCTTTTGCCCTGCCAAGCCTCGAAGAGATTCCTGAGGTGTCCCACGTTACTAGACAGGAGTCCTGACGTCACTGAAGAAACTCGTGTTTTGAAGGGCCATCCCCGCCGTAAGTCGAGAACATACCCCAGGTCCCTGCCGCAACTCGAGAAAAACCATGAGACTTCCCCCTGGAGGCGAGATGAGGCCCCATTCCCCTGCAGTGCATGCAGAGCTATTCCGTGATCCCATTCAAACAAGTCAGGAGCTTCGACTTGCTTAATGGATCTCGAGACAGTCCCCAAGAACACTGTCACCAGTCTAGACGGACCCTGAGGTCACCCCAGCAAAGCAAAGCAGCTCCATGTGCCCCAAATCAACTCGAGATGGGCCCGATTCCCCTGCATTGACTCCAGAGCCATTCCCCGTTCCCCATTCAACACGACCGGTGGCTCGACTTCCTTCAGGCAACTCCAGAGATGCCCCGAGAACACTGTCCCAAGTCTAGAGGAACACCAACTTCAGCACAGCAACTCGAAGAATGCTCCGTGTACCCCAAATCGTCTCGAGATGAGAGCTGATTCCCTGGCTTAGGCTCAAGACGTATGCCAACTTTCCAGAAGCACCTCAGGAGGAGGCTTCTCTCAGCAATAGGTATGTGGGAGGGACCCCGAGTTTGCTGCCTCAAGGGGAATATACCGTGAGAAGCCCTAACTTGAAAGGAGGCCGGATTTCCTTGCAGTGGCTTGAATACAGGCTCGTCTTTCATCTCACAATATGGAGGGATGTCTGAATCCCCTGTGTAGACCTTAGAGAAAGCCCTAGGTCCCTGCCTCATTTTGACGGAATGCCTCACATCCCGCTGACACCTCGAGAGGCACGCGGAGTTCATTGCTTCAAAAGGTGACGATGCCTGACTCCTCTTGAATACTGATAGGAATCCCAAAATCCCTGTGGCTACTGGAAAGGGTCCTTGGGTGCCCTGCCTCACATCGAGAAGCATCGCTTTTGCCCTGCCAAGCCTCGAAGAGATTCCTGAGGTGTCCCTCGTTACTAGACAGGACTCCTGACGTCACTGAAGAAACACGTGTTTTGAAGGGCCATCCCCGCCGTAAGTCGAGAACATACCCCAGGTCCCCGCCGCAACTCGAGAAAAACCATGAGACTTCCCCCTAGAGGCGAGATGAGGCCCCATTCCCCTGCAGTGCATGCAGAGCTATTCCGTGATCCCATTCAAACAAGGCAGGAGCTTCGACTTGCTTAATGGATCTCGAGACAGTCCCCAAGAACACTGTCACCAGTCCAGACGGACCCTGAGGTCACCCCAGCAACGCAAAGCAGTTCCATGTGCCCCAAATCAACTCGAGATGAGGCCCGATTCCCCTGCATTGACTCCAGAGCCATTCCCCGTTCCCCATTCAACACGACCGGTGGTTCGACTTCCTTCAGGCAACTCCAGAGATGCCCCGAGAACACTGTCCCAAGTCTAGAGGAACACCAAGTTCAGCACAGCAACTCGAGGAATGATCCGTGTACCCCAAATCGTCTCGAGATGAGAGCTGATTCCCTGGCTAAGGTTGAAGACGTATGCCAACTTTCCAGAAGCACCTCAGGAGGAGGCTTCTCTCAGCAATAGGTATGTGGGAGGGACACCAAGTTTGCTGCCTCAAGGGGAATATACAGCGAGAAGCCCTAACTTGGAACGAGGCCAGATTTCCTTGCAGTGGCTTGAATACAGGATCGTCTTTCATCTCATAACATGAAGGGATGTCTGAATCCCCTGTGGAGACCTTAGAGAAAGCCCTAGGTCCCTGCCTCATTTTGACGGAATGCCTCACATCCCGCTGACACCTCGAGAGGCACGCGGAGTTCATTGCTTCAAAAGGTGACGATGCCTGACTCCTCTTGAATACTGATAGGAATCCCAAAATCCCTGTGGCTACTGGAAAGGGTCCTTGTGTGCCCTGCCTCACCTCGAGAAGCGTCCCTTTTGCCCTGCCAAGCCTCGAAGAGATACCTGAGGTGTCCCACGTTACTAGACAGGAGTCCTGACGTCACTGAAGAAACTCGTGTTTTGAAGGGCCATCCCCGCCGTAAGTCGAGAACATACCCCAGGTCCCTGCCGCAACTCGAGAAAAACCATGAGACTTCCCCCTGGAGTCGAGATGAGGCCCCATTCCCCTGCAGTGCATGCAGAGCTATTCCGTGATCCCATTCAAACAAGTCAGGAGCTTCGACTTGCTTAATGGATCTCGAGACAGTCCCCAAGAACACTGTCACCAGTCTAGACGGACCCTGAGGTCAACCCAGCAAAGCAAAGCAGCTCCATGTGCCCCAAATCAACTCGAGATGGGGCCCGATTCCCCTGCATTGACTCCAGAGCCATTCCCCGTTCCCCATTCAACACGACCGGTGGCTCGACTTCCTTCAGGCAACTCCAGAGATGCCCCGAGAACACTGTCCCAAGTCTAGAGGAACACCAACTTCAGCACAGCAACTCGAAGAATGCTCCGTGTACCCCAAATCGTCTCGAGATGAGAGCTGATTCCCTGGCTTAGGCTCAAGACGTATGCCAACTTTCCAGAAGCACCTCAGGAGGAGGCTTCTCTCAGCAATAGGTATGTGGGAGGGACCCCGAGTTTGCTGCCTCAAGGGGAATATAACGTGAGAAGCCCTAACTTGAAAGGAGGCCGGATTTCCTTGCAGTGGCTTGAATACAGGCTCGTCTTTCATCTCACAATATGGAGGGATGTCTGAATCCCCTGTGTAGACCTTAGAGAAAGCCCTAGGTCCCTGCCTCATTTTGTCGGATGCCTCACATCCCGCTGACACCTCGAGAGGCACGCGGAGTTCATTGCTTCAAAAGGTGACGATGCCTGACTCCTCTTGAATACTGATAGGAATCCCAAAATCCCTGTGGCTACTGGAAAGGGTCCTTGGGTGCCCTGCCTCACATCGAGAAGCATCGCTTTTGCCCTGCCAAGCCTCGAAGAGATTCCTGAGGTGTCCCTCGTTACTAGACAGGACTCCTGACGTCACTGAAGAAACTCGTGTTTTGAAGGGCCATCCCCGCCGTAAGTCGAGAACATACCCCAGGTCCCCGCCGCAACTCGAGAAAAACCATGAGACTTCCGCCTAGAGGCGAGATGAGGCCCCATTCCCCTGCAGTGCATGCAGAGCTATTCCGTGATCCCATTCAAACAAGGCAGGAGCTTCGACTTGCTTAATGGATCTTGAGACAGTCCCCAAGAACACTGTCACCAGTCCAGACGGACCCTGAGGTCACCCCAGCACCGCAAAGCAGTTCCATGTGCCCCAAATCAACTCGAGATGAGGCCCGATTCCCCTGCATTGACTCCAGAGCCATTCCCCGTTCCCCATTCAACACGACCGGTGGCTCGACTTCCTTCAGGCAACTCCAGAGATGCCCCGAGAACACTGTCCCAAGTCTAGAGGAACACCAACTTCAGCACAGCAACTCGAAGAATGCTCCGTGTACCCCAAATCGTCTCGAGATGAGAGCTGATTCCCTGGCTTAGGCTCAAGACGTATGCCAACTTTCCAGAAGCACCTCAGGAGGAGGCTTCTCTCAGCAATAGGTATGTGGGAGGGACCCGGAGTTTGCTGCCTCAAGGGGAATATAACGTGAGAAGCCCTAACTTGAAAGGAGGCCGGATTTCCTTGCAGTGGCTTGAATACAGGCTCGTCTTTCATCTCACAATATGGAGGGATGTCTGAATCCCCTGTGTAGACCTTAGAGAAAGCCCTAGGTCCCTGCCTCATTTTGTCGGAATGCCTCACATCCCGCTGACACCTCGAGAGGCACGCGGAGTTCATTGCTTCAAAAGGTGACGATGCCTGACTCCTCTTGAATACTGATAGGAATCCCAAAATCCCTGTGGCTACTGGAAAGGGTCCTTGGGTGCCCTGCCTCACATCGAGAAGCATCGCTTTTGCCCTGCCAAGCCTCGAAGAGATTCCTGAGGTGTCCCTCGTTACTAGACAGGACTCCTGACGTCACTGAAGAAACTCGTGTTTTGAAGGGCCATCCCCGCCGTAAGTCGAGAACATACCCCAGGTCCCCGCCGCAACTCGAGAAAAACCATGAGACTTCCGCCTAGAGGCGAGATGAGGCCCCATTCCCCTGCAGTGCATGCAGAGCTATTCCGTGATCCCATTCAAACAAGGCAGGAGCTTCGACTTGCTTAATGGATCTTGAGACAGTCCCCAAGAACACTGTCACCAGTCCAGACGGACCCTGAGGTCACCCCAGCACCGCAAAGCAGTTCCATGTGCCCCAAATCAACTCGAGATGAGGCCCGATTCCCCTGCATTGACTCCAGAGCCATTCCCCGTTCCCCATTCAACACGACCGGTGGCTCGACTTCCTTCAGGCAACTCCAGAGATGCCCCGAGAACACTGTCCCAAGTCTAGAGGAACACCAACTTCAGCACAGCAACTCGAGGAATGATCCGTGTACCCCAAATCGTCTCGAGATGAGAGCTGATTCCCTGGCTAAGGTTCAAGACGTATGCCAACTTTCCAGAAGCACCTCAGGAGGAGGCTTCTCTCAGCAATAGGTATGTGGGAGGGACACCGAGTTTGCTGCCTCAAGGGGAATATACAGCGAGAAGCCCTAACTTGAAACGAGGCCAGATTTCCTTGCAGTGGCTTGAATACAGGCTCGTCTTTCATCTCATAACATGAAGGGATGTCTGAATCCCCTGTGGAGACCTTAGAGAAAGCCCTAGGTCCCTGCCTCATTTTGACGGAATGCCTCACATCCCGCTGACACCTCGAGAGGCACGCGGAGTTCATTGCTTCAAAAGGTGACGATGCCTGACTCCTCTTGAATACTGATAGGAATCCCAAAATCCCTGTGGCTACTGGAAAGGGTCCTTGTGTGCCCTGCCTCACCTCGAGAAGCGTCCCTTTTGCCCTGCCAAGCCTCGAAGAGATTCCTGAAGTGTCCCACGTTACTAGACAGGAGTCCTGACGTCACTGAAGAAACTCGTGTTTTGAAGGGCCATCCCCGCCGTAAGTCGAGAACATACCCCAGGTCCCTGCCGCAACTCGAGAAAAACCATGAGACTTCCCCCTGGAGGCGAGATGAGGCCCCATTCCCCTGCAGTGCATGCAGAGCTATTCCGTGATCCCATTCAAACAAGTCAGGAGCTTCGACTTGCTTAATGGATCTCGAGACAGTCTCCAAGAACACTGTCACCAGTCCAGACGGACCCTGAGGTCACCCCAGCACCGCAAAGCAGTTCCATGTGCCCCTAATCAACTCGAGATGAGGCCCGATTCCCCTGCATTGACTCCAGAGCCATTCCCCGTTCCCCATTCAACACGACCGGTGGCTCGACTTCCTTCAGGCAACTCCAGAGATGCCCCGAGAACACTGTCCCAAGTCTAGAGGAACACCAACTTCAGCACAGCAACTCGAGGAATGATCCGTGTACCCCAAATCGTCTCGAGATGAGAGCTGATTCCCTGGCTTAGGCTCAAGACGTATGCCAACTTTCCAGAAGCACCTCAGGAGGAGGCTTCTCTCAGCAATAGGTATGTGGGAGGGACCCCGAGTTTGCTGCCTCAAGGGAATATACCGTGAGAAGCCCTAACTTGAAAGGAGGCCGGATTTCCTTGCAGTGGCTTGAATACAGGCTCGTCTTTCATCTCACAATATGGAGGGATGTCTGAATCCCCTGTGTAGACCTTAGAGAAAGCCCTAGGTCCCTGCCTCATTTTGTCGGAATGCCTCACATCCCGCTGACACCTCGAGAGGCATGCGGAGTTCATTGCTTCAAAAGGTGACGATGCCTGACTCCTCTTGAATACTGATAGGAATCCCAAAATCCCTGTGGCTACTGGAAAGGGTCCTTGGGTGCCCTGCCTCACATCGAGAAGCATCACTTTTGCCCTGCCAAGCCTCGAAGAGATTCCTGAGGTGTCCCTCGTTACTAGACAGGACTCCTGACGTCACTGAAGAAACTCGTGTTTTGAAGGGCCATCCCCGCCGTAAGTCGAGAACATACCCCAGGTCCCCGCCGCAACTCGAGAAAAACCATGAGACTTCCGCCTAGAGGCGAGATGAGGCCCCATTCCCCTGCAGTGCATGCAGAGCTATTCCGTGATCCCATTCAAACAAGGCAGGAGCTTCGACTTGCTTAATGGATCTTGAGACAGTCCCCAAGAACACTGTCACCAGTCCAGACGGACCCTGAGGTCACCCCAGCACCGCAAAGCAGTTCCATGTGCCCCAAATCAACTCGAGATGAGGCCCGATTCCCCTGCATTGACTCCAGAGCCATTCCCCGTTCCCCATTCAACACGACCGGTGGCTCGACTTCCTTCAGGCAACTCCAGAGATGCCCCGAGAACACTGTCCCAAGTCTAGAGGAACACCAACTTCAGCACAGCAACTCGAGGAATGATCCGTGTACCCCAAATCGTCTCGAGATGAGAGCTGATTCCCTGGCTAAGGTTCAAGACGTATGCCAACTTTCCAGAAGCACCTCAGGAGGAGGCTTCTCTCAGCAATAGGTATGTGGGAGGGACACCGAGTTTGCTGCCTCAAGGGGAATATACAGCGAGAAGCCCTAACTTGAAACGAGGCCAGATTTCCTTGCAGTGGCTTGAATACAGGCTCGTCTTTCATCTCATAACATGAAGGGATGTCTGAATCCCCTGTGGAGACCTTAGAGAAAGCCCTAGGTCCCTGCCTCATTTTGACGGAATGCCTCACATCCCGCTGACACCTCGAGAGGCACGCGGAGTTCATTGCTTCAAAAGGTGACGATGCCTGACTCCTCTTGAATACTGATAGGAATCCCAAAATCCCTGTGGCTACTGGAAAGGGTCCTTGTGTGCCCTGCCTCACCTCGAGAAGCGTCCCTTTTGCCCTGCCAAGCCTCGAAGAGATTCCTGAGGTGTCCCACGTTACTAGACAGGAGTCCTGACGTCACTGAAGAAACTCGTGTTTTGAAGGGCCATCCCCGCCGTAAGTCGAGAACATACCCCAGGTCCCTGCCGCAACTCGAGAAAAACCATGAGACTTCCCCCTGGAGGCGAGATGAGGCCCCATTCCCCTGCAGTGCATGCAGAGCTATTCCGTGATCCCATTCAAACAAGTCAGGAGCTTCGACTTGCTTAATGGATCTCGAGACAGTCCCCAAGAATACTGTCACCAGTCTAGACGGACCCTGAGGTCACCCCAGCAAAGCAAAGCAGCTCCATGTGCCCCAAATCAACTCGAGATGGGGCCCGATTCCCCTGCATTGACTCCAGAGCCATTTACCGTTCCCCATTCAACACGACCGGTAGCTCGACTTCCTTCAGGCAACTCCAGAGATGCCCCGAGAACACTGTCCCAAGTCTAGAGGAACACCAACTTCAGCACAGCAACTCGAAGAATGCTCCGTGTACCCCAAATCGTCTCGAGATGAGAGCTGATTCCCTGGCTTAGGCTCAAGACGTATGCCAACTTTCCAGAAGCACCTCAGGAGGAGGCTTCTCTCAGCAATAGGTATGTGGGAGGGACCCCGAGTTTGCTGCCTCAAGGGGAATATACAGCGAGAAGCCCTAACTTGAAAGGAGTCCGAATTTCCTTGCAGTGGCTTGAATACAGGCTCGTCTTTCATCTCACAACATGAAGGGATGTCTGAATCCCCTGTGGAGACCTTAGAGAAAGCCCTAGGTCCCTGCCTCATTTTGACGGAATGCCTCACATCCCGCTGACACCTCGAGAGGCACGCGGAGTTCATTGATTTAAAAGGTGACGATGCCTGACTCCTCTTGAATGCTGATAGGAATCCCAAAATCCCTGTGGCTACTGGAAAGGGTCCTTGTGTGCCATGCCTCACCTCGAGAAGCGTCCCTTTTGCCCTGCCAAGCCTCGAAGAGATTCCTGAGGTGTCCCACGTTACTAGACAGGACTCCTGACGTCACTGAAGAAACTCGTGTTTTGAAGGGCCATCCCCGCCGTAAGTCGAGAACATACCCCAGGTCCCTGCCGCAACTCGAGAAAAACCATGAGACTTCCCCCTGGAGGGGAGATGAGGCCCCATTCCCCTGCAGTGCATACAGAGCTATTCCGTGATCCCATTCAAACAAGTCAGGAGCTTCGACTTGCTTAATGGATCTCGAGACAGTCCCCAAGAACACTGTCACCAGTCTAGACGGACCCTGAGGTCACCCCAGCAAAGCAAAGCAGCTCCATGTGCCCCAAATCAACTCGAGATGGGTCCCGATTCCCCTGCATTGACTCCAGAGCCATTCCCCGTTCCCCATTCAACACGACCGGTGGCTAGACTTCCTTCAGGCAACTCCAGAGATGCCCCGAGAACACTGTCCCAAGTCTAGAGGAACACCAACTTCAGCACAGCAACTCGAAGAATGCTCCGTGTACCCCAAATCGTCTCGAGATGAGAGCTGATTCCCTGGCTTAGTCTCAAGACGTATGCCAACTTTCCAGAAGCACCTCAGGAGGAGGCTTCTCTCAGCAATAGGTATGTGGGAGGGACCCCGAGTTTGCTGCCTCAAGGGGAATATACCGCGAGAAGCCCTAACTTGAAAGGAGGCCGGATTTCCTTGCAGTGGCTTGAATACAGGCTCGTCTTTCATCTCACAATATGGAGGGATGTCTGAATCCCCTGTGTAGACCTTAGAGAAAGCCCTAGGTCCCTGCCTCATTTTGACGGAATGCCTCACATCCCGCTGACACCTCGAGAGGCACGCGGAGTTCATTGCTTCAAAAGGTGACGATGCCTGACTCCTCTTGAATACTGATAGGAATCCCAAAATCCCTGTGGCTACTGGAAAGGGTCCTTGGGTCCCTGCCTCACATCGAGAAGCATCGCTTTTGCCCTGCCAAGCCTCGAAGAGATTCCGGAGGTGTCCCTCGTTACTAGACAGGACTCCTGACGTCACTGAAGAAACTCGTGTTTTGAAGGGCCATCCCCGCCGTAAGTCGAGAACATACCCCAGGTCCCCGCCGCAACTCGAGAAAAACCATGAGACTTCCCCCTAGAGGCGAGATGAGGCCCCATTCCCCTGCAGTGCATGCAGAGCTATTCCGTGATCCCATTCAAACAAGGCAGGAGCTTCGACTTGCTTAATGGATCTCGAGACAGTCCCCAAGAACACTGTCACCAGTCCAGACGGACCCTGAGGTCACCCCAGCACCGCAAAGCAGTTCCATGTGCCCCAAATCAACTCGAGATGAGGCCCGATTCCCCTGCATTGACTCCAGAGCCATTCCCCGTTCCCCATTCAACACGACCGGTGGCTCGACTTCCTTCAGGCAACTCCAGAGATGCCCCGAGAACACTGTCCCAAGTCTAGAGGAACACCAACTTCAGCACAGCAACTCGAGGAATGATCCGTGTACCCCAAATCGTCTCGAGATGAGAGCTGATTCCCTGGCTAAGGTTCAAGACGTATGCCAACTTTCCAGAAGCACCTCAGGAGGAGGCTTCTCTCAGCAATAGGTATGTGGGAGGGACACCGAGTTTGCTGCCTCAAGGGGAATATACAGCGAGAAGCCCTAACTTGAAACGAGGCCAGATTTCCTTGCAGTGGCTTGAATACAGGCTCGTCTTTCATCTCATAACATGAAGGGATGTCTGAATCCCCTGTGGAGACCTTAGAGAAAGCCCTAGGTCCCTGCCTCATTTTGACGGAATGCCTCACATCCCGCTGACACCTCGAGAGGCACGCGGAGTTCATTGATTTAAAAGGTGACGATGCCTGACTCCTCTGGAATGCTGATAGGAATCCCAAAATCCCTGTGGCTACTGGAAAGGGTCCTTGGGTGCCCTGCCTCACCTCGAGAAGCGTCCCTTTTGCCCTGCCAAGCCTCGAAGAGATTCCTGAGGTGTCCCTCGTTACTAGACAGGAGTCCTGACGTCACTGAAGAAACTCGTGTTCTGAAGGGCCAGCCCCGCTGTAAGTCGAGAACATACCCCAGGTCCCCGACGCAACTCGAAAAAAACCATGAGACTTCCCCCTAGAGGCGAGATGAGGCCCCATTCCCCTGCAGTGCATGCAGAGCTATTCCGTGATCCCATTCAAACAAGTCAGGAGCTTCGACTTGCTTAATGGGTCTCGAGACAGTCCCCAAGAACACTGTCACCAGTCTAGACGGACCCTGAGGTCACCCCAGCAACGCAAAGCAGCTCCATGTGCCCCAAATCAACTCGAGATGAGGCCCGATTCCCCTGCATTGACTCCTGAGCCATTCCCCGTTCCCCATTCAACACGACCGGTGGCTCGTCTTCCTTCAGGCAACTCCAGAGATGCCCCGAGAAGACTGTCCCAAGTCTAGAGGAACACCAACTTCAGCACAGCAACTCGAAGAATGCTCCGTGTACCCCAAATCGTCTCGAGATGAGAGCTGATTCCCTGGCTTAGTCTCAAGACGTATGCCAACTTTCCAGAAGCACCTCAGGAGGAGGCTTCTCTCAGCAATAGGTATGTGGGAGGGACCCCGAGTTTGCTGCCTCAAGGGGAATATACCGCGAGAAGCCCTAACTTGAAAGGAGGCCGGATTTCCTTGCAGTGGCTTGAATACAGGCTCGTCTTTCATCTCACAATATGGAAGGATGTCTGAATCCCCTGTGTAGACCTTAGAGAAAGCCCTAGGTCCCTGCCTCATTTTGACGGAATGCCTCACATCCCGCTGACACCTCGAGAGGCACGCGGAGTTCATTGCTTCAAAAGGTGACGATGCCTGACTCCTCTTGAATACTAATAGGAATCCCAAAATCCCTGTGGCTACTGGAAAGGGTCCTTGGGTGCCCTGCCTCACCTCGAGAAGCGTCCCTTTTGCCCTGCCAAGCCTCGAAGAGATTCCTGAGGTGTCCCTCGTTACTAGACAGGACTCCTGACGTCACTGAAGAAACTCGTGTTTTGAAGGGCCATCCCCGCCGTAAGTCGAGAACATACCCCAGGTCGCTGCCGCAACTCGAGAAAAACCATGAGACTTCCCCCTAGAGGCGAGATGAGGCCCCATTCCCCTGCAGTGCATGGAGAGCTATTCCGTGATCCCATTCAAACAAGTCAGGAGCTTCGACTTGCTTAATGGATCTCGAGACAGTCCCCAAGAACACTGTCACCAGTCTAGACGGACCCTGAGGTCACCCCAGCAACGCAAAGCAGCTCCATGTGCCCCAAATCAACTCGAGATGAGGCCCGATTCCCCTGCATTGACTCCAGAGCCATTCCCCGTTCCCCATTCAACACGCCCGGTGGCTCGACTTCCTTCAGGCAACTCCAGAGATGCCCCGAGAAGACTGTCCGAAGTCTAGAGTAACACCAACTTCAGCACAGCAACTCGAAGAATGCTCCGTGTACCCCAAATCGTCTCGAGATGAGAGCTGATTCCCTGGCTTAGTCTCAAGACGTATGCCAACTTTCCAGAATCACCTCAGGAGGAGGCTTCTCTCAGCAATAGGTATGTGGGAGGGACCCCGAGTTTGCTGCCTCAAGGGGAATATACCGCGAGAAGCCCTAACTTGAAAGGAGGCCGGATTTCCTTGCAGTGGCTTGAATACAGGCTCGTCTTTCATCTCACAATATGGAGGGATGTCTGAATCCCCTGTGTAGACCTTAGAGAAAGCCCTAGGTCCCTGCCTCATTTTGACGGAATGCCTCACATCCCGCTGACACCTCGAGAGGCACGCGGAGTTCATTGCTTCAAAAGGTGACGATGCCTGACTCCTCTTGAATAGTGATAGGAATCCCAAAATCCCTGTGGCTACTGGAAAGGGTCCTTGGGTGCCCTGCCTCACATCGAGAAGCATCGCTTTTGCCCTGCCAAGCCTCGAAGAGATTCCTGAGGTGTCCCTCGTTACTAGACAGGACTCCTGACGTCACTGAAGAAACTCGTGTTTTGAAGGGCCATCCCCGCCGTAAGTCGAGAACATACCCCAGGTCCCCGCCGCAACTCGAGAAAAACCATGAGACTTCCCCCTAGAGGCGAGATGAGGCCCCATTCCCCTGCAATGCATGCAGAGCTATTCCGTGATCCCATTCAAACAAGTCAGGAGCTTCGACTTGCTTAATGGATCTCGAGACAGTCCCCAAGAACACTGTCACCAGTCTAGACGGACCCTGAGGTCACCCCAGCAACGCAAAGCAGATCCATGTGCCCCAAATCAACTCAAGATGAGGCCCGATTCCGCTGCATTGACTCCAGAGCCATTCCCCGTTGCCCATTCAACACGAACGGTGGCTCGACTTCCTTCAGGCAACTCCAGAGATGCCCTGAGAACACTGTCCCAAGTCTAGAGGAACACCAACTTCAGCACAGCAACTCGAGGAATGATCCGTGTACCCCAAATCGTCTCGAGATGAGAGCTGATTCCCTGGCTTAGGTTCAAGACGTATGCCAACTTCCCAGAAGCACCTCAGGAGGAGGCTTCTCTCAGCAATAGGTATGTGGGAGGGACACCGAGTTTGCTGCCTCAAGGGGAATATAGAGCGAGAAGCCCTAACTTGAAACGAGGCCAGATTTCCTTGCAGTGGCTTGAATACAGGCTCGTCTTTCATCTCACAACATGAAGGGATGTCTGAATCCCCTGTGGAGACCTTAGAGAAAGCCCTAGGTCCCTGCCTCATTTTGACGGAATGCCTCACATCCCGCTGACACCTCGAGAGGCACGCGGAGTTCATTGCTTTAAAAGGTGACGATGCCTGACTCCTCTTGAATGCTGATAGGAATCCCAAAATCCCTGTGGCTACTGGAAAGGGTCCTTGGGTGCCCTGCCTCACCTCGAGAAGCGTCCCATTTGCCTGCCAAGCCTCGAAGAGATTCCTGAGGTGTCCCTCGTTACTAGACAGGAGTCCTGACGTCACTGAAGAAACTCGTGTTCTGAAGGGCCAGCCCGCCGTAAGTCGAGAACATACCCCAGGTCCCCGCCGCAACTCGAGAAAAACCATGAGACTTCCCCCTAGAGGCGAGATGAGGCCCCATTCCCCTGCAGTGCATGCAGAGCTATTCCGTGATCCCATTCAAACAAGTCAGGAGCTTCGACTTGCTTAATGGATCTCCAGACAGTCCCCAAGAACACTGTCACCAGTCCAGACGGACCCTGAGGTCACCCCAGCACTGCAAAGCAGCTCCATGTGCCCCAAATCAACTCGAGATGAAGCCCGATTGCCCTGCATTTACTCCAGAGCCATTCCCCGTTCCCCATTCAACACGACCGGTGGCTCGACTTCCTTCAGGCAACTCCAGAAATGCCCCGAGAACACTGTCCCAAGTCTAGAGGAACACCAACTTCAGCACAGCAACTCGAGGAATGCTCCGTGTACCCCAAATCGTCTCGAGATGAGAGCTGATTCCCTGGCTTAGGCTCAAGACGTATGCCAACTTCCCAGAAGCACCTCAGGAGGAGGCTTCTCTCAGCAATAGGTATGTGGGAGGGACACCGAGTTTGCTGCCTCAAGGGGAATATACAGCGAGAAGCCCTAACTTGAAAGGAGTCCGAATTTCCTTGCAGTGGCTTGAATACAGGCTCGTCTTTCATCTCACAACATGAAGGGATGTCTGAATCCCCTGTGGAGACCTTAGAGAAAGCCCTAGGTCCCTGCCTCATTTTGACGGAATGCCTCACATCCCGCTGACACCTCGAGAGGCACGCGGAGTTAATTGCTTCAAAAATGACGATGCCTGACTCCTCTTGAATACTGATAGGAATCCCAAAATCCCTGTGGCTACTGGAAAGGGTCCTTGGGTGCCCTGCCTCACCTCGAGAAGCATCCCTTTTGCCCTGGCAAGGCTGGAAGAGATTCCTGAGGTGTCCCTCGTTACTAGACAGGAGTCCTGACGTCACTGAAGAAACTCGTGTTTTGAAGGGCCATCCCCGCCGTAAGTCGAGAACATACCCCAGGTCCCCGCCGCAACTCGAGAAAAACCATGAGACTTCCCCCTAGAGGCGAGATGAGGCCCCATTCCCCTGCAGTGCATGCAGAGCTATTCCGTGATCCCATTCAAACAAGTCAGGAGCTTCGACTTGCTTAATGGATCTCGAGACAGTCCCCAAGAACACTATCACCAGTCTAGACGGACCCTGAGGTCACCCCAGCAACGCAAAGCAGCTCCATGTGGCCCAAATCAACTCGAGATGGGGCCCGATTCCCCTGCATTGACTCCAGAGCCATTCCTCGTTCCCCATTCAACACGACCGGTGGCTGACTTCCTTCACGCAACTCCAGAGATGCCCTGAGAACACTGTCCCAAGTCTAGAGGAAAAACAACTTCAGAACAGCAACTCGAGGAATGATCCGTGTACCCCAAATCGTCTCGAGATGAGAGCTGATTCCCTGGCTTAGGCTCAAGACGTATGCCAACTTTCCAGAAGCACCTCAGGAGGAGGCTTCTCTCAGCAATAGGTATGTGGGAGGGACCCCGAGTTTGCTGCCTCAAGGGGAATATACAGCGAGAAGCCCTAACTTGAAACGAGGCCAGATTTCCTTGCAGTGGCTTGAATACAGGCTCGTCTTTCATCTCACAACATGAAGGGATGTCTGAATCCCCTGTGGAGACCTTAGAGAAAGCCCTAGGTCCCTGCCTCATTTTGACGGAATGCCTCACATCCCGCTGACACCTCGAGAGGCACGCGGAGTTCATTGATTTAAAAGGTGACGATGCCTGACTCCTCTTGAATGCTGATAGGAATCCCAAAATCCCTGTGGCTACTGGAAAGGGTCCTTGGGTGCCCTGTCTCACCTCGAGAAGCGTCCCTTTTGCCCTGCCAAGCCTCGAAGAGATTCCTGAGGTGTCCCTCGTTACTAGACAGGAGTCCTGACGTCACTGAAGAAACTCGTGTTCTGAAGGGCCAGCCCCGCCGTAAGTCGAGAACATACCCCAGGTCCCCGCCGCAACTCGAGAAAAACCATGAGACTTCCCCCTAGAGGCGAGATGAGGCCCCATTCCCCTGCAGTGCATGCAGAGCTATTCCGTGATCCCATTCAAACAAGTCAGGAGATTCGACTTGCTTAATGGATCTCGAGACAGTCCCCAAGAACACTGTCACCAGTCTAGACGGACCCTGAGGTCACCCCAGCACCGCAAAGCAGCTCCATGTGCCCCAAATCAACTCGAGATGAGGCCCGATTCCCCTGCATTGACTCCAGAGCCATTCCCCGTTCCCCATTCAACACGACCGGTGGATCGACTTCCTTCAGGCAACTCCAGAAATGCCCCGAGAACACTGTCCCAAGTCTAGAGGAACACCAACTCCAGCACAGCAACTCGAGGAATGCTCCGTGTACCCCAAATCGTCTCGAGATGAGAGCTGATTCCCTGGCTTAGGCTCAAGACGTATGCCAACTTCCCAGAAGCACCTCAGGAGGAGGCTTCTCTCAGCAATAGGTATGTGGGAGGGACCCCGAGTTTGCTGCCTCAAGGGGAATATACAGCGAGAAACCCTAACTTGAAAGGAGTCCGAATTTCCTTGCAGTGGCTTGAATACAGGCTCGTCTTTCATCTCACAACATGAAGGGATGTCTGAATCCCCTGTGGAGACCTTAGAGAAAGCCCTAGGTCCCTGCCTCATTTTGACGGAATGCCTCATATCCCGCTGACACCTCGAGAGGCACGCGGAGTTCATTGCTTCAAAAATGACGATGCCTGACTCCTCTTGAATGCTGATAGGAATCCCAAAATCCCTGTGGCTACTGGAAAGGGTCCTTGGGTGCTCTGCCTCACCTCGAGAAGAGTCCCTTTTGCCCTGCCAAGCCTCGAAGAGATTCCTGAGGTGTCCCTCGTTACTAGACAGGAGTCCTGACATCACTGAAGAAACTCGTGTTCTGAAGGGCCAGCCCCGCCGTAAGTCGAGAACATACACCAGGTCCCCGCCGCAACTCGAGAAAAACCATGAGACTTCCCCCTAGAGGCGAGATGAGGCCCCATTCCCCTGCAGTGCATGCAGAGATATTCCGTGATCCCATTCAAACAAGTCAGGAGCTTCGACTTGCTTAATGGGTCTCGAGACAGTCCCCAAGAACACTGTCACCAGTCTAGACGGACCCTGAGGTCACCCCAGCAACGCAAAGCAGCTCCATGTGCCCCAAATCAACTCGAGATGAGGCCCGTTTCCCCTGCATTGACTCCAGAGCCATTCCCCGTTCCCCATTCAACACGACCGGTGGCTCGACTTCCTTCAGGCAACTCCAGAGATGCCCTGAGAACACTGTCCCAAGTCTAGAGGAACACCAACTTCAGCACAGCAACTCGAGGAATGCTCCGTGTACCCCAAATCGTCTCGAGATGAGAGCTGATTCCCTGGCTTAGGCTCAAGAGGTATGCCAACTCCCCAGAAGCATCTCAGGAGGAGGCTTCTCTCAGCAATAGTTATGTGGGAGGGACCCCGAGTTTGCTGCCTCAAGGGGAATATACAGCGAGAAGCCCTAACTTGAAAGGAGGCCGGATTTCCTTGCAGGGGCTTGAATACAGGCTCGTCTTTCATCTCACAACATGAAGGGATGTCTGAATCCCCTGTGGAGACCTTAGAGAAAGCCCTAGGTCCCTGCCTCATTTTGACGGAATGCCTCACATCCCGCTGACACCTCGAGAGGCACGCGGAGTTCATTGCTTCAAAAGGTGACGATGCCTGACTCCTCTTGAATACTGATAGGAATCCCAAAATCCCTGTGGCTACTGGAAAGGGTCCTTGGGTGCCCTGCCTCACCTCGAGAAGCGTCCCTTTTGCCCTGCCAAGCCTCGAAGAGATTCCTGAGGTGTCCCTCGTTACTAGACAGGAGTCCTGACGTCACTGAAGAAACTCGTGGTTTGAAGGGCCATCCCCGCCGTAAGTCGAGGACATAGCCCAGGTCACCATCGCAAGTCGAGAAAAACCATGAGACTTCCCCCTAGAGGGGAGATGAGGCCCCATTCCCCTGCAATGCATGCAGAGCTATTCCGTGATCCCATTCAAACAAGTCAGGAGCTTCGACTTGCTTAATGGATCTCGAGACAGTCCCCAAGAACACTGTCACCAGTCGAGACGGATCATGAGGTCACCCCAGCAACGCAAAGCAGTTCCATGTGCCCCAAATCAACTCGAGATGAGGCCCGATTCCGCTGCATTGACTCCAGAGCCATTCCCCGTTCCCCATTCAACACGACCGGTGGCTCGACTTCCTTCACGCAACTCCAGATATGCCCTGAGAACACTGTCCCAAGTCTAGAGGAAAAACAACTTCAGAACAGCAACTCGAGGAATGATCCGTGTACCCCAAATCGTCTCGAGATGAGAGCTGATTCCCTGGCTTATGCTCAAGACGTATGCCAACTTTCCAGAAGCACCTCAGGAGGAGGCTTCTCTCAGCAATAGGTATGTGGGAGGGACCCCGAGTTTGCTGCCTCAAGGGGAATATACAGCGAGAAGCCCTAACTTGAAAGGAGTCCGAATTTCCTTGCAGTGGCTTGAATACAGGCTTGTCTTTCATCTCACAACATGAAGGGATGTCTGAATCCCCTGTGGAGACCTTAGAGAAAGCCCTAGGTCCCTGCCTCATTTTGACGGAATGCCTCAGATCCCGCTGACACCTCGAGAGGCACGCGGAGTTAATTGCTTCAAAAATGACGATGCCTGACTCCTCTTGAATACTGATAGGAATCCCAAAAATCCTGTGGCTACTGGAAAGGGTCCTTTGGTGCCCTGCCTCACCTCGAGAAGCGTCCCTTTTGCCCTGCCAAGCCTCGAAGAGATTCCTGAGGTGTCCCTCGTTACTAGACAGGAGTCCTGACGTCACTGAAGAAACTCGTGTTTTGAAGGGCCATCCCCGCCGTAAGTCGAGAACATACCCCAGGTCGCTGCCGCAACTCGAAAAAAACCATGAGACTTCCCCCTAGAGGCGAGATGAGGCCCCATTCCCCTGCAGTGCATGCAGAGCTATTCCGTGATCCCATTCAAACAAGTCAGGAGCTTCGACTTGCTTAATGGATCTCGAGACAGTCCCCAAGAACACTGTCACCAGTCTAGACGGACCCTGAGGTCACCCCAGCAACGCAAAGCATATCCATGTGCCCCAAATCAACTCGAGATGAGGCCCGATTCCCCTGCATTGACTCCAGAGCCATTCCCCGTTCCCCATTCAACACGACCGGTGGCTCGACTTCCTTCAGGCAACTCCAGAGATGCCCCGAGAAGACTGTCCCAAGTCTAGAGGAACACCAACTTCAGCACAGCATCTCGAAGAATGCTCCGTGTACCCCAAATCGTCTCGAGATGAGAGCTGATTCCCTGGCTTAGGCTCAAGACGTATGCCAACTTTCCAGAAGCATCTCAGGAGGAGGCTTCTCTCAGCAATAGGTATGTGGGAGGGACCCCGAGTTTGCTGCCTCAAGGGGAATATACAGCGAGAAGCCCTAACTTGAAAGGAGTCCGAATTTCCTTGCAGTGGCTTGAATACAGGCTCGTCTTTCATCTCACAACATGAAGGGATGTCTGAATCCCCTGTGGAGACCTTAGAGAAAGCCCTAGGTCCCTGCCTCATTTTGACGGAATGCCTCAGATCCCGCTGACACCTCGAGAGGCACGCGGAGTTAATTGCTTCAAAAATGACGATGCCTGACTCCTCTTGAATACTGATAGGAATCCCAAAAATCCTGTGGCTACTGGAAAGGGTCCTTGGGTGCCCTGCCTCACCTCGAGAAGCGTCCCTTTTGCCCTGCCAAGCCTCGAAGAGATTCCTGAGGTGTCCCTCGTTACTAGACAGGAGTCCTGACGTCACTGAAGAAACTCGTGTTTTGAAGGGCCATCCCCGCCGTAAGTCGAGAACATACCCCAGGTCGCTGCCGCAACTCGAAAAAAACCATGAGACTTCCCCCTAGAGGCGAGATGAGGCCCCATTCCCCTGCAGTGCATGCAGAGCTATTCCGTGATCCCATTCAAACAAGTCAGGAGCTTCGACTTGCTTAATGGATCTCGAGACAGTCCCCAAGAACACTGTCACCAGTCTAGACGGACCCTGAGGTCACCCCAACAAAGCAAAGCATATCCATGTGCCCCAAATCAACTCGAGATGAGGCCCGATTCCCCTGCATTGACTCCAGAGCCATTCCCCGTTCCCCATTCAACACGACCGGTGGCTCGACTTCCTTCAGGCAACTCCAGAGATGCCCCGAGAAGACTGTCCCAAGTCTAGAGGAACACCAACTTCAGCACAGCATCTCGAAGAATGCTCCGTGTACCCCAAATCGTCTCGAGATGAGAGCTGATTCCCTGGCTTAGTCTCAAGACGTATGCCAACTTTCCAGAAGCACCTCAGGTGGAGGCTTCTCTCAGCAATAGGTATGTGGGAGGGACCCCGAGTTTGCTGCCTCAAGGGGAATATACCGCGAGAAGCCCTAACTTGAAAGGAGGCCGGATTTCCTTGCAGTGGCTTGAATACAGGCTCGTCTTTCATCTCACAATATGGAGGGATGTCTGAATCCCCTGTGTAGACCTTAGAGAAAGCCCTAGGTCCCTGCCTCATTTTGACGGAATGCCTCACATCCCGCTGACACCTCGAGAGGCACGCGGAGTTCATTGCTTCAAAAGGTGACGATGCGTGACTCCTCTTGAATACTGATAGGAATCCCAAAAATCCTGTGGCTACTGGAAAGGGTCCTTGGGTGCCCTGCCTCACCTCGAGAAGCGTCCCTTTTGCCCTGCCAAGCCTCGAAGAGATTCCTGAGGTGTCCCTCGTTACTAGACAGGAGTCCTGACGTCACTGAAGAAACTCGTGTTTTGAAGGGCCATCCCCGCCGTAAGTCGAGAACATACCCCAGGTCGCTGCCGCAACTCGAGAAAAACCATGAGACTTCCCCCTAGAGGCGAGATGAGGCCCCATTCCCCTGCAGTGCATGCAGAGCTATTCCGTGATCCCATTCAAACAAGTCAGGAGCTTCGACTTGCTTAATGGATCTCGAGACAGTCCCCAAGAACACTGTCACCAGTCTAGACGGACCCTGAGGTCACCCCAGCAACGAAAAGCAGCTCCATGTGCCCCAAATCAACTCGAGATGAGGCCCGATTCCCCTGCATTGACTCCAGAGCCATTCCCCGTTCCCCATTCAACACGACCGGTGGCTCGACTTCCTTCAGGCAACTCCAGAGATGCCCCGAGAACACTGTCCCAAGTCTAGCGGAACACCAACTTCAGCACAGCAACTCGAGGAATGATCCGTGTACCCCAAATCATCTCGAGATGAGAGCTGATTCCCTGGCTTAGGTTCAAGACGTATGCCAACTTTCCAGAAGCACCTCAGGAGGAGGCTTCTCTCAGCAATAGGTATGTGGGAGGGACACCGAGTTTGCTGCCTCAAGGGGAATATACAGCGAGAAGCCCTAACTTGAAACGAGGCCAGATTTCCTTGCAGTGGCTTGAATACAGGCTCGTCTTTCATCTCACAACATGAAGGGATGTCTGAATCCCCTGTGGAGACCTTAGAGAAAGCCCTAGGTCCCTGCCTCATTTTGACGGAATGCCTCACATCCCGCTGACACCTCGAGAGGCACGCGGAGTTCATTGCTTTAAAAGGTGACGATGCCTGACTCCTCTTGAATGCTGATAGGAATCCCAAAATCCCTGTGGCTACTGGAAAGGGTCCTTGGGTGCCCTGCCTCACCTCGAGAAGCGTCCCATTTGCCCTGCCAAGCCTCGAAGAGATTCCTGAGGTGTCCCTCATTACTAGACAGGAGTCCTGACGTCACTGAAGAAACTCGTGTTCTGAAGGGCCAGCCCGCCGTAAGTCGAGAACATACCCCAGGTCCCCGCCGCAACTCGAGAAAAACCATGAGACTTCCCCCTAGAGGCGAGATGAGGCCCCATTCCCCTGCAGTGCATGCAGAGCTATTCCGTGATCCCATTCAAACAAGTCAGGAGCTTCGACTTGCTTAATGGATCTCCAGACAGTCCCCAAGAACACTGTCACCAGTCCAGACGGACCCTGAGGTCACCCCAGCACTGCAAAGCAGCTCCATGTGCCCCAAATCAACTCGAGATGAGGCCCGATTCCCCTGCATTGACTCCAGAGCCATTCCCCGTTCCCCATTCAACACGACCGGTGGCTCGACTTCCTTCAGGCAACTCCAGAGATGCCCCGAGAAGACTGTCCCAAGTCTAGAGGAACACCAACTTCAGCACAGCATCTCGAAGAATGCTCCGTGTACCCCAAATCGTCTCGAGATGAGAGCTGATTCCCTGGCTTAGGCTCAAGACGTATGCCAACTTCCCAGAAGCACCTCAGGAGGAGGCTTCTCTCAGCAATAGGTATGTGGGAGGGACCCCGAGTTTGCTGCCTCAAGGGGAATATACAGCGAGAAGCCCTAACTTGAAAGGAGTCCGAATTTCCTTGCAGTGGCTTGAATACAGGCTCGTCTTTCATCTCACAACATGAAGGGATGTCTGAATCCCCTGTGGAGACCTTAGAGAAAGCCCTAGGTCCCTGCGTCATTTTGACGGAATGCCTCACATCCCGCTGACACCTCGAGAGGCACGCGGAGTTAATTGCTTCAAAAATGACGATGCCTGACTCCTCTTGAATACTGATAGGAATCCCAAAATCCCTGTGGCTACTGGAAAGGGTCCTTGGGTGCCCTGCCTCACCTCGAAAAGCATCCCTTTTGCCCTGGCAAGGCTGGAAGTGATTCCTGAGGTGTCCCTCGTTACTAGACAGGAGTCCTGACGTCACTGAAGAAACTCGTGTTTTGAAGGGCCATCCCCGCCGTAAGTCGAGAACATACCCCAGGTCCCCGCCGCAACTCGAGAAAAACCATGAAACTTCCCCCTAGAGGCGAGATGAGGCCCCATTCCCCTGCAGTGCATGCAGAGCTATTCCGTGATCCCATTCAAACAAGTCAGGAGCTTCGACTTGCTTAATGGATCTCGAGACAGTCCCCAAGAACACTGTCACCAGTCTAGACGGACCCTGAGGTCACCCCAGCAACGCAAAGCAGCTCCATGTGGCCCAAATCAACTCGAGATGGGGCCCGATTCCCCTGCATTGACTCCAGAGCCATTCCTCGTTCCCCATTCAACACGACCGGTGGCTCGACTTCCTTCAGGAAACTCCAGAGATGCCCCAAGAACACTGTCCCAAGTCTAGAGGAACACCAACTTCAGCACAGCAACTGGAGTAATGCTCCGTGTACCCCAAATCGTCTCGAGATGAGAGCTGATTCCCTCGCTTAGGCTCAAGACGTATGCCAACTTTCCAGAAGCAACTCAGGAGGAGGCTTCTCTCAGCAATAGTTATGTGGGAGGGACCCCGAGTTTGCTGCCTCAAGGGGAATATACCGCGAGAAGCCCTAACTTGAAAGGAGGCCGGATTTCCTTGCAGGGGCTTGAATACAGGCTCGTCTTTCATCTCACAACATGAAGGGATGTCTGAATCCCCTGTGGAGACCTTAGAGAAAGCCCTAGGTCCCTGCCTCATTTTGACGGAATGCCTCACATCCCGCTGACACGTCGAGAGGCACGCGGAGTTCATTGCTTCAAAAGGTGACGATGCCTGACTCCTCTTGAATACTGATAGGAATCCCAAAATCCCTGTGGCTACTGGAAAGGGTCCTTGGGTTCCCTGCCTCACCTCGAGAAGCGTCCCTTTTGCCCTGCCAAGCCTCGAAGAGATTCCTGAGGTGTCCCTCGTTACTAGACAGGAGTCCTGATGTCACTGAAGAAACTCGTGGTTTGAAGGGCCATCCCCGCCGTAAGTAGAGGACATAGCCCAGGTCACCATCGCAAGTCGAGAAAAACCATGAGACTTCCCCCTAGAGGGGAGATGAGGCCCCATTCCCCTGCAATGCATGCAGAGCTATTCCGTGATCCCATTCAAACAAGTCAGGAGCTTCGACTTGCTTAATGGATCTCGAGACAGTCCCCAAGAACACTGTCACCAGTCGAGACGGATCATGAGGTCACCCCAGCAACGCAAAGCAGTTCCATGTGCCCCAAATCAACTCGAGATGAGGCCCGATTCCGCTGCATTGAATCCAGAGCCATTCCCCGTTCCCCATTCAACACGACCGGTGGCTCGACTTCCTTCACGCAACTCCAGAGATGCCCTGAGAACACTGTCCCAAGTCTAGAGGAAAAACAACTTCAGAACAGCAACTCGAGGAATGATCCGTGTACCCCAAATCGTCTCGAGATGAGAGCTGATTCCCTGGCTTATGCTCAAGACGTATGCCAACTTTCCAGAAGCACCTCAGGAGGAGGCTTCTCTCAGCAATAGGTATGTGGGAGGGACCCCGAGTTTGCTGCCTCAAGGGGAATATACAGCGAGAAGCCCTAACTTGAAAGGAGTCCGAATTTCCTTGCAGTGGCTTGAATACAGGCTTGTCTTTCATCTCACAACATGAAGGGATGTCTGAATCCCCTGTGGAGACCTTAGAGAAAGCCCTAGGTCCCTGCCTCATTTTGAAGGAATGCCTCAGATCCCGCTGACACCTCGAGAGGCACGCGGTGTAAATTGCTTCAAAAATGACGATGCCTGACTCCTCTTGAATACTGATAGGAATCCCAAAAATCCTGTGGCTACTGGAAATGGTCCTTGGGTGCCCTGCCTCACCTCGAGAAGCGTCCCTTTTGCCCTACCAAGCCTCGAAGAGATTCCTGAGGTGTCCCTCGTTACTAGACAGGAGTCCTGACGTCACTGAAGAAACTCGTGTTTTGAAGGGCCATCCCCGCCGTAAGTCGAGAACATACCCCAGGTCGCTGCCGCAACTCGAGAAAAACCATGAGACTTCCCCCTAGAGGCGAGATGAGGCCCCATTCCCCTGCAGTGCATGCAGAGCTATTCCGTGATCCCATTCAAACAAGTCAGGAGCTTCGACTTGCTTAATGGATCTCGAGACAGTCCCCAAGAACACTGTCACCAGTCTAGACGGACCCTGAGGTCACCCCAGCAACGCAAAGCAGCTCCATGTGCCCCAAATCAACTCGAGATGAGGCCCGATTCCCCTGCATTGACTCCAGAGCCACTCCCCGTTCCCCATTCAACACGACCGGTGGCTCGACTTCCTTCAGGCAACTCCAGAGATGCCCCGAGAACACTGTCCCAAGTCTAGAGGAACACCAACTTCAGCACAGCAACTCGAGGAATGATCCGTGTACCCCAAAACGTCTCGAGATGAGAGCTGATTCCCTGGCTTAGGTTCAAGACGTATGCCAACTTTCCAGAAGCACCTCAGGAGGAGGCTTCTCTCAGCAATAGGTATGTGGGAGGGACACCGAGTTTGCTGCCTCAAGGGGAATATACAGCGAGAAGCCCTAACTTGAAACGAGGCCAGATTTCCTTGCAGTGGCTTGAATACAGGCTCGTCTTTCATCTCACAACATGAAGGGATGTCTGAATCCCCTGTGGAGACCTTAGAGAAAGCCCTAGGTCCCTGCCTCATTTTGACGGAATGCCTCACATCCCGCTGACACCTCGAGAGGCACGCGGAGTTCATTGCTTTAAAAGGTGACGATGCCTGACTACTCTTGAATGCTGATAGGAATCCCAAAATCCCTGTGGCTACTGGAAAGGGTCCTTGGGTGCCCTGCCTCACCTCGAGAAGCGTCCCATTTGCCCTGCCAAGCCTCGAAGAGATTCCTGAGGTGTCCCTCGTTACTAGACAGGAGTCCTGACGTCACTGAAGAAACTCGTGTTCTGAAGGGCCAGCCCGCCGTAAGTCGAGAACATACCCCAGGTCCCCGCCGCAACTCGAGAAAAACCATGAGACTTCCCCCTAGAGGCGAGATGAGGCCCCATTCCCCTGCAGTGCATGCAGAGCTATTCCGTGATCCCATTCAAACAAGTCAGGAGCTTCGACTTGCTTAATGGATCTCGAGACAGTCCCCAAGAACACTGTCACCAGTCCAGACGGACCCTGAGGTCACCCCAGCACTGCAAAGCAGCTCCATTTGCCCCAAATCAACTCGAGATGAGGCCCGATTCCCCTGCATTGACTCCAGAGCCATTCCCCGTTCCCCATTCAACACGACCGGTGGCTCGACTTCCTTCAGGCAACTCCAGAAATGCCCCGAGAACACTGTCCCAAGTCTAGAGGAACACCAACTTCAGCACAGCAACTCGAGGAATGCTCCGTGTACCCCAAATCGTCTCGAGATGAGAGCTGATTCCCTGGCTTAGGCTCAAGACGTATGCCAACTTCCCAGAAGCACCTCAGGAGGAGGCTTCTCTCAGCAATAGGTATGTGGGAGGGACCCCGAGTTTGCTGCCTCAAGGGGAATATACAGCGAGAAGCCCTAACTTGAAAGGAGTCCGAATTTCCTTGCAGTGGCTTGAATACAGGCTCGTCTTTCATCTCACAACATGAAGGGATGTCTGAATCCCCTGTGGAGACCTTAGAGAAAGCCCTAGGTCCCTGCCTCATTTTGACGGAATGCCTCACATCCCGCTGACACCTCGAGAGGCACGCGGAGTTAATTGCTTCAAAAATGACGATGCCTGACTCCTCTTGAATACTGATAGGAATCCCAAAATCCCTGTGGCTACTGGAAAGGGTCCTTGGGTGCCCTGCCTCACCTCGAGAAGCATCCCTTTTGCCCTGGCAAGGCTGGAAGAGATTCCTGAGGTGTCCCTCGTTACTAGACAGGAGTCCTGACGTCACTGAAGAAACTCGTGTTTTGAAGGGCCATCCCCGCCGTAAGTCGAGAACATACCCCAGGTCCCCGCCGCAACTCGAGAAAAACCATGAGACTTCCCCCTAGAGGCGAGATGAGGCCCCATTCCCCTGCAGTGCATGCAGAGCTATTCCGTGATCCCATTCAAACAAGTCAGGAGCTTCGACTTGCTTAATGGATCTCGAGACAGTCCCCAAGAACACTGTCACCAGTCTAGACGGACCCTGAGGTCACCCCAGCAACGCAAAGCAGCTCCATGTGGCCCAAATCAACTCGAGATGGGGCCCGATTCCCCTGCATTGACTCCAGAGCCATTCCTCGTTCTCCATTCAACACGACCGGTGGCTCGACTTCCTTCAGGAAACTCCAGAGATGCCCCAAGAACACTGTCCCAAGTCTAGAGGAACACCAACTTCAGCACAGCAACTGGAGTAATGCTCCGAGTACCCCAAATCGTCTCGAGATGAGAGCTGATTCCCTCGCTTAGGCTCAAGACGTATGCCAACTTTCCAGAAGCACCTCAGGAGGAGGCTTCTCTCAGCAATAGTTATGTGGGAGGGACCCCGAGTTTGCTGCCTCAAGGGGAATATACCGCGAGAAGCCCTAACTTGAAAGGAGGCCGGATTTCCTTGCAGGGGCTTGAATACAGGCTCGTCTTTCATCTCACAACATGAAGGGATGTCTGAATCCCCTGTGGAGACCTTAGAGAAAGCCCTAGGTCCCTGCCTCATTTTGTCGGAATGCCTCACATCCCGCTGACACCTCGAGAGGCACGCGGAGTTCATTGCTTCAAAAGGTGACGATGCCTGACTCCTCTTGAATACTGATAGGAATCCCAAAATCCCTGTGGCTACTGGAAAGGGTCCTTGGGTGCCCTGCCTCACCTCGAGAAGCGTCCCTTTTGCCCTGCCAAGCCTCGAAGAGATTCCTGAGGTGTCCCTCGTTACTAGACAGGAGTCCTGATGTCACTGAAGAAACTCGTGGTTTGAAGGGCCATCCCCGCCGTAAGTGGAGGACATAGCCCAGGTCACCATCGCAAGTCGAGAAAAACCATGAGACTTCCCCCTAGAGGGGAGATGAGGCCCCATTCCCCTGCAATGCATGCAGAGCTATTCCGTGATCCCATTCAAACAAGTCAGGAGCTTCGACTTGCTTAATGGATCTCGAGACAGTCCCCAAGAACACTGTCACCAGTCGAGACGGATCATGAGGTCACCCCAGCAACGCAAAGCAGTTCCATGTGCCCCAAATCAACTCGAGATGAGGCCCGATTCCGCTGCATTGACTCCAGAGCCATTCCCCGTTCCCCATTCAACACGACCGGTGGCTCGACTTCCTTCACGCAACTCCAGAGATGCCCTGAGAACACTGTCCCAAGTCTAGAGGAAAAACAACTTCAGAACAGCAACTCGAGGAATGATCCGTGTACCCCAAATCGTCTCGAGATGAGAGCTGATTCCCTGGCTTATGCTCAAGACGTATGCCAACTTTCCAGAAGCACCTCAGGAGGAGGCTTCTCTCAGCAATAGGTATGTGGGAGGGACCCCGAGTTTGCTGCCTCAAGGGGAATATACAGCGAGAAGCCCTAACTTGAAAGGAGTCCGAATTTCCTTGCAGTGGCTTGAATACAGGCTTGTCTTTCATCTCACAACATGAAGGGATGTCTGAATCCCCTGTGGAGACCTTAGAGAAAGCCCTAGGTCCCTGCCTCATTTTGACGGAATGCCTCACATCCCGCTGACACCTCGAGAGGCACGCGGAGTTCATTGCTTTAAAAGGTGACGATGCCTGACTCCTCTTGAATGCTGATAGGAATCCCAAAATCCCTGTGGCTACTGGAAAGGGTCCTTGGGTGCCCTGCCTCACCTCGAGAAGCGTCCCTTTTGCCCTGCCAAGCCTCGAAGAGATTCCTGAGGTGTCCCTCGTTACTAGACAGGACTCCTGACGTCACTGAAGAAACTCGTGTTTTGAAGGGCCATCCCCGCCGTAAGTCGAGAACATACCCCAGGTCCCCGCCACAACTCGAGAAAAACCATGAGACTTCCCCCTAGAGGCGAGATGAGGCCCCATTCCCCTGCAGTGCATGCAGAGCTATTCCGTGATCCCATTCAAACAAGTCAGGAGCTTCGACTTGCTTAATGGATCTCCAGACAGTCCCCAAGAACACTGTCACCAGTCCAGACGGACCCTGAGGTCACCCCAGCACTGCAAAGCAGCTCCATGTGCCCCAAATCAACTCGAGATGAGGCCCGATTCCCCTGCATTGACTCCAGAGCCATTCCCCGTTCCCCATTCAACACGACCGGTGGCTCGACTTCCTTCAGGCAACTCCAGAAATGCCCCGAGAACACTGTCCCAAGTCTAGAGGAACACCAACTTCAGCACAGCAACTCGAGGAATGCTCCGTGTACCCCAAATCGTCTCGAGATGAGAGCTGATTCCCTGGCTTAGGCTCAAGACGTATGCCAACTTCCCAGAAGCACCTCAGGAGGAGGCTTCTCTCAGCAATAGGTATGTGGGAGGGACCCCGAGTTTGCTGCCTCAAGGGGAATATACAGCGAGAAGCCCTAACTTGAAAGGAGTCCGAATTTCCTTGCAGTGGCTTGAATACAGGCTCGTCTTTCATCTCACAACATGAAGGGATGTCTGAATCCCCTGTGGAGACCTTAGAGAAAGCCCTAGGTCCCTGCCTCATTTTGACGGAATGCCTCACATCCCGCTGACACCTCGAGAGGCACGCGGAGTTAATTGCTTCAAAAATGACGATGCCTGACTCCTCTTGAATACTGATAGGAATCCCAAAATCCCTGTGGCTACTGGAAAGGGTCCTTGGGTGCCCTGCCTCACCTCGAGAAGCATCCCTTTTGCCCTGGCAAGGCTGGAAGAGATTCCTGAGGTGTCCCTCGTTACTAGACAGGAGTCCTGACGTCACTGAAGAAACTCGTGTTTTGAAGGGCCATCCCCGCCGTAAGTCGAGAACATACCCCAGGTCCCCGCCGCAACTCGAGAAAAACCATGAGACTTAACCTTAGAGGCGAGATGAGGCCCCATTCCCCTGCAGTGCATGTAGAGCTATTCCGTGATCCCATTCAAACAAGTCAGGAGCTTCGACTTGCTTAATGGATCTCGAGACAGTCCCCAAGAACACTGTCACCAGTCTAGACGGACCCTGAGGTCACCCCAGCAACGCAAAGCAGCTCCATGTGGCCCAAATCAACTCGAGATGAGGCCCGATTCCCCTGCATTGACTCCAGAGCCATTCCTCGTTCCCCATTCAACACGACCGGTGGCTCGACTTCCTTCAGGAAACTCCAGAGATGCCCCAAGAACACTGTCCCAAGTCTAGAGGAACACCAACTTCAGCACAGCAACTGGAGGAATGCTCCGTGTACCCAAAATCGTCTCGAGATGAGAGCTGATTCTCTCGCTTAGGCTCAAGACGTATGCCAACTTTCCAGAAGCACCTCAGGAGGAGGCTTCTCTCAGCAATAGTTATGTGGGAGGGACCCCGAGTTTGCTGCCTCAAGGGGAATATACCGCGAGAAGCCCTAACTTGAAAGGAGGCCGGATTTCCTTGCAGGGGCTTGAATACAGGCTCGTCTTTCATCTCACAACATGAAGGGATGTCTGAATCCCCTGTGGAGACCTTAGAGAAAGCCCTAGGTCCCTGCCTCATTTTGTCGGAATGCCTCACATCCCGCTGACACCTCGAGAGGCACGCGGAGTTCATTGCTTCAAAAGGTGACGATGCCTGACTCCTCTTGAATACTGATAGGAATCCCAAAATCCCTGTGGCTACTGGAAAGGGTCCTTGGGTGCCCTGCCTCACCTCGAGAAGCGTCCCTTTTGCCCTGCCAAGCCTCGAAGAGATTCCTGAGGTGTCCCTCGTTACTAGACAGGAGTCCTGATGTCACTGAAGAAACTCGTGGTTTGAAGGGCCATCCCCGCCGTAAGTGGAGGACATAGCCCAGGTCACCATCGCAAGTCGAGAAAAACCATGAGACTTCCCCCTAGAGGGGAGATGAGGCCCCATTCCCCTGCAATGCATGCAGAGCTATTCCGTGATCCCATTCAAACAAGTCAGGAGCTTCGACTTGCTTAATGGATCTCGAGACAGTCCCCAAGAACACTGTCACCAGTCGAGACGGATCATGAGGTCACCCCAGCAACGCAAAGCAGTTCCATGTGCCCCAAATCAACTCGAGATGAGGCCCGATTCCGCTGCATTGACTCCAGAGCCATTCCCCGTTCCCCATTCAACACGACCGGTGGCTCGACTTCCTTCACGCAACTCCAGAGATGCCCTGAGAACACTGTCCCAAGTCTAGAGGAAAAACAACTTCAGAACAGCAACTCGAGGAATGATCCGTGTACCCCAAATCGTCTCGAGATGAGAGCTGATTCCCTGGCTTATGCTCAAGACGTATGCCAACTTTCCAGAAGCACCTCAGGAGGAGGCTTCTCTCAGCAATAGGTATGTGGGAGGGACCCCGAGTTTGCTGCCTCAAGGGGAATATACAGCGAGAAGCCCTAACTTGAAAGGAGTCCGAATTTCCTTGCAGTGGCTTGAATACAGGCTTGTCTTTCATCTCACAACATGAAGGGATGTCTGAATCCCCTGTGGAGACCTTAGAGAAAGCCCTAGGTCCCTGCCTCATTTTGACGGAATGCCTCACATCCCGCTGACACCTCGAGAGGCACGCGGAGTTCATTGCTTTAAAAGGTGACGATGCCTGACTCCTCTTGAATGCTGATAGGAATCCCAAAATCCCTGTGGCTACTGGAAAGGGTCCTTGGGTGCCCTGCCTCACCTCGAGAAGCGTCCCTTTTGCCCTGCCAAGCCTCGAAGAGATTCCTGAGGTGTCCCTCGTTACTAGACAGGACTCCTGACGTCACTGAAGAAACTCGTGTTTTGAAGGGCCATCCCCGCCGTAAGTCGAGAACATACCCCAGGTCCCCGCCACAACTCGAGAAAAACCATGAGACTTCCCCCTAGAGGCGAGATGAGGCCCCATTCCCCTGCAGTGCATGCAGAGCTATTCCGTGATCCCATTCAAACAAGTCAGGAGCTTCGACTTGCTTAATGGATCTCCAGACAGTCCCCAAGAACACTGTCACCAGTCCAGACGGACCCTGAGGTCACCCCAGCACTGCAAAGCAGCTCCATGTGCCCCAAATCAACTCGAGATGAGGCCCGATTCCCCTGCATTGACTCCAGAGCCATTCCCCGTTCCCCATTCAACACGACCGGTGGCTCGACTTCCTTCAGGCAACTCCAGAAATGCCCCGAGAACACTGTCCCAAGTCTAGAGGAACACCAACTTCAGCACAGCAACTCGAGGAATGCTCCGTGTACCCCAAATCGTCTCGAGATGAGAGCTGATTCCCTGGCTTAGGCTCAAGACGTATGCCAACTTCCCAGAAGCACCTCAGGAGGAGGCTTCTCTCAGCAATAGGTATGTGGGAGGGACCCCGAGTTTGCTGCCTCAAGGGGAATATACAGCGAGAAGCCCTAACTTGAAAGGAGTCCGAATTTCCTTGCAGTGGCTTGAATACAGGCTCGTCTTTCATCTCACAACATGAAGGGATGTCTGAATCCCCTGTGGAGACCTTAGAGAAAGCCCTAGGTCCCTGCCTCATTTTGACGGAATGCCTCACATCCCGCTGACACCTCGAGAGGCACGCGGAGTTAATTGCTTCAAAAATGACGATGCCTGACTCCTCTTGAATACTGATAGGAATCCCAAAATCCCTGTGGCTACTGGAAAGGGTCCTTGGGTGCCCTGCCTCACCTCGAGAAGCATCCCTTTTGCCCTGGCAAGGCTGGAAGAGATTCCTGAGGTGTCCCTCGTTACTAGACAGGAGTCCTGACGTCACTGAAGAAACTCGTGTTTTGAAGGGCCATCCCCGCCGTAAGTCGAGAACATAACCCAGGTCCCCGCCGCAACTCGAGAAAAACCATGAGACTTAACCTTAGAGGCGAGATGAGGCCCCATTCCCCTGCAGTGCATGTAGAGCTATTCCGTGATCCCATTCAAACAAGTCAGGAGCTTCGACTTGCTTAATGGATCTCGAGACAGTCCCCAAGAACACTGTCACCAGTCTAGACGGACCCTGAGGTCACCCCAGCAACGCAAAGCAGCTCCATGTGGCCCAAATCAACTCGAGATGAGGCCCGATTCCCCTGCATTGACTCCAGAGCCATTCCTCGTTCCCCATTCAACACGACCGGTGGCTCGACTTCCTTCAGGAAACTCCAGAGATGCCCCAAGAACACTGTCCCAAGTCTAGAGGAACACCAACTTCAGCACAGCAACTGGAGGAATGCTCCGTGTACCCAAAATCGTCTCGAGATGAGAGCTGATTCTCTCGCTTAGGCTCAAGACGTATGCCAACTTTCCCGAAGCACCTCAGGAGGAGGCTTCTCTCAGCAATAGTTATGTGGGAGGGACCCCGAGTTTGCTGCCTCAAGGGGAATATACCGCGAGAAGCCCTAACTTGAAAGGAGGCCGGATTTCCTTGCAGGATCTTGAATACAGGCTCGTCTTTCATCTCACAACATGAAGGGATGTCTGAATCCCCTGTGGAGACCTTAGAGAAAGCCCTAGGTCCCTGCCTCATTTTGACGGAATGCCTCACATCCCGCTGACACCTCGAGAGGCACGCGGAGTTCATTGCTTCAAAAGGTGACGATGCCTGACTCCTCTTGAATACTGATAGGAATCCCAAAATCCCTGTGGCTACTGGAAAGGGTCCTTGGGTGCCGTGACTCACCTCGAGAAGCGTCCCTTTTGCCCTGCCAAGCCTCGAAGAGATTCCTGAGGTGTCCCTCGTTACTAGACAGGAGTCCTGATGTCACTGAAGAAACTCGTGGTTTGAAGGGCCATCCCCGCCGTAAGTCGAGGACATAGCCCAGGTCCCCATCGCAAGTCGAGAAAAACCATGAGACTTCCCCCTAGAGGGGAGATGAGGCCCCATTCCCCTGCAATGCATGCAGAGCTATTCCGTGATCCCATTCAAACAAGTCAGGAGCTTCAACTTGCTTAATGGATCTCGAGACAGTCCCCAAGAACACTGTCACCAGTCGAGACGGACCATGAGGTCACCCCAGCAACGCAAAGCAGCTCCATGTGCCCCAAATCAACTCGAGATGAGGCCCGATTCCGCTGCATTGACTCCAGAGCCATTCCCCGTTCCCCATTCAACACGACCGGTGGCTCGACTTCCTTCACGCAACTCCAGAGATGCCCTGAGAACACTGTCCCAAGTCTAGAGGAAAAACAACTTCAGAACAGCAACTCGAGGAATGATCCGTGTACCCCAAATCGTCTCGAGATGAGAGCTGATTCCCTGGCTTAGGCTCAAGACGTATGCCAACTTTCCAGAAGCACCTCAGGAGGAGGCTTCTCTCAGCAATAGGTATGTGGGAGGGACACCGAGTTTGCTGCCTCAAGGGGAATATACAGCGAGAAGCCCTAACTTGAAACGAGGCCAGATTTCCTTGCAGTGGCTTGAATACAGGCTCGTCTTTCATCTCACAACATGAAGAGATGTCTGAATCCCCTGTGGAGACCTTAGAGAAAGCCCTAGGTCCCTGCCTCATTTTGACGGAATGCCTCACATCCCGCTGACACCTCGAGAGGCACGCGGAGTTCATTGATTTAAAAGGTGACGATGCCTGACTCCTCTTGAATGCTGATAGGAATCCCAAAATCCCTGTGGCTACTGGAAAGGGTCCTTGGGTGCCCTGTCTAACCTCGAGAAGCGTCCCTTTTGCCCTGCCAAGCCTCGAAGAGATTCCTGAGGTGTCCCTCGTTACTAGACAGGAGTACTGACGTCACTGAAGTAACTCGTGTTCTGAAGGGCCAGCCCCGCCGTAAGTCGAGAACATACCACAGGTCCCGCCGCAACTCGAGAAAAACCATGAGACTTCCCACTAGAGGCGAGATGAGGCCCCATTCCCCTGCAGTGCATGCAGAGCTATTCCGTGATCCCATTCAAACAAGTCAGGAGCTTCGACTTGCTTAATGGATCTCGAGACAGTCCCCAAGAACACTGTCACCAGTCCAGACGGACCCTGAGGTCACCCTAGCACCGCAAAGCAGCTCCATGTGCCCCAAATCAACACGAGATGAGGCCCGATTCCCCTGCATTGACTCCAAAGCCATTCCCCGTTCGCCATTCAACACGACCGCTGGCTCGACTTCCTTCAGGCAACTCCAGAGATGCCCCGAGAACACTGTCCCAAGTCTAGAGGAACACCAAGTTCAGCACAGTAACTCGAGGAATGCTCCGTGTACCCCAAATCGTCTCGAGATGAGAGCTGATTCCCTGGCTTAGGCTCAAGACGTATGCCAACTTCCCAGAAGCACCTCAGGAGGAGGCTTCTCTCAGCAATAGGTATGTGGGAGGGACCCCGAGTTTGCTGCCTCAAGGGGAATATACAGCGTGAAGCCCTAACTTGAAAGGAGTCCGAATTTCCTTGCAGTGGCTTGAATACAGGCTCGTCTTTCATCTCACAACATGAAGGGATATCTGAATCCCCTGTGGAGACCTTAGAGAAAGCCCTAGGTCCCTGCCTCATTTTGACGGAATGCCTCACATCCCGTTGACACCTCGAGAGGCACGCGGAGTTAATCGCTTCAAAAATGACGATGCCTGACTCCTCTTGAATACTGATAGGAATCCCAAAATCCCTGTGGCTACTGGAAAGGGTCCTTGGGTGCCCTGCCTCACCTCGAGAAGCATCCCTTTTGCTCTGGCAAGCCTCCAAGAGATTCCTGAGGTGTCCCTCGTTACTAGACAGGAGTCCTGACGTCACTGAAGAAACTCGTGTTTTGAAGGATTATCCCCGCCGTAAGTCGAGAACATAACCCAGGTCCCCGCCGGAACTCGAGAAAAACCATGAGACTTCCCCCTAGAGGCGAGATGAGGCCCCAATCCCCTGCAGTGCATGCAGAGCTATTCCGTGATCCCATTCATACAAGTCAGGAGATTCGACTTGCTTAATGGATCTCGAGACAGTCCCCAAGAACACTGTCACCAGTCTAGACGGACCCTGAGGTCACCCCAGCAACGCAAAGCAGCTCCATGTACCCCAAATCAACTCGAGATGGGGCCCGATTCCCCTGCATTGACTCCAGAGCCATTCCTCGTTCCCCATTCAACACGACCGGTGGCTCGACTTCCTTCAGGAAACTCCAGAGATGCCCCAAGAACACTTTCCCAAGTCTAGAGGAACACCAACTTCAGCACAGCAACTGGAGGAATGCTCCGTGTACCCAAAATCGTCTCGAGATGAGAGCTGATTCCCTCGCTTAGGCTCAAGACGTATGCCAACTTTCCAGAAGCACCTCAGGAGGAGGCTTCTCTCAGCAATAGTTTGTGGGAGGGACCCCGAGTTTGCTGCCTCAAGGGGAATATACCGCGAGAAGCCCTAACTTGAAAGGAGGCCGGATTTCCTTACAGGGGCTTGAATACAGGCTCGTCTTTCATCTCACAACATGAAGGGATGTCTGAATCCCCTGTGGAGACCTTAGAGAAAGCCCTAGGTCCCTGCCTCATTTTGACGGAATGCCTCACATCCCGCTGACACCTCGAGAGGCACACGGAGTTCTTTGCTTCAAAAGGTGACGATGCCTGACTCCTCTTGAATACTGATAGGAATCCCAAACTCCCTGTGGCTACTGGAAAGGGTACTTGGGTGCCCTGCCTCACCTCGAGAAGCGTCCCTTTTGCCCTGCCAAGCCTCGAAGAGATTCCTGAGGTGTCCCTCGTTACTAGACAGGAGTCCTGATGTCACTGAAGAAACTCGTGGTTTGAAGGGCCATCCCCGCCGTAAGTCGAGGACATAGCCCAGGTCCCCATCACAAGTCCACAAAAACCATGAGACTTCCCCCTAGAGGGGAGATGAGGCCCCATTCCCCTGCAATGCATGCAGAGCTATTCCGTGATCCCATTCAAACAAGTCAGGAGCTTCGACTTGCTTAATGGATCTCGAGACAGTCCCCAAGAACACTGTCACCAGTCGAGACGGACCATGAGGTCACCCCAGCAACGCAAAGCAGCTCCATGTGCCCCAAATCAACTCGAGATGAGGCCCGATTCCGCTGCATTGACTCCAGAGCCATTCCCCGTTCCCCATTCAACACGACCGGTGGCTCGACTTCCTTCACGCAACTCCAGAGATGCCCTGAGAACACTGTCCCAAGTCTAGAGGAAAAACAACTTCAGCACAGCAACTCGAGGAATGATCCGTGTACCCCAAATCGTCTCGAGATGAGAGCTGATTCCCTGGCTTAGGCTCAAGACGTATGCCAACTTTCCAGAAGCACCTCAGGAGGAGGCTTCTCTCAGCAATAGGTATGTGGGAGGACACCGAGTTTGCTGCCTCACGGGGAATATACAGCGAGAAGCCCTAACTTGAAACGAGGCCAGATTTCCTTGCAGTGGCTTGAATACAGGCTCGTCTTTCATCTCACAACATGAAGGGATGTCTGAATCCCCTGTGTAGACCTTAGAGAAAGCCCTAGGTCCCTGCCTCATTTTGACGGAATGCCTCACATCCCGCTGACACCTCGAGAGGCACGCGGAGTTCATTGCTTTAAAAGGTGACGATGCCTGACTCCTCTTGAATGCTGATAGGGATCCCAAAATCCCTGTGGCTACTGGAAAGGTTCCTTGGGTGCCCTGCCTCACCTCGAGAAGCGTCCCATTTGCCCTGCCAAGCCTCGAAGAGATTCCTGAGGTGTCCCTCGTTACTAGACAGGAGTCCTGACGTCACTGAAGAAACTCGTGTTCTGAAGGGCCAGCCCCGCCGTAAGTCGAGAACATACCCCAGGTCCCCGCCGCAACTCGAGAAAAACCATGAGACTTCCCCCAAGAGGCGAGATGAGGCCCCATTCCCCTGCAGTGCATGCAGAGCTATTCCGTGATCCCATTCAAACAAGTCAGGAGCTTCGACTTGCTTAATGGATCTCCAGACAGTCCCCAAGAACACTGTCACCAGTCCAGACGGACCCTGAGGTCACCCCAGCACCGCAAAGCAGCTCCATGTGCCCCAAATCAACTCGAGATGAGGCCCGATTCCCCTGCATTGACTCCAGAGCCATTCCCCGTTCCCCATTCAACACGACCGGTGGGTCGACTTCCTTCAGGCAACTCCAGAGATGCCCCGAGAACACTGTCCCAAGTCTAGAGGAACACCAACTTCAGCACAGCAACTCGAGGAATGCTCCGTGTACCCCAAATCGTCTCGAGATGAGAGCTGATTCCCTGGCTTAGGCTCAAGACGTATGCCAACTTCCCAGAAGCACCTCAGGAGGAGGCTTCTCTCAGCAATAGGTATGTGGGAGGGACCCTGAGTTTGCTGCCTCAAGGGGAATATACAGCGAGAAGACCTAACTTGAAAGGAGTCCGAATTTCCTTGCAGTGGCTTGAATACAGGCTCGTCTTTCATCTCACAATATGAAGGGATGTCTGAATCCGCTGTGGAGACCTTAGAGAAAGCCCTAGGTCCCTGCCTCATTTTGACGGAATGCCTCACATCCCGCTGACACCTCGACAGGCACGCGGAGTTAATTGCTTCAAAAATGACGATGCCTGACCCCTCTTGAATACTGATAGGAATCCCAAAATCCCTGTGGCTACTGGAAAGGATCCTTGGGTGCCCTGCCTCACCTCGAGAAGCGTCCCTTTTGCCCTGCCAAGCCTCGAAGAGATTCCTGAGGTGTCCCTCGTTACTAGACAGGAGTCCTGACGTCACTGAAGAAACTCGTGTTTTGAAGGGCCATCCCCGCCATAAGTGGAGAACATACCCCAGGTCCCCCCGCAACTCGAGAAAAAACATGAGACTTCCCCCTAGAGGCGAGCTGAGGCCCCATTCCCCTTCAGTGCATGCAGAGCTATTCCGTGATCCCATTCAAACAAGTCAGGAACTTCGACTTGCTTAATGGATCTCGAGACAGTCCCCAAGAACACTGTCATCAGTCTAGACGGACCCTGAGGTCAACCCAGCAACGCAAAGCAGCTCCATGTGCCCCAAATCAACTCGAGATGGGGCCCGATTCCCCTGCATTGACTCCAGAGCCATTCCTCGTTCCCCACTCAACACGACCGGTGGCTCGACTTCCTTCAGGAAACTCCAGAGATGCCCCGAGAACACTGTCCCAAGTCTAGAGGAACACCAACTTCAGCACAGCAACTCGAGGAATGCTGCGAGTACCCCAAATCGTCTCGAGATGAGAGCTGATTCCCTCGCTTAGGCTCAAGACGTATGCCAACTTTCCAGAAGCACCTCAGGAGGAGGCATCTCTCAGCAATAGTTATGTGGGAGGGACCCCGAGTTTGCTGCCTCAAGGGGAATATACCGCGAGAAGCCCTAACTTGAAAGGAGGCCGGATTTCCTTGCAGGGGCTTGAATACAGGCTCGTCTTTCATCTCACAACATGAAGGGATGTCTGAATCCCCTGTGGAGACCTTAGAGAAAGACCTAGGTCCCTGCCTCATTTTGACGGAATGCCTCACATCCCGCTGTCACCTCGAGAGGCACACGGAGTTCATTGCTTCAAAAGGTGACGATGCCTGACTCCTCTTGAATACTGATAGGAATCCCAAAAACCCTGTGGCTACTGGAAAGGGTCCTTGGGTGCCCTGCCTCACCTCGAGAAGCGTCCCTTTTGCCCTGCCAAGCCTCGAAGAGATTCCTGAGATGTCCCTCGTTACTAGACAGGAGTCCTGATGTCACTGAAGAAACTCATGTTTTGAAGGGCCATCCCCGCCGTAAGTCGAGAACATACCCCAGGTCCCCGCCGCAACTCGAGAAAAACCATGAGACTTCCCCCTAGAGGCGAGATGAGGCCCCATTCCCTGCAGTGCATGCAGAGCTATTCCGTGATCCCATTCAAACAAGTCAGGAGCTTCGACTTGCTTAATGGATCTCGAGACAGTCCCCAAGAACACTGTCACCAGTCCAGACGGACCCTGAGGTCACCCCAGCACCGCAAAGCAGCTCCATGTGCCCCAAATCAACTCGAGATGAGGCCCGATTCCCCTGCATTGACTCCAGAGCCATTCCCCATTCGCCATTCAACACGACCGGTGCCTCGCCTTCCTTCAGGCAACTCCAGAGATGCCCCGAGAACACTGTCCCAAGTCTAGAGGAACACCAACTTCAGCACAGCAACTCGAGGAAAGCTCCGTGTACCCCAAATCGTCTCGAGATGAGAGCTGATTCCCTGGCTTAGGCTCAAGACGTATGCCAACTTTCCAGAAGCACCTCAGGAGGAGGCTTCTCTCAGCAATAGGTATGTGGGAGGACACCGAGTTTGCTGCCTCACGGGGAATATACAGCGAGAAGCCCTAACTTGAAACGAGGCCAGATTTCCTTGCAGTGGCTTGAATACAGGCTCGTCTTTCATCTCACAACATGAAGGGATGTCTGAATCCCCTGTGTAGACCTTAGAGAAAGCCCTAGGTCCCTGCCACATTTTGACGGAATGCCTCACATCCCGCTGACACCTCGAGAGGCACGCGGAGTTCATTGCTTTAAAAGGTGACGATGCCTGACTCCTCTTGAATGCTGATAGGGATCCCAAAATCCCTGTGGCTACTGGAAAGGTTCCTTGGGTGCCCTGCCTCACCTCGAGAAGCGTCCCATTTGCCCTGCCAAGCCTCGAAGAGATTCCTGAGGTGTCCCTCGTTACTAGACAGGAGTCCTGACGTCACTGAAGAAACTCGTGTTCTGAAGGGCCAGCCACGCCGTAAGTCGAGAACATACCCCAGGTCCCCGCCGCAACTCGAGAAAAACCATGAGACTTCCCCCAAGAGGCGAGATGAGGCCCCATTCCCCTGCAGTGCATGCAGAGCTATTCCGTGATCCCATTCAAACAAGTCAGGAGCTTCGACTTGCTTAATGGATCTCCAGACAGTCCCCAAGAACACTGTCACCAGTCCAGACGGACCCTGAGGTCACCCCAGCACCGCAAAGCAGCTCCATGTGCCCCAAATCAACTCGAGATGAGGCCCGATTCCCCTGCATTGACTCCAGAGCCATTCCCCGTTCCCCATTCAACACGACCGGTGGCTCGACTTCCTTCAGGCAACTCCAGAGATGCCCCGAGAACACTGTCCCAAGTCTAGAGGAACACCAACTTCAGCACAGCAACTCGAGGAATGCTCCGTGTACCCCAAATCGTCTCGAGATGAGAGCTGATTCCCTGGCTTAGGCTCAAGACGTATGCCAACTTCCCAGAAGCACCTCAGGAGGAGGCTTCTCTCAGCAATAGGTATGTGGGAGGGACCCTGAGTTTGCTGCCTCAAGGGGAATATACAGCGAGAAGACCTAACTTGAAAGGAGTCCGAATTTCCTTGCAGTGGCTTGAATACAGGCTCGTCTTTCATCTCACAATATGAAGGGATGTCTGAATCCACTGTGGAGACCTTAGAGAAAGCCCTAGGTCCCTGCCTCATTTTGACGGAATGCCTCACATCCCGCTGACACCTCGACAGGCACGCGGAGTTAATTGCTTCAAAAATGACGATGCCTGACTCCTCTTGAATACTGATAGAAATCCCAAAATCCCTGTGGCTACTGGAAAGGGTCCTTGGGTGCCCTGCCTCACGTCGAGAAGCATCCCTTTTGCCCTGGCAAGTCTCGAAGAGATTCCTGAGGTGTCCCTCGTTACTAGACAGGAGTCCTGACGTCACTGAAGAAACTCGTGTTTTGAAGGGCCATCCCCGCCGTAAGTCGAGAACATACCCCAGGTCCATGGCGCAACTCGAGAAAAAACATGAGACTTCCCCCTAGAGGCGAGATGAGGCCCCATTCCCCTGCAGTGCATGCAGAGCTATTCCGTGATCCCATTCAAACAAGTCAGGAACTTCGACTTGCTTAATGGATCTCGAGACAGTCCCCAAGAACACTGTCACCAGTCTAGATGGAACCTGAGGTCAACCCAGCAACGCAAAGCAGCTCCATGTGCCCCAAATCAACTCGAGATGGGGCCCGATTCCCCTGCATTGACTCCAGAACCATTCCTCGTTCCCCACTCAACACGACCGGTGGCTCGACTTCCTTCAGGAAACTCCAGAGATGCCCCGAGAACACTGTCCCAAGTCTAGAGGAACACCAACTTCAGCACAGCAACTGGAGGAATGCTCCGTGTACCCCAAATCGTCTCGAGATGAGAGCTGAATCCCTCGCTTAGGCTCAAGACGTATGCCAACTTTCCAGAAGCACCTCAGGAGGAGGCTTCTCTCAGCAATAGGTATGTGGGAGGGACCCCGAGTTTGCTGCCTCAAGGGGAATATACCGCGAGAAGCCCTAACTTGAAAGGAGGCCGGATTTCCTTGCAGGGGCTTGAATACAGGCTCGTCTTTCATCTCACAACATGAAGGGATGTCTGAATCCCCTGTGGAGACCTTAGAGAAAGCCCTAGGTCCCTGCCTCATTTTGACGGAATGCCTCACATCCCGCTGACACCTCGAGAGGCACGCGGAGTTCATTGCTTCAAAAGGTGACGATGCCTGACTCCTCTTGAATACTGATAGGAATCCCAAACTCGCTGTGGCTACTGGAAAGGGTCCTTGGGTGCCCTGCCTCACCTCGAGAAGCGTCCCTTTTGCCCTGCCAAGCCTCGAAGATATTCCTGAGGTGTCCCTCGTTACTAGACAGGAGTCCTGATGTCACTGAAGAAACTCGTGGTTTGAAGGGCCATCCCCGCCGTAAGTCGAGGACAGAGCCCAGGTCCCCATCGCAAGTCGAGAAAAACCATGAGACTTCCCCCTAGAGGCGAGATGAGGCCCCATTCCCCTGCAGTGCATGCAGAGCTATTCCGTGATCCCATTCAAACAAGTCAGGAGCTTCGACTTGCTTAATGGATCTCGAGACAGTCCCCAAGAACACTGTCAACAGTCCAGACGGACCCTGAGGTCACCCCAGCACCGCAAAGCAGCTCCATGTGCCCCAAATCAACTCGAGATGAGGCCCGATTCCCCTGCATTGACTCCAGATCCATTCCCCGTTCCCCATTCAACACGACCAGTGGCTCGACTTCCTTCAGGCAACTCCAGAGATGCCCCGAGAACACTGTCCCATGTCTAGAGGAACACCAACTTCAGCACAGCAACTCGAGGAATGCTCCCTGTACCCCAAATTGTCTCGAGATGAGAGCTGATTCCCTGGCTTAGGCTCAAGACGTATGCCAACTTCCCAGAAGCACCTCAGGAGGAGGCTTCTCTCAGCAATAGGTATGTGGGAGGGACCCTGAGTTTGCAGCCTCAAGGGGAATATACAGCGAGAAGACCTAACTTGAAAGGAGTCCGAATTTCCTTGCAGTGGCTTGAATACAGGCTCGTCATTCATCTCACAATATGAAAGGATGTCTGAATCCGCTGTGGAGACCTTAGAGAAAGCCCTAGGTCCCTGCCTCATTTTGACGGAATGCCTCACATCCCGCTGACACCTCGACAGGCACGCGGAGTTAATTGCTTCAAAAATGACGACGCCTGACTCCTCTTGAATACTGATAGGAATCCCAAAATCCCTGTGGCTACTGGAAAGGGTCCTTGGGTGCCCTGTCTCACCTCGAGAAGCATCCCTTTTGCCCTGGCAAGCCTCGAAGAGATTCCTGAGGTGTCCCTCGTTACTAGACAGGAGTCCTGACGTCACTGAAGAAACTCGTGTTTTGAAGGGCCATCCCCGCCGTAAGTCGAGAACATACCCCAGGTCCCCGCCGCAACTCGAGAAAAAATATGAGACTTCGCCCTAGAGGCGAGATGAGGCCCCATTCCCCTGCAGTGCATGCTGAGCTATTCCGTGATCCCATTCAAACAAGTCAGGAACTTCGACTTGCTTAATGGATCTCGAGACAGTCCTCAAGTACACTGTCACCAGTCTAGACGGACCCTGAGGTCAACCCAGCAACGCAAAGCAGCTCCATGTGCCCCAAATCAACTCGAGATGGGGCCCGATTCCCCTGCATTGACTCCAGAGCCATTCCTCATTCCCCACTCAACACGACCGGTGGCTCGACTTCCTTCAGGAAACTCCAGAGATGCCCCGAGAACACTGTCCCAAGTCTAGATTAACACCAACTTCAGCACAGCAACTCGAGGAATGCTCCGTGTACCCCAAATCGTCTCGAGATGAGAGCTGATTCCCTGGCTTAGGCTCAAGACGTATGCCAACTTTCCAGAAGCACCTCAGGAGGAGGCTTCTCTCAGCAATAGGTATGTGGGAGGGACCCCGAGTTTGCTGCCTCTAGGGGAATATACCGGGAGAAGCCCTAACTTGAAAGGAGGCCGGATTTCCTTGCAGGAGCTTGAATACAGGCTCGTCTTTCATCTCACAACATGAAGGGATGTCTGAATCCCCTGTGGAGACCTTAGAGAAAGCCCTAGGTCCCTGCCTCATTTTTACGGAATGCCTCACATCCCGCTGACACCTCGAGAGGCACGCGGAGTTCATTGCTTTAAAAGGTGACGATGCCTGACTCCTCTTGAATGCTGATAGGAATCCGAAAATCCCTGTGGCTACTGGAAAGGGTCCTTGGGTGCCCTGCCTCACCTCGAGAAGCGTCCCATTTGCCCTGCCAAGCCTCGAAGAGATTCCTGAGGTGTCCCTCGTTACTAGACAGGAGTCCTGACGTCACTGAAGAAACTCGTGTTTTGAAGGGCCATCCCCGCCGTAAGTCGAGAACATACCCCAGGTCCCCGCCGCAACTCGAGAAAAACCATGAGACTTCCCCCTAGAGGCGAGATGAGGCCCCATTGCACTGCAGTGCATGCAGAGCTATTCCGTGATCCCATTCAAACAAGTCAGGAGCTTCGACTTGCTTAATGGATCTCGAGACAGTCCCCAAGAACACTGTCACCAGTCTAGACGGACCCTGAGGTCACCCCAGCAACGCAAAGCAGCTCCATGTGCCCCAAATCAACTCGAGATGAGGCCCGATTCCCCTGCATTGACTCCAGAGCCATTCACCGTTCCCCATTCAACACGACCGGTGGCTCGACTTCCTTCAGGAAACTCCAGAGATGCCCCGAGAAGACTGTCCCAAGTCTAGAGGAACACCAACTTCAGCACAGCAACTCGAAGAATGCTCCGTGTACCCCAAATCGTCTCGAGATGAGAGCTGATTCCCTGGCTTAGGCTCAAGACGTATGCCAACTTTCCAGAAGCACCTCAGGAGGAGGCTTCTCTCAGCAGTAGGTATATGGGAGGGACACCGAGTTTGCTGCCTCAAGGGGTATATACCGCGAGAAGCCCTAACTTGAAAGGAGGCCGGATTTCCTTGCAGTGGCTTGAATACAGGCTCGTCTTTCATCTCACAATATGGAGGGATGTCTGAATCCCCTGTGTAGACTTTAGAGAAAGCCCTAGGTCCCTGCCTCATTTTGACGGAATGCCTCACATCCCGCTGACACTTCGAGAGGCACGCGAAGTTCATTGCTTCAAAAGGTGACGATGCCTGACTCCTCTTGAATACTGATAGGAATCCCAAAATCCCTGTGGCTACTGGAAAGGGTCCTTGGGTGCCCTGCCTCACCTCGAGAAGCGTCCCTTTTGCCCTGCCAAGCCTCGAAGAGATTCCTGAGGTGTCCCTCGTTACTAGACAGGACTCCTGACGTCACTGAAGAAACTCGTGTTTTGAAGGGCCATCCCCGCCGTAAGTCGAGAACATACCCCAGGTCCCCGCCGCAACTCGAGAAAAGCCATGAGACTTCCCCCTAGAGGCGAGATGAGGCACCATTCCCCTGCAGTGCATGCAGAGCTATTCCGTGATCCCATTCAAACAAGTCAGGAGCTTCGACTTGCTTAATGGATCTCGAGACAGTCCCCAAGAACACTGTCACCAGTCCAGACGGACCCTGAGGTCACCCCAGCACCGCAAAGCAGCTCCATGTGCCCCAAATCAACTCGAGATGAGGCCCGATTCCCCTGCATTGACTCCAGAGCTATTCCCCGTTCCCCATTCAACACGACCGGTGGCTCGACTTCCTTCAGGCAACTCCAGAAATGCCCCGAGAACACTGTCCCAAGTCTAGAGGAACACCAACTTCAGCACAGCAACTCGAGGAATGCTCCGTGTACCCCAAATCGTCTCGAGATGAGAGCTGATTCCCTGGCTTAGGCTCAAGACGTATGCCAACTTCCCAGAAGCAGCTCAGGAGGAGGCTTCTCTCAGCAATAGGTATGTGGGAGGGACCCCGAGTTTGCTGCCTCAAGGGGAATATACAGCGAGAAGCCCTAACTTGAAAGGAGTCCGAATTTCCTTGCAGTGGCTTGAATACAGGCTCGTCTTTCATCTCACAACATGAAGGGATGTCTGAATCCCCTGTGGACACCTTAGAGAAAGCCCTAGGTCCCTGCCTCATTTTGACGGAATGCCTCAGATCCCGCTGACACCTCGAGAGGAACGCGGAGTTAATTGCTTCAAAAATGACGATGCCTGACTCCTCTTGAATACTGATAGGAATCCCAAAATCCCTGTGGCTACTGGAAAGGGTCCTTGGGTGCCCTGCCTCACCTCGAGAAGCATCCCTTTTGCCCTGGCAAGCCTCGAAGTGATTCCTGAGGTGTCCCTCGTTACTAGACAGGAGTCCTGACGTCACTGAAGAAACTCATGTTTTGAAGGGCCATCCCCGCCGTAAGTCGAGAACATACCCCAGGTCCCCGCCGCAACTCGAGAAAAACCATGAGACTTCCCCCTAGAGGCGAGATGAGGCCCCATTCCCTGCAGTGCATGCAGAGCTATTCCGTGATCCCATTCAAACAAGTCAGGAGCTTCGACTTGCTTAATGGATCTCGAGACAGTCCCCAAGAACACTGTCACCAGTCCAGACGGACCCTGAGGTCACCCCAGCACCGCAAAGCAGCTCCATGTGCCCCAAATCAACTCGAGATGAGGCCCGATTCCCCTGCATTGACTCCAGAGCCATTCCCCATTCGCCATTCAACACGACCGGTGCCTCGCCTTCCTTCAGGCAACTCCAGAGATGCCCCGAGAACACTGTCCCAAGTCTAGAGGAACACCAACTTCAGCACAGCAACTCGAGGAATGCTCCGTGTACCCCAAATCGTCTCGAGATGAGAGCTGATTCCCTGGCTTAGGCTCAAGACGTATGCCAACTTTCCAGAAGCACCTCAGGAGGAGGCTTCTCTCAGCAATAGGTATGTGGGAGGACACCGAGTTTGCTGCCTCACGGGGAATATACAGCGAGAAGCCCTAACTTGAAACGAGGCCAGATTTCCTTGCAGTGGCTTGAATACAGGCTCGTCTTTCATCTCACAACATGAAGGGATGTCTGAATCCCCTGTGTAGACCTTAGAGAAAGCCCTAGGTCCCTGCCACATTTTGACGGAATGCCTCACATCCCGCTGACACCTCGAGAGGCACGCGGAGTTCATTGCTTTAAAAGGTGACGATGCCTGACTCCTCTTGAATGCTGATAGGGATCCCAAAATCCCTGTGGCTACTGGAAAGGTTCCTTGGGTGCCCTGCCTCACCTCGAGAAGCGTCCCATTTGCCCTGCCAAGCCTCGAAGAGATTCCTGAGGTGTCCCTCGTTACTAGACAGGAGTCCTGACGTCACTGAAGAAACTCGTGTTCTGAAGGGCCAGCCACGCCGTAAGTCGAGAACATATCCCAGGTCCCCGCCGCAACTCGAGAAAAACCATGAGACTTCCCCCAAGAGGCGAGATGAGGCCCCATTCCCCTGCAGTGCATGCAGAGCTATTCCGTGATCCCATTCAAACAAGTCAGGAGCTTCGACTTGCTTAATGGATCTCCAGACAGTCCCCAAGAACACTGTCACCAGTCCAGACGGACCCTGAGGTCACCCCAGCACCGCAAAGCAGCTCCATGTGCCCCAAATCAACTCGAGATGAGGCCCGATTCCCCTGCATTGACTCCAGAGCCATTCCCCGTTCCCCATTCAACACGACCGGTGGCTCGACTTCCTTCAGGCAACTCCAGAGATGCCCCGAGAACACTGTCCCAAGTCTAGAGGAACACCAACTTCAGCACAGCAACTCGAGGAATGCTCCGTGTACCCCAAATCGTCTCGAGATGAGAGCTGATTCCCTGGCTTAGGCTCAAGACGTATGCCAACTTCCCAGAAGCACCTCAGGAGGAGGCTTCTCTCAGCAATAGGTATGTGGGAGGGACCCTGAGTTTGCTGCCTCAAGGGGAATATACAGCGAGAAGACCTAACTTGAAAGGAGTCCGAATTTCCTTGCAGTGGCTTGAATACAGGCTCGTCTTTCATCTCACAATATGAAGGGATGTCTGAATCCGCTGTGGAGACCTTAGAGAAAGCCCTAGGTCCCTGCCTCATTTTGACGGAATGCCTCACATCCCGCTGACACCTCGACAGGCACGCGGAGTTAATTGCTTCAAAAATGACGATGCCTGACTCCTCTTGAATACTGATAGAAATCCCAAAATCCCTGTGGCTACTGGAAAGGGTCCTTGGGTGCCCTGCCTCACGTCGAGAAGCATCCCTTTTGCCCTGGCAAGTCTCGAAGAGATTCCTGAGGTGTCCCTCGTTACTAGACAGGAGTCCTGACGTCACTGAAGAAACTCGTGTTTTGAAGGGCCATCCCCGCCGTAAGTCGAGAACATACCCCAGGTCCATGGCGCAACTCGAGAAAAAACATGAGACTTCCCCCTAGAGGCGAGATGAGGCCCCATTCCCCTGCAGTGCATGCAGAGCTATTCCGTGATCCCATTCAAACAAGTCAGGAACTTCGACTTGCTTAATGGATCTCGAGACAGTCCCCAAGAACACTGTCACCAGTCTAGATGGAACCTGAGGTCAACCCAGCAACGCAAAGCAGCTCCATGTGCCCCAAATCAACTCGAGATGGGGCCCGATTCCCCTGCATTGACTCCAGAACCATTCCTCGTTCCCCACTCAACACGACCGGTGGCTCGACTTCCTTCAGGAAACTCCAGAGATGCCCCGAGAACACTGTCCCAAGTCTAGAGGAACACCAACTTCAGCACAGCAACTGGAGGAATGCTCCGTGTACCCCAAATCGTCTCGAGATGAGAGCTGAATCCCTCGCTTAGGCTCAAGACGTATGCCAACTTTCCAGAAGCACCTCAGGAGGAGGCTTCTCTCAGCAATAGGTATGTGGGAGGGACCCCGAGTTTGCTGCCTCAAGGGGAATATACCGCGAGAAGCCCTAACTTGAAAGGAGGCCGGATTTCCTTGCAGGGGCTTGAATACAGGCTCGTCTTTCATCTCACAACATGAAGGGATGTCTGAATCCCCTGTGGAGACCTTAGAGAAAGCCCTAGGTCCCTGCCTCATTTTGACGGAATGCCTCACATCCCGCTGACACCTCGAGAGGCACGCGGAGTTCATTGCTTCAAAAGGTGACGATGCCTGACTCCTCTTGAATACTGATAGGAATCCCAAACTCGCTGTGGCTACTGGAAAGGGTCCTTGGGTGCCCTGCCTCACCTCGAGAAGCGTCCCTTTTGCCCTGCCAAGCCTCGAAGATATTCCTGAGGTGTCCCTCGTTACTAGACAGGAGTCCTGATGTCACTGAAGAAACTCGTGGTTTGAAGGGCCATCCCCGCCGTAAGTCGAGGACAGAGCCCAGGTCCCCATCGCAAGTCGAGAAAAACCATGAGACTTCCCCCTAGAGGCGAGATGAGGCCCCATTCCCCTGCAGTGCATGCAGAGCTATTCCGTGATCCCATTCAAACAAGTCAGGAGCTTCGACTTGCTTAATGGATCTCGAGACAGTCCCCAAGAACACTGTCAACAGTCCAGACGGACCCTGAGGTCACCCCAGCACCGCAAAGCAGCTCCATGTGCCCCAAATCAACTCGAGATGAGGCCCGATTCCCCTGCATTGACTCCAGATCCATTCCCCGTTCCCCATTCAACACGACCAGTGGCTCGACTTCCTTCAGGCAACTCCAGAGATGCCCCGAGAACACTGTCCCATGTCTAGAGGAACACCAACTTCAGCACAGCAACTCGAGGAATGCTCCCTGTACCCCAAATCGTCTCGAGATGAGAGCTGATTCCCTGGCTTAGGCTCAAGACGTATGCCAACTTTCCAGAAGCACCTCAGGAGGAGGCTTCTCTCAGCAATAGGTATGTGGGAGGGACCCCGAGTTTGCTGCCTCTAGGGGAATATACCGGGAGAAGCCCTAACTTGAAAGGAGGCCGGATTTCCTTGCAGGAGCTTGAATACAGGCTCGTCTTTCATCTCACAACATGAAGGGATGTCTGAATCCCCTGTGGAGACCTTAGAGAAAGCCCTAGGTCCCTGCCTCATTTTTACGGAATGCCTCACATCCCGCTGACACCTCGAGAGGCACGCGGAGTTCATTGCTTTAAAAGGTGACGATGCCTGACTCCTCTTGAATGCTGATAGGAATCCGAAAATCCCTGTGGCTACTGGAAAGGGTCCTTGGGTGCCCTGCCTCACCTCGAGAACCGTCCCATTTGCCCTGCCAAGCCTCGAAGAGATTCCTGAGGTGTCCCTCGTTACTAGACAGGAGTCCTGACGTCACTGAAGAAACTCGTGTTTTGAAGGGCCATCCCCGCCGTAAGTCGAGAACATACCCCAGGTCCCCGCCGCAACTCGAGAAAAACCATGAGACTTCCCCCTAGAGGCGAGATGAGGCCCCATTGCACTGCAGTGCATGCAGAGCTATTCCGTGATCCCATTCAAACAAGTCAGGAGCTTCGACTTGCTTAATGGGTCTCGAGACAGTCCCCAAGAACACTGTCACCAGTCTAGACGGACCCTGAGGTCACCCCAGCAACGCAAAGCAGCTCCATGTGCCCCAAATCAACTCGGATGAGGCCCGATTCCCCTGCATTGACTCCAGAGCCATTCACCGTTCCCCATTCAACACGACCGGTGGCTCGACTTCCTTCAGGAAACTCCAGAGATGCCCCGAGAAGACTGTCCCAAGTCTAGAGGAACACCAACTTCAGCAGAGCAACTCGAAGAATGCTCCGTGTACCCCAAATCGTCTCGAGATGAGAGCTGATTCCCTGGCTTAGGCTCAAGACGTATGCCAACTTTCCAGAAGCACCTCAGGAGGAGGCTTCTCTCAGCAGTAGGTATATGGGAGGGACACCGAGTTTGCTGCCTCAAGGGGTATATACCGCGAGAAGCCCTAACTTGAAAGGAGGCCGGATTTCCTTGCAGTGGCTTGAATACAGGCTCGTCTTTCATCTCACAATATGGAGGGATGTCTGAATCCCCTGTGTAGACTTTAGAGAAAGCCCTAGGTCCCTGCCTCATTTTGACGGAATGCCTCACATCCCGCTGACACTTCGAGAGGCACGCGAAGTTCATTGCTTCAAAAGGTGACGATGCCTGACTCCTCTTGAATACTGATAGGAATCCCAAAATCCCTGTGGCTACTGGAAAGGGTCCTTGGGTGCCCTGCCTCACCTCGAGAAGCGTCCCTTTTGCCCTGCCAAGCCTCGAAGAGATTCCTGAGGTGTCCCTCGTTACTAGACAGGACTCCTGACGTCACTGAAGAAACTCGTGTTTTGAAGGGCCATCCCCGCCGTAAGTCGAGAACATACCCCAGGTCCCCGCCGCAACTCGAGAAAAGCCATGAGACTTCCCCCTAGAGGTGAGATGAGGCACCATTCCCCTGCAGTGCATGCAGAGCTATTCCGTGATCCCATTCAAACAAGTCAGGAGCTTCGACTTGCTTAATGGATCTCGAGACAGTCCCCAAGAACACTGTCACCAGTCCAGACGGACCCTGAGGTCACCCCAGCACCGCAAAGCAGCTCCATGTGCCCCAAATCAACTCGAGATGAGGCCCGATTCCCCTGCATTGACTCCAGAGCTATTCCCCGTTCCCCATTCAACACGACCGGTGGCTCGACTTCCTTCAGGCAACTCCAGAAATGCCCCGAGAACACTGTCCCAAGTCTAGAGGAACACCAACTTCAGCACAGCAACTCGAGGAATGCTCCATGTACCCCAAATCGTCTCGAGATGAGAGCTGATTCCCTGGCTTAGGCTCAAGACGTATGCCAACTTCCCAGAAGCAGCTCAGGAGGAGGCTTCTCTCAGCAATAGGTATGTGGGAGGGACCCCGAGTTTGCTGCCTCAAGGGGAATATACAGCGAGAAGCCCTAACTTGAAAGGAGTCCGAATTTCCTTGCAGTGGCTTGAATACAGGCTCGTCTTTCATCTCACAACATGAAGGGATGTCTGAATCCCCTGTGGACACCTTAGAGAAAGCCCTAGGTCCCTGCCTCATTTTGACGGAATGCCTCAGATCCCGCTGACACCTCGAGAGGAACGCGGAGTTAATTGCTTCAAAAATGACGATGCCTGACTCCTCTTGAATACTGATAGGAATCCCAAAATCCCTGTGGCTACTGGAAAGGGTCCTTGGGTGCCCTGCCTCACCTCGAGAAGCATCCCTTTTGCCCTGGCAAGCCTCGAAGTGATTCCTGAGGTGTCCCTCGTTACTAGACAGGAGTCCTGACGTCACTGAAGGAACTCGTGTTTTGAAGGGCCATCCCCGCCTTAAGTCGAGAACATACCCCAGGTCCCCGCCGCAACTCGAGAAAAACCATGAGACTTCCCCCTAGAGGCGAGATGAGGCCCCATTCCCCTGCAGTGCATGCAGAGCTATTCCGTGATCCCATTCAAACAAGTCAGGAGATTCGACTTGCTTAATGGATCTCTAGAGAGTCCCCAAGAACACTGTCACCAGACTAGACGGACCCTGAGGTCAGCCCAGCAACGCAAAGCAGCTCCATGTGCCCCAAATCAACTCGAGATGAGGCCCGATTCCCCTGCATTGACTCCAGAGCCATTTCCCGTTCCCCATTCAACACGACCGGTGGGTCGACTTCCTTCAGGCAACTCCAGAGATGCCCCGAGAACACTGTCCCAAGTCTATAGGAACACCAACTTCAGCACAGCAACTCGAGGAATGCTCCTTGTACCACAAATCGTCTCGAGATGAGAGCTGATTCCCTGGCTTAGGCTCAAGACGTATGCCACCTTTCCAGAAGCACCTCAGGAGGAGGCTTCTCTCAGCAATAGGTATGTGGGAGGGACCCCGAGTTTGCTGCCTCAAGGGGAATATACAGCGAGAAGCCCTAACATGAAAGGAGGCCGGATTTCCTTGCAGTGGCTGGAATACAGGCTCGTGTTTCATCTCACAACATGAAGGGATGTCTGAATCCAATGTGGAGACCTTAGAGAAAGCCCTAGGTCCCTGCCTCATTTTGACGGAATGCCTCACATCCCACTGACACCTCGAGAGGCACACGGAGTTCATTGCTTCAAAAGGTGACGATGCCTGACTCCTCTTGAATACTGATAGGAATCCGAAAATCCCTGTTGCTACTGGAAAGGGTCCTTGGGTGCCCTGCCTCACCTCGAGAAGCGTCCCTTTTGCCCTGCCAAGCCTCGAAGATTTTCCTGAGGTGTCCCTCGTTACTAGACAGGAGTCCTGACGTTACTGAAGGAACTCGTGTTTTGAAGGGCCATCCCTGCCGGAAGTCGAGAACATACCCCAGGTCCCCGCCGCAACTCGAGAAAAACTATGAGACTTCCCCCTAGAGGCGAGATGAGGCCCCATTCCCCTGCAGTGCATGCAGAGCTATTCCGTGATCCCATTCAAACAAGTCAGGAGCTTCGACTTGCTTAATGGATCTCGAGACAGTCCCCAAGAACACTGTCACCAGTCTAGACGGACCCTGAGGTCAGCCCAGCAACGCAAAGCAGCTCCATGTGCCCCAAATCAACTCGAGATGAGGCCCGATTCCCCTGCATTGACTCCAGAGCCATTCCCCGTTCCCCATTCAACACGACCGGTGGCTCGACTTCCTTCAGGCAACTCCAGAGATGCCCCGAGAACACTGTCCCAAGTCTAGAGGAACACCAACTTCAGCAGAGCAACTCGAGGAATGCTCCGTGTACCCCAAATCGTCTCGAGATGAGAGCTGATTCCCTGGCTTAGTCTCAAGACGTATGCCAACTTTCCAGAAGCACCTCAGGAGGAGGCTTCTCTCAGCAATATGTATGTGGGAGGGACCCCGAGTTTGCTGCCTCAAGGGGAATATACCGCGAGAAGCCCTAACTTGAAAGGAGGCCGGATTTCCTTGCAGTGGCTTGAATACAGGATCGTCTTCATCTCACAATATGGAGGGATGTCTGAATCCCCTGTGGAGAAATTAGAGAAAGCCCTAGGTCCCTGCCTCATTTTGTACGGAATGCCTCACATCACGCTGACACCTCGAGAGGCACGCGGAGTTCATTGCTTCAAAAGGTGACGATGCCTGACTCCTCTTGAATATTGATAGGAATCCCAAAATCCCTGTGGCTACTGGAAAGGGTCCTTGAGTGCCCTGCCCCACTTCGAGAAGGGTCCATTTTGCTCTGCCAAGCCTCGAAGAGATTCCTGAGGTGTTCCTCGTTACTAGACAGGAGTCCTGACGTCACTGAAGAAACTCGTGTTTTGAAGGGCCATCCCCGCCGTAATTCGAGAACATACCTCAGGTCCCCGCCGCAACTCGAGAAAAACCGAAAGACTTCCCCCTAGAGGCGAGATGAAGCCCCATTCCCCTGCAGTGCATGCAGAGCTATTCCGTGATCCCATTCAAACAAGTCAGGAGCTTCGACTTGCTTAATGGATCTCCAGAGAGTCCCCAAGAACACTGTCACCAGTCCAGACGGACCCTGAGGTCACCCCAGCACCGCACAGCAGCTCCATGTGCCCCAAATCAACTCGAGATGAGGCCCGATTCCCCTGCATTGACTCCAGAGCCATTCCCCGTTCCCCATTCAACACGACCGGTGGCGCGACTTCCTTCAGCAACTCCAGAGATGCCCCGAGAACACTGTCCCAAGTCTAGAGGAACACCAACTTCAGCACAGCAACTCGAGGAATGCTCTGTGTACACCAAATCGTCTCGAGATGAGAGCTGATTCCCTGGCTTAGGCTCAAGACGTATGACAACTCCCCAGAAGCACCTCAGGAGGAGGCTTCTCTCAGCAATAGGTATGTGGGAGGGACCCCGAGTTTGCTGCCTCAAGGGGAATATACAGCGAGAAGCCCTAACTTGAAAGGAGGCCGGATTTCCATGCAGGGGCTTGAATACAGGCTCGTCTTTCATCTCACAACATGAAGGGATGTCTGAATCCCCTGTGGAGACCTTAGAGAAAGCCATAGGTCCCTTGCTCATTTTGACAGAATGCCTCACATCCCGCTGACACCTCGAGAGGCACGCGGAGTTCATTGCTTCAAAAGGTGACGATGCCTGACTCCTCTTGAATACTGATAGGAATCCCAAAATCCCTGTGGCTACTGGAAAGGGTCCTTGGGTGCCCTGCCTCACCTCGAGAAGCGTCCCTTTTGCCCTGCCAGGCCTCGAAGAGATTCCTGAGGTGTCCCTCGTTACTAGACAGGAGTCCTGACGTCACTGAAGAAACTCGTGTTTTGAAGGCCCATCCCCGCTGTAAGTCGAGAACATACCCCAGGTCCCCGCCGCAACTCGAGAAAAACCATGAGACTTCCCCCTAGAGGCGAGATGAGGCCCCATTCCCCTGCAGTGCATGCAGAGCTATTCCGTGATCCCATTCAAACAAGTCAGGAGCTTCGACTTGCTTAATGGATCTCGAGACAGTCCCCAAGAACACTGTCACCAGTCTAGACGGACCCTGAGGTCACCCCAGCAACGCAAAGCAGCTCCATGTGCCCCAAATCAACTCGAGATGAGGCCCGATTTCCCTGCATTGACTCCAGAGCCATTCCCCTTCCCCATTCAACACGACCGGTGGCTCGACTTCCTTCAGGCCACTCCAGAGATGCCCCGAGAACACTGTCCCAAGTCTAGAGGAACACCAACTTCAGCACAGCAACTCGAAGAATGCTCCGTTTACCCCAAATCGTTTCGAGATGAGAGCTGATTCCCTGGCTTAGGCTCAAGACGTATGCCAACTTTCCAGAAGCACCTCAGGAGGAGGCTTCTCTCAGCAATAGGTATGTGGGAGGGACCCCGAGTTTGCTGCCTCAAGGGGAATATACAGCGAGAAGCCCTAACTTGAAAGGAGGCCGGATTTCCTGGCAGTGGCTTGAATACAGGCTCGTCTTTCATCTCACAACATGAAGGGAAGTCTGAATCCCCTGTGGAGACCTTAGAGAAAGCCCTAGGTCCCTGCCTCATTTTGACGGAATGCCTCACATCCCGCTGACACCTCGAGAGGCACGCCGAGTTCATTGCTTCAAAAGGTGACGAGGCCTGACTCCTCTTGAATACTGATAGGAATCCCAAAATCCCTGTGGCTACTGGAAAGGGTCCTTGGGTGCCCTGCCTCACCTCGAGAAGCGTCCCTTTTGCCCTGCCAAGCCTCGAAGAGATTCCTGAGGTGTCCCTCGTTACTAGACAGGAGTCCTGACGTCACTGAAGAAACTCGTGTTTTGAAGGGCCGTCCCCGCCGTAAGTCGAGAACATACCCCAGGTCCCCGCCACAACTCGAGAAAAACCATGAGACTTCCCCCTAGAGGCGAGATGAGGCCCCATTCCCCTGCAGTGCATGCAGAGCTATTCCGGGATCCCATTCAAACAAGTCAGGAGCTTCGACTTGCTTAATGGATCTCGAGACAGTCCCCAAGAACATTGTCATCAGTCTAGACGGACCCAGAGGTCACCACAGCAATGCAAAGCAGCTCCATGTGCCCCAAATCAACTCGAGATGAGGCCCGATTTCCCTGAATTGACTCCAGAGCCATTCCCGTTCCCCATTCAACAGGACCGGTGGCTCGACTTCCTTCAGGCCACTCCAGAGATGCCCCGAGAACACTGTCCCAAGTCTAGAGGAACACCAACTTCAGCACAGCAACTCGAGAAATGCTCCATGTACCCCAAATCGTCTCGAGATGAGAGCTGATTCCCTGGCGTAGGCTCAAGACGTATGCCAACTTTCCAGAAGCACCTGAGGAGGAGGCTTCTCTCAGCAATAGGTATGTGGGAGGGACCCCGAGTGTGCTGCCTCAAGGGGAATATACAGCGAGAAGCCCTAACTTGAAAGGAGGCCAGATTTCCTTGCAGTGGCTTGAATACAGGCCCGTCTTTAATCTCCCAACATGAAGGGATGTCTGAATCCCCTGTGGAGACCTTAGAAAGCCCTAGGTCCCTGCCTCATTTTGACGGAATGCCTCACATCCCGCTGACACCTCGAGAGGCACGCGGAGTTCATTGCTTCAAAAGGTGACGATGCCTGACTCCTCTTGAATACTGATAGGAATCCCAAAATCCCTGTGGCTACTGGAAAGGGTCCTTGAGTGCCCTGCCTCACCTCGAGAAGCGTCCCTTTTGCCCTGCCAAGCCTCGAAGAGCTTCCTGAGGTGTCCCTCGTTACTAGACAGGAGTCCTGACGTCACTGAAGAAACTCGTGTTTTGAAGGGCCATCCCCGCCGTAAGTCGAGAACATACCCCAGGTCCCCGCCGCAACTCGAGAAAAACCATGAGACTTCCCCCTAGAGGCGAGATGAGGCCCCATTCCCCTGCAGTGCATGCAGAGCTATTCCGTGATCCCATTCAAACAAGTCAGGAGCTTCGACTTGCTTAATGGATCTCGAGACAGTCCCCAAGAACATTGTCATCAGTCTAGACGGACCCTGAGGTCACCCCAGCAACGCAAAGCAGCTCCATGTGCCCCAAATCAACTCGAGATGAGGCCCGATTCCCCTGCATTGACTCCAGAGCCATTCCCCTTCCCCATTCAACACGACCGGTGGCTCGACTTCCTTCAGGCCACTCCAGAGATGCCCCGAGAACACTGTCCCAAGTCTAGAGGAACACCAACTTTAGCACAGCAACTCGAGGAATGCTCCGTCAACCCCAAATCGTCTCGAGATGAGAGCTGATTCCCTGGCTTAGGCTCAAGACGTATGCCAACTTTCCAGAAGCACCTCAGGAGGAGGCTTCTCTCAGCAATAGGTATGTGGGAGGGACCCCGAGTTTCCTGCCTCAAGGGGAATATACAGCGAGAAGCCCTAACTTGAAAGGAGGCCGGATTTCCTTGCAGTGGCTTGAATACAGGCTCGTGTTTCATCTCACATCATGAAGGGATGTCTGAATCCCCTGTGGAGACCTTAGAGAAAGCCCTAGGTCCCTGCCTCATTTTGACGGAATGCCTCACATCCCGCTGACACCTCGAGAGGCACGCGGAGTTCATTGCTTCAAAAGGTGATGATGCCTGACTCCTCTTAATACTGATAGGAATCCCAAAATCCCTGTGGCTACTGGAAAGGGTCCTTGGGTGCCCTGCCTCACCTCGAGAAGCGTCCCTTTTGCCCTGCCAAGCCTCGAAGAGATTCCTGAAGTTTCCCTCGTTACTAGACAGGAGTCCTGACCTCACTGAAGAAACTCGTGTTTTGAAGGGCCATGCCCACGGTAAGTCGAGAACATACCCCAGGTCCCCGCCGCAACTCGAGAAAAACCATGAGACTTCCCCCTAGAGGCGAGATGAGGCCCCATTCCACTGTAGTGCATGCAGAGCTATTCCGTGATCCCATTCAAACAAGTCAGGAGCTTCGACTTGCTTAATGGATCACGAGACAGTCCCCAAGAACACTCTCATCAGTCTAGACGGACCCTGACGTCACCCCAGCAACCCATACCAGCTCCATGTGCCCCAAATCAACTCGAGATGAGGCCCGATTCCCCTGCATTGACTCCAGAGCCATTCCCCGTTCCCCATTCAACACTACCGGTGGCTCGACTTCCTTCAGGCCACTCCAGAGATGCCCCAAGAACACTGTCCCAAGTCTAGAGGAACACCAACTTTAGCACAGCAACTCGAGGAATGCTCCGTGTACCCCAAATCGTCTCGAGATGAGAGCTGATTCCCTGGCTTAGGCTCAAGACGTATGCCAACTTTCCAGAAGCACCTCAGGAGGAGGCTTCTCTCAGCAATAGGTATGTGGGAGGGACCCCGAGTTTGCTGCCTCAAGGGGAATATACAGCGAGAAGCCCTAACTTGAAAGGAGGCCGGATTTCCTTGCAGTAGCTTGAATACAGGCCCGTCTTTAATCTCCCAACATGAAGGGATGTCTGAATCCCCTGTGGAGACCTTAGAGAAAGCCCTAGGTCCCTGCCTCATTTTGACGGAATGCCTCACATCCCGCTGACACCTCGAGAGGCACGCGGAGTTCATTGCTTCAAAAGGTGACGAGGCCTGACTCCTCTTGAATACTGATAGGAATCCCAAAATCCCTGTGGCTACTGGAAAGGGTCCTTGGGTGCCCTGCCTCACCTCGAGAAGCGTCCATTTTGCCCTTCCAAGCCTCGAAGAGATTCCTGAGGTGTCCCTCGTTACTAGACAGGAGTCCTGACATCACTGAAGAAACTCGTGTTTTGAAGGGCCATCCCCGCCGTAAGTCGAGAACATACCCCAGGTCCCGGCCGCAACTCGAGAAAAACCATGAGACTTCCCCCTAGAGGCGAGATGAGGCCCCATTCCCCTGCAGTGCATGCAGAGCTATTCCGTGATCCCATTCAAACAAGTCAGGAGCTTCGACTTGCTTAATGGATCTCGAGACAGTCCCCAAGAACATTGTCATCAGTCTAGACGGACCCTGAGGTCACCCCAGCAACGCAAAGCAGCTCCATGTGCCCAAAATCAACTCGAGATGAGGCCCGATTCAACTGCATTGACTCCTGAGCCATTCCCCGTTCCCCATTCAACACGACCGGTGGCTCGACTTCCTTCAGGCAACTCCAGAGATGCCCCGAGAACACTGTCCAAGTCTAGAGGAACACCAACTTCAGCACAGCAACTCGAGGAATGATCCATGTACCCCAAATCGTCTCGAGATGAGAGCTGATTCCCTGGCTTAGGCTCAAGACCTATGCCAACTTTCCAGAAGCACCTCAGGAGGAGGCATCTCTCAGCAATAGGTATGTGGCAGGGACCCCGAATATGCTGCCTCAAGGGGAATATACAGCGAGAAGCCCTAACTTGAAAGGAGGCCGGATTTCCTTGCAGTGGCTTGAATACAGGCTCGTGTTTCATCTCACAACATGAAGGGATGTCTGAATCCCCTGTGGAGACTTAGAGAAAGCCCTAGGTCCCTGCCTCATTTTGACAGAATGCCTCACATCCCGTTGACAACTCGAGAGGCACGCAGAGTTCATTGCTTCAAAAGGTGACGATGCCTGACTCCTCTTGAATACTGATAGGAATCCCAAAATCCCTGTGGCTACTGGAAAGGGTCCTTGGGTGCCCTGCCTCACCTCGAGAAGGGTCCCTTTTGCCCTGCCAAGCCTCGAAGAGATTCCTGAGGTGTCCCTCGTTACTACAGAGGAGTCCTGACGTCTCTGAAGTAACTCGTGTTTTGAAGGGCCATCCCCGCTGTAAGTCGAGAACATACCCCAGGTCCCCGCCGCAACTCGAGAAAAACCATGAGACTTCCCCCTAGAGGCGAGATGAGGCCCCATTCGCCTGCAGTGCATGCAGAGCTATTCCGTGATCCCATTCAAACAAGTCAGGAGCTTCGACTTGCTTAATGGATCTCGAGACAGTCCCCAAGAACACTGTCACCAGTCTAGACGGACCCTGAGGTCACCCCAGCAACGCAAAGCAGCTCCATGTGCCCCAAATCAACTCGAGATGCGGCCGGATTCCCCTGCATTGACTCCACAGAGATTCCCCGTTCCCCATTCAACACGACCCGTGGCTCGACTTCCTTCAGGCAACTCCAGAGATGCCCCGAGAACACTGTCCCAAGTCTAGAGGAACACCAACTTCAGCACAGCAACTCGAGGAATGCTCCGTGTACACCAAATCATCTCGAGATGAGAGCTGATTCCCTGGCTTACGCTCAAGACGTATGCCAACTTTCCAGAAGCACCTCAGGAGGAGGCTTCTCCCAGCAATATGTATGTGGGAGGGACCCCGAGTTTGCTGCCTCAAGGGGAATATACAGCGAGAAGCCCTAACCTGAAAGGAGGCCGGATTTTCTAGCAGTGGCTTGAATACAGGCTCGTCTTTCATCGCACAACATGAAGGGATGTCTGAATCCCCTGTGGAGACCTTAGAGAAAGCCCTAGGTCCCTGCCTCATTTTGACGGAATCCCTCAAATCCCGCTGACACCTCGAGAGGCACACGGCGTTCATTGTTTCAAAAGGTGACGATGCCTGACTCCTCTTGAATAGTGATAGGAATCCGAAAATCCCTGTGGCTACTGGATAGGGTCCTTGGGTGCCCTGCCTCACCTCAAGAAGCGTCCCTTTTGCCCTGCCAAGCCTCGAAGAGATTCCTGAGGTGTCCCTCGTTACTAGACAGGAGTCCTGACGTCACTGAAGAATCTCGTGTTTTGAAGGGCCATCCCTGCCGTAAGTCGAGAACATACCCCAGCTCCCCGCCGCAACTCGAGAAAAACAATGAGACTTCCCCCTAGAGGCGAGATGAGGCCCCATTCCCCTGCAGTGCATGCAGAGCTATTCCGTGATCCCATTCAAACAAGTCAGGAGCTTCGACTTGCTAAATGGATCTCGAGACAGTCCCCAAGAACACTGTCACCAGTCTAGACGGACCCTGAGGTCAGCCCAGCAACGCAAAGCAGCTCCATGTGCCCCAAATCAACTCGAGATGAGGCCCGATTCCCCTGCATTGACTCCAGAGCCATTCCCCGTTCCCCATTCAACACGACCGGTGGGTCGACTTCCTTCAGGCAACTCCAGAGATGCCCCGAGAACACTGTCCCAAGTCTATAGGAACACCAACTTCAGCACAGCAACTCGAGGAATGCTCCTTGTACCACAAATCGTCTCGAGATGAGAGCTGATTCCCTGGCTTAGGCTCAAGACGTATGCCACCTTTCCAGAAGCACCTCAGGAGGAGGCTTCTCTCAGCAATAGGTATGTGGGAGGGACCCCGAGTTTGCTGCCTCAAGGGGAATATACAGCGAGAAGCCCTAACTTGAAAGGAGGCCGGATTTCCTTGCAGTGGCTGGAATACAGGCTCGTGTTTCATCTCACAACATGAAGGGATGTCTGAATCCAATGTGGAGACCATAGAGAAAGCCCTAGGTCCCTGCCTCATTTTGACGGAATGCCTCACATCCCACTGACACCTCGAGAGGCACACGGAGTTCATTGCTTCAAAAGGTGACGATGCCTGACTCCTCTTGAATACTGATAGGAATCCGAAAATCCCTGTTGCTACTGGAAAGGGTCCTTGGGTGCCCTGCCTCACCTCGAGAAGCGTCCCTTTTGCCCTGCCAAGCCTCGAAGATTTTCCTGAGGTGTCCCTCGTTACTAGACAGGAGTCCTGACGTTACTGAAGGAACTCGTGTTTTGAAGGGCCATCCCTGCCGGAAGTCGAGAACATACCCCAGGTCCCCGCCGCAACTCGAGAAAAACTATGAGACTTCCCCCTAGAGGCGAGATGAGGCCCCATTCCCCTGCAGTGCATGCAGAGCTATTCCGTGATCCCATTCAAACAAGTCAGGAGCTTCGACTTGCTTAATGGATCTCGAGACAGTCCCCAAGAACACTGTCACCAGTCTAGACGGACCCTGAGGTCAGCCCAGCAACGCAAAGCAGCTCCATGTGCCCCAAATCAACTCGACATGAGGCCCGATTCCCCTGCATTGACTCCAGAGCCATTCCCCGTTCCCCATTCAACACGACCGGTGGCTCGACTTCCTTCAGGCAACTCCAGAGATGCCCCGAGAACACTGTCCCAAGTCTAGAGGAACACCAACTTCAGCAGAGCAACTCAAGGAATGCTCCGTGTACCCCAAATCGTCTCGAGATGAGAGCTGATTCCCTGGCTTAGTCTCAAGACGTATGCCAACTTTCCAGAAGCACCTCAGGAGGAGGCTTCTCTCAGCAATAGGTATGTGGGAGGGACCCCGAGTTTGCTGCCTCAAGGGGAATATACCGCGAGAAGCCCTAACTTGAAAGGAGGCCGGATTTCCTTGCAGTGGCTTGAATACAGGCTCGTCTTCATCTCACAATATGGAGGGATGTCTGAATCCCCTGTGTAGACCTTAGAGAAAGCCCTAGGTCCCTGCCTCATTTTGACGGAATGCCTCACATCCCGCTGACACCTCGAGAGGCACGCGGAGTTCATTGCTTCAAAAGGTGACAATGCCTGACTCCTCTTGAATACTGATAGGAATCCCAAAATCCCTGTGGCTACTGGAAAGGGTCCTTGGGTGCCCTGCCTCACCTCGAGAAGCGTCCCATTTGCCCTGCCAAGCCTCGAAGAGATTCCTGAGGTGTCCCTCGTTACTAGACAGGAGTCCTGACGTCACTGAAGAAACTCGTGTTCTGAAGGGCCAGCCCCGCCGTAAGTCGAGAACATACCCCAGGTCCCCGCCGCAACTCGAGAAAAACCATGAGACTTCCCCCTAGAGGCGAGATGAGGCCCCATTCCCCTGCAGTGCATGCAGAGCTATTCCGTGATCCCATTCAAACAAGTCAGGAGCTTCGACTTGTTAATGGATCTCCAGACAGTCCCCAAGAACACTGTCACCAGTCCAGACGGACCCTGAGGTCACCCCAGCACCGCAAAGCAGTTCCATGTGCCCCAAATCAACTCGAGATGAGGCCCGATTCCCCTGCATTGACTCCAGAGCAATTCCCCGTTCCCCATTCAACACGACCGGTGGCTCGACTTCCTTCAGGCAACTCCAGAAATGCCCCGAGAACACTGTCCCAAGTCTAGAGGAACACCAACTCCAGCACAGCAACTCGAAGAATGCTCCGTGTACCCCAAATCGTCTCGAGATGAGAGCTGATTCCCCGGCTTAGGCTCAAGACGTAGGCCAACTTTCCAGAAGCACCTCAGGAGGAGGCTTCTCTCAGCAATAGGTATGTGGGAGGGACCCCGAGTTTGCTGCCTCAAGGGGAATATACAGCGAGAAGCCCTAACTTGAAAGGAGGCCGGATTTCCTTGCAGTGGCTTGAATACAGGTTCGTCTTTCATCTCACAATATGGAGGGATGTCTGAATCCCCTGTGTAGACCTTAGAGAAAGCCCTAGGTCCCTGCCTCATTTTTACGGAATGCCTCACATCCCGCTGACACCTGGAGAGGCACGCGGAGTTCATTGATTTAAAAGGTGACGATGCCTGACTCCTCTTGAATGCTGATAGGAATCCCAAAATCCCTGTGGCTACTGGAAAGGGTCCTTGGGTGCTCTGCCTCACCTCGAGAAGCGTCCCTTTTGCCCTGCCAAGCCTCGAAGAGATTCCTGAGGTGTCCCTCGTTACTAGACAGGAGTCCTGACGTCACTGAAGAAACTCGTGTTCTGAAGGGCCAGCCCCGCCGTAAGTCGAGAACATACCCCAGGTCCCCGCCGCAACTCGAGAAAAACCATGAGACTTCCCCCTAGAGGCGAGATGAGGCCCCATTCCCCTGCAGTGCATGCAGAGATATTCCGTGATCCCATTCAAACAAGTCAGGAGCTTCGACTTGCTTAATGGGTCTCGAGACAGTCCCCAAGAACACTGTCACGAGTCTAGACGGACCCTGAGGTCACCCCAGCAACGCAAAGCAGCTCCATGTGCCCCAAATCAACTCGAGATGAGGCCCGTTTCCCCTGCATTGACTCCTGAGCCATTCCCCGTTCCCCATTCAACACGACCGGTGGCTCGACTTCCTTCAGGCAACTCCAGAGATGCCCTGAGAACACTGTCCCAAGTCTAGAGGAACACCAACTTCAGCACAGCAACTCGAGGAATGCTCCATGTACCCCAAATCGTCTCGAGATGAGAGCTGATTCCCTGGCTTAGGCTCAAGACGTATGCCAACTCCCCAGAAGCACCTAAGGAGGAGGCTTCTCTCAGCAATAGGTATGTGGGAGGGACCCCGAGTTTGCTGCCTCAAGGGGAATTTACAGCGAGAAGCCCTAACTTGAAAGGAGGCCGGATTTCCTTGCAGTGGCTTGAATACAGGCTCGTCTTTCATCTCACAACATGAAGGGATGTCTGAATGCCCTGTGGAGACCTTAGAGAAAGCCCTAGGTCCCTGCCTCATTTTGACGGAATGCCTCACATCCCGCTGACACATCGAGAGGCACGCGGAGTTCATTGCTTCAAAAGGTGACGATGCCTGACTCCTCTTGAATACTGATAGGAATCCCAAAAATCCTGTGGCTACTGGAAAGGGTCCTTGGGTGCCCTGCCTCACCTCGAGAAGCGTCCCTTTTGCCCTGCCAAGCCTCGAAGAGATTCCTGAGGTGTCCCTCGTTACTAGACAGGAGTCCTGACGTCACTGAAGAAACTCGTGTTTTGAAGGGCCATCCCCGCCGTAAGTCGAGAACATACCCCAGGTCGCTGCCGCAACTCGAGAAAAACCATGAGACTTCCCCCTAGAGGCGAGATGAGGCCCCATTCCCCTGCAGTGCATGCAGAGCTATTCCGTGATCCCATTCAAACAAGTCAGGAGCTTCGACTTGCTTAATGGATCTCCAGAGAGTCCCCAAGAACACTGTCAACAGTCCAGACGGACCCTGAGGTCACCCCAGCACCGCAAAGCAGCTCCATGTGCCCCAAATCAACTCGAGATGAGGCCCGATTCCCCTGCATTGACTCCAGAGCCATTCCCCGTTCCCCATTCAACACGACCGGTGGCTCGACTTCCTTCAGGCAACTCCAGAGATGCCCCGAGAACACTGTCCCAAGTCTAGAGGAACACCAACTTCAGCACAGCAACTCGAGGAATGCTCCGTGTACCCCAAATCGTCTCGAGATGAGAGCTGATTCCCTGGCTTAGGCTCAAGACGTATGCCAACTTCCCAGAAGCACCTCAGGAGGAGGCTTCTCTCAGCAATAGGTATGTGGGAGGGACCCTGAGTTTGCTGCCTCAAGGGGAATATACAGCGAGAAGACCTAACTTGAAAGGAGTCCGAATTTCCTTGCAGTGGCTTGAATACAGGCTCGTCTTTCATCTCACAATATGAAGGGATGTCTGAATCCGCTGTGGAGACCTTAGAGAAAGCCCTAGGTCCCTGCCTCATTTTGACGGAATGCCTCACATCCCGCTGACACCTCGTGAGGCACGCGGAGTTAATTGCTTCAAAAATGACGATGCTTGACTCCTCTTGAATACTGATAGGAATCCCAAAATCCCTGTGGCTACTGGAAAGGGTCCTTGGGTGCCCTGCCTCACCTCGAGAAGCATCCCTTTTGCCCTGGCAAGCCTCGAAGAGATTCCTGAGGTGTCCCTCGTTACTAGACAGGAGTCCTGACGTCACTGAAGAAACTCGTGTTTTGAAGGGGCATCCCCGCCGTAAGTCGAGAACATACCCCAGGTCCACGGCGCAACTCGAGAAAAAACATGAGACTTCCCCCTAGAGGCGAGATGAGGCCCCATTCCCCTGCAGTGCATGCAGAGCTATTCCGTGATCCCATTCAAACAAGTCAGGAACTTCGACTTGCTTAATGGATCTCGAGACAGTCCCCAAGAACACTGTCACCAGTCTAGACGGAACCTGAGGTCAACCCAGCAACGCAAAGCAGCTCCATGTGCCCCAAATCAACTCGAGATGGGGCCCGATTCCCCTGCATTGACTCCAGAACCATTCCTCGTTCCCCACTCAACACGACCGGTGGCTCGACTTCCTTCAGGAAACTCCAGAGATGCCCGGAGAACACTGTCCCAAGTCTAGAGGAACACCAACTTCAGCACAGCAACTGGAGGAATGCTCCGTGTACCCCAAATCGTCTCGAGATGAGAGCTGATTCCCTCGCTTAGGCTCAAGACGTATGCCAACTTTCCAGAAGCACCTCAGGAGGAGGCTTCTCTCAGCAATAGGTATGTGGGAGGGACCCCGAGTTTGCTGCCTCAAGGGGAATATACCGCGAGAAGCCCTAACTTGAAAGGAGGCCGGATTTCCTTGCAGGGGCTTGAACAGGCTCGTCTTTCATCTCACAACATGAAGGGATGTCTGAATCCCCTGTGGAGACCTTAGAGAAAGCCCTAGGTCCCTGCCTCATTTTGACGGAATGCCTCACATCCCGCTGACACCTCGACAGGCACGCGGAGTTCATTGCTTCAAAAGGTGACAATGCCTGACTCCTCTTGAATACTGATAGGAATCCCAAACTCGCTGTGGCTACTGGAAAGGGTCCTTGGGTGCCCTGCCTCACCACGAGAAGCATCCCTTTTGCCCTGCCAAGCCTCGAAGAGATTCCTGAGGTGTCCCTCGTTACTAGACAGGAGTCCTGATGTCACTGAAGAATCTCGTGGTTTGAAGGGCCATCCCCGCCGTAAGTCGAGGACAGAGCCCAGGTCCCCATCGCAAGTCGAGAAAAACCATGAGACTTCCCCCTAGAGGCGAGATGAGGCCCCATTCCCCTGCGGTGCATGCAGAGCTATTCCGTGATCCCATTCAAACAAGTCAGGAGCTTCGACTTGCTTAATGGATCTCGAGACAGTCCCCAAGAACACTGTCACCAGTCCAGACGGACCCTGAGGTCACCCCAGCACCGCAAAGCAGCTCCATGTGCCCCAAATCAACTCGAGATGAGGCCCGATTCCCCTGCATTGACTCCAGATCCATTCCCCGTTCCCCATTCAACACGACCGGTGGCTCGACTTCCTTCAGGCAACTCCATAGATGCCCCGAGAACACTGTCCCAAGTTTAGAGGAACACCAACTTCAGCACAGCAACTCGAGGAATGCTCCCTGTACCCAAAATTGTCTCGAGATGAGAGCTGATTCCCTGGCTTAGGCTCAAGATGTATGCCAACTTCCCAGAAGCACCTCAGGAGGAGGCTTCTCTCAGCAATAGGTATGTGGGAGGGACCCTGAGTTTGCAGCCTCAAGGGGAATATACAGCGAGAAGACCTAACTTGAAAGGAGTCCGAATTTCCTTGCAGTGGCTTGAATACAGGCTCGTCTTTCATCTCACAATATGAAGGGATGTCTGAATCCGCTGTGGAGACCTTAGAGAAAGCCCTAGGTCCCTGCCTCATTTTGACGGAATGCCTCACATCCCGCTGACACCTCGTGAGGCACGCGGAGTTCATTGCTTCAAAAGGTGACAATGCCTGACTCCTCTTGAATACTGATAGGAATCCCAAAATCCCTGTGGCTACTGGAAAGGGTCCTTGGGTGCCCTGCCTCACCTCGAGAAGCGTCCCATTTGCCCTGCCAAGCCTCGAAGAGATTCCTGAGGTGTCCCTCGTTACTAGACAGGAGTCCTGACGTCACTGAAGAAACTCGTGTTTTGAAGGGGCATCCCCGCCGTAAGTCGAGAACATACCCCAGGTCCACGGCGCAACTCGAGAAAAAACATGAGACTTCCCCCTAGAGGCGAGATGAGGCCCCATTCCCCTGCAGTGCATGCAGAGCTATTCCGTGATCCCATTCAAACAAGTCAGGAACTTCGACTTGCTTAATGGATCTCGAGACAGTCCCCAAGAACACTGTCACCAGTCTAGACGGAACCTGAGGTCAACCCAGCAACGCAAAGCAGCTCCATGTGCCCCAAATCAACTCGAGATGGGGCCCGATTCCCCTGCATTGACTCCAGAACCATTCCTCGTTCCCCACTCAACACGACCGGTGGCTCGACTTCCTTCAGGAAACTCCAGAGATGCCCCGAGAACACTGTCCCAAGTCTAGAGGAACACCAACTTCAGCACAGCAACTGGAGGAATGCACCGTGTACCCCAAATCGTCTCGAGATGAGAGCTGATTCCCTCGCTTAGGCTCAAGACGTATGCCAACTTTCCAGAAGCACCTCAGGAGGAGGCTTCTCTCAGCAATAGGTATGTGGGAGGGACCCCGAGTTTGCTGCCTCAAGGGGAATATACCGCGAGAAGCCCTAACTTGAAAGGAGGCCGGATTTCCTTGCAGGGGCTTGAATACAGGCTCGTCTTTCATCTCACAACATGAAGGGATGTCTGAATCCCCTGTGGAGACCTTAGAGAAAGCCCTAGGTCCCTGCCTCATTTTGACGGAATGCCTCACATCCCGCTGACACCTCGACAGGCACGCGGAGTTCATTGCTTCAAAAGGTGACAATGCCTGATTCCTCTTGAATACTGATAGGAATCCCAAACTCTCTGTGGCTACTGGAAAGGGTCCTTGGGTGCCCTGCCTCACCTCGAGAAGCATCCCTTTTGCCCTGCCAAGCCTCGAAGATATTCCTGAGGTGTCCCTCGTTACTAGACAGGAGTCCTGATGTCACTGAAGAAACTCGTGGTTTGAAGGGCCATCCCCGCCGTAAGTCGAGGACAGAGCCCAGGTCCCCATCGCAAGTCGAGAAAAACCATGAGACTTCCCCCTAGAGTCGAGATGATGCCCCATTCCCCTGCAGTGCATGCAGAGCTATTCCGTGATCCCATTCAAACAAGTCAGGAGCTTCGACTTGCTTAATGGATCTCGAGACAGTCCCCAAGAACACTGTCACCAGTCCAGACGGACCCTGAGGTCACCCCAGCACCGCAAAGCAGCTCCATGTGCCCCAAATCAACTCGAGATGAGGCCCGATTCCCCTGCATTGACTCCAGATCCATTCCCCGTTCCCCATTCAACACGACCGGTGGCTCGACTTCCTTCAGGCAACTCCATAGATGCCCCGAGAACACTGTCCCAAGTCTAGAGGAACAGCAACTTCAGCACAGCAACTCGAGGAATGCTCCCTGTACCCCAAATTGTCTCGAGATGAGAGCTGATTCCCTGGCTTAGGCTCAAGACGTATGCCAACTTCCCAGAAGCACCTCAGGAGGAGGCTTCTCTCAGCAATAGGTATGTGGGAGGGACCCTGAGTTTGCAGCCTCAAGGGGAATATACAGCGAGAAGACCTAACTTGAAAGGAGTCCGAATTTCCTTGCAGTGGCTTGAATACAGGCTCGTCTTTCATCTCACAATATGAAAGGATGTCTGAATCCGCTGTGGAGACCTTAGAGAAAGCCCTAGGTCCCTGCCTCATTTTGACGGAATGCCTCACATCCCGCTGACACCTCGACAGGCACGCGGAGTTAATTGCTTCAAAAATGACGATGCCTGACTCCTCTTGAATACTGATAGGAATCCCAAAATCCCTGTGGCTACTGGAAAGGGTCCTTGGGTGCCCTGCCTCACCTCGAGAAGCATCCCTTTTGCCCTGGCAAGCCTCGAAGATATTCCTGAGGTGTCCCTCGTTACTAGACAGGAGTCCTGACGTCACTGAAGAAACTCGTGTTTTGAAGGGCCATCCCGGCCGTAAGTCGAGAACATACCCCAGGTCCCCGCCGCAACTCGAGAAAAAATATGAGACTTCGCCCTAGAGGCGAGATGAGGCCCCATTCCCCTGCAGTGCATGCAGAGCTATTCCGTGATCCCATTCAAACAAGTCAGGAACTTCGACTTGCTTAATGGATCTCGAGACAGTCCTCAAGTACACTGTCACCAGTCTAGACGGACCCTGAGGTCAACCCAGCAACGCAAAGCAGCTCCATGTGCCCCAAATCAACTCGAGATGGGGCCCGATTCCCCTGCATTGACTCCAGAGCCATTCCTCATTCCCCACTCAACACGACCGGTGGCTCGACTTCCTTCAGGAAACTCCAGAGATGCCCCGAGAACACTGTCCCAAGTCTAGAGGAACACCAACTTCAGCACAGCAACTCGAGGAATGCTCCGTTTACCCCAAATCGTCTCGAGATGAGAGCTGATTCCCTGGCTTAGGCTCAAGACGTATGCCAACTTTCCAGAAGCACCTCAGGAGGAGGCTTCTCTCAGCAATAGGTATGAGGGAGGGACCCCGAGTGTGCTGCCTCAAGGGGAATATACAGCGAGAAGCCCTAACTTGAAAGGAGGCCGGATTTCCTTGCAGTGGCTTGAATACAGGCTCGTCTTTCATCTCACAAGATGAAGGGAAGTCTGAATCCCCTGTGGAGACCTTAGAGAAAGCCCTAGGTCCCTGCCTCATTTTGACGGAATGCCTCACATCCCGCTGACACCTCGAGAGGCACGCCGAGTTCATTGCTTCAAAAGGTGACGAGGCCTGACTCCTCTTGAATACTGATAGGAATCCCAAAATCCCTGTGGCTACTGGAAAGGGTCCTTGGGTGCCCTGCCTCACCTCGAGAAGCGTCCCTTTTGCCCTGCCAAGCCTCGAAGAGCTTCCTGAGGTGTACCTCGTTACTAGACAGGAGTCCTGACGTCACTGAAGAAACTCGTGTTTTGAAGGGCCGTCCCCGCCGTAAGTCGAGAACATACCCCAGGTCCCCGCCGCAACTCGAAGAAAACCATGAGACTTCCCCCTAGAGGCGAGATGAGGCCCCATTCCCCTGCAGTGCATGCAGAGCTATTCCGTGATCCCATTCAAACAAGTCAGGAGCTTCGACTTGCTTAATGGATCTCGAGACAGTCCCCAAGAACATTTTCATCAGTCTAGACGGACCCAGAGGTCACCCCAGCAACGCAAAGCAGCTCCATGTGCCCCAAATCAACTCGAGATGAGGCCCGATTTCCCTGCATTGACTCCAGAGCCATTCCCGTTCCCCATTCAACAGGACCGGTGGCTCGACTTCCTTCAGGCCACTCCAGAGATGCACCGAGAACACTGTCCCAAGTCTAGAGGAACACCAACTTCAGCACAGCAACTCGAGAAATGCTCCGTGTACCCCAAATCGTCTCGAGATGAGAGCTGATTCCCTGGCGTAGGCTCAAGACGTATGCCAACTTTCCAGAAGCACCTCAGGAGGAGGCTTCTCTCAGCAATTGGTATGTGGGAGGGACCCCGAGTGTGCTGCCTCAAGGGGAATATACAGCGAGATGCCCTAACTTGAAAGGAGGCCAGATTTCCTTGCAGTGGCTTGAATACAGGCTCGTCTTTCATCTCACAACATGAAGGGATGACTGAATCCCCTGTGGAGACCTTAGAGAAAGCCCTAGGTCCCTGCCTCATTTTGACGGAATGCCTCACATCCTGCTGACACCTCGAGAGGCACCCCGAGTTCATTGCTTCAAAAGGTGACGATGCCTGACTCCTCTTGAATACTGATAGGAATCCCAAAATCCCTGTGGCTACTGGAAAGGGTCCTTGGGTGCAGTGCCTCACCTCGAGAAGCGTCCCTTTTGCCCTGCCAAGCCTCGAAGAGATTCCTGAGGTGTCCCTCGTTACTAGACAGGAGTCCTGACGTCACTGAAGAAACTCGTGTTTTGAAGGGCCATCCCCGCCGTAAGTCGAGATCATACCCCATGTCCCCGCCGCAACTCGAGAAAAACCATGAGACTTCCGCCTAGAGGCGAGATGAGGCCCCATTCCCCTGCAGTGCATGCAGAGCTATTCGTGATCCCATTCAAACAAGTCAGGAGCTTCGACTTGCTTAATGGATCTCGAGACAGTCCCCAAGAACACTGTCACCAGTCTAGACGGACCCTGAGGTCACCCCAGCAACGCAAAGCAGCTCCATGTGCCCCAAATCAACTCGAGATGAGGCCCGATTCCCCTGCATTGACTCCAGAGCCATTCCCGTTCCCCATTCAACAGGACCGGTGGCTCGACTTCATTCAGGCCACTCCAGAGATGCCCCGAGAACACTGTCCCAAGTCTAGAGGAACACCAACTTCAGCACAGCAACTCGAGGAATTCTCCGTGTACCCCAAATCAGCTCGAGATGAGAGCTGATTCCCTGGCTTAGGCTCAAGACTAATGCCAACTTTCCATAAGCACCTCAGGAGGAGCCTTCTCTCAGCAATAGGTATGTGGGAGGGACCCCGAGTTTGCTGCCTCAAGGGGAATATACAGCGAGAAGCCCTAACTTGAAAGGAGGCCGGATTTCCTTGCAGTGGCTTGAATACAGGCTCGTGTTTCATCTCACATCATGAAGGGATGTCTGAATCCCCTGTGGAGACCTTAGAGAAAGCCCTAGGTCCCTGCCTCATTTTGACGGAATGCCTCACATCCCGCTGACACCTCGAGAGGCACGCGGAGTTCATTGCTTCAAAAGGTGATGATGCCTGACTCCTCTTAATACTGATAGGAATCCCAAAATCCCTGTGGCTACTGGAAAGGGTCCTTGGGTGCCCTGCCTCACCTCGAGAAGCGTCCCTTTTGCCCTGCCAAGCCTCGAAGAGATTCCTGAAGTGTCCCTCGTTACTAGACAGGAGTCCTGACGTCACTGAAGATACTCGTGTTTTGAAGGGCCATCCCCGCCGTAAGTCGAGAACATACCCCAGGTCCCTGCCGCAACTCGAGAAAAACCATGAGACTTCCCCCTAGAGGCGAGATGAGGCCCCATTCCCCTGTAGTGCATGCAGAGCTATTCCGTGATCCCATTCAAACAAGTCAGGAGCTTCGACTTGCTTAATGGATCACGAGACAGTCCCCAAGAACACTCTCATCAGTCTAGACGGACCCTGAGGTCACCCCAGCAACGCAAAGCAGCTCCATGTGCCCCAAATCAACTCGAGATGAGGCCCGATTCCCCTGCATTGACTCCAGAGCCATTCCCCGTTCCCCATTCAACACGACCGGTGGCTCGACTTCCTTCAGGACACTCCAGAGATGCCCCAAGAACACTGTCCCAAGTCTAGAGGAACACCAACTTCAGCACAGCAACTCGAGGAATGCTCCGTGTACCCCAAATCGTCTCGAGATGAGAGCTGATTCCCTGGCTTAGGCTCAAGACGTATGCCAACTTCAGAGAAGCACCTCAGGAGGAGGCTTCTCTCAGCAATAGGTATGTGGGAGGGACCCCGAGTTTGCTGCCTCAAGGGGAATATACAGCGAGAAGCCGTAACTTGAAAGGAGGCCGGATGTCCTTGCAGTGGCTTGAATACAGGCTCGTCTTTCATCTCACAACATGAAGGGATGTCTGAATCCCCTGTGGAGACCTTAGAGAAAGCCCTAGGTCCCTGCGTCATTTTGACGGAATGCCTCACATCCTGCTGACACTTCGAGAGGCACCCGGAGTTCATTGCTTCAAAAGGTGACGATGCCTGACTCCTCTTGAATACTGATAGGAATCCCAAAATCCCTGTGGCTACTGGAAAGGGTCCTTGGGTGCCCTGCCTCACCTCGAGAAGCGTCCTTTTTGCCCTGCCAAGCCTCGAAGAGATTCCTGAGGTGTCCCTCGTTACTAGACAGGAGTCCTGACGTCACTGAAGAAACTCGTGTTTTGAAGGGCCATCCCCGCCGTAAGTTGAGAACATACCCCAGGTCCCTGCCGCAACTTGAGAAAAACCATGAGACTTCCCCCTAGAGGCGAGATGAGGCCCCATTCCCCTGCAGTGCATGCAGAGCTATTCGTGATCCCATTCAAACAAGTCAGGAGCTTCGACTTGCTTAATGGATCTCGAGACAGTCCCCAAGAACACTGTCACCAGTCTAGACGGACCGTGAGGTCACCCCAGCAACGCAAAGCAGCTCCATGTGCCCCAAATCAACTCGAGACGAGGCCCGATTCCCCTGCATTGACTCCAGAGCCATTCCCCTTTCCCCATTCAACACGACCGGTGGCTCGACTTCCTTCAGCCAACTCCAGATATGCCCCGAGAACACTGTCCCAAGTCTAGAGGAACACCAACTTCAGCACAGCAACTCGAGGAATGCTCCGTGTACCGCAAATCGTCTCGAGATGAGAGCTGATTCCCTGGCTTAGGCTCAAGAAGTATGCCAACTTACCAGAAGCCCCTCAGGAGGAGGCTTCTCTCAGCAATAGGTATGTGGGAGGGACCCCGAATTTGCTGCCTCAAGAGGAATATACAGCGAGAAGCCCTAACTTGAAAGGAGGCCGGATTTCCTTGCAGTGGCTTGAATACAGGCTCGTGTTTCATCTCACAACATGAAGGGATGTCTGAATCCCCTGTGGAGACCTTAGAGAAAGCCCTAGGTCCCTGCCTCATTTTGACGGAATGCCTCACATCCCGCTGACACCTCGAGAGGCAGGCAGAGTTCATTGCTTCAAAAGGTGACGATGCCTGACTCCCTTGAATACTGATAGGAATCCCAAAATCCCTGTGGCTACTGGAAAGGGTCCTTGGGTGCCCTGCCTCACCTCGAGAAGCGTCCCTTTTGCCCTGCCAAGCCTCGAAGATTTTCCTGAGGTGTCCCTCGTTACTAGACAGGAGTCCTGACGTCACTGAAGAAACTCGTGTTTTGAAGGGCCATCCCCTCCGTAAGTCGAGAACATACCCCAGGTCCCCGCCGCAACTCGAGAAAAACCATGAGACTTCCCCTAGAACCGAGATGAGGCCCCATTCCCCTGCAGTGCATGCAGAGCTCTTCCGTGATCCCATTCAAACAAGTCAGGAGCCTCGACTTGCTTAATGGATCTCGAGACAGTCCCCAAGAACACTGTCACCAGTCCAGACGGACCCTGAGGTCACCCCAGCAACGCAAAGCAGATCCATGTGCCCCAAATCAACTCGAGATGAGGCCCGATTCCCCTGCATTGACTCCAGAGCCATTCCCCGTTCCCCATTCAACACGACCGGTGGCTCGACTTCCTTCAGGCAACTCCAGAGATGCCTCGAGAACACTGTCCGTAGTCTAGAGGAACACCAACTTCAGCACAGCAACTTGGGGAATGCTCCTTGTACCACAAATCGTCTCGAGATGAGAGCTGATTCCCTGGCTTAGGCTCAAGACGCATGCCAACTTTCCAGAATCACCACAGGAGGAGGCTTCTCTCAGCAATAGGTATGTGGGAGGGACCCCGAGTTTGCTGCCTCAAGGGGAATATACAGTGAGAAGCCCTAACTTGAAAGGAGGCCTTATTTCCTTGCAGTGGCTTGAATACAGGCTCGTGTTTCATCTCACAACATGAAGGGATGTCTGAATTCCCTGTGCAGACCTTAGAGAAAGCCCTAGGTCCCTGCCTCTTTTTGACGGAATGCCTCACATCCCGCTGACACCTCGAGAATCACGCAGAGTTCATTGCTTCAAAAGGTGACGATGCCTGACTCCTCTTGAATACTGATAGGAATCCCAAAATCCCTGTGGCTACTGGAAAGAGTCCTTGGGTGCCCTGCCTCACCTCGAGAAGCGTCCCTTTTGCCCTGCCAAGCCTCGAAGAGATTCCTGAGGTATACCTCGTTATTACACAGGAGTCCTTACGTCACTGAAGAAACTCGTGTTTTGAAACGCCATCCCCGCCGTAAGTCGAGAACATACCCCAAGTCCCGCCGCAACTCGAGAAAAACCATGAGACTTCCCCCTAGAGGCGAGATGAGGCCCCATTCCCCTGCAGTGCATGCAGAGCTATTCCGTGATCCCATTCAAACAAGTCAGGAGCTTCGACTTGCTTAATGGATCTCGAGACAGTCCCCAAGAACACTGTCACCAGTCTAGACGGACCCTGAGGTCACCCCAGCAACGCAAAGCAGCTCCATGTGCCCCAAATCAACTCGAGATGAGGCCGGATTCCCTTGCATTGACTCCAGAGAGATTCCCCGTTCCCCATTCAACACGACCGGTGGCTCGACTTCCTTCAGGCAACTCCAGAGATGCCCCGAGAACACTGTCCCAAGTCTAGAGGAACACCAACTTCAGCACAGCAACGCGAGGAATGCTCCGTGTACACCAAATCATCTCGAGATGAGAGCTGATTCCCTGGCTTACGCTCAAGACGTATGCCAACTTTCCAGAAGCACCTCAGGAGGAGGCTTCTCTCAGCAATAGGTATGTGGGAGGGACCCCGAGTTTGCTGCCTCAAGGGGAATATACAGCGAGAAGCCCTAACTTGAAAGGAGGCTGGATTTTCTAGCAGTGGCTTGAATACAGGCTCGTCTTTCATCTCACAACATGAAAGGATGTCTGAATCCCCTGTGGAGACCTTAGAGAAAGCCCTAGGTCCCTGCCTCATTTTGACGGAATGCCTCACATCCCGCTGACACCACGAGAGTCACGCAGAGTTCATTGCTTCAAAAGGTGACGATGCCTGACTCCTCTTGATTACTGATAGGAATCCCAAAATCCCTGTGGCTACTGGAAAGGGTCCTTGGGTGCCCTGCCTCACCTCGAGAAGCGTCCCTTTTGCCCTGCCAAGCCTCGAAGAGATTCCTGAGGTGTCCCTCGTTACTAGACAGGAGTCCTGACGTCACTGAAGGAACTCGTGTTTTGAAGGGCCATCCCCGCCTTAAGTCGAGAACATACCCCAAGTCCCCGCCGCAACTCGAGAAAAACCATGAGACTTCCCCCTAGAGGCGAGATGAGGCCCCATTCCCCTGCAGTGCATGCAGAGCTATTCCGTGATCCCATTCAAACAAGTCAGGAACTTCGACTTGCTTAATGGATCTCGAGACAGTCCCCAAGAACACTGTCACCAGTCTAGACGGACCCTGAGGTCACCCCAGCAACGCAAAGCAGCTCCATGTGCCCCAAATCAACTCGAGATGAGGCCCGATTCCCCTGCATTGACTCCAGAGCCATTCCCCGTTCCCCATTCAACACGAACGGTGGCTCGACTTCCTTCAGGCAACTCCAGAGATGCCCCGAGAACACTGTGCCAAGTCTAGAGGAACACCAACTTCAGCACAGCAACTCGAGGAATGCTCCGTGTACCCCAAATCGTCTCGAGATGAGAGCTGATTCCCTGGCTTAGGCTCAAGACGTATGCCAACTTTCCAGAAGCACCTCAGGAGGAGGCTTCTCTCAGCAATAGGTATGTGGGAGGGACACCGAGTTTGCTGCCTCAAGGGGAATATACAGCGAGAAGCCCTAACTTGAAAGCAGGCCGGATTTCCTTGCAGTGGCTTGAATACAGGCTGGTCTTTCATCTCACAACATGAAGGGATGTCTGAATCCCCTGTGGAGACCTTAGAGAAAGCCCTAGGTCCCTGCCTCATTTTGAACGGAATGCCTCACATCCTGCTGACACTTCGAGAGGCACGCGGAGTTAATTGCTTCAAAAGGTGGCGATGCCTGACTCCTCTTGAATATTGATAGGAATCCCAAAATCCCTGTGGCTACTGGAAAGGGTCCTTGAGTGCCCTGCCCCACCTCGAGAAGCGTCCCTTTTGCTCTGCCAAGCCTCGAAGAGATTCCTGAGGTGTCCCTCGTTACTAGACAGGAGTCCTGACGTCACTGAAGAAACTCGTGTTTTGAAGGGCCATCCCCGCCGTAATTCGAGAACATACCTCAGGTCCCCGCCGCAACTCGAGAAAAACCGAAAGACATCCCCCTAGAGGCGAGATGAAGCCCCATTCCCCTGCAGTGCATGCAGAGCTATTCCGTGATCCCATTCAAACAAGTCAGGAGCTTCGACTTGCTTAATGGATCTCCAGAGAGTCCCCAAGAACACTGTCACCAGTCCAGACGGACCCTGAGGTCACCCCAGCACCGCACAGCAGCTCCATGTGCCCCAAATCAACTCGAGATGAGGCCCGATTCCCCTGCATTGACTCCAGAGCCATTCCCCGTTCCCCATTCAACACGACCGGTGGCTCGACTTCCTTCAGCAACTCCAGAGATGCCCCGAGAACACTGTCCCAAGTCTAGAGGAACACCAACTTCAGCACAGCAACTCGAGGAATGCTCTGTGTACACCAAATCGTCTCGAGATGAGAGCTGATTCCCTGGCTTAGGCTCAAGACGTATGCCAACTCCCCAGAAGCACCTCAGGAGGAGGCTTCTCTCAGCAATAGGTATGTGGGAGGGACCCTGATTTTGCTGCCTCAAGGGGAATATACAGCGAGAAGCCCTAACTTGAAAGGAAGCCGGATTTCCATGCAGGGGCTTGAATACAGGCTCGTCTTTCATCTCACAACATGAAGGGATGTCTGAATCCCCTGTGGAGACCTTAGAGAAAGCCATAGGTCCCTTCCTCATTTTGACAGAATGCCTCACATCCCGCTGACACCTCAAGAGGCACGCGGAGTTCATTGCTTCAAAAGGTGACGATGCCTGACTCCTCTTGAATACTGATAGGAATCCCAAAATCCCTGTGGCTACTGGAAAGGGTCCTTGGGTGCCCTGCCTCACCTCGAGAAGCGTCCCTTTTGCCCTGCCAGGCCTCGAAGAGTTTCCTGAGGTGTCCCTCGTTACTAGACAGGAGTCCTGACGTCACTGAAGAAACTCGTGTTTTGAAGGCCCATCCCCGCCGTAAGTCGAGAACATACCCCAGGTCCCCGCCGCAACTCGAGAAAAACCATGAGACTTCCCCCTAGAGGCGAGATGAGGCCCCATTCCCCTGCAGTGCATGCAGAGCTATTCCGTGATCCCATTCAAACAAGTCAGGAGCTTCGACTTGCTTAATGGATCTCGAGACAGTCCCCAAGAAAACTGTCACCAGTCTAGACGGACCCTGAGGTCACCCCAGCAACGCAAAGCAGCTCCATGTGCCCCAAATCAACTCGAGATGAGGCCCGATTTCCCTGCATTGACTCCAGAGCCATTCCCCTTCCCCATTCAACACGACCGGTGGCTCGACTTCCTTCAGGCCACTCCAGAGATGCACCGAGAACACTGTCCCAAGTCTAGAGGAACACCAACTTCAGCACAACCACTCGAGAAATGCTCCGTGTACCCCAAATCGTCTCGAGATGAGAGCTGATTCCCAGGCGTAGGCTCAAGACGTATGCCAACTTTCCAGAAGCACCTCAGGAGGAGGCTTCTCTCAGCAATTGGTATGTTGGAGGGACCCCGAGTGTGCTGCCTCAAGGGGAATATACAGCGAGAAGCCCTAACTTGAAAGGCGGCCAGATTTCCTTGCAGTGGCTTGAATACCGGCCCGTCTTTAATCTCCCAACATGAAGGGATGTCTGAATCCCCTGTGGAGACCTTAGAAAGCCCTAGGTCCCTGCCTCATTTTGACGGAATGCCTCACATCCCGCTGACACCTCGAGAGGCACGCGGAGTTCATTGCTTCAAAAGGTGACGATGCCTGACTCCTCTTGAATACTGATAGGAATCCCAAAATCCCTGTGGCTACTGGAAAGGGTCCTTGAGTGCCCTGCCTCACCTCGAGAAGCGTCCCTTTTGCCCTGCCAAGCCTCGAAGAGCTTCCTGAGGTGTCCCTCCTTACTAGACAGGAGTCCTGACGTCACTGAAGAAACTCGTGTTTTGAAGGGCCATCCCCGCCGTAAGTCGAGAACATACCCCAGGTCCCTGCCGCAACTCGAGAAAAACCATGAGACTTCCCCCTAGAGGCGACATGAGGCCCCATTCCCCTGCAGTGCATGCAGAGCTATTCCGTGATCCCATTCAAACAAGTCAGGAGCTTCGACTTGCTTAATGGATCTCGAGACAGTCCCCAAGAACATTGTCATCAGTCTAGACGGACCCAGAGGTCACCCGAGCAACGCAAAGCAGCTCCATGTGCCCCAAATCAACTCGAGATGAGGCCCGATTTCCCTGCATTGACTCCAGAGCCATTCCCGTTCCCCATTCAACAGGACCGGTGGCTCTACTTCATTCAGGCCACTCCAGAGATGCCCCGAGAACACTGTCCCAAGTCTAGAGGAACACCTACTTCAGCACAGCAACTCGAGGAATTCTCTGTGTACCCCAAATCAGCTCGAGATGAGAGCTGATTCCCTGGCTTAGGCTCAAGACTTATGCCAACTTTCCAGAAGCACCTCAGGAGGAGCCTTCTCTCAGCAATAGGTATGTGGGAGGGACCCCGAGTTTGCTGCCTCAAGGGGAATATACAGCGAGAAGCCCTAACTTGAAAGGAGGCCGGATTTCCTTGCAGTGGCTTGAATACAGGCTCGTGTTTCATCTCACAAGATGAAGGGAAGTCTGAATCCCCTGTGGAGACCTTAGAGAAAGCCCTAGGTCCCTGCCTCATTTTGACGGAATGCCTCACATCCCGCTGACACCTCGAGAGGCACGCGGAGTTCATTGCTTCAAAAGGTGATGATGCCTGACTCCTCTTAATACTGATAGGAATCCCAAAATCCCTGTGGCTACTGGAAAGGGTCCTTGGGTGCCCTGCCTCACCTCGAGAAGCGTCCCTTTTGCCCTGCCAAGCCTCGAAGAGATTCCTGAAGGGTCCCTCGTTACTAGACAGGAGTCCTGACGTCACTGAAGAAACTCGTGTTTTGAAGGGCCATCCCCGCCGTAATTAGAGAACATACCTCAGGTCCCCGCCGCAACTCGAGAAAAACCGAAAGACTTCCCCCTAGAGGGGAGATGAAGCCCCATTCCCCTGCAGTGCATGCAGAGCTATTCCGTGATCCCATTCAAACAAGTCAGGAGCTTCGACTTGCTTAATGGATCTCCAGAGAGTCCCCAAGAACACTGTCACCAGTCCAGACGGACCCTGAGGTCACCCCAGCACCGCACAGCAGCTCCATGTGCCCCAAATCAACTCGAGATGAGGCCCGATTCCCCTGCATTGACTCCAGAGCCATTCCCCATTCCCCATTCAACACGACCGGTGGCTCGACTTCCTTCAGCAACTCCAGAGATGCCCCGAGAACACTGTCCGAAGTCTAGAGGAACACCAACTTCAGCACAGCAACTCGAGGAATGCTCTGTGTACACCAAATCGTCTCGAGATGAGAGCTGATTCCCTGGCTTAGGCTCAAGACGTATGCCAACTCCCCAGAAGCACCTCAGGAGGAGGCTTCTCTCAGCAATAGGTATGTGGGAGGGACCCCGAGTTTGCTGCCTCAAGGGGAATATACAGCGAGAAGCCCTAACTTGAAAGGAAGCCGGATTTCCATGCAGGGGCTTGAATACAGGCTCGTCTTTCATCTCACAACATGAAGGGATGTCTGAATCCCCTGTGGAGACCTTAGAGAAAGCCATAGGTCCCTTCCTCATTTTGACAGAATGCCTCACATCCCGCTGACACCTCAAGAGGCACGCGGAGTTCATTGCTTCAAAAGGTGACGATGCCTGACTCCTCTTGAATACTGATAGGAATCCCAAAATCCCTGTGGCTACTGGAAAGGGTCCTTGGGTGCCCTGCCTCACCTCGAGAAGCGTCCCTTTTGCCCTGCCAGGCCTCGAAGAGATTCCTGAGGTGTCCCTCGTTACTAGACAGGAGTCCTGACGTCACTGAAGAAACTCGTGTTTTGAAGGCCCATCCCCGCCGTAAGTCGAGAACATACCCCAGGTCCCCGCCGCAACTCGAGAAAAACCATGAGACTTCCCCCTAGAGGCGAGATGAGCCCCCATTCCCCTGCAGTGCATGCAGAGCTATTCCGTGATCCCATTCAAACAAGTCAGGAGCTTCGACTTGCTTAATGGATCTCGAGACAGTCCCCAAGAAAACTGTCACCAGTCTAGACGGACCCTGAGGTCACCCCAGCAACGCAAAGCAGCTCCATGTGCCCCAAATCAACTCGAGATGAGGCCCGATTTCCCTGCATTGACTCCAGAGCCATTCCCCTTACCCATTCAACACGACCGGTGGCTCGACTTCCTTCAGGCCACTCCAGAGATGCCCCGAGAACACTGTCCCAAGTCTAGAGGAACACCAACTTCAGCACAGCAACTCGAGGAATGCTCCGTTTACCCCAAATCGTCTCGAGATGAGAGCTGATTCCCTGGCTTAGGCTCAAGACGTATGCCAACTTTCCAGAAGCACCTCAGGAGGAGGCTTCTCTCAGCAATAGGTATGTGGGAGGGACCCCGAGTTTGCTGCCTCAAGGAGAATATACAGCGAGAAGCCCTAACTTGAAAGGAGGCCGGATTTCCTTGCAGTGGCTTGAATACAGGCTCGTCTTTCATCTCACAAGATGAAGGGAAGTCTGAATCCCCTGTGGAGACCTTAGAGAAAGCCCTAGGTCCCTGCCTCATTTTGACGGAATGCCTCACATCCCGCTGACACCTCGAGAGGCACGCCGAGTTCATTGCTTCAAAAGGTGACGAGGCCTGACTCCTCTTGAATACTGATAGGAATCCCAAAATCCCTGTGGCTACTGGAAAGGGTCCTTGGGTGCCCTGCCTCACCTCGAGAAGCGTCCCTTTTGCCCTGCCAAGCCTCGAAGAGCTTCCTGAGGTGTACCTCGTTACTAGACAGGAGTCCTGACGTCACTGAAGAAACTCGTGTTTTGAAGGGCCGTCCCCGCCGTAAGTCGAGAACATACCCCAGGTCCCCGCCGCAACTCGAGAAAAACCATGAGACTTCCCCCTAGAGGCGAGATGAGGCCCCATTCCCCTGCAGTGCATGCAGAGCTATTCCGTGATCCCATTCAAACAAGTCAGGAGCTTCGACTTGCTTAATGGATCTCGAGACAGTCCCCAAGAACATTGTCATCAGTCTAGACGGACCCAGAGGTCACCCCAGCAATGCAAAGCAGCTCCATGTGCCCCAAATCAACTCGAGATGAGGCCCGATTTCCCTGCATTGACTCCAGAGCCATTCCCGTTCCCCATTCAACAGGACCCGTGGCTCGACTTCCTTCAGGCCACTCCAGAGATGCACCGAGAACACTGTCCCAAGTCTAGAGTAACACCAACTTCAGCACAGCAACTCGAGAAATGCTCCGTGTACTCCAAATCGTCTCGAGATGAGAGCTGATTCCCTGGCGTAGGCTCAAGACGTATGCCAACTTTCCAGAAGCACCTCAGGAGGAGGCTTCTCTCAGCAATTGGTATGTGGGAGGGACCCCGAGTGTGCTGCCTCAAGGGGAATATACAGCGAGAAGCCCTAACTTGAAAGGAGGCCAGATTTCCTTGCAGTGGCTTGAATACAGGCCCGTCTTTAATCTCCCAACATGAAGGGATGTCTGAATCCCCTGTGGAGACCTTAGAAAGCCCTAGGTCCCTGCCTCATTTTGACGGAATGCCTCACATCCCGCTGACACCTCGAGAGGCACGCGGAGTTCATTGCTTCAAAAGGTGACGATGCCTGACTCCTCTTGAATACTGATAGGAATCCCAAAATCCCTGTGGCTACTGGAAAGGGTCCTTGAGTGCCCTGCCTCACCTCGAGAAGCGTCCCTTTTGCCCTGCCAAGCCTCGAAGAGCTTCCTGAGGTGTCCCTCGTTACTAGACAGGAGTCCTGACGTCACTGAAGAAACTCGTGTTTTGAAGGGCCATCCCCGCCGTAAGTCGAGAACATACCCCAGGTCCCCGCCGCAACTCGAGAAAAACCATGAGACTTCCCCCTAGAGGCGAGATGAGGCCCCATTCCCCTGCAGTGCATGCAGAGCTATTCCGTGATCCCATTCAAACAAGTCAGGAGCTTCGACTTGCTTAATGGATCTCGAGACAGTCCCCAAGAACATTGTCATCAGTCTAGACGGACCCAGAGGTCACCCCAGCAATGCAAAGCAGCTCCATGTGCCCCAAATCAACTCGAGATGAGGCCCGATTTCCCTGCATTGACTCCAGAGCCATTCCCGTTCCCCATTCAACAGGACCGGTGGCTCGACTTCCTTCAGGCCACTCCAGAGATGCACCGAGAACACTGTCCCAAGTCTAGAGGAACACCAACTTCAGCACAGCAACTCGAGAAATGCTCCGTGTACCCCAAATCGTCTCGAGATGAGAGCTGATTCCCTGGCGTAGGCTCAAGACGTATGCCAACTTTCCAGAAGCACCTCAGGAGGAGGCTTCTCTCAGCAATTGGTATGTGGGAGGGACCCCGAGTGTGCTGCCTCAAGGGGAATATACAGCGAGAAGCCCTAACTTGAAAGGAGGCCGGATTTCCTTGCAGTGGCTTGAATACAGGCTCGTGTTTCATCTCACATCATGAAGGGATGTCTGAATCCCCTGTGGAGACCTTAGAGAAAGCCCTAGGTCCCTGCCTCATTTTGACGGAATGCCTCACATCCCGCTGACACCTCGAGAGGCACGCGGAGTTCATTGCTTCAAAAGGTGATGATGCCTGACTCCTCTTAATACTGATAGGAATCCCAAAATCCCTGTGGCTACTGGAAAGGGTCCTTGGGTGCCCTGCCTCACCTCGAGAAGCGTCCCTTTTGCCCTGCCAAGCCTCGAAGAGATTCCTGAAGTGTCCCTCGTTACTAGACAGGAGTCCTGACGTCACTGAAGAAACTCGTGTTTGAAGGGCCATCCCCACCGTAAGTCGAGAACATACCCCAGGTCCCTGCCGCAACTCGAGAAAAACCATGAGACTTCCCCCTAGAGGCGAGATGAGGCCCCATTCCCCTGTAGTGCATGCAGAGCTATTCCGTGATCCCATTCAAACAAGTCAGGAGCTTCGACTTGCTTAATGGATCACGAGACAGTCCCCAAGAACACTCTCATCAGTCTAGACGGACCCTGAGGTCACCCCAGCAACCCATACCAGCTCCATGTGCCCCAAATCAACTCGAGATGAGGCCCGATTCCCCTGCATTGACTCCAGAGCCATTCCCCGTTCCCCATTCAAACGACCGGTGGCTCGACTTCCTTCAGGCCACTCCAGAGATGCCCCAAGAACACTGTCCCAAGTCTAGAGGAACACCAACTTCAGCACAGCAACTCGAGGAATGCTCCGTGTACCCCAAATCGTCTCGAGATGAGAGCTGATTCCCTCGCTTAGGCTCAAGACGTATGCCAACTTCCCAGAAGCACCTCAGGAGGAGGCTTCTCTCAGCAATAGGTATGTGGGAGGGACCCCGAGTTTGCTGCCTCAAGGGGAATATACAGCGAGAAGCCGTAACTTGAAAGGAGGCCGGATGTCCTTGCAGTGGCTTGAATACAGGCTCGTCTTTCATCTCACAACATGAAGGGATGTCTGAATCCCCTGTGGAGACCTTAGAGAAAGCCCTAGGTCCCTGCCTCATTTTGACGGAATGCCTCACATCCTGCTGACACCTCGAGAGGCACCCGGAGTTCATTGCTTCAAAAGGTGACGATGCCTGACTCCTCTTGAATACTGATAGGAATCCCAAAATCCCTGTGGCTACTGGAAAGGGTCCTTGGGTGCCCTGCCTCACCTCGAGAAGCGTCCCTTTTGCCCTGCCAAGCCTCGAAGAGATTCCTGAGGTGTCCCTCGTTACTAGACAGGAGTCCTGACGTCACTGAAGAAACTCGTGTTTTGAAGGGCCATCCCCGCCGTAAGTCGAGATCATACCCCATGTCCCCGCCGCAACTCGAGAAAAACCATGAGACTTCCGCCTAGAGGCGAGATGAGGCCCCATTCCCCTGCAGTGCATGCAGAGCTATTCGTGATCCCATTCAAACAAGTCAGGAGCTTCGACTTGCTTAATGGATCTCGAGACAGTCCCAAAGAACACTGTCACCATACTAGACGGACCCTGAGGTCACCCCAGCAACGCAAAGCAGCTCCATGTGCCCCAAATCAACTCGAGATGAGGCCCGATTCCCCTGCATTGACTCCAGAGCCATTCCCCGTTCCCCATTCAACACGACCGGTGGCTCGACTTCCTTCAGGCAACTCCAGAGATGCCTCGAGAACACTGTCCGTAGTCTAGAGGAACACCAACTTCAGCACAGCAAGTTGGGGAATGCTCCTTGTACCACAAATCGTCTCGAGATGAGAGCTGATTCCCTGGCTTAGGCTCAAGACGCATGCCAACTTTCCAGAAGCACCACAGGAGGAGGCTTCTCTCAGCAATAGGTATGTGGGAGGGACCCCGAGTTTGCTGCCTCAAGGGGAATAAACAGTGAGAAGCCCTAACTTGAAAGGAGGCCGGATTTCCTTGCAGTGGCTTGAATACAGGCTCGTGTTTCATCTCACAACATGAAGGGATGTCTGAATTCCCTGTGGAGACCTTAGAGAAAGCCCTAGGTCCCTGCCTCATTTTGACGGAATGCCTCACATCCCGCTGACACCTCGAGAATCACGCAGAGTTCATTGCTTCAAAAGGTGACGATGCCTGACTCCTCTTGAATACTGATAGGAATCCCAAAATCCCTGTGGCTACTGGAAAGAGTCCTTGGGTGCCCTGCCTCACCTCGAGAAGCGTCCCTTTTGCCCTGCCAAGCCTCGAAGAGATTCCTGAGGTATACCTCGTTATTCCTCAGGAGTCCTTACGTCACTGAAGAAACTCGTGTTTTGAAAGGCCATCCCCGCCGTAAGTCGAGAACATACCCCAAGTCCCGCCGCAACTCGAGAAAAACCATGAGACTTCCCCCTAGAGGCGAGATGAGGCCCCATTCCCCTGCAGTGCATGCAGAGCTATTCCGTGATCCCATTCAAACAAGTCAGGAGCTTCGACTTGCTTAATGGATCTCGAGACAGTCCCCAAGAACACTGTCACCAGTCTAGACGGACCCTGAGGTCACCCCAGCAACGCAAAGCAGCTCCATGTGCCCCAAATCAACTCGAGATGAGGCCGGATTCCCTTGCATTGATTCCAGAGAGATTCCCCGTTCCCCATTCAACACGACCGGTGGCTCGACTTCCTTCAGGCAACTCCAGAGATGCCCCGAGAACACTGTCCCAAGTCTAGAGGAACACCAACTTCAGCACAGCAACGCGAGGAATGCTCCGTGTACACCAAATCATCTCGAGATGAGAGCTGATTCCCTGGCTTACGCTCAAGACGGATGCCAACTTTCCAGAAGCACCTCAGGAGGAGGCTTCTCTCAGCAATAGGTATGTGGGAGGGACCCCGAGTTTGCTGCCTCAAGGGGAATATACAGCGAGAAGCCCTAACTTGAAAGGAGGCTGGATTTTCTAGCAGTGGCTTGAATACAGGCTCGTCTTTCATCTCACAACATGAAAGGATGTCTGAATCCCCTGTGGAGACCTTAGAGAAAGCCCTAGGTCCCTGCCTCATTTTGACGGAATGCCTCACATCCCGCTGACACCACGAGAGTCACGCAGAGTTCATTGCTTCAAAAGGTGACGATGCCTGACTCCTCTTGAATACTGATAGGAATCCCAAAATCCCTGTGGCTACTGGAAAGGGTCCTTGGGTGCCCTGCCTCACCTCGAGAAGCGTCCCTTTTGCCCTGCCAAGCCTCGAAGAGATTCCTGAGGTGTCCCTCGTTACTAGACAGGAGTCCTGACGTCACTGAAGGAACTCGTGTTTTGAAGGGCCATCCCCGCCTTAAGTCGAGAACATACCCCAAGTCCCCGCCGCAACTCGAGAAAAACCATGAGACTTCCCCCTAGAGGCGAGATGAGGCCCCATTCTCCTGCAGTGCATGCAGAGCTATTCCGTGATCCCATTCAAACAAGTCAGGAGCTTCGACTTGCTTAATGGATCTCGAGACAGTCCCCAAGAACACTGTCACCAGTCTAGACGGACCCTGAGGTCACCCCAGCAACGCAAAGCAGCTCCATGTGCCCCAAATCAACTCGAGATGAGGCCCGATTCCCCTGCATTGACTCCAGAGCCATTCCCCGTTCCCCATTCAACACGAACGGTGGCTCGACTTCCTTCAGGCAACTCCAGAGATGCCCCGAGAACACTGTGCCAAGTCTAGAGGAACACCAACTTCAGCACAGCAACTCGAGGAATGCTCCGTGTACCCCAAATCGTCTCGAGATGAGAGCTGATTCCCTGGCTTAGGCTCAAGACGTATGCCAACTTTCCAGAAGCACCTCAGGAGGAGGCTTCTCTCAGCAATAGGTATGTGGGAGGGACACCGAGTTTGCTGCCTCAAGGGGAATATACAGCGAGAAGCCCTAACTTGAAAGCAGGCCGGATTTCCTTTCAGTGGCTTGAATACAGGCTCGTCTTTCATCTCACAACATGAAGGGATGTCTGAGTCCCCTGTGGAGACCTTAGAGAAAGCCCTAGGTCCCTGCCTCATTTTGAACGGAATGCCTCACATCCTGCTGACACTTCGAGAGGCACACGGAGTTAATTGCTTCAAAAGGTGACGATGCCTGACTCCTCTTGAATATTGATAGGAATCCCAAAATCCCTGTGGCTACTGGAAAGGGTCCTTGAGTGCCCTGCCCCACCTCGAGAAGCGTCCCTTTTGCTCTGCCAAGCCTCGAAGAGATTCCTGAGGTGTCCCTCGTTACTAGACAGGAGTCCTGACGTCACTGAAGAAACTCGTGTTTTGAAGGGCCATCCCCGCCGTAATTCGAGAACATACCTCAGGTCCCCGCCGCAACTCGAGAAAAACCGAAAGACTTCCCCCTAGAGGCGAGATGAAGCCCCATTCCCCTGCAGTGCATGCAGAGCTATTCCGTGATCCCATTGAAACAAGTCAGGAGCTTCGACTTGCTTAATGGATCTCCAGAGATTCCCCAAGAACACTGTCACCAGTCCAGACGGACCCTGAGGTCACCCCAGCACCGCACAGCAGCTCCATGTGCCCCAAATCAACTCGAGATGAGGCCCGATTCCCCTGCATTGACTCCAGAGCCATTCCCCGTTCCCCATTCAACACGACCGGTGGCTCGACTTCCTTCAGCAACTCCAGAGATGCCCCGAGAACACTGTCCCAAGTCTAGAGGAACACCAACTTCAGCACAGCAACTCGAGGAATGCTCTGTGTACACCAAATCGTCTCGAGATGAGAGCTGATTCCCTGGCTTAGGCTCAAGACGTATGCCAACTCCCCAGAAGCACCTCAGGAGGAGGCTTCTCTCAGCAATAGGTATGTGGGAGGGACCCCGAGTTTGCTGCCTCAAGGGGAATATACAGCGAGAAGCCCTAACTTGAAAGGAAGCCGGATTTCCATGCAGGGGCTTGAATACAGGCTCGTCTTTCATCTCACAACATGAAGGGATGTCTGAATCCCCTGTGGAGACCTTAGAGAAAGCCATAGGTCCCTTCCTCATTTTGACAGAATGCCTCACATCCCGCTGACACCTCAAGAGGCACGCGGAGTTCATTGCTTCAAAAGGTGACGATGCCTGACTCCTCTTGAATACTGATAGGAATCCCAAAATCCCTGTGGCTACTGGAAAGGGTCCTTGGGTGCCCTGCCTCACCTCGAGAAGCGTCCCTTTTGCCCTGCCAGGCCTCGAAGAGTTTCCTGAGGTGTCCCTCGTTACTAGACAGGAGTCCTGACGTCACTGAAGAAACTCGTGTTTTGAAGGCCCATCCCCGCCGTAAGTCGAGAACATACCCCAGGTCCCCGCCGCAACTCGAGAAAAACCATGAGACTTCCCCCTAGAGGCGAGATGAGGCCCCATTCCCCTGCAGTGCATGCAGAGCTATTCCGTGATCCCATTCAAACAAGTCAGGAGCTTCGGCTTGCTTAATGGATCTCGAGACAGTCCCCAAGAAAACTGTCACCAGTCTAGACGGACCCTGAGGTCACCCCAGCAACGCAAAGCAGCTCAATGTGCCCCAAATCAACTCGAGATGAGGCCCGATTTCCCTGCATTGACTCCAGAGCCATTCCCCTTCCCCATTCAACACGACCGGTGGCTCGACTTCCTTCAGGCCAATCCAGAGATGCCCCGAGAACACTGTCCCAAGTCTAGAGGAACACCAACTTCAGCACAGCAACTCGAGGAATGCTCCGTTTACCCCAAATCGTCTCGAGATGAGAGCTGATTCCCTGGCTTAGGCTCAAGACGTATGCCAACTTTCCAGAAGCACCTCAGGAGGAGGCTTCTCTCAGCAATAGGTATGTGGGAGGGACCCCGAGTTTGCTGCCTCAAGGGGAATATACAGCGAGAAGCCCTAACTTGAAAGGAGGCCGGATTTCCTTGCAGTGGCTTGAATACAGGCTCGTCTTTCATCTCACAAGATGAAGGGAAGTCTGAATCCCCTGTGGAGACCTTAGAGAAAGCCCTAGGTCCCTGCCTCATTTTGACGGAATGCCTCACATCCCACTGACACCTCGAGAGGCACGCCGAGTTCATTGCTTCAAAAGGTGACGAGGCCTGACTCCTCTTGAATACTGATAGGAATCCCAAAATCCCTGTGGCTACTGGAAAGGGTCCTTGGGTGCCCTGCCTCACCTCGAGAAGCGTCCCTTTTGCCCTGCCAAGCCTCGAAGAGCTTCCTGAGTTGTACCTCGTTACTAGACAGGAGTCCTGACGTCACTGAAGAAACTCGTGTTTTGAAGGGCCGTCCCCGCCGTAAGTCGAGAACATACCCCAGGTCCCTGCCGCAACTCGAGAAAAACCATGAGACTTCCCCCTAGAGGCGACATGAGGCCCCATTCCCCTGCAGTGCATGCAGAGCTATTCCGTGATCCCATTCAAACAAGTCAGGAGCTTCGACTTGCTTAATGGATCTCGAGACAGTCCCCAAGAACATTGTCATCAGTCTAGACGGACCCAGAGGTCACCCCAGCAATGCAAAGCAGCTCCATGTGCCCCAAATCAACTCGAGATGAGGCCCGATTTCCCTGCATTGACTCCAGAGCCATTCCCGTTCCCCATTCAACAGGACCGGTGGCTCGACTTCCTTCAGGCCACTCCAGAGATGCACCGAGAACACTGTCCCAAGTCTAGAGGAACACCAACTTCAGCACAGCAACTCGAGAAATGCTCCGTGTACCCCAAATCGTCTCGAGATGAGAGCTGATTCCCTGGCGTAGGCTCGAGACGTATGCCAACTTTCCAGAAGCACCTCAGGAGGAGGCTTCTCTCAGCAATTGGTATGTGGGAGGGACCCCGAGTGTGCTGCCTCAAGGGGAATATACAGCGAGAAGCCCTAACTTGAAAGGAGGCCAGATTTCCTTGCAGTGGCTTGAATACAGGCCCGTCTTTAATCTCCCAACATGAAGGGATGTCTGAATCCCCTGTGGAGACCTTAGAAAGCCCTAGGTCCCTGCCTCATTTTGACGGAATGCCTCACATCCCGCTGACACCTCGAGAGGCACGCGGAGTTCATTGCTTCAAAAGGTGACGATGCCTGACTCCTCTTGAATACTGATAGGAATCCCAAAATCCCTGTGGCTACTGGAAAGGGTCCTTGAGTGCCCTGCCTCACCTCGAGAAGCGTCCCTTTTGCCCTGCCAAGCCTCGAAGAGCTTCCTGAGGTGTCCCTCGTTACTAGACAGGAGTCCTGACGTCACTGAAGAAACTCGTGTTTTGAAGGGCCATCCCCGCCGTAAGTCGAGAACATACCCCAGGTCCCTGCCGCAACTCGAGAAAAACCATGAGACTTCCCCCTAGAGGCGACATGAGGCCCCATTCCCCTGCAGTGCATGCAGAGCTATTCCGTGATCCCATTCAAACAAGTCAGGAGCTTCGACTTGCTTAATGGATCTCGAGACAGTCCCCAAGAACATTGTCATCAGTCTAGACGGACCCAGAGGTCACCCGAGCAACGCAAAGCAGCTCCATGTGCCCCAAATCAACTCGAGATGAGGCCCGATTTCCCTGCATTGACTCCAGAGCCATTCCCGTTCCCCATTCAACAGGACCGGTGGCTCTACTTCATTCAGGCCACTCCAGAGATGCCCCGAGAACACTGTCCCAAGTCTAGAGGAACACCAACTTCAGCACAGCAACTCGAGGAATTCTCCGTGTACCCCAAATCAGCTCGAGATGAGAGCTGATTCCCTGGCTTAGGCTCAAGACTTATGCCAACTTTCCAGAAGCACCTCAGGAGGAGCCTTCTCTCAGCAATAGGTATGTGGGAGGGACCCCGAGTTTGCTGCCTCAAGGGGAATATACAGCGAGAAGCCCTAACTTGAAAGGAGGCCGGATTTCCTTGCAGTGGCTTGAATACAGGCTCGTGTTTCATCTCACAAGATGAAGGGAAGTCTGAATCCCCTGTGGAGACCTTAGAGAAAGCCCTAGGTCCCTGCCTCATTTTGACGGAATGCCTCACATCACGCTGACACCTCGAGAGGCACGCGGACTTCATTGCTTCAAAAGGTGATGATGCCTGACTCCTCTTAATACTGATAGGAATCCCAAAATCCCTGTGGCTACTGGAAAGGGTCCTTGGGTGCCCTGCCTCACCTCGAGAAGCGTCCCTTTTGCCCTGCCAAGCCTCGAAGAGATTCCTGAAGTGTCCCTCGTTACTAGACAGGAGTCCTGACGTCACTGAAGAAACTCGTGTTTTGAAGGGCCATCCCCGCCGTAATTCGAGAACATACCTCAGGTCCCCGCCGCAACTCGAGAAAAACCGAAAGACTTCCCCCTAGAGGCGAGATGAAGCCCCATTCCCCTGCAGTGCATGCAGAGCTATTCCGTGATCCCATTCAAACAAGTCAGGAGCTTCGACTTGCTTAATGGATCTCCAGAGATTCCCCAAGAACACTGTCACCAGTCCAGACGGACCCTGAGGTCACCCCAGCACCGCAAAGCAGCTCCATGTGCCCCAAATCAACTCGAGATGAGGCCCGATTCCCCTGCATTGACTCCAGAGCCATTCCCCGTTCCCCATTCAACAGGACCGGTGGCTCGACTTCCTTCAGCAACTCCAGAGATGCCCCGAGAACACTGTCCCAAGTCTAGAGGAACACCAACTTCAGCACAGCAACTCGAGGAATGCTCTGTGTACACCAAATCGTCTCGAGATGAGAGCTGATTCCCTGGCTTAGGCTCAAGACGTATGCCAACTCCCCAGAAGCACCTCAGGAGGAGGCTTCTCTCAGCAATAGGTATGTGGGAGGGACCCCGAGTTTGCTGCCTCAAGGGGAATATACAGCGAGAAGCCCTAACTTGAAAGGAAGCCGGATTTCCATGCAGGGGCTTGAATACAGGCTCGTCTTTCATCTCACAACATGAAGGGATGTCTGAATCCCCTGTGGAGACCTTAGAGAAAGCCATAGGTCCCTTCCTCATTTTGACAGAATGCCTCACATCCCGCTGACACCTCAAGAGGCACGCGGAGTTCATTGCTTCAAAAGGTGACGATGCCTGACTCCTCTTGAATACTGATAGGAATCCCAAAATCCCTGTGGCTACTGGAAAGGTTCCTTGGGTGCCCTGCCTCACCTCGAGAAGCGTCCCTTTTGCCCTGCCAGGCCTCGAAGAGATTCCTGAGGTGTCCCTCGTTACTAGACAGGAGTCCTGACGTCACTGAAGAAACTCGTGTTTTGAAGGCCCATCCCCGCCGTAAGTCGAGAACATACCCCAGGTCCCCGCCGCAACTCGAGAAAAACCATGAGACTTCCCCCTAGAGGCGAGATGAGGCCCCATTCCCCTGCAGTGCATGCAGAGCTATTCCGTGATCCCATTCAAACAAGTCAGGAGCTTCGACTTGCTTAATGGATCTCGAGACAGTCCCCAAGAACACTGTCACCAGTCTAGACGGACCCTGAGGTCACCCCAGCAACGCAAAGCAGCTCCATGTGCCCCAAATCAACTCGAGATGAGGCCCGATTTCCCTGCATTGACTCCAGAGCCATTCCCCTTCCCCATTCAACACGACCGGTGGCTCGACTTCCTTCAGGCCACTCCAGAGATGCCCCGAGAACACTGTCCCAAGTCTAGAGGAACACCAACTTCAGCACAGCAACTCGAGGAATGCTCCGTTTACCCCAAATCGTCTCGAGATGAGAGCTGATTCCCTGGCTTAGGCTCAAGACGTATGCCAACTTTCCAGAAGCACCTCAGGAGGAGGCTTCTCTCAGCAATAGGTATGTGGGAGGGACCCCGAGTTTGCTGCCTCAAGGGGAATATACAGCGAGAAGCCCTAACTTGAAAGGAGGCCGGATTTCCTTGCAGTGGATTGAATACAGGCTCGTCTTTCATCTCACAAGATGAAGGGAAGTCTGAATCCCCTGTGGAGACCTTAGAGAAAGCCCTAGGTCCCTGCCTCATTTTGACGGAATGCCTCACATCCCGCTGACACCTCGAGAGGCACGCCGAGTTCATTGCTTCAAAAGGTGACGAGGCCTGACTCCTCTTGAATACTGATAGGAATCCCAAAATCCCTGTGGCTACTGGAAAGGGTCCTTGGGTGCCCTGCCTCACCTCGAGAAGCGTCCCTTTTGCCCTGCCAAGCCTCGAAGAGCTTCCTGAGGTGTACCTCGTTACTAGACAGGAGTCCTGACGTCACTGAAGAAACTCGTGTTTTGAAGGGCCGTCCCCGCCGTAAGTCGAGAACATACCCCAGGTCCCCGCCGCAACTCGAGAAAAACCATGAGACTTCCCCCTATAGGCGAGATGAGGCCCCATTCCCCTGCAGTGCATGCAGAGCTATTCCGTGATCCCATTCAAACAAGTCAGGAGCTTCGACTTGCTTAATGGATCTCGAGACAGTCCCCAAGAACATTGTCATCAGTCTAGACGGACCCAGAGGTCACCCCAGCAATGCAAAGCAGCTCCATGTGCCCCAAATCAACTCGAGATGAGGCCCGATTTCCCTGCATTGACTCCAGAGCCATTCCCGTTCCCCATTCAACAGGACCGGTGGCTCGACTTCCTTCAGGCCACTCCAGAGATGCACCGAGAACACTGTCCCAAGTCTAGAGGAACACCAACTTCAGCACAGCAACTCGAGAAATGCTCCGTGTACCCCAAATCGTCTCGAGATGAGAGCTGATTCCCTGGCGTAGGCTCAAGACGTATGCCAACTTTCCAGAAGCACCTCAGGAGGAGGCTTCTCTCAGCAATTGGTATGTGGGAGGGACCCCGAGTGTGCTGCCTCAAGGGGAATATACAGCGAGAAGCCCTAACTTGAAAGGAGGCCGGATTTCCTTGCAGTGGCTTGAATACAGGCTCGTGTTTCATCTCACAACATGAAGGGATGTCTGAATCCCCTGTGGAGACCATAGAGAAAACCCTAGGTCCCTGCCTCATTTTGACAGAATGCGTCACATCCCGCTGACACTTCGAGAGACACGCAGAGTTCATTGCTTCAAAAGGTGACGATGCCTGACTCCTCTTGAATACTGATAGGAATCCCAAAATCCCTGTGGCTACTGGAAAGGGTCCTTGGGTGCCCTGCCTCACTTCGAGAAGCGTCCCTTTTGCCCTGCCAAGCCTCGAAGAGATTCCTGAGGTGTCCCTCGTTACTAGACAGGAGTCCTGACGTCACTGAAGAGACTCGTGTTCTGAAGGGCTAGCCCCGCCGTAAGTCGAGAACATACCCCAGGTCCCCGCCGCAACTCGAGAAAAACCATGAGACTTCCCCCTAGAGGCGAGATGAGGCCCCATTCCCCTCCAGTGCATGCAGAGATATTCCGTGATCCCATTCAAACAAGTCAGGAGCTTCGACTTGCTTAATGGGTCTCGAGACAGTCCCCAAGAACACTGTCACCAGTCTAGACGGACCCTGAGGTCACCCCAGCAACGCAAAGCAGCTCCATGTGCCCCAAATCAACTCGAGATGAGGCCCGTTTCCCCTGCATTGACTCCAGAGCCATTCCCCGTTCCCCATTCAACACGACCGGTGGCTCGACTTCCTTCAGGAAACTCCAGAGATGCCCTGAGAACACTGTCCCAAGTCTAGAGGAACACCAACTTCAGCACAGCAACTCGAGGAATGCTCCGTGTACCCCCAAATTGTCTCGAGATGAGAGCTGATTCCCTGGCTTAGGCTCAAGACGTATGCCAACTACCCAGAAGCACCTCAGGAGGAGGCTTCTCTCAGCAATAGGTATCTGGGAAGGACCCCGAGTTTGCTGCCTCAAGGGGAATATACCGCGAGAAGCCCTAACTTGAAAGGAGGCCGGATTTCCTTGCAGTGGCTTGAATACAGGCTCGTCTTTCATCTCACAACATGAAGGGATGTCTGAATCCCCTGTGGAGACCTTAGAGAAAGCCCTAGGTCCCTGCCTCATTTTGACGGAATCGTCACATCCCGCTGACACCTCGAGAGGCACGCGGAGTTCATTGCTTCAAAAATGACGATGCCTGACTCCTCTTGAATACTGATAGGAATCGCAAAATCCCTGTGGCTACTGGAAAGGGTCCTTGGGTGCCCTGCCTCACCTCGAGAAGCATCCCTTTTGCCCTGGCAAGGCTGGAAGAGATTCCTGAGGTGTCCCTCGTTACTAGACAGGAGTCCTGACGTCACTGAAGAAACTCGTGTTTTGAAGGGCCATCCCCGCCGTAAGTCGAGAACATACCCCAGGTCCCCGCCGCAACTCGAGAAAAACCATGAGACTTCCCCCTAGAGGCGAGATGAGGCCCCATTCCCCTGCAGTGCATGCAGAGCTATTCCGTGATCCCATTCAAACAAGTCAGGAGCTTCGACTTGCTTAATGGATCTCGAGACAGTCCCCAAGAACACTGTCACCAGTCAAGACGGACCCTGAGGTCACCCCAGCAACGCAAAGCACCTCCATGTGCCCCAAATCAACTCGAGATGGGGCCCGATTCCCCTGCATTGACTCCAGAGCCATTCCTCGTTCCCCATTCAACACGACCGGTGGCTCGACTTCCTTCAGGAAACTACAGAGATGCCCCAAGAACACTGTCCCAAGTCTAGAGGAACACCAACTTCAGCACAGCAACTCGAGGAATGCTCCGTGTACCCCAAATCGTCTCGAGATGAGAGCTGATTCCCTTTCTTAGGCTCAAGACGTATGCCAACTTTCCAGAAGCACCTCAGGAGGAGGCTTCTCTCAGCAATAGGTATGTGGGAGGGACCCCGAGTGTGCTGCCTCAAGGGGAATATACCGCGAGAAGCCCTAACTTGAAAGGAGGCCGGATTTCCTTTCAGGGGCTTGAATACAGGCTCGTCTTTCATCTCACAACATGAAGGGATGTCTGAATCCCCTGTGGAGACCTTAGAGAAAGCCCTAGGTCCCTGCCTCATTTTGACGGAATGCCTCACATCCAGCTGAAACCTCAAGAGGCACGCGGAGTTCATTGCTTCAAAAGTTGACGATGCCTGACTCCTCTTTTATACCGATAGGAATCCCATAATCACTGTGGCTACTGGAAAGGGTCCTTGGGTGCCCTGCCTCACCTCGAGAAGCGTCCCTTTTGCCCTGCCAAGCCTCGAAGAGATTCCTGAGGTGTCCCTCGTTACTAGACAGGAGTCCTGACGTCACTGAAGAAACTCGTGGTTTGAAGGGCCATCCCCGCCGTAACTAGAGGACATAGCCCAGGTCCCCATCGCAAGTCGAGAAAAACCATGAGACTTCCCCCTAGAGGGGAGATGAGGCCCCATTCCCCTGCAATGCATGCAGAGCTATTCCGTGATCACATTCAAACAAGTCAGGAGCTTCGACTTGCTTAATGGATCTCGAGACAGTCCCCAAGAACACTGTCACCAGTCTAGACGGACCATGACGTCACCCAGCAACGCAAAGCAGCTCCATGTGCCCCAAATCAACTCGAGATGAGGCCCGATTCCGCTGCATTGACTCCAGAGCCATTCCCCGTTCCCCATTCAACACGACCGGTGGCTCGACTTCCTTCAGGCAACTCCAGAGATGCCCCGAGAACACTGTCCCAAGTCTAGAGGAACAACAACTTCAGCACAGCAACTCGAGGAATGATACGTGTACCCCAAATCGTCTCGAGATGAGAGCTGATTCCCTGGCTTAGGCTCAAGACGTATGCCAACTTTCCAGAAGCACCTCAGGAGGAGGCTTCTCTCAGCAATAGGTATGTGGGAGGGACACCGAGTTTGCTGCCTCAAGGGGAATATACAGCGAGAAGCCCTAACTTGAAACGAGGCCAGATTTCCTTGCAGTGGCTTGAATACAGGTTCGTCTTTCATCTCACAACATGAAGGGATGTCTGAATCCCCTGTGGAGACCTTAGAGAAAGCCCTAGGTCCCTGCCTCATTTTTACGGAATGCCTCACATCCCGCTGACACCTCGAGAGGCACGCGGAGTTCATTGCTTCAAAAGGTGACGATGCCTGACTCCTCTTGAATGCTGATAGGAATCCCAAAATCCCTGTGGCTACTGGAAAGGGTCCTTGGGTGCCCTGCCTCACCTCGAGAAGCGTCCCTTTTGCCCTGCCAAGCCTCGAAGAGATTCCTGAGGTGTCCCTCGTTACTAGACAGTAGTCCTGACGTCACTGAAGAAACTCGTGTTCTGAAGGGCCAGCCCCGCCGTAAGTCGAGAACATACCCCAGGTCCCCGCCGCAACTCGAGAAAAACCATGAGACTTCCCCCTAGAGGCGAGATGAGGCCCCATTCCCCTGCAGTGCATGCAGAGCTATTCCGTGATCAAATTCAAACAAGTCAGGAGCTTCGACTTGCTTAATGGATCTCGAGACAGTCCCCAAGAACACTGTCACCAGTCTAGACGGACCCTGAGGTCACCCCAGCACCGCAAAGCAGCTCCATGTGCCCCAAATCAACTCGAGATGAGGCCCGATTCCCCTGCATTGACTCCAGAGCCATTCCCCGTTCGCCATTCAACACGACCGGTGGCTCGACTTCCTTCAGGCAACTCCAGAGATGCCCCGAGAACACTGTCCCAAGTCTAGAGGAACACCAACTTCAGCACAGCAACTCGAGGAATGCTCCGTGTACCCCAAATCGTCTCGAGATGAGAGCTGATTCCCTGGCTTAGGCTCAAGACGTATGCCAACTTACCAGAAGCACCTCAGGAGGAGGCTTCTCTCAGCAATAGGTATGTGGGAGGGACCCCGAGTTTGCTGCCTCAAGGGGAATATAAAGCGAGAAGCCCTAACTAGAAACGAGGCCAGATTTCCTTGCAGTGGCTTGAATACAGGCTCGTCTTTCATCTCACAACATGAAGGGATGTCTGAATCCCCTGTGTAGACCTTAGAGAAAGCCCTAGGTCCCTGCCTCATTTTGACGGAATGCCTCACATCCCGCTGACACCTCGAGAGGCACGCGGAGTGCATTGATTTAAAAGGTGACGATGCCTGACTCCTCTTGAATGCTGATAGGAAACCCAAACTCGCTGTGGCTACTGGAAAGGGTCCTTGGGTGCCCTGCCTCACCACGAGAAGCGTCCCTTTTGCCCTGCCAAGCCTCGAAGAGATTCCTGAGGTGTCCCTCGTTACTAGACAGGAGTCCTGACGTCACTGAAGAAACTCGTGTTCTGAAGGGCCATCCCCGCCGTAAGTCGAAAACATACTCCAGGTCCCCGCCGCAACTCGAGAAAAACCATGAGACTTCCCCCTAGAGGCGAGATGATGCCCCATTCCCCTGCAGTGCATGCAGAGATATTCCGTGATCCCATTCAAACAAGTCAGGAGCTTCGTCTTGCTTAATGGGTCTCGAGACAGTCCCCAAGAACACTGTCACCAGTCTAGACGGACCCTGTGGTCACCCCAGCAACGCAAAGCAGCTCCATGTGGCCCCAAATCAACTCGAGATGAGGCCCGTTTCCCCTGAATTGACTCCAGAGCCATTCCCCGTTCCCCATTCAACACGACTGGTGGCTCGACTTCCTTCAGGCAACTCCAGAGATGCCCCGAGAACACTGTCCCAAGTCTAGAGGAACACCAACTTCAGCACAGCAACTCGAGGAATGCTCCGTGTACCCCAAATCGTCTCGAGATGAGAGCTGATTCCCTGGCTTAGGCTCAAGACGTACACCAACTCCCCATAAGCACCTCAGGAGGAGGCTTCTCTCAGCAATAGGTATGTGGGAGGGAACCCGAGTTTGCTGCCTCAAGGGGAATATTCAGCGAGAAGCCCTAACTTGAAAGGAGGCCGGATTTCCTTGCAGTGGCTTGAATACAGGCTCGTCTTTCATCTCACAACATGAAGGGATGTCTGAATGCCCTGTGGAGACCTTAGAGAAAGCCCTAGGTCCCTGCCTCATTTTGACGGAATGCCTCACATCCCGCTGACACCTCGAGAGGCACGCGGAGTTCATTGCTTCAAAAGGTGACGATGCCTGACACCTCTTGAATACTGATAGGAATCCCAAAATCCCTGTGGCTACTGGAAAGGGTCCTTGGGTGCCCTAACTCACCTTGAGAAGCGTCCCTTTTGCCCTGCCAAGCCTCGAAGAGATTCCTGAGGTGTCCCTCGTTACTAGACAGGAGTCCTGACGTCACTGAAGAAACTCGTGTTTTGAAGGGCCATCCCCGCCGTAAGTCGAGAACATACCCCAGGTCCCGGCCGCAACTCGAGAAAAACCATGAGACTTCCCCCTGGAGGCGAGATGAGGCCCCATTCCCCTGCAGTGCATGCAGAGCTATTCCGTGATCCCATTCAAACAAGTCAGGAGCTTCGACTTGCTTAATGGATCTCGAGACAGTCCCCAAGAACACTGTCACCAGTCTAGACGGACCCTGAGGTCACCCCAGCAACGCAAAGGAGCTCCATGTGCCCCAAATCAACTCGAGATGAGGCCCCGATTCCCCTGCATTGACTCCAGAGCCATTCCCCGTTCCCCATTCAACACGACCGGTGGCTCGACTTCTTTCAAGCAACTCCAGAGATGCCCCGAGAACACTGTCCCAAGTCTAGAGGAACACCAACTTCAGCACAGCAACTCGAGGAATGCTCCGTGTACCCCAAATCGTCTCGAGATGAGAGCTGATTCCCTGGCTTAGGCTCAAGACGTATGCCAACTTTCCAGAAGCACCTCAGGAGGAGGCTTCTCTCAGCAATAGGTATGTGGGAGGGACCCCGAGTTTGCTGCCTCAAGGGGAATATACCGCGAGAAGCCCTAACTTGAAAGGAGGCCGGATTTCCTTGCAGTGGCTTGAATACAGGCTCGTCTTTCATCTCACAATATGGAGGGATGTCTGAATCCCCTGTGTAGACCTTAGAGAAAGCCCTAGGTCCCTGCCTCATTTTTACGGAATGCCTCACATCCCGCTGACACCTCGAGAGGCACGCGGAGTTCATTGCTTCAAAAGGTGACGATGCCTGACTCCTCTTGAATGCTGATAGGAATCCCAAAATCCCTGTGGCTACTGGAAAGGGTCCTTGGGTGCCCTGCCTCACCTCGAGAAGCGTCCCTTTTGCCCTGCCAAGCCTCGAAGAGATTCCTGAGGTGTCCCTCGTTACTAGACAGTAGTCCTGACGTCACTGAAGAAACTCGTGTTCTGAAGGGCCAGCCCCGCCGTAAGTCGAGAACATACCCCAGGTCCCCGCCGCAACTCGAGAAAAACCATGAGACTTCCCCCTAGAGGCGAGATGAGGCCCCATTCCCCTGCAGTGCATGCAGAGCTATTCCGTGATCAAATTCAAACAAGTCAGGAGCTTCGACTTGCTTAATGGATCTCGAGACAGTCCCCAAGAACACTGTCACCAGTCTAGACGGACCCTGAGGTCACCCCAGCACCGCAAAGCAGCTCCATGTGCCCCAAATCAACTCGAGATGAGGCCCGATTCCCCTGCATTGACTCCAGAGCCATTCCCCGTTCGCCATTCAACACGACCGGTGGCTCGACTTCCTTCAGGCAACTCCAGAGATGCCCCGAGAACACTGTCCCAAGTCTAGAGGAACACCAACTTCAGCACAGCAACTCGAGGAATGCTCCGTGTACCCCAAATCGTCTCGAGATGAGAGCTGATTCCCTGGCTTAGGCTCAAGACGTATGCCAACTTACCAGAAGCACCTCAGGAGGAGGCTTCTCTCAGCAATAGGTATGTGGGAGGGACCCCGAGTTTGCTGCCTCAAGGGGAATATAAAGCGAGAAGCCCTAACTAGAAACGAGGCCAGATTTCCTTGCAGTGGCTTGAATACAGGCTCGTCTTTCATCTCACAACATGAAGGGATGTCTGAATCCCCTGTGTAGACCTTAGAGAAAGCCCTAGGTCCCTGCCTCATTTTGACGGAATGCCTCACATCCCGCTGACACCTCGAGAGGCACGCGGAGTGCATTGATTTAAAAGGTGACGATGCCTGACTCCTCTTGAATGCTGATAGGAAACCCAAACTCGCTGTGGCTACTGGAAAGGGTCCTTGGGTGCCCTGCCTCACCACGAGAAGCGTCCCTTTTGCCCTGCCAAGCCTCGAAGAGATTCCTGAGGTGTCCCTCGTTACTAGACAGGAGTCCTGACGTCACTGAAGAAACTCGTGTTCTGAAGGGCCATCCCCGCCGTAAGTCGAAAACATACTCCAGGTCCCCGCCGCAACTCGAGAAAAACCATGAGACTTCCCCCTAGAGGCGAGATGATGCCCCATTCCCCTGCAGTGCATGCAGAGATATTCCGTGATCCCATTCAAACAAGTCAGGAGCTTCGTCTTGCTTAATGGGTCTCGAGACAGTCCCCAAGAACACTGTCACCAGTCTAGACGGACCCTGTGGTCACCCCAGCAACGCAAAGCAGCTCCATGTGGCCCCAAATCAACTCGAGATGAGGCCCGTTTCCCCTGAATTGACTCCAGAGCCATTCCCCGTTCCCCATTCAACACGACTGGTGGCTCGACTTCCTTCAGGCAACTCCAGAGATGCCCCGAGAACACTGTCCCAAGTCTAGAGGAACACCAACTTCAGCACAGCAACTCGAGGAATGCTCCGTGTACCCCAAATCGTCTCGAGATGAGAGCTGATTCCCTGGCTTAGGCTCAAGACGTACACCAACTCCCCATAAGCACCTCAGGAGGAGGCTTCTCTCAGCAATAGGTATGTGGGAGGGAACCCGAGTTTGCTGCCTCAAGGGGAATATTCAGCGAGAAGCCCTAACTTGAAAGGAGGCCGGATTTCCTTGCAGTGGCTTGAATACAGGCTCGTCTTTCATCTCACAACATGAAGGGATGTCTGAATGCCCTGTGGAGACCTTAGAGAAAGCCCTAGGTCCCTGCCTCATTTTGACGGAATGCCTCACATCCCGCTGACACCTCGAGAGGCACGCGGAGTTCATTGCTTCAAAAGGTGACGATGCCTGACACCTCTTGAATACTGATAGGAATCCCAAAATCCCTGTGGCTACTGGAAAGGGTCCTTGGGTGCCCTAACTCACCTTGAGAAGCGTCCCTTTTGCCCTGCCAAGCCTCGAAGAGATTCCTGAGGTGTCCCTCGTTACTAGACAGGAGTCCTGACGTCACTGAAGAAACTCGTGTTTTGAAGGGCCATCCCCGCCGTAAGTCGAGAACATACCCCAGGTCCCGGCCGCAACTCGAGAAAAACCATGAGACTTCCCCCTGGAGGCGAGATGAGGCCCCATTCCCCTGCAGTGCATGCAGAGCTATTCCGTGATCCCATTCAAACAAGTCAGGAGCTTCGACTTGCTTAATGGATCTCGAGACAGTCCCCAAGAACACTGTCACCAGTCTAGACGGACCCTGAGGTCACCCCAGCAACGCAAAGGAGCTCCATGTGCCCCAAATCAACTCGAGATGAGGCCCCGATTCCCCTGCATTGACTCCAGAGCCATTCCCCGTTCCCCATTCAACACGACCGGTGGCTCGACTTCTTTCAAGCAACTCCAGAGATGCCCCGAGAACACTGTCCCAAGTCTAGAGGAACACCAACTTCAGCACAGCAACTCGAGGAATGCTCCGTGTACCCCAAATCGTCTCGAGATGAGAGCTGATTCCCTGGCTTAGGCTCAAGACGTATGCCAACTTTCCAGAAGCACCTCAGGAGGAGGCTTCTCTCAGCAATAGGTATGTGGGAGGGACCCCGAGTTTGCTGCCTCAAGGGGAATATACCGCGAGAAGCCCTAACTTGAAAGGAGGCCGGATTTCCTTGCAGTGGCTTGAATACAGGCTCGTCTTTCATCTCACAATATGGAGGGATGTCTGAATCCCCTGTGTAGACCTTAGAGAAAGCCCTAGGTCCCTGCCTCATTTTTACGGAATGCCTCACATCCCGCTGACACCTCGAGAGGCACGCGGAGTTCATTGCTTCAAAAGGTGACGATGCCTGACTCCTCTTGAATGCTGATAGGAATCCCAAAATCCCTGTGGCTACTGGAAAGGGTCCTTGGGTGCCCTGCCTCACCTCGAGAAGCGTCCCTTTTGCCCTGCCAAGCCTCGAAGAGATTCCTGAGGTGTCCCTCGTTACTAGACAGTAGTCCTGACGTCACTGAAGAAACTCGTGTTCTGAAGGGCCAGCCCCGCCGTAAGTCGAGAACATACCCCAGGTCCCCGCCGCAACTCGAGAAAAACCATGAGACTTCCCCCTAGAGGCGAGATGAGGCCCCATTCCCCTGCAGTGCATGCAGAGCTATTCCGTGATCAAATTCAAACAAGTCAGGAGCTTCGACTTGCTTAATGGATCTCGAGACAGTCCCCAAGAACACTGTCACCAGTCTAGACGGACCCTGAGGTCACCCCAGCACCGCAAAGCAGCTCCATGTGCCCCAAATCAACTCGAGATGAGGCCCGATTCCCCTGCATTGACTCCAGAGCCATTCCCCGTTCGCCATTCAACACGACCGGTGGCTCGACTTCCTTCAGGCAACTCCAGAGATGCCCCGAGAACACTGTCCCAAGTCTAGAGGAACACCAACTTCAGCACAGCAACTCGAGGAATGCTCCGTGTACCCCAAATCGTCTCGAGATGAGAGCTGATTCCCTGGCTTAGGCTCAAGACGTATGCCAACTTACCAGAAGCACCTCAGGAGGAGGCTTCTCTCAGCAATAGGTATGTGGGAGGGACCCCGAGTTTGCTGCCTCAAGGGGAATATAAAGCGAGAAGCCCTAACTAGAAACGAGGCCAGATTTCCTTGCAGTGGCTTGAATACAGGCTCGTCTTTCATCTCACAACATGAAGGGATGTCTGAATCCCCTGTGTAGACCTTAGAGAAAGCCCTAGGTCCCTGCCTCATTTTGACGGAATGCCTCACATCCCGCTGACACCTCGAGAGGCACGCGGAGTGCATTGATTTAAAAGGTGACGATGCCTGACTCCTCTTGAATGCTGATAGGAAACCCAAACTCGCTGTGGCTACTGGAAAGGGTCCTTGGGTGCCCTGCCTCACCACGAGAAGCGTCCCTTTTGCCCTGCCAAGCCTCGAAGAGATTCCTGAGGTGTCCCTCGTTACTAGACAGGAGTCCTGACGTCACTGAAGAAACTCGTGTTCTGAAGGGCCATCCCCGCCGTAAGTCGAAAACATACTCCAGGTCCCCGCCGCAACTCGAGAAAAACCATGAGACTTCCCCCTAGAGGCGAGATGATGCCCCATTCCCCTGCAGTGCATGCAGAGATATTCCGTGATCCCATTCAAACAAGTCAGGAGCTTCGTCTTGCTTAATGGGTCTCGAGACAGTCCCCAAGAACACTGTCACCAGTCTAGACGGACCCTGTGGTCACCCCAGCAACGCAAAGCAGCTCCATGTGGCCCCAAATCAACTCGAGATGAGGCCCGTTTCCCCTGAATTGACTCCAGAGCCATTCCCCGTTCCCCATTCAACACGACTGGTGGCTCGACTTCCTTCAGGCAACTCCAGAGATGCCCCGAGAACACTGTCCCAAGTCTAGAGGAACACCAACTTCAGCACAGCAACTCGAGGAATGCTCCGTGTACCCCAAATCGTCTCGAGATGAGAGCTGATTCCCTGGCTTAGGCTCAAGACGTACACCAACTCCCCATAAGCACCTCAGGAGGAGGCTTCTCTCAGCAATAGGTATGTGGGAGGGACCCCGAGTTTGCTGCCTCAAGGGGAATATTCAGCGAGAAGCCCTAACTTGAAAGGAGGCCGGATTTCCTTGCAGTGGCTTGAATACAGGCTCGTCTTTCATCTCACAACATGAAGGGATGTCTGAATGCCCTGTGGAGACCTTAGAGAAAGCCCTAGGTCCCTGCCTCATTTTGACGGAATGCCTCACATCCCGCTGACACCTCGAGAAGCACGCGGAGTTCATTGCTTCAAAAGGTGACGATGCCTGACACCTCTTGAATACTGATAGGAATCCCAAAATCCCTGTGGCTACTGGAAAGGGTCCTTGGGTGCCCTAACTCACCTTGAGAAGCGTCCCTTTTGCCCTGCCAAGCCTCGAAGAGATTCCTGAGGTGTCCCTCGTTACTAGACAGGAGTCCTGACGTCACTGAAGAAACTCGTGTTTTGAAGGGCCATCCCCGCCGTAAGTCGAGAACATACCCCAGGTCCCGGCCGCAACTCGAGAAAAACCATGAGACTTCCCCCTGGAGGCGAGATGAGGCCCCATTCCCCTGCAGTGCATGCAGAGCTATTCCGTGATCCCATTCAAACAAGTCAGGAGCTTCGACTTGCTTAATGGATCTCGAGACAGTCCCCAAGAACACTGTCACCAGTCTAGACGGACCCTGAGGTCACCCCAGCAACGCAAAGGAGCTCCATGTGCCCCAAATCAACTCGAGATGAGGCCCCGATTCCCCTGCATTGACTCCAGAGCCATTCCCCGTTCCCCATTCAACACGACCGGTGGCTCGACTTCTTTCAAGCAACTCCAGAGATGCCCCGAGAACACTGTCCCAAGTCTAGAGGAACACCAACTTCAGCACAGCAACTCGAGGAATGCTCCGTGTACCCCAAATCGTCTCGAGATGAGAGCTGATTCCCTGGCTTAGGCTCAAGACGTATGCCAACTTTCCAGAAGCACCTCAGGAGGAGGCTTCTCTCAGCAATAGGTATGTGGGAGGGACCCCGAGTTTGCTGCCTCAAGGGGAATATACCGCGAGAAGCCCTAACTTGAAAGGAGGCCGGATTTCCTTGCAGTGGCTTGAATACAGGCTCGTCTTTCATCTCACAATATGGAGGGATGTCTGAATCCCCTGTGTAGACCTTAGAGAAAGCCCTAGGTCCCTGCCTCATTTTGACGGAATGCCTCACATCCCGCTGACACCTCGAGAGGCACGCGGAGTTCATTGCTTCAAAAGGTGACGATTCCTGACTCCTCTTGAATACTGATAGGAATCCCAAAATCCCTGTGGCTACTGGAAAGGGTCCTTGGGTGCCCTGCCTCACCTCGAGAAGCGTCCCATTTGCCCTGCAAAGCCTCGAAGAGATTCCTGAGGTGTCCCTCGTTACTAGACAGGAGTCCTGACGTCACTGAAGAAACTCGTGTTCTGAAGGGCCAGCCCCGCCGTAAGTCGAGAACATACCCCAGGTCCCCGCCGCAACTCGAGAAAAACCATGAGACTTCCCCCTAGAGGCGAGATGAGGCCCCATTCCCCTGCAGTGCATGCAGAGCTATTCCGTGATCCCATTCAAACAAGTCAGGAGCTTCGACTTGCTTAATGTATCTCCAGACAGTCCACAAGAACACTGTCACCAGTCCAGACGGACCCTGAGGTCACCCCAGCACCGCAAAGCAGCTCCATGTGCCCCAAATCAACTCGAGATGAGGCCCGATTCCCCTGCATTGACTCCAGAGCCATTCCCCGTTCCTCATTCAACACGACCGGTGGCTCGACTTCCTTCAGGCAACTCCAGAAATGCCCCGAGAACACTGTCCCAAGTCTAGAGGAACACCAACTTCAGCAGAGCAACTCGAGGAATGCTCCGTGTACCCCAAATCGTCTCGAGATGAGAGCTGATTCCCTGGCTTAGGCTCAAGACGTATGCCAACTTCCCAGAAGCACCTCAGGAGGAGGCTTCTCTCAGCAATAGGTATGTGGGAGGGACCCCGAGTTTGCTGCCTCAAGGGGAATATACAGCGAGAAGCCCTAACTTGAAAGGAGTCCGAATTTCCTTGCAGTGGCTTGAATACAGGCTCGTCTTTCATCTCACAACATGAAGGGATGTCTGAATCCCCTGTGGAGACCTTAGAGAAAACCCTAGGTCCCTGCCTCATTTTGGTGGAATGCCTCACATCCCGCTGACACCTCGAGAGGCACGCGGAGTTAATTGCTTCAAAAATGACGATGCCTGACTCCTCTTGAATACTGATAGGAATCCCAAAATCCCTGTGGCTACTGGAAAAGGTCCTTGGGTGCCCTGCCTCACCTCGAGAAGCATCCCTTTTGCCCTGGCAAGCCTCGAAGAGATTCCTGAGGTGTCCCTCGTTACTAGACAGGAGTCCTGACGTCACTGAAGAAACTCGTGTTCTGAAGGGCCATCCCCGCCGTAAGTCGAGAACATACCCCAGGTCCCTGCCGCAACTCGAGAAAAACCATGAGACTTCCCCCTGGAGGCGAGATGAGGCCCCATTCCCCTGCAGTGCATGCAGAGCTATTCCGTGATCCCATTCAAACAAGTCAGGAGCTTCGACTTGCTTAATGGATCTCGAGACAGTCCCCAAGAACACTGTCACCAGTCTAGACGGACCCTGAGGTCACCCCAGCAACGCAAAGCAGCTCCATGTGCCCCAAATCAACTCGAGATGAGGCCCCGATTCCCCTGAATTGACTCCAGAGCCATTCCCCGTTCCCCATTCAACACGACCGGTGGCTCGACTTCTTTCAAGCAACTCCAGAGATGCCCCGAGAACACTGTCCCAAGTCTAGAGGAACACCAACTTCAGCACAGCAACTCGAGGAATGCTCCGTGTACCCCAAATCGTCTCGAGATGAGAGCTGATTCCCTGGCTTAGGCTCAAGACGTATGCCAACTTTCCAGAAGCACCTCAGGAGGAGGCTTCTCTCAGCAATAGATATGTGGGAGGGACCCCGAGTTTGCTGCCTCAAGGGGAATATACCGCGAGAAGCCCTAACTTGAAAGGAGGCCGGATTTCCTTGCAGTGGCTTGAATACAGGCTCGTCTTTCATCTCACAATATGGAGGGATGTCTGAATCCCCTGTGTAGACCTTAGAGAAAGCCCTAGGTCCCTGCCTCATTTTGACGGAATGCCTCACATCCCGCTGACACCTCGAGAGGCACGCGGAGTTCATTGCTTCAAAAGGTGACGATGCCTGACACCTCTTGAATACTGATAGGAATCCCAAAATCCCTGTGGCTACTGGAAAGGGTCCTTGGGTGCCCTAACTCACCTCGAGAAGCGTCCCTTTTGCCCTGCCAAGCCTCGAAGAGATTCCTGAGGTGGCCCTCGTTACTAGACAGGAGTCTTGACGTCACTGAAGAAACTCGTGTTTTGAAGGGCCATCCCCGCCGTAAGTCGAGAACATACCCCAGGTCCCTGCCGCAACTCGAGAAAAACCATGAGACTTCCCCCTGGAGGCGAGATGAGGCCCCATTCCCCTGCAGTGCATGCAGAGCTATTCCGTGATCCCATTCAAACAAGTCAGGAGCTTCGACTTGCTTAATGGATCTCGAGACAGTCCCCAAGAACACTGTCACCAGTCTAGACGGACCCTGAGGTCACCCCAGCAACGCAAAGCAGCTCCATGTGCCCCAAATCAACTCGAGATGAGGCCCCGATTCCCCTGCATTGACTCCAGAGCCATTCCCCGTTCCCCATTCAACACGACCGGTGGCTCGACTTCTTTCAAGCAACTCCAGAGATGCCCGGAGAACACTGTCCCAAGTCTAGAGGAACACCAACTTCAGCACAGCAACTCGAAGAATGCTCCGTGTACCCCAAATCGTCTCGAGATGAGAGCTGATTCCCTGGCTTAGGCTCAAGACGTATGCCAACTTTCCAGAAGCACCTCAGGAGGAGGCTTCTCTCAGCAATAGGTATGTGGGAGGGACCCCGAGTTTGCTGCCTCAAGGGGAATATACCGCGAGAAGCCCTAACTTGAAAGGAGGCCGGATTTCCTTGCAGTGGCTTGAATACAGGCTCGTCTTTCATCTCACAATATGGAGGGATGTCTGAATCCCCTGTGTAGACCTTAGAGAAAGCCCTAGGTCCCTGCCTCATTTTGACGGAATGCCTCACATCCCGCTGACACCTCGAGAGGCACGCGGAGTTCATTGCTTCAAAAGGTGACGATGCCTGACTCCTCTTGAATACTGATAGGAATCCCAAAATCCCTGTGGCTACTGGAAAGGGTCCTTGGGTGCCCTGCCTCACCTCGAGAAGCGTCCCATTTGCCCTGCCAAGCCTCGAAGAGATTCCTGAAGTGTCCCTCGTTACTAGACAGGAGTCCTGACGTCACTGAAGAAACTCGTGTTTTGAAGGGCCAGCCCCGCCGTAAGTCGAGAACATACCCCAGGTCCCCGCCGCAACTCGAGAAAAACCATGAGACTTCCCCCTAGAGGCGAGATGAGGCCCCATTCCCCTGCAGTGCATGCAGAGCTATTCCGTGATCCCATTCAAACAAGTCAGGAGCTTCGACTTGCTTAATGGATCTCGAGACAGTCCCCAAGAACACTGTCACCAGTCCAGACGGACCCTGAGGTCACCCCAGCAACGCAAAGCAGCTCCATGTGCCCCAAATCAACTCGAGATGAGGCCCGATTCCCCTGCATTGACTCCAGAGCCATTCCCCGTTCCCCATTCAACACGACCTGTGGCTCGACTTCCTTCAGGCAACTCCAGAGATGCCCCGAGAACACTGTCCCAAGTCTAGAGGAACACCAACTTCAGCAGAGCAACTCGAGGAATGCTCCGTGTACCCCAAATCGTCTCGAGATGAGAGCTGATTCCCTGGCTTAGGCTCAAGACGTATGCCAACTTCCCAGAAGCACCTCAGGAGGAGGCTTCTCTCAGCAATAGGTATGTGGGAGGGACCCCGAGTTTGCTGCCTCAAGGGGAATATACAGCGAGAAGCCCTAACTTGAAAGGAGGCCGGATTTCCTTGCAGTGGCTTGAATACAGGCTCGTCTTTCATCTCACAACATGAAGGGATGTCTGTATGCCCTGTGGAGACCTTAGAGAAAGCCCTAGGTCCCTGCCTCATTTTGACGGAATGCCTCACATCCCGCTGACACCACGAGAGGCACGCGGAGATCATTGCTTCAAAAGGTGACGATGCCTGACTCCTCTTGAATACTGATAGGAATCCCAAAAATCCTGTGGCTACTGGAAAGGGTCCTTGGGTGCCCTGCCTCACCTCGAGAAGCGTCCCTTTTGCCCTGCCAAGCGTCGAAGAGATTCCTGAGGTGTCCCTCTTTACTAGACAGGAGTCCTGACGTCACTGAAGAAACTCGTGTTCTGAAGGCCCATCCCCGCCGTAAGTCGAGAACATACCCCAGGTCCCCGCCGCAACTCGAGAAAAACCATGAGACTTCCCCCTAGAGGCGAGATGAGGCCCCATTCCCCTGCAGTGCATGCAGAGCTATTCCGTGATCCCATTCAAACAAGTCAGGAGCTTCAACTTGCTTAATGGATCTCGAGACAGTCCCCAAGAACACTGTCACCAGTCTAGACGGACCCTGAGGTCACCCCAGCAACGCAAAGCAGCTCCATGTGCCCCAAATCAACTCGAGATGAGGCCCAATTCCCCTGCATTGAATCCAGAGCCATTCCCCGTTCCCCATTCAACACGACCGGTGGCTCGATTTCCTTCAGGCAACTCCAGAGATGCCCCGAGAACACTGTCCCAAGTCTAGAGGAACACCAACTTCAGCACAGCAACTCGAAGAATGCTCCGTGTACCCCAAATCGTCTCGAGATGAGAGCTGATTCCCTGGCTTAGGCTCAAGACGTATGCCAACTTTCCAGAAGCACCTCAGGAGGAGGCTTCTCTCAGCAATAGGTATGTGGGAGGGACCCCGAGTTTGCTGCCTCAAGGGGAATATACCGCGAGAAGCCCTAACTTGAAAGGAGGCCGGATTTCCTTGCAGTGGCTTGAATACAGGCTCGTCTTTCATCTCACAATATGGAGGGATGTCTGAATCCCCTGTGGAGACCTTAGAGAAAGCCCTAGGTCCCTGCCTCATTTTGACGGAATGCCTCACATCCCGCTGACACCTCGAGAGGCACGCGGAGTTCATTGCTTCAAAAGGTGACGATGCCTGACTCCTCTTGAATACTGATAGGAATCCCAAAATCCCTGTGGCTACTGGAAAGGGTCCTTGGGTGCCCTGCCTCACCTCGAGAAGCGTCCCATTTGCCCTGCAAAGCCTCGAAGAGATTCCTGAGGTGTCCCTCGTTACTAGACAGGAGTCCTGACGTCACTGAAGAAACTCGTGTTCTGAAGGGCCAGCCCCGCCATAAGTCGAGAACATACCCCAGGTCCCCGCCGCAACTCGAGAAAAACCATGAGACTTCCCCCTAGAGGCGAGATGAGGCCCCATTCCCCTGCAGTGCATGCAGAGCTATTCCGTGATCCCATTCAAACAAGTCAGGAGCTTCGACTTGCTTAATGGATCTCCAGACAGTCCCCAAGAACACTGTCACCAGTCCAGACGGACCCTGAGGTCACCCCAGCACCGCAAAGCAGCTCCATGTGCCCCAAATCAACTCGAGATTAGGCCCGATTCCCCTGCATTGACTCCAGAGCCATTCCCCGTTCCCCATTCAACACGACCGGTGGCTCGACTTCCTTCAAGCATCTCCAGAGATGCCCCGAGAACACTGTCCCAAGTCTAGAGGAACACCAACTTCAGCACAACAACTCGAAGAATGCTCCGTGTACCCCAAATCGTCTCGAGATGAGAGCTGATTCCCTGGCTTAGGCTCAAGACGTATGCCAACTTTCCAGAAGCACCTCAGGAGGAGGCTTCTCTCATCAATAGGTATGTGGGAGGGACCCCGAGTTTGCTGCCTCAAGGGGAATATACCGCGAGAAGCCCTAACTTGAAAGGAGGCCGGATTTCCTTGCAGTGGCTTGAATACAGGCTTGTCTTTCATCTCACAATATGGAGGGATGTTTGAATCCCCTGTGGAGACCTTAGAGAAAGCCCTAGGTCCCTGCCTCATTTTGACGGAATGCCTCACATCCCGCTGACACCTCGAGAGGCACGCGGAGTTCATTGCTTCAAAAGGTGACGATGCCTGACTCCTCTTGAATACTGATAGGAATCCCAAAATCCCTGTGGCTACTGGAAAGGGTCCTTGGGTGCCCTGCCTCACCTCGAGAAGCGTCCCATTTGCCCTGCCAAGCCTCGAAGAGATTCCTGAGGTGTCCCTGGTTACTAGACAGGAGTCCTGACGTCACTGAAGAAACTCGTGTTCTGAAGGGCCAGGCCCGCCGTAAGTCGAGAACATACCCCAGGTCCCCGCCGCAACTCGAGAAAAACCATGAGACTTCCCCCTAGAGGCGAGATGAGGCCCCAATCCCCTGCAGTGCATGCAGAGCTATTCCGTGATCCCATTCATACAAGTCAGGAGCTTTGACTTGCTTAATGGATCTCGAGACAGTCCCCAAGAACACTGTCACCAGTCTAGACGGACCCTGAGGTCACCCCAGCAACGCAAAGCAGCTCCATGTGCCCCAAATCAACTCGAGATGGGGCACGATTCCCCTGCATTGACTCCACAGCCATTCCTCGTTCCCCATTCAACACGACCGGTGGCTCGACTTCCTTCAGGAAACTCCAGAGATGCCCCAAGAACACTGTCCCAAGTCTAGAGGAACACGAACTTCAGCACAGCAACTGGAGGAATGCTCCGTGTACCCCCAATCGTCTCGAGATGAGAGCTGATTCCCTCGCTTAGGCTCAAGACGTATGCCAACTTCCCAGAAGCACCTCAGGAGGAGGCTTCTCTCAGCAATAGGTATGTGGGAGGGACCCCGAGTTTGCTGCCTCAAGGGGAATATGCAGCGAGAAGCCCTAACTTGAAAGGAGTCTGAATTTCCTTGCAGTGGCTTGGATACAGGCTCGTCTTTCATCTCACAACATGAAGGGATGTCTGAATCCCCTGTGGAGACCTTAGAGAAAGCCCTAGGTCCATGCCTCATTTTGATGGAATGCCTCACATCCCGCTGACACCTCGAGAGGCACGCGGAGTTAATTGCTTCAAAAATGACGATGCCTGACTCCTCTTGAATACTGATAGGAATCCCAAAATCCCTGTGGCTACTGGAAAGGGTCCTTGGGTGCCCTGCCTCACCTCGAGAAGCATCCCTTTTGCCCTGGCAAGCCTCGAAGAGATTCCTGAGGTGTCCCTCGTTACTACACAGGAGTCCTGACGTCACTGAAGAAACTCGTGGTTTGAAGGGCCATCCCCGCCGTAAGTCGAGAACATACCCCAGGTGCCCGCCGCAACTCGAGAAAAACCATGAGACTTCCCCCTAGAGGCGAGATGAGGCCGCATTCCCCTGCAGTGCATACAGAGCTATTCCGTGATCCCATTCAAACAAGTCAGGAGCTTCGACTTGCTTAATGGATCTCGAGACAGTCCCCAAGAACACTGTAACCAGTCTAGACGGACCCTGAGGTCACCCCAGCAACGCAAAGCAGCTCCATGTGCCCCAAATCAACTCGATATGGGGCCCGATTCCCCTGCATTGACTCCAGAGCCATTCCTCGTTCCCCATTCAACACGACCGGTGGCTCGACTTCCTTCAGGAAACTCAAGAGATGCCCCAAGAACACTGTCCCAAGTCTAGAGGAACACCAACTTCAGCACAGCAACTCGAGGAATGTTCCTTGTACCCCAAATCGTCTCGAGATGAAAGCTGATTCCCTAGCTTAGGCTCAAGACGTATGCCAACTTTCCAGAAGCACCTCAGGAGGAGGCTTCTCTCAGCAATAGGTATGTGGGAGGGACCCCGAGTTTGCTGCCTCAAGGGGAATATACCGCGAGAAGCCCTAACTTGAAAGGAGGCCGGATTTCCTTGCAGGGGCTTGAATACAGGCTCGTCTTTCATCTCACAACATGAAGGGATGTCTGAATCCCCTGTGGAGACCTTAGAGAAAGCCCTAGGTCCCTGCCTCATTTTGACGGAATGCCTCACATCCCGCTGACACCTCGAGAGGCACGCGGAGTTCATTGCTTCAAAAGGTGACGATGCCTGACTCCTCTTGAATACTGATAGGAATCCCAAAATCCCTGTGGCTACTGGAAAGGGTCCTTGGGTGCCCTGACTCACCACGAGAAGCGTCCCTTTTGCCCTGCCAAGCCTCGAAGAGATTCCTGAGGTGTCCCTCGTTACTAGACAGGAGTCTTGACGTCACTGAAGAAACTCGTGTTTTGAAGGGCCATCCCCGCCGTAAGTCGAGAACATAACCCAGGTCCCTGCCGCAACTCGAGAAAAACCATGAGACTTCCCCCTGGAGGCGATATGAGGCCCCATTCCCCTGCAGTGCATGCAGAGCTATTCCGTGATCCCATTCAAACAAGTCAGGAGCTTCGACTTGCTTAATGGATCTCGAGACAGTCCCCAAGAACACTGTCACCAGTCTAGACGGACCCTGAGGTCACCCCAGCAATGCAAAGCATCTCCATGTGCCCCAAATCAACTCAAGATGAGGCCCGATTCCCCTGCATTGACTCCAGAGCCATTCCCCGTTCCCCATTCAACACGACCGGTGGCTCGACTTCCTTCAAGCATCTCCAGAGATGCCCCGAGAACACTGTCCCAAGTCTAGAGGAACACCAACTTCAGCACAACAACTCGAAGAATGCTCCGTGTACCCCAAATCGTCTCGAGATGAGAGCTGATTCCCTGGCTTAGGCTCAAGACGTATGCCAACTTTCCAGAAGCACCTCAGGAGGAGGCTTCTCTCAGCAATAGGTATGTGGGAGGGACCCCGAGTTTGCTGCCTCAAGGGGAATATACCGCGAGAAGCCCTAACTTGAAAGGAGGCCGGATTTCCTTGCAGTGGCTTGAATACAGGCTTGTCTTTCATCTCACAATATGGAGGGATGTTTGAATCCCCTGTGGAGACCTTAGAGAAAGCCTTAGGTGCCTGCCTCATTTTGACGGAATGCCTCACATCCCGCTGACACCTCGAGAGGCACGCGGAGTTCATTGCTTCAAAAGGTGACGATGCCTGACTCCTCTTGAATACTGATAGGAATCCCAAAATCCCTGTGGCTACTGGAAAGGGTCCTTGGGTGCCCTGCCTCACCTCGAGAAGCGTCCCATTTGCCCTGCCAAGCCTCGAAGAGATTCCTGAGGTGTCCCTGGTTCCTAGACAGGAGTCCTGACGTCACTGAAGAAACTCGTGTTCTGAAGGGCCAGGCCCGCCGTAAGTCGAGAACATACCCCAGGTCCCCGCCGCAACTCGAGAAAAACCATGAGACTTCCCCCTAGAGGCGAGATGAGGCCCCATTCCCCTGCAGTGCATGCAGAGCTATTCCGTGATCCCATTCAAACAAGTCAGGAGCTTCGACTTGCTTAATGGATCTCGAGACAGTCCCCAAGAACACTGTCACCAGTCCAGACGGACCCTGAGGTCACCCCAGCACCGCAAAGCAGCTCCATGTGCCCCAAATCAACTCGAGATGAGGCCCGATTCCCCTGCATTGACTCCAGAGCCATTCCCCGTTCCCCATTCAACACGACCTGTGGCTCGACTTCCTTCAGGCAACTCCAGAGATGCCCCGAGAACACTCTCCCAAGTCTAGAGGAACACCAACTTCAGCACAGCAACTCGAGGAATGCTCCGTGTACCCCAAATCGTCTCGAGATGAGAGCTGATTCCCTGGCTTAGGCTCAAGACGTATGCCAACTTCCCAGAAGCACTTCAGGAGGAGGCTTCTCTCAGCAATAGGTATGTGGGAGGGACCCCGAGTTTGCTGCCTCAAGGGGAATATACAGCGAAAAGCCCTAACTTGAAAGGAGTCCGAATTTCCTTACAGTGGCTTGAATACAGGCTCGTCTTTCATCTCACAACATGAAGTTATGTCTGAATCCCCTGTGGAGACCTTAGAGAAAGCCCTAGGTCCCTGCCTCATTTTGACGGAATGCCTCACATCCCGTTGACACCTCGAGAGGCACGCGGAGTTAATTGCTTCAAAAATGAGGATGCCTGACTCCTCTTGAATACTGATAGGAATCCCAAAATCCCTGTGGCTACTGGAAAGGGTCCTTGGGTGCCCTGCCTCACCTCGAGAAGCATCCCTTTTGCCCGGGCAAGCCTCGAAGAGATTCCTGAGGTGTCCCTCGTTACTAGACAGGAGTCCTGATGTCACTGAAGAAATTCGTGTTTTGAAGGGCCATCCCCGCCGTAAGTCGAGAACATACCCCAGGTCCCCGCCGCAACTCGAGAAAAACCATGAGACTTCCCCCTAGAGGCGAGATGAGGCCCCAATCCCCTGCAGTGCATGCAGAGCTATTCCGTGATCCCATTCATACAAGTCAGGAGCTTTGACTTGCTTAATGGATCTCGAGACAGTCCCCAAGAACACTGTCACCAGTCTAGACGGACCCTGAGGTCACCCCAGCAACGCAAAGCAGCTCCATGTGCCCCAAATCAACTCGAGATGGGGCACGATTCCCCTGCATTGACTCCACAGCCATTCCTCGTTCCCCATTCAACACGACCGGTGGCTCGACTTCCTTCAGGAAACTCCAGAGATGCCCCAAGAACACTGTCCCAAGTCTAGAGGAACACGAACTTCAGCACAGCAACTGGAGGAATGCTCCGTGTACCCCCAATCGTCTCGAGATGAGAGCTGATTCCCTCGCTTAGGCTCAAGACGTATGCCAACTTCCCAGAAGCACCTCAGGAGGAGGCTTCTCTCAGCAATAGTTATGTGGGAGGGACCCCGAGTTTGCTGCCTCAAGGGGAATATACCGCGAGAAGCCCTAACTTGAAAGGAGGCCGGATTTCCTTGCAGGTGCTTGAATACAGGCTCGTCTTTCATCTCACAACATGAAGGGATGTCTGAATCCCCTGTGGAGACCTTAGAGAAAGCCCTAGGTCCCTGCCTCATTTTGACGGAATGCCTCACATCCCGCTGACACCTCGAGAGGCACGCGGAGTTCATTGCTTCAAAAGGTGACGATGCCTGACTCCTCTTGAATACTGATAGGTATCCCAAAATCCCTGTGGCTACTGGAAAGGGTCCTTGGGTGCCCTGCCTCACCTCGAGAAGCGTCCCTTTTGCCCTGCCAAGCCTCGAAGAGATTCCTGATGTGTCCCTCGTTACTAGACAGGAGTCCTGACGTCACTGAAGAAACTCGTGTTTTGAAGGGCCATCCCCGCCGTAAGTCGAGAACATAACCCAGGTCCCCGCCTCAACTCGAGAAAAACCATGAGACTTCCCCCTAGAGGCGAGATGAGGCCCCATTCCCTGCAGTGCATGCAGAGCTATTCCGTGATCCCATTCAAACAAGTCAGGAGCTTCGACTTGCTTAATGGATCTCGAGACAGTCCCCAAGAACACTGTCACCAGTCCAGACGGACCCTGAGGTCACCCCAGCAACGCAAAGCAGCTCCATGTGCCCCAAATCAACTCGAGATGGGGCCCGATTCCCCTGCATTGACTCCAGAGCCATTCCTCGTTCCCCATTCAACACGACCGGTGGCTCGACTTCCTTCAGGAAACTCCAGAGATGCCCCAAGAACACTGTCCCGGGTCTAGAGGAATACCAACTTCAGCACAGCAACTCGAGGAATGCTCCGTGTACCCCAAATCGTCTCGAGATGAGAGCTGATTCCCTGGCTTAGGCTCAAGACGTATGCCAACTTTCCAGAAGCACCTCAGGAGGATGCTTCTCTCAGCAATAGGTATGTGGGAGGGACCCCGAGTGTGCTGCCTCAAGGGGAATATACCGCGAGAAGCCCTAACTTGAAAGGAGGCCGGATTTCCTTGCAGGGGCTTGAATACAGGCTCGTCTTTCATCTCACAACATGAAGGGATGTCTGAATCTTCTGTGGAGACCTTAGAGAAAGCCCTAGGTCCTTGCCTCATTTTGACGGAATGCCTCACATCCCGATGACACCTCGAGAGGCTCGCGGAGTTCATTGCTTCAAAAGGTGACGATGCCTGACTCCTCTTGAATACTGATAGGAATCCCAAAATCCCTGTGGCTACTGGAAAGGGTCCTTGGGTGCCCTGCCTCACCTCGAGAAGCGTCCATTTTGCCCTGCCAAGCCTCGAAGAGATTCCTGAGGTGTCCCTCGTTACTAGACAGGAGTCCTGATGTCACTGAAGAAACTCGTGGTTTGAAGGGCCATCCCCGCCGTAAGTCGAGGACATAGCCCACGTCCCCATCGCAAGTCGAGAAAAACCATGAGACTTCCCCCTAGAGGGGAGATGAGGCCCCATTCCCCTGCAATGCATGCAGAGCTATTCCGTGATCCTGTTCAAACAAGTCAGGAGCTTCGACTTGCTTAATGGATCTCGAGACAGTCCCCAAGAACACTGTCACCAGTCTAGACGGACCATGAGGTCACCCCAGCAACGCAAAGCAGCTCCATGTACCCCAAATCAACTCGAGTTGAGGCCCGATTCCCCTGCATTGACTCCAGAGCCATTCCCCGTTCCCCATTCAACACGACCGGTGGCTCGATTTCCTTCACGCAACTCCAGAGATGCCCCGAGAACACTGTCCCAAGTGTAGAGGAACAACAACTTCAGCACAGCAACTCGAGGAATGCTCCGTGTACCCCAAATCGTCTCGAGATGAGAGCTGATTCCCTGGCTTAGGCTCAAGACGTATGCCAACTTTCCAGAAGCACCTCAGGAGGAGGCTTCTCTCAGCAATAGGTATGTCGGAGGGACACCGAGTTTGCTGCCTCAAGGGGAATATACAGCGAGAAGCCCTAACTTGAAACGAGGCCAGATTTCCTTGCAGTGGCTTGAATACAGGCTCGTCTTTCATCTCACAACATGAAGGTATGTCTGAGTCCCCTGTGGAGACCTTAGAGAAAGCCCTAGGTCCCTGCCTCATTTTGACGGAATGCCTCACATCCCGCTGACACCTCGAGAGGCACGCGGAGTTAATTGCTTCAAAAATGACGATGCCTGACTCCTCTTGAATACTGATAGGAATCCCAAAATCCCTGTGGCTACTGGAAAGGGTCCTTGGGTGCCCTGCCTCACCTCGAGAAGCATCCCTTTTGCCCTGGCAAGCCTCGAAGAGATCCTGAGGTGTCCCTCGTTACTAGACAGGAGTCCTGACGTCACTGAAGAAACTCGTGTTTTGAAGGGCCAACCCCGCCGTAAGTCGAGAACATAACCCAGGTCCCCGCCGCAACTCGAGAAAAACCATGAGACTTCCCCCTAGAGGCGAGATGAGGCCCCATTCCCTGCAGTGCATGCAGAGCTATGCCGTGATCCCATTCAAACAAGTCAGGAGCTTCGACTTGCTTAATGGATCTCGAGACAGTCCCCAAGAACACTGTCACCAGTCCAGACGGACCCTGAGGTCACCCCAGCACCGCAAAGCAGCTCCATGTGCCCCAAATCAACTCGAGATGGGGCCCGATTCCCCTGCATTGACTCCAGAGCCATTCCTCGTTCCCCATTCAACACGACCGGTGGCTCGACTTCCTTCAGGAAACTCCAGAGATACCCCAAGAACACTGTCCCAAGTCTAGAGGAACACCAACTTCAGCACAGCAACTCGAGGAATGCTCCGTGTACCCCAAATCGTCTCGAGATGAGAGCTGATTCCCTGGCTTAGGCTCAAGACGTATGCCAACTTTCCAGAAGCACCTCAGGAGGAGGCTTCTCTCAGCAATAGGTATGTGGGAGGGACCCCGAGTTTGCTGCCTCAAGGGGAATATACCGCGAGAAGCCCTAACTTGAAAGGAGGCCGGATTTCCTTGCAGGGGCTTGAATACAGGCTCGTCTTTCATCTCACAACATGAAGGGATGTCTGAATCCCCTGTGGAGACCTTAGAGAAAGCCCTAGGTCCCTGCCTCATTTTGACGGAATGCCTCACATCCCGATGACAACTCGAGAGGCACGCGGAGTTCATTGCTTCAAAAGGTGACGATGCCTGACTCCTCTTGAATACTGATAGGAATCCCAAAATCCCTGTGGCTACTGGAAAGGGTCCTTGGTTGCCCTGCCTCACCTCGAGAAGCGTCCCTTTTGCCCTGCCAAGCCTCGAAGAGATTCCTGAGGTGTCCCTCATTACTAGACAGGAGTCCTGACGTCACTGAAGAAACTCGTGTTTTGAAGGGCCATCCCCGCCGAAAGTCGAGAACATACCCCAGGTCCCTGCCGCAACTCGAGAAAAACCATGAGACTTCCCCCTGGAGGCGAGATGAGGCCCCATTCCCCTGCAGTGCATGCAGAGCTATTCCGTGATCCCATTCAAACAAGTCAGGAGCTTCGACTTGCTTAATGGATCTCTAGACAGTCCCCAAGAACACTGTCACCAGTCTAGACGGACCCTGAGGTCACCCCAGCAACGCAAAGCAGCTCCATGTGCCCCAAATCAACTCGAGATGAGGCCCGATTCCCCTGCATTGACTCCAGAGCCATTCCCCGTTCCCCATTCAACACGACCGGTGGCTCGACTTTCTTCAGGCAACTCCAGAGATGCCCCGAGAACACTGTCCCAAGTCTAGAGGAACACCAACTTCAGCACAGCAACTCGAAGAATGCTCCGTGTACCCCAAATCGTCTCGAGATGAGAGCTGATTCCCTGGCTTAGGCTCAAGACATATGCCAACTTTCCAGAAGCACCTCAGGAGGAGGCTTCTCTCAGCAATAGGTATTTGGGAGGGACCCCGAGTTTGCTGCCTCAAGGGGAATATACCGCGAGAAGCCCTAACTTGAAAGGAGGCCGGATTTCCTTGCAGTGGCTTGAATACAGGCTCGTCTTTCATCTCACAATATGGAGGGATGTCTGAATCCCCTGTGTAGACCTTAGAGAAAGCCTTAGGTCCCTGCCTCATTTTGACGGAATGCCTCACATCCCGCTGACACCTCGAGAGGCACGCGGAGTTCATTGCTTCAAAAGGTGACGATGCCTGACTACTCTTGAATACTGATAGGAAACCCAAAATCCCTGTGGCTACTGGAAAGGGTCCTTGGGTGCCCTGCCTCACATCGAGAAGCATCCCTTTTGCCCTGCCAAGCCTCGAAGAGATTCCTGAGGTGTCCCTCGTTACTAGACAGGACTCCTGACGTCACTGAAGAAACTCGTGTTTTGAAGGGCCATCCCCGCCGTAAGTCGAGAACATACCCCAGGTCCCCGCCGCAACTCGAGAAAAACAATGAGACTTCCCCCTAGAGGCGAGATGAGGCCCCATTCCCCTGCAGTGCATGCAGAGCTATTCCGTGATCCCATTCAAACAAGTCAGGAGCTTCGACTTGCTTAATGGATCTCGAGACAGTCCCCAAGAACACTGTCACCAGTCCAGACGGACCCTGAGGTCACCCCAGCACCGCAAAGCAGCTCCATGTGCCCCAAATCAACTCGAGATGAGGCCCGATTCCCCTGCATTGACTCCAGAGCCATTCCCCATTCCCCATTCAACTCGACCGGTGGATCGACTTCCTTCAGGCAACTCCAGAGATGCCCCGAGAACACTGTCCCAAGTCTAGAGGAACACCAACTTCAGCACAGCAACTCGAGGAATGATCCGTGTACCCCAAATCGTCTCGAGATGAGAGCTGATTCCCTGGCTTAGGTTCAAGACGTATGCCAACTTTCCAGAAGCACCTCAGGAGGAGGCTTCTCTCAGCAATAGGTATGTGGGAGGGACACCGAGTTTGCTGCCTCAAGGGGAATATACAGCGAGAAGCCCTAACTTGAAACGAGGCCAGATTTCCTTGCAGTGGCTTGAATACAGGCTCGTCTTTCATCTCACAACATGAAGGGATGTCTGAATCCCCTGTGGAGATCTTAGAGAAAGCCCTAGGTCCCTGCCTCATTTTGACGGAATGCCTCACATCCCGCTGACACCTCGAGAGGCACGCGGAGTTCATTGCTTCAAAAGGTGACGATGCCTGACTCCTCTTGAATACTGATAGGAAACCCAAAATCCCTGTGGCTACTGGAAAGGGTCCTTGGGTGCCCTGCCTCACCTCGAGAAGCGTCCCTTTTGCCCTGCCAAGCCTCGAAGAGATTCCTGAGGTGTCCCTCGTTACTAGACAGGAGTCCTGACGTCACTGAAGAAACTCGTGTTCTGAAGGGCCAGCCCCGCCGTAAGTCGAGAACATACCCCAGGTCCCCGCCGCAACTCGAGAAAAACCATGAGACTTCCCCCTAGAGGCGAGATGAGGCCCCATTCCCCTGCAGTGCATGCAGAGCTATTCCGTGATCCCATTCAAACAAGTCAGGAGCTTCGACTTGCTTAATGGATCTCGAGACAGTCCCCAAGAACAATGTCACCAGTCTAGACGGACCCTGAGGTCACCCCAGCAACGCAAAGCAGCTCCATGTGCACCAAATCAAATCGAGATGGGGCCCGATTCCCCTGCATTGACTCCAGAGCCATTCCTCATTCCCCATTCAACACGACCGGTGGCTCGACTTCCTTCAGGAAACTCCAGAGATGCCACAAGAACACTGTTCCAAGTCTAGAGGAGCACCAACTTCAGCACAGCAACTCGAGGAATGCTCCGTGTACCCCAAATCGTCTCGAGATGAGAGCTGATTCCCTGGCTTAGGCTCAAGACGTATGCCAACTTTCCAGAAGCACCTCAGGAGGAGGCTTCTCTCAGCAATAGGTATGTGGGAGGGACCCCGATTTTGCTGCCTCAAGGGGAATATACCGCGAGAAGCCCTAACTTGAAAGGAGGCCGGATTTCCTTGCAGGGGCTTGAATACAGGCTCGTCTTTCATCTCACAACATGAAGGGATGTCTGAATCCCCTGTGGAGACCTTAGAGAAAGCCCTAGGTCCCTGCCTCATTTTGACGGAATGCCTCACATCCCGCTGAGACCTCGAGAGGCACGCGGAGTTCATTGCTTCAAAAGGTGACGATGCCTGACTCCTCTTGAATACTGATAGGAATCCCAAAATCCCTGTGGCTACTGGAAAGGGTCCTTGTGTGCCCTGCCTCACCTCGAGAAGCATCCCTTTTGCCCTGCCAAGCCTCGAAGAGATTCCTGAGGTGTCCCTCGTTACTAGACAGGAGTCCTGACGTCACTGAAGAAACTCGTGTTTTGAAGGGCCATCCCCGCCGTAAGTCGAGAACATACCCCAGGTCCCTGCCGCAACTCGAGAAAAACCATGAGACTTCCCCCTGGAGGCGAGATGAGGCCCCATTCCACTGCAGTGCATGCAGAGCTATTCCGTGATCCCATTCAAACAAGTCAGGAGCTTCGACTTGCTTAATGGATCTCGAGACAGTCCCCAAGAACACTGTCACCAGTCCAGACGGACCCTGAGGTCACCCCAGCACCGCAAAGCAGCTCCATGTGCCCCAAATCAACTCGAGATGAGGCCCGATTCCCCTGCATTGACTCCAGAGCCATTCCCCGTTCCCCATTCAACACGACCGGTGGCTCGACTTCCTTCAGGCAACTCCAGAAATGCCCCGAGAACACTGTCCCAAGTCTAGAGGAACACCAACTTCAGCACAGCAACTCGAGGAATGCTCCGTGTACCCCAAATCGTCTCGAGATGAGAGCTGATTTCCTGGCTTAGGCTCAAGACGTTTGCCAACTTCCCAGAAGCACCTCAGGAGGAGGCTTCTCTCAGCAATAGGTATGTGGGAGGGACCCCGAGTTTGCTGCCTCAAGGGGAATATACAGCGAGAAGCCCTAACTTGAAAGGAGTCCGAATTTCCTTGCAGCGGCTTGAATACAGGCTCGTCTTTCATCTCACAACATGAAGGGATGTCTGAATCCCCTGTGGAGACCTTAGAGAAAGCCCTAGGTCCCTGCCTCATTTTGATGGAATGCCTCACATCCCGCTGACACCTCGAGAGGCACGCGGAGTTAATTGCTTCAAAAATGACGATGCCTGACTCCTCTTGAATACTGATAGGAATCCCAAAATCCCTGTGGCTACTGGAAAGGGTCCTTGGGTGCCCTGCCTCACCTCGAGAAGCATCCCTTTTGCCCTGGCAAGCCTCGAAGAGATTCCTGAGGTGTCCCTCGTTACTAGACAGGAGTCCTGACGTCACTGAAGAAACTCGTGGTTTGAAGGGCCATCCCCGCCGTAAGTCGAGAACATACCCCAGGTGCCCGCCGCAACTCGAGAAAAACCATGAGACTTCCCCCTAGAGGCGAGATGAGGCCGCATTCCCCTGCAGTGCATGCAGAGCTATTCCGTGATCCCATTCAAACAAGTCAGGAGCTTCGACTTGCTTGATGGATCTCGAGACAGTCCCCAAGAACACTGTCACCAGTCTAGACGGACCCTGAGGTCACCCCAGCAACGCAAAGCAGCTCCATGTGCCCCAAATCAACTCGAGATGGGGCCCGATTCCCCTGCATTGACTCCAGAGCCATTCCTCGTTCCCCATTCAACACGACCGGTGGCTCGACTTCCTTCAGGAAACTCCAGAGATGCCCCAAGAACACTGTCCCAAGTCTAGAGGAACACCAACTTCAGCACAGCAACTCGAGGAATGTTCCTTGTACCCCAAATAGTCTCGAGATGAGAGCTGATTCCCTGGCTTAGGCTCAATACGTATGCCAACTTTCCAGAAGCACCTCAGGAGGAGGCTTCTCTCAGCAATAGGTATGTGGGAGGGACCCCGAGTTTGCTGCCTCAAGGGGAATATACCGCGAGAAGCCCTAACTTGAAAGGAGGCCGGATTTCCTTGCAGGGGCTTGAATACAGGCTCGTCTTTCATCTCACAACATGAAGGGATGTCTGAATCCCCTGTGTAGACCTTAGAGAAAGCCCTACGTCCCTGCCTCATTTTGACGGAATGCCTCACATCCCGCTGACACCTCGAGAGGCACGCGGAGTTCACTGCTTCAAAAGGTGACGATGCCTGACTCCTCTTGAATACTGATAGGAATCCCAAAATCCCTGTGGCTACTGGAAAGGGTCCTTGGGTGCCCTGACTCACCTCGAGAAGCGTCCCTTTTGCCCTGCCAAGCCTCGAAGAGATTCCTGAGGTGTCCCTCGTTACTAGACAGGAGTCTTGACGTCACTGAAGAAACTCGTGTTTTGAAGGGCCATCCCCGCCGTAAGTCGAGAACATACCCCAGGTCCCTGCCGCAACTCGAGAAAAACCATGAGACTTCCCCCTAGAGGCGAGATGAGGCCCCATTCCCCTGCAGTGCATGCAGAGCTATTCCGTGATCCCATTCAAACAAGTCAGTAGCTTCGACTTGCTTAATGGATCTCGAGACAGTCCCCAAGAACACTGTCACCAGTCTAGACGGACCCTGAGGTCACCCCAGCAACGCAAAGCAGCTCCATGTGCCCCAAATCAACTCGAGATGAGGCCCGATTCCCCTGCATTGACTCCAGAGCCATTCCCCGTTCCCCATTCAACACGACCGGTGGCTCGACTTCCTTCAAGCATCTCCAGAGATGCCCCGAGAACACTGTCCCAAGTCTAGAGGAACACCAACTTCAGCACAGCAACTCGAAGAATGCTCCATGTACCCCAAATCGTCTCGAGATGAGAGCTGATTCCCTGGCTTAGTCTCAAGACGTATGCCAACTTTCCAGAAGCACCTCAGGAGGAGGCTTCTCTCAGCAATAGGTATGTGGGAGGGACCCCGAGTTTGCTGCCTCAAGGGGAATATACCGCGAGAAGCCCTAACTTGAAAGGAGGCCGGATTTCCTTGCAGTGGCTTGAATACAGGCTCGTCTTTCATCTCACAATATGGAGGGATGTCTGAATCCCCTGTGTAGACCTTAGAGAAAGCCCTAGGTCCCTGCCTCATTTTGACGGAATGCCTCACATCCCGCTGACACCTCGAGAGGCACGCGGAGTTCATTGCTTCAAAAGGTGACGATGCCTGACTCCTCTTGAATACTGATAGGAATCCCAAAATCCCTGTGGCTACTGGAAAGGGTCCTTGGGTGCCCTGCCTCACCTCTAGAAGCGTCCCATTTGCCCTGCCAAGCCTCGAAGAGATTCCTGAGGTGTCCCTCGTTACTAGACAGGAGTCCTGACGTCACTGAAGAAACTCGTGTTCTGAAGGGCCAGCCCCGCCGTAAGTCGAGAACATACCCCAGGTCCCCGCCGCAACTCGAGAAAAACCATGAGACTTCCCCCTAGAGGCGAGATGAGGCCCCATTCCCCTGCAGTGCATGCAGAGCTATTCCGTGATCCCATTCAAACAAGTCAGGAGCTTCGACTTGCTTAATGGATCTCGAGACAGTCCCCAAGAACACTGTCACCAGTCCAGACGGAACCTGAGGTCACCCCAGCACCACAAAGCAGCTCCATGTGCCCCAAATCAACTCGAGATGAGGCCCGATTCCCCTGCATTGACTCCAGAGCCATTCCCCGTTCCCCATTCAACACGACCGGTCGCTCGACTTCCTTCAGGAAACTCCAGAGATGCCCCAAGAACACTGTCCCAAGTCTAGAGGAACACCAACTTCAGCACAGCAACTAGAGGAATGCTCCGTGTACCCCCAATCGTCTCGAGATGAGAGCTGATTCCCTCGCTTAGGCTCAAGACGTATGCCAACTTTCCAGAAGCACCTCAGGAGGAGGCTTCTCTCAGCAATAGTTATGTGGGAGGGACCCCGAGTTTGCTGCCTCAAGGGGAATATACCGCGAGAAGCCCTAACTTGAAAGGAGGCCGGATTTCCTTGCAGGTGCTTGAATACAGGCTCGTCTTTCATCTCACAACATGAAGGGATGTCTGAATCCCCTGTGGAGACCTTAGAGAAAGACCTAGGTCCCTGCCTCATTTTGACGGAATGCCTCACATCCCGCTGACACCTCGAGAGACACGCGGAGTTCATTGCTTCAAAAGGTGACGATGCCTGACTCCTCTTGAATACTGATAGGAATCCCAAAATCCCTGTGGCTACTGGAAAGGGTCCTTGGGTGCCCTGCCTCACCTCGAGAAGCGTCCCTTTTGCCCTGCCAAGCCTCGAAGAGATTCCTGAGGTGTCCCTCGTTACTAGACAGGAGTCCTGATGTCACTGAAGAAACTCGTGGTTTGAAGGGCCATCCCCGCCTTAAGTCGAGGACATAGCCCAGGTCCCCATCGCAAGTCCATAAAAACCATGAGACTTCCCCCTAGAGGGGAGATGAGTCCCCATTCCCCTGCAGTGCATGCAGAGCTATTCCGTGATCCCATTCAAACAAGTCAGGAGCTTCGCCTTGCTTAATGGATCTCCAGACAGTCCCCAAGAACACTGTCACCAGTCCAGACGGACCCTGAGGTCACCCCAGCTCCGCAAAGCAGCTCCATGTGCCCCAAATCAACTCGAGATGAGGCCCGATTCCCCTGCATTGACTCCAGAGCCATTCCCTGTTCCCCATTCAACACGACCGGTGGCTCGACTTCCTTCAGGCAACTCCAGAGATGCCCCGAGAACACTGTCCCAAGTCTAGAGGAACACCAACTTCAGCACAGCAACACGAGGAATGCTCCGTGTACACCAAATCGTCTCGAGATGAGAGCTGATTCCCTGGCTTAGGCTCAAGACGTATGCCAACTTCCCAGAAGCACCTCAGGAGGAGGCTTCTCTCAGCAATAGGTATGTGGGAGGGACCCTGAGTTTGCTGCCTCAAGGGGAATATACAGCGAGAAGACCTAACTTGAAAGGAGTCCGAATTTCCTTGCAGTGGCTTGAATACAGGCTCGTCTTTCATCTCACAATATGAAGGGATGTCTGAATCCGCTGTGGAGACCTTAGAGAAAGCCCTAGGTCCCTGCCTCATTTTGACGGAATGCCTCACATCCCGCTGACACCTCGACAGGCACGCGGAGTTAATTGCTTCAAAAATGACGATGCCTGACTCCTCTTGAATACTGATAGGAATCCAAAAATCCCTGTGGCTACTGGAAAGGATCATTGGGTGCCCTGCCTCACCTCGAGAAGCATCCCTTTTGCCCTGGCAAGCCTCGAAGAGATTCCTGAGGTGTCCCTCGTTACTAGACAGGAGTCCTGATGTCACTGAAGAAACTCGTGGTTTGAAGGGCCATCCCCGCCGTAAGTCGAGAACATACCCCAGGTCCCCGCCTCAACTCGAGAAAAAACACGAGACTTCCCCCATTAGGCGAGATGAGGCCCCATTCCCCTGCAGTGCATGCAGAGCTATTCCGTGATCCCATTCAAACAAGTCAGGAACTTCGACTTGCTTAATGGATCTCGAGACAGTCCCCAAGAACACTGTCACCAGTCTAGACGGACCCTGAGGTCAACCCAGCAACGCAAAGCAGCTCCATGTGCCCCAAATCAACTCGAGATGGGGCCCGATTCCCCTGCATTGACTCCAGAGCCATTCCTCGTTCCCCACTCAACACGACCGGTGGCTCGACTTCCTTCAGGAAACTCCAGAGATGCCCCGAGAACACTGTCCCAAGTCTAGAGGAACACCAACTTCAGCACAGCAACTCGAGGAATGCTGCGTGTACCCCAAATCGTCTCGAGATGAGAGCTGATTCCCTCGCTTAGGCTCAAGACGTATGCCAACTTTCCAGAAGCACCTCAGGAGGAGGCTTCTCTCAGCAATAGTTATGTGGGAGGGACCCCGAGTTTGCTGCCACAAGGGGAATATACCGCGAGAAGCCCTAACTTGAAACGAGGCCAGATTTCCTTGCAGGGGCTTGAATACAGGCTCGTCTTTCATCTCACAACATGAAGGTATGTCTGAGTCCCCTGTGGAGAACTTAGAGAAAGCCCTAGGTCCCTGCCTCATTTTGACGGAATGCCTCACATCCCGCTGACACCTCGACAGGCACACGGAGTTAATTGCTTCAAAAATGACGATGCCTGACTCCTCTTGAATACTGATAGGAATCCCAAAATCCCTGTGGCTACTGGAAAGGGTCCTTGGGTGCCCTGCTTCACCTCGAGAAGCATCCCTTTTGCCCTGGCAAGCCTCGAAGAGATTCCTGAGGTGTCCCTCGTTACTAGACAGGAGTCCTGACGTCACTGAAGAAACTCGTGTTTTGAAGGGCCATCCCCGCCGTAAGTCGAGAACATACCCCAGGTCCCCGCCGCAACTCGAGAAAAACCATGAGACTTCCCCCTAGAGGCGAGATGAGGCCCCATTCCCCTGCAGTGCATGCAGAGCTATTCCGTGATCCCATTCAAACAAGTCAGGAGCTTCGACTTGCTTAATGGATCTCGAGACAGTCCCCAAGAACACTGTCACCAGTCTAGACGGACCATGAGGTCACCCCAGCAACGCAAAGCAGCTCCATGTACCCCAAATCAACTCGAGTTGAGGCCCGATTCCGCTGCATTGACTCCAGAGCCATTCCCCGTTCCCCATTCAACACGACCGGTGGCTCGATTTCCTTCATGCAACTCCAGAGATGCCCCGAGAACACTGTCCCAAGTCTAGAGGAACAACAACTTCAGCACAGCAACTCGAGGAATGCTCCGTGTACCCCAAATCGTCTCGAGATGAGAGCTGATTCCCTGGCTTAGGCTCAAGACGTATGCCAACTTTCCAGAAGCACCTCAGGAGGAGGCTTCTCTCAGCAATAGGTATGTCGGAGGGACACCGAGTTTGCTGCCTCAAGGGGAATATACAGCGAGAAGCCCTAACTTGAAACGAGGCCAGATTTCCTTGCAGTGGCTTGAATACAGGCTCGTCTTTCATCTCACAACATGAAGGTATGTCTGAGTCCCCTGTGGAGACCTTAGAGAAAGCCCTAGGTCCCTGCCTCATTTTGACGGAATGCCTCACATCCCGCTGACACCTCGACAGGCACACGGAGTTAATTGCTTCAAAAATGACGATGCCTGACTCCTCTTGAATACTGATAGGAATCCCAAAATCCCTGTGGCTACTGGAAAGGGTCCTTGGGTGCCCTGCCTCACCTCGAGAAGCATCCCTTTTGCCCTGGCAAGCCTCGAAGAGATTCCTGAGGTGTCCCTCGTTACTAGACAGGAGTCCTGACGTCACTGAAGAAACTCGTGTTTTGAAGGGCCATCCCCGCCGTAAGTCGAGAACATAACCCAGGTCCCCGCCGCAGCTCGAGAAAAACCATGAGACTTCCCCCTAGAGGCGAGATGAGGCCCCATTCCCCTGCAGTGCATGCAGAGCTATTCCGTGATCCCATTCAAACAAGTCAGGAGCTTCGACTTGCTTAATGGATCTCGAGACAGTCCCCAAGAACACTGTCACCAGTCCAGACGGACCCTGAGGTCACCCCAGCACCGCAAAGCAGCTCCATGTGCCCCAAATCAACTCGAGATGGGGCCCGATTGCCCTGCATTGACTCCAGAGCCATTCCTCGTTCCCCATTCAACACGACCGGTGGCTCGACTTCCTTCAGGAAACTCCAGAGATGCCCCAAGAACACTGTCCCAGGTCTAGAGGAACACCAACTTCAGCACAGCAACTCGAGGAATGCTCCGTGTACCCCAAATCTTCTCGAGATGAGAACTGATTCCCTGGCTTAGGCTCAAGACGTATGCCAACTTTCCAGAAGCACCTCAGGAGGAGGCTTCTCTCAGCAATAGGTATGTGGGAGGGACCCCGAGTGTGCTGCCTCAAGGGGAATATACCGCGAGAAGCCCTAACTTGAAAGGAGGCCGGATTTCCTTGCAGGGGCTTGAATACAGGCTCGTCTTTCATCTCACAACATGAAGGGATGTCTGAATCCCCTGTGGAGACCTTAGAGAAAGCCCTAGGTCCCTGCCTCATTTTGACGGAATGCCTCACATCCCGCTGACACCTCGAGAGGCTCGCGGAGTTCATTGCTTCAAAAGGTGACGATGCCTGACTCCTCTTGAATACTGATAGGAATCCCAAAATCCCTGTGGCTACTGGAAAGGGTCCTTGGGTGCACTGCCTCACCTCGAGAAGCGTCCCTTTTGCCCTGCCAAGCCTCGAAGAGATTCCTGAGGTGTCCCTCGTTACTAGACAGGAGTCCTGATGTCACTGAAGAAACTCGTGGTTTGAAAGGCCATCCCCGCCGTAAGTCGAGGACATAGCCCAGGTCCCCATCGCAAGTCGAGAAAAACCATGAGACTTCCCCCTAGAGGGGAGATGAGTCCCCATTCCCCTGCAGTGCATGCAGAGCTATTCCGTGATCACGTTCAAACAAGTCAGGAGCTTCGACTTGCTTAATGGATCTCGAGACAGTCCCCAAGAACACTGTCACCAGTCTAGACGGACCATGAGGTCACCCCAGCAACGCAAAGCAGCTCCATGTACCCCAAATCAACTCGAGTTGAGGCCCGATTCCGCTGCATTGACTCCAGAGCCATTCCCCGTTCCCCATTCAACACGACCGGTGGCTCGATTTCCTTCACGCAACTCCAGAGATGCCCGAGAACACTGTCCCAAGTCTAGAGGAACAACAACTTCAGCACAGCATCTCGAGGAATGCTCCGTGTACCCCAAATCGTCTCGAGATGAGAGCTGATTCCCTGGCTTAGGCTCAAGACGTATGCCAACTTTCCAGAAGCACCTCAGGAGGAGGCTTCTCTCAGCAATAGGTATGTCGGAGGGACACCGAGTTTGCTGCCTCAAGGGGAATATACAGCGAGAAGCCCTAACTTGAAACGAGGCCAGATTTCCTTGCAGTGGCTTGAATACAGGCTCGTCTTTCATCTCACAACATGAAGGTATGTCTGAGTCCCCTGTGGAGACCTTAGAGAAAGCCCTAGGTCCCTGCCTCATTTTGACGGAATGCCTCACATCCCGCTGACACCTCGAGAGGCACGCGGAGTTAATTGCTTCAAAAATGACGATGCCTGACTCCTCTTGAATACTGATAGGAATCCCAAAATCCCTGTGGCTACTGGAAAGGGTCCTTGGGTGCCCTGCCTCACCTCGAGAAGCATCCCTTTTGCCCTGGCAAGCCTCGAAGAGATCCTGAGGTGTCCCTCGTTACTAGACAGGAGTCCTGACGTCACTGAAGAAACTCGTGTTTTGAAGGGCCATCCCCGCCGTAAGTCGAGATCATAACCCAGGTCCCCGCCGCAACTCGAGAAAAACCATGAGACTTCCCCCTAGAGGCGAGATGAGGCCCCATTCCCTGCAGTGCATGCAGAGCTATTCCGTGATCCCATTCAAACAAGTCAGGAGCTTCGACTTGCTTAATGGATCTCGAGACAGTCCCCAAGAACACTGTCACCAGTCCAGACGGACCCTGAGGTCACCCCAGCACCGCAAAGCAGCTCCATGTGCCCCAAATCAACTCGAGATGGGGCCCGATTCCCCTGCATTGACTCCAGAGCCATTCCTCGTTCCCCATTCAACACGACCGGTGGCTCGACTTCCTTCAGGAAACTACAGAGATACCCCAAGAACACTGTCCCAAGTCTAGAGGAACACCAACTACAGCACAGCAACTCGAGGAATGCTCCGTGTACCCCAAATCGTCTCGAGATGAGAGCTGATTCCCTGGCTTAGGCTCAAGACGTATGCCAACTTTCCAGAAGCACCTCAGGAGGAGGCTTCTCTCAGCAATAGGTATGTGGGAGGGACCCCGAGTTTGCTGCCTCAAGGGGAATATACCGCGAGAAGCCCTAACTTCAAAGGAGGCCGGATTTCCTTGCAGTGGCTTGAATACAGGCTCGTCTTTCATCTCACAATATGGAGGGATGTTTGAATCCCCTGTGGAGACCTTAGAGAAAGCCTTAGGTCCCTGCCTCATTTTGACGGAATGCCTCACATCCCGCTGACACCTCGAGAGGCACGCGGAGTTCATTGCTTCAAAAGGTGACGATGCCTGACTCCTCTTGAATACTGATAGGAATCCCAAAATCCCTGTGGCTACTGGAAAGGGTCCTTGGGTGCCCTGCCTCACATCGAGAAGCATCCCTTTTGCCCTGCCAAGCCTCGAAGAGATTCCTGAGGTGTCCCTCGTTACTAGACAGGAGTCCTGACGTCAATGAAGAAACTCGTGTTCTGAAGGGCCAGCCCCGCCGTAAGTCGAGAACATACCCCAGGTCCCTGCCGCAACTCGAGAAAAACCATGAGACTTCCCCCTAGAGGCGAGATGAGGCCCCATTCCCCTGCAGTGCATGCAGAGCTATTCCGTTATCCCATTCAAACAAGTCAGGAGCTTCGACTTGCTTAATGGGTCTCGAGACAGTCCCCAAGAACACTGTCACCAGTCTAGACGGACCCTGAGGTCACCCCAGCAACGCAAACCAGCTCCATGTGCCCCAAATCAACTCGAGATGAGGCCCGATTCCCCTGCTTTGACTCCAGAGCCATTCCCCGTTCCCCATTCAACACGACCGGTGGCTCGACTTCCTTCAGGCAACTCCAGAGATGCCCCGAGAACACTGTTCCAAGTCTAGAGGAACACCAACTTCAGCACAGCAACCCTAGGAATCCTCCGTTTACCCCAAATCGTCTGGAGATGAAAGCTGATTCCCTGGCTTAGGCTCAAGACATATGCCAACTTTCCAGAAGCACCTCAGGAAGAGGCTTCTCTCAGCAATAGGTATGTGGGAGGGACCCTGAGTTTGCTGCCTCAAGGGGAATATACAGCGAGAAGCCCTAACTTGAAAGGAGGCCGGATTTCCTTGCATTGGCTTGAATACAGGCTCGTCTTTCATCTCACAACATGAAGGGATGTCTGAATCCCATGTGGAGACCTTAGAGAAAGCCCTAGGTCCCTGCCTCATTTTGACGGAATGCCTCACATCCCGCTGAGACCTCGAGAGTCACGCGGAGTTCATTGCTTCAAAAGGTGACGATGCCTGACTCCTCTTGAATACTGATAGGAATCCCAAAATCCCTGTGGCTACTGGAAAGGGTCCTTGGGTGCCCTGCCTCACCTCGAGAAGCGTCCCTTTTGCCCTGCCAAGCCTCGAAGAGATTCCTGAGGTGTCCCTCGTTACTAGACAGGAGTCCTGATGTCACTGAAGAAACTCGTGTTTTGAAGGGCCATCCCCGCCGTAAGTTGACAACATACCCCAGGTACCCGCCGCAACTCGAGAAAAACCATGAGACTTCCCCCTAGAGGCGAGATGAGGCCCCATTCCCCTGCAGTGCATGCAGAGCTATTCCGTGATCCCATTCAAACAAGTCAGGAGCTTCGACTTGCTTAATGGATCTCGAGACAGTCCCCAAGAACACTGTCACCAGTCTAGACGGACCCTGAGGTCACCCCAGCACCGCAAAGCAGCTCCATGTGCCTCAAATCAACTCGAGATGAGGCCCGATTCCCCTGCATTGACTCCAGAGCCATTCCTCGTTCCCCACTCAACACGACCGGTGGCTCGACTTCCTCAGGAAACTCCAGAGATGCCCCAAGAACACTGTTCCAAGTCTAGAGGAGCACCAACTTCAGCACAGCAACTCGAGGAATGCTCCGTGTACCCCAAATCGTCTCGAGATGAGAGCTGATTCCCTGGCTTAGGCTCAAGACGTATGCCAACTTTCCAGAAGCACCTCAGGAGGAGGCTTCTCTCAGCAATAGGTATGTGGGAGGGACCCCGAGTTTGCTGCCTCAAGGGGAATATACCGCGAGAAGCCCTAACTTGAAAGGAGGCCGGATTTCCTTGCAGGGGCTTGAATACAGGCTCGTCTTTCATCTCACAACATGAAGGGATGTCTGAATCCCCTGTGGAGACCTTAGAGAAAGCCCTAGGTCCCTGCCTCATTTTGACGGAATGCCTCACATCCCGCTGACACCTCGAGAGGCACGCGGAGTTCATTGCTTCAAAAGGTGACGATGCCTGACTCCTCTTGAATACTGATAGGAATCCCAAAATCCCTGTGGCTACTGGAAAGGGTCCTTGGGTGCCCTGCCTCACCTCGAGAAGCGTCCCTTTTGCCCTGCCAAGCCTCGAAGAGATTCCTGAGGTGTCCCACGTTACTAGACAGGAGTCCTGATGTCACTGAAGAAACTCTTGGTTTGAAGGGCCATCCCCGCCGTAAGTCGAGGACATAGCCCAGGTCCCCATCGCAAGTCGAGAAAAACCATGAGACTTCCCCCTAGAGGGGAGATGAGTCCCCATTCCCCTGCAATGCATGCAGAGCTATTCCGTGATCCCATTTAAACAAGTCAGGAGCTTCGACTTGCTTAATGGATCTCGAGACAGTCCCCAAGAACACTGTCACCAGTCTAGACGGACCATGAGGTCACCCCAGCAACGCAAAGCAGCTCCATGTGCCCCAAATCAACTCGAGTTGAGGCCCGATTCCGCTGCATTGACTCCAGAGCCATTCCCCGTTCCCCATTCAACACGACCGGTGGCTCGACTTCCTTCACGCAACTCCAGAGATGCCCCGAGAACACTGTCCCAAGTCTAGAGGAACAACAACTTCAGCACAGCAACTCGAGGAATGATACGTGTACCCCAAATCGTCTCGAGATGAGAGCTGATTCCCTGGCTTAGGCTCAAGACGTATGCCAACTTTCCAGAAGCACCTCAGGAGGAGGCTTCTCTCAGCAATAGGTATGTCGGAGGGACACCGAGTTTGCTGCCTCAAGGGGAATATACAGCGAGAAGCCCTAACTTGAAACGAGGCCAGATTTCCTTGCAGTGGCTTGAATACAGGCTCGTCTTTCATCTCACAACATGAAGGTATGTCTGAGTCCCCTGTGGAGACCTTAGAGAAAGCCCTAGGTCCCTGCCTCATTTTGACGGAATGCCTCACATCCCGCTGACACCTCGACAGGCACACGGAGTTAATTGCTTCAAAAATGACGATGCCTGACTCCTCTTGAATACTGATAGGAATCCCAAAATCCCTGTGGCTACTGGAAAGGGTCCTTGGGTGCCCTGCTTCACCTCGAGAAGCATCCCTTTTGCCCTGGCAAGCCTCGAAGAGATTCCTGAGGTGTCCCTCGTTACTAGACAGGAGTCCTGACGTCACTGAAGAAACTCGTGTTTTGAAGGGCCATCCCCGCCGTAAGTCGAGAACATACCCCAGGTCCCCGCCGCAACTCGAGAAAAACCATGAGACTTCCCCCTAGAGGCGAGATGAGGCCCCATTCCCCTGCAGTGCATGCAGAGCTATTCCGTGATCCCATTCAAACAAGTCAGGAGCTTCGACTTGCTTAAAGGATCTCGAGACATTCCCCAAGAACACTGTCACCAGTCCAGACGGAACCTGAGGTCACCCCAGCACCGCAAAGCAGCTCCATGTGCCCCAAATCAACTCGAGATGGGGCCCGATTGCCCTGCATTGACTCCAGAGCCATTCCTCGTTCCCCATTCAACACGACCGGTGGCTCGACTTCCTTCAGGAAACTCCAGAGATGCCCCAAGAACACTGTCCCAGGTCTAGAGGAACACCAACTTCAGCACAGCAACTCGAGGAATGCTCCGTGTACCCCAAATCGTCTCGAGATGAGAGCTGATTCCCTGGCTTAGGCTCAAGACGTATGCCAACTTTCCAGAAGCACCTCAGGAGGAGGCTTCTCTCAGCAATAGGTATGTGGGAGGGACCCCGAGTGTGCTGCCTCAAGGGAAATATACCGCGAGAAGCCCTAACTTGAAAGGAGGCCGGATTTCCTTGCAGGGGCTTGAATACAGGCTCGTCTTTCATCTCACAACATGAAGGGATGTCTGAATCCCCTGTGGAGACCTTAGAGAAAGCCCTAGGTCCCTGCATCATTTTGACGGAATGCCTCACATCCCGATGACACCTCGAGAGGCTCGCGGAGTTCATTGCTTCAAAAGGTGACGATGCCTGACTCCTCTTGAATACTGATAGGAATCCCAAAATCCCTGTGGCTACTGGAAAGTGTCCTTGGGTGCACTGCCTCACCTCGAGAAGCGTCCCTTTTGCCCTGCCAAGCCTCGAAGAGATTCCTGAGGTGTCCCTCGTTACTAGACAGGAGTCCTGATGTCACTGAAGAAACTCGTGGTTTGAAGGGCCATCCCCGCCGTAAGTCGAGGACATAGCCAGGTCCCCATCGCAAGTCGAGAAAAACCATGAGACTTCCCCCTAGAGGGGAGATGAGTCCCCATTCCCCTGCAATGCATGCAGAGCTATTCCGTGATCCCGTTCAAACAAGTCAGGAGCTTCGACTTGCTTAATGGATCTCGAGAGAGTCCCCAAGAACACTGTCACCAGTCTAGACGGACCATGAGGTCACCCCAGCAACGCAAAGCAGCTCCATGTACCCCAAATCAACTCGAGTTGAGGCCCGATTCCGCTGCATTGACTCCAGAGCCATTCCCCGTTCCCCATTCAACACGACCGGTGGCTCGATTTCCTTCACGCAACTCCAGAGATGCCCCGAGAACACTGTCCCAAGTCTAGAGGAACAACAACTTCAGCACAGCATCTCGAGGAATGCTCCGTGTACCCCAAATCGTCTCGAGATGAGAGCTGATTCCCTGGCTTAGGCTCAAGACGTATGCCAACTTTCCAGAAGCACCTCAGGAGGAGGCTTCTCTCAGCAATAGGTATGTCGGAGGGACACCGAGTTTGCTGCCTCAAGGGGAATATACAGCGAGAAGCCCTAACTTGAAACGAGGCCAGATTTCCTTGCAGTGGCTTGAATACAGGCTCGTCTTTCATCTCACAACATGAAGGTATGTCTGAGTCCCCTGTGGAGACCTTAGAGAAAGCCCTAGGTCCCTGCCTCATTTTGACGGAATGCCTCACATCCCGCTGACACCTCGAGAGGCACGCGGAGTTAATTGCTTCAAAAATGACGATGCCTGACTCCTCTTGAATACTGATAGGAATCCCAAAATCCCTGTGGCTACTGGAAAGGGTCCTTGGGTGCCCTGCCTCACCTCGAGAAGCATCCCTTTTGCCCTGGCAAGCCTCGAAGAGATCCTGAGGTGTCCCTCGTTACTAGACAGGAGTCCTGACGTCACTGAAGAAACTCGTGTTTTGAAGGGCCATCCCCGCCGTAAGTCGAGAACATACCCCAGGTCCCCGCCGCAACTCGAGAAAAACCATGAGACTTTCCCCTAGAGGGGAGATGAGTCCCCATTCCCCTGCAATGCATGCAGAGCTATTCCGTGATCCCGTTCAAACAAGTCAGGAGCTTCGACTTGCTTAATGGATCTCGAGACAGTCCCCAAGAACACTGTCACCAGTCTAGACGGACCATGAGGTCACCCCAGCAACGCAAAGCAGCTCCATGTACCCCAAATCAACTCGAGTTGAGGCCCGATTCCGCTGCATTGACTCCAGAGCCATTCCCCGTTCCCCATTCAACACGACCGGTGGCTCGATTTCCTTCACGCAACTCCAGAGATGCCCCGAGAACACTGTCCCAAGTCTAGAGGAACAACAACTTCAGCACAGCAACTCGAGGAATGCTCCGTGTACCCCAAATCGTCTCGAGATGAGAGCTGATTCCCTGGCTTAGGCTCAAGACGTATGCCAACTTTCCAGAAGCACCTCAGGAGGAGGCTTCTCTCAGCAATAGGTATGTCGGAGGGACACCGAGTTTGCTGCCTCAAGGGGAATATACAGCGAGAAGCCCTAACTTGAAACGAGGCCAGATTTCCTTGCAGTGGCTTGAATACAGGCTCGTCTTTCATCTCACAACATGAAGGTATGTCTGAGTCCCCTGTGGAGACCTTAGAGAAAGCCCTAGGTCCCTGCCTCATTTTGACGGAATGCCTCACATCCCGCTGACACCTCGACAGGCACACGGAGTTAATTGCTTCAAAAATGACGATGCCTGACTCCTCTTGAATACTGATAGGAATCCCAAAATCCCTGTGGCTACTGGAAAGGGTCCTTGGGTGCCCTGCCTCACCTCGAGAAGCATCCATTTTGCCCTGGCAAGCCTCGAAGAGATTCCTGAGGTGTCCCTCGTTACTAGACAGGAGTCCTTACGTCACTGAAGAAACTCGTGTTTTGAAGGGCCATCCCCGCCGTAAGTCGAGAACATAACCCAGGTCCCCGCCGCAACTCGAGAAAAACCATGAGACTTCCCCCTAGAGGCGAGATGAGGCCCCATTCCCCTGCAGTGCATGCAGAGCTATTCCGTGATCCTATTCAAACAAGTCAGGAGCTTCGACTTGCTTAATGGATCTCGAGACAGTCCCCAAGAACACTGTCACCAGTCCAGACGGACCCTGAGGTCACCCCAGCACCGCAAAGCAGCTCCATGTGCCCCAAATCAACTCGAGATGGGGCCCGATTGCCCTGCATTGACTCCAGAGCCATTCCTCGTTCCCCATTCAACACGACCGGTGGCTCGACTTCCTTCAGGAAACTCCAGAGATGCCCCAAGAACACTGTCCCAGGTCTAGAGGAACACCAACTTCAGCACAGCAACTCGAGGAATGCTCCGTGTACCCCAAATCTTCTCGAGATGAGAGCTGATTCCCTGGCTTAGGCTCAAGACGTATGCCAACTTTCCAGAAGCAACTCAGGAGGAGGCTTCTCTCAGCAATAGGTATGTGGGAGGGACCCCGAGTGTGCTGCCTCAAGGGGAATATACCGCGAGAAGCCCTAACTTGAAAGGAGGCCGGATTTCCTTGCAGGGGCTTGAATACAGGCTCGTCTTTCATCTCACAACATGAAGGGATGTCTGAATCCCCTGTGGAGACCTTAGAGAAAGCCCTAGGTCCCTGCCTCATTTTGACGGAATGCCTCACATCCAGATGACACCTCGAGAGGCTCGCGGAGTTCATTGATTCAAAAGGTGACGATGCCTGACTCCTCTTGAATACTGATAGGAATCCCAAAATCCATGTGGCTACTGGAAAGGGTCCTTGGGTGCACTGCCTCACCTCGAGAAGCGTCCCTTTTGCCCTGCCAAGCCTCGAAGAGATTCCTGAGGTGTCCCTCGTTACTAGACAGGAGTCCTGATGTCACTGAAGAAACTCGTGGTTTGAAGGGCCATCCCCGCCGTAAGTCGAGGACATAGCCCAGGTCCCCATCGCAAGTCGAGAAAAACCATGAGACTTCCCCCTAGAGGGGAGATGAGTCCCCATTCCCCTGCAATGCATGCAGAGCTATTCCGTGATCCCGTTCAAACAAGTCAGGAGCTTCGACTTGCTTAATGGATCTCGAGACAGTCCCCAAGAACACTGTCACCAGTCTAGACGGACCATGAGGTCACCCCAGCAACGCAAAGCAGCTCCATGTACCCCAAATCAACTCGAGTTGAGGCCCGATTCCGCTGCATTGACTCCAGAGCCATTCCCCGTTCCCCATTCAACACGACCGGTGGCTCGATTTCCTTCACGCAACTCCAGAGATGCCCCGAGAACACTGTCCCAAGTCTAGAGGAACAACAACTTCAGCACAGCATCTCGAGGAATGCTCCGTGTACCCCAAATCGTCTCGAGATGAGAGCTGATTCCCTGGCTTAGGCTCAAGACGTATGCCAACTTTCCAGAAGCACCTCAGGAGGAGGCTTCTCTCAGCAATAGGTATGTCGGAGGGACACCGAGTTTGCTGCCTCAAGGGGAATATACAGCGAGAAGCCCTAACTTGAAACGAGGCCAGATTTCCTTGCAGTGGCTTGAATACAGGCTCGTCTTTCATCTCACAACATGAAGGTATGTCTGAGTCCCCTGTGGAGACCTTAGAGAAAGCCCTAGGTCCCTGCCTCATTTTGACGGAATGCCTCACATCCCGCTGACACCTCGAGAGGCACGCGGAGTTAATTGCTTCAAAAATGACGATGCCTGACTCCTCTTGAATACTGATAGGAATCCCAATATCCCTGTGGCTACTGGAAAGGGTCCTTGGGTGCCCTGCCTCACCTCGAGAAGCATCCCTTTTGCCCTGGCAAGCCTCGAAGAGATCCTGAGGTGTCCCTCGTTACTAGACAGGAGTCCTGACGTCACTGAAGAAACTCGTGTTTTGAAGGGCCATCCCCGCCGTAAGTCGAGAACATAACCCAGGTCCCCGCCGCAACTCGAGAAAAACCATGAGACTTCCCCCTAGAGGCAAGATGAGGCCCCATTCCCTGCAGTGCATGCAGAGCTATTCCGTGATCCCATTCAAACAAGTCAGGAGCTTCGACTTGCTTAATGGATCTCGAGACAGTCCCCAAGAACACTGTCACCAGTCCAGACGGACCCTGAGGTCACCCCAGCAACGCAAAGCAGCTCCATGTGCCCCAAATCAACTCGAGATGAGGCCCGATTCCCCTGCATTGACTCCAGAGCCATTCCCCGTTCCCCATTCAACACGACCTGTGGCTCGACTTCCTTCAGGCAACTCCAGAGATGCCCCGAGAACACTGTCCCAAGTCTAGAGGAACACCAACTTCAGCACAGCAACTCGAGGAATGCTCCGTGTACCACAAATGGTCTCGAGATGAGAGCTGATTCTCTGGCTTAGGCTCAAGACGTATGTCAACTTCCCAGAAGCACCTCAGGAGGAGGCTTCTCTCAGCAATAGGTATGTGGGAGGGACCCCGAGTTTGCTGCCTCAAGGGGAATATACAGCGAGAAGCCCTAACTTGAAAGGAGTCCGAATTTCCTTGCAGTGGCTTGAATACAGGCTCGTCTTTCATCTCACAACATGAAGGTATGTTTGAATCCCCTGTGGAGACCTTAGAGAAAGCCCTAGGTCCCTGCCTCATTTTGACGGAATGCCTCACATCCCGCTGACACCTCGACAGGCACGCGGAGTTAATTGCTTCAAAAATGACGATGCCTGACTCCTCTTGAATACTGATAGGAATCCCAAAATCCCTGTGGCTACTGGAAAGGGTCCTTGGGTGCCCTGCCTCACCTCGAGAAGCATCCCTTTTGCCCTGGCAAGCCTCGAAGAGATTCCTGAGGTGTCCCTCGTTACTAGACAGGAGTCCTGACGTCACTGAAGAAACTCGTGTTTTGAAGGGCCATCCCCGCCGTAAGTCGAGAACATACCCCAGGTCCCCGCCGCAACTTGAGAAAAACCATGAGACTTCTCCCTTAAGGCGAGATGAGGCCCCATTCCCCTGCAGTGCATGCAGAGCTATTCCGTGATCCCATTCAAACAAGTCAGGAGCTTCGACTTGCTTAATGGATCTCAAGACAGTCCCCAAGAACACTGTCACCAGTCCAGACGGACCCTGAGGTTACCCCAGCACCGCAAAGCAGCTCCATGTGCACCAAATCAACTCGAGATGAGGCCCGATTCCCCTGCATTGACTCCAGAGCCATTCCCAGTTCGCCATTCAACACGACCGGTGGCTCGACTTCCTTCAGGCAACTCCAGAGATGCCCCGAGAACACTGTCCCAAGTCTAGAGGAACACCAACTTCAGCACAGCAACTCGAGGAATGCTCCCTGTACCCCAAATCGTCTCGAGATGAGAGCAGATTCCCTGGCTTAGGCTCAAGACGTATGCCAACTTCCCAGAAGCACCTCAGGAGGAGGCTTCTCTCAGCAATAGGTATGTGGGAGGGACCCCGAGTTTGCTGCCTCAAGGGGAATATACAGCGAGAAGCCCTAACTTGAAAGGAGTCCGAATTTCCTTGCAGTGGCTTGAATACAGGCTCGTCTTTCATCTCACAACATGAAGGGATGTCTGAATCCCCTGTGGAGACCTTAGAGAAAGCCCTAGGTCCCTGCCTCATTTTGACGGAATGCCTCACATCCCGTTGACACCTCGAGAGGCACGCGGAGTTAATTGCTTGAAAAATGACGATGCCTGACTCCTCTTGAATACTGATAGGAATCCCAAAATCCCTGTGGCTACTGGAAAGGGTCCTTGGGTGCCCTGCCTCACCTCGAGAAGCATCCCTTTTGCTCTGGCAAGCCTCGAAGAGATTCCTGAGGTGTCCCTCGTTACTAGACTGGAGTCCTGACGTCACTGAAGAAACTCGTGGTTTGAAGGGCCATCCCCGCCGTAAGTCGAGAACATACCCCAGGTCCCCGCCGCAACTCGAGAAAAACCATGAGACTTCCCCCTAGAGGCGAGATGAGGGCTCATTCCCCTGCAGTGCAAGCAGAGCTATTCCGTGATCCCATTCATACAAGTCAGGAGCTTCGACTTGCTTAATGGATCTCGAGACAGTCCCCAAGAACACTGTCACCAGTCTAGAGGGACCCTGAGGTCACCCCAGCAAAGCAAAGCAGCTCCATGTGCCCCAAATCAACTCGAGATGGGGCCCGATTCCCCTGCATTGACTCCAGAGCCATTCCTCTTTCCACATTCAACCCAACCGGTGGCTCGACTTCCTTCAGGAAACTCCAGAGATGCCCCAAGAACACTGTCCCAAGTCTAGGGGAACACCAACTTCAGCACAGCAACTCGAGGAATGCTCCATGTACCCCAAATCGTCTCGAGATGAGAGCTGATTCCCTCGCTTAGGCTCAAGACGTATGCCAACTTTCCAGAAGCACCTCAGGAGGAGGCTTCTCTCAGCAATAGGTATGTGGGAGGGACCCCGAGTTTGCTGCCTCAAGGGGAATATACCGCGAGAAGCCCTAACTTGAAAGGAGGCCAGATTTCCTTGCAGTGGCTTGAATACAGGCTCGTCTTTCATCTCACAACATGAAGGGATGCCTGAATCCCCTGTGGAGACCTTACAGAAAGCCCTAGGTCCCTGCCTCATTTTTACGGAATGCCTCACATCCCGCTGACACCTCGAGAGGCACGCGGAGTTCATTGATTTAAAAGGTGACGATGCCTGACTCCTCTTGAATGCTGATAGGAATCCCAAAATCCCTGTGGCTACTGGAAAGGGTCCTTGGGTGCCCTGCCTCACCTCGAGAAGCGTCCCATTTGCCCTGCCAAGCCTCGAAGAGATTCCTGAGGTGTCACTCGTTACTAGACAAGAGTCCTGACGTCACTGAAGAAACTCGTGTTCTGAAGGGCCAGCCCCGCCGTAAGTCGAGAACATACCCCAGGTCCCCGCCGCAACTCGAGAAAAACCATGAGACTTCCCCCTAGAGGCGAGATGACGACCCATTCCCCTGCAGTGCATGCAGAGATATTCCGTGATCCCATTCAAACAAGTCAGGAGCTTCGACTTGCTTAATGGGTCTCGAGACAGTCCCCAAGAACACTGTCACCAGTCTAGACGGACCCTGAGGTCACCCCAGCAACGCAAAGCAGCTCCATGTGCCCCAAATCAACTCGAGATGAGGCCCGATTCCCCTGCTTTGACTCCAGAGCCATTCCCCGTTCCCCATTCAACACGCCCGGTGGCTCGACTTCCTTCAGGCAACTCCAGAGATGCCCCGAGAACACTGTTCCAAGTCTAGAGGAGCACCAACTTCAGCACAGCAACTCGAGGAAGGCTCCGTGTACCCCAAATCGTCTCGAGATGAGAGCTGATTCCCTGGCTTAGGCTCAAGACGTATGCCAACTTTCCAGAAGCACCTCAGGAGGAGGCTTCTCTCAGCAATAGGTATGTGGGAGGGACCCCGAGTTTGCTGCCTCAAGGGGAATATACCGCGAGAAGCCCTAACTTGAAAGGAGGCCGGATTCCCTTGCACTGGCTTGAATACAGGCTCGTCTTTCATCTCACAACATGAAGGGATGTCTGAATCCCCTGTGGAGACCTTAGAGAAAGCCCTAGGTCCCTGCCTCATTTTGACGGAATGCCTCACATCCCGCTGACACCTCGAGAGGCACGCGGAGTTCATTGCTTCAAAAGGTGACGATGCCTGACTCCTCTTGAATACTGATAGGAATCCCAAAATCCCTGTGGCTACTGGAAAGGGTCCTTGTGTGCCCTGCCTCACCTCGAGAAGCGTCCCTTTTGCCCTGCCAAGCCTCGAAGAGATTCCTGAGGTGTCCCTCGTTACTAGACAGGAGTCCTGACGTCACTGAAGAAACTCGTGTTTTGAAGGGCCATCCCCGCCGTAAGTCGAGAACATACCCCAGGTCCCTGCCGCAACTCGAGAAAAACCATGAGACTTCCCCCTGGAGGCGAGATGAGGCCCCATTCCACTGCAGTGCATGCAGAGCTATTCCGTGATCCCATTCAAACAAGTCAGGAGCTTCGACTTGCTTAATGGATCTCGAGACAGTCCCCAAGAACACTGTCACCAGTCTAGACGGACCCTGAGGTCACCCCAGCAACGCAAAGCAGCTCCATGTGCCCCAAATCAACTCGAGATGGGGCCCGATTCCCCTGCATTGACTCCAGAGCCATTCCCCGTTCCCCATTCAACACGACCGGTGGCTCGACTTCCTTCAGGCAACTCCAGAGATGCCCCGAGAACACTGTCCCAAGTCTAGAGGAACACCAACTTCAGCACAGCAACTCGAAGAATGCTCCGTGTACCCCAAATCGTCTCGAGATGAGAGCTGATTCCCTGGCTTAGGCTCAAGACGTATGCCAACTTTCCAGAAGCACCTCAGGAGGAGGCTTCTCTCAGCAATAGGTATGTGGGAGGGACCCCGAGTTTGCTGCCTCAAGGGGAATATACCGCGAGAAGCCCTAACTTAAAAGGAGGCCGGATTTCCTTGCAGTGGCTTGAATACAGGCCCGTCTTTCATCTCACAATATGGAGGGATGTCTGAATCCCCTGTGTAGACCTTAGAGAAAGCCCTAGGTCCCTGCCTCATTTTGACGGAATGCCTCACATCCCGCTGACACCTCGAGAGGCACGCGGAGTTCATTGCTTCAAAAGGTGACGATGCCTGACTCCTCTTGAATACTGATAGGAATCCCAAAATCCCTGTGGCTACTGGAAAGGGTCCTTGGGTGCCCTGCCTCAACTCGAGAAGCGTCCCATTTGCCCTGCCAAGCCTCGAAGAGATTCCTGAGGTGTCCCTCGTTACTAGAGAGGAGTCCTGACGTCACTGAAGAAACTCGTGTTCTGAAGGGCCAGCCCCGCCGTAAGTCGAGAACATACCCCAGGTCCCCGCCGCAACTCGAGAAAAACCATGAGACTTCCCCCTAGAGGCGAGATGAGGCCCCATTCCCCTGCAGTGCATGCAGAGCTATTCCGTGATCCCATTCAAACAAGTCAGGAGCTTCGACTTGCTTAATGGATCTCCAGACAGTCCCCAAGAACACTGTCACCAGTCGAGACGGACCCTGAGGTCACCCCAGCACCGCAAAGCAGCTCCATGTGCCCCAAATCAACTCGAGATGAGGCCCGATTCCCCTGCATTGACTCCAGAGCCATTCCCCGTTCCCCATTCAACACGACCGGTGGCTCGACTTCCTTCAGGCAACTCCAGAGATGCCCCGAGAACACTGTCCCAAGTCTAGAGGAACACCAACTTCAGCACAGCAACTCGAGGAATGCTCCGTGTACCCCCCATCGTCTCGAGATGAGAGCTGATTCCCTCGCTTAGGCTCAAGACGTATGCCAACTTTCCAGAAGCACCTCAGGAGGAGGCTTCTCTCAGCAATAGTTATGTGGGAGGGACCCCGAGTTTGCTGCCTCAAGGGGAATATACCGCGAGAAGCCCTAACTTGAAAGGAGGCCGGATTTCCTTGCAGGTGCTTGAATACAGGCTCGTCTTTCATCTCACAACATGAAGGGATGTCTGAATCCCCTGTGGAGACCTTAGAGAAAGCCCTAGGTCCCTGCCTCATTTTGACGGAATGCCTCACATCCCGCTGACACCTCGAGAGGCACGCGGAGTTCATTGCTTCAAAAGGTGACGATGCCTGACTCCTCTTGAATACTGATAGGAATCCCAAAATCCCTGTGGCTACTGGAAAGGGTCCTTGGGTGCCCTGCCTCACCTCGAGAAGCGTCCCTTTTGCCCTGCCAAGCCTCGAAGAGATTCCTGAGGTGTCCGTCGTTACTAGACAGGAGTCCTGATGTCACTGAAGAAACTCGTGGTTTGAAGGGCCATCCCCGCCGTAAGTCGAGGACATAGCCCAGGTCCCCATCGCAAGTCCATAAAAACCATGAGACTTCCCCCTAGAGGGGAGATGAGGCCCCATTCCCCTGCAGTGCATGCAGAGCTATTCCGTGATCCCATTCAAACAAGTCAGGAGCTTCGACTTGCTTAATGGATCTCCAGACAGTCCCCAAGAACACTGTCACCAGTCCAGATGGACCCTGAGGTCACCCCAGCTCCGCAAAGCAGCTCCATGTGCCCCAAATCAACTCGAGATGAGGCCCGATTCCCCTTCATTGACTCCAGAGCCATTCCCTGTTCCCCATTCAACACGACCGGTGGCTCGACTTCCTTCAGGCAACTCCAGAGATGCCCCGAGAACACTGTCCCAAGTCTAGAGGAACACCAACTTCAGCACAGCAACTCGAGGAATGCTCCGTGTACACCAAACCGTCTCGAGATGAGAGCTGATTCCCTGGCTTAGGCTCAAGACATATGCCAACTTCCCAGAAGCACCTCAGGAGGAGGCTTCTCTCAGCAATAGGTATGTGGGAGGGACCCTGAGTTTGCTGCCTCAAGGGGAATATACAGCGAGAAGACCTAACTTGAAAGGAGTCCGAATTTCCTTGCAGTGGCTTGAATACAGGCTCGTCTTTCATCTCACAATATGAAGGGATGTCTGAATCCGCTGTGGAGACCTTAGAGAAAGCCCTAGGTCCCTGCCTCATTTTGACGGAATGCCTCACATCCCGCTGACACCTCGACAGGCACACGGAGTTAATTGCTTCAAAAATGACGATGCCTGACTCCTCTTGAATACTGATAGGAATCCCAAAATCCCTGTGGCTACTGGAAAGGATCCTTGGGTGCCCTGCCTCACCTCGAGAAGCATCCCTTTTGCCCTGGCAAGCCTTGAAGAGATTCCTGAGGTGTCCCTCGTTACTAGACTGGAGTCCTGATGTCACTGAAGAAACTCGTGGTTTGAAGGGCCATCCCCGCCGTAAGTCGAGAACATACCCCAGGTCCCCGCCTCAACTCGAGAAAAAACATGAGACTTCCCCCAAGAGGCGAGATGAGGCCCCATTCCCCTACAGTGCATGCAGAGCTATTCCGTGATCCCATTCAAACAAGTCAGGAACTTCGACTTGCTTAATGGATCTCCAGACAGTCCCCAAGAACACTGTCACCAGTCTAGACGGACCCTGAGGTCAACCCAGCAACGCAAAGCAGCTCCATGTGCCCCAAATCAACTCGAGATGGGGCCCGATTCCCCTGCATTGACTCCAGAGCCATTCCTCGTTCCCCACTCAACACGACCGGTGGCTCGACTTCCTTCAGGAAACTCCAGAGATGCCCCAAGAACACTGTCCCAAGTCTAGAGGAACACCAACTTCAGCACAGCAACTCGAGGAATGCTGCGTGTACCCCAAATCGTCTCGAGATGAGAGCTGATTCCCTCGCTTAGGCTCAAGACGTTTGCCAACTATCCAGAAGCACCTCAGGAGGAGGCTTCTCTCAGCAATAGTTATGTGGGAGGGACCCCGAGTTTGGTGCCTCAAGGGGAATATACCGCGAGAAGAACTAACTTGAAAGGAGGCCAGATTTCCTTGCAGGGGCTTGAATACAGGCTCGTCTTTCATCTCACAACATGAAGGGATGTCTGAGTCCCCTGTGGAGACCTTAGAGAAAGCCCTAGGTCCCTGCCTCATTTTGACGGAATGCCTCACATCCCGCTGACACCTCGAGAGGCACGCGGAGTTCATTGCTTCAAAAGGTGACGATGCCTGACTCCTCTTGAATACTGATAGGAATCCCAAAATCCCTGTGGCTACTGGAAAGGGTCCTTGGGTGCCCTGCCTCACCTCGAGAAGCGTCCCTTTTGCCCTGCCAAGCCTCGAAGAGATTCCTGAGGTGTCCCTCGTTACTAGACAGGAGTCCTGATGTCACTGAAGAAACTCTTGGTTTGAAGGGCCATCCCCGCCGTAAGTCGAGGACATAGCCCAGGTCCCCATCGCAAGTCGAGAAAAACCATGAGACTTCCCCCTAGAGGGGAGATGAGTCCCCATTCCCCTGCAATGCATGCAGAGCTATTCCGTGATCCCATTTAAACAAGTCAGGAGCTTCGACTTGCTTAATGGATCTCGAGACAGTCCCCAAGAACACTGTCACCAGTCTAGACGGACCATGAGGTCACCCCAGCAACGCAAAGCAGCTCCATGTGCCCCAAATCAACTCGAGTTGAGGCCCGATTCCGCTGCATTGACTCCAGAGCCATTCCCCGTTCCCCATTCAACACGACCGGTGGCTCGACTTCCTTCATGCAACTCCAGAGATGCCCCGAGAACACTGTCCCAAGTCTAGAGGAACAACAACTTCAGCACAGCAACTCGAGGAATGATACGTGTACCCCAAATCGTCTCGAGATGAGAGCTGATTCCCTGGCTTAGGCTCAAGACGTATGCCAACTTTCCAGAAGCACCTCAGGAGGAGGCTTCTCTCAGCAATAGGTATGTGGGAGGGACACCGAGTTTGCTGCCTCAAGGGGAATATACAGCGAGAAGCCCTAACTTGAAACGAGGCCAGATTTCCTTGCAGTGGCTTGAATACAGGCTCGTCTTTCATCTCACAACATGAAGGTATGTCTGAGTCCCCTGTGGAGACCTTAGAGAAAGCCCTAGGTCCCTGCCTCATTTTGACGGAATGCCTCACATCCCGCTGACACCTCGAGAGGCACACGGAGTTAATTGCTTCAAAAATGACGATGCCTGACTCCTCTTGAATACTGATAGGAATCCCAAAATCCCTGTGGCTACTGGAAAGGGTCCTTGGGTGCCCTGCCTCACCTCGAGAAGCATCCCTTTTGCCCTGGCAAGCCTCGAAGAGATTCCTGAGGTGTCCCTCGTTACTAGACAGGAGTCCTGACGTCACTGAAGAAACTCGTGTTTTGAAGGGCCATCCCCGCCGTAAGTCGAGAACATACCCCAGGTCCCCGCCGCAACTCGAGAAAAACCATGAGACTTCCCCCTAGAGGCGAGATGAGGCCCCATTCCCTGCAGTGCATGCAGAGCTATTCCGTGATCCCATTCAAACAAGTCAGGAGCTTCGACTTGCTTAATGGATCTCGAGACAGTCCCCAAGAACACTGTCACCAGTCCAGACGGACCCTGAGGTCACCCCAGCACCGCAAAGCAGCTCCATGTGCCCCAAATCAACTCGAGATGGGGCCCGATTCCCCTGCATTGACTCCAGAGCCATTCCTCGTTCCCCATTCAACACGACCGGTGGCTCGACTTCCTTCAGGAAACTCCAGAGATGCCCCGAGAACACTGTCCCAAGTCTAGAGGAACACCAACTTCAGCACAGCAACTCGAGGAATACTCCGTGTACCCCAAATCGTCTCGAGATGAGAGCTGATTCCCTGGCTTAGGCTCAAGACGTATGCCAACTTTCCAGAAGCACCTCAGGAGGAGGCTTCTCTCAGCAATAGGTATGTGGGAGGGACCCCGAGTGTGCTGCCTCAAGGGGAATATACCGCGAGAAGCCCTAACTTGAAAGGAGGCCGGATTTCCTTGCAGGGGCTTGAATACAGGCTCGTCTTTCATCTCACAACATGAAGGGATGTCTGAATCCCCTGTGGAGACCTTAGAGAAAGCCCTAGGTCCCTGCCTCATTTTGACGGAATGCCTCACATCCCGATGACACCTCGAGAGGCTTGCGGAGTTCATTGCTTCAAAAGGTGACGATGCCTGACTCCTCTTGAATACTGATAGGAATCCTAAAATCCCTGTGGCTACTGGAAAGGGTCCTTGTGTGCCCTGCCTCACCTCGAGAAGCGTCCCTTTTGCCCTGCCAAGCCTCGAAGAGATTCCTGAGGTGTCCCTCGTTACTAGACAGGAGTCCTGATGTCACTGAAGAAACTCGTGTTTTGAAGGGCCATCCCCGCCGTAAGTCGAGGACATAGCCCAGGTCCCCATCGCAAGTCGAGAAAAACCATGAGACTTCCCCCTAGAGGGGAGATGAGTCCCCATTCCCCTGCAATGCATGCAGAGCTATTCCGTGATCCCGTTCAAACAAGTCAGGAGCTTCGACTTGCTTAATGGATCTCGAGACAGTCCCCAAGAACACTGTCACCAGTCTAGACGGACCATGAGGTCACCCCAGCAACGCAAAGCAGCTCCATGTACCCCAAATCAACTCGAGTTGAGGCCCGATTCCCCTACATTGACTCCAGAGCCATTCCCCGTTCCCCATTCAACACGACCGGTGGCTCGACTTCCTTCAGGAAACTCCAGAGATGCCCCGAGAACACTGTCCCAAGTCTAGAGGAACACCAACTTCAGCACAGCAACTCGAAGAATGCTCCGTGTACCCCAAATCGTCTCGAGATGAGAGCTGATTCCCTGGCTTAGGCTCAAGACGTATGCCAACTTTCCAGAAGCACCTCAGGAGGAGGCTTCTCTCAGCAATAGGTATGTGGGAGGGACCCCGAGTTTGCTGCCTCAAGGGGAATATACCGCGAGAAGCCCTAACTTGAAAGGAGGCCGGATTTCCTTGCAGTGGCTTGAATACAGGCTCGTCTTTCATCTCACAATATGGAGGGATGTCTGAATCCCCTGTGTAGACCTTAGAGTAAGCCCTAGGTCCCTGCCTCATTTTGACGGAATGCCTCACATCCCGCTGACACCTCGAGAGGCACGCGGAGTTCATTGCTTCAAAAGGTGACGATGCCTGACTCCTCTTGAATACTGATAGGAATCCCAAAATCCCTGTGTCTACTGGAAAGGGTCCTTGGGTGCCCTGCCTCACATCGAGAAGCATCCCTTTTGCCCTGCCAAGCCTCGAAGAGATTCCTGAGGTGTCCCTCGTTACTAGACAGGAGTCCTGACGTCAATGAAGAAACTCGTGTTCTGAAGGGCCATCCCCGCCGTAAGTCGAGAACATACCCCAGGTCCCCGCCGCAACTCGAGAAAAACCATGAGACTTCCCCCTAGAGGCGAGATGAGGCCCCATTCCCCTGCAGTGCATGCAGAGCTATTCCGTGATCCCATTCAAACAAGTCAGGAGCTTCGACTTGCTTAATGGATCTCCAGACAGTCCCCAAGAACACAGTCACCAGTCCAGACGGACCCTGAGGTCACCCCAGCACCGCAAAGCAGCTCCATGTGCCCCAAATCAACTCGAGATGAGGCCCGATTCCCCTGCATTGACTCCAGAGCCATTCCCCGTTCCCCATTCAACACGACCGGTGGCTCGACTTCCTTCAGGCTACTCCAGAGATGCCCCGAGAACACTGTCCCAAGTCTAGAGGAACACCAACTTCAGCACAGCAACTCGAGGAATGCTCCGTGTACCCCAAATCGTCTTGAGATGAGAGCTGATTCCCTGGCTTAGGCTCAAGACGTATGCCAACTCCCCAGAAGCACCTCAGGAGGAGGCTTCTCTCAGCAATAGGTATGTGGGAGGGACCCCGAGTTTGCTGCCTCAAGGGGAATATACAGCGAGAAGCCCTAACTTGAAAGGAGGCCGGATTTCCTTGCAGTGGCTTGAATACAGGCTCGTCTTTCATCTCACAACATGAAGGGATGTCTGAATGCCCTGTGGAGACCTTAGAGAAAGGCCTAGGTCCCTGCCTCATTTTGACGGAATGCCTCACATCCCGCTGACAACTCGAGAGGCACGCGAAGTTCACTGTTTCAAAAGGTGACGATGCCTGACTCCTCTTGAATATTGAGAGGAATCCCAAAATCCCTGTGGCTACTGGAAAGGGTCCTCGGGTGCCCTGCCCCACCTCGAGAAGCGTCCCTTTTGCCCTTCCAAGCCTCGGAGAGATTTCTGCGGTGTCCCTCGTTACTAGACAGGAGTCCTGACGTCACTGAAGAAACTCGTGGTTTGAGGGGCCATCCCCGCCGTAAGTCGAGAACATACCCCAGGTAACCGCCGAAACTCGAGAAAATCCATGAGACTTCCCCCTAGAGGCGGGATGAGGCCCCATTCCCCTGCAGTGCATGCAGAGCTATTCCGTGATCCCATTCAAACAAGTCAGGAGCTTCGACTTGCTTAATGGATCTCGAGACAGTCCCCAAGAACACTGTCACCAGTCTAGACGGACCCTGAGGTCACCCCAGCAACGCAAAGCAGCTCCATGTGCCCCAAATCAACTCGAGATGAGGCCCGATTCCCCTGCATTGACTCCAGAGCCATTCCCCGTTCCCCATTCAACACGACCGGTGGCTCGACTTCCTTCAGGCAACTCCAGAGATGCCCCGAGAACACTGTCCCAAGTCTAGAGGAACACCAACTTCAGCACAGCAACTCGAGGAATGCTCCGTGTACCCCAAATCGTCTCGACATGAGAGCTGATTGCCTGGCATAGGCTCAAGACGTATGCCAACTTTCCAGAAGCACCTCAGGAGGAGGCTTCTCTCAGCAATAGGTATGTGGGAGGGACCCCGAGTTTGCTGCCTCAAGGGGAATATACAGCGAGAAGCCCTAACTTGAAAGGAGGCCGGATTTCCTTGCAGTGGCTTGAATACAGGCTCGTCTTTCATCTCACAACATGAAGGGATGTCTGAATCCCCTGTGGAGACCTTAGAGAAAGCCCTAGGTCCCTGCCTCATTTTGACGGAATGCCTCACATCCCGCTGACACCTCGAGAGGCACGCGGAGTTCATTGCTTCAAAAGGTGACGATGCCTGACTCCTCTTGAATACTGATAGGAATCCCCGAATCGCTGTGGCTACTGGAAAGATTACTTGGGTGCCCTGCCTCACCTCGAGAAGCGTCCCTTTTGCCCTGCCAAGCCTCGAAGAGATTCCTGAGGTGTCCCTCGTTACTAGACAGGAGTCCTGACGTCACTGAATAAACTCGTGTTTTGAAGGGCCATCCCCACCGTAAGTGGAGAACATATCCCAGGTCCCCGCCGCAACTCGAGAAAAACCATGAGACTTCCCCCTAAAGGCGAGATGAGGCCCCATTCCCCTGCAGTGCATGCAGAGCTATTCCGTGATCCCATTCAAACAAGTCAGGAGATTCGACTTGCTTAATGGGTCTCGAGACAGTCCCCAAGAACACTGTCACCAGTCTAGACGGACACTGAGGTCACCACAGCAACGCAAAGCAGCTCCATGTGCCCCAAATCAACTCGAGATGAGGCCCGATTCCCCTGCATTGACTCCAGAGCCATTCCCCGTTCCCCATTCAACACGACCGGTGGCTCGACTTCCTTCAGGCAACTCCAGAGATGCCCCGAGAACACTGTCCCAAGTCTAGAGGAACACCAACTTCAGCACAGCAACTCGAGGAATGCTCTGTGTACACCAAATCGTCTCGAGATGAGAGCTGATTCCCTGGCTTAGGCTCAAGACGTATGCCAACTTTCCAGACCCACATCAGGAGGAGGCTTCTCTCAGCAATAGGTATGTGGGAGGGACCCCAAGTGTGCTGCCTCAAGGGGAATATACCGCGAGAAGCCCTAACTTGAAAGGAGGCCGGATTTCCTTGCAGGGGCTTGAATACAGGCTCGTCTTTCATCTCACAACATGAAGGGATGTCTGAATCCCCTGTGTAGACCTTAGAGAAAGCCCTAGGTCCCTGCCTCATTTTGACGGAATGCCTCACATCCCGATGACACCTCGAGAGGCTCGCGGAGTTCATTGCTTCAAAAGGTGACGATGCCTGACTCCTCTTGAATACTGATAGGAATCCTAAAATCCCTGTGGCTACTGGAAAGGGTCCTTGTGTGCCCTGCCTCACCTCGAGAAGCGTCCCTTTTGCCCTGCCAAGCCTCGAAGAGATTCCTGAGGTGTCCCTCGTTACTAGACAGGAGTCCTGATGTCACTGAAGAAACTCGTGGTTTGAAGGGCCATCCCCGCCGTAAGTCGAGGACATAGCCCAGGTCCCCATCGCAAGTCGAGAAAAACCATGAGACTTCCCCCTAGAGGGGAGATGAGTCCCCATTCCCCTGCAATGCATGCAGAGCTATTCCGTGATCCCGTTCAAACAAGTCAGGAGCTTCGACTTGCTTAATGGATCTCGAGACAGTCCCCAAGAACACTGTCACCAGTCTAGACGGACCATGAGGTCACCCCAGCAACGCAAAGCAGCTCCATGTACCCCAAATCAACTCGAGTTGAGGCCCGATTCCCCTACATTGACTCCAGAGCCATTCCCCGTTCCCCATTCAACACGACCGGTGGCTCGACTTCCTTCAGGAAACTCCAGAGATGCCCCGAGAACACTGTCCCAAGTCTAGAGGAACACCAACTTCAGCACAGCAACTCGAAGAATGCTCCGTGTACCCCAAATCGTCTCGAGATGAGAGCTGATTCCCTGGCTTAGGCTCAAGACGTATGCCAACTTTCCAGAAGCACCTCAGGAGGAGGCTTCTCTCAGCAATAGGTATGTGGGAGGGACCCCGAGTTTGCTGCCTCAAGGGGAATATACCGCGAGAAGCCCTAACTTGAAAGGAGGCCGGATTTCCTTGCAGTGGCTTGAATACAGGCTCGTCTTTCATCTCACAATATGGAGGGATGTCTGAATCCCCTGTGTAGACCTTAGAGTAAGCCCTAGGTCCCTGCCTCATTTTGACGGAATGCCTCACATCCCGCTGACACCTCGAGAGGCACGCGGAGTTCATTGCTTCAAAAGGTGACGATGCCTGACTCCTCTTGAATACTGATAGGAATCCCAAAATCCCTGTGTCTACTGGAAAGGGTCCTTGGGTGCCCTGCCTCACATCGAGAAGCATCCCTTTTGCCCTGCCAAGCCTCGAAGAGATTCCTGAGGTGTCCCTCGTTACTAGACAGGAGTCCTGACGTCAATGAAGAAACTCGTGTTCTGAAGGGCCATCCCCGCCGTAAGTCGAGAACATACCCCAGGTCCCCGCCGCAACTCGAGAAAAACCATGAGACTTCCCCCTAGAGGCGAGATGAGGCCCCATTCCCCTGCAGTGCATGCAGAGCTATTCCGTGATCCCATTCAAACAAGTCAGGAGCTTCGACTTGCTTAATGGATCTCCAGACAGTCCCCAAGAACACAGTCACCAGTCCAGACGGACCCTGAGGTCACCCCAGCACCGCAAAGCAGCTCCATGTGCCCCAAATCAACTCGAGATGAGGCCCGATTCCCCTGCATTGACTCCAGAGCCATTCCCCGTTCCCCATTCAACACGACCGGTGGCTCGACTTCCTTCAGGCTACTCCAGAGATGCCCCGAGAACACTGTCCCAAGTCTAGAGGAACACCAACTTCAGCACAGCAACTCGAGGAATGCTCCGTGTACCCCAAATCGTCTTGAGATGAGAGCTGATTCCCTGGCTTAGGCTCAAGACGTATGCCAACTCCCCAGAAGCACCTCAGGAGGAGGATTCTCTCAGCAATAGGTATGTGGGAGGGACCCCGAGTTTGCTGCCTCAAGGGGAATATACAGCGAGAAGCCCTAACTTGAAAGGAGGCCGGATTTCCTTGCAGTGGCTTGAATACAGGCTCGTCTTTCATCTCACAACATGAAGGGATGTCTGAATGCCCTGTGGAGACCTTAGAGAAAGGCCTAGGTCCCTGCCTCATTTTGACGGAATGCCTCACATCCCGCTGACAACTCGAGAGGCACGCGAAGTTCACTGTTTCAAAAGGTGACGATGCCTGACTCCTCTTGAATATTGAGAGGAATCCCAAAATCCCTGTGGCTACTGGAAAGGGTCCTTGGGTGCCCTGCCCCACCTCGAGAAGCGTCCCTTTTGCCCTGCCAAGCCTCGGAGAGATTTCTGCGGTGTCCCTCGTTACTAGACAGGAGTCCTGACGTCACTGAAGAAACTCGTGGTTTGAGGGGCCATCCCCGCCGTAAGTCGAGAACATACCCCAGGTAACCGCCGAAACTCGAGAAAATCCATGAGACTTCCCCCTAGAGGCGAGATGAGGCCCCATTCCCCTGCAGTGCATGCAGAGCTATTCCGTGATCCCATTTAAACAAGTCAGGAGCTTCGACTTGCTTAATGGATCTCGAGACAGTCCCCAAGGACACTGTCACCAGTCTAGACGGACCCTGAGGTCACCCCAGCAACGCAAAGCAGCTCCATGTGCCCGAAATCAACTCGAGATGAGGCCCGATTCCCCTGCATTGACTCCAGAGCCATTCCCCGTTCCCCATTCAACACGACCGGTGGCTCGACTTCCTTCAGGCAACTCCAGAGATGCCCCGAGAACACTGTCCCAAGTCTAGAGGAACACCAACTTCAGCACAGCAACTCGAGGAATACTCCGTGTACCCCAAATCGTCTCGACATGAGAGCTGATTGCCTGGCATAGGCTCAAGACGTATGCCAACTTTCCAGAAGCACCTCAGGAGGAGGCTTCTCTCAGCAATAGGTATGTGGGAGGGACCCCGAGTTTGCTGCCTCAAGGGGAATATACAGCGAGAAGCCCTAACTTGAAAGGAGGCCGGATTTCCTTGCAGTGGCTTGAATACAGGCTCGTCTTTCATCTCACAACATGAAGGGATGTCTGAATCCCCTGTGGAGACCTTAGAGAAAGCCCTAGGTCCCTGCCTCATTTTGACGGAATGCCTCACATCCCGCTGACACCTCGAGAGGCACGCGGAGTTCATTGCTTCAAAAGGTGACGATGCCTGACTCCTCTTGAATACTGATAGGAATCCCCGAATCGCTGTGGCTACTGGAAAGATTACTTGGGTGCCCTGCCTCACCTCGAGAAGCGTCCCTTTTGCCCTGCCAAGCCTCGAAGAGATTCCTGAGGTGTCCCTCGTTACTAGACAGGAGTCCTGACGTCACTGAATAAACTCGTGTTTTGAAGGGCCATCCCCACCGTAAGTGGAGAACATATCCCAGGTCCCCGCCGCAACTCGAGAAAAACCATGAGACTTCCCCCTAAAGGCGAGATGAGGCCCCATTCCCCTGCAGTGCATGCAGAGCTATTCCGTGATCCCATTCAAACAAGTCAGGAGATTCGACTTGCTTAATGGGTCTCGAGACAGTCCCCAAGAACACTGTCACCAGTCTAGACGGACACTGAGGTCACCACAGCAACGCAAAGCAGCTCCATGTGCCCCAAATCAACTCGAGATGAGGCCCGATTCCCCTGCATTGACTCCAGAGCCATTCCCCGTTCCCCATTCAACACGACCGGTGGCTCGACTTCCTTCAGGCAACTCCAGAGATGCCCCGAGAACACTGTCCCAAGTCTAGAGGAACACCAACTTCAGCACAGCAACTCGAGGAATGCTCTGTGTACACCAAATCGTCTCGAGATGAGAGCTGATTCCCTGGCTTAGGCTCAAGACGTATGCCAACTTTCCAGACCCACATCAGGAGGAGGCTTCTCTCAGCAATAGGTATGTGGGAGGGACCCCGAGTTTGCTGCCTCAAGGGGAATATACAGCGAGAAGCCCTAACTTGAAAGGAGGCCGGATTTCCTTGCAGTGGCTTGAATACAGGCTCGTCTTTGATCTCACAACATGAAGGGATGTCTGAATCCCCTGTGGAGACCTTAGAGAAAGCCCTAGTTCCCTGCCTCATTTTGACGGAATGCCTCACATCCCGCTGACACCTCGAGAGGCAGGCGGAGTTCATTGCTTCAAAAGGTGTCGATGCCTGACTCCTCTTGAATACTGATAGGAATCCCAAAATCCCTGTGGCTACTGGAAAGGGTCCTTGGGTGCCCTGCCTCACATCGAGAAGAGTCCCTTTTGCCCTGCCAAGCCTCTAAGAGATTTCTGAGGTGTCCCTCGTTACTAGACAGGAATCCTGACGTCACTGAAGAAACTCGTGTTTTGAAGGCCAATCCCCGCCGTAAGTCGAGAACATACCCCAGGTCCCCGCCGCAACTCGAGAAAAACCATGAGACTTCCCCCTAGAGGCGAGATGAGGCCCCATTCCCCTGCAGTGCATGCAGAGCTATTCCGTGATCCCATTCAAACAAGTCAGGAGCTTCGACTTGCTTAATGGATCTCGAGACAGTCCCCAAGAACACTGTCACCAGTCCAGACGGATCCTGAGGTCACCCCAGCACCGCAAAGCAGCTCCATGTGCCCCAAATCAACTCGAGATGAGGCCCGATTCCCCTGCATTGACTCCAGAGCCATTCCCCGTTCCCCATTCAACACGACCTGTGGCTCGACTTCCATCAGGCAACTCCAGAGATGCCCCGAGAACACTGTCCCAAGTCTAGAGGAACACCAACTTCAGCACAGCAACTCGAGGAATGCTCCCTGTACCCCAAATCGTCTCGAGATGAGAGCTGATTCCCTCGCTTAGGCTCAAGACGTATGCCAACTTTCCAGAAGCACCTCAGGAGGAGGGTCTCTCAGCAATAGGTATGTGGGAGGGACCCCGAGTTTGCTGCCTCAAGGGGAATATACAGCGAGAAGCCCTAACTTGAAAGGAGGCCAGATTTCCTTGCAGTGGCTTGAATACAGGCTCGTCTTTCATCTCACAACATGAAGGGATGTCTGAATCCCCTGTGGAGACCTTACAGAAAGCCCTAGGTCCCTGCCTCATTTTTACGGAATGCCTCACATCCCGCTGACACCTCGAGAGGCACGCGGAGTTCATTGATTTAAAAGGTGACGATGCCTGACTCCTCTTGAATGCTGATAGGAATCCCAAAATCCCTGTGGCTACTGGAAAGGGTCCTTGGGTGCCCTGCCTCACCTCGAGAAGCGTCCCATTTGCCCTGCCAAGCCTCGAAGAGATTCCTGAGGTGTCACTCGTTACTAGACAAGAGTCCTGACGTCACTGAAGAAACTCGTGTTCTGAAGGGCCAGCCCCGCCGTAAGTCGAGAACATACCCCAGGTCCCCGCCGCAACTCGAGAAAAACCATGAGACTTCCCCCTAGAGGCGAGATGAGGCCCCATTCCCCTGCAGTGCATGCAGAGATATTCCGTGATCCCATTCAAACAAGTCAGGAGCTTCGACTTGCTTAATGGGTCTCGAGACAGTCCCCAAGAACACTGTCACCAGTCTAGACGGACCCTGAGGTCACCCCAGCAACGCAAAGCAGCTCCATGTGCCCCAAATCAACTCGAGATGGGGCCCGATTCCCCTGCATTGACTCCAGAGCCATTCCTCGTTCCCCATTCAACACGAACGGTGGCTCGACTTCCTTCAGGAAACTCCAGAGATGCCCCAAGAACACTGTCCCAAGTCGAGAGGAACAACAACTTCAGCACAGCAACTCGAGGAATGCTCCGTGTACCCCAAATCGTCTCGAGATGAGAGCTGATTCCCTGGCTTAGGCTCAAGACGTATGCCAACTTTCCAGAAGCACCTCAGGAGGAGGCTTCTCTCAGCAATAGGTATGTGGGAGGGACCCCGAGTTTGCTGCCTCAAGGGGAATATACAGCGAGAAGCCCTAACTTGAAAGGAGGCCAGATTTCCTTGCAGGGGCTTGAATACAGGCTCGTCTTTCATCTCACAACATGAAGGGATGTCTGAATCCCCTGTGGAGACCTTAGAGAAAGCCCTAGGTCCCTGCCTCATTTTGACGGAATGCCTCACATCCCGCTGACACCTAGAGAGGCACGCGGAGTTCATTGCTTCAAAAGGTGACGATGCTTGACTCCTCTTGAATACCGATAGGAATCCCAAAATCCCTGTGGCTACTGGAAAGTGTCCTTGGGTGCCCTGCCTCACCTCGAGAAGCGTCCCTTTTGCCCTGCGAAGCCTCGAAGAGATTCCTGAGGTGTCCCTCGTTACTAGACAGGAGTCCTGACGTCAATGAAGAAACTCGTGTTCTGAAGGGCCATCCCCGCCGTAAGTCGAGAACATACCCCAGGTCCCCGCCGCAACTCGAGAAAAACCATGAGACTTCCCCCTAGAGGCGAGATGAGGCCCCATTCCCCTGCAGTGCATGCAGAGCTATTCCGTGATCCCATTCAAACAAGTCAGGAGCTTCGACTTGCTTAATGGGTCTCGAGACAGTCACCAAGAACACTGTCACCAGTCTAGACGGACCCTGAGGTCACCCCAGCAACGCAAAGCAGCTCCATGTGCCCCAAATCAACTCGAGATGAGGCCCGATTCCCCTGCATTGACTCCAGAGCCATTCCCCGTTCCCCATTCAACACGCCCGGTGGCTCGACTTCCTTCAGGCAACTCCAGAGATGCCCCGAGAACACTGTTCCAAGTCTAGAGGAACACCAACTTCAGCACAGCAACCCTAGGAATCCTCCGTGTACCCCAAATCGTCTGGAAATGAAAGCTGATTCCCTGGCTTAGGCTCAAGACGTATGCCAACTTTCCAGAAGCACCTCAGGAGGAGGCTTCTCTCAGCAATAGGTATGTGGGAGGGACCCCGAGTTTGCTGCCTCAAGGGGAATATACAGCGAGAAGCCCTAACTTGAAAGGAGGCCGGATTTCCTTGCAGGAGCTTGAATACAGGCTCGTCTTTCATCTCACAAAATGAAGGGATGTCTGAATCCCCTGTGGAGACCTTAGAGAAAGCCCTAGGTCCCTGCCTCATTTTGACGGAATGCCTCACATCCCGCTGACACCTCGAGAGGCACGCGGAGTTCATTGCTTCAAAAGGTGACGATGCCTGACTCCTCTTGAATACTGATAGGAATCCCAAAATCCCTGTGGCTACTGGAAAGGGTCCTTGGGTGCCCTGCCTCACCTCGAGAAGCGTCCCTTTTGCCCTGCCAAGCCTCGAAGAGATTCCTGAGGTGTCCCTCGTTACTAGACAGGAGTCCTGACGTCACTGAAGAAACTCGTGTTTTGAAGGGCCATCCCCGCCGTAAGTTGAGAACATACCCCAGGTCCCCGCCGCAACTCGAGAAAAACCATGAGACTTCCCCCTAGAGGCGAGATGAGGCCCCATTCCCCTGCAGTGCATGCAGAGCTATTCCGTGATCCCATTCAAACAAGTCAGGAGCTTCGACTTGCTTAATGGATCTCGAGACAGTCCCCAAGAACACTGTCACCAGTCCAGACGGATCCTGAGGTCACCCCAGCACCGCAAAGCAGCTCCATGTGCCCCAAATCAACTCGAGATGAGGCCCGATTCCCCTGCATTGACTCCAGAGCCATTCCCCGTTCCCCATTCAACACGACCTGTGGCTCGACTTCCATCAGGCAACTCCAGAGATGCCCCGAGAACACTGTCCCAAGTCTAGAGGAACACCAACTTCAGCACAGCAACTCGAGGAATGCTCCCTGTACCCCAAATCGTCTCGAGATGAGAGCTGATTCCCTCGCTTAGGCTCAAGACGTATGCCAACTTTCCAGAAGCACCTCAGGAGGAGGCTTCTCTCAGCAATAGGTATGTGGGAGGGACCCCGAGTTTGCTGCCTCAAGGGGAATATACAGCGAGAAGCCCTAACTTGAAAGGAGGCCAGATTTCCTTGCAGTGGCTTGAATACAGGCTCGTCTTTCATCTCACAACATGAAGGGATGTCTGAATCCCCTGTGGAGACCTTACAGAAAGCCCTAGGTCCCTGCCTCATTTTTACGGAATGCCTCACATCCCGCTGACACCTCGAGAGGCACGCGGAGTTCATTGATTTAAAAGGTGACGATGCCTGACTCCTCTTGAATGCTGATAGGAATCCCAAAATCCCTGTGGCTACTGGAAAGGGTCCTTGGGTGCCCTGCCTCACCTCGAGAAGCGTCCCATTTGCCCTGCCAAGCCTCGAAGAGATTCCTGAGGTGTCACTCGTTACTAGACAAGAGTCCTGACGTCACTGAAGAAACTCGTGTTCTGAAGGGCCAGCCCCGCCGTAAGTCGAGAACATACCCCAGGTCCCCGCCGCAACTCGAGAAAAACCATGAGACTTCCCCCTAGAGGCGAGATGAGGCCCCATTCCCCTGCAGTGCATGCAGAGATATTCCGTGATCCCATTCAAACAAGTCAGGAGCTTCGACTTGCTTAATGGGTCTCGAGACAGTCCCCAAGAACACTGTCACCAGTCTAGACGGACCCTGAGGTCACCCCAGCACCGCAAAGCAGCTCCATGTGCCCCAAATCAACTCGAGATGAGGCCCGTTTCCCCTGCATTGACTCCAGAGCCATTCCCCGTTCCCAATTCAACACGACCGGTGGCTCGACTTCCTTCAGGCAACTCCAGAGATGCCCTGAGAACACTGTCCCAAGTCTAGAGGAACACCAACTTCAGCACAGCAACTCGAGGAATGCTCCGTGTACCCCAAATCGTCTCGAGATGAGAGCTGATACCCTGGCTTAGGCTCAAGACGTATGCCAACTCCCCAGAAGCACCTCAGGAGGAGGCACTCTCAGCAATAGGTATGTGGGAGGGACCCCGAGTTTGCTGCCTCAAGGGGAATATACAGCGAGAAGCCCTAACTTGAAAGGAGGCCGGATTTCCTTGCAGTGGCTTGAATACAGGCTCGTCTTTCATCTCACAACATGAAGGGATGTCTCAATTCCCTGAGGAGACCTTAGAGAAAGCCCTAGGTCCCTGCCTCATTTTGACGGAATGCCTCACATCCCGCTGACACCTCGACAGGCACGCGGAGTTAATTGCTTCAAAAATGACGATGCCTGACTCCTCTTGAATACTGATAGGAATCCCAAAATCCCTGTGGCTACTGGAAAGGGTCCTTGGGTGCCCTGCCTCACCTCGAGAAGCATCCCTTTTGCCCTGGCAAGCCTCGAAGAGATTCCTGAGGTGTCCCTCGTTACTAGACAGGAGTCCTGACGTCACTGAAGAAACTCGTGTTTTGAAGGGCAATCCCCGCCGTAAGTCGAGAACATACCCAAGGTCCCCGCCGCAACTCGAGAAAAACCATGAGACTTCCCCCTACAGGCGAGATGAGGCCCCATTCCCCTGCAGTGCATGCAGAGCTATTCCGTGATCCCATTCAAACAAGTCAGGAGCTTCGACTTGCTTAATGGATCTCGAGACAGTCCCCAAGAACACTGTCACCAGTCTAGACGGACCCTGAGGTCACCCCAGCAACGCAAAGCAGCTCCATGTGCCCCAAATCAACTCGAGATGGGGCCCGATTCCCCTGCATTGACTCCAGAGCCATTCCTCGTTCCCCATTCAACACGAACGGTGGCTCGACTTCCTTCAGGAAACTCCAGAGATGCCCCAAGAACACTGTCCCAAGTCGAGAGGAACAACAACTTCAGCACAGCAACTCGAGGAATGCTCCGTGTACCCCAAATCGTCTCGAGATGAGAGCTGATTCCCTGGCTTAGGCTCAAGACGTATGCCAACTTTCCAGAAGCACCTCAGGAGGAGGCTTCTCTCAGCAATAGGTATGTGAGAGGGACCCCGAGTTTGCTGCCTCAAGGGGAATATACAGCGAGAAGCCCTAACTTGAAAGGAGGCCAGATTTCCTTGCAGGGGCTTGAATACAGGCTCGTCTTTCATCTCACAACATGAAGGGATGTCTGAATCCCCTGTGGAGACCTTAGAGAAAGCCCTAGGTCCCTGCCTCATTTTGACGGAATGCCTCACATCCCGCTGACACCTAGAGAGGCACGCGGAGTTCATTGCTTCAAAAGGTGACGATGCTTGACTCCTCTTGAATACCGATAGGAATCCCAAAATCCCTGTGGCTACTGGAAAGGGTCCTTGGGTGCCCTGCCTCACCTCGAGAAGCGTCCCTTTTGCCCTGCGAAGCCTCGAAGAGATTCCTGAGGTGTCCCTCGTTACTAGACAGGAGTCCTGACGTCACTGAAGAAACTCGTGTTCTGAAGGGCCATCCCCGCCGTAAGTCGAGAACATACCCCAGGTCCCCGCCGCAACTCGAGAAAAACCATGAGACTTCCCCCTAGAGGCGAGATGAGGCCCCATTCCCCTGCAGTGCATGCAGAGCTATTCCGTGATCCCATTCAAACAAGTCAGGAGCTTCGACTTGCTTAATGGGTCTCGAGACAGTCACCAAGAACACTGTCACCAGTCTAGACGGACCCTGAGGTCACCCCAGCAACGCAAAGCAGCTCCATGTGCCCCAAATCAACTCGAGATGAGGCCCGATTCCCCTGCATTGACTCCAGAGCCATTCCCCGTTCCCCATTCAACACGCCCGGTGGCTCGACTTCCTTCAGGCAACTCCAGAGATGCCCCGAGAACACTGTTCCAAGTCTAGAGGAACACCAACTTCAGCACAGCAACCCTAGGAATCCTCCGTGTACCCCAAATCGTCTGGAAATGAAAGCTGATTCCCTGGCTTAGGCTCAAGACGTATGCCAACTTTCCAGAAGCACCTCAGGAGGAGGCTTCTCTCAGCAATAGGTATGTGGGAGGGACCCCGAGTTTGCTGCCTCAAGGGGAATATACCGGGAGAAGCCCTAACTTGAAAGGAGGCCGGATTTCCTTGCAGGAGCTTGAATACAGGCTCGTCTTTCATCTCACAAAATGAAGGGATGTCTGAATCCCCTGTGGAGACCTTAGAGAAAGCCCTAGGTCCCTGCCTCATTTTGACGGAATGCCTCACATCCCGCTGACACCTCGAGAGGCACGCGGAGTTCATTGCTTCAAAAGGTGACGATGCCTGACTCCTCTTGAATACTGATAGGAATCCCAAAATCCCTGTGGCTACTGGAAAGGGTCCTTTGGTGCCTGCCTCACCTCGAGAAGCGTCCCTTTTGCCCTGCCAAGCCTCGAAGAGATTTCTGAGGTGTCCCTCGTTACTAGACAGGAGTCCTGACGTCACTGAAGAAACTCGTGTTTTGAAGGGCCATCCCCGCCGTAAGTCGAGAACATACCCCAGGTCCCCGCCGCAACTCGAGAAAAACAATGAGACTTACCCCTAGAGGCGAGATGAGGCCCCATTCCCCTGCAGTGCATGCAGAGCTATTCCGTGATCCCATTCAAACAAGTCAGGAGCTTCGACTTGCTTAATGGATCTCGAGACAGAACCCAAGAACACTGTCACCAGTCTAGACGGACCCTGAGGTCACCCCAGCAACGCAAAACAGCTCCATGTGCCCCAGATCAACTCGAGATGAGGCCCGATTCCCCTGCATTGACTCCAGAGCCATTCCCCGTTCCCCATTCAACACGACCGGTGGCTCGACTTCCTTCAGGCAACTCCAGAGATGCCCCGAGAACACTGTCCCAAGTCTAGAGGAACACCAACTTCAGCACAGCAACTCGAGGAATGCTCCGTGTACCCCAAATCGTCTCGACATGAGAGCTGATTCCCTGGCTTAGGCTCTAGACGTATGCCAACTTTCCAGAAGCACCTCAGGAGGAGGCTTCTCTCAGCAATAGGTATGTGGGAGGGACCCCGAGTTTGCTGCCTCAAGGGGAATATACAGCGAGAAGCCCTAACTTGAAAGGAGGCCGGATTTCCTTGCAGTGGCTTGAATACAGGCTCGTCTTTCAACTCACAACATGAAGGGATGTCTGAATCCCCTGTGGAGACCTTAGAGAAAGCCCTAGGTCCCTGCCTCATTTTGACGGAATGCCTCACATCCCGCTGACACCTCGAGAGGCACGCGTAGTTCATTGCTTCAAAAGGTGACGATGCCTGACTCCTCTGCAATACTGATAGGAATCCCAAAATCCCCGTGGCTACTGGAAAGGGTCCTTGGGTGCCCTGCCCCACCTCGAGAAGCGTCCCTTTTGCCCTGCCAAGCCTTGAAGAGATTCCTGAGGTGTCCCTCGTTACTAGACAGGAGTCCTGACGTCACTGAAGAAACTCGTGGTTTGAAGGGCCATCCCCGCCGTAAGTCAAGAACATACCCCATTTCCCTGCCGCAACTCGAGAAAAACCATGAGACTTCCCCCTAGAGGCGAGATGAGGCCCCATTCCCTTGCAGTGCATGCAGAGCTATTCCGTGATCCCATTCAAACAAGTCAGGAGCTTTGACTTGCTTAATGGATCTCGAGACAGTCCCCAAGAACACTGTCACCAGTCTAGACGGACCCTGAGGTCACCCCAGCAACGCAAAGCAGCTCCATGTGCCCCAAATCAACTCAAGATGAGGCCCGATTCCCCTGCATTGACTCCAGAGCCATTCCTCGTTCCCCATTCAACACGACCGGTGGCTCGACTTCCTTCAGGCAACTCCAGAGATGCCCCGAGAACACTGTCCCTAGTCTAGATGATCACCAACTTCAGCACAGCAACTCGAGGAATGCTCGGTGTACCCCAAATCGTCTCGAGATGAGAGCTGATTCCCTGGCTTAGGCTCAAGACGTATGCCAACTTCCCAGAAGCACCTCAGGAGGAGGCTTCTCTCAGCAATAGGTATGTGGGAGGGACCCTGAGTTTGCTGCCTCAAGGGGAATATACAGCGAGAAGCCCTAACTTGAAAGGAGTCCGAATTTCCTTGCAGTGGCTTGAATACAGGCTCGTCTTTCATCTCACAACATGAAGGGATGTCTGAATCCCCTGTGGAGACCTTAGAGAAAGCCCTAGATCCCTGCCTCATTTTGACGGAATGCCTCACATCCCGCTGACACCTCGAGAGGCACGCGGAGTTAATTGCTTCAAAAATGACGATGCCTGACTCCTCTTGAATACTGATAGGAATCCCAAAATCCTTGTGGCTACTGGAAAGGGTCCTTGTGTGCCCTGCCTCACCTCGAGAAGCATCCCTTTTGCCCTGGCAAGCCTCGAAGAGATTCCTGAGGTGTCCCTCGTTACTAGACAGGAGTCCTGACGTCACTGAAGAAACTCGTGTTTTGAAGGGCCATCCCCGCCGTAAGTCGAGAACATACCCCAGGTCCCCGCCGCAACTCGAGAAAAACCATGAGACTTCCCCCTAGAGGCGAGATGAGGCCCCATTCCCCTGCAGTGCATGCAGAGCTATTCCGTGATCCCATTCAAACAAGTCAGGATCTTCGACTTGCTTAATGGATCTCGAGACAGTCCCCAAGAACACTGTCACCAGTCTAGACGGACCCTGAGGTCACCCCAGCAACGCAAAGCAGCTCCATGTGCCCCAAATCAACTAGAGATGGGGCCCGATTCCCCTGTATTGACTCCAGAGCCATACCCCGTTCCCCATTCAACACGACCGGTGGCTCGACTTCCTTCAGGAAACTCCAGAGATGCCCCGAGAACACTGTCCCAAGTCTAGAGGAACACCAACTTCAGCACAGCAACTCGAAGAATGCTCCGTGTACCCCAAATCGTCTCGAGATGAGAGCTGATTCCCTGGCTTAGGCTCAAGACGTATGCCAACTTTCCAGAAGCACCTCAGGAGGAGGCTTCTCTCAGCAATAGGTATGTGGGAGGGACCCCGAGTTTGCTGCCTCAAGGGGAATATACAGCGAGAAGCCCTAACTTGAAAGGAGGCCGGATTTCCTTGCAGGGGCTTGAATAGAGGCTCGTCTTTCATCTCACAACATGAAGGGATGTCTGAATCCCCTGTGGAGACTTTAGAGAAAGCCCTAGGTCCCTGCCTCATTTTGACGGAATGCCTCACATCCCGCTGACACCTCGAGAGGCACGCGGAGTTCATTGCTTCAAAAGCTGACGATGCCTGACTCCTCTTGAATACTGATAGGAATCCCAAAATCCCTGTGGCTACTGGAAAGGGTCCTTTGGTGCCCTGCCTCACCTCGAGAAGCGTCCCTTTTGCCCTGCCAAGCCTCGAAGAGATTCCTGAGGTGTCCCTCGTTACTAGACAGCAGTCCTGATGTCACTGAAGAAACTCGTGTTTTGAAGGGCCATCCCCGCCGTAAGTCGAGGACATAGCCCAGGTCCCCATCGCAAGTCGAGAAAAACCATGAGACTTCCCCCTAGAGGGGAGATGAGGCCCCATTCCCCTGCAATGCATGCAGAGCTATTCCGTGATCCCATTCAAACAAGTCAGGAGCTTCGACTTGCTTAATGGATCTCCAGACAGTCCCCAAGAACACTGTCACCAGTCTAGACGGACCATGAGGTCACCCCAGCAACGCAAAGCAGCTCCATGTGCGCCAAATCAACTCGAGATGAGGCCCGATTCCGCTGCATTGACTCCAGAGCCATTCCCCGTACCCCATTCAACACGACCGGTGGCTCGACTTCCTTCAGCAACTCCAGAGATGCCCCGAGAATACTGTCCCAAGTCTAGAGGAACAACAACTTCAGCACAGCAACTCGAGGAATGATACGTGTACCCCAAATCGTCTCGAGATGAGAGCTGATTCCCTGGCTTAGGCTCAAGACGTATGCCAACTTTCCAGAAGCACCTCAGGAGGAGGCTTCTCTCAGCAATAGGTATGTGGGAGGGACACTGAGTCTGCTGCCTCAAGGGGAATATACAGCGAGAAGCCCTAACTTGAAACGAGGCCAGATTTCCTTGCAGTGGCTTGAATACAGGCTCGTCTTTCATCTCAAAACATGAAGGGATGTCTGAATCCTCTGTGGAGACCTTAGAGAAAGCCCTAGGTCCCTGCCCCATTTTTACGGAATGCCTCACATCCCGCTGACACCTCGAGAGGCACGCGGAGTTCATTGCTTCAAAAGGTGACGATGCCTGACTCCTCTGGAATACTGATAGGAATCCCAAAATCCCTGTGGCTACTGGAAAGGGTACTTGGGTGCCCTGCCTCACGTCGAGAAGCGTCCCTTTTGCCCTGCCAAGCCTCGAAGAGATTCCTGAGGTGTCCCTCATTAGTAGACAGGAGTCCTGACGACACTGAAGAAACTCGTGTTTTGAAGGGCCATCCCCGCCGTAAGTCGAGAACATACCCCAGGTCCCCGCCGCAACTCGAGAAAAACCATGAGACTTCCCCTAGATGCGAGATGAGGCCCCATTCCCCTGCAGTGCATGCAGAGCTATTCCGTGATCCCATTCAAACAAGTCAGGAGCTTCGACTTGCTTAATGGATCTCGAGACAGTCCCCAAGAACACTGTCACCACTCCAGACGGACCCTGAGATCACCCCAGCAACGCAAAGCAGCTCCATGTGCCGCAAATCAACTCGACATGAGGCCCGATTCCCCTGCATTGACTCCAGAGCCATTCCCCGTTCCCCATTCAACACGACCGGTGGCTCGACTTCCTTCAGGCAACTCCAGAGATGCCCCGAGAACACTGTCCCAAGTCTAGAGGATCACCAACTTCAGCACAGCAACTCGAGGAATGCTCCGTGTACCCCAAATCGTCTCGAGATGAGAGCTGATTCCCTGGCTTAGGCTCAAGACGTATGCCAACTTCCCAGAAGCACCTCAGGAGGAGGCTTCTCTCAGCAATAGGTATGTGGGAGGGACCCTGAGTTTGCTGCCTCAAGGGGAATATACAGCGAGAAGCCCTAACTTGAAAGGAGTGCGAATTTCCTTGCAGTGGCTTGAATACAGGCTCGTCTTTCATCTCACAACATGAAGGGATGTCTGAATCCCCTGTGGAGACCTTAAAGAAAGCCCTAGGTCCCTGCCTCATTTTGACGGAATGCCTCACATCCCGCTGACACCTCGAGAGGCACGCGGAGTTCATTGCTTCAAAAGCTGACGATGCCTGACTCCTCTTGAATACTGATAGGAATCCCAAAATCCTTGTGGCTACTGGAAAGGGTCATTGGGTGACCTGCCTCACCTCGAGAAGCATCCCTTTTGCCCTGGCAAGCCTCGAAGAGATTCCTGAGGTGTCCCTCGTTACTAGACAGGAGTCCTGACGACACTGAAGAAACTCGTGTTTTGAAGGGCCATCCCCGCCGTAAGTCGAGAACATACCCCAGGTCCCCGCCGCAACTCGAGAAAAACCATGAGACTTCCCCCTAGAGGCGAGATGAGGCCCCATTCCCCTGCAGTGCATGCAGAGCTATTCCGTGATCCCATTCAAACAAGTCAGGAGCTTCGACTTGCTTAATGGATCTCGAGAGAGTCCCCAAGAACACTGTCACCAGTCTAGACGGACCCTGAGGTCACCCCAGCAACGCAAAGCAGCTCCATGTGCCCCAAATCAACTCGAGATGGGGCCCGATTCCCCTGTATTGACTCCAGAGCCATACCCCGTTCCCCATTCAACACGACCGGTGACTCGACTTCCTTCAGGCAACTCCAGAGATGCCCCGAGAACACTGTCCCAAGTCTAGAGGAACACCAACTTCAGCACAGCAACTCGAGGAATGCTCCGTGTACCCCAAATCGTCTCGAGATGAGAGCTGATTCCCTGGCTTAGGCTCAAGACGTATGCCAACTTTCCAGAAGCAGCTCAGGAGGAGGCTTCTCTCAGCAATAGGTATGTGGGCGGGACCCCGAGTTTGCTGCCTCAATGGGAATATACCGCGAGAAGCCCTAACTTGAAAGGAGTGCGAATTTCCTTGCAGGGGCTTGAATACAGGCTCGTCTTTCATCTCACAACATGAAGGGATGTCTGAATCCCCTGTGGAGACTTTAGAGAAAGCCCTAGATCCCTGCCTCATTTTGACGGAATGCCTCACATCCCGCTGACACCTCGAGAGGCACGCGGAGTTCATTGCTTCAAAAGCTGACGATGCCTGACTCCTCTTGAATACTGATAGGAATCCCAAAATCCCTGTGGCTACTGGAAAGGGTCCTTGGGTGACCTGCCTCACCTCGAGAAGCGTCCCTTTTGCCCTGGCAAGCCTCGAGGAGATTCCTGAGATGTCCCTGGTTACTAGACAGCAGTCCTGACGTCACTGAAGAAACTCGTGTTTTGAAGGGCCATCCCCGCCGTAAGTCGAGGACATAGCCCAGGTCCCCGCTGCAACTCGAGAAAAACCATGAGACTTCCCCCTAGAGGCGAGATGAGGCCCCATTCCCCTGCAGTGCATGCAGAGCTATTCCGTGATCCCATTCAAACAAGTCAGGAGCTTCGACTTGCTTAATGGATCTCGAGACAGTCCCCAAGAACACTGTCACCAGTCTAGACGGACCCTGAGGTCACCCCAGCAACGCAAAGCAGCTCCATGTGCCCCAAATCAACTCGAGATGGGGCCCGATTCCCCTGTATTGACTCCAGAGCCATACCCCGTTCCCCATTCAACACGACCGGTGGCTCGACTTCCTTCAGGAAACTCCAGAGATGCCCCGAGAACACTGTCCCAAGTCTAGAGAAACACCAACTTCAGCACAGCAACTCGAGGAATGCTCCGTGTACCCCAAATCGTCTCGAGATGAGAGCTGATTCCCTGGCTTAGGCTCAAGACGTATGCCAACTTTCCAGAAGCACCTCAGGAGGAGGCTTCTCTCAGCAATAGGTATGTGGGAGGGACCCCGAGTTTGCTGCCTCAAGGGGAATATACCGCGAGAAGCCCTAACTTGAAAGGAGGCCGGATTTCCTTGCAGGGGCTTGAATAGAGGCTCGTCTTTCATCTCACAACATGAAGGGATGTCTGAATCTCCTGTGGAGACTTTAGAGAAAGCCCTAGGTCCCTGCCTCATTTTGACGGAATGCCTCACATCCCGCTGACACCTCGAGAGGCACGCGGAGTTCATTGCTTCAAAAGGTGACGATGCCTGACTCCTCTGGAATACTGATAGGAATCCCAAAATCCCTGTGGCTACTGGAAAGGGTCCTTGGGTACCCTGCCTGACCTCGAGAAGCGTCCCTTTTGCCCTGCCAAGCCTTGAAGAGATTCCTGAGGTGTCCCTCGTTACTAGACAGCAGTCCTGATGTCACTGAAGAAACTCGTGTTTTGAAGGGCCATCCCCGCCGTAAGTCGAGGACATAGCCCAGGTCCCCATCGCAAGTCGAGAAAAATCATGAGACTTCCCCCTAGAGGGGAGATGAGGCCCCATTCCCCTGCAATGCATGCAGAGCTATTCCGTGATCCCATTCAAACAAGTCAGGAGCTTCGACTTGCTTAATGGATCTCGAGACAGTCCCCAAGAACACTGTCACCAGTCTAGACGGACCCTGAGGTCACCCCAGCAACGCAAAGCAGCTCCATGTGCCCCAAATCAACTCGAGATGGGGCCCGATTCCCCTGTATTGACTCCAGAGCCATTCCTCGTTGCCCATTCAACACGACCGGTGGCTCGACTTCCTTCAGGAAACTCCAGAGATGCCCCGAGAACACTGTCCCAAGTCTAGAGGAACACCAACTTCAGCACAGCAACTCGAGGAATGCTCCGTGTACCCCAAATCATCTCGAGATGAGAGCTGATTCCCTGGCTTAGGCTCAAGACGTATGCCAACTCCCCAGAAGCACCTCAGGAGGAGGCTTCTCTCAGTAATAAGTATGTGGGAGGGACCCCGAGTTTGCTGCCTCAAGGGGAATATACAGCGAGAAGCCCTAACTTGAAAGGAGGCCGGATTTCCTTGCAGTGGCTTGAATACAGGCTCGTCTTTCATCTCACAACATGAAGGGATGTCTGAATGCCCTGTGGAGACCTTAGAGAAAGCCCTAGGTCCCTGCCTCATTTTTACGGAATGCCTCACATCCCGCTGACACCTCGAGAGATACGCGGAGTTCATTGCTTCAAAATGTGATGGTGCCTGACTCCTCTTGAATATTGATAGGAATCCCAAAATCCCTGTGGCTACTGGAAAGGGTCCTTTGGTGCCCTGCCTCACCTCGAGAAGCGTACCTTTTGCCCTGCCAAGCCTCAAAGAGATTCCTGACGTGTCCCTCGTTACTAGACAGGAGTCCTGACGTCACAGAAGAAACTCGTGTTTTGAAGGGCCATCCCCGCCGTAAGTCGAGAAGATACCCCAGGTCCCCGCCGCAACTCGAGAAAAACCATGAGACTTCCCCCTAGAGGCGAGATGAGGCCCCATTCCCCTGCAGTGCATGCAGAGCTATTCCGTGATCCCATTCAAACAAGTCAGGAGCTTCGACTTGCTTAATGGATCTCGAGACAGTCCCCAAGAACACTGTCACCAGTCCAGACGGACCCTGAGGTCACCCCAGCACCGCAAAGCAGCTCCATGTGCCCCAAATCAATTCGAGATGAGGCCCGATTCCCCTGCATTGACTCCAGAGCCATTCCCCGTTCCCCATTCAACACGACCGGTGGCTCGACTTCCTTCAGGCCACTCCAGAGATGCCCCGAGAACGCTGTCCCAAGTCTAGAGGAACACCAACTTCAGCACAGCAACTCGAGGAATGCTCCGTGTACCCCAAATCGTCTCGAGATGAGAGCTGATTCCCTGGCTTAGGCTCAAGACGTATGCCAACTCCCCAGAAGCACCTCAGGAGGAGGCTTCTCTCAGCAATAGGTATGTGGGAGGGACCCTGAGTTTGCTGCCTCAAGGGGAATATACAGCGAGAAGCCCTACCTTGAAAGGAGTCCGAATTTCCTTGCAGTGGCTTGAATACAGGCTCGTCTTTCATCTCACAACATGAAGGGATGTCTGAATCCCCTGTGGAGACCTTAGAGAAAGCTCTAGGTCCCTGCCTCATTTTGACGGAATGCCTCACATACCGCTGACACCTCGAGAGGCACGCGGAGTTAATTGCTTCAAAAATGACGATGCCTGACTACTCTTGAATACTGATAGGAATCCCAAAATCCCTGTGGCTACTGGAAAGGGTCCTTGGGTGCCCTGCCTCACCTCGAGAAGCATCCCTTTTGCCCTGGCAAGCCACGAAGAGATTCCTGAGGTGTCCCTCGTTACTAGACAGGAGTCCTGACGTCACTGAAGAAACTCGTGTTTTGAAGGGCCTTCCCCGCCGTAAGTCGAGAACATACCCCAGTTCCCCGCCGCAACTCGAGAAAAACCATGAGACTTCCCCCTAGAGGCGAGATGAGGCCCCATTCCCCTGCAGTGCATGCAGAGCTATTCCGTGATCCCATTCAAACAAGTCAGGAGCTTCGACTTGCTTAATGGATCTCGAGACAGTCCCCAAGAACACTGTCACCAGTCTAGACGGACCCTGAAGTCACCCCAGCAACGCAAAGCAGCTCCATGTGCCCCAAATCAACTCGAGATGGGGCCCGATTCCCCTGTATTGACTCCAGAGCCATTCCTCGTTCCCCATTCAACACGACCGGTAGCTCGACTTCCTTCAGGAAACTCCAGAGATGCCCCGAGAACACTGTCCCAAGTCTAGAGGAACACCAACTTCAGCACAGCAACTCGAGGAATGCTCCGTGTACCCCAAATCGTCTCGACATGAGAGCTGATTCCCTGGCTTAGGCTCAAGACGTATGCCAACTTTCCAGAAGCACCTCAGGAGGAGGCTTCTCTCAGCAATAGGTATGTGGGAGGGACCCCGAGTTTGCTGCCTCAAGGGGAATATACCGCGAGAAGCCCTAACTTGAAAGGAGGCCGGATTTCCTTGCAGGGGCTTGAATACAGGCTCGTCTTTCATCTCACAACATGCAGGGATGTCTGAATCCCCTGTGGAGACCTTAGAGAAAGCCCTCGGTCCCTGCCTCATTTTGACGGAATGCCTCACATCCCGCTGACACCTCGAGAGACAAGCGGAGTTCATTGCTTCAAAAGGTGACGATGCCTGACTCCTCTTGAATACTGATAGGAATCCCAAAATCCCTGTGGCTACTGGAAAGGGTCCTTGGGTGCCCTGCCTCACCTCGAGAAGCGTCCCATTTGCCCTGCCAAGCCTCGAAGAGATTCCTGAGGTGTCCCTCGTTACTAGACAGGAGTCCTGACGTCACTGAAGAAACTCGTGTTTTGAAGGGCCATCCCCGCCGTAAGTTGAGAACATACCTCAGGTCCCCGCCGCAACTCGAGAAAAACCATGAGACTTCCCCCTATAGGCGAGATGAGGCCCCATTCCCCTGCAGTGCATGCAGAGCTATTCCGTGATCCCATTCAAACAAGTCAGGAGCTTCGACTTGCTTAATGGATCTCGAGACAGTCCCCAAGAACACTGTCACCAGTCTAGACGGACCCTGAGGTCACCCCAGCAACGCAAAGCAGCTCCATGTGCCCCAAATCAACTCGAGATGAGGCCCGATTCCCCTGCATTGACTCCAGAGACATTCCCCGTTCCCCATTCAACACGACCGGTGGCTCGAATTCCTTCAGGGAACTCCAGAGATGCCCCGAGAACACTGTCCTAAGTCTAGAGGAACACCAACTTCAGCACAGCAACTCGAGGAATGCTCTGTATAACCCAAATCGTCTTGAGATGAGAGCTGATTCCCTGGCTTAGGCTCAAGACGTATGCCAACTCCCCAGAAGCACCTCAGGAGGAGGCTTCTCTCAGTAATAGGTTTGTGGGAGGGACCCCGAGTTTGCTGCCTCAAGGGGAATATACAGCGAGAAGCCCTAACTTGAAAGGAGGCCGGATTTCCTTGCAGTGGCTTGAATACAGGCTCGTCTTTCATCTCACAACATGAAGGGATGTCTGAATCCCCTGTGGAGACCTTAGAGAAAGCCCTCGATCCATGCCTCATTTTGACGGAATGCCTCACATCCCGCTGACACCTCGAGAGACACGCGGAGTTCATTGCTTCAAAAGGTGACGATGCCTGACTCCTCTTGAATACTGATAGGAATCCCAAAATCCCTGTGGCTACTGGAAAGGGTCCTTGGGTGCCCTGCCTCACATCGAGAAGCGTCCCATTTGCCCTGCCAAGCCTCGAAGAAATTCCTGACGTGTCCCTCGTTACTAGACAGGAGTCCTGACGTCACAGAAGAAACTCGTGTTTTGAAGGGCCATCCCCGCCGTAAGTCGAGGAGATACCCCAGGTCCCCGCCGCAACTCGAGAAAAACCATGAGACTTCCCCTAGAGGCGAGATGAGGCCCCATTCCCCTGCAGTGCATGCAGAGCTATTCCGTGATCCCATTCAAACAAGTCACGAGCTTCGACTTGCTTAATGGATCTCGAGACAGTCCCCAAGAACACTGTCACCAGTCTAGACGGACCCTGAGGTCACCCCAGCAACGCAAAGCAGCTCCATGTGCCCCAAATCAACTCGAGATGGGGCCCGATTCCCCTGTATTGACTCCAGAGCCATTCCTCGTTGCCCATTCAACACGACCGGTGGCTCGACTTCCTTCAGGAAACTCCAGAGATGCCCCGAGAACACTGTCCCAAGTCTAGGGGAACACCAACTTCAGCACAGCAACTCGAGGAATGCTCCGTGTACCCCAAATCGTCTCGAGATGAGAGCTGATTCCCTGGCTTAGGCTCAAGACGTATGCCAACTCCCCAGAAGCACCTCAGGAGGAGGCTTCTCTCAGTAATAAGTATGTGGGAGGGACCCCGAGTTTGCTGCCTCAAGGGGAATATACAGCGAGAAGCCCTAACTTGAAAGGAGGCCGGATTTCCTTGCAGTGGCTTGAATACAGGCTCGTCTTTCATCTCACAACATGAAGGGATGTCTGAATGCCCTGTGGAGACCTTAGAGAAAGCCCTAGGTCCCTGCCTCATTTTTACGGAATGCCTCACATCCCGCTGACACCTCGAGAGATACGCGGAGTTCATTGCTTCAAAATGTGATGATGCCTGACTCCTCTTGAATATTGATAGGAATCCCAAAATCACTGTGGCTACTGGAAAGGGTCCTTTGGTGCCCTGCCTCACCTCGAGAAGCGTACCTTTTGCCCTGCCAAGCCTCAAAGAGATTCCTGACGTGTCCCTCGTTACTAGACAGGAGTCCTGACGTCACAGAAGAAACTCTTGTTTTGAAGGGCCATCCCCGCCGTAAGTCGAGAAGATACCCCAGGTCCCCGCCGCAACTCGAGAAAAACCATGAGACTTCCCCCTAGAGGCGAGATGAGGCCCCATTCCCCTGCAGTGCATGCAGAGCTATTCCGTGATCCCATTCAAACAAGTCAGGAGCTTCGACTTGCTTAATGGATCTCGAGACAGTCCCCAAGAACACTGTCACCAGTCCAGACGGACCCTGAGGTCACCCCAGCACCGCAAAGCAGCTCCATGTGCCCCAAATCAACTCGAGATGAGGCCTGATTCCCCTGCATTGACTCCAGAGCCATTCCCCGTTCCCCATTCAACACGACCGGTGGCTCGACTTCCTTCAGGCCACTCCAGAGATGCCCTGAGAACGCTGTCCCAAGTCTAGAGGAACACCAACTTCAGCACAGCAACTCGAGGAATGCTCCGTGTACCCCAAATCGTCTCGAGATGAGAGCTGATTCCCTGGCTTAGGCTCAAGACGTATGCCAACTCCCCAGAAGCACCTCAGGAGGAGGCTTCTCTCAGCAATAGGTATGTGGGAGGGACCCTGAGTTTGCTGCCTCAAGGGGAATATACAGCGAGAAGCCCTACCTTGAAAGGAGTCCGAATTTCCTTGCAGTGGCTTGAATACAGGCTCGTCTTTCATCTCACAACATGAAGGGATGTCTGAATCCCCTGTGGAGACCTTAGAGAAAGCTCTAGGTCCCTGCCTCATTTTGACGGAATGCCTCACATACCGCTGACACCTCGAGAGGCACGCGGAGTTAATTGCTTCAAAAATGACGATGCCTGACTACTCTTGAATACTGATAGGAATCCCAAAATCCCTGTGGCTACTGGAAAGGGTCCTTGGGTGCCCTGCCTCACCTCGAGAAGCATCCCTTTTGCCCTGGCAAGCCACGAAGAGATTCCTGAGGTGTCCCTCGTTACTAGACAGGAGTCCTGACGTCACTGAAGAAACTCGTGTTTTGAAGGGCCTTCCCCGCCGTAAGTCGAGAACATACCCCAGTTCCCCGCCGCAACTCGAGAAAAACCATGAGACTTCCCCCTAGAGGCGAGATGAGGCCCCATTCCCCTGCAGTGCATGCAGAGCTATTCCGTGATCCCATTCAAACAAGTCAGGAGCTTCGACTTGCTTAATGGATCTCGAGACAGTCCCCAAGAACACTGTCACCAGTCTAGACGGACCCTGAGGTCACCCCAGCAACGCAAAGCAGCTCCATGTGCCCCAAATCAACTCGAGATGGGGCCCGATTCCCCTGTATTGACTCCAGAGCCATTCCTCGTTCCCCATTCAACACGACCGGTAGCTCGACTTCCTTCAGGAAACTCCAGAGATGCCCCGAGAACACTGTCCCAAGTCTAGAGGAACACCAACTTCAGCACAGCAACTCGAGGAATGCTCCGTGTACCCCAAATCGTCTCGACATGAGAGCTGATTCCCTGGCTTAGGCTCAAGACGTATGCCAACTTTCCAGAAGCACCTCAGGAGGAGGCTTCTCTCAGCAATAGGTATGTGGGAGGGACCCCGAGTTTGCTGCCTCAAGGGGAATATACCGCGAGAAGCCCTAACTTGAAAGGAGGCCGGATTTCCTTGCAGGGGCTTGAATACAGGCTCGTCTTTCATCTCACAACATGCAGGGATGTCTGAATCCCCTGTGGAGACCTTAGAGAAAGCCCTCGGTCCCTGCCTCATTTTGACGGAATGCCTCACATCCCGCTGACACCTCGAGAGACACGCGGAGTTCATTGCTTCAAAAGGTGACGATGCCTGACTCCTCTTGAATACTGATAGGAATCCCAAAATCCCTGTGGCTACTGGAAAGGGTACTTGGGTGCCCTGCCTCACCTCGAGAAGCGTCCCATTTGCCCTGCCAAGCCTCGAAGAGATTCCTGAGGTGTCCCTCGTTACTAGACAGGAGTCCTGACGTCACTGAAGAAACTCGTGTTTTGAAGGGCCATCCCCGCCGTAAGTTGAGAACATACCTCAGGTCCCCGCCGCAACTCGAGAAAAACCATGAGACTTCCCCCTAGAGGCGAGATGAGGCCCCATTCCCCTGCAGTGCATGCAGAGCTATTCCGTGATCCCATTCAAACAAGTCAGGAGCTTCGACTTGCTTAATGGATCTCGAGACAGTCCCCAAGAACACTGTCACCAGTCTAGACGGACCCTGAGGTCACCCCAGCAACGCAAAGCAGCTCCATGTGCCCCAAATCAACTCGAGATGAGGCCCGATTCCCCTGCATTGACTCCAGAGACATTCCCCGTTCCCCATTCAACACGACCGGTGGCTCGAATTCCTTCAGGGAACTCCAGAGATGCCCCGAGAACACTGTCCCAAGTCTAGAGGAACACCAACTTCAGCACAGCAACTCGAGGAATGCTCTGTATAACCCAAATCGTCTTGAGATGAGAGCTGATTCCCTGGCTTAGGCTCAAGACGTATGCCAACTCCCCAGAAGCACCTCAGGAGGAGGCTTCTCTCAGTAATAGGTTTGTGGGAGGGACCCCGAGTTTGCTGCCTCAAGGGGAATATACAGCGAGAAGCCCTAACTTGAAAGGAGGCCGGATTTCCTTGCAGTGGCTTGAATACAGGCTCGTCTTTCATCTCACAACATGAAGGGATGTCTGAATGCCCTGTGGAGACCTTAGAGAAAGCCCTAGGTCCCTGCCTCATTTTTACGGAATGCCTCACATCCCGCTGACACCTCGAGAGACACGCGGAGTTCATTGCTTCAAAATGTGACGATGCCTGACTCCTCTTGAATATTGATAGGAATCCCAAAATCCCTGTGGCTACTGGAAAGGGTCCTTTGGTGCCCTGCCTCACCTCGAGAAGCGTCCCTTTTGCCCTGCCAAGCCTCAAAGAGATTCCTGACGTGTCCCTCGTTACTAGACAGGAGTCCTGACGTCACAGAAGAAACTCGTGTTTTGAAGGGCCATCCCCGCCGTAAGTCGAGAAGATACCCCAGGTCCCCGCCGCAACTCGAGAAAAACCAGGAGACTTCCCCCTAGAGGCGAGATGAGGCCCCATTCCCCTGCAGTGCATGCAGAGCTATTCCGTGATCCCATTCAAACAAGTCAGGAGCTTCGACTTGCTTAATGGATCTCGAGACAGTCCCCAAGAACACTGTCACCAGTCCAGACGGACCCTGAGGTCACCCCAGCACCGCAAAGCAGCTCCATGTGCCCCAAATCAACTCGAGATGAGGCCCGATTCCCCTGCATTGACTCCAGAGCCATTCCCCGTTCCCCATTCAACACGACCGGTGGCTCGACTTCCTTCAGGCAACTCCAGACATGCCCCGAGAACACTGTCCCAAGTCTAGAGGAACACCAACTTCAGCACAGCAACTCGAGGAATGCTCCGTGTACCCCAAATCGTCTCGAGATGAGAGCTGATTCCCTGGCTTAGGCTCAAGACGTATGCCAACTTCCCAGAAGCACCTCAGGAGGAGGCTTCTCTCAGCAATAGGTATGTGGGAGGGACCCTGACTTTGCTGCCTCAAGGGGAATATACAGCGAGAAGCCCTACCTTGAAAGGAGTCCGAATTTCCTTGCAGTGGCTTGAATACAGGCTCGTCTTTCATCTCACAACATGAAGGGATGTCTGAATCCCCTGTGGAGACCTTAGAGAAAGCTCTAGGTCCCTGCCTCATTTTGACGGAATGCCTCACATACCGCTGACACCTCGAGAGGCACGCGGAGTTAATTGCTTCAAAAATGACGATGCCTGACTACTCTTGAATACTGATAGAAATCCCAAAATCCCTGTGGCTACTGGAAAGGGTCCTTGGGTGCCCTGCCTCACCTCGAGAAGCATCCCTTTTGCCCTGGCAAGCCACGAAGAGATTCCTGAGGTGTCCCTCGTTACTAGACAGGAGTCCTGACGTCACTGAAGAAACTCGTGTTTTGAAGGGCCTTCCCCGCCGTAAGTCGAGAACATACCCCAGTTCCCCGCCGCAACTCGAGAAAAACCATGAGACTTCCCCCTAGAGGCGAGATGAGGCCCCATTCCCCTGCAGTGCATGCAGAGCTATTCCGTGATCCCATTCAAACAAGTCAGGAGCTTCGACTTGCTTAATGGATCTCGAGACAGTCCCCAAGAACACTGTCACCAGTCTAGACGGACCCTGAAGTCACCCCAGCAACGCAAAGCAGCTCCATGTGCCCCAAATCAACTCGAGATGGGGCCCGATTCCCCTGTATTGACTCCAGAGCCATTCCTCGTTCCCCATTCAACACGACCGGTAGCTCGACTTCCTTCAGGAAACTCCAGAGATGCCCCGAGAACACTGTCCCAAGTCTAGAGGAACACCAACTTCAGCACAGCAACTCGAGGAATGCTCCGTGTACCCCAAATCGTCTCGACATGAGAGCTGATTCCCTGGCTTAGGCTCAAGACGTATGCCAACTTTCCAGAAGCACCTCAGGAGGAGGCTTCTCTCAGCAATAGGTATGTGGGAGGGACCCCGAGTTTGCTGCCTCAAGGGGAATATACCGCGAGAAGCCCTAACTTGAAAGGAGGCCGGATTTCCTTGCAGGGGCTTGAATACAGGCTCGTCTTTCATCTCACAACATACAGGGATGTCTGAATCCCCTGTGGAGACCTTAGAGAAAGCCCTCGGTCCCTGCCTCATTTTGACGGAATGCCTCACATCCCGCTGACACCTCGAGAGACAAGCGGAGTTCATTGCTTCAAAAGGTGACGATGCCTGACTCCTCTTGAATACTGATAGGAATCCCAAAATCCCTGTGGCTACTGGAAAGGGTCCTTGGGTGCCCTGCCTCACCTCGAGAAGCGTCCCATTTGCCCTGCCAAGCCTCGAAGAGATTCCTGAGGTGTCCCTCGTTACTAGACAGGAGTCCTGACGTCACTGAAGAAACTCGTGTTTTGAAGGGCCATCCCCGCCGTAAGTTGAGAACATACCTCAGGTCCCCGCCGCAACTCGAGAAAAACCATGAGACTTCCCCCTAGAGGCGAGATGAGGCCCCATTCCCCTGCAGTGCATGCAGAGCTATTCCGTGATCCCATTCAAACAAGTCAGGAGCTTCGACTTGCTTAATGGATCTCGAGACAGTCCCCAAGAACACTGTCACCAGTCTAGACGGACCCTGAGGTCACCCCAGCAACGCAAAGCAGCTCCATGTGCCCCAAATCAACTCGAGATGAGGCCCGATTCCCCTGCATTGACTCCAGAGACATTCCCCGTTCCCCATTCAACACGACCGGTGGCTCGAATTCCTTCAGGGAACTCCAGAGATGCCCCGAGAACACTGTCCCAAGTCTAGAGGAACACCAACTTCAGCACAGCAACTCGAGGAATGCTCTGTATAACCCAAATCGTCTTGAGATGAGAGCTGATTCCCTGGCTTAGGCTCAAGACGTATGCCAACTCCCCAGAAGCACCTCAGGAGGAGGCTTCTCTCAGTAATAGGTTTGTGGGAGGGACCCCGAGTTTGCTGCCTCAAGGGGAATATACAGCGAGAAGCCCTAACTTGAAAGGAGGCCGGATTTCCTTGCAGTGGCTTGAATACAGGCTCCTCTTTCATCTCACAACATGAAGGGATGTCTGAATGCCCTGTGGAGACCTTAGAGAAAGCCCTAGGTCCCTGCCTCATTTTTACGGAATGCCTCACATCCCGCTGACACCTCGAGAGACACGCGGAGTTCATTGCTTCAAAATGTGACGATGCCTGACTCCTCTTGAATATTGATAGGAATCCCAAAATCCCTTTGGTACTGGAAAGGGTCCTTTGGTGCCCTGCCTCACCTCGAGAAGCGTCCCTTTTGCCCTGCCAAGCCTCAAAGAGATTCCTGACGTGTCCCTCGTTACTAGACAGGAGTCCTGACGTCACAGAAGAAACTCGTGTTTTGAAGGGCCATCCCCGCCGTAAGTCGAGAAGATACCCCAGGTCCCCGCCGCAACTCGAGAAAAACCATGAGACTTCCCCCTAGAGGCGAGATGAGGCCCCATTCCCCTGCAGTGCATGCAGAGCTATTCCGTGATCCCATTCAAACAAGTCAGGAGCTTCGACTTGCTTAATGGATCTCGAGACAGTCCCCAAGAACACTGTCACCAGTCCAGACGGACCCTGAGGTCACCCCAGCACCGCAAAGCAGCTCCATGTGCCCCAAATCAACTCGAGATGAGGCCCGATTCCCCTGCATTGACTCCAGAGCCATTCCCCGTTCCCCATTCAACACGACCGGTGGCTCGACTTCCTTCAGGCAACTCCAGACATGCCCCGAGAACACTGTCCCAAGTCTAGAGGAACACCAACTTCAGCACAGCAACTCGAGGAATGCTCCGTGTACCCCAAATCTTCTCGAGATGAGAGCTGATTCCCTGGCTTAGGCTCAAGACGTATGCCAACTTTCCAGAAGCACCTCAGGAGGAGGCTTCTCTCAGCAATAGGTATGTGGGAGGGACCCCGAGTTTGCTGCCTCAAGGGGAATATACCGCGAGAAGCCCTAACTTGAAAGGAGGCCGGATTTCCTTGCAGGGGCTTGAATACAGGCTCGTCTTTCATCTCACAACATGCAGGGATGTCTGAATCCCCTGTGGAGACCTTAGAGAAAGCCCTCGGTCCCTGCCTCATTTTGACGGAATGCCTCACATCCCGCTGACACCTCGAGAGGCACGCGGAGTTCATTGCTTCAAAAGGTGACGATGCCTGACTCCTCTTGAATACTGATAGGAATCCCAAAATCCCTGTGGCTACTGGAAAGGGTCCTTGGGTGCCCTGCCTCACCTCGAGAAGCGTCCCATTTGCCCTGCCAAGCCTCGAAGAGATTCCTGAGGTGTCCCTCGTTACTAGACAGGAGTCCTGACGTCACTGAAGAAACTCGTGGTTTGAAGGGCCATCCCCGCCGTAAGTCAAGAACATACCCCATTTCCCTGCCGCAACTCGAGAAAAACCATGAGACTTCCCCCTAGAGGCGAGATGAGGCCCCATTCCCTTGCAGTGCATGCAGAGCTATTCCGTGATCCCATTCAAACAAGTCAGGAGCTTTGACTTGCTTAATGGATCTCGAGACAGTCCCCAAGAACACTGTCACCAGTCTAGACGGACCCTGAGGTCACCCCAGCAACGCAAAGCAGCTCCATGTGCCCCAAATCAACTCAAGATGAGGCCCGATTCCCCTGCATTGACTCCAGAGCCATTCCTCGTTCCCCATTCAACACGACCGGTGGCTCGACTTCCTTCAGGCAACTCCAGAGATGCCCCGAGAACACTGTCCCTAGTCTAGATGATCACCAACTTCAGCACAGCAACTCGAGGAATGCTCGGTGTACCCCAAATCGTCTCGAGATGAGAGCTGATTCCCTGGCTTAGGCTCAAGACGTATGCCAACTTCCCAGAAGCACCTCAGGAGGAGGCTTCTCTCAGCAATAGGTATGTGGGAGGGACCCTGAGTTTGCTGCCTCAAGGGGAATATACAGCGAGAAGCCCTAACTTGAAAGGAGTCCGAATTTCCTTGCAGTGGCTTGAATACAGGCTCGTCTTTCATCTCACAACATGAAGGGATGTCTGAATCCCCTGTGGAGACCTTAGAGAAAGCCCTAGATCCCTGCCTCATTTTGACGGAATGCCTCACATCCCGCTGACACCTCGAGAGGCACGCGGAGTTAATTGCTTCAAAAATGACGATGCCTGACTCCTCTTGAATACTGATAGGAATCCCAAAATCCTTGTGGCTACTGGAAAGGGTCCTTGTGTGCCCTGCCTCACCTCGAGAAGCATCCCTTTTGCCCTGGCAAGCCTCGAAGAGATTCCTGAGGTGTCCCTCGTTACTAGACAGGAGTCCTGACGTCACTGAAGAAACTCGTGTTTTGAAGGGCCATCCCCGCCGTAAGTCGAGAACATACCCCAGGTCCCCGCCGCAACTCGAGAAAAACCATGAGACTTCCCCCTAGAGGCGAGATGAGGCCCCATTCCCCTGCAGTGCATGCAGAGCTATTCCGTGATCCCATTCAAACAAGTCAGGATCTTCGACTTGCTTAATGGATCTCGAGACAGTCCCCAAGAACACTGTCACCAGTCTAGACGGACCCTGAGGTCACCCCAGCAACGCAAAGCAGCTCCATGTGCCCCAAATCAACTAGAGATGGGGCCCGATTCCCCTGTATTGACTCCAGAGCCATACCCCGTTCCCCATTCAACACGACCGGTGGCTCGACTTCCTTCAGGAAACTCCAGAGATGCCCCGAGAACACTGTCCCAAGTCTAGAGGAACACCAACTTCAGCACAGCAACTCGAAGAATGCTCCGTGTACCCCAAATCGTCTCGAGATGAGAGCTGATTCCCTGGCTTAGGCTCAAGACGTATGCCAACTTTCCAGAAGCACCTCAGGAGGAGGCTTCTCTCAGCAATAGGTATGTGGGAGTGACCCCGAGTTTGCTGCCTCAAGGGGAATATACAGCGAGAAGCCCTAACTTGAAAGGAGGCCGGATTTCCTTGCAGGGGCTTGAATAGAGGCTCGTCTTTCATCTCACAACATGAAGGGATGTCTGAATCCCCTGTGGAGACTTTAGAGAAAGCCCTAGGTCCCTGCCTCATTTTGACGGAATGCCTCACATCCCGCTGACACCTCGAGAGGCACGCGGAGTTCATTGCTTCAAAAGCTGACGATGCCTGACTCCTCTTGAATACTGATAGGAATCCCAAAATCCCTGTGGCTACTGGAAAGGGTCCTTTGGTGCCCTGCCTCACCTCGAGAAGCGTCCCTTTTGCCCTGCCAAGCCTCGAAGAGATTCCTGAGGTGTCCCTCGTTACTAGACAGCAGTCCTGATGTCACTGAAGAAACTCGTGTTTTGAAGGGCCATCCCCGCCGTAAGTCGAGGACATAGCCCAGGTCCCCATCGCAAGTCGAGAAAAACCATGAGACTTCCCCCTAGAGGGGAGATGAGGCCCCATTCCCCTGCAATGCATGCAGAGCTATTCCGTGATCCCATTCAAACAAGTCAGGAGCTTCGACTTGCTTAATGGATCTCCAGACAGTCCCCAAGAACACTGTCACCAGTCTAGACGGACCATGAGGTCACCCCAGCAACGCAAAGCAGCTCCATGTGCGCCAAATCAACTCGAGATGAGGCCCGATTCCGCTGCATTGACTCCAGAGCCATTCCCCGTACCCCATTCAACACGACCGGTGGCTCGACTTCCTTCAGCAACTCCAGAGATGCCCCGAGAATACTGTCCCAAGTCTAGAGGAACAACAACTTCAGCACAGCAACTCGAGGAATGATACGTGTACCCCAAATCGTCTCGAGATGAGAGCTGATTCCCTGGCTTAGGCTCAAGACGTATGCCAACTTTCCAGAAGCACCTCAGGAGGAGGCTTCTCTCAGCAATAGGTATGTGGGAGGGACACTGAGTCTGCTGCCTCAAGGGGAATATACAGCGAGAAGCCCTAACTTGAAACGAGGCCAGATTTCCTTGCAGTGGCTTGAATACAGGCTCGTCTTTCATCTCAAAACATGAAGGGATGTCTGAATCCTCTGTGGAGACCTTAGAGAAAGCCCTAGGTCCCTGCCCCATTTTTACGGAATGCCTCACATCCCGCTGACACCTCGAGAGGCACGCGGAGTTCATTGCTTCAAAAGGTGACGATGCCTGACTCCTCTGGAATACTGATAGGAATCCCAAAATCCCTGTGGCTACTGGAAAGGGTACTTGGGTGCCCTGCCTCACGTCGAGAAGCGTCCCTTTTGCCCTGCCAAGCCTCGAAGAGATTCCTGAGGTGTCCCTCATTAGTAGACAGGAGTCCTGACGACACTGAAGAAACTCGTGTTTTGAAGGGCCATCCCCGCCGTAAGTCGAGAACATACCCCAGGTCCCCGCCGCAACTCGAGAAAAACCATGAGACTTCCCCTAGATGCGAGATGAGGCCCCATTCCCCTGCAGTGCATGCAGAGCTATTCCGTGATCCCATTCAAACAAGTCAGGAGCTTCGACTTGCTTAATGGATCTCGAGACAGTCCCCAAGAACACTGTCACCAGTCCAGACGGACCCTGAGATCACCCCAGCAACGCAAAGCAGCTCCATGTGCCGCAAATCAACTCGACATGAGGCCCGATTCCCCTGCATTGACTCCAGAGCCATTCCCCGTTCCCCATTCAACACGACCGGTGGCTCGACTTCCTTCAGGCAACTCCAGAGATGCCCCGAGAACACTGTCCCAAGTCTAGAGGATCACCAACTTCAGCACAGCAACTCGAGGAATGCTCCGTGTACCCCAAATCGTCTCGAGATGAGAGCTGATTCCCTGGCTTAGGCTCAAGACGTATGCCAACTTCCCAGAAGCACCTCAGGAGGAGGCTTCTCTCAGCAATAGGTATGTGGGAGGGACCCTGAGTTTGCTGCCTCAAGGGGAATATACAGCGAGAAGCCCTAACTTGAAAGGAGTCCGAATTTCCTTGCAGTGGCTTGAATACAGGCTCGTCTTTCATCTCACAACATGAAGGGATGTCTGAATCCCCTGTGGAGACCTTAGAGAAAGGCCTAGGTCCCTGCCTCCTTTTGACGGAATGCCTCACATCCCGCTGACACCTCGAGAGGCACGCGGAGTTCATTGCTTCAAAAGGTGACGATGCCTGACTCCTCTGGAATACTGATAGGAATCCCAAAATCCCTGTGGCTACTGGAAAGGGTCCTTGGGTGCCCTGCCTCACCTCGAGAAGCGTCCCTTTTGCCCTGCCAAGCCTCGAAGAGATTCCTGAGGTGTCCCTCGTTACTAGACAGGAGTCCTGACGTCACTGAAGAAACTCGTGTTTTGAAGGGCCATCCCCGCCGTACGTCGAAAACATACCCCAGGTCCCCGCCGCAACTCGAGAAAAAACATGAGACTTCCCCCTAGAGGCGAGATGAGGCCCCATTCCCCTGCTTTGCATGCAGAGCTATTCCGTGATCCCATTCAAACAAGTCAGGAGGTTCGACTTGCTTAATGGATCTCGAGACAATCCCCAAGAACACTGTCACCAGTCCAGACGGACCCTGAGATCATCCCAGCACCGTAAAGCAGCTCCATGTGCGGCAAATCAACACGAGATGAGGCCCGATTCCCCTGCATTGACACCAGAGCCATTCCCCGTTCCCCATTCAACACGACCGGTGGCTCGACTTCCTTCAGGCAACTCCAGAGATGCCCCGAGAACACTGTCCCAAGTCTAGAGGATCACCAACTTCAGCACAGTAACTCGAGGAATGCTCCGTGTACCCCAAATCGTCTCGAGATGAGAGCTGATTCCCTGGCTTAGGCTCAAGACGTATGCCAACTTCCCAGAAGCACCTCAGGAGGAGGCTTCTCTCAGCAATAGGTATGTGGGAGGGACCCTGATTTTGCTGCCTCAAGGGGAATATACAGCGAGAAGACCTAACTTGAAAGGAGTCCGAATTTCCTTGCAGTGGCTTGAATACAGGCTCGTCTTTCATCTCACAACATGAAGGGATGTCTGAATCCCCTGTGGAGACCTTAGAGAAAGGCCTAGGTCCCTGCCTCATTTTGACGGAATGCCTCACATCCCGCTGACACCTCGAGAGACACGCGGGGTTCATTGCTTCAAAAGGTGACGATGCCTGACTCCTCTGCAATACTGATAGGAATCCCAAAATCCCTGTGGCTACTGGAAAGGGTCCTTGGGTGCCCTGCCTCACCTCGAGAAGCGTCCCTTTTGCCCTGCCAAGCCTCGAAGAGATTCCTGAGGTGTCCCTCGTTACTAGACAGGAGTCCTGACGACACTGAAGAAACTCGTGTTTTGAAGGGCCATCCCCGCCGTAAGTCGAAAACATACCCCAGGTCCCCGCCGCAACTCGAGAAAAACCATGAGACTTCCCCCTAGAGGCGAGATGAGGCCCCATTCCCCTGCAGTGCATGCAGAGCTATTCCGTGATCCCATTCAAACAAGTCAGGAGCTTCGACTTGCTTAATGGATCTCGAGACAGTCCCCAAGAACACTGTCACCAGTCCAGACGGACCCTGAGATCACCCCAGCACCGCAAAGCAGCTCCATGTGCCGCAAATCAACACGAGATGAGGCCCGATTCCCCTGCATTGACTCCAGAGCCATTCCCCGTTCCCCATTCAACACGACCGGTGGCTCGACTTCCTTCAGGCAACTCCAGAGATGCCCCGAGAACACTGTCCCAAGTCTAGAGGATCACCAACTTCAGCACAGCAACTCGAGGAATGCTCCGTGTACCCCAAATCGTCTCGAGATGAGAGCTGATTCCCTGGCTTAGGCTCAAGACGTATGCCAACTTCCCAGAAGCACCTCAGGAGGAGGCTTCTCTCAGCAATAGGTATGTGGGAGGGACCCTGAGTTTGCTGCCTCAAGGGGAATATACAGCGAGAAGCCCTAACTTGAAAGGAGTGCGAATTTCCTTGCAGTGGCTTGAATACAGGCTCGTCTTTCATCTCACAACATGAAGGGATGTCTGAATCCCCTGTGGAGACCTTAAAGAAAGCCCTAGGTCCCTGCCTCATTTTGACGGAATGCCTCACATCCCGCTGACACCTCGAGAGGCACGCGGAGTTCATTGCTTCAAAAGCTGACGATGCCTGACTCCTCTTGAATACTGATAGGAATCCCAAAATCCTTGTGGCTACTGGAAAGGGTCATTGGGTGACCTGCCTCACCTCGAGAAGCATCCCTTTTGCCCTGGCAAGCCTCGAAGAGATTCCTGAGGTGTCCCTCGTTACTAGACAGGAGTCCTGACGACACTGAAGAAACTCGTGTTTTGAAGGGCCATCCCCGCCGTAAGTCGAGAACATACCCCAGGTCCCCGCCGCAACTCGAGAAAAACCATGAGACTTCCCCCTAGAGGCGAGATGAGGCCCCATTCCCCTGCAGTGCATGCAGAGCTATTCCGTGATCCCATTCAAACAAGTCAGGAGCTTCGACTTGCTTAATGGATCTCGAGAGAGTCCCCAAGAACACTGTCACCAGTCTAGACGGACCCTGAGGTCACGCCAGCAACGCAAAGCAGCTCCATGTGCCCCAAATCAACTCGAGATGGGGCCCGATTCCCCTGTATTGACTCCAGAGCCATACCCCGTTCCCCATTCAACACGACCGGTGACTCGACTTCCTTCAGGCAACTCCAGAGATGCCCCGAGAACACTGTCCCAAGTCTAGAGGAACAACAACTTCAGCACAGCAACTCGAGGAATGCTCCGTGTACCCCAAATCGTCTCGAGATGAGAGCTGATTCCCTGGCTTAGGCTCAAGACGTATGCCAACTTTCCAGAAGCAGCTCAGGAGGAGGCTTCTCTCAGCAATAGGTATGTGGGCGGGACCCCGAGTTTGCTGCCTCAATGGGAATATACCGCGAGAAGCCCTAACTTGAAAGGAGTGCGAATTTCCTTGCAGGGGCTTGAATACAGGCTCGTCTTTCATCTCACAACATGAAGGGATGTCTGAATCCCCTGTGGAGACTTTAGAGAAAGCCCTAGATCCCTGCCTCATTTTGACGGAATGCCTCACATCCCGCTGACACCTCGAGAGGCACGCGGAGTTCATTGCTTCAAAAGCTGACGATGCCTGACTCCTCTTGAATACTGATAGGAATCCCAAAATCCCTGTGGCTACTGGAAAGGGTCCTTGGGTGACCTGCCTCACCTCGAGAAGCGTCCCTTTTGCCCTGGCAAGCCTCGAGGAGATTCCTGAGATGTCCCTGGTTACTAGACAGCAGTCCTGACGTCACTGAAGAAACTCGTGTTTTGAAGGGCCATCCCCGCCGTAAGTCGAGGACATAGCCCAGGTCCCCGCTGCAACTCGAGAAAAACCATGAGACTTCCCCCTAGAGGCGAGATGAGGCCCCATTCCCCTGCAGTGCATGCAGAGCTATTCCGTGATCCCATTCAAACAAGTCAGGAGCTTCGACTTGCTTAATGGATCTCGAGACAGTCCCCAAGAACACTGTCACCAGTCTAGACGGACCCTGAGGTCACCCCAGCAACGCAAAGCAGCTCCATGTGCCCCAAATCAACTCGAGATGGGGCCCGATTCCCCTGTATTGACTCCAGAGCCATACCCCGTTCCCCATTCAACACGACCGGTGGCTCGACTTCCTTCAGGAAACTCCAGAGATGCCCCGAGAACACTGTCCCAAGTCTAGAGAAACACCAACTTCAGCACAGCAACTCGAGGAATGCTCCGTGTACCCCAAATCGTCTCGAGATGAGAGCTGATTCCCTGGCTTAGGCTCAAGACGTATGCCAACTTTCCAGAAGCACCTCAGGAGGAGGCTTCTCTCAGCAATAGGTATGTGGGAGGGACCCCGAGTTTGCTGCCTCAAGGGGAATATACCGCGAGAAGCCCTAACTTGAAAGGAGGCCGGATTTCCTTGCAGGGGCTTGAATAGAGGCTCGTCTTTCATCTCACAACATGAAGGGATGTCTGAATCTCCTGTGGAGACTTTAGAGAAAGCCCTAGGTCCCTGCCTCATTTTGACGGAATGCCTCACATCCCGCTGACACCTCGAGAGGCACGCGGAGTTCATTGCTTCAAAAGGTGACGATGCCTGACTCCTCTGGAATACTGATAGGAATCCCAAAATCCCTGTGGCTACTGGAAAGGGTCCTTGGGTACCCTGCCTGACCTCGGGAAGCGTCCCTTTTGCCCTGCCAAGCCTTGAAGAGATTCCTGAGGTGTCCCTCGTTACTAGACAGCAGTCCTGATGTCACTGAAGAAACTCGTGTTTTGAAGGGCCATCCCCGCCGTAAGTCGAGGACATTGCCCAGGTCCCCATCGCAAGTCGAGAAAAATCATGAGACTTCCCCCTAGAGGGGAGATGAGGCCCCATTCCCCTGCAATGCATGCAGAGCTATTCCGTGATCCCATTCAAACAAGTCAGGAGCTTCGACTTGCTTAATGGATCTCGAGACAGTCCCCAAGAACACTGTCACCAGTCTAGACGGACCCTGAGGTCACCCCAGCAACGCAAAGCAGCTCCATGTGCCCCAAATCAACTCGAGATGGGGCCCGATTCCCCTGTATTGACTCCAGAGCCATTCCTCGTTGCCCATTCAACACGACCGGTGGCTCGACTTCCTTCAGGAAACTCCAGAGATGCCCCGAGAACACTGTCCCAAGTCTAGAGGAACACCAACTTCAGCACAGCAACTCGAGGAATGCTCCGTGTACCCCAAATCATCTCGAGATGAGAGCTGATTCCCTGGCTTAGGCTCAAGACGTATGCCAACTCCCCAGAAGCACCTCAGGAGGAGGCTTCTCTCAGTAATAAGTATGTGGGAGGGACCCCGAGTTTGCTGCCTCAAGGGGAATATACAGCGAGAAGCCCTAACTTGAAAGGAGGCCGGATTTCCTTGCAGTGGCTTGAATACAGGCTCGTCTTTCATCTCACAACATGAAGGGATGTCTGAATGCCCTGTGGAGACCTTAGAGAAAGCCCTAGGTCCCTGCCTCATTTTTACGGAATGCCTCACATCCCGCTGACACCTCGAGAGATACGCGGAGTTCATTGCTTCAAAATGTGATGGTGCCTGACTCCTCTTGAATATTGATAGGAATCCCAAAATCCCTGTGGCTACTGGAAAGGGTCCTTTGGTGCCCTGCCTCACCTCGAGAAGCGTACCTTTTGCCCTGCCAAGCCTCAAAGAGATTCCTGACGTGTCCCTCGTTACTAGACAGGAGTCCTGACGTCACAGAAGAAACTCGTGTTTTGAAGGGCCATCCCCGCCGTAAGTCGAGAAGATACCCCAGGTCCCCGCCGCAACTCGAGAAAAACCATGAGACTTCCCCCTAGAGGCGAGATGAGGCCCCATTCCCCTGCAGTGCATGCAGAGCTATTCCGTGATCCCATTCAAACAAGTCAGGAGCTTCGACTTGCTTAATGGATCTCGAGACAGTCCCCAAGAACACTGTCACCAGTCCAGACGGACCCTGAGGTCACCCCAGCACCGCAAAGCAGCTCCATGTGCCCCAAATCAACTCGAGATGAGGCCCGATTCCCCTGCATTGACTCCAGAGCCATTCCCCGTTCCCCATTCAACACGACCGGTGGCTCGACTTCCTTCAGGCCACTCCAGAGATGCCCCGAGAACGCTGTCCCAAGTCTAGAGGAACACCAACTTCAGCACAGCAACTCGAGGAATGCTCCGTGTACCCCAAATCGTCTCGAGATGAGAGCTGATTCCCTGGCTTAGGCTCAAGACGTATGCCAACTCCCCAGAAGCACCTCAGGAGGAGGCTTCTCTCAGCAATAGGTATGTGGGAGGGACCCTGAGTTTGCTGCCTCAAGGGGAATATACAGCGAGAAGCCCTACCTTGAAAGGAGTCCGAATTTCCTTGCAGTGGCTTGAATACAGGCTCGTCTTTCATCTCACAACATGAAGGGATGTCTGAATCCCCTGTGGAGACCTTAGAGAAAGCTCTAGGTCCCTGCCTCATTTTGACGGAATGCCTCACATACCGCTGACACCTCGAGAGGCACGCGGAGTTAATTGCTTCAAAAATGACGATGCCTGACTACTCTTGAATACTGATAGGAATCCCAAAATCCCTGTGGCTACTGGAAAGGGTCCTTGGGTGCCCTGCCTCACCTCGAGAAGCATCCCTTTTGCCCTGGCAAGCCACGAAGAGATTCCTGAGGTGTCCCTCGTTACTAGACAGGAGTCCTGACGTCACTGAAGAAACTCGTGTTTTGAAGGGCCTTCCCCGCCGTAAGTCGAGAACATACCCCAGTTCCCCGCCGCAACTCGAGAAAAACCATGAGACTTCCCCCTAGAGGCGAGATGAGGCCCCATTCCCCTGCAGTGCATGCAGAGCTATTCCGTGATCCCATTCAAACAAGTCAGGAGCTTCGACTTGCTTAATGGATCTCGAGACAGTCCCCAAGAACACTGTCACCAGTCTAGACGGACCCTGAAGTCACCCCAGCAACGCAAAGCAGCTCCATGTGCCCCAAATCAACTCGAGATGGGGCCCGATTCCCCTGTATTGACTCCAGAGCCATTCCTCGTTCCCCATTCAACACGACCGGTAGCTCGACTTCCTTCAGGAAACTCCAGAGATGCCCCGAGAACACTGTCCCAAGTCTAGAGGAACACCAACTTCAGCACAGCAACTCGAGGAATGCTCCGTGTACCCCAAATCGTCTCGACATGAGAGCTGATTCCCTGGCTTAGGCTCAAGACGTATGCCAACTTTCCAGAAGCACCTCAGGAGGAGGCTTCTCTCAGCAATAGGTATGTGGGAGGGACCCCGAGTTTGCTGCCTCAAGGGGAATATACCGCGAGAAGCCCTAACTTGAAAGGAGGCCGGATTTCCTTGCAGGGGCTTGAATACAGGCTCGTCTTTCATCTCACAACATGCAGGGATGTCTGAATCCCCTGTGGAGACCTTAGAGAAAGCCCTCGGTCCCTGCCTCATTTTGACGGAATGCCTCACATCCCGCTGACACCTCGAGAGACAAGCGGAGTTCATTGCTTCAAAAGGTGACGATGCCTGACTCCTCTTGAATACTGATAGGAATCCCAAAATCCCTGTGGCTACTGGAAAGGGTCCTTTGGTGCCCTGCCTCACCTCGAGAAGCGTCCCATTTGCCCTGCCAAGCCTCGAAGAGATTCCTGAGGTGTCCCTCGTTACTAGACAGGAGTCCTGACGTCACTGAAGAAACTCGTGTTTTGAAGGGCCATCCCCGCCGTAAGTTGAGAACATACCTCAGGTCCCCGCCGCAACTCGAGAAAAACCATGAGACTTCCCCCTATAGGCGAGATGAGGCCCCATTCCCCTGCAGTGCATGCAGAGCTATTCCGTGATCCCATTCAAACAAGTCAGGAGCTTCGACTTGCTTAATGGATCTCGAGACAGTCCCCAAGAACACTGTCACCAGTCTAGACGGACCCTGAGGTCACCCCAGCAACGCAAAGCAGCTCCATGTGCCCCAAATCAACTCGAGATGAGGCCCGATTCCCCTGCATTGACTCCAGAGACATTCCCCGTTCCCCATTCAACACGACCGGTGGCTCGAATTCCTTCAGGGAACTCCAGAGATGCCCCGAGAACACTGTCCTAAGTCTAGAGGAACACCAACTTCAGCACAGCAACTCGAGGAATGCTCTGTATAACCCAAATCGTCTTGAGATGAGAGCTGATTCCCTGGCTTAGGCTCAAGACGTATGCCAACTTCCCAGAAGCACCTCAGGAGGAGGCTTCTCTCAGTAATAGGTTTGTGGGAGGGACCCCGAGTTTGCTGCCTCAAGGGGAATATACAGCGAGAAGCCCTAACTTGAAAGGAGGCCGGATTTCCTTGCAGTGGCTTGAATACAGGCTCGTCTTTCATCTCACAACATGAAGGGATGTCTGAATCCCCTGTGGAGACCTTAGAGAAAGCCCTCGATCCATGCCTCATTTTGACGGAATGCCTCACATCCCTCTGACACCTCGAGAGACACGCGGAGTTCATTGCTTCAAAAGGTGACGATGCCTGACTCCTCTTGAATACTGATAGGAATCCCAAAATCCCTGTGGCTACTGGAAAGGGTCCTTGGGTGCCCTGCCTCACCTCGAGAAGCGTCCCATTTGCCCTGCCAAGCCTCGAAGAGATTCCTGAGGTGTCCCTCGTTACTAGACAGGAGTCCTGACGTCACTGAAGAAACTCTTGTTTTGAAGGGCCATCCCCGCCGTAAGTCGAGAAGATACCCCAGGTCCCCGCCGCAACTCGAGAAAAACCATGAGACTTCCCCCTAGAGGCGAGATGAGGCCCCATTCCCCTGCAGTGCATGCAGAGCTATTCCGTGATCCCATTCAAACAAGTCAGGAGCTTCGACTTGCTTAATGGATCTCGAGACAGTCCCCAAGAACACTGTCACCAGTCCAGACGGACCCTGAGGTCACCCCAGCACCGCAAAGCAGCTCCATGTGCCCCAAATCAACTCGAGATGAGGCCTGATTCCCCTGCATTGACTCCAGAGCCATTCCCCGTTCCCCATTCAACACGACCGGTGGCTCGACTTCCTTCAGGCCACTCCAGAGATGCCCTGAGAACGCTGTCCCAAGTCTAGAGGAACACCAACTTCAGCACAGCAACTCGAGGAATGCTCCGTGTACCCCAAATCGTCTCGAGATGAGAGCTGATTCCCTGGCTTAGGCTCAAGACGTATGCCAACTCCCCAGAAGCACCTCAGGAGGAGGCTTCTCTCAGCAATAGGTATGTGGGAGGGACCCTGAGTTTGCTGCCTCAAGGGGAATATACAGCGAGAAGCCCTACCTTGAAAGGAGTCCGAATTTCCTTGCAGTGGCTTGAATACAGGCTCGTCTTTCATCTCACAACATGAAGGGATGTCTGAATCCCCTGTGGAGACCTTAGAGAAAGCTCTAGGTCCCTGCCTCATTTTGACGGAATGCCTCACATACCGCTGACACCTCGAGAGGCACGCGGAGTTAATTGCTTCAAAAATGACGATGCCTGACTACTCTTGAATACTGATAGGAATCCCAAAATCCCTGTGGCTACTGGAAAGGGTCCTTGGGTGCCCTGCCTCACCTCGAGAAGCATCCCTTTTGCCCTGGCAAGCCACGAAGAGATTCCTGAGGTGTCCCTCGTTACTAGACAGGAGTCCTGACGTCACTGAAGAAACTCGTGTTTTGAAGGGCCTTCCCCGCCGTAAGTCGAGAACATACCCCAGTTCCCCGCCGCAACTCGAGAAAAACCATGAGACTTCCCCCTAGAGGCGAGATGAGGCCCCATTCCCCTGCAGTGCATGCAGAGCTATTCCGTGATCCCATTCAAACAAGTCAGGAGCTTCGACTTGCTTAATGGATCTCGAGACAGTCCCCAAGAACACTGTCACCAGTCTAGACGGACCCTGAGGTCACCCCAGCAACGCAAAGCAGCTCCATGTGCCCCAAATCAACTCGAGATGGGGCCCGATTCCCCTGTATTGACTCCAGAGCCATTCCTCGTTCCCCATTCAACACGACCGGTAGCTCGACTTCCTTCAGGAAACTCCAGAGATGCCCCGAGAACACTGTCCCAAGTCTAGAGGAACACCAACTTCAGCACAGCAACTCGAGGAATGCTCCGTGTACCCCAAATCGTCTCGACATGAGAGCTGATTCCCTGGCTTAGGCTCAAGACGTATGCCAACTTTCCAGAAGCACCTCAGGAGGAGGCTTCTCTCAGCAATAGGTATGTGGGAGGGACCCCGAGTTTGCTGCCTCAAGGGGAATATACCGCGAGAAGCCCTAACTTGAAAGGAGGCCGGATTTCCTTGCAGGGGCTTGAATACAGGCTCGTCTTTCATCTCACAACATGCAGGGATGTCTGAATCCCCTGTGGAGACCTTAGAGAAAGCCCTCGGTCCCTGCCTCATTTTGACGGAATGCCTCACATCCCGCTGACACCTCGAGAGACACGCGGAGTTCATTGCTTCAAAAGGTGACGATGCCTGACTCCTCTTGAATACTGATAGGAATCCCAAAATCCCTGTGGCTACTGGAAAGGGTACTTGGGTGCCCTGCCTCACCTCGAGAAGCGTCCCATTTGCCCTGCCAAGCCTCGAAGAGATTCCTGAGGTGTCCCTCGTTACTAGACAGGAGTCCTGACGTCACTGAAGAAACTCGTGTTTTGAAGGGCCATCCCCGCCGTAAGTTGAGAACATACCTCAGGTCCCCGCCGCAACTCGAGAAAAACCATGAGACTTCCCCCTAGAGGCGAGATGAGGCCCCATTCCCCTGCAGTGCATGCAGAGCTATTCCGTGATCCCATTCAAACAAGACAGGAGCTTCGACTTGCTTAATGGATCTCGAGACAGTCCCCAAGAACACTGTCACCAGTCTAGACGGACCCTGAGGTCACCCCAGCAACGCAAAGCAGCTCCATGTGCCCCAAATCAACTCGAGATGAGGCCCGATTCCCCTGCATTGACTCCAGAGACATTCCCCGTTCCCCATTCAACACGACCGGTGGCTCGAATTCCTTCAGGGAACTCCAGAGATGCCCCGAGAACACTGTCCCAAGTCTAGAGGAACACCAACTTCAGCACAGCAACTCGAGGAATGCTCTGTATAACCCAAATCGTCTTGAGATGAGAGCTGATTCCCTGGCTTAGGCTCAAGACGTATGCCAACTCCCCAGAAGCACCTCAGGAGGAGGCTTCTCTCAGTAATAGGTTTGTGGGAGGGACCCCGAGTTTGCTGCCTCAAGGGGAATATACAGCGAGAAGCCCTAACTTGAAAGGAGGCCGGATTTCCTTGCAGTGGCTTGAATACAGGCTCGTCTTTCATCTCACAACATGAAGGGATGTCTGAATGCCCTGTGGAGACCTTAGAGAAAGCCCTAGGTCCCTGCCTCATTTTTACGGAATGCCTCACATCCCGCTGACACCTCGAGAGACACGCGGAGTTCATTGCTTCAAAATGTGACGATGCCTGACTCCTCTTGAATATTGATAGGAATCCCAAAATCCCTGTGGCTACTGGAAAGGGTCCTTTGGTGCCCTGCCTCACCTCGAGAAGCGTCCCTTTTGCCCTGCCAAGCCTCAAAGAGATTCCTGACGTGTCCCTCGTTACTAGACAGGAGTCCTGACGTCACAGAAGAAACTCGTGTTTTGAAGGGCCATCCCCGCCGTAAGTCGAGAAGATACCCCAGGTCCCCGCCGCAACTCGAGAAAAACCAGGAGACTTCCCCCTAGAGGCGAGATGAGGCCCCATTCCCCTGCAGTGCATGCAGAGCTATTCCGTGATCCCATTCAAACAAGTCAGGAGCTTCGACTTGCTTAATGGATCTCGAGACAGTCCCCAAGAACACTGTCACCAGTCCAGACGGACCCTGAGGTCACCCCAGCACCGCAAAGCAGCTCCATGTGCCCCAAATCAACTCGAGATGAGGCCCGATTCCCCTGCATTGACTCCAGAGCCATTCCCCGTTCCCCATTCAACACGACCGGTGGCTCGACTTCCTTCAGGCAACTCCAGACATGCCCCGAGAACACTGTCCCAAGTCTAGAGGAACACCAACTTCAGCACAGCAACTCGAGGAATGCTCCGTGTACCCCAAATCGTCTCGAGATGAGAGCTGATTCCCTGACTTAGGCTCAAGACGTATGCCAACTTCCCAGAAGCACCTCAGGAGGAGGCTTCTCTCAGCAATAGGTATGTGGGAGGGACCCTGAGTTTGCTGCCTCAAGGGGAATATACAGCGAGAAGCCCTACCTTGAAAGGAGTCCGAATTTCCTTGCAGTGGCTTGAATACAGGCTCGTCTTTCATCTCACAACATGAAGGGATGTCTGAATCCCCTGTGGAGACCTTAGAGAAAGCTCTAGGTCCCTGCCTCATTTTGACGGAATGCCTCACATACCGCTGACACCTCGAGAGGCACGCGGAGTTAATTGCTTCAAAAATGACGATGCCTGACTACTCTTGAATACTGATAGAAATCCCAAAATCCCTGTGGCTACTGGAAAGGGTCCTTGGGTGCCCTGCCTCACCTCGAGAAGCATCCCTTTTGCCCTGGCAAGCCACGAAGAGATTCCTGAGGTGTCCCTCGTTACTAGACAGGAGTCCTGACGTCACTGAAGAAACTCGTGTTTTGAAGGGCCTTCCCCGCCGTAAGTCGAGAACATACCCCAGTTCCCCGCCGCAACTCGAGAAAAACCATGAGACTTCCCCCTAGAGGCGAGATGAGGCCCCATTCCCCTGCAGTGCATGCAGAGCTATTCCGTGATCCCATTCAAACAAGTCAGGAGCTTCGACTTGCTTAATGGATCTCGAGACAGTCCCCAAGAACACTGTCACCAGTCTAGACGGACCCTGAAGTCACCCCAGCAACGCAAAGCAGCTCCATGTGCCCCAAATCAACTCGAGATGGGGCCCGATTCCCCTGTATTGACTCCAGAGCCATTCCTCGTTCCCCATTCAACACGACCGGTAGCTCGACTTCCTTCAGGAAACTCCAGAGATGCCCCGAGAACACTGTCCCAAGTCTAGAGGAACACCAACTTCAGCACAGCAACTCGAGGAATGCTCCGTGTACCCCAAATCGTCTCGACATGAGAGCTGATTCCCTGGCTTAGGCTCAAGACGTATGCCAACTTTCCAGAAGCACCTCAGGAGGAGGCTTCTCTCAGCAATAGGTATGTGGGAGGGACCCCGAGTTTGCTGCCTCAAGGGGAATATACCGCGAGAAGCCCTAACTTGAAAGGAGGCCGGATTTCCTTGCAGGGGCTTGAATACAGGCTCGTCTTTCATCTCACAACATGCAGGGATGTCTGAATCCCCTGTGGAGACCTTAGAGAAAGCCCTCGGTCCCTGCCTCATTTTGACGGAATGCCTCACATCCCGCTGACACCTCGAGAGACAAGCGGAGTTCATTGCTTCAAAAGGTGACGATGCCTGACTCCTCTTGAATACTGATAGGAATCCCAAAATCCCTGTGGCTACTGGAAAGGGTCCTTGGGTGCCCTGCCTCACCTCGAGAAGCGTCCCATTTGCCCTGCCAAGCCTCGAAGAGATTCCTGAGGTGTCCCTCGTTACTAGACAGGAGTCCTGACGTCACTGAAGAAACTCGTGTTTTGAAGGGCCATCCCCGCCGTAAGTTGAGAACATACCTCAGGTCCCCGCCGCAACTCGAGAAAAACCATGAGACTTCCCCCTAGAGGCGAGATGAGGCCCCATTCCCCTGCAGTGCATGCAGAGCTATTCCGTGATCCCATTCAAACAAGTCAGGAGCTTCGACTTGCTTAATGGATCTCGAGACAGTCCCCAAGAACACTGTCACCAGTCTAGACGGACCCTGAGGTCACCCCAGCAACGCAAAGCAGCTCCATGTGCCCCAAATCAACTCGAGATGAGGCCCGATTCCCCTGCATTGACTCCAGAGACATTCCCCGTTCCCCATTCAACACGACCGGTGGCTCGAATTCCTTCAGGGAACTCCAGAGATGCCCCGAGAACACTGTCCCAAGTCTAGAGGAACACCAACTTCAGCACAGCAACTCGAGGAATGCTCTGTATAACCCAAATCGTCTTGAGATGAGAGCTGATTCCCTGGCTTAGGCTCAAGACGTATGCCAACTCCCCAGAAGCACCTCAGGAGGAGGCTTCTCTCAGTAATAGGTTTGTGGGAGGGACCCCGAGTTTGCTGCCTCAAGGGGAATATACAGCGAGAAGCCCTAACTTGAAAGGAGGCCGGATTTCCTTGCAGTGGCTTGAATACAGGCTCCTCTTTCATCTCACAACATGAAGGGATGTCTGAATGCCCTGTGGAGACCTTAGAGAAAGCCCTAGGTCCCTGCCTCATTTTTACGGAATGCCTCACATCCCGCTGACACCTCGAGAGACACGCGGAGTTCATTGCTTCAAAATGTGACGATGCCTGACTCCTCTTGAATATTGATAGGAATCCCAAAATCCCTTTGGTACTGGAAAGGGTCCTTTGGTGCCCTGCCTCACCTCGAGAAGCGTCCCTTTTGCCCTGCCAAGCCTCAAAGAGATTCCTGACGTGTCCCTCGTTACTAGACAGGAGTCCTGACGTCACAGAAGAAACTCGTGTTTTGAAGGGCCATCCCCGCCGTAAGTCGAGAAGATACCCCAGGTCCCCGCCGCAACTCGAGAAAAACCATGAGACTTCCCCCTAGAGGCGAGATGAGGCCCCATTCCCCTGCAGTGCATGCAGAGCTATTCCGTGATCCCATTCAAACAAGTCAGGAGCTTCGACTTGCTTAATGGATCTCGAGACAGTCCCCAAGAACACTGTCACCAGTCCAGACGGACCCTGAGGTCACCCCAGCACCGCAAAGCAGCTCCATGTGCCCCAAATCAACTCGAGATGAGGCCCGATTCCCCTGCATTGACTCCAGAGCCATTCCCCGTTCCCCATTCAACACGACCGGTGGCTCGACTTCCTTCAGGCAACTCCAGACATGCCCCGAGAACACTGTCCCAAGTCTAGAGGAACACCAACTTCAGCACAGCAACTCGAGGAATGCTCCGTGTACCCCAAATCGTCTCGAGATGAGAGCTGATTCCCTGGCTTAGGCTCAAGACGTATGCCAACTTTCCAGAAGCACCTCAGGAGGAGGCTTCTCTCAGCAATAGGTATGTGGGAGGGACCCCGAGTTTGCTGCCTCAAGGGGAATATACCGCGAGAAGCCCTAACTTGAAAGGAGGCCGGATTTCCTTGCAGGGGCTTGAATACAGGCTCGTCTTTCATCTCACAACATGCAGGGATGTCTGAATCCCCTGTGGAGACCTTAGAGAAAGCCCTCGGTCCCTGCCTCATTTTGACGGAATGCCTCACATCCCGCTGACACCTCGAGAGGCACGCGGAGTTCATTGCTTCAAAAGGTGACGATGCCTGACTCCTCTTGAATACTGATAGGAATCCCAAAATCCCTGTGGCTACTGGAAAGGGTCCTTGGGTGCCCTGCCTCACCTCGAGAAGCGTCCCATTTGCCCTGCCAAGCCTCGAAGAGATTCCTGAGGTGTCCCTCGTTACTAGACAGGAGTCCTGACGTCACTGAAGAAACTCGTGTTTTGAAGGGCCATCCCCGCCGTAAGTTGAGAACATACCCCAGGTCCCCGCCGCAACTCGAGAAAAACCATGAGACTTCCCCCTAGAGGCGAGATGAGGCCCCATTCCCCTGCAGTGCATGCAAGCTATTGGGTGATCCCATTCAAACAAGTCAGGAGCTTCGACTTGCTTAATGGATCTCGAGACAGTCCCCAAGAACACTGTCACCAGTCTAGACGGACCCTGAGGTCACCCCAGCAACGCAAAGCAGCTCCATGTGCCCCAAATCAACTCGAGATGAGGCCCGATTCCCCTGCATTGACTCCAGAGCCATTCCCCGTTCCCCATTCAACACGACCGGTGGCTCGAATTCCTTCAGGGAACTCCAGAGATGCCCCGAGAACACTGTCCCAAGTCTAGAGGAACACCAACTTCAGCACAGCAACTCGAGGAATGCTCTGTGTAACCAAATCGTCTTGAGATGAGAGCTGATTCCCTGGCTTAGGCTCAAGACGTATGCCAACTCCCCAGAAGCACCTCAGGAGGAGGCTTCTCTCAGTAATAGGTTTGTGGGAGGGACTCCGAGTTTGCTGCCTCAAGGGGAATATACAGCGAGAAGCCCTAACTTGAAAGGAGGCCGGATTTCCTTGCAGTGGCTTGAATACAGGCTCGTCTTTCATCTCATAACATGAAGGGATGTCTGAATGCCCTGTGGAGACCTTAGAGAAAGCCCTAGGTCCCTGCCTCATTTTTACGGAATGCCTCACATCCCGCTGACACCTCGAGAGGCACGCGGAGTTAATTGCTTCATAAATGACGATGCCTGACTACTCTTGAATACTGATAGGAATCCCAAAATCCCTGTGGCTACTGGAAAGGGTCCTTGGGTGCCCTGCCTCACCTCGAGAAGCGTCCCTTTTGCCCTGCCAAGCCTCGAAGAGATTTCTGAGGTGTCCCTCGTTACTAGACAGCAGTCCTGACGTCACTGAAGAAACTCGTGGTTTGAGGGGCCATCCCCGCCGTAAGTCGAGAACATACCCCAGGTAACCGCCGAAACTCGAGAAAAACCATGAGACTTCCCCCTAGAGGCGAGATGAGGCCCCATTCCCCTGCAGTGCATGCAGAGCTATTCCGTGATCCCATTCAAACAAGTCAGGAACTTCGACTTGCTTAATGGATCTCGAGACAGTCCCCAAGAACACTGTCACCAGTCTAGACGGATCCTGAGGTCACCCCAGCAACGCAAAGCAGCTCCATGTGCCCCAAATCAACTCGAGATGAGGCCCGATTCCCCTGCTTTGACTCCAGAGCCATTCCCCGTTCCCCATTCAACACGACCGGTGGCTCGACTTCCTTCAGGCCACTCCAGAGATGCCCTGAGAACGCTGTCCCAAGTCTAGAGGAACACCAACTTCAGCACAGCAACTCGAGGAATGCTCCGTGTACCCCAAATCGTCTCGAGATGAGAGCTGATTCCCTGGCTTAGGCTCAAGACGTATGCCAACTCCCCAGAAGCACCTCAGGAGGAGGCTTCTCTCAGCAATAGGTATGTGGGAGGGACCCTGAGTTTGCTGCCTCAAGGGGAATATACAGCGAGAAGCCCTACCTTGAAAGGAGTCCGAATTTCCTTGCAGTGGCTTGAATACAGGCTCGTCTTTCATCTCACAACATGAAGGGATGTCTGAATACCCTGTGGAGACCTTAGAGAAAGCTCTAGGTCCCTGCCTCATTTTGACGGAATGCCTCACATACCGCTGACACCTCGAGAGGCACGCGGAGTTAATTGCTTCAAAAATGACGATGCCTGACTACTCTTGAATACTGATAGGAATCCCAAAATCCCTGTGGCTACTGGAAAGGGTCCTTGGGTGCCCTGCCTCACCTCGAGAAGCATCCCTTTTGCCCTGGCAAGCCACGAAGAGATTCCTGAGGTGTCCCTCGTTACTAGACAGGAGTCCTGACGTCACTGAAGAAACTCGTGTTTTGAAGGGCCTTCCCCGCCGTAAGTCGAGAACATACCCCAGTTCCCCGCCGCAACTCGAGAAAAACCATGAGACTTCCCCCTAGAGGCGAGATGAGGCCCCATTCCCCTGCAGTGCATGCAGAGCTATTCCGTGATCCCATTCAAACAAGTCAGGAGCTTCGACTTGCTTAATGGATCTCGAGACAGTCCCCAAGAACACTGTCACCAGTCTAGACGGACCCTGAGGTCACCCCAGCAACGCAAAGCAGCTCCATGTGCCCCAAATCAACTCGAGATGGGGCCCGATTCCCCTGTATTGACTCCAGAGCCATTCCTCGTTCCCCATTCAACACGACCGGTAGCTCGACTTCCTTCAGGAAACTCCAGAGATGCCCCGAGAACACTGTCCCAAGTCTAGAGGAACACCAACTTCAGCACAGCAACTCGAGGAATGCTCCGTGTACCCCAAATCGTCTCGACATGAGAGCTGATTCCCTGGCTTAGGCTCAAGACGTATGCCAACTTTCCAGAAGCACCTCAGGAGGAGGCTTCTCTCAGCAATAGGTATGTGGGAGGGACCCCGAGTTTGCTGCCTCAAGGGGAATATACCGTGAGAAGCCCTAACTTGAAAGGAGGCCGGATTTCCTTGCAGGGGCTTGAATACAGGCTCGTCTTTCATCTCACAACATGCAGGGATGTCTGAATCCCCTGTGGAGACCTTAGAGAAAGCCCTCGGTCCCTGCCTCATTTTGACGGAATGCCTCACATCCCGCTGACACCTCGAGAGACACGCGGAGTTCATTGCTTCAAAAGGTGACGATGCCTGACTCCTCTTGAATACTGATAGGAATCCCAAAATCCCTGTGGCTACTGGAAAGGGTCCTTGGGTGCCCTGCCTCACCTCGAGAAGCGTCCCATTTGCCCTGCCAAGCCTCGAAGAGATTCCTGAGGTGTCCCTCGTTACTAGACAGGAGTCCTGACGTCACTGAAGAAACTCGTGTTTTGAAGGGCCATCCCCGCCGTAAGTTGAGAACATACCTCAGGTCCCCGCCGCAACTCGAGAAAAACCATGAGACTTCCCCCTAGAGGCGAGATGAGGCCCCATTCCCCTGCAGTGCATGCAGAGCTATTCCGTGATCCCATTCAAACAAGTCAGGAGCTTCGACTTGCTTAATGGATCTCGAGACAGTCCCCAAGAACACTGTCACCAGTCTAGACGGACCCTGAGGTCACCCCAGCAACGCAAAGCAGCTCCATGTGCCCCAAATCAACTCGAGATGAGGCCCGATTCCCCTGCATTGACTCCAGAGACATTCCCCGTTCCCCATTCAACACGACCGGTGGCTCGAATTCCTTCAGGGAACTCCAGAGATGCCCCGAGAACACTGTCCCAAGTCTAGAGGAACACCAACTTCAGCACAGCAACTCGAGGAATGCTCTGTATAACCCAAATCGTCTTGAGATGAGAGCTGATTCCCTGGCTTAGGCTCAAGACGTATGCCAACTCCCCAGAAGCACCTCAGGAGGAGGCTTCTCTCAGTAATAGGTTTGTGGGAGGGACCCCGAGTTTGCTGCCTCAAGGGGAATATACAGCGAGAAGCCCTAACTTGAAAGGAGGCCGGATTTCCTTGCAGTGGCTTGAATACAGGCTCGTCTTTCATCTCACAACATGAAGGGATGTCTGAATGCCCTGTGGAGACCTTAGAGAAAGCCCTAGGTCCCTGCCTCATTTTTACGGAATGCCTCACATCCCGCTGACACCTCGAGAGACACGCGGAGTTCATTGCTTCAAAATGTGACGATGCCTGACTCCTCTTGAATATTGATAGGAATCCCAAAATCCCTGTGGCTACTGGAAAGGGTCCTTTGGTGCCCTGCCTCACCTCGAGAAGCGTCCCTTTTGCCCTGCCAAGCCTCAAAGAGATTCCTGACGTGTCCCTCGTTACTAGACAGGAGTCCTGACGTCACAGAAGAAACTCGTGTTTTGAAGGGCCATCCCCGCCGTAAGTCGAGAAGATACCCCAGGTCCCCGCCGCAACTCGAGAAAAACCAGGAGACTTCCCCCTAGAGGCGAGATGAGGCCCCATTCCCCTGCAGTGCATGCAGAGCTATTCCGTGATCCCATTCAAACAAGTCAGGAGCTTCGACTTGCTTAATGGATCTCGAGACAGTCCCCAAGAACACTGTCACCAGTCCAGACGGACCCTGAGGTCACCCCAGCACCGCAAAGCAGCTCCATGTGCCCCAAATCAACTCGAGATGAGGCCCGATTCCCCTGCATTGACTCCAGAGCCATTCCCCGTTCCCCATTCAACACGACCGGTGGCTCGACTTCCTTCAGGCAACTCCAGACATGCCCCGAGAACACTGTCCCAAGTCTAGAGGAACACCAACTTCAGCACAGCAACTCGAGGAATGCTCCGTGTACCCCAAATCGTCTCGAGATGAGAGCTGAATCCCTGGCTTAGGCTCAAGACGTATGCCAACTTCCCAGAAGCACCTCAGGAGGAGGCTTCTCTCAGCAATAGGTATGTGGGAGGGACCCTGAGTTTGCTGCCTCAAGGGGAATATACAGCGAGAAGCCCTACCTTGAAAGGAGTCCGAATTTCCTTGCAGTGGCTTGAATACAGGCTCGTCTTTCATCTCACAACATGAAGGGATGTCTGAATCCCCTGTGGAGACCTTAGAGAAAGCTCTAGGTCCCTGCCTCATTTTGACGGAATGCCTCACATACCGCTGACACCTCGAGAGGCACGCGGAGTTAATTGCTTCAAAAATGACGATGCCTGACTACTCTTGAATACTGATAGAAATCCCAAAATCCCTGTGGCTACTGGAAAGGGTCCTTGGGTGCCCTGCCTCACCTCGAGAAGCATCCCTTTTGCCCTGGCAAGCCACGAAGAGATTCCTGAGGTGTCCCTCGTTACTAGACAGGAGTCCTGACGTCACTGAAGAAACTCGTGTTTTGAAGGGCCTTCCCCGCCGTAAGTCGAGAACATACCCCAGTTCCCCGCCGCAACTCGAGAAAAACCATGAGACTTCCCCCTAGAGGCGAGATGAGGCCCCATTCCCCTGCAGTGCATGCAGAGCTATTCCGTGATCCCATTCAAACAAGTCAGGAGCTTCGACTTGCTTAATGGATCTCGAGACAGTCCCCAAGAACACTGTCACCAGTCTAGACGGACCCTGAAGTCACCCCAGCAACGCAAAGCAGCTCCATGTGCCCCAAATCAACTCGAGATGGGGCCCGATTCCCCTGTATTGACTCCAGAGCCATTCCTCGTTCCCCATTCAACACGACCGGTAGCTCGACTTCCTTCAGGAAACTCCAGAGATGCCCCGAGAACACTGTCCCAAGTCTAGAGGAACACCAACTTCAGCACAGCAACTCGAGGAATGCTCCGTGTACCCCAAATCGTCTCGACATGAGAGCTGATTCCCTGGCTTAGGCTCAAGACGTATGCCAACTTTCCAGAAGCACCTCAGGAGGAGGCTTCTCTCAGCAATAGGTATGTGGGAGGGACCCCGAGTTTGCTGCCTCAAGGGGAATATACCGCGAGAAGCCCTAACTTGAAAGGAGGCCGGATTTCCTTGCAGGGGCTTGAATACAGGCTCGTCTTTCATCTCACAACATGCAGGGATGTCTGAATCCCCTGTGGAGACCTTAGAGAAAGCCCTCGGTCCCTGCCTCATTTTGACGGAATGCCTCACATCCCGCTGACACCTCGAGAGACAAGCGGAGTTCATTGCTTCAAAAGGTGACGATGCCTGACTCCTCTTGAATACTGATAGGAATCCCAAAATCCCTGTGGCTACTGGAAAGGGTCCTTGGGTGCCCTGCCTCACCTCGAGAAGCGTCCCATTTGCCCTGCCAAGCCTCGAAGAGATTCCTGAGGTGTCCCTCGTTACTAGACAGGAGTCCTGACGTCACTGAAGAAACTCGTGTTTTGAAGGGCCATCCCCGCCGTAAGTTGAGAACATACCTCAGGTCCCCGCCGCAACTCGAGAAAAACCATGAGACTTCCCCCTAGAGGCGAGATGAGGCCCCATTCCCCTGCAGTGCATGCAGAGCTATTCCGTGATCCCATTCAAACAAGTCAGGAGCTTCGACTTGCTTAATGGATCTCGAGACAGTCCCCAAGAACACTGTCACCAGTCTAGACGGACCCTGAGGTCACCCCAGCAACGCAAAGCAGCTCCATGTGCCCCAAATCAACTCGAGATGAGGCCCGATTCCCCTGCATTGACTCCAGAGACATTCCCCGTTCCCCATTCAACACGACCGGTGGCTCGAATTCCTTCAGGGAACTCCAGAGATGCCCCGAGAACACTGTCCCAAGTCTAGAGGAACACCAACTTCAGCACAGCAACTCGAGGAATGCTCTGTATAACCCAAATCGTCTTGAGATGAGAGCTGATTCCCTGGCTTAGGCTCAAGACGTATGCCAACTCCCCAGAAGCACCTCAGGAGGAGGCTTCTCTCAGTAATAGGTTTGTGGGAGGGACCCCGAGTTTGCTGCCTCAAGGGGAATATACAGCGAGAAGCCCTAACTTGAAAGGAGGCCGGATTTCCTTGCAGTGGCTTGAATACAGGCTCCTCTTTCATCTCACAACATGAAGGGATGTCTGAATGCCCTGTGGAGACCTTAGAGAAAGCCCTAGGTCCCTGCCTCATTTTTACGGAATGCCTCACATCCCGCTGACACCTCGAGAGACACGCGGAGTTCATTGCTTCAAAATGTGACGATGCCTGACTCCTCTTGAATATTGATAGGAATCCCAAAATCCCTTTGGTACTGGAAAGGGTCCTTTGGTGCCCTGCCTCACCTCGAGAAGCGTCCCTTTTGCCCTGCCAAGCCTCAAAGAGATTCCTGACGTGTCCCTCGTTACTAGACAGGAGTCCTGACGTCACAGAAGAAACTCGTGTTTTGAAGGGCCATCCCCGCCGTAAGTCGAGAAGATACCCCAGGTCCCCGCCGCAACTCGAGAAAAACCATGAGACTTCCCCCTAGAGGCGAGATGAGGCCCCATTCCCCTGCAGTGCATGCAGAGCTATTCCGTGATCCCATTCAAACAAGTCAGGAGCTTCGACTTGCTTAATGGATCTCGAGACAGTCCCCAAGAACACTGTCACCAGTCCAGACGGACCCTGAGGTCACCCCAGCACCGCAAAGCAGCTCCATGTGCCCCAAATCAACTCGAGATGAGGCCCGATTCCCCTGCATTGACTCCAGAGCCATTCCCCGTTCCCCATTCAACACGACCGGTGGCTCGACTTCCTTCAGGCAACTCCAGACATGCCCCGAGAACACTGTCCCAAGTCTAGAGGAACACCAACTTCAGCACAGCAACTCGAGGAATGCTCCGTGTACACCAAATCGTCTCGAGATGAGAGCTGATTCCCTGGCTTAGGCTCAAGACGTATGCCAACTTTCCAGAAGCACCTCAGGAGGAGGCTTCTCTCAGCAATAGGTATGTGGGAGGGACCCCGAGTTTGCTGCCTCAAGGGGAATATACCGCGAGAAGCCCTAACTTGAAAGGAGGCCGGATTTCCTTGCAGGGGCTTGAATACAGGCTCGTCTTTCATCTCACAACATGCAGGGATGTCTGAATCCCCTGTGGAGACCTTAGAGAAAGCCCTCGGTCCCTGCCTCATTTTGACGGAATGCCTCACATCCCGCTGACACCTCGAGAGGCACGCGGAGTTCATTGCTTCAAAAGGTGACGATGCCTGACTCCTCTTGAATACTGATAGGAATCCCAAAATCCCTGTGGCTACTGGAAAGGGTCCTTGGGTGCCCTGCCTCACCTCGAGAAGCGTCCCATTTGCCCTGCCAAGCCTCGAAGAGATTCCTGAGGTGTCCCTCGTTACTAGACAGGAGTCCTGACGTCACTGAAGAAACTCGTGTTTTGAAGGGCCATCCCCGCCGTAAGTTGAGAACATACCCCAGGTCCCCGCCGCAACTCGAGAAAAACCATGAGACTTCCCCCTAGAGGCGAGATGAGGCCCCATTCCCCTGCAGTGCATGCAAGCTATTGGGTGATCCCATTCAAACAAGTCAGGAGCTTCGACTTGCTTAATGGATCTCGAGACAGTCCCCAAGAACACTGTCACCAGTCTAGACGGACCCTGAGGTCACCCCAGCAACGCAAAGCAGCTCCATGTGCCCCAAATCAACTCGAGATGAGGCCCGATTCCCCTGCATTGACTCCAGAGCCATTCCCCGTTCCCCATTCAACACGACCGGTGGCTCGAATTCCTTCAGGGAACTCCAGAGATGCCCCGAGAACACTGTCCCAAGTCTAGAGGAACACCAACTTCAGCACAGCAACTCGAGGAATGCTCTGTGTAACCAAATCGTCTTGAGATGAGAGCTGATTCCCTGGCTTAGGCTCAAGACGTATGCCAACTCCCCAGAAGCACCTCAGGAGGAGGCTTCTCTCAGTAATAGGTTTGTGGGAGGGACTCCGAGTTTGCTGCCTCAAGGGGAATATACAGCGAGAAGCCCTAACTTGAAAGGAGGCCGGATTTCCTTGCAGTGGCTTGAATACAGGCTCGTCTTTCATCTCATAACATGAAGGGATGTCTGAATGCCCTGTGGAGACCTTAGAGAAAGCCCTAGGTCCCTGCCTCATTTTTACGGAATGCCTCACATCCCGCTGACACCTCGAGAGGCACGCGGAGTTAATTGCTTCATAAATGACGATGCCTGACTACTCTTGAATACTGATAGGAATCCCAAAATCCCTGTGGCTACTGGAAAGGGTCCTTGGGTGCCCTGCCTCACCTCGAGAAGCGTCCCTTTTGCCCTGCCAAGCCTCGAAGAGATTTCTGAGGTGTCCCTCGTTACTAGACAGCAGTCCTGACGTCACTGAAGAAACTCGTGGTTTGAGGGGCCATCCCCGCCGTAAGTCGAGAACATACCCCAGGTAACCGCCGAAACTCGAGAAAAACCATGAGACTTCCCCCTAGAGGCGAGATGAGGCCCCATTCCCCTGCAGTGCATGCAGAGCTATTCCGTGATCCCATTCAAACAAGTCAGGAACTTCGACTTGCTTAATGGATCTCGAGACAGTCCCCAAGAACACTGTCACCAGTCTAGACGGATCCTGAGGTCACCCCAGCAACGCAAAGCAGCTCCATGTGCCCCAAATCAACTCGAGATGAGGCCCGATTCCCCTGCTTTGACTCCAGAGCCATTCCCCGTTCCCCATTCAACACGACCGGTGGCTCGACTTCCTTCAGGCAACTCCAGAGATGCCCCGAGAACACTGTCCCATGTCTAGAGGAACACCAACTTCAGCACAGCAACTCGAGGAATGCTCCGTGTACCCCAAATCGTCTCGACATGAGAGCTGATTCCCTGGCATAGGCTCAAAACGTATGCCAACTTTCCAGAAGCACCTCAGGAGGAGGCTTCTCTCAGCAATAGGTATGTGGGAGGGACCCCGAATTTGCTGCCTCAAGGGGAATATACAGCGAGAAGCCCTAACTTGAAAGGAGGCCGGATTTCCTTGCAGTGGCTTGAATACAGGCTCGTCTTTCATCTCACAACATGAAGGGATGTCTGAATCCCCTGTGGAGACCTTAGAGAAAGACCTAGGTCCCTGCCTCATTTTGACGGAATGCCTCACATCCCGCTGACACCTCGAGAGGCACGCGGAGTTCATTGCTTCAAAAGGTGACGATGCCTGACTCCTCTTGAATACTGATAGGAATCCCCGAATCGCTGTGGCTACTGGAAAGATTACTTGGGTGCCCTGCCTCACCTCGAGAAGCGTCCCTTTTGCCCTGCCAAGCCTCGAAGAGATTCCTGAGGTGTCCCTCGTTACTAGACAGGAGTCCTGACGTCACTGAATAAACTCGTGTTTTGAAGGGCCATCCCCACCGTAAGTGGAGAACATATCCCAGGTCCCCGCCGCAACTCGAGAAAAACCATGAGACTTCCCCCTAAAGGCGAGATGAGGCCCCATTCCCCTGCAGTGCATGCAGAGCTATTCCGTGATCCCATTCAAACAAGTCAGGAGATTCGACTTGCTTAATGGATCTCGAGACAGTCCCCAAGAACACTGTCACCAGTCTAGACGGACATTGAGGTCACCACAGCAACGCAAAGCAGCTCCATGTGCCCCAAATCAACTCGAGATGAGGCCCGATTCCCCTGCATTGACTCCAGAGCCATTCCCCGTTCCCCATTCAACACGACCGGTGGCTCGACTTCCTTCAGGCAACTCCAGAGATGCCCCGAGAACACTGTCCCAAGTCTAGAGGAACACCAACTTCAGCACAGCAACTCGAGGAATGCTCCGTGTACCCCAAATCGTCTCGACATGAGAGCTGATTCCCTTGCATAGGCTAAAGACGTATGCCAACTTTCCCGAAGCACCTCAGGAGGAGGCTTCTCTCAGCAATAGGTATGTGGGAGGGACCCCGAGTTTCCTGCCTCAAGGGGAATATACAGCGAGAAGCCCTAACTTGAAAGGAGGCCGGATTTCCTTGCAGTGGCTTGAATACAGGCTCGTCTTTCATCTCACAACATGAAGGGATGTCTGAATCCCCTGTGGAGACCTTAGAGAAAGCCCTAGGTCCCTGCCTCATTTTGACGGAATGCCTCACATCCCGCTGACACCTCGAGAGGCACGCGGAGTTCATTGCTTCAAAAGGTGACGATGCCTGATTCCTCTTGAATATTGATAGGAATCCCAAAATCCCTGTGGCTACTGGAAAGGGTCCTTGAGTGCCCTGCCCCACCTCGAGAAGCGTCCCTTTTGCTCTGCCAAGCCTCGAAGAGATTCCTGAGGTGTCCCTCGTTACTAGACAGGAGTCCTGACGTCACTGAAGAAACTCGTGTTTTGAAGGGCCATCATCGCCGTAAGTCGAGAACATACCCCAGGTTCCCGCCGCAATTCGAGAAAAACCATGAGACTTCCCTCTAGAGGCGAGATGAGGGCCCATTCCCCTGCAGTGCATGCAGAGCTATTCCGTGATCCCATTCAAACAAATCAGGAGCTTCGACTTGCTTAATGGATCTCGAGACAGTCCCCAAGAACACTGTCACCAGTCTAGACGAACCATGAGGTCACCCCAGCAAAGCAAAGCAGCTCCATGTGCTCCAAATCAACTCGAGATGAGGCCCGCTTCCCCTGCATTGACTCCAGAGCCATTCCCCGTTCCCCATTCAACACGACCGGTGGCTCGACTTCCTTCAGGCAACTCCAGAGATGCCCCGAGAACACTGTCGCAAGTCTAGAGGAACACCAAGTTCAGCACAGCAACTCGAGGAATGCTCCGTGTACCCCAAATCGTCTCGAGATGAGAGCTGATTCCCTGGCTTAGGCTCAAGACGTATGCCAACTTTCCAGAAGCACCACAGGAGGAGGCTTCATTTAGCAATAGGTATGTGGGAGGGACCCCGAGTTTGCTGCCTAAAAGGGAATATACAGCGAGAATCCCTACCTTGAAAGGAGGCCGGATTTCCTTGCAGTGGCTTGAATACAGGCTCCTCTTTGATCTCACAACATGAAGGGATATCTGAATCCCCTGCGGAGACCTTAGAGAAAGCCTTAGGTCCCTGCCTCATTTTGACGGAATGCCTCACATCCCGCTGACACCTCGAGAGGCACGCGGAGTTCATTGCTTCAAAAGGTGACGATGCCTGACTCCTCTTGAATACTGATAGGAATCCCAAAATCCCTGTGGCTACTGGAAAGGGTCCTTGGGTGCCCTGCCTCACCTCGAGAAGCGTCCCTTTTCCCTGCCAAGCCTCTAAGAGATTCCTGAGGTGTTCCTCGTTACTATACAGGAGTCCTGACGTCACTGAAGGAACTCGTGTTTTGAAGGGCCATCCCCGCCGTAAGTCGAGAACATACCCCAGGTCCCCGCCGCAACTCGAGAAAAACCATGAGACTTCCCCCTAGACACGAGATGAGGCCCCATTCCCCTGCAGTGCATGCAGAGCTATTCCATGATCGCATTCAAACAAGTCAGGAGCTTCCACTTGCTTAATGGATCTCGAGACAGTCCCCAAGAACACTGTCACCAGTATAGACGGACCCTGAGGTCACCCCAGCAACGCAAAGCAGCTCCATGTGCCCCAAATCAACTCGAGATGAGGCCCGATTCCCCTGCATTGACTCCAGAGCCATTCCCCGTTCCCCATTCAACACGAACGGTGGATCGACTTCCTTCAGGCAACTCCAGAGATGCCCCGACAACACTGTCCCAAGTCTAGAGGAACACCAACTTCAGCACAGCAACTCGAGGAATGCTCTGTGTACACCAAATCGTCTCGAGATGAGAGCTGATTCCCTGGCTTAGGCTCAAGACGTATGCCAACTCCCCAGAAGCACCTCAGGAGGAGGCTTCTCTCAGCAATAGGTATGTGGGAGGGACCCCGAGTTTGCTGCCTCAAGGGGAATATACAGCGAGAAGCCCTAACTTGAAAGGAGGCCGGATTTCCATGCAGGGGCTTGAATACAGGCTCGTCTTTCATCTCACAACATGAAGGGATGTCTGAATCCCATGTGGAGACCTTAGAGAAAGCCCTAGGTCCCTTCCTCATTTTGACAGAATGCCTCACATCCCGATGACACCTCAAGAGGCACGCGGAGTTCATTGCTTCAAAAGGTGACGATGCCTGACTCCTCTTGAATACTGATAGGAATCCCAAAATCCCTGTGGCTACTGGAAAGGGTCCTTGGGTGCCCTGCCTCACCTCGAGAAGCGTCCCTTTTGCCCTGCCAGGCCTCGAAGAGATTCCTGAGGTGTCCCTCGTTACTAGACAGGAGTCCTGACGTCACTGAAGAAACTCGTGTTTTGAAGGCCCATCCCCGCCGTAAGTCGAGAACATACCCCAGGTCCCCGCCGCAACTCGAGAAAAACCATGAGACTTCCCCCTAGAGGCGAGATGAGGCCCCATTCCCCTGCAGTGCATGCAGAGCTATTCCGTGATCCCATTCAAACAAGTCAGGAGCTTCGACTTGCTTAATGGATCTCGAGACAGTCCCCAAGAACACTGTCACCAGTCTAGACGGACCCTGAGGTCACCCCAGCAACGCAAAGCAGCTCGATGTGCCCCAAATCAACTCGAGATGAGGCCCGATTCCCCTGCATTGACTCCAGAGCCATTCCCCGTTCCCCATTCAACACGACCGGTGGCTCGACTTCCTTCAGGCAACTCCAGAGAGGCCCCGAGAACACTGTCCCAAGTCTAGAGGAACACCAACTTCAGCACAGCAACTCGAGGAATGCTCCGTGTACCCCAAATCGTCTCGAGATGAGAGCTGATTCTCTGGCTTAGGCTCAAGACGTATGCCAACTTCCCAGAAGCACCTCAGGAGGAGGCTTCTCTCAGCAATAGGTATGTGGGAGGGACCCCGAGTTTGCTGCCTCAAGGGGAATATACAGCGAGAAGCCCTAACTTGAAAGGAGGCCGGATTTCCTTGCAGGGGCTTGAATACAGGCTCGTCTTTCATCTCACAACATGAAGGGATGTCTGAATCCCCTGTGGAGACCTTAGAGAAAGCCCTAGGTCCCTGACTCATTTTGACGGAATGCCTCACATCCCGCTGACACCTCGAGAGGCACGCGGAGTTCATTGCTTCAAAAGGTGACGATGCCTGACTCCTCTTGAATACTGATAGGAATCCCAAACTCGCTGTGGCTACTGGAAAGGGTCCTTGGGTGCCCTGCCTCACCTCGAGAAGCGTCCCTTTTGCCCTGCCAAGCCTCGAAGAGATTCCTGAGGTGTCCCTCGTTACTAGACAGGAGTCCTGATGTCACTGAAGAAACTCGTGGTTTGAAGGGCCATCCCCGCCGTAAGTCGAGGACGTAGCCCAGGTCCCCATCGCAAGTCCATAAAAACCATGAGACTTCCCCCTAAAGGGGAGATGAGGCCCCATTCCCCTGCAATGCATGCAGAGCTATTCCGTGATCCCATTCAAACAAGTCAGGAGCTTCGACTTGCTTAATGGATCTCGAGACAGTCCCCAAGAACACTGTCACCAGTCTAGACGGACCCTGAGGTCACCCCAGCAACGCAAAGCAGTTCCATGTGCCCCAAATCAACTCGAGATGAGGCCCGATTCCGCTGCATTGACTCCAGAGCCATTCCCCGTTCCCCATTCAACAAGACCGGTAGCTCGACTTCCTTCACGCAACTCCAGAGATGCCCCGAGAACACTGTCCCAAGTCTAGAGGAACAACAACTTCAGCACAGCAACTCGAGGAATGATCCGTGTACCCCAAATCGTCTCGAGATGAGAGCTGATTCCCTGGCTTAGGCTCAAGACGTATGCCAACTTTCCAGAAGCACCTCAGGAGGAGGCTTCTCTCAGCAATAGGTATGTGGGAGGGACACCGAGTTTGCTGCCTCAAGGGGAATATACAGCGAGAAGCCCTAACTTGAAAGGAGGCCAGATTTCCTTGCAGTGGCTTGAATACAGGCTCGTCTTTCATCTCATAACATGAAGGGATGTCTGAATCCCCTGTGGAGACCTTAGAGAAAGCCCTAGGTCCCTGCCTCATTTTTACGGAATGCATCACATCCCGCTGACACCTCGAGAGGCACGCGGAGTTCATTGATTTAAAAGGTGACGATGCCTGACTCCTCTTGAATGCTGATAGGAATCCCAAAATCCCTGTGGCTACTGGAAAGATTCCTTGGGTGCCCTGCCTCACCTCGAGAAGCGTCCCATTTGCCCTGACAAGCATCGAAGAGATTCCTGAGGTGTCCCTCGTTACTAGACAGGAGTCCTGACGTCACTGAAGAAACTCGTGTTCTGAAGGGCCAGCCCCGCCGTAAGTCGAGAACATACCCCAGGTCCCCGCCGCAACTCGAGAAAAACCATGAGACTTCCCCCTAGAGGCGAGATGAGGCCCCATTCCCCTGCAGTGCATGCAGAGATATTCCGTGATCCCATTCAAACAAGTCAGGAGCTTCGACTTGCTTAATGGGTCTCGAGACAGTCCCCAAGAAAACTGTCACCAGTCTAGATGGACCCTGAGGTCACCCCAGCAACGCAAAGCAGCTCCATGTGCCCCAAATCAACTCGAGATGAGGCCCGTTTCCCCTGCATTTACTCCAGAGCCATTCCCCGTTCCCCATTCAACACGACCGGTGGCTCGACTTCCTTCAGGCAACTCCAGAGATGCCCTGAGAACACTGTCCCAAGTCTAGAGGAACACCAACTTCAGCACAGCAACTCGAGGAATGCTCCGTGTACCCCAAATCGTCTCGAGATGACAGCTGATTCCCTGGCTTAGGCTCAAGACGTATGCCAACTCCCCAGAAACACCTCAGGAGGAGGCTTCTCTCAGCAATAGGTATGTGGGAGGGACCCCGAGTTTGCTGCCTCAAGGGGAATATACAGCGAGAAGCCCTAACTTGAAAGGAGGCCGGATTTCCTTGTAGTGGCTTGAATACAGGCTCGTCTTTCATCTCACAACATGAAGGGATGTCTCAATGCCCTGTGGAGACCTTAGAGAAAGCCCTAGGTCCCTGCCTCATTTTGACGGAATGCCTCACATCCCGCTGACACCTCGAGAGGCACGCGGAGTTAATTGCTTCAAAAATGACGATGCCTGACTCCTCTTGAATACGGATAGGAATCCCAAAATCCCTGTGACTACTGGAAAGGGTCCTTGGGTGCCCTGCCTCACCTCGAGAAGCATCCCTTTTGCCCTGGCAAGCCTCGAAGAGATTCCTGAGGTGTCCCTCGTTACTAGACAGGAGTCCTGACGTCACTGAAGAAACTCGTGTTTTGAAGGGCCATCCCCGCTCTAAGTCGAGAACATACCCCAGGTCCCCGCCGCAACTCGAGAAAAACCATGAGACTTCCCCCTAGAGGCGAGATGAGGCCCCAATCCCCTGCAGTGCATGCAGAGCTATTCCGTGATCCCATTCATACAAGTCAGGAGCTTCGACTTGCTTAATGGATCTCGAGACAGTCCCCAAGAACACTGTCACCAGTCTAGACGGACCCTGAGGTCACCCCAGCAACGCAAAGCAGCTCCATGTGCCCCAAATCAACTCGAGATGGGGCCCGATTCCCCTGCATTGACTCCAGAGCCATTCCTCGTTCCCCATTCAACACGACCAGTGGCTGGACTTCCTTCAGGCAACTCCAGGGATGCCCCGAGAACACTGTCCCAAGTCTAGAGGAACACCAACTTCAGCACAGCAACTCGAGGAATGCTCCGTGTACCACAAATCGTCTCGAGATGAGAGCTGATTCCCTCGCTTAGGCTCAAGACATATGCCAACTTTCCAGAAGCACCTCAGGAGGAGGCTTCTCTCAGCAATAGGTATGTGGGAGGGACCCCGAGTTTGCTGCCTCAAGGGGAATATACAGAGAGAAGCCCTAACTTGAAAGGAGGCCGGATTTCCTTGCAGGGGCTTGAATACAGGATCGTCTTTCATCTCACAACATGAAGGGATGTCTGAATCCCCTGTGGAGACCTTGAGAAAGCCGTAGGTCCCTGCCTCATTTTGACGGAATGCCTCACATCCCGCTGAGACCTCGAGAGGCACGCGGAGTTCAATGCTTCAAAAGGTGACGATGCCTGACTCCTCTTGAATACTGATAGGAATCCCAAAATCCCTGTGGCTATTGGAAAGGGTCCTTGGGTGCCCAGCCTCACCTCGAGAAGCGTCCCCTTTGCTCTGCCAAGCCTCGAAGAGATTCCTGAGGTGTCCCTCGTTACTAGACAGGAGTCCTGACGTCACTGAAGAAACTCGTGTTTTGAAGGGCCATCCCCGCCGTAAGTCGAGAACATACCCCAGGTCCCTGCAGCAACTCGAGAAAAACCGTAAGACTTCCCCCTAGAGGCGAGATGAAGCCCCATTCCCCTGCAGTGCATGCAGAGCTATTCCGTGATCCCATTCAAACAAGTCAGGAGCTTCGACTTGCTTAATGGATCTCGAGAGAGTCCCCCAGAACACTGTCACCAGTCCAGACGGACCCTGAGGTCACCCCAGCACCGCACAGCAGCTCCATGTGCCCCAAATCAACTCGAGATGAGGCCCGATTCCCCTGCATTGACTCCAGAGCCATTCCCCGTTCCCCATTCAACACGACCGGTGGCTCGACTTCCTTCAGCAACTCCAGAGATGCCCCGAGAACACTGTCCCAAGTCTAGAGGAACACCAACTTCAGCACAGCAACTCGAGGAATGCTCTGTGTACCCCAAATCGTCTCGAGATGAGAGCTGATTCCCTGGCTTAGGCTCAAGACGTATGCCAACTCCCCAGAAGCACCTCAGGAGGAGGCTTCTCTCAGCAATAGGTATGTGGGAGGGACCCCGAGTTTGCTGCCTCAAGGGGAATATACAGCGAGAAGCCCTAACTTGAAAGGAGGCCGGATTTCCATGCAGGGGCTTCAATACAGGCTCGTCTTTCATCTCACAACATGAAGGGATGTCTGAATCCCCTGTGGAGACCTTAGAGAAAGCCCTAGGTCCCTGCCTCATTTTGACAGAATTCCTCACATCCCGCTGACACCTGAAGAGGCACGCGGAGTTCATTGCTTCAAAAGGTGACGATGCCTGACTCCTCTTGAATACTGATAGGAATCCCAAAATCCCTGTGGCTACGGGAAAGGGTCCTTGGGTGCCCTGCCTCACCTCGAGAAGCGTCCCTTTTGCCCTGCCAGGCCTCGAAGAGATTCCTGAGGTGTCCCTCGTTACTAGACAGGAGTCCTGACGTCACTGAAGAAACTCGTGTTCTGAAGGCCCATCCCCGCCGTAAGTCGAGAACATACCCCAGGTCCCCGCCGCAACTCGAGAAAAACCATGAGACTTCCCCCTAGAGGCGAGATGAGGCCCCATTCCGCTGCAGTGCATGCAGAGCTATTCCGTGATCCCATTCAAACAAGTCAGGAGCTTCGACTTGCTTAATGGATCTCGAGACAGTCCCCAAGAACACTGTCACCAGTCTAGACGGACCCTGAGGTCACCCCAGCACCGCAAAGCAGCTCCATGTGCCCCAAATCAACTCGAGATGGGGCCCGATTCCCCTGCAATGACTCCAGAGCCATTCCTCGTTCCCCATTCAACACGACCGGTGGCTCGACTTCCTTCAGGAAACTCCAGAGATGCCCCAAGAACACTGTCCCAAGTCGAGAGGAACAACAACTTCAGCACAGCAACTCGAGGAATGCTCCGTGTACCCCAAATCGTCTCGAGATGAGAGCTGATTCCCTGGCTTAGGCTCAAGACGTATGCCAACTTTCCAGAAGCACCTCAGGAGAAGGCTTCTCTCAGCAATAGGTATGTGGGAGGGACCCCGAGATTGCTGCCTCAAGGGGAATATACAGCGAGAAGCCCTAACTTGAAAGGAGGCCGGATTTCCTTGCAGGGGCTTGAATACAGGCTCGTCTTTCATCTCACAAAATGAAGGGATGTCTGAATCCCCTGTGGAGAGCTTAGAGAAAGCCCTAGGTCCCTTCCTCATTTTGACGGAATGCCTCACATCCCGCTGACACCTCGAGAGGCACGCGGAGTTCATTGCTTCAAAAGGTGACGATGCCTGACTCCTCTTGAATACCGATAGGAATCCCAAAATCCCTGTGGCTACTGGAAAGGGTCCTTGGGTGCCCTGCCTCACCTCGAGAAGCGTCCCTTTTGCCCTGCCAAGCCTCGAAGAGATTCCTGAGGTGTCCCTCGTTACTAGACAGGAGTCCTGACGTCACTGAAGAAACTCGTGTTCTGAAGGGCCATCCCCGCCGTAAGTCGAGAACATACCCCAGGTCCCCGCCGCAACTCGAGAAAAACCATGAGACTTCCCCCTAGAGGCGAGATGAGGCCCCATTCCCCTGCAGTGCATGCAGAGCTATTCCGTGATCCCATTCAAACAAGTCAGGAGCTTCGACTTGCTTAATGGGTCTCGAGACAGTCCCCAATAACACTGTCACCAGTCTAGACGGACCCTGAGGTCACCCCAGCAACTCAAAGCAGCTCCATGTGCCCCAAATCAACTCGAGATGAGGCCCGATTCCCCTGCTTTGACTCCAGAGCCATTCCTCGTTCCACATTCAACACGCCCGGTGGCTCGACTTCCTTCAGGCAACTCCAGAGATGCCCCGAGAACACTGTTCCAAGTCTAGAGGAACACCAACTTCAGCACAGCAACACTAGGAATGCTCCGTGTACCCCAAATAGTCTGGAGATGAAAGCTGATTCCCTGGCTTAGGCTCAAGACATATGCCAACTTTCCAGAAGCACCTCAGGAGGAGGCTTCTCTCAGCAATAGGTATGTGGGAGGGACCCTGAGTTTGCTGCCTCAAGGGGAATATACAGCGAGAAGCCCTAACTTGAAAGGAGGCCGGATTTCCTTGCATTGGCTTGAATACAGGATCGTCTTTCATCTCACAACATGAAGGGATGTCTGAATCCCCCGTGGAGACCTTAGAGAAAGCCCTAGGTCCCTGCCTCATTTTGACGGAATGCCTCACATCCCGCTGAGTCCTCGAGAGGCACGCGGAGTTCATTGCTTCAAAAGGTGACGATGCCTGACTCCTCTTGAATACTGATAGGAATCCCAAAATCCCTGTGGCTACTGGAAAGGGTCCTTGGGTGCCCTGCCTCACCTCGAGAAGCGTCCCTTTTGCCCTACCAAGCCTCGAAGAGATTCCTGAGGTGTCCCTCGTTACTAGACAGGAGTCCTGACGTCACTGAAGAAACTCGTGTTTTGAAGGGCCATCCCCGCCGTAAGTCGAGAACATAACCCAGGTCCCCGCCGCAACTCGAGAAAAACCATGAGACTTCCCCCTAGAGGCGAGATGAGGCCCCATTCCCCTGCAGTGCATGCAGAGCTATTCCGTGATCCCATTCAAACAAGTCAGGAGCTTCGACTTGCTTAATGGATCTCGAGAGAGTCCCCAAGAACACTGTCACCAGTCCAGACGGACCATGAGGTCACCCCAGCACCGCACAGCAGCTCCATATGCCCCAAATCAACTCGAGATGAGGCCCGATTCCCCTGCATTGACTCCAGAGCCATTCCCCGTTCCCCATTCAACACGACCGGTGGCTCGACTTCCTTCAGCAACTCCAGAGATGCCCCGAGAACACTGTCCCAAGTCTAGAGGAACACCAACTTCAGCACAGCAACTCGAGGAATGCTCTGTGTACCCCAAATCGTCTCGAGATGAGAGCTGATTCCCTGGCTTAGGCTCAAGACGTATGCCAACTCCCCAGAAGCACCTCAGGAGGAGGCTTCTCTCAGCAATAGGTATGTGGGAGGGACCCCGAGTTTGCTGCCTCAAGGGGAATATACAGCGAGAAGCCCTAACTTGAAAGGAGGCCGGATTTCCTTGCAGTGGCTTGAATACAGGCTCGTCTTTCATCTCACAACATGAAGGGATGTCTGAATGCCCTGTGGAGACCTTAGAGAAAGCCCTAGGTCCCTGCCTCATTTTGACGGAATGCCTCACATCCCGCTGACACCTAGAGAGGCACGCGGAGTTCATTGCTTCAAAAGGTGACGATGCCTGACTCCTCTTGAATACCGATAGGAATCCCAAAATCCCTGTGGCTACTGGAAAGGGCCCTTGGGTGCCCAGCCTCACCTCGAGAAGCGTCCCATTTGCTCTGCCAAGCCTCGAAGAGATTCCTGAGGTGTCCCTCGTTACTAGACAGGAGTCCTGACGTCACTGAAGAAACTCGTGGTTTGAAGGGCCAGCCCTGCCGTAAGTCCAGAACATACCCCAGGTCCCCGCCGCAACTCGAGAAAAACCATGAGACTTCCCCCTAGAGGCGAGATGAGGCCCCATTCCCCTGCAGTGCATGCAGAGCTATTCCGTGATCCCATTCAAACAAGTCAGGAGCTTCGACTTGCTTAATGGATCTCGAGAGAGTCCCCAAGAACACTGTCACCAGTCCAGACGGACCCTGAGGTCACCCCAGCACCGCACAGCAGCTCCATGTGCCCCAAATCAACTCGAGATGAGGCCCGATTCCCCTGCATTGACTCCAGAGCCATTCCCCGTTCCCCATTCAACACGACCGGTGGCTCGACTTCCTTCAGCAACTCCAGAGATGCCCCGAGAACACTGTCCCAAGTCTAGAGGAACACCAACTTCAGCACAGCAACTCGAGGAATGCTCTGTGTACACCAAATCGTCTCGAGATGAGAGCTGATTCCTGGCTTAGGCTCAAGACGTATGCCAACTCCCCAGAAGCACCTCAGGAGGAGGCTTCTCTCAGCAATAGGTATGTGGGAGGGACCCCGAGTTTGCTGCCTCAAGGGGAATATACAGCGAGAAGCCCTAACTTGAAAGGAGGCCGGATTTCCATGCAGGGGCTTGAATACAGGCTCGTCTTTCATCTCACATCATGAAGGGATGTCTGAATCCCCTGTGGAGACCTTAGAGAAAGCCCTAGGTCCCTTCCTCATTTTGACGGAATTCCTCACATCCCGCCGACACCTCAAGAGGCACGCGGAGTTCATTGCTTCAAAAGGTGACGATGCCTGACTCCTCTTGAATACTGATAGGAATCCCAAAATCCCTGTGGCTACTGGAAAGGGTCCTTGGGTGCCCTGCCTCACCTCGAGAAGCGTCCCTTTTGCCCTGCCAGGCCTCGAAGAGATTCCTGAGGTGTCCCTCGTTACTAGACAGGAGTCCTGACGTCACTGAAGAAACTCGTGTTTTGAAGGCCCATCCCCGCCGTAAGTCGAGAACATACCCCAGGTCCCCGCCGCAACTCGAGAAAAACAATGAGACTTTCCCCTAGAGGCGAGATGAGGCCCCATTCCCCTGCAGTGCATGCAGAGCTATTCCGTGATCCCATTCAAACAAGTCAGGAGCTTCGACTTGCTTAATGGATCTCGAGACAGTCCCCAAGAACACTGTCACCAGTCTAGACGGACCCTGAGGTCACCCCAGCAACGCAAAGCAGCTCCATGTGCCCCAAATCAACTCGAGATGAGGCCCGATTCCCCTGCATTGACTCCAGAGCCATTCCCCGTTCCCCATTCAACACGACCGGTGGCTCGACTTCCTTCAGGCAACTCCAGAGATGCCCTGAGAACACTGTCCCAAGTCTAGAGGAACACCAACTTCAGCACAGCAACTCGAGGAATGCTCCGTGTACACCAAATCGTCTCGAGATGAGAGCTGATTCCCTGGCTTAGGCTCAAGACGTATGCCAACTCCCCAGAAGCACCTCAGGAGGAGGCTTCTCTCAGCAATAGGTATGTGGGAGGGACCCCGAGTTTGCTGCCTCAAGGGGAATATACAGCGAGAAGCCCTAACTTGAAAGGAGGCCAGATTTCCTTGCAGTGGCTTGAATACAGGCTCCTCTTTGATCTCACAACATGAAGGGATATCTGAATCCCCTGCGGAGACCTTAGAGAAAGCCTTAGGTCCCTGCCTCATTTTGACGGAATGCCTCACATCCCGCTGACACCTCGAGAGGCACGCGGAGTTCATTGCTTCAAAAGGTGACGATGCCTGACTCCTCTTGAATACTGATAGGAATCCCAAAATCCCTGTGGCTACTTTAAAGGGTCCTTGGGTGCCCTGCCTCACCTCGAGAAGCGTCCCTTTTCCCTGCCAAGCCTCTAAGAGACTCCTGAGGTGTCCCTCGTTACTAGACAGGAGTCCTGACGTCACTGAAGAAACTCGTGTTTTGAAGGGCCATCCCCGCCGTAAGTTGAGAACATACCCCAGGTCCCCGCCGCAACTCGAGAAAAACCATGAGACTTCCCCCTAGAGGCGAGATGAGGCCCCATTCCCCTGCAGTGCATGCAGAGCTATTCCGTGATCCCATTCAAACAAGTCAGGAGCTTCGACTTGCTTAATGGATCTCGAGACAGTCCCCAAGAACACTGTCACCAATCCAGACGGACCCTGAGGTCACCCCAGCACCGCAAAGCAGCTCCATGTGCCCCAAATCAACTCGAGATGAGGCCCGATTCCCCTGCATTGACTCCAGAGCCATTCCCCGTTCCCCATTCAACACGACCTGTGGCTCGACTTCCTTCAGGCAACTCCAGAGATGCCCCGAGAACACTGTCCCAAGTCTAGAGGAACACCAACTTCAGCACAGCCACTCGAGGAATGCTCCGTGTACCCCAAATCGTCTCGAGATGAGAGCTGATTCTCTGGCTTAGGCTCAAGACGTATGCCAACTTCCCAGAAGCACCTCAGGAGGAGGGTTCTCTCAGCAATAGGTATGTGGGAGGGACCCAGAGTTTGCTGCCTCAAGGGGAATATACAGCGAGAAGCCCTAACTTGAAAGGAGTCCGAATTTCCTTGCAGTGGCTTGAATACAGGCTCGTCTTTCATCTCACAACATGAAGGTATGTCTGAATCCCCTGTGGAGACCTTAGAGAAAGCCCTAGGTCCTTGCCTCATTTTGACGGAATGCCTCACATCCCGCTGACACCTCGAGAGGCACGCGGAGTTAATTGCTTCAAAAATGACGATGCCTGACTCCTCTTGAATACTGATAGGAATCCCAAAATCCCTGTGGCTACTGGAAAGGGTCCTTGGGTGCCCTGCCTCACCTCGAGAAGCATCCCTTTTGCCCTGGCATGCCTCGAAGAGATTCCTGAGGTGTCCCTCGTTACTAGACAGGAGTCCTGACGTCACTGAAGAAACTCGTGTTTTGAAGGGCCATCCCCGCCATAAGTCGAGAACATACCCCAGGTCCCCGCCGCAACTCGAGAACAACAATGAGACTTCCCCCTAGAGGCGAGATGAGGCCCCATTCCCCTGCAGTGCATGCAGAGCTATTCCGTGATCCCATTCAAACAAGTCAGGAGCTTCGACTTGCTTAATGGATCTCAAGACAGTCCCCAAGAACACTGTCACCAGTCCAGACGGACCCTGAGGTTACCCCAGCACCGCAAAGCAGCTCCATGTGCCCCAAATCAACTCGAGATGAGGCCCGATTCCCCTGCATTGACTCCAGAGCCATTCCCCGTTCGCCATTCAACACGACCGGTGGCTCGACTTCCTTCAGGCAACTCCAGAGATGCCCCGAGAACACTGTCCCAAGTCTAGAGGAACACCAACTTCAGCACAGCAACTCAAGGAATGCTCCGTGTACCCCAAATCGTCTCGAGATGAGAGCTGATTCCCTGGCTCAGGCTCAAGACGTATGCCAACTTCCCAGAAGCACCTCAGGAGGAGGCTTCTCTCAGCAATAGGTATGTGGGAGGGACCCCGAGTTTGCTGCCTCAAGGGGAATATACAGCGAGAAGGCCTAACTTGAAAGGAGTCCGAATTTCCTTGCAGTGGCTTGAATACAGGCTCGTCTTTCATCTCACAACATGAAGGGATGTCTGAATCCCCTGTGGAGACCTTAGAGAAAGCCCTAGGTCCCTGCCTCATTTTGACGGAATGCCTCACATCCCGTTGACACCTCGAGAGGCACGCGGAGTTAATTGCTTGAAAAATGACGATGCCTGACTCCTCTTGAATACTGATAGGAATCCCAAAATCCCTGTGGCTACTGGAAAGGGTCCTTGGGTGCCCTGCCCACCTCGAGAAGCGTCCCTTTTGCCCTGCCAAGCCTCAAAGAGATTTCTGAAGTGTCCCTCGTTACTAGACAGGAGTCCTGACGTCACTGAAGAAACTCGTGTTTTGAAGGCCCATCCCCGCCCTAAGTCGAGAACATACCCCAGGTCCCCGCCGCAACTCGAGAAAAACCATGAGACTTCCCCCTAGAGGCGAGATGAGGCCCCAATCCCCTGCAGTGCATGCAGAGCTATTCCGTGATCCCATTCATACAAGTCAGGAGCTTCGACTTGCTTAATGGATCTCGAGACAGTCCCCAAGAACACTGTCACCAGTCTAGACGGACCCTGAGGTCACCCCAGCAACGCAAAGCAGCTCCATGTGCCCCAAATCAACTCGAGATGGGGCCCGATTCCCCTGCATTGACTCCAGAGCCATTCCTCGTTCCCCATTCAACACGACCGGTGGCTCGACTTCCTTCAGGAAACTCCAAAGATGCCCCAAGAACACTGTCCCAAGTCTAGAGGAACACCAACTTCAGCACAGCAACTCGAGGAATGCTCCGTGTACCCCAAATCGTCTCGAGATGAGAGCTGATTCCCTCGCTTAGGCTCAAGACGTATGCCAACTTTCCAGAAGCACCTCAGGAGGAGGCTTCTCTCAGCAATAGTTATGTGGGAGGGACCCCGAGTTTGCTGCCTCAAGGGGAATATACAGCGAGAAGCCCTAACTTGAAAGGAGGCCGGATTTCCTTGCAGGGGCTTGAATACAGGCTCGTCTTTCATCTCACAACATGAAGGGATGTCTGAATCCCCTGTGGAGACCTTAGAGAAAGCCCTAGGTCCCTGCCTCATTTTGACGGAATGCCTCACATCCCGCTGACACCTCGAGAGGCACGCGGAGTTCATTGCTTCAAAAGGTGACGATGCCTGACTCCTCTTGAATACTGATAGGAATCCCAAACTCGCTGTGGCTACTGGAAAGGGTCCTTGGGTGCCCTGCCTCACCTCGAGAAGCGTCCCTTTTGCCCTGCCAAGCCTCGAAGAGATTCCTCAGGTGTCCCTCGTTACTAGACAGGAGTCCTGATGTCACTGAAGAAACTCGTGGTTTGAAGGGCCATCCCCGCCGTAAGTCGAGGACATACCCCAGGTCCCCATCGCAAGTCCATAAAAACCATGAGACTTCCCCCTAGAGGGGAGATGAGGCCCCATTCCCCTGCAGTGCATGCAGAGCTATTCCGTGATCCCATTGAAACAAGTCAGGAGCTTTGACTTCCTTAATGGATCTCGAGACAGTCCCCAAGAACACTGTCACCAGTCTAGACGGACCATGAGGTCACCCCAGCAACGCAAAGCAGCTCCATGTGCCCCAAATCAACTCTAGATGAGGCCCGATTCCGCTGCATTGACTCCAGAGCCATTCCCCGTTCCCCATTCAACATGACCTTTAGCTCGACTTCCTTCACGCAACTCCAGAGATGCCCCGAGAACACTGTCCCAAGTCTAGAGGAACAACAACTTCAGCACAGCAACTCGAGGAATGATCCGTGTACCCCAAATCGTCTCGAGATGAGAGCTGATTCCCTGGCTTAGGCTCAATACGTATGCCAACTTTCCAGAAGCACCTCAGGAGGAGGCTTCTCTCAGCAATAGGTATGTGGGAGGGACACCGAGTTTGCTGCCTCAAGGGGAATATACAGCGAGAAACCCTAACTTGAAAGGAGGCCAGATTTCCTTGCAGTGGCTTGAATACAGGCTCGTCTTTCATCTCATAACATGAAGGGATGTCTGAATCCCCTGTGGAGACCTTAGAGAAAGCCCTAGGTCCCTGCCTCATTTTGACGGAATGCCTCACATCCCGCTGACACCTCGAGAGGCACGCGGAGTTCATTGATTCAAAAGGTGACGATGCCTGACTCCTCTTGAATGCTGATAGGAATCCCAAAATAACTGTGGCTACTGGAAAGGGTCCTTGGGTGTCCTGCCTCACCTCCAGAAGCGTCCCATTTGCCCTGCCAAGCCTCGAAGAGATTCCTGAGGTGTCCCTCGTTACTAGACAGGAGTCCTGACGTCAGTGAAGAAACTCGTGTTCTGAAGGGCCAGCCCCGCCGTAAGTCGAGAACATACCCAAGGTCCCCGCCGCAACTAGAGAAAAACCATGAGACTTCCCCCTAGAGGCGAGATGAGGCCCCATTCCCCTGCAGTGCATGCAGAGATATTCCGTGATCCCATTCAAACAAGTCAGGAGCTTCGACTTGCTTAATGGGTCTCGAGACAGTCCCCAAGAACACTGTCACCAGTCTAGACGGACCCTGAGGTCACCCCAGCAACGCAAAGCAGCTCCATGTGCCCCAAATCAACTCGAGATGAGGCCCGTTTCCCCTGCATTGACTCCAGAGCCATTCCCCGTTCCCCATTCAACACGACCGGTGGCTCGACTTCCTTCAGGCAACTCCAGAGATGCCCTGAGAACACTGTCCCAAGTCTAGAGGAACACCAACTTCAGCACAGCAACTCGAGGAATGCTCCGTGTACCCCAAATCGTCTCGAGATGAGAGCTGATTCCCTGGCTTAGGCTCAAGACATATGCCAACTCCCCAGAAACACCTCAGGAGGAGGCTTCTCTCAGCAATAGGTATGTGGGAGGGACCCCGAGTTTGCTGCCTCAAGGGGAATATACAGCGAGAAGCCCTAACTTGAAAGGAGGCTGGATTTCCTTGCAGTGGCTTGAATACAGGCTCGTCTTTCATCTCACAACATGCAGGGATGTCTCAATGCCCTGTGGAGACCTTAGAGAAAGCCCTAGGTCCCTGCCTCATTTTGACGGAATGCCTCACATCCCGCTGACACCTCGACAGGCACGCGGAGTTAATTGCTTCAAAAATGACGATGCCTGACTCCTCTTGAATACTGATAGGAATCCCAAAATCCCTGTGGCTACTGGAAAGGGTCCTTGGGTGCCCTGCCTCACCTCGAGAAGCATCCCTTTTGCCCTGGCAAGCCTCGAAGAGATTCCTGAGGTGTCCCTCGTTACTAGACAGGAGTCCTGACGTCACTGAAAAAACTCGTGTTTTGAAGGGCCATCCCCGCCGTAAGTTGAGAACATACCCCAGGTCCCCGCCGCAACTCGAGAAAAACCATGAGATTTCCCCCTAGAGGCGAGATGAGGCCCCATTCCCCTGCAGTGCATGCAGAGCTATTCCGTGATCCCATTCAAACAAGTCAGGAGCTTCGACTTGCTTAATGGATCTCGAGACAGTCCCCAAGAACACTGTCACCAGTCTAGACGGACCCTGAGGTCACCCCAGCACCGCAAAGCAGCTCCATGTGCCCGAAATCAACTCGAGATGGGGCCCGATTCCCCTGCATTGACTCCAGAGCCATTCCTCGTTCCCCATTCAACACGACCGGTGGCTCGACTTCCTTCAGGAAACTCCAGAGATGCCCCAAGAACACTGTCCCAAGTCGAGAGGAACAACAACTTCAGCACAGCAACTCGAGGAATGCTCCGTGTACCCCAAATCGTCTGGAGATGAAAGCTGATTCCCTGGCTTAGGCTCAAGACATATGCCAACTTTCCAGAAGCACCTCAGGAGGAGGCTTCTCTCAGCAATAGTTATGTGGGAGGGACCCTGAGTTTGCTGCCTCAAGGGGAATATACAGCGAGAAGCCCTAACTTGAAAGGAGGCCGGATTTCCTTGCATTGGCTTGAATACAGGATCGTCTTTCATCTCACAACATGAAGGGATGTCTGAATCCCCTGTGGAGACCTTAGAGAAAGCCCTAGGTCCCTGCCTCATTTTGACGGAATGCCTCACATCCCGCTGAGACCTCGAGAGGCACGCGGAGTTCATTGCTTCAAAAGGTGACGATGCCTGACTCCTCTTGAATACTGATAGGAATCCCAAAATCCCTGTGGCTACTGGAAAGGGTCCTTGGGTGCCCTGCCTCACCTCGAGAAGCATCCCTTTTGCCCTGGCAAGCCTCGAAGAGATTCCTGAGGTGTCCCTCGTTACTAGACAGGAATCCTGACGTCACTGAAGAAACTCGTGTTTTGAAGGGCCATCCCCGCCCTAAGTCGAGAACATACCCCAGGTCCCCGCCGCAACTCGAGAAAAACCATGAGACTTCCCCCTAGAGGCGAGATGAGGCCCCAATCCCCTGCAGTGCATGCAGAGCTATTCCGTGATCCCATTCATACAAGTCAGGAGCTTCGACTTGCTTAATGGATCTCGAGACAGTCCCCAAGAACACTGTCACCAGTCTAGACGGACCCTGAGGTCACCCCAGCAACGCAAAGCAGCTCCATGTGCCCCAAATCAACTCGAGATGGGGCCCGATTCCCCTGCATTGACTCCAGAGCCATTCCTCGTTCCCCATTCAACACGACCAGTGGCTGGACTTCCTTCAGCACCTCCAGAGATGCCCCGAGAACACTGTCCCAAGTCTAGAGGAACACCAACTTCAGCACAGCAACTCGAGGAATGCTCTGTGTACCCCAAATGGTCTCGAGATGAGAGCTGATTCCCTGGCTTAGGCTCAAGACGTATGCCAACTCCCCAGAAGCACCACAGGAGGAGGCTTCTCTCAGCAATAGGTATGTGGGAGGGACCCCGAGTTTGCTGCCTCAAGGGGAATATACAGCGAGAAGCCCTAACTTGAAAGGAGGCCGGATTTCCATGCAGGGGCTTGAATACAGGCTCGTCTTTCATCTCACAACATGAAGGGATGTCTGAATCCCCTGTGGAGACCTTAGAGAAAGCCCTAGGTCCCTGCCTCATTTTGACAGAATGCCTCACATCCCGCTGACACCTGAAGAGGCACGCGGAGTTCATTGCTTCAAAAGGTGACGATGCCTGACTCCTCTTGAATACTGATAGGAATCCCAAAATCCCTGTGGCTACTGGAAAGGGTCTTGGGTGCCCTGCCTCACCTCGAGAAGCGTCCCATTTGCCCTGCCAAGCCTCGAAGAGATTCCTGAGGTGTCCCTCGTTACTAGACAGGAGTCCTGACGTCACTGAAAAAACTCATGTTTGGAAGGGCCATCCCCGCCGTAAGTCGAGAACATACCCCAGGTCCCCGCCGCAACTCGAGAAAAACCATGAGACTTCCCCCTAGAGGCGAGATGAGGCCCCATTCCCCTGCAGTGCATGCAGAGCTATTCCGTGATCCCATTCAAACAAGTCAGGAGCTTCGACTTGCTTAATGGATCTCGAGACAGTCCCCAAGAACACTGTCACCAGTCTAGACGGACCCTGAGGTCACCCCAGCACCGCAAAGCAGCTCCTTGTGCCCGAAATCAACTCGAGATGGGGCCCGATTCCCCTGCATTGACTCCAGAGCCATTCCTCGTTCCCCATTCAACACGACCGGTGGCTCGACTTCCTTCAGGAAACTCCAGAGATGCCCCAAGAACACTGTCCCAAGTCGAGAGGAACAACAACTTCAGCACAGCAACTCGAGGAATGCTCCGTGTACCCCAAATCATCTCGAGATGAGAGCTGATTCCCTGGCTTAGGCTCAAGACGTATGCCAACTTTCCAGAAGCACCTCAGGAGGAGGCTTCTCTCAGCAATAGGTATGTGGGTGGGACCCCGAGTTTGCTGCCTCAAGGGGAATATACAGCGAGAAGCCCTAACTTGAAAGGAGGCCGGATTTCCTTGCAGGGGCTTGAATACAGGCTCGTCTTTCATCTCACAACATGAAGGGATGTCTGAATCCCCTGTGGAGACCTTAGAGAAAGCCCTAGGTCCCTGCCTCATTTTGACGGAATGCCTCACATCCCGCTGACACCTAGAGAGGCACGCGGAGTTCATTGCTTCAAAAGGTGACGATGCCTGACTCCTCTTGAATACCGATAGGAATCCCAAAATCCCTGTGGCTACTGGAAAGGGTCCTTGGGTGCCCTGCCTCACCTCGAGAAGCGTCCCTTTTGCCCTGCCAAGCCTCGAAGAGATTCCTGAGGTGTCCCTCGTTACTAGACAGGAGTCCTGACGTCACTGAAGAAACTCGTGTTCTGAAGGGCCAGCCCCGCCGTAAGTCGAGAACATAACCCAGGTCCCTGCCGCAACTCGAGAAAAACCATGAGACTTCCCCCTAGAGGCGAGATGAGGCCCCATTCCCCTGCAGTGCATGCAGAGCTATTCCGTGATCCCATTCAAACAAGTCAGGAGCTTCGACTTGCTTAATGGGTCTCGAGACAGTCCCCAAGAACACTGTCACCAGTCTAGACGGACCCTGAGGTCACCCCAGCAACGCAAAGCAGCTCCATGTGCCCCAAATCAACTCGAGATGAGGCCCGATTCCCCTGCTTTGACTCCAGAGCCATTCCTCGTTCCCCATTCAACACGCCCGGTGGCTCGACTTCCTTCAGGCAACTCCAGAGATGCCCCGAGAACACTGTTCCAAGTCTAGAGGAACACCAACTTCAGCACAGCAATTCTAGGAATCCTCCGTGTACCCCAAATCGTCTGGAGATGAAAGCTGATTCCCTGGCTTAGGCTCAAGACATATGCCAACTTTCCAGAAGCACCTCAGGAGGAGGCTTCTCTCAGCAATGGTTATGTGGGAGGGACCCTGAGTTTGCTGCCTCAAGGGGAATATACAGCGAGAAGCCCTAACTTGAAAGGAGGCCGGATTTCCTTGCATTGGCTTGAATACAGGATCGTCTTTCATCTCACAACATGAAGGGATGTCTGAATCCCCTGTGGAGACCTTAGAGAAAGCCCTAGGTCCCTGCCTCATTTTGACGGAATGCCTCACATCCCGCTGAGACCTCGAGAGGCACGCGGAGTTCATTGCTTCAAAAGGTGACGATGCCTGACTCCTCTTGAATACTGATAGGAATCCCAAAATCCCTGTGGCTACTGGAAAGGGTCCTTGGGTGCCCTGCCTCACCTCGAGAAGCATCCCTTTTGCCCTGGCAAGCCTCGAAGTGATTCCTGAGGTGTCCCTCGTTACTAGACAGGAGTCCTGACGTCACTGAAGAAACTCGTGTTTTGAAGGGCCATCCCCGCCCTAAGTCGAGAACATACCCCAGGTCCCCGCCGCAACTCGAGAAAAACCATGAGACTTCCCCCTAGAGGCGAGATGAGACCCCAATCCCCTGCAGTGCATGCAGAGCTATTCCGTGATCCCATTCATACAAGTCAGGAGCTTCGACTTGCTTAATGGATCTCGAGACAGTCCCCAAGAACACTGTCACCAGTCTAGACGGACCCTGAGGTCACCCCAGCAACGCAAAGCAGCTCCATGTGCCCCAAATCAACTCGAGATGGGGCCCGATTCCCCTGCATTGACTCCAGAGCCATTCCTCGTTCCCCATTCAACACGACCAGTGGCTGGACTTCCTTCAGGCAACTCCAGAGATGCCCCGAGAACACTGTTCCAAGTCTAGAGGAACACCAACTTCAGCACAGCAACTCGAGGAATGCTCCGTGTACCCCAAATCGTGTCGAGATGAGAGCTGATTCCCTCGCTTAGGCTCAAGACATATGCCAACTTTCCAGAAGCACCTCAGGAGGAGGCTTCTCTCAGCAATAGGTATGTGGGAGGGACCCCGAGTTTGCTGCCTCAAGGGGAATATACAGAGAGAAGCCCTAACTTGAAAGGAGGCCGGATTTCCTTGCAGGGGCTTGAATACAGGATCGTCTTTCATCTCACAACATGAAGGGATGTCTGAATCCCCTGTGGAGACCTTAGAGAAAGCCCTAGGTCCCTGCCTCATTTTGACGGAATGCCTCACATCCCGCTGAGACCTCGAGAGGCACGCGGAGTTCATTGCTTCAAAAGGTGACGATGCCTGACTCCTCTTGAATACTGATAGGAATCCCAAAATCCCTGTGGCTACTGGAAAGGGTCCTTGGGTGCCCAGCCTCACCTCGAGAAGCGTCCCATTTGCTCTGCCAAGCCTCGAAGAGATTCCTGAGGTGTCCCTCGTTACTAGACAGGAGTCCTGACGTCACTGAAGAAACTCGTGTTTTGAAGGGCCATCCCCGCCGTAAGTCGAGAACATACCCCAGGTCCCCGCCGCAACTCGAGAAAAACCGTAAGACTTCCCCCTAGAGGCGAGATGAAGCCCCATTCCCCTGCAGTGCATGCAGAGCTATTCCGTGATCCCATTCAAACAAGTCAGGAGCTTCGACTTGCTTAATGGATCTCGAGAGAGTCCCCAAGAACACTGTCACCAGTCCAGACGGACCCTGAGGTCACCCCAGCACCGCACAGCAGCTCCATGTGCCCCAAATCAACTCGAGATGAGGCCCGATTCCCCTGCATTGACTCCAGAGCCATTCCCCGTTCCCCATTCAACACGACCGGTGGCTCGACTTCCTTCAGCACCTCCAGAGATGCCCCGAGAACACTGTCCCAAGTCTAGAGGAACACCAACTTCAGCACAGCAACTCGAGGAATGCTCTGTGTACCCCAAATCGTCTCGAGATGAGAGCTGATTCCCTGGCTTAGGCTCAAGACGTATGCCAACTCCCCAGAAGCACCTCAGGAGGAGGCTTCTCTCAGCAATAGGTATGTGGGAGGGACCCCGAGTTTGCTGCCTTAAGGGGAATATACAGCGAGAAGCCCTAACTTGAAAGGAGGCCGGATTTCCATGCAGGGGCTTGAATACAGGCTCGTCTTTCATCTCACAACATGAAGGGATGTCTGAATCCCCTGTGGAGACCTTAGAGAAAGCCCTAGGTCCCTGCCTCATTTTGACAGAATGCCTCACATCCCGCTGACACCTGAAGAGGCACGCGGAGTTCATTGCTTCAAAAGGTGACGATGCCTGACTCCTCTTGAATACTGATAGGAATCCCAAAATCCCTGTGGCTACTGGAAAGGGTCCTTGGGTGCCCTGCCTCACCTCGAGAAGCGTCCCATTTGCCCTGCCAAGCCTCGAAGAGATTCCTGAGGTGTCCCTCGTTACTAGACAGGAGTCCTGACGTCACTGAAGAAACTCGTGTTCTGAAGGGCCAGCCCCGCCGCAATTCGAGAACATACCCCAGGTCCCCGCCGCAACAAGAGAAAAACCATGAGACTTCCCCCTAGAGGTGAGATGAGGCCCCATTCCCCTGCAGTGCATGCAGAGATATTCCGTGATCCCATTCAAACAAGTCAGGAGCTTCGACTTGCTTAATGGGTCTCGAGACAGTCCCCAAGAACACTGTCACCAGTCTAGACGGACCCTGAGGTCACCCCAGCAACGCAAAGCAGCTCCATGTGCCCCAAATCAACTCGAGATGAGGCCCGTTTCCCCTGCATTGACTCCAGAGCCATTCCCCGTTCCCCATTCAACACGACCGGTGGCTCGACTTCCTTCAGGCAACTCCAGAGATGCCCTGAGAACACTGTCCCAAGTCTAGAGGAACACCAACTTCAGCACAGCAACTCGAGGAATGCTCCGTGTACCCCAAATCGTCTCGAGATGAGAGCTGATTCCCTGGCTTAGGCTCAAGACGTATGCCAACTCCCCAGAAACACCTCAGGAGGAGGCTTCTCTCAGCAATAGGTATGTGGGAGGGACCCCGAGTTTGCTGCCTCAAGGGGAATATACAGCGAGAAGCCCTAACTTGAAAGGAGGCCGGATTTCCTTGCAGTGGCTTGAATACAGGCTCGTCTTTCATCTCACAACATGAAGGGATGTCTCAATGCCCTGTGGAGACCTTAGAGAAAGCCCTAGGTCCCTGCCTCATTTTGACGGAATGCCTCACATCCCGCTGACACCTCGAGAGGCACGCGGAGTTCATTGCTTCAAAAATGACGATGCCTGACTCCTCTTGAATACTGATAGGAATCCCAAAATCCCTGTGGCTACTGGAAAGGGTCCTTGGGTGCCCTGCCTCACCTCGAGAAGCGTCCCTTTTGCCCTGCCAAGCCTCGAAGAGATTCCTGAGGTGTCCCTCGTTACTAGACAGGAGTCCTAACGTCACTGAGGGAACTCGTGTTTTGAAGGGCGATCCCCGCCGTAAATCGAGAACATACCCCAGGGCCCGCCGCAACTCGAGAAAAACCATGAGACTTCCCCCTAGAGGCGAGAAAGGCCCCATTCCCCTGCAGTGCATGCAGAGCTATTCCGTGATCCCATTCAAACAAGTCAGGAGCTTCGACTTGCTTAATGGATCTCGAGACAGTCCCCAAGAACACTGTCACCAGTCTAGACGGACCCTGAGGTCACCCCAGCACCGCAAAGCAGCTCCATGTGCCCGAAATCAACTCGAGATGGGGCCCGATTCCCCTGCATTGACTCCAGAGCCATTCCCCGTTCCCCATTCAACACGACCGGTGGCTCGACTTCCTTCAGGCAACTCCAGAGATGCCCTGAGAACACTGTCCCAAGTCTAGAGGAACACCAACTTCAGCACAGCAACTCGAGGAATGCTCCGGGTACCCCAAATCGTCTCGAGATGAGAGCTGATTCCCTGGCTTAGGCTCAAGACGTATGCCAACTTTCCAGAAGCACCTCAGGAGGAGGCTTCTCTCAGCAATAGTTATGTGGGAGGGACCCTGAGTTTGCTGCCTCAAGGGGAATATACAGCGAGAAGCCCTAACTTGAAAGGAGGCCGGATTTCCTTGCATTGGCTTGAATACAGGATCGTCTTTCATCTCACAACATGAAGGGATGTCTGAATCCCCTGTGGAGACCTTAGAGAAAGCCCTAGGTCCCTGCCTCATTTTGACGGAATGCCTCACATCCCGCTGAGACCTCGAGAGGCACGCGGAGTTCATTGCTTCAAAAGGTGACGACGCCTGACTCCTCTTGAATACTGATAGGAATCCCAAAATCCCTGTGGCTACTGGAAAGGGTCCTTGGGTGCCCTGCCTCACCTCGAGAAGCATCCCTTTTGCCCTGGCAAGCCTCGAAGAGATTCCTGAGGTGTCCCTCGTTACTAGACAGGAGTCCTGACGTCACTGAAGAAACTCGTGTTTTGAAGGGCCATCCCCGCCGTAAGTCGAGAACATACCCCAGGTCCCCGCCGCAACTCGAGAAAAACCATGAGACTTCCCCCTAGAGGCGAGATGAGGCCCCAATCCCCTGCAGTGCATGCAGAGCTATTCCGTGATCCCATTCATACAAGTCAGGAGCTTCGACTTGCTTAATGGATCTCGAGACAGTCCCCAAGAACACTGTCACCAGTCTAGACGGACCCTGAGGTCACCCCAGCAACGCAAAGCAGCTCCATGTGCCCCAAATCAACTCGAGATGAGGCCCGATTCCCCTGCATTGACTCCAGAGCCATTCCCCGTTCCCCATTCAACACGCCCGGTGGCTCGACTTCCTTCAGGAAACTCCAGAGATGCCCCAAGAACACTGTCCCAAGTCTAGAGGAACACCAAATTCAGCACAGCAACTCGAGGAATGCTCCGTGTACCCCAAATCGTCTCGAGATGAGAGCTGATTCCCTGGCTTAGGCTCAAGACATATGCCAACTCCCCAGAAACACCTCAGGAGGAGGCTTCTCTCAGCAATAGGTATGTGGGAGGGACCCCGAGTTTGCTGCCTCAAGGGGAATATACAGCGAGAAGCCCTAACTTGAAAGGAGGCCGGATTTCCTTGCAGTGGCTTGAATACAGGCTCGTCTTTCATCTCACAACATGCAGGGATGTCTCAATGCCCTGTGGAGACCTTAGAGAAAGCCCTAGGTCCCTGCCTCATTTTGACGGAATGCCTCACATCCCGCTGACACCTCGACAGGCACGCGGAGTTAATTGCTTCAAAAATGACGATGCCTGACTCCTCTTGAATACTGATAGGAATCCCAAAATCCCTGTGGCTACTGGAAAGGGTCCTTGGGTGCCCTGCCTCACCTCGAGAAGCATCCCTTTTGCCCTGGCAAGCCTCGAAGAGATTCCTGAGGTGTCCCTCGTTACTAGACAGGAGTCCTGACGTCACTGAAAAAACTCGTGTTTTGAAGGGCCATCCCCGCCGTAAGTTGAGAACATACCCCAGGTCCCCGCCGCAACTCGAGAAAAACCATGAGATTTCCCCCTAGAGGCGAGATGAGGCCCCATTCCCCTGCAGTGCATGCAGAGCTATTCCGTGATCCCATTCAAACAAGTCAGGAGCTTCGACTTGCTTAATGGATCTCGAGACAGTCCCCAAGAACACTGTCACCAGTCTAGACGGACCCTGAGGTCACCCCAGCACCGCAAAGCAGCTCCATGTGCCCGAAATCAACTCGAGATGGGGCCCGATTCCCCTGCATTGACTCCAGAGCCATTCCTCGTTCCCCATTCAACACGACCGGTGGCTCGACTTCCTTCAGGAAACTCCAGAGATGCCCCAAGAACACTGTCCCAAGTCGAGAGGAACAACAACTTCAGCACAGCAACTCGAGGAATGCTCCGTGTACCCCAAATCGTCTGGAGATGAAAGCTGATTCCCTGGCTTAGGCTCAAGACATATGCCAACTTTCCAGAAGCACCTCAGGAGGAGGCTTCTCTCAGCAATAGTTATGTGGGAGGGACCCTGAGTTTGCTGCCTCAAGGGGAATATACAGCGAGAAGCCCTAACTTGAAAGGAGGCCGGATTTCCTTGCATTGGCTTGAATACAGGATCGTCTTTCATCTCACAACATGAAGGGATGTCTGAATCCCCTGTGGAGACCTTAGAGAAAGCCCTAGGTCCCTGCCTCATTTTGACGGAATGCCTCACATCCCGCTGAGACCTCGAGAGGCACGCGGAGTTCATTGCTTCAAAAGGTGACGATGCCTGACTCCTCTTGAATACTGATAGGAATCCCAAAATCCCTGTGGCTACTGGAAAGGGTCCTTGGGTGCCCTGCCTCACCTCGAGAAGCATCCCTTTTGCCCTGGCAAGCCTCGAAGAGATTCCTGAGGTGTCCCTCGTTACTAGACAGGAGTCCTGACGTCACTGAAGAAACTCGTGTTTTGAAGGGCCATCCCCGCCCTAAGTCGAGAACATACCCCAGGTCCCCGCCGCAACTCGAGAAAAACCATGAGACTTCCCCCTAGAGGCGAGATGAGGCCCCAATCCCCTGCAGTGCATGCAGAGCTATTCCGTGATCCCATTCATACAAGTCAGGAGCTTCGACTTGCTTAATGGATCTCGAGACAGTCCCCAAGAACACTGTCACCAGTCTAGACGGACCCTGAGGTCACCCCAGCAACGCAAAGCAGCTCCATGTGCCCCAAATCAACTCGAGATGGGGCCCGATTCCCCTGCATTGACTCCAGAGCCATTCCTCGTTCCCCATTCAACACGACCAGTGGCTGGACTTCCTTCAGCACCTCCAGAGATGCCCCGAGAACACTGTCCCAAGTCTAGAGGAACACCAACTTCAGCACAGCAACTCGAGGAATGCTCTGTGTACCCCAAATGGTCTCGAGATGAGAGCTGATTCCCTGGCTTAGGCTCAAGACGTATGCCAACTCCCCAGAAGCACCACAGGAGGAGGCTTCTCTCAGCAATAGGTATGTGGGAGGGACCCCGAGTTTGCTGCCTCAAGGGGAATATACAGCGAGAAGCCCTAACTTGAAAGGAGGCCGGATTTCCATGCAGGGGCTTGAATACAGGCTCGTCTTTCATCTCACAACATGAAGGGATGTCTGAATCCCCTGTGGAGACCTTAGAGAAAGCCCTAGGTCCCTGCCTCATTTTGACAGAATGCCTCACATCCCGCTGACACCTGAAGAGGCACGCGGAGTTCATTGCTTCAAAAGGTGACGATGCCTGACTCCTCTTGAATACTGATAGGAATCCCAAAATCCCTGTGGCTACTGGAAAGGGTCTTGGGTGCCCTGCCTCACCTCGAGAAGCGTCCCATTTGCCCTGCCAAGCCTCGAAGAGATTCCTGAGGTGTCCCTCGTTACTAGACAGGAGTCCTGACGTCACTGAAAAAACTCATGTTTTGAAGGGCCATCCCCGCCGTAAGTCGAGAACATACCCCAGGTCCCCGCCGCAACTCGAGAAAAACCATGAGACTTCCCCCTAGAGGCGAGATGAGGCCCCATTCCCCTGCAGTGCATGCAGAGCTATTCCGTGATCCCATTCAAACAAGTCAGGAGCTTCGACTTGCTTAATGGATCTCGAGACAGTCCCCAAGAACACTGTCACCAGTCTAGACGGACCCTGAGGTCACCCCAGCACCGCAAAGCAGCTCCTTGTGCCCGAAATCAACTCGAGATGGGGCCCGATTCCCCTGCATTGACTCCAGAGCCATTCCTCGTTCCCCATTCAACACGACCGGTGGCTCGACTTCCTTCAGGAAACTCCAGAGATGCCCCAAGAACACTGTCCCAAGTCGAGAGGAACAACAACTTCAGCACAGCAACTCGAGGAATGCTCCGTGTACCCCAAATCATCTCGAGATGAGAGCTGATTCCCTGGCTTAGGCTCAAGACGTATGCCAACTTTCCAGAAGCACCTCAGGAGGAGGCTTCTCTCAGCAATAGGTATGTGGGTGGGACCCCGAGTTTGCTGCCTCAAGGGGAATATACAGCGAGAAGCCCTAACTTGAAAGGAGGCCGGATTTCCTTGCAGGGGCTTGAATACAGGCTCGTCTTTCATCTCACAACATGAAGGGATGTCTGAATCCCCTGTGGAGACCTTAGAGAAAGCCCTAGGTCCCTGCCTCATTTTGACGGAATGCCTCACATCCCGCTGACACCTAGAGAGGCACGCGGAGTTCATTGCTTCAAAAGGTGACGATGCCTGACTCCTCTTGAATACCGATAGGAATCCCAAAATCCCTGTGGCTACTGGAAAGGGTCCTTGGGTGCCCTGCCTCACCTCGAGAAGCGTCCCTTTTGCCCTGCCAAGCCTCGAAGAGATTCCTGAGGTGTCCCTCGTTACTAGACAGGAGTCCTGACGTCACTGAAGAAACTCGTGTTCTGAAGGGCCAGCCCCGCCGTAAGTCGAGAACATAACCCAGGTCCCTGCCGCAACTCGAGAAAAACCATGAGACTTCCCCCTAGAGGCGAGATGAGGCCCCATTCCCCTGCAGTGCATGCAGAGCTATTCCGTGATCCCATTCAAACAAGTCAGGAGCTTCGACTTGCTTAATGGGTCTCGAGACAGTCCCCAAGAACACTGTCACCAGTCTAGACGGACCCTGAGGTCACCCCAGCAACGCAAAGCAGCTCCATGTGCCCCAAATCAACTCGAGATGAGGCCCGATTCCCCTGCTTTGACTCCAGAGCCATTCCTCGTTCCCCATTCAACACGCCCGGTGGCTCGACTTCCTTCAGGCAACTCCAGAGATGCCCCGAGAACACTGTTCCAAGTCTAGAGGAACACCAACTTCAGCACAGCAATTCTAGGAATCCTCCGTGTACCCCAAATCGTCTGGAGATGAAAGCTGATTCCCTGGCTTAGGCTCAAGACATATGCCAACTTTCCAGAAGCACCTCAGGAGGAGGCTTCTCTCAGCAATGGTTATGTGGGAGGGACCCTGAGTTTGCTGCCTCAAGGGGAATATACAGCGAGAAGCCCTAACTTGAAAGGAGGCCGGATTTCCTTGCATTGGCTTGAATACAGGATCGTCTTTCATCTCACAACATGAAGGGATGTCTGAATCCCCTGTGGAGACCTTAGAGAAAGCCCTAGGTCCCTGCCTCATTTTGACGGAATGCCTCACATCCCGCTGAGACCTCGAGAGGCACGCGGAGTTCATTGCTTCAAAAGGTGACGATGCCTGACTCCTCTTGAATACTGATAGGAATCCCAAAATCCCTGTGGCTACTGGAAAGGGTCCTTGGGTGCCCTGCCTCACCTCGAGAAGCATCCCTTTTGCCCTGGCAAGCCTCGAAGTGATTCCTGAGGTGTCCCTCGTTACTAGACAGGAGTCCTGACGTCACTGAAGAAACTCGTGTTTTGAAGGGCCATCCCCGCCCTAAGTCGAGAACATACCCCAGGTCCCCGCCGCAACTCGAGAAAAACCATGAGACTTCCCCCTAGAGGCGAGATGAGACCCCAATCCCCTGCAGTGCATGCAGAGCTATTCCGTGATCCCATTCATACAAGTCAGGAGCTTCGACTTGCTTAATGGATCTCGAGACAGTCCCCAAGAACACTGTCACCAGTCTAGACGGACCCTGAGGTCACCCCAGCAACGCAAAGCAGCTCCATGTGCCCCAAATCAACTCGAGATGGGGCCCGATTCCCCTGCATTGACTCCAGAGCCATTCCTCGTTCCCCATTCAACACGACCAGTGGCTGGACTTCCTTCAGGCAACTCCAGAGATGCCCCGAGAACACTGTTCCAAGTCTAGAGGAACACCAACTTCAGCACAGCAACTCGAGGAATGCTCCGTGTACCCCAAATCGTGTCGAGATGAGAGCTGATTCCCTCGCTTAGGCTCAAGACATATGCCAACTTTCCAGAAGCACCTCAGGAGGAGGCTTCTCTCAGCAATAGGTATGTGGGAGGGACCCCGAGTTTGCTGCCTCAAGGGGAATATACAGAGAGAAGCCCTAACTTGAAAGGAGGCCGGATTTCCTTGCAGGGGCTTGAATACAGGATCGTCTTTCATCTCACAACATGAAGGGATGTCTGAATCCCCTGTGGAGACCTTAGAGAAAGCCCTAGGTCCCTGCCTCATTTTGACGGAATGCCTCACATCCCGCTGAGACCTCGAGAGGCACGCGGAGTTCATTGCTTCAAAAGGTGACGATGCCTGACTCCTCTTGAATACTGATAGGAATCCCAAAATCCCTGTGGCTACTGGAAAGGGTCCTTGGGTGCCCAGCCTCACCTCGAGAAGCGTCCCATTTGCTCTGCCAAGCCTCGAAGAGATTCCTGAGGTGTCCCTCGTTACTAGACAGGAGTCCTGACGTCACTGAAGAAACTCGTGTTTTGAAGGGCCATCCCCGCCGTAAGTCGAGAACATACCCCAGGTCCCCGCCGCAACTCGAGAAAAACCGTAAGACTTCCCCCTAGAGGCGAGATGAAGCCCCATTCCCCTGCAGTGCATGCAGAGCTATTCCGTGATCCCATTCAAACAAGTCAGGAGCTTCGACTTGCTTAATGGATCTCGAGAGAGTCCCCAAGAACACTGTCACCAGTCCAGACGGACCCTGAGGTCACCCCAGCACCGCACAGCAGCTCCATGTGCCCCAAATCAACTCGAGATGAGGCCCGATTCCCCTGCATTGACTCCAGAGCCATTCCCCGTTCCCCATTCAACACGACCGGTGGCTCGACTTCCTTCAGCACCTCCAGAGATGCCCCGAGAACACTGTCCCAAGTCTAGAGGAACACCAACTTCAGCACAGCAACTCGAGGAATGCTCTGTGTACCCCAAATCGTCTCGAGATGAGAGCTGATTCCCTGGCTTAGGCTCAAGACGTATGCCAACTCCCCAGAAGCACCTCAGGGGGAGGCTTCTCTCAGCAATAGGTATGTGGGAGGGACCCCGAGTTTGCTGCCTTAAGGGGAATATACAGCGAGAAGCCCTAACTTGAAAGGAGGCCGGATTTCCATGCAGGGGCTTGAATACAGGCTCGTCTTTCATCTCACAACATGAAGGGATGTCTGAATCCCCTGTGGAGACCTTAGAGAAAGCCCTAGGTCCCTGCCTCATTTTGACAGAATGCCTCACATCCCGCTGACACCTGAAGAGGCACGCGGAGTTCATTGCTTCAAAAGGTGACGATGCCTGACTCCTCTTGAATACTGATAGGAATCCCAAAATCCCTGTGGCTACTGGAAAGGGTCCTTGGGTGCCCTGCCTCACCTCGAGAAGCGTCCCATTTGCCCTGCCAAGCCTCGAAGAGATTCCTGAGGTGTCCCTCGTTACTAGACAGGAGTCCTGACGTCACTGAAGAAACTCGTGTTCTGAAGGGCCAGCCCCGCCGCAATTCGAGAACATACCCCAGGTCCCCGCCGCAACAAGAGAAAAACCATGAGACTTCCCCCTAGAGGTGAGATGAGGCCCCATTCCCCTGCAGTGCATGCAGAGATATTCCGTGATCCCATTCAAACAAGTCAGGAGCTTCGACTTGCTTAATGGGTCTCGAGACAGTCCCCAAGAACACTGTCACCAGTCTAGACGGACCCTGAGGTCACCCCAGCAACGCAAAGCAGCTCCATGTGCCCCAAATCAACTCGAGATGAGGCCCGTTTCCCCTGCATTGACTCCAGAGCCATTCCCCGTTCCCCATTCAACACGACCGGTGGCTCGACTTCCTTCAGGCAACTCCAGAGATGCCCTGAGAACACTGTCCCAAGTCTAGAGGAACACCAACTTCAGCACAGCAACTCGAGGAATGCTCCGTGTACCCCAAATCGTCTCGAGATGAGAGCTGATTCCCTGGCTTAGGCTCAAGACGTATGCCAACACCCCAGAAACACCTCAGGAGGAGGCTTCTCTCAGCAATAGGTATGTGGGAGGGACCCCGAGTTTGCTGCCTCAAGGGGAATATACAGCGAGAAGCCCTAACTTGAAAGGAGGCCGGATTTCCTTGCAGTGGCTTGAATACAGGCTCGTCTTTCATCTCACAACATGAAGGGATGTCTCAATGCCCTGTGGAGACCTTAGAGAAAGCCCTAGGTCCCTGCCTCATTTTGACGGAATGCCTCACATCCCGCTGACACCTCGAGAGGCACGCGGAGTTCATTGCTTCAAAAATGACGATGCCTGACTCCTCTTGAATACTGATAGGAATCCCAAAATCCCTGTGGCTACTGGAAAGGGTCCTTGGGTGCCCTGCCTCACCTCGAGAAGCGTCCCTTTTGCCCTGCCAAGCCTCGAAGAGATTCCTGAGGTGTCCCTCGTTACTAGACAGGAGTCCTAACGTCACTGAGGGAACTCGTGTTTTGAAGGGCGATCCCCGCCGTAAATCGAGAACATACCCCAGGGCCCGCCGCAACTCGAGAAAAACCATGAGACTTCCCCCTAGAGGCGAGAAAGGCCCCATTCCCCTGCAGTGCATGCAGAGCTATTCCGTGATCCCATTCAAACAAGTCAGGAGCTTCGACTTGCTTAATGGATCTCGAGACAGTCCCCAAGAACACTGTCACCAGTCTAGACGGACCCTGAGGTCACCCCAGCACCGCAAAGCAGCTCCATGTGCCCGAAATCAACTCGAGATGGGGCCCGATTCCCCTGCATTGACTCCAGAGCCATTCCCCGTTCCCCATTCAACACGACCGGTGGCTCGACTTCCTTCAGGCAACTCCAGAGATGCCCTGAGAACACTGTCCCAAGTCTAGAGGAACACCAACTTCAGCACAGCAACTCGAGGAATGCTCCGGGTACCCCAAATCGTCTCGAGATGAGAGCTGATTCCCTGGCTTAGGCTCAAGACGTATGCCAACTTTCCAGAAGCACCTCAGGAGGAGGCTTCTCTCAGCAATAGTTATGTGGGAGGGACCCTGAGTTTGCTGCCTCAAGGGGAATATACAGCGAGAAGCCCTAACTTGAAAGGAGGCCGGATTTCCTTGCATTGGCTTGAATACAGGATCGTCTTTCATCTCACAACATGAAGGGATGTCTGAATCCCCTGTGGAGACCTTAGAGAAAGCCCTAGGTCCCTGCCTCATTTTGACGGAATGCCTCACATCCCGCTGAGACCTCGAGAGGCACGCGGAGTTCATTGCTTCAAAAGGTGACGACGCCTGACTCCTCTTGAATACTGATAGGAATCCCAAAATCCCCTGCCTCACCTCGAGAAGCATCCCTTTTGCCCTGGCAAGCCTCGAAGAGATTCCTGAGGTGTCCCTCGTTACTAGACAGGAGTCCTGACGTCACTGAAGAAACTCGTGTTTTGAAGGGCCATCCCCGCCGTAAGTCGAGAACATACCCCAGGTCCCCGCCGCAACTCGAGAAAAACCATGAGACTTCCCCCTAGAGGCGAGATGAGGCCCCAATCCCCTGCAGTGCATGCAGAGCTATTCCGTGATCCCATTCATACAAGTCAGGAGCTTCGACTTGCTTAATGGATCTCGAGACAGTCCCCAAGAACACTGTCACCAGTCTAGACGGACCCTGAGGTCACCCCAGCAACGCAAAGCAGCTCCATGTGCCCCAAATCAACTCGAGATGAGGCCCGATTCCCCTGCATTGACTCCAGAGCCATTCCCCGTTCCCCATTCAACACGCCCGGTGGCTCGACTTCCTTCAGGAAACTCCAGAGATGCCCCAAGAACACTGTCCCAAGTCTAGAGGAACACCAAATTCAGCACAGCAACTCGAGGAATGCTCCGTGTACCCCAAATCGTCTCGAGATGAGAGCTGATTCCCTGGCTTAGGCTCAAGACGTATGCCAACTCCCCAGAAACACCTCAGGAGGAGGCTTCTCTCAGCAATAGGTATGTGGGAGGGACCCCGAGTTTGCTGCCTCAAGGGGAATATACAGCGAGAAGCCCTAACTTGAAAGGAGGCCGGATTTCCTTGCAGTGGCTTGAATACAGGCTCGTCTTTCATCTCACAACATGAAGGGATGTCTCAATGCCCTGTGGAGACCTTAGAGAAAGCCCTAGGTCCCTGCCTCATTTTGACGGAATGCCTCACATCCCGCTGACACCTCGAGAGGCACGCGGAGTTCATTGCTTCAAAAATGACGATGCCTGACTCCTCTTGAATACTGATAGGAATCCCAAAATCCCTGTGGCTACTGGAAAGGGTCCTTGGGTGCCCTGCCTCACCTCGAGAAGCGTCCCTTTTGCCCTGCCAAGCCTCGAAGAGATTCCTGAGGTGTCCCTCGTTACTAGACAGGAGTCCTAACGTCACTGAGGGAACTCGTGTTTTGAAGGGCGATCCCCGCCGTAAATCGAGAACATACCCCAGGGCCCGCCGCAACTCGAGAAAAACCATGAGACTTCCCCCTAGAGGCGAGAAAGGCCCCATTCCCCTGCAGTGCATGCAGAGCTATTCCGTGATCCCATTCAAACAAGTCAGGAGCTACGACTTGCTTAATGGATCTCGAGACAGTCCCCAAGAACACTGTCACCAGTCTAGACGGACCCTGAGGTCACCCCAGCACCGCAAAGCAGCTCCATGTGCCCGAAATCAACTCGAGATGGGGCCCGATTCCCCTGCATTGACTCCAGAGCCATTCCCCGTTCCCCATTCAACACGACCGGTGGCTCGACTTCCTTCAGGCAACTCCAGAGATGCCCTGAGAACACTGTCCCAAGTCTAGAGGAACACCAACTTCAGCACAGCAACTCGAGGAATGCTCCGGGTACCCCAAATCGTCTCGAGATGAGAGCTGATTCCCTGGCTTAGGCTCAAGACGTATGCCAACTTTCCAGAAGCACCTCAGGAGGAGGCTTCTCTCAGCAATAGTTATGTGGGAGGGACCCTGAGTTTGCTGCCTCAAGGGGAATATACAGCGAGAAGCCCTAACTTGAAAGGAGGCCGGATTTCCTTGCATTGGCTTGAATACAGGATCGTCTTTCATCTCACAACATGAAGGGATGTCTGAATCCCCTGTGGAGACCTTAGAGAAAGCCCTAGGTCCCTGCCTCATTTTGACGGAATGCCTCACATCCCGCTGAGACCTCGAGAGGCACGCGGAGTTCATTGCTTCAAAAGGTGACGACGCCTGACTCCTCTTGAATACTGATAGGAATCCCAAAATCCCTGTGGCTACTGGAAAGGGTCCTTGGGTGCCCTGCCTCACCTCGAGAAGCATCCCTTTTGCCCTGGCAAGCCTCGAAGAGATTCCTGAGGTGTCCCTCGTTACTAGACAGGAGTCCTGACGTCACTGAAGAAACTCGTGTTTTGAAGGGCCATCCCCGCCGTAAGTCGAGAACATACCCCAGGTCCCCGCCGCAACTCGAGAAAAACCATGAGACTTCCCCCTAGAGGCGAGATGAGGCCCCAATCCCCTGCAGTGCATGCAGAGCTATTCCGTGATCCCATTCATACAAGTCAGGAGCTTCGACTTGCTTAATGGATCTCGAGACAGTCCCCAAGAACACTGTCACCAGTCTAGACGGACCCTGAGGTCACCCCAGCAACGCAAAGCAGCTCCATGTGCCCCAAATCAACTCGAGATGAGGCCCGATTCCCCTGCATTGACTCCAGAGCCATTCCCCGTTCCCCATTCAACACGCCCGGTGGCTCGACTTCCTTCAGGAAACTCCAGAGATGCCCCAAGAACACTGTCCCAAGTCTAGAGGAACACCAAATTCAGCACAGCAACTCGAGGAATGCTCCGTGTACCCCAAATCGTCTCGAGATGAGAGCTGATTCCCTGGCTTAGGCTCAAGACATATGCCAACTCCCCAGAAACACCTCAGGAGGAGGCTTCTCTCAGCAATAGGTATGTGGGAGGGACCCCGAGTTTGCTGCCTCAAGGGGAATATACAGCGAGAAGCCCTAACTTGAAAGGAGGCCGGATTTCCTTGCAGTGGCTTGAATACAGGCTCGTCTTTCATCTCACAACATGCAGGGATGTCTCAATGCCCTGTGGAGACCTTAGAGAAAGCCCTAGGTCCCTGCCTCATTTTGACGGAATGCCTCACATCCCGCTGACACCTCGACAGGCACGCGGAGTTAATTGCTTCAAAAATGACGATGCCTGACTCCTCTTGAATACTGATAGGAATCCCAAAATCCCTGTGGCTACTGGAAAGGGTCCTTGGGTGCCCTGCCTCACCTCGAGAAGCATCCCTTTTGCCCTGGCAAGCCTCGAAGAGATTCCTGAGGTGTCCCTCGATACTAGACAGGAGTCCTGACGTCACTGAAAAAACTCGTGTTTTGAAGGGCCATCCCCGCCGTAAGTTGAGAACATACCCCAGGTCCCCGCCGCAACTCGAGAAAAACCATGAGATTTCCCCCTAGAGGCGAGATGAGGCCCCATTCCCCTGCAGTGCATGCAGAGCTATTCCGTGATCCCATTCAAACAAGTCAGGAGCTTCGACTTGCTTAATGGATCTCGAGACAGTCCCCAAGAACACTGTCACCAGTCTAGACGGACCCTGAGGTCACCCCAGCACCGCAAAGCAGCTCCATGTGCCCGAAATCAACTCGAGATGGGGCCCGATTCCCCTGCATTGACTCCAGAGCCATTCCTCGTTCCCCATTCAACACGACCGGTGGCTCGACTTCCTTCAGGAAACTCCAGAGATGCCCCAAGAACACTGTCCCAAGTCGAGAGGAACAACAACTTCAGCACAGCAACTCGAGGAATGCTCCGTGTACCCCAAATCGTCTGGAGATGAAAGCTGATTCCCTGGCTTAGGCTCAAGACATATGCCAACTTTCCAGAAGCACCTCAGGAGGAGGCTTCTCTCAGCAATAGTTATGTGGGAGGGACCCTGAGTTTGCTGCCTCAAGGGGAATATACAGCGAGAAGCCCTAACTTGAAAGGAGGCCGGATTTCCTTGCATTGGCTTGAATACAGGATCGTCTTTCATCTCACAACATGAAGGGATGTCTGAATCCCCTGTGGAGACCTTAGAGAAAGCCCTAGGTCCCTGCCTCATTTTGACGGAATGCCTCACATCCCGCTGAGACCTCGAGAGGCACGCGGAGTTCATTGCTTCAAAAGGTGACGATGCCTGACTCCTCTTGAATACTGATAGGAATCCCAAAATCCCTGTGGCTACTGGAAAGGGTCCTTGGGTGCCCTGCCTCACCTCGAGAAGCATCCCTTTTGCCCTGGCAAGCCTCGAAGAGATTCCTGAGGTGTCCCTCGTTACTAGACAGGAGTCCTGACGTCACTGAAGAAACTCGTGTTTTGAAGGGCCATCCCCGCCCTAAGTCGAGAACATACCCCAGGTCCCCGCCGCAACTCGAGAAAAACCATGAGACTTCCCCCTAGAGGCGAGATGAGGCCCCAATCCCCTGCAGTGCATGCAGAGCTATTCCGTGATCCCATTCATACAAGTCAGGAGCTTCGACTTGCTTAATGGATCTCGAGACAGTCCCCAAGAACACTGTCACCAGTCTAGACGGACCCTGAGGTCACCCCAGCAACGCAAAGCAGCTCCATGTGCCCCAAATCAACTCGAGATGGGGCCCGATTCCCCTGCATTGACTCCAGAGCCATTCCTCGTTCCCCATTCAACACGACCAGTGGCTGGACTTCCTTCAGCACCTCCAGAGATGCCCCGAGAACACTGTCCCAAGTCTAGAGGAACACCAACTTCAGCACAGCAACTCGAGGAATGCTCTGTGTACCCCAAATGGTCTCGAGATGAGAGCTGATTCCCTGGCTTAGGCTCAAGACGTATGCCAACTCCCCAGAAGCACCACAGGAGGAGGCTTCTCTCAGCAATAGGTATGTGGGAGGGACCCCGAGTTTGCTGCCTCAAGGGGAATATACAGCGAGAAGCCCTAACTTGAAAGGAGGCCGGATTTCCATGCAGGGGCTTGAATACAGGCTCGTCTTTCATCTCACAACATGAAGGGATGTCTGAATCCCCTGTGGAGACCTTAGAGAAAGCCCTAGGTCCCTGCCTCATTTTGACAGAATGCCTCACATCCCGCTGACACCTGAAGAGGCACGCGGAGTTCATTGCTTCAAAAGGTGACGATGCCTGACTCCTCTTGAATACTGATAGGAATCCCAAAATCCCTGTGGCTACTGGAAAGGGTCTTGGGTGCCCTGCCTCACCTCGAGAAGCGTCCCATTTGCCCTGCCAAGCCTCGAAGAGATTCCTGAGGTGTCCCTCGTTACTAGACAGGAGTCCTGACGTCACTGAAAAAACTCATGTTTTGAAGGGCCATCCCCGCCGTAAGTCGAGAACATACCCCAGGTCCCCGCCGCAACTCGAGAAAAACCATGAGACTTCCCCCTAGAGGCGAGATGAGGCCCCATTCCCCTGCAGTGCATGCAGAGCTATTCCGTGATCCCATTCAAACAAGTCAGGAGCTTCGACTTGCTTAATGGATCTCGAGACAGTCCCCAAGAACACTGTCACCAGTCTAGACGGACCCTGAGGTCACCCCAGCACCGCAAAGCAGCTCCTTGTGCCCGAAATCAACTCGAGATGGGGCCCGATTCCCCTGCATTGACTCCAGAGCCATTCCTCGTTCCCCATTCAACACGACCGGTGGCTCGACTTCCTTCAGGAAACTCCAGAGATGCCCCAAGAACACTGTCCCAAGTCGAGAGGAACAACAACTTCAGCACAGCAACTCGAGGAATGCTCCGTGTACCCCAAATCATCTCGAGATGAGAGCTGATTCCCTGGCTTAGGCTCAAGACGTATGCCAACTTTCCAGAAGCACCTCAGGAGGAGGCTTCTCTCAGCAATAGGTATGTGGGTGGGACCCCGAGTTTGCTGCCTCAAGGGGAATATACAGCGAGAAGCCCTAACTTGAAAGGAGGCCGGATTTCCTTGCAGGGGCTTGAATACAGGCTCGTCTTTCATCTCACAACATGAAGGGATGTCTGAATCCCCTGTGGAGACCTTAGAGAAAGCCCTAGGTCCCTGCCTCATTTTGACGGAATGCCTCACATCCCGCTGACACCTAGAGAGGCACGCGGAGTTCATTGCTTCAAAAGGTGACGATGCCTGACTCCTCTTGAATACCGATAGGAATCCCAAAATCCCTGTGGCTACTGGAAAGGGTCCTTGGGTGCCCTGCCTCACCTCGAGAAGCGTCCCTTTTGCCCTGCCAAGCCTCGAAGAGATTCCTGAGGTGTCCCTCGTTACTAGACAGGAGTCCTGACGTCACTGAAGAAACTCGTGTTCTGAAGGGCCAGCCCCGCCGTAAGTCGAGAACATAACCCAGGTCCCTGCCGCAACTCGAGAAAAACCATGAGACTTCCCCCTAGAGGCGAGATGAGGCCCCATTCCCCTGCAGTGCATGCAGAGCTATTCCGTGATCCCATTCAAACAAGTCAGGAGCTTCGACTTGCTTAATGGGTCTCGAGACAGTCCCCAAGAACACTGTCACCAGTCTAGACGGACCCTGAGGTCACCCCAGCAACGCAAAGCAGCTCCATGTGCCCCAAATCAACTCGAGATGAGGCCCGATTCCCCTGCTTTGACTCCAGAGCCATTCCTCGTTCCCCATTCAACACGCCCGGTGGCTCGACTTCCTTCAGGCAACTCCAGAGATGCCCCGAGAACACTGTTCCAAGTCTAGAGGAACACCAACTTCAGCACAGCAATTCTAGGAATCCTCCGTGTACCCCAAATCGTCTGGAGATGAAAGCTGATTCCCTGGCTTAGGCTCAAGACATATGCCAACTTTCCAGAAGCACCTCAGGAGGAGGCTTCTCTCAGCAATGGTTATGTGGGAGGGACCCTGAGTTTGCTGCCTCAAGGGGAATATACAGCGAGAAGCCCTAACTTGAAAGGAGGCCGGATTTCCTTGCATTGGCTTGAATACAGGATCGTCTTTCATCTCACAACATGAAGGGATGTCTGAATCCCCTGTGGAGACCTTAGAGAAAGCCCTAGGTCCCTGCCTCATTTTGACGGAATGCCTCACATCCCGCTGAGACCTCGAGAGGCACGCGGAGTTCATTGCTTCAAAAGGTGACGATGCCTGACTCCTCTTGAATACTGATAGGAATCCCAAAATCCCTGTGGCTACTGGAAAGGGTCCTTGGGTGCCCTGCCTCACCTCGAGAAGCATCCCTTTTGCCCTGGCAAGCCTCGAAGTGATTCCTGAGGTGTCCCTCGTTACTAGACAGGAGTCCTGACGTCACTGAAGAAACTCGTGTTTTGAAGGGCCATCCCCGCCCTAAGTCGAGAACATACCCCAGGTCCCCGCCGCAACTCGAGAAAAACCATGAGACTTCCCCCTAGAGGCGAGATGAGACCCCAATCCCCTGCAGTGCATGCAGAGCTATTCCGTGATCCCATTCATACAAGTCAGGAGCTTCGACTTGCTTAATGGATCTCGAGACAGTCCCCAAGAACACTGTCACCAGTCTAGACGGACCCTGAGGTCACCCCAGCAACGCAAAGCAGCTCCATGTGCCCCAAATCAACTCGAGATGGGGCCCGATTCCCCTGCATTGACTCCAGAGCCATTCCCCGTTCCCCATTCAACACGACCGGTGGCTCGACTTCCTTCAGCACCTCCAGAGATGCCCCGAGAACACTGTCCCAAGTCTAGAGGAACACCAACTTCAGCACAGCAACTCGAGGAATGCTCTGTGTACCCCAAATCGTCTCGAGATGAGAGCTGATTCCCTGGCTTAGGCTCAAGACGTATGCCAACTCCCCAGAAGCACCTCAGGAGGAGGCTTCTCTCAGCAATAGGTATGTGGGAGGGACCCCGAGTTTGCTGCCTTAAGGGGAATATACAGCGAGAAGCCCTAACTTGAAAGGAGGCCGGATTTCCATGCAGGGGCTTGAATACAGGCTCGTCTTTCATCTCACAACATGAAGGGATGTCTGAATCCCCTGTGGAGACCTTAGAGAAAGCCCTAGGTCCCTGCCTCATTTTGACAGAATGCCTCACATCCCGCTGACACCTGAAGAGGCACGCGGAGTTCATTGCTTCAAAAGGTGACGATGCCTGACTCCTCTTGAATACTGATAGGAATCCCAAAATCCCTGTGGCTACTGGAAAGGGTCCTTGGGTGCCCTGCCTCACCTCGAGAAGCGTCCCATTTGCCCTGCCAAGCCTCGAAGAGATTCCTGAGGTGTCCCTCGTTACTAGACAGGAGTCCTGACGTCACTGAAGAAACTCGTGTTCTGAAGGGCCAGCCCCGCCGCAATTCGAGAACATACCCCAGGTCCCCGCCGCAACAAGAGAAAAACCATGAGACTTCCCCCTAGAGGTGAGATGAGGCCCCATTCCCCTGCAGTGCATGCAGAGATATTCCGTGATCCCATTCAAACAAGTCAGGAGCTTCGACTTGCTTAATGGGTCTCGAGACAGTCCCCAAGAACACTGTCACCAGTCTAGACGGACCCTGAGGTCACCCCAGCAACGCAAAGCAGCTCCATGTGCCCCAAATCAACTCGAGATGAGGCCCGTTTCCCCTGCATTGACTCCAGAGCCATTCCCCGTTCCCCATTCAACACGACCGGTGGCTCGACTTCCTTCAGGCAACTCCAGAGATGCCCTGAGAACACTGTCCCAAGTCTAGAGGAACACCAACTTCAGCACAGCAACTCGAGGAATGCTCCGTGTACCCCAAATCGTCTCGAGATGAGAGCTGATTCCCTGGCTTAGGCTCAAGACGTATGCCAACTCCCCAGAAACACCTCAGGAGGAGGCTTCTCTCAGCAATAGGTATGTGGGAGGGACCCCGAGTTTGCTGCCTCAAGGGGAATATACAGCGAGAAGCCCTAACTTGAAAGGAGGCCGGATTTCCTTGCAGTGGCTTGAATACAGGCTCGTCTTTCATCTCACAACATGAAGGGATGTCTCAATGCCCTGTGGAGACCTTAGAGAAAGCCCTAGGTCCCTGCCTCATTTTGACGGAATGCCTCACATCCCGCTGACACCTCGAGAGGCACGCGGAGTTCATTGCTTCAAAAATGACGATGCCTGACTCCTCTTGAATACTGATAGGAATCCCAAAATCCCTGTGGCTACTGGAAAGGGTCCTTGGGTGCCCTGCCTCACCTCGAGAAGCGTCCCTTTTGCCCTGCCAAGCCTCGAAGAGATTCCTGAGGTGTCCCTCGTTACTAGACAGGAGTCCTAACGTCACTGAGGGAACTCGTGTTTTGAAGGGCGATCCCCGCCGTAAATCGAGAACATACCCCAGGGCCCGCCGCAACTCGAGAAAAACCATGAGACTTCCCCCTAGAGGCGAGAAAGGCCCCATTCCCCTGCAGTGCATGCAGAGCTATTCCGTGATCCCATTCAAACAAGTCAGGAGCTTCGACTTGCTTAATGGATCTCGAGACAGTCCCCAAGAACACTGTCACCAGTCTAGACGGACCCTGAGGTCACCCCAGCACCGCAAAGCAGCTCCATGTGCCCGAAATCAACTCGAGATGGGGCCCGATTCCCCTGCATTGACTCCAGAGCCATTCCCCGTTCCCCATTCAACACGACCGGTGGCTCGACTTCCTTCAGGCAACTCCAGAGATGCCCTGAGAACACTGTCCCAAGTCTAGAGGAACACCAACTTCAGCACAGCAACTCGAGGAATGCTCCGGGTACCCCAAATCGTCTCGAGATGAGAGCTGATTCCCTGGCTTAGGCTCAAGACGTATGCCAACTTTCCAGAAGCACCTCAGGAGGAGGCTTCTCTCAGCAATAGTTATGTGGGAGGGACCCTGAGTTTGCTGCCTCAAGGGGAATATACAGCGAGAAGCCCTAACTTGAAAGGAGGCCGGATTTCCTTGCATTGGCTTGAATACAGGATCGTCTTTCATCTCACAACATGAAGGGATGTCTGAATCCCCTGTGGAGACCTTAGAGAAAGCCCTAGGTCCCTGCCTCATTTTGACGGAATGCCTCACATCCCGCTGAGACCTCGAGAGGCACGCGGAGTTCATTGCTTCAAAAGGTGACGACGCCTGACTCCTCTTGAATACTGATAGGAATCCCAAAATCCCTGTGGCTACTGGAAAGGGTCCTTGGGTGCCCTGCCTCACCTCGAGAAGCATCCCTTTTGCCCTGGCAAGCCTCGAAGAGATTCCTGAGGTGTCCCTCGTTACTAGACAGGAGTCCTGACGTCACTGAAGAAACTCGTGTTTTGAAGGGCCATCCCCGCCGTAAGTCGAGAACATACCCCAGGTCCCCGCCGCAACTCGAGAAAAACCATGAGACTTCCCCCTAGAGGCGAGATGAGGCCCCAATCCCCTGCAGTGCATGCAGAGCTATTCCGTGATCCCATTCATACAAGTCAGGAGCTTCGACTTGCTTAATGGATCTCGAGACAGTCCCCAAGAACACTGTCACCAGTCTAGACGGACCCTGAGGTCACCCCAGCAACGCAAAGCAGCTCCATGTGCCCCAAATCAACTCGAGATGAGGCCCGATTCCCCTGCATTGACTCCAGAGCCATTCCCCGTTCCCCATTCAACACGCCCGGTGGCTCGACTTCCTTCAGGAAACTCCAGAGATGCCCCAAGAACACTGTCCCAAGTCTAGAGGAACACCAAATTCAGCACAGCAACTCGAGGAATGCTCCGTGTACCCCAAATCGTCTCGAGATGAGAGCTGATTCCCTGGCTTAGGCTCAAGACGTATGCCAACTCCCCAGAAGCACCTCAGGAGGAGGCTTCTCTCAGCAATAGGTATGTGGGAGGGACCCCGAGTTTGCTGCCTCAAGGGGAATATACAGCGAGAAGCCCTAACTTGAAAGGAGTCCGAATTTCCTTGCAGTGGCTTGAATACAGGCTCGTCTTTCATCTCACAACATGAAGGGATGTCTGAATCCCCTGTGGAGACCTTAGAGAAAGCCCTAGGTCCCTGCCTCATTTTGACGGAATGCCTCACATCCCGTTGACACCTCGAGAGGCACGCGGAGTTAATTGCTTGAAAAATGACGATGCCTGACTCCTCTTGAATACTGATAGGAATACCAAAATCCCTGTGGCTACTGGAAAGGGTCCTTGGGTGCCCTGCCTCACCTCGAGAAGCATCCCTTTTGCTCTGGCAAGCCTCGAAGAGATTCCTGAGGTGTCCCTCGTTACTAGACAGGAGTCCTGACGTCACTGAAGAAACTCGTGTTTTGAAGGGCCATCCCCGCCGTAAGTCGAGAACATACCCCAGGTCCCCGCCGCAACTCGAGAAAAAACATGAGACTTCCCCCTAGAGGCGAGATGAGGCCCCAATCCCCTGCAGTGCATGCAGAGCTATTCCGTGATCCCATTCATACAAGTCAGGAGCTTCGACTTGCTTAATGGATCTCGAGACAGTCCCCAAGAACACTGTCACCAGTCTAGACGGACCCTGAGGTCACCCCAGCAACGCAAAGCAGCTCCATGTGCCCCAAATCAACTCGAGATGGGGCCCGATTCCCCTGCATTGACTCCAGAGCCATTCCTCGTTCCCCATTCAACACGCCCGGTGGCTCGACTTCCTTCAGGAAACTCCAGAGATGCCCCAAGAACACTGTCCCAAGTCTAGAGGAACACCAACTTCAGCACAGCAACTCGAGGAATGCTCCGTGTACCCCAAATCGTCTCGAGATGAGAGCTGATTCCCTCGCTTAGGCTCAAGACGTATGCCAACTTTCCAGAAGCACCTCAGGAGGAGGCTTCTCTCAGCAATAGTTATGTGGGAGGGACCCCGAGTTTGCTGCCTCAAGGGGAATATACAGAGAGAAGCCCTAACTTGAAAGGAGGCCGGATTTCCTTGCAGGGGCTTGAATACAGGCTCGTCTTTCATCTCACAACATGAAGGGATGTCTGAATCCCCTGTGGAGACCTTAGAGAAAGCCCTAGGTCCCTGCCTCATTTTGACGGAATGCCTCACATCCCGCTGACACCTCGAGAGGCACGCGGAGCTCATTGCTTCAAAAAGTGACGATGCCTGACTCCTCTTGAATACTGATAGGAATCCCAAACTCGCTGTGGCTACTGGAAAGGGTCCTTGGGTGCCCTGCCTCACCTCGAGAAGCGTCCCTTTTGCCCTGCCAAGCCTCGAAGAGATTCCTGAAGTGTCCCTCGTTACTAGACAGGAGTCCTGACGTCACTGAAGAAACTCGTGTTTTGAAGGGCCATCCCCGCCGTAAGTCGAGAACATACCCCAGGTCCCCGCCGCAACTCGAGAAAAACCATGAGACTTCCCCCTAGAGGCGAGATGAGGCCCCATTCCCCTGCAGTGCATGCAGAGCTATTCCGTGATCCCATTCAAACAAGTCAGGAGCTTCGACTTGCTTAATGGATCTCGAGACAGTCCCCAAGAACACTGTCACCAGTCCAGACGGACCCTGAGGTCACCCCAGCACCGCAAAGCAGCTCCATGTGCCCCAAATAAACTCCAGATGAGGCCCGATTCCCCTGCATTGACTCCAGAGCCATTCCCCGTTCCCCATTCAACACGACCGGTGGCTCGACTTCCTTCAGGCAACTCCAGAGATGCCCTCAGAACACTGTCCCAAGTCTAGAGGAACACCAACTTCAGCACAGCAACTCGAGGAATGCTCCGTGTACCCCAAATCGTCTCGAGATGAGAGCTGATTCCCTCGCTTAGGCTCAAGACGTATGCCAACTCCCCAGAAACACCTCAGGAGGAGGCTTCTCTCAGCAATACGTATGTGGGAGGGACCCCGAGTTTGCTGCCTCAAGGGGAATATACAGCGAGAAGCCCTAACTTGAAAGGAGGCCGGATTTCCTTGCATTGGCTTGAACACAGGATCGTCTTTCATCTCACAACATGAAGGGATGTCTGAATCCCCTGTGGAGACCTTAGAGAAAGCCCTAGGTCCCTGCCTCATTTTGACGGAATGCCTCACATCGAGCTGAGACCTCGAGAGGCACGCGGAGTTCATTGCTTCAAAAGGTGACGACGCCTGACTCCTCTTGAATACTGATAGGAATCCCAAAATCCCTGTGGCTACTGGAAAGGGTCCTTGGGTGCCCTGTCTCACCTCGAGAAGCATCCCTTTTGCCCTGGCAAGCCTCGAAGAGATTCCTGAGGTGTCCCTCGTTACTAGACAGGAGTCCTGACGTCACTGAAGAAACTCGTGTTTTGAAGGGCCATCCCCGCCGTAAGTCGAGAACATACCCCAGGTCCCCGCCGCAACTCGAGAAAAACCATGAGATTTCCCCCTAGAGGCGAGATGAGGCCCCAATCCCCTGCAGTGCATGCAGAGCTATTCCGTGATCCCATTCATACAAGTCAGGAGCTTCGACTTGCTTAATGGATCTCGAGACAGTCCCCAAGAACACTGTCACCAGTCTAGACGGACCCTGAGGTCACCCCAGCAACGCAAAGCAGCTCCATGTCCCCCAAATCAACCCGAGATGAGGCCCGATTCCCCTGCATTGACTCCAGAGCCATTCCCCGTTCCCCATTCAACACGACCGGTGGCTCGACTTCCTTCAGGAAACTCCAGAGATGCCCCAAGAACACTGTCCCAAGTCTAGAGGAACACCAACTTCAGCACAGCAACTCGAGGAATGCTCCGTGTACCCCAAATCGTCTCGAGATGAGAGCTGATTCCCTCGTTTAGGCTCAAGACGTATGCCAACTTTCCAGAAGCACCTCAGGAGGAGGCTTCTCTCAGCAATAGTTATGTGGGAGGGACCTCGATTTTGCTGCCTCAAGGGGAATATACAGAGAGAAGCCCTAACTTGAAAGGAGGCCGGATTTCCTTGCAGGGGCTTGAATACAGGCTCGTCTTTCATCTCACAACATGAAGGGATGTCTGAATCCCCTGTGGAGACCTTAGAGAAAGCCCTAGGTCCCTGCCTCATTTTGACGGAATGCCTCACATCCCGGTGACACCTCGAGAGGCACGCGGAGTTCATTGCTTCAAAAGGTGACGATGCCTGACTCCTCTTGAATAATGATAGGAATCCCAAACTCACTGTGGCTACTGGAAAGGGTCCTTGGGTGCCCTGCCTCACCTCGAGAAGCATCCCTTTTGCCCTGCCAAGCCTCGAAGAGATTCCTGAGGTGTCCCTCGTTACTAGACAGGAGTCCTGATGTCACTGAAGAAACTCGTGGTTTGAAGGGCCATCCCCGCCGTAAGTCGAGGACATAGCCCAGGTCCCCATCGCAAGTCCATAAAAACCATGAGACTTCCCCCTAGAGGGGAGATGAGGCCCCATTCCCCTGCAGTGCATGCAGAGCTATTCCGTGATCCCATTCAAACAAGTCAGGAGCTTCGACTTGCTTAATGGATCTCGAGACAGAACCCAAGAACACTGTCACCAGTCTAGACGGACCCTGAGGTCACCCCAGCAACGCAAAGCAGCTCCATGTGCCCCAAATCAACTCGAGATGAGGCCCGATTCCCCTGCATTGACTCCAGAGCCATTCCCCGTTGCCCATTCAACACGACCGGTGGCTCGACTTCCTTCAGGCAACTCCAGAGATGCCCTGAGAACACTGTCCCAAGTCTAGAGGAACACCAACTTCAGCACAGCAACTCGAGGAATGCTCCGGGTACCCCAAATCGTCTCGAGATGAGAGCTTATTCCCTGGCTTAGGCTCAAGACGTATGCCAACTCCCCAGAAGCACTTCAGGAGGAGGCTTCTCTCAGCAATAGGTATGTGGGAGGGACCCCGAGTTTTCTGCCTCAAGGGGAATATACAGCGAGAAGCCCTAACTTGAAAGGAGGCCGGATTTCCTTGCAGTGGCTTGAATACAGGCTCGTCTTTCATCTCACAACATGAAAGGATGTCTGAATGCCCTGTGGAGACCTTAGAGAAAGCCCTAGGTCCCTGCCTCATTTTGACGGAATGCCTCACATCCCGCTGACACCTCGAGAGGCACGCGGAGTTCATTGCTTCAAAAGGTGACGATGCCTGACTCCTCTTGAATACTGATAGGAATCCCAAAATCCCTGTGGCTACTGGAAAGGGTCCTTGGGTGCCCTGCCTCACCTCGAGAAGCATCCCTTTTGCCCTGGCAAGCCTCGAAGAGATTCCTGAGGTGTCCCTCGTTACTAGACAGGAGTCCTGACGTCACTGAAGAAACTCGTGTTTTGAAGGGCCATCCCCGCCGTAAGTCGAGAACATACCCCAGGTCCCCGCCGCAACTCGAGAAAAACCATGAGACTTCCCCCTAGAGGCGAGATGAGGCCCCATTCCCCTGCAGTGCATGCAGAGATATTCCGTGATCCCATTCAAACAAGTCAGGAGCTTCGACTTGCTTAATGGATCTCAAGACAGTCCCCAAGAACACTGTCACCAGTCCAGACGGACCCTGAGGTTACCCCAGCACCGCAAAGCAGCTCCATGTGCCCCAAATCAACTCGAGATGAGGCCCGATTCCCCTGCATTGACTCCAGAGCCATTCCCCGTTCGCCATTCAACAAGACCGGTGGCTCGACTTCCTTCAGGCAACTCCAGAGATGCCCCGAGAACACTGTCCCAAGTCTAGAGGAACACCAACTTCAGCACAGCAACTCGAGGAATGCTCCATGTACCCCAAATCGTCTCGAGATGAGAGCTGATTCCCTGGCTTAGGCTCAAGACGTATGCCAACTTCCCAGAAGCTCCTCAGGAGGAGGCTTCTCTCAGCAATAGGTATGTGGGAGGGACCCCGAGTTTGCTGCCTCAAGGGGAATATACAGCGAGAAGCCCTAACTTGAAAGGAGTCCGAATTTCCTTGCAGTGGCTTGAATACAGGCTCGTCTTTCATCTCACAACATGAAGGGATGTCTGAATCCCCTGTGGAGACCTTAGAGAAAGCCCTAGGTCCCTGCCTCATTTTGACGGAATGCCTCACATCCCGCTGACACCTCGAGAGGCACGCGGAGCTCATTGCTTCAAAATGTGACGACGCCTGACTCCTCTTGAATACTGGTAGGAATCCCAAACTCGCTGTGGCTACTGGAAAGGGTCCTTGGGTGCCCTGCCTCACCTCGAGAAGCGTCCCTTTTGCCCTGCCAAGCCTCGAAGAGATTCCTGAAGTGTCCCTCGTTACTAGACAGGAGTCCTGACGTCACTGAAGAAACTCGTGTTTTGAAGGGCCATCCCCGCCGTAAGTCGAGAACATAACCCAGGTCCCCGCCGCAACTCGAGAAAAACCATGAGACTTCCCCCTAGAGGCGAGATGAGGCCCCATTCCCCTGCAGTGCATGCAGAGCTATTCCGTGATCCCATTCAAACAAGTCAGGAGCTTCGACTTGCTTAATGGATCTCGAGACAGTCCCCAAGAACACTGTCACCAGTCCAGACGGACCCTGAGGTCACCCCAGCACAGCAAAGCAGCTCCATGTGCCACAAATAAACTCCAGATGAGGCCCGATTCCCCTGCATTGACTCCAGAGCCATTCCCCGTTCCCCATTCAACACGACCGGTGGCTCGACTTCCTTCAGGCAACTCCAGAGATGCCCCGAGAACACTGTCCCAAGTCTAGAGGAACACCAACTTCAGCACAGCAACTCGAGGAATGCTCCGTGTACCCCAAATCGTCTCGAGATGAGAGCTGATTCCCTGGCTTAGGCTCAAGACGTATGCCAACTTCCCAGAAGCACCTCAGGAGGAGGCTTCTCTCAGCAATAGGTATGTGGGAGGGACCCTGAGTTTGCTGCCTCAAGGGGAATATACAGCGAGAAGACGTAACTTGAAAGGCGTCTGAATTTCCTTGCAGTGGCTTGAATACAGGCTCGTCTTTCATCTCACAATATGAAGGGATGTCTGAATCCGCTGTGGAGACCTTAGAGAAAGCCCTAGGTCCCTGCCTCATTTTGACGGAATGCCTCACATCCCGCTGACACATCGACAGGCACGCGGAGTTAATTCCTTCAAAAATGACGATGCCTGACTCCTCTTGAATACTGATAGGAATCCCAAAATCCCTGTGGCTACTGGAAAGGGTCCTTGAGTGCCCTGCCCCACCTTGAGAAGCGTCCCTTTTGCTCTGCCAAGCCTCGAAGAGATTTCTGAGGTGTCCCTCATTACTAGACAGGAGTCCTGACGTCACTGAAGAAACTCGTGGTTTGAAGGGCCATCCCCGCCGTAAGTCGAGAACATACCCCAGGTCCCCGCCGCAACTCGAGAAAAACCATGAGACTTCCCCCTAGAGGCGAGATGAGGCCCCATTCCCCTGCAGTGCATGCAGAGCTATTCCGTGATCCCATTCAAACAAGTCAGGAGCTTCGACTTGCTTAATGGATCTCGAGACAGAACCCAAGAACACTGTCACCAGTCTAGACGGACCCTGAGGTCACCCCAGCAACGCAAAGCAGCTCCATGTGCCCCAAATCAACTCGAGATGAGGCCCGATTCCCCTGCATTGACTCCAGAGCCATTCCCCGTAACCCCATTCAACACGACCGGTGGCTCGACTTCCTTCACGCAACTCCAGAGATGCCCCGAGAATACTGTCCCAAGTATAGAGGAACAACAACTTCAGCACAGCAACTCGAGGAATGATCCGTGTACCCCAAATCGTCTTGAGATGAGAGCTGATTCCCTGGCTTAGGCTCAAGACGTATGCCAACTTTCCAGAAGCACCTCAGGACGAGGCTTCTCTCAGCAATAGGTATGTGGGAGGGACACTGAGTTTGCTGCCTCAAGGGGAATATACAGCGAGAAGCCCTAACTTGAAACGAGGCCAGATTTCCTTGCAGTGGCTTGAATACAGGCTCGTCTTTCATCTCAAAAAATGAAGGGATGTCTGAATCCCCTGTGGAGACCTTAGAGAAAGCCCTAGGTCCCTGCCCCATTTTGACGGAATGCCTCACATCCCGCTGACACCTCGAGAGGCACGCGGAGTTCATTGCTTCAAAAGGAGACGATGCCTGACTCCTCTGGAATACTGATAGCAATCCCAAAATCCCTGTGGCTACTGGAAGGGGTCCTTGGGTGCGCTGCCTCACGTCGAGAAGCGTCCCTTTTGCCCTGCCAAGCCTCGAAGAGATTCCTGAGGTGTCCCTCATTAGTAGACAGGAGTCCTGACGACACTGAAGAAACTCGTGTTTTGAAGGGCCATCCCCGCCGTAAGTCGAGAACATACCCCAGGTCCCCGCCGCAACTCGAGAAAAACCATGAGACTTCCCCCTAGAGGCGAGATGAGGCCCCATTCCCCTGCAGTGCATGCAGAGCTATTCCGTGATCCCATTCAAACAAGTCAGGAGCTTCGACTTGCTTAATGGATCTCGAGACAGTCCCCAAGAACACTGTCACGAGTCTAGACGGACCCTGAGGTCACCCCAGCAACGCAAAGCAGCTCCATGTGCCCCAAATCAACTCGAGATGAGGCCCGATTCCCCTGCATTGACTCCAGAGCCATTCCCCGTTCCCCATTCAACACGACCGGTGGCTCGACTTCCTTCAGGCCACTCCAGAGATGCCCCGAGAACACTTTCGCAAGTCTAGAGGAACACCAACTTCAGCACAGCAACTCGAGGAATGCTCCGTGTACCCCAAATCGTCTCGACATGAGAGCTGATTCCCTGGCTTAGGCTCAAGACGTATGCCAACTTTCCAGAAGCACCACAGGAGGAGGCTTCATTTAGCAATAGTTATGTGGGAGGGACCCCGAGTTTGCTGCCTAAAGGGGAATATACAGCGAGAAGCCCTAACTTGAAAGGAGGCCGGATTTCCTTGCAGTGGCTTGAATACAGGCTCCTCTTTGATCTCACAACATGAAGGGATATCTGAGTCCCCTGCGGAGACCTTAGAGAAAGCCTTAGTTCCCTGCCTCATTTTGACGGAATGCCTCATATCCCGCTGACACCTCGAGAGGCACGCGGAGATCATTGCTTCAAAAGGTGACGATGCCTGACTCCTCTTGAATACTGATAGGAATCCCAAAATACCTGTGGCTACTGGAAAGGGTCCTTGGGTGCCCTGCCTCACCTCGAGAAGCGTCCCTTTTCCCTGCCAAGCCTCTAACAGATTCCTGAGGTGTTCCTCGTTACTAGACAGGAGTCCTGACGTCACTGAAGAAACTCGTGTTTTGAAGGGCCATCCCCGCCGTAAGTCGAGAACATACCCCAGGTCCCCGCCGCAACTCGAGAAAAACCATGAGACTTCCCCCTAGACGCGAGATGAGGCCCCATTCCCCTGCAGTGCATGCAGAGCTATTCCATGATCGCATTCAAATAAGTCAGGAGCTTCGACTTGCTTAATGGATCTCGAGACAGTCCCCAAGAACACTGTCACCAGTCTAGACGGACCCTGAGGTCACCCCAGCAGGGCAAAGCAGATCCATGTGCCCCAAATCAACTCGAGATGAGGCCCGATTCCCCTGCATTGACTCCAGAGCCATTCCCCGTTCCCCATTCAACACGAACGGTGGCTCGACTTCCTTCAGGCAACTCCAGAGATGCCCCGAGAACACTGTCCCAAGTCTAGAGGAACACCAACTTCAGCACAGCAACTCGAGGAATGCTCCGTGTACCCCAAATCGTCTCGAGATGAGAGCTGATTCCCTGGCTTAGGCTCAAGACGTATGCCAACTTTCCAGAAGCACCTCAGGAGGAGGCTTCTCTCAGCAATAGGTATGTGGGAGGGACACCGAGTTTGCTGCCTCAAGGGGAATATACAGCGAGAAGCCCTAACTTGAAAGCAGGCCGGATTTCCTTGCAGTGGCTTGAATACAGGCTCGTTTTTCATCTCACAACATGAAGGGATGTCTGAATCCCATGTGGAGTCCTTAGAGAAAGCCCTAGTTCCCTGCCTCATTTTGAACGGAATGCCTCACATCCCGCTGACACCTCAAGAGGCACGCGGAGTTCATTGCTTCAAAAGGTGACGATGCCTGACTCCTCTTGAATACTGATAGGAATCCCAAAATCCCTGTGGCTACTGGAAAGGGTCCTTGAGTGCCCTGCCCCACCTCGAGAAGCGTCCCTTTTGCTCTGCCAAGCCTCGAAGAGATTTCTGAGGTGTCCCTCGTTACTAGACAGGAGTCCTGACGTCACTGAAGAAACTCGTGGTTTGAAGGGCCATCCCCGCCGTAAGTCGAGAACATACCCCAGGTCCCCGCCGCAACTCGAGAAAAACCATGAGACTTCCCCCTAGAGGCGAGATGAGGCCCCATTCCCCTGCAGTGCATGCAGAGCTATTCCGTGATCCCATTCAAACAAGTCAGGAGCTTCGACTTGCTTAATGGATCTCGAGACAGAACCCAAGAACACTGTCACCAGTCTAGAGGGAACCTGAGGTCACCCCAGCAACGCAAAACAGCTCCATGTGCCCCATATCAACTCGAGATGAGGCCGATTCCCCTGCATTGACTCCAGAGCCATTCCCCGTTCCCCATTCAACACGACCGGTGGCTCGACTTCCTTCAGGCAACTCCAGAGATGCCCCGAGAACACTGTCCCAAGTCTAGAGGAACACCAACTTCAGCACAGCAACTCGAGGAATGCTCCGTGTACCCCAAATCGTCTCGACATGAGAGCTGATTCCCTGGCTTAGGCTCAAGACGTATGCCAACTTTCCAGAAGCACCTCAGGAGGAGGCTTCTCTCAGCAATAGGTATGTGGGAGGGACCCCGAGTTTGCTGCATCAAGGGGAATATACAGCGAGAAGCCCTAACTTGAAAGGAGGCCAGATTTCCTTGCAGTGGCTTGAATACAGGCTGGTCTTTCATCTCACAACATGAAGGGATGTCTGAATCCCCTGTGGAGACCTTAGAGAAAGCCCTAGGTCCCTGCCTCATTTTGACGGAATGCCTCACATCCCGCTGACACCTCGAGAGGCACGCGGAGTTCATTGCTTCCAAAGGTGACGATGCCTGACTCCTCTTGAATACTGATAGGAATCCCAAAATCCCTGTGGCTAATGGAAAGGGTCCTTGGGTGCCCTGCCCCACCTCGAGAAGCGTCCCTTTTGCCCTGCCAAGCCTCGAAGAGATTTCTGAGGTGTCCCTCGTTACTAGACAGGAGTCCTGACGTCACTGAAGAAACTCGTGGTTTGAAGGGCCATCCCCGCCGTAAGTCGAGAACATACCCCAGGTCCCCGCCGCAACTCGAGAAAAACCGTAAGACTTCCCCCTAGAGGCGAGATGAAGCCCCATTCCCCTGCAGTGCATGCAGAGCTATTCCGTGATCCCATTCAAAAAAGTCAGGAGCTTCGACTTGCTTAATGGATCTCGAGAGAGTCCCCAAGAACACTGTCACCAGTCCAGACGGACCCTGAGGTCACCCCAGCAACGCAAAGCAGCTCCATGTGCCCCAAATCAACTCGAGATGAGGCCCGATTCCCCTGCATTGACTCCAGAGCCATTCCCCGTTCCCCATTCAACACGACCGGTGGCTCGACTTCCTTCAGCAACTCCAGAGATGCCCCGAGAACACTGTCCCAAGTCTAGAGGAACACCAACTTCAGCACAGCAACTCGAGGAATGCTCCGTGTACACCAAATCGTCTCGAGATGAGAGCTGATTCCCTGGCTTAGGCTCAAGACATATGCCAACTTCCCAGAAGCACCTCAGGAGGAGGCTTCTCTCAGCAATAGGTATGTGGGAGGGACCCCGAGTTTGCTGCCTCAAGGGGAATATACAGCGAGAAGCTCTAACTTGAAAGGAGGCCGGATTTCCTTGCAGTGGCTTGAATACAGGCTCGTCTTTCATCTCACAACATGAAGGGATGTCTGAATGCCCTGTGGAGACCTTAGAGAAAGCCCTAGGTCCCTGCCTCATTTTTACGGAATGCCTCACATCCCGCTGACACCTCGAGAGGCACGCGGAGTTAATTGCTTCAAAAATGACGATGCCTGACTCCTCTTGAATACTGATAGGAATCCCAAAATCCCTGTGGCTACTGGAAATTGTCCTTGGGTGCCCTGCCTCACCTCGAGAAGCGTCCCATTTGCCCTGCCAAGCCTCGAAGAGATTCCTGAGGTGTCCCTCGTTACTAGACAGGAGTCCTGACGTGACTGAAGAAACTCGTGTTTTGAAGGCCCATCCCCGCCGTAAGTCGAGAACATACCCCAGGTCCCCGCCGCAACTCGAGAAAAACAATGAGACTTTCCCCTAGAGGCGAGATGAGGCCCCATTCCCCTGCAGTGCATGCAGAGCTATTCCGTGATCCCATTCAAACAAGTCAGGAGCTTCGACTTGCTTAATGGATCTCGAGACAGTCCCCAAGAACACTGTCACCAGTCTAGACGGACCCTGAGGTCACCCCAGCAACGCAAAGCAGCTCCATGTGCCCCAAATCAACTCGAGATGAGGCCCGATTCCCCTGCATTGACTCCAGAGCCATTCCCCGTTCCCCATTCAACACGACCGGTGGCTCGACTTCCTTCAGGCAACTCCAGAGATGCCCTGAGAACACTGTCCCAAGTCTAGAGGAACACCAACTTCAGCACAGCAACTCGAGGAATGCTCCGTGTACACCAAATCGTCTCGAGATGAGAGCTGATTCCCTGGCTTAGGCTCAAGACGTATGCCAACTCCCCAGAAGCACCTCAGGAGGAGGCTTCTCTCAGCAATAGGTATGTGGGAGGGACCCCGAGTTTGCTGCCTCAAGGGGAATATACAGCGAGAAGCCCTAACTTGAAAGGAGGCCAGATTTCCTTGCAGTGGCTTGAATACAGGCTCCTCTTTGATCTCACAACATGAAGGGATATCTGAATCCCCTGCGGAGACCTTAGAGAAAGCCTTAGGTCCCTGCCTCATTTTGACGGAATGCCTCACATCCCGCTGACACCTCGAGAGGCACGCGGAGTTCATTGCTTCAAAAGGTGACGATGCCTGACTCCTCTTGAATACTGATAGGAATCCCAAAATCCCTGTGGCTACTTTAAAGGGTCCTTGGGTGCCCTGCCTCACCTCGAGAAGCGTCCCTTTTCCCTGCCAAGCCTCTAAGAGACTCCTGAGGTGTTCCTCGTTACTAGACAGGAGTCCTGACGTCACTGAAGAAACTCGTGTTTTGAAGGGCCATCCCCACCGTAAGTCGAGAACATACCCCAGGTCCCCGCCGCAACTCGAGAAAAACCATGAGACTTCCCCCTAGACGCGAGATGAGGCCCCATTCCCCTGCAGTGCATGCAGAACTATTCCATGATCGCATTCAAACAAGTCAGGAGCTTCGACTTGCTTAATGGATCTCGAGACAGTCCCCAAGAACACTGTCACCAGTATAGACGGACCCTGAGGTCACCCCAGCAAAGCAAAGCAGCTCCATGTGCCCCAAATCAACTCGAGATGAGGCCCGATTCCCCTGCATTGACTCCAGAGCCATTCCCCGTTCCCCATTCAACACGAACGGTGGCTCGACTTCCTTCAGCAACTCCAGAGATGCCCCGAGGACACTGTCCCAAGTCTAGAGGAACACCAACTTCAGCACAGCAAATCGAGGAATGCTCCGTGTACCCCAAATCGTCTCGAGATGAGAGCTGATTCCCTGGCTTAGGCTCAAGACGTATGCCAACTTTCCAGAAGCACCTCAGGAGGAGGCTTCTCTCAGCAATAGGTATGTGGGAGGGACCCCGAGTTTGCTGCCTCAAGGGGAATATACAGCGAGAAGCCCTAACTTGAAAGCAGGCCGGATTTCCTTGCAGTGGCTTGAATACAGGCTCGTCTTTCATATCACAACATGAAGGGATGTCTGAATCCCCTGTGGAGACCTTAGAGAAAGCCCTAGGTCCCTGCCTCATTTTGAACGGAATGCCTCACATCCCGCTGACACCTCGAGAGGCACGCGGAGTTCATTGCTTCAAAAGGTGACGATGCCTGACTCCTCTTGAATATTGATAGGAATCCCAAAATCCCTGTGGCTACTGGAAAGGGTCCTTGAGTGTCCTGCCCCACCTCGAGAAGCGTCCCTTTTGCTCTGCCAAGCCTCGAAGAGATTCCTGAGGTGTCCCTCGTTACTAGACAGGAGTCCTGACGTCACTGAAGAAACTCGTGTTTTGAAGGGCCATCCCCGCCGTAAGTCGAGAACATACCCCAGGTCCCCGCCGCAACTCGAGAAAAACCGTAAGACTTCCCCCTAGAGGCGAGATGAAGCCCCATTCCCCTGCAGTGCATGCAGAGCTATTCCGTGATCCCATTCAAACAAGTCAGGAGTTTCGACTTGCTTAATGGATCTCGAGAGAGTCCCCAAGAACACTGTCACCAGTCCAGACGGACCCTGAGGTCACCCCAGCACCGCACAGCACTCCATGTGCCCCAAATCAACTCGAGATGAGGCCCGATTCCCCTGCTTTGAAACCAGAGCCATTCCCCGTTCCCCATTCAACACGACCGGTGGCTCGACTTCCTTCAGCAACTCCAGAGATGCCCCGAGAACACTGTCCCAAGTCTAGAGGAACACCAACTTCAGCACAGCAACTCGAGGAATGCTCTGTGTACACCAAATCGTCTCTAGATGAGAGCTGATTCCCTGGCTTAGGCTCAAGACGTATGCCAAGTCATCAGAAGCACCTCAGGAGGAGGCTTCTCTCAGCAATAGGTATGTGGGAGGGACCCCGAGTTTGCTGCCTCAAGGGGAATATACAGCGAGAAGCCCTAACTTGAAAGGAGGCCGTATTTCCATGCAGGGGCTTGAATACAGGCTCGTCTTTCATCTCACAACATGAAGGGATGTCTGAGTCCCCTGTGGAGACCTTAGAGAAAGCCCTAGGTCCCTTCCTCATTTTGACAGAATGCCTCACATCCCGCTGACACCTCAAGAGGCACGCGGAGTTCATTGCTTCAAAAGGTGACGATGCCTGACTCCTCTTGAATACTGATAGGAATCCCAAAATCCCTGTGGCTACTGGAAAGGGTCCTTGAGTGTCCTGCCCCACCTCGAGAAGCGTCCCTTTTGCCCTGCCAGGCCTCGAAGAGATTCCTGAGGTGTCCCTCGTTACTAGACAGGAGTCCTGACGTCACTGAAGAAACTCGTGTTTTGAAGGGCCATCCCCGCCGTAGTTGAGAACATACCCTAGGTCCCCGCCGCAACTCGAGAAAAACCATGAGACTTCCCCCTAGAGGCGAGATGAGGCCCCATTCCCCTGCAGTGCATGCAGAGCTATTCCGTGATCCCATTCAAACAAGTCAGGAGCTTCGACTTGCTTAATGGATCTCGAGACAGTCCCCAAGAACACAGTCACCAGTCCAGACGGACACTGAGGTCACCCCAGCACCGCAAAGCAGCTCCATGTGCCCCAAATCAACTCGAGATGAGGCCCGATTCCCCTGCATTGACTCCAGAGCCATTCCCCGTTCCCCATTCAACACGACCTGTGGCTCGACTTCCTTCAGGCAACTCCAGAGATGCCCCGAGAACACTGTCCCAAGTCTAGAGGAACACCAACTTCAGCACAGCAACTCGAGGAATGCTCCGTGTACACCAAATCGTCTCGAGATGAGAGCTGATTCTCTGGCTTAGGCTCAAGACGTATGCCAACTTTCCAGAAGCACCTCAGGAGGAGGCTTCTCTCAGCAATAGTTATGTGGGAGGGACCCCGAGTTTGCTGCCTCAAGGGGAATATACAGAGAGAAGCCCTAACTTGAAAGGAGGCCGGATTTCCTTGCAGGGGCTTGAATACAGGCTCGTCTTTCATCTCACAACATGAAGGGATGTCTGAATCCCCTGTGGAGACCTTAGAGAAAGCCCTAGGTCCCTGCCTCATTTTGACGGAATGCCTCACATCCCGCTGACACCTCGAGAGGCACGCGGAGCTCATTGCTTCAAAAAGTGACGATGCCTGACTCCTCTTGAATACTGATAGGAATCCCAAACTCGCTGTGGCTACTGGAAAGGGTCCTTGGGTGCCCTGCCTCACCTCGAGAAGCGTCCCTTTTGCCCTGCCAAGCCTCGAAGAGATTCCTGAAGTGTCCCTCGTTACTAGACAGGAGTCCTGACGTCACTGAAGAAACTCGTGTTTTGAAGGGCCATCCCCGCCGTAAGTCGAGAACATACCCCGGGTCCCCGCCGCAACTCGAGAAAAACCATGAGACTTCCCCCTAGAGGCGAGATGAGGCCCCATTCCCCTGCAGTGCATGCAGAGCTATTCCGTGATCCCATTCAAACAAGTCAGGAGCTTCGACTTGCTTAATGGATCTCGAGACAGTCCCCAAGAACACTGTCACCCGTGCAGACGGACCCTGAGGTCACCCCAGCACCGCACAGCAGGTCCATGTGCCCCAAATCAACTCGAGATGAGGCCCGATTCCCCTGCATTGACTCCAGAGCCATTCCCCGTTCCCCATTCAACACGACCGGTGGCTCGACTTCCTTCAGCACCTCCAGAGATGCCCCGAGAACACTGTCCCAAGTCTAGAGGAACACCAACTTCAGCACAGCAACTCGAGGAATGCTCTGTGTACCCCAAATCGTCTCGAGATGAGAGCTGATTCCCTGGCTTAGGCTCAAGACGTATGCCAACTCCCCAGAAGCACCTCAGGAGGAGGCTTCTCTCAGCAATAGGTATGTGGGAGGGACCCCGAGTTTGCTGCCTTAAGGGGAATATACAGCGAGAAGCCCTAACTTGAAAGGAGGCCGGACTTCCATGCAGGGGCTTGAATACAGGCTCGTCTTTCATCTCACAACATGAAGGGATGTCTGAATCCCCTGTGGAGACCTTAGAGAAAGCCCTAGGTCCCTGCCTCATTTTGACAGAATGCCTCACATCCCGCTGACACCTGAAGAGGCACGCGGAGTTCATTGCTTCAAAAGGTGACGATGCCTGACTCCTCTTGAATAGTGATAGGAATCCCAAAATCCCTGTGGCTACGGGAAAGGGTCCTTGGGTGCCCTGCCTCACCTCGAGAAGCGTCCCATTTGCCCTGCCAAGCCTCGAAGAGATTCCTGAGGTGTCCCTCGTTACTAGACAGGAGTCCTGACGTCACTGAAGAAACTCGTGTTCTGAAGGGCCAGCCCCGCCGTAAGTCGAGAACATACCCCAGGTCCCCGCCGCAACTCGAGAAAAACCATGAGACTTCCCCCTAGAGGCGAGATGAGGCCCCATTCCCCTGCAGTGCATGCAGAGATATTCCGTGATCCCATTCAAACAAGTCAGGAGCTTCGACTTGCTTAATGGGTCTCGAGACAGTCCCCAAGAACACTGTCACCAGTCTAGACGGACCCTGAGGTCACCCCAGCAACGCAAAGCAGCTCCATGTGCCCGAAATCAACTCGAGATGGGGCCCGATTCCCCTGCATTGACTCCAGAGCCATTCCTCGTTCCCCATTCAACACGACCGGTGGCTCGACTTCCTTCAGGAAACTCCAGAGATGCCCCAAGAACACTGTCCCAAGTCGAGAGGAACAACAACTTCAGCACAGCAACTCGAGGAATGCTCCGTGTACCCCAAATCGTCTCGAGATGAGAGCTGATTCCCTGGCTTAGGCTCAAGACGTATGCCAACTTTCCAGAAGCACCTCAGGAGGAGGCTTCTCTCAGCAATAGTTATGTGGGAGGGACCCTGAGTTTGCTGCCTCAAGGGGAATATACAGCGAGAAGCCCTAACTTGAAAGGAGGCCGGATTTCCTTGCATTGGCTTGAACACAGGATCGTCTTTCATCTCACAACATGAAGGGATGTCTGAATCCCCTGTGGAGACCTTAGAGAAAGCCCTAGGTCCCTGCCTCATTTTGACGGAATGCCTCACATCGCGCTGAGACCTCGAGAGGCACGCGGAGTTCATTGCTTCAAAAGGTGACGACGCCTGACTCCTCTTGAATACTGATAGGAATCCCAAAATCCCTGTGGCTACTGGAAAGGGTCCTTGGGTGCCCTGTCTCACCTCGAGAAGCATCCCTTTTGCCCTGGCAAGCCTCGAAGAGATTCCTGAGGTGTCCCTCGTTACTAGACAGGAGTCCTGACGTCACTGAAGAAACTCGTGTTTTGAAGGGCCATCCCCGCCGTAAGTCGAGAACATACCCCAGGTCCCCGCCGCAACTCGAGAAAAACCATGAGACTTCCCCCTAGAGGCGAGATGAGGCCCCATTCCCCTGCAGTGCATGCAGAGCTATTCTGTGATCCCATTCAAACAAGTCAGGAGCTTCGACTTGCTTAATGGATCTCGAGACAGTCCCCAAGAACACTGTCACCAGTCCAGACGGACACTGAGGTCACCCCAGCACCGCAAAGCAGCTCCATGTGCCCCAAATCAACTCGAGATGAGGCCCGATTCCCCTGCATTGACTCCAGAGCCATTCCCCGTTCCCCATTCAACACGACCTGTGGCTCGACTTCCTTCAGGCAACTCCAGAGATGCCCCGAGAACACTGTCCCAAGTCTAGAGGAACACCAACTTCAGCACAGCAACTCGAGGAATGCTCCGTGTACCCCAAATCATCTCGAGATGAGAGCTGATTCTCTGGCTTAGGCTCAAGACGTATGCCAACTTCCCAGAAACACCTCAGGAGGAGGCTTCTCTCAGCAATAGGTATGTGGGAGGGACCCCGAGTTTGCTGCCTCAAGGGGAATATACAGCGAGAAGCCCTAACTTGAAAGGAGTCCGAATTTCCTTGCAGTGGCTTGAATACAGGCTCGTCTTTCATCTCACAATATGAAGGGATGTCTGAATCCGCTGTGGAGACCTTAGAGAAAGCCCTAGGTCCCTGCCTCATTTTGACGGAATGCCTCACATCCCGCTGACACCTCGACAGGCACGCGGAGCTCATTGCTTCAAAATGTGACGATGCCTGACTCCTCTTGAATACTGATAGGAATCCCAAAATCCCTGTGGCTACTGGAAAGGGTCCTTGAGTGCCCTGCCCCACCTCGAGAAGCGTCCCTTTTGCTCTGCCAAGCCTCGAAGAGATTTCTGAGGTGTCCCTCGTTACTAGACAGGAGTCCTGACGTCACTGAAGAAACTCGTGGTTTGAAGGGCCATCCCCGCCGTAAGTCGAGAACATACCCCAGGTCCCCGCCGCAACTCGAGAAAAACCATGAGACTTCCCCCTAGAGGCGAGATGAGGCCCCATTCCCCTGCAGTGCATACAGAGCTATTCCGTGATCCCATTCAAACAAGTCAGGAGCTTCGACTTGCTTAATGGATCTCGAGACAGAACCCAAGAACACTGTCACCAGTCTAGACGGACCCTGAGGTCACCCCAGCAACGCAAAGCAGCTCCATGTGCCCCAAATCAACTCGAGATGAGGCCCGATTCCCCTGCATTGACTCCAGAGCCATTCCCCGTAACCCCATTCAACACGACCGGTGGCTCGACTTAATTCACGCAACTCCAGAGATGCCCCGAGAATACTCTCCCAAGTATAGAGGAACAACAACTTCAGCACAGCAACTCGAGGAATGATCCGTGTACCCCAAATCGTCTTGAGATGAGAGCTGATTCCCTGGCTTAGGCTCAAGACGTATGCCAACTTTCCAGAAGCACCTCAGGAGGAGGCTTCTCTCAGCAATAGGTATGTGGGAGGGACACTGAATTTGCTGCCTCAAGGGGAATATACAGCGAGAAGCCCTAACTTGAAACGAGGCCAGATTTCCTTGCAGTGGCTTGAATACAGGCTCGTCTTTCATCTCAAAACATGAAGGGATGTCTGAATCCCCTGTGGAGACCTTAGAGAAAGCCCTAGGTCCCTGCCCCATTTTGACGGAATGCCTCACATCCCGCTGACACCTCGAGAGGCACGCGGAGTTCATTGCTTCAAAAGGAGACGATGCCTGACTCCTCTGGAATACTGATAGCAATACCAAAATCCCTGTGGCTACCGGAAGGGGTCCTTGGGTGCGCTGCCTCACGTCGAGAAGCGTCCCTTTTGCCCTGCCAAGCCTCGAAGAGATTCCTGAGGTGTCCCTCATTAGTAGACAGGAGTCCTGACGACACTGAAGAAACTCGTGTTTTGAAGGGCCATCCCCGCCGTAAGTCGAGAACATACCCCAGGTCCCCGCCGCAACTCGAGAAAAACCATGAGACTTCCCCCTAGAGGCGAGATGAGGCCCCATTCCCCTGCAGTGCATGCAGAGCTATTCCGTGATCCCATTCAAACAAGTCAGGAGCTTCGACTTGCTTAATGGATCTCGAGACAGTCCCCAAGAACACTGTCACCAGTCTAGACGGACCCTGAGGTCACCCCAGTAACGCAAAGCAGCTCCATGTGCCCCAAATCAACTCGAGATGAGGCCCGATTCCCCTGCATTGACTCCAGAGCCATTCCCCGTTCCCCATTCAACACGACCGGTGGCTCGACTTCCTTCAGGCCACTCCAGAGATGCCCCGAGAACACTTTCGCAAGTCTAGAGGAACACCAACTTCAGCACAGCAACTCGAGGAATGCTCTGTGTACACCAAATCGTCTCGACATGAGAGCTGATTCCCTGGCTTAGGCTCAAGACGTATGCCAACTTTCCAGAAGCACCACAGGAGGAGGCTTCATTTAGCAATAGTTATGTGGGAGGGACCCCGAGTTTGCTGCCTAAAGGGGAATATACAGCGAGAAGCCCTAACTTGAAAGGAGGCCGGATTTCCTTGCAGTGGCTTGAATATAGGCTCCTCTTTGATCTCACAACATGAAGGGATATCTGAATCCCCTGCGGAGACCTTAGAGAAAGCCTTAGTTCCCTGCCTCATTTTGACGGAATGCCTCATATCCCGTTGACACCTCGAGAGGCACGCGGAGATCATTGCTTCAAAAGGTGACGATGACTGACTCCTCTTGAATACTGATAGGAATCCCAAAATACCTGTGGCTACTGGAAAGGGTCCTTGGGTGCCCTGCCTCACCTCGAGAATCGTCCCTTTTCCCTGCCAAGCCTCTAACAGATTCCTGAGGTGTTCCTCGTTACTAGACAGGAGTCCTGACGTCACTGAAGAAACTCGTGTTTTGAAGGGCCATCCCCGCCGTAAGTCGAGAACATACCCCAGGTCCCCGCCGCAACTCGAGAAAAACCATGAGACTTCCCCCTAGACGCGAGATGAGGCCCCATTCCCCTGCAGTGCATGCAGAGCTATTCCGTGATCCCATTCAAATAAGTCAGGAGCTTCGACTTGCTTAATGGATCTCGAGACAGTCCCCAAGAACACTGTCACCAGTCTAGACGGACCCTGAGGTCACCCCAGCAACGCAAAGCAGATCCATGTGCCCCAAATCAACTCGAGATGAGGCCCGATTCCCCTGCATTGACTCCAGAGCCATTCCCCGTTCCCCATTCAACACGAACGGTGGCTCGACTTCCTTCAGGCAACTCCAGAGATGCCCCGAGAACACTGTCCCAAGTCTAGAGGAACACCAACTTCAGCACAGCAACTCGAGGAATGCTCCGTGTACCCCAAATCGTCTCGAGATGAGAGCTGATTCCCTGGCTTAGGCTCAAGACGTATGCCAACTTTCCAGAAGCACCTCAGGAGGAGGCTTCTCTCAGCAATAGGTATGTGGGAGGGACACCGAGTTTGCTGCCTCAAGGGGAATATACAGCGAGAAGCCCTAACTTGAAAGCAGGCCGGATTTCCTTGCAGTGGCTTGAATACAGGCTCGTTTTTCATCTCACAACATGAAGGGATGTCTGAATCCCCTGTGGAGTCCTTAGAGAAAGCCCTAGTTCCCTGCCTCATTTTGAACGGAATGCCTCACATCCCGCTGACACCTCAAGAGGCACGCGGAGTTCATTGCTTCAAAAGGTGACGATGCCTGACTCCTCTTGAATACTGATAGGAATCCCAAAATCCCTGTGGCTACTGGAAAGGGTCCTTGAGTGCCCTGCCCCACCTCGAGAAGCGTCCCTTTTGCTCTGCCAAGCCTCGAAGAGATTTCTGAGGTGTCCCTCGTTACTAGACAGGAGTCCTGACGTCACTGAAGAAACTCGTGGTTTGAAGGGCCATCCCCGCCGTAAGTCGAGAACATACCCCAGGTCCCCGCCGCAACTCGAGAAAAACCATGAGACTTCCCCCTAGAGGCGAGATGAGGCCCCATTCCCCTGCAGTGCATGCAGAGCTATTCCGTGATCCCATTCAAACAAGTCAGGAGCTTCGACTTGCTTAATGGATCTCGAGACAGAACCCAAGAACACTGTCACCAGTCTAGACGGAACCTGAGGTCACCCCAGCAACGCAAAACAGCTCCATGTGCCCCATATCAACTCGAGATGAGGCCCGATTCCCCTGCATTGACTCCAGAGCCATTCCCCGTTCCCCATTCAACACGACCGGTGGCTCGACTTCCTTCAGGCAACTCCAGAGATGCCCCGAGAACACTGTCACAAGTCTAGAGGAACACCAACTTCAGCACAGCAACTCGAGGAATGCTCCGTGTACCCCAAATCGTCTCGACATGAGAGCTGATTCCCTGGCTTAGGCTCAAGACGTATGCCAACTTTCCAGAAGCACCTCAGGAGGAGGCTTCTCTCAGCAATAGGTATGTGGGAGGGACCCCGAGTTTGCTGCCTCAAGGGGAATATACAGCGAGAAGCCCTAACTTGAAAGGAGGCCAGATTTCCTTGCAGTGGCTTGAATACAGGCTCGTCTTTCATCTCACAACATGAAGGGATGTCTGAATCCCCTGTGGAGACCTTAGAGAAAGCCCTAGGTCCCTGCCTCATTTTGACGGAATGCCTCACATCCCGCTGACACCTCGAGAGGCACGCGGAGTTCATTGCTTCCAAAGGTGACGATGCCTGACTCCTCTTGAATACTGATAGGAATCCCAAAATCCCTGTGGCTAATGGAAAGGGTCCTTGGGTGCCCTGCCCCACCTCGAGAAGCGTCCCTTTTGCCCTGCCAAGCCTCGAAGAGATTTCTGAGGTGTCCCTCGTTACTAGACAGGAGTCCTGACGTCACTGAAGAAACTCGTGGTTTGAAGGGCCATCCCCGCCGTAAGTCGAGAACATACCCCAGGTCCCCGCCGCAACTCGAGAAAAACCGTAAGACTTCCCCCTAGAGGCGAGATGAAGCCCCATTCCCCTGCAGTGCATGCAGAGCTATTCCGTGATCCCATTCAAACAAGTCAGGAGCTTCGACTTGCTTAATGGATCTCGAGAGAGTCCCCAAGAACACTGTCACCAGTCCAGACGGACCCTGAGGTCACCCCAGCAACGCAAAGCAGCTCCATGTGCCCCAAATCAACTCGAGATGAGGCCCGATTCCCCTGCATTGACTCCAGAGCCATTCCCCGTTCCCCATTCAACACGACCGGTGGCTCGACTTCCTTCAGCAACTCCAGAGATGCCCCGAGAACACTGTCCCAAGTCTAGAGGAACACCAACTTCAGCACAGCAACTCGAGGAATGCTCCGTGTACACCAAATCGTCTCGAGATGAGAGCTGATTCCCTGGCTTAGGCTCAAGACGTATGCCAACTCCCCAGAAGCACCTCAGGAGGAGGCTTCTCTCAGTAATAGGTATGTGGGAGGGACCCCGAGTTTGCTGCCTCAAGGGGAATATACAGCGAGAAGCTCTAACTTGAAAGGAGGCCGGATTTCCTTGCAGTGGCTTGAATACAGGCTCGTCTTTCATCTCACAACATGAAGGGATGTCTGAATGCCCTGTGGAGACCTTAGAGAAAGCCCTAGGTCCCTGCCTCATTTTTACGGAATGCCTCACATCCCGCTGACACCTCGAGAGGCACGCGGAGTTAATTGCTTCAAAAATGACGATGCCTGACTCCTCTTGAATACTGATAGGAATCCCAAAATCCCTGTGGCTACTGGAAATTGTCCTTGGGTGCCCTGCCTCACCTCGAGAAGCGTCCCATTTGCCCTGCCAAGCCTCGAAGAGATTCCTGAGGTATCCCTCGTTACTAGACAGGAGTCCTGACGTCACTGAAGAAACTCGTGGTTTGAAGGGCCAGCCCCGCCATAAGTCCAGAACATACCCCAGGTCCCCGCCGCAACTCGAGAAAAACCATGAGACTTCCCCCTAGAGGCGAGATGAGGCCCCATTCCCCTGCAGTGCATGCAGAGCTATTCCGTGATCCCATTCAAACAAGTCAGGAGCTTCGACTTGCTTAATGGATCTCGAGACAGTCCCCAAGAACACTGTCACCAGTCCAGTCGGACCCTGAGGTCACCCCAGCACCGCACAGCAGCTCCATGTGCCCCAAATCAACTCGAGATGAGGCCCGATTCCCCTGCATTGACTCCAGAGCCATTCCCCTTTCCCCATTCAACACGACCGGTGGCTCGACTTCCTTCAGCAACTCCAGAGATGCCCCGAGAACACTGTCCCAAGTCTAGAGGAACACCAACTTCAGCACAGCAACTCGAGGAATGCTCTGTGTACACCAAATCGTCTCGAGATGAGAGCTGATTCCTGGCTTAGGCTCAAGACGTATGCCAACTCCCCAGAAGCACCTCAGGAGGAGGCTTCTCTCAGCAATAGGTATGTGGGAGGGACCCCGAGTTTGCTGCCTCAAGGGGAATATACAGCGAGAAGCCCTAACTTGAAAGGAGGCCGGATTTCCATGCAGGGGCTTGAATACAGGCTCGTCTTTCATCTCACAACATGAAGGGATGTCTGAATCCCCTGTGGAGACCTTAGAGAAAGCCCTAGGTCCCTTCCTCATTTTGACGGAATTCCTCACAACCCGCCGACACCTCAAGAGGCACGCGGAGTTCATTGCTTCAAAAGGTGACGATGCCTGACTCCTCTTGAATACTGATAGGAATCCCAAAATCCCTGTGGCTACTGGAAAGGGTCCTTGGGTGCCCTGCCTCACCTCGAGAAGCGTCCCTTTTGCCCTGCCAGGCCTCGAAGAGATTCCTGAGGTGTCCCTCGTTACTAGACAGGAGTCCTGACGTCACTGAAGAAACTCGTGTTTTGAAGGCCCATCCCCGCCGTAAGTCGAGAACATACCCCAGGTCCCCGCCGCAACTCGAGAAAAACAATGAGACTTCCCCCTAGAGGCGAGATGAGGCCCCATTCCCCTGCAGTGCATGCAGAGCTATTCCGTGATCCCATTCAAACAAGTCAGGAGCTTCGACTTGCTTAATGGATCTCGAGACAGTCCCCAAGAACACTGTCACCAGTCTAGACGGACCCTGAGGTCACCCCAGCAACGCAAAGCAGCTCCATGTGCCCCAAATCAACTCGAGATGAGGCCCGATTCCCCTGCATTGACTCCAGAGCCATTCCCCGTTCCCCATTCAACACGACCGGTGGCTCGACTTCCTTCAGGCAACTCCAGAGATGCCCTGAGAACACTGTCCCAAGTCTAGAGGAACACCAACTTCAGCACAGCAACTCGAGGAATGCTCCGGGTACCCCAAATCGTATCGAGATGAGAGCTGATTCCCTGGCTTAGGCTCAAGACGTATGCCAACTCCCCAGAAGCACCTCAGGAGGAGGCTTCTCTCAGCAATAGGTATGTGGGAGGGACCCCGAGTTTGCTGCCTCAAGGGGAATATACAGCGAGAAGCCCTAACTTGAAAGGAGGCCAGATTTCCTTGCAGTGGCTTGAATACAGGCTCCTCTTTGATCTCACAACATGAAGGGATATCTGAATCCCCTGCGGAGACCTTAGAGAAAGCCTTAGGTCCCTGCCTCATTTTGACGGAATGCCTCACATCCCGCTGACACCTCGAGAGGCACGCGGAGTTCATTGCTTCAAAAGGTGACGATGCCTGACTCCTCTTGAATACTGATAGGAATCCCAAAATCCCTGTGGCTACTGGAAAGGGTCCTTGGGTGCCCTGCCTCACCTCGAGAAGCGTCCCTTTTCCCTGCCAAGCCTCTAAGAGACTCCTGAGGTGTTCCTCGTTACTAGACAGGAGTCCTGACGTCACTGAAGAAACTCGTGGTTTGAAGGGCCATCCCCGCCGTAAGTCGAGAACATACCCCAGGTCCCCGCCGCAACTCGAGAAAAACCGTAAGACTTCCCCCTAGAGGCGAGATGAAGCCCCATTCCCCTGCAGTGCATGCAGAGCTATTCCGTGATCCCATTCAAACAAGTCAGGAGCTTCGACTTGCTTAATGGATCTCGAGAGAGTCCCCAAGAACACTGTCACCAGTCCAGACGGACCCTGAGGTCACCCCAGCACCGCACAGCACTCCATGTGCCCCAAATCAACTCGAGATGAGGCCCGATTCCCCTGCATTGAAACCAGAGCCATTCCCCGTTCCCCATTCAACACGACCGGTGGCTCGACTTCCTTCAGCAACTCCAGAGATGCCCCGAGAACACTGTCCCAAGTCTAGAGGAACACCAACTTCAGCACAGCAACTCGAGGAATGCTCTGTGTACACCAAATCGTCTCGAGATGAGAGCTGATTCCCTGGCTTAGGCTCAAGACGTATGCCAAGTCATCAGAAGCACCTCAGGAGGAGGCTTCTCTCAGCAATAGGTATGTGGGAGGGACCCCGAGTTTGCTGCCTCAAGGGGAATATACAGCGAGAAGCCCTAACTTGAAAGGAGGCCGGATTTCCATGCAGGGGCTTGAATACAGGCTCGTCTTTCATCTCACAACATGAAGGGATGTCTGAATCCCCTGTGGAGACCTTAGAGAAAGCCCTAGGTCCCTTCCTCATTTTGACAGAATGCCTCACATCCCGCTGACACCTCAAGAGGCACGCGGAGTTCATTGCTTCAAAAGGTGACGATGCCTGACTCCTCTTGAATACTGATAGGAATCCCAAAATCCCTGTGGCTACTGGAAAGGGTCCTTGGGTGCCCTGCCTCACCTCGAGAAGCGTCCCTTTTGCCCTGCCAGGCCTCGAAGAGATTCCTGAGGTGTCCCTCGTTACTAGACAGGAGTCCTGACGTCACTGAAGAAACTCGTGTTTTGAAGGGCCTTCCCCGCCGTAAGTCGAGAACATACCCCAGGTCCCCGCCGCAACTCGAGAAAAACCATGAGACTTCCCCCTAGAGGCGAGATGAGGCCCCATTCCCCTGCAGTGCATGCAGAGCTATTCCGTGATCCCATTCAAACAAGTCAGGAGCTTCGACTTGCTTAATGGATCTCGAGAGAGTCCCCAAGAACACTGTCACCAGTCTAGACGGACCCTGACGTCACCCCAGCAACGCAAAGCAGCTCCATGTGCCCCAAATCAACTCGAGATGAGGCCCGATTCCCCTGCATTGACTCCAGAGCCATTCCCCGTTCCCCATTCAACACGACCGGTGGCTCGACTTCCTTCAGGCAACTCCAGAGATGCCCTGAGAATACTGTCCCAAGTCTAGAGGAACACCAACTTCAGCACAGCAACTCGAGGAATGCTCCGGGTACCCCAAATCGTCTCGAGATGAGAGCTGATTCCCTGGCTTAGGCTCAAGACGTATGCCAACTCCCCAGAAGCACCTCAGGAGGAGGCTTCTCTCAGCAATAGGTATGTGGGAGGGACCCCGAGTTTGCTGCCTCAAGGGGAATATACAGCGAGAAGCCCTAACTTGAAAGGAGGCCGGATTTCCTTGCAGTGGCTTGAATACAGGCTCGTCTTTCATCTCACAACATGAAAGGATGTCTGAATGCCCTGTGGAGACCTTAGAGAAAGCCCTAGGTCCCTGCCTCATTTTGACGGAATGCCTCACATCCCGCTGACACCTCGAGAGGCACGCGGAGTTCATTGCTTCAAAAGGTGACGATGCCTGACTCCTCTGGAATACTGATAGGAATCCCAAAATCCCTGTGGCTACTGGAAAGGGTCCTTGGGTGCCCTGCCTCACCTCGAGAAGCGTCCCTTTTGCCCTGCCAAGCCTCGAAGAGATTCCTGAGGTGTCCCTCGTTACTAGACAGGAGTCCTGACGTCACTGAAGAAACTCGTGTTTTGAAGGGCCATCCCCGCCGTAAGTTGAGAACATACCCCAGGTCCCCGCCGCAACTCGAGAAAAACCATGAGACTTCCCCCTAGAGGCGAGATGAGGCCCCATTCCCCTGCAGTGCATGCAGAGCTATTCCGTGATCCCATTCAAACAAGTCAGGAGCTTCGACTTGCTTAATGGATCTCGAGACAGTCCCAAAGAACACTGTCACCAGTCCAGACGGACACTGAGGTCACCCCAGCACCGCAAAGCAGCTCCATGTGCCCCAAATCAACTCGAGATGAGGCCCGATTCCCCTGCATTGACTCCAGAGCCATTCCCCGTTCCCCATTCAACACGACCTGTGGCTCGACTTCCTTCAGGCAACTCCAGAGATGCCCCGAGAACACTGTCCGAGGTCTAGAGGAACACCAACTTCAGCACAGCAACTCGAGGAATGCTCCGTGTACCCCAAATCATCTCGAGATGAGAGCTGATTCCCTGGCTTAGGCTCAAGACGTATGCCAGCTTTCCAGAAGCACCTCAGGAGGAGGCTTCTCTCAGCAATAGGTATGTGGGAGGGACCCCGAGTTTGCTGCCTCAAGGGGAATATACAGCGAGAAGCCCTAACTTGAAAGGAGGCCGGATTTCCTGGCAGTGGCTTGAATACAGGCTCGTGTTTCATCTCACAACATGAAGGGATGTCTGAATCCCCTGTGGAGACCTTAGAGAAAGCCCTAGGTCCCTGCCTCCTTTTGACGGAATGCCTCACATCCCGCTGACACCTCGAGAATCACGCAGAGTTCATTGTTTCAAAAGGTGACGATGCCTGACTCCTCTTGAATACTGATAGGAATCCCAAAATTCCTGTGGCTACTGGAAAGGGTCCTTTGGTGCCCTGCCCCACCTCGAGAAGCGTCCCTTTTGCCCTACCAAGCCTCGAAGAGATTTCTGAGGTGTCCCTCGTTACTAGACAGGAGTCCTGACGTCACTGAAGAAACTCGTGTTTTGAAGGGCCATCCCCGCCGTAAGTCGAGAACATACCCCAGGTCCCCGCCGCAACTCGAGAAAAACCATGAGACTTCCCCCTAGAGGCGAGATGAGGGCCCATTCCCCTGCAGTGTATGCAGAGCTATTCCGTGATCCCATTCAAACAAGTCAGGAGCTTCGACTTGCTTAATGGATCTCGAGACAGTCCCCAAGAACACTGTCACCAGTCTAGACGGACCATGAGGTCACCCCAGCAACGCAAAGCAGCTCCATGTGCCCCAAATCAACTCGAGATGAGTCCCGATTCCGCTGCATTGACTCCAGAGCCATTCCCCGTACCCCATTCAACACGACCGGTGGCTCGACTTCCTTCACGCAACTCCAGAGATGCCCCGAGAATACTGTCCCAAGTATAGAGGAACAACAACTTCAGCACAGCAACTCGAGGAATGATCCGTGTACCCCAAATCGTCTTGAGATGAGAGCTGATTCCCTGGCTTAGGCTCAAGACGTATGCCAACTTTCCAGAAGCACCTCAGGAGGAGGCTTCTCTCAGCAATAGGTATGTGGGAGGGACACTGAGTTTGCTGCCTCAAGGGGAATATACAGCGAGAAGCCCTAACTTGAAACGAGGCCAGATTTCCTTGCAGTGGCTTGAATACAGGCTCGTCTTTCATCTCAAAACATGAAGGGATGTCTGAATACCCTGAGGAGACCTTAGAGAAAGCCCTAGGTCCCTGCCCCATTTTTACGGAATGCCTCACATCCCGCTGACACCTCGAGAGGCACGCGGAGTTCATTGCTTCAAAAGGTGACGATGCCTGACTCCTCTGGAATACTGATAGCAATCCCGAAATCCCTGTGGCTACTGGAAGGGGTCCTTGGGTGCGCTGCCTCACGTCGAGAAGCGTCCCTTTTGCCCTGCCAAGCCTCGAAGAGATTCCTGAGGTGTCCCTCATTAGTAGACAGGAGTCCTGACGACACTGAAGAAACTCGTGTTTTGAAGGGCCATCCCCGCCGTAAGTCGAGAACATACCCCAGGTCCCCGCCGCAACTCGAGAAAAACCATGAGACTTCCCCCTAGAGGCGAGATGAGGCCCCATTCCCCTGCAGTGCATGCAGAGCTATTCCGTGATCCCATTCAAACAAGTCAGGAGCTTCGACTTGCTTAATGGATCTCGAGACAGTCCCCAAGAACACTGTCACCAGTCTAGACGGACCCTGAGGTCACCCCAGCAACGCAAAGCAGCTCCATGTGCCCCAAATCAACTCGACATGAGGCCCGATTCCCCTGCATTGACTCCAGAACCATTCCCCGTTCCCCATTCAGCACGACCGGTGGCTCGACTTCCTTCAGGCAACTCCAGAGATGCCCCGAGAACACTTTCGCAAGTCTAGAGGAACACCAACTTCAGCACAGCAACTCGAGGAATGCTCCGTGTACCCCAAATCGTCTCGACATGAGAGCTGATTCCCTGGCTTAGGCTCAAGAGGTATGCCAACTTTCCAGAAGCACCACAGGAGGAGGCTTCATTTAGCAATAGTTATGTGGGAGGGACCCCGTGTTTGCTGCCTCAAGGGGAATATACAGCGAGAAGCCCTAACTTGAAAGGAGGCCGGATTTCCTTGCAGCGGCTTGAATGCAGGCTCCTCTTTGATCTCACAACATGAAGGGATATCTGAATCCCCTGCGGAGACCTTAGAGAAAGCCTTAGGTCCCTGCCTCATTTTGACGGAATGCCTCATATCCCGCTGACACCTCGAGAGTCACGCGGAGTTCATTGCTTCAAAAGGTGACGATGCCTGACTCCTCTTGAATACTGATAGGAATCCCAAAATCCCTGTGGCTACTGGAAAGGGTCCTTGGGTGCCCTGCCTCACCTCGAGAAGCGTCCCTTTTCCCTGCCAAGCCTCTAACAGATTCCTGAGGTGTTCCTCGTTACTAGACAGGAGTCCTGACGTCACTGAAGAAACTCGTGTTTTGAAGGGCCATCCCCGCCGTAAGTCGAGAACATACCCCAGGTCCCCGCCGCAACTCGAGAAAAACCATGAGACTTCCCCCTAGACGCGAGATGAGGCCCCATTCCCCTGCAGTGCATGCAGAGCTATTCCATGATCACATTCAAACAAGTCAGGAGCTTCGACTTGCTTAATGGATCTCGAGAGAGTCCCCAAGAACACTGTCACCAGTATAGACGGACCCTGAGGTCACCCCAGAAACGCAAAGCAGCTCCATGTGCCCCAAATCAACTCGAGATGAGGCCCGATTCCCCTGCGTTGACTCCAGAGACATTCCCCGTACCACATTCAACACGACCGGTGGCTCGACTTCCTTCACGCAACTCCAGAGATGCCCCGAGAATACTGTCCCAAGTATAGAGGAACAACAACTTCAGCACAGCAACTCGAGGAATGATCCGTGTACCCCAAATCGTCTTGAGATGAGAGCTGATTCCCTGGCTTAGGCTCAAGACGTATGCCAACTTTCCAGAAGCACCTCAGGAGGAGGCTTCTCTCAGCAATAGGTATGTGGGAGGGACACTGAGTTTGCTGCCTCAAGGGGAATATACAGCGAGAAGCCCTAACTTGAAACGAGGCCAGATTTCCTGGCAGTGGCTTGAATACAGGCTCGTCTTTCATCTCAAAACATGAAGGGATGTCTGAATCCCCTGTGGAGACCTTAGAGAAAGCCCTAGGTCCCTGCCCCATTTTTACGGAATGCCTCACATCCCGCTGACACATCGAGAGGCACGCGGAGTTCATTGCTTCAAAAGGAGACGATGCCTGACTCCTCTGGAATACTGATAGCAATCCCAAAATCCCTGTGGCTACTGGAAGGGGTCCTTGGGTGCGCTGCCTCACGTCGAGAAGCGTCCCTTTTGCCCTGCCAAGCCTCGAAGAGATTCCTGAGGTGTCCCTCATTAGTAGACAGGAGTCCTGACGACACTGAAGAAACTCGTGTTTTGAAGGGCCATCCCCGCCGTAAGTCGAGAACATACCCCAGGTCCCCGCCGCAACTCGAGAAAAACCATGAGACTTCCCCCTAGAAGCGAGATGAGGCCCCATTCCCCTGCAGTGCATGCAGAGCTATTCCGTGATCCCATTCAAACAAGTCAGATGCTTCGACTTGCTTAATGGATCTCGAGACAGTCCCCAAGAACACTGTCACCAGTCTAGACGGACCCTGAGGTCACCCCAGCAACGCAAAGCACCTCCATGTGCCCCAAATCAACTCGAGATGAGGCCCGATTCCCCTGCATTGACTCCAGAGCCATTCCCCGTTCCCCATTCAACACGAACGGTGGCTCGACTTCCTTCAGGCAACTCCAGAGATGCCCCGAGAACACTGTCCCAAGTCTAGAGGAACACCAACTTCAGCACAGCAACTCGAGGAATGCTCCGTGTACCCCAAATCGTCTCGAGATGAGAGCTGATTCCCTGGCTTAGGCTCAAGACGTATGCCAACTTTACAGAAGCACCTCAGGAGGAGGCTTCTCTCAGCAATAGGTATGTGGGAGGGACACCGAGTTTGCTGCCTCAAAGGGAATATACAGCGAGAAGCCCTAACTTGAAAGCAGGCCGGATTTCCTTGCAGTGGCTTGAATACAGGCTCGTTTTTCATCTCACAACATGAAGGGATGTCTGAATCCCCTGTGGAGTCCTTAGAGAAAGCCCTAGTTCCCTGCCTCATTTTGAAAGGAATGCCTCACATCCCGCTGACACCTCAAGAGGCACGCGGAGTTCATTGCTTCAAAAGGTGACGATGCCTGACTCCTCTTGAATATTGATAGGAATCCCAAAATCCCTGTGGCTACTGGAAAGGGTCCTTGAGTGCCCTGCCCCACCTCGAGAAGCGTCCCTTTTGCTCTGCCAAGCCTCGAAGAGATTTCTGAGGTGTCCCTCGTTACTAGACAGGAGTCCTGACGTCACTGAAGAAACTCGTGTTTTGAAGGGCCATCCCCGCCGTAAGTCGAGAACATACCCCAGGTCCCCGCCGCAACTCGAGAAAAACCATGAGACTTCCCCCTAGAGGTGAGATGAGGCCCCATTCCCCTGCAGTGCATGCAGAGCTATTCTGTGATCCCATTCAAACAAGTCAGGAGCTTCGACTTGCTTAATGGATCTCGAGACAGAACCCAAGAACACTGTCACCAGTCTAGACGGAACCTGAGGTCACCCCAGCAATGCAAAACAGCTCCATGTGCCCCATATCAACTCGAGATGAGGCCCGATTCCCCTGCATTGACTCCAGAGCCATTCCCCGTTCCCCATTCAACACGACCGGTGGCTCGACTTCCTTCAGGCAACTCCAGAGATGCCCCGAGAACACTGTCACAAGTCTAGAGGAACACCAACTTCAGCACAGCAACTCGAGGAATGCTCTGTGTACACCAAATCGTCTCGAGATGAGAGCTGATTCCCTGGCTTAGGCTCAAGACGTATGCCAACTTCCCAGAAGCACCTCAGGAGGAGGCTTCTCTCAGCAATAGGTATGTGGGAGGGACCCCGAGTTTGCTGCCTCAAGGGGAATATACAGCGAGAAGCCCTAACTTGAAAGGAGGCCGGATTTCCATGCAGCGGCTTGAATACAGGCTCGTCTTTCATCTCACAACATGAAGGGATGTCTGAATCCCCTGTGGAGACCTTAGAGAAAGCCCTCGGTCCCTGCCTCATTTTGACGGAATGCCTCACATCCCGCTGACACCTCGAGAGACACGCGGAGTTCATTGCTTCAAAAGGTGACGATGCCTGACTCCTCTTGAATACTGATAGGAATCCCAAAATCCCTGTGGCTAATGGAAAGGGTCCTTGGGTGCCCTGCCTCACCTCGAGAAGCGTCCCATTTGCCCTGCCAAGCCTCGAAGAGATTCCTGAGGTGTCCCTCGTTACTAGACAGGAGTCCTGACGTCACTGAAGAAACTCGTGTTTTGAAGGGCCATTCCCGCCGTAAGTTGAGAACATACCGCAGGTCCCCGCCGCAACTCGAGAAAAACCATGAGACTTCCCCCTAGAGGCGAGATGAGGCCCCATTCCCCTGCAGTGCATGCAGAGCTATTCCGTGATCCCATTCAAACAAGTCAGGAGCTTCGACTTGCTTAATGGATCTCGAGACAGTCCCCAAGAACACTGTCACCAGTCCAGAGGGACCCTGAGGTCACCCCAGCACCGCAAAGCAGCTCCATGTGCCCCAAATCAACTCGAGATGAGGCCCGATTCCCCTGCATTGATTCCAGAGCCATTCCCCGTTCCCCATTCAACAGGACCTGTGGCTCGACTTCCTTCAGGCAACTCCAGAGATGCCCCGAGAACACTGTCCCAAGTCTAGAGGAACACCAACTTCAGCACAGCAACTCGAGGAATGCTCCGTGTACCCCAAATCGTCTCGAGATGAGAGCTGATTCCCTGGCTTAGGCTCAAGACGTATGCCAACTTCCCAGAAGCACCTCAGGAGGAGGCTTCTCTCAGCAATAGGTATGTGGGAGGGACCCAGAGTTTGCTGCCTCAAGGGGATTATACAGCGAGAAGCCCTAACTTGAAAGGAGTCCGAATTTCCTTACAGTGGCTTGAATACAGGCTCGTCTTTCATCTCACAACAAGAAGGTATGTCTGAATCCCCTGTGGAGACCTTAGAGAAAGCCCTAGGTCCCTGCCTCATTTTGACGGAATGCCTCATATCCCGCTGACACCTCGAGAGGCACGCGGAGTTAATTGCTTCAAAATTGACGATGCCTGACTCCTCTTGAATACTGATAGGAATCCCAAAATCCCTGTGGCTAGTGGAAAGAGTCCTTGGGTGCCCTGCCTCACCTCGAGAAGCATCCCTTTTGCCCTGGCAAGCCTCGAAGAGATTCCTGAGGTGTCCCTCGTTACTAGACAGGAGTCCTGACGTCACTGAAGAAACTCGTGTTTTGAAGGGCCATCCCCGCCGTAAGTCGAGAACATACCCCAGGTCCCCGCCGCAACTCGAGAAAAACCATGAGACTTCCCCCTAGAGGCGAGATGAGGCCCCATTCCCCTGCAGTGCATGCAGAGCTATTCCGTGATCCCATTCAAACAAGTCAGGAGCTTCGACTTGCTTAATGGATCTCGAGACAGTCCCCAAGAACACTGTCACCAGTCCAGACGGACCCTGAGGTTACCCCAGCACCGCAAAGCAGCTCCATGTGCACCAAATCAACTCGAGATGAGGCCCGATTCCCCTGCATTGACTCCAGAGCCATTCCCCTTTCGCCATTCAGCACGACCGGTGGCTCGACTTCCTTCAGGCAACTCCAGAGATGCCCCGAGAACACTGTCCCAAGTCTAGAGGAACACCAACTTCAGCACAGCAACTCGAGGAATGCTCCGTGTACCCCAAATCGTCTCGAGATGAGAGCTGATTCCCTGGCTTAGGCTCAAGACGTATGCCAACTTTCCAGAAGCACCTCAGGAGGAGGCTTCTCTCAGCAATAGGTATGTGGGAGGGACCCCGTGTTTGCTGCCTCAAGGGGAATATACAGCGAGAAGCCCTAACTTGAAAGGAGTCCGAATTTCCTTGCAGTGGCTTGAATACAGGCTCGTCTTTCATCTCACAACATGAAGGGATGTCTGAATCCCCTGTGGAGACCTTAGAGAAAGCCCTAGGTCCCTGCCTCATTTTGACGGAATGCCTCACATCCCGTTGACACCTCGAGAGGCACGCGGAGTTAATTGCTTGAAAAATGACGATGCCTGACTCCTCTTGAATACTGATAGGAATCCCAAAATCCCTGTGGCTACTGGAAAGGGTCCTTGGGTGCCCTGCTTCACCTCGAGAAGCATCCCTTTTGCTCTGGCAAGCCTCGAAGAGATTCCTGAGGTGTCCCTCGTTACTAGACAGGAGTCCTGACGTCACTGAAGAAACTCGTGTTTTGAAGGGCCATCCCCGCCGTAAGTCGAGAACATACCCCAGGTCCCCGCCGCAACTCGAGAAAAACCATGAGACTTCCCCCTAGACGCGAGATGAGGCCCCATTCCCCTGCAGTGCATGCAGAGCTATTCCATGATCACATTCAAACAAGTCAGGAGCTTCGACTTGCTTAATGGATCTCGAGAGAGTCCCCAAGAACACTGTCACCAGTATAGACGGACCCTGAGGTCACCCCAGAAACGCAAAGCAGCTCCATGTGCCCCAAATCAACTCGAGATGAGGCCCGATTCCCCTGCGTTGACTCCAGAGACATTCCCCGTACCACATTCAACACGACCGGTGGCTCGACTTCCTTCACGCAACTCCAGAGATGCCCCGAGAATACTGTCCCAAGTATAGAGGAACAACAACTTCAGCACAGCAACTCGAGGAATGATCCGTGTACCCCAAATCGTCTTGAGATGAGAGCTGATTCCCTGGCTTAGGCTCAAGACGTATGCCAACTTTCCAGAAGCACCTCAGGAGGAGGCTTCTCTCAGCAATAGGTATGTGGGAGGGACACTGAGTTTGCTGCCTCAAGGGGAATATACAGCGAGAAGCCCTAACTTGAAACGAGGCCAGATTTCCTGGCAGTGGCTTGAATACAGGCTCGTCTTTCATCTCAAAACATGAAGGGATGTCTGAATCCCCTGTGGAGACCTTAGAGAAAGCCCTAGGTCCCTGCCCCATTTTTACGGAATGCCTCACATCCCGCTGACACATCGAGAGGCACGCGGAGTTCATTGCTTCAAAAGGAGACGATGCCTGACTCCTCTGGAATACTGATAGCAATCCCAAAATCCCTGTGGCTACTGGAAGGGGTCCTTGGGTGCGCTGCCTCACGTCGAGAAGCGTCCCTTTTGCCCTGCCAAGCCTCGAAGAGATTCCTGAGGTGTCCCTCATTAGTAGACAGGAGTCCTGACGACACTGAAGAAACTCGTGTTTTGAAGGGCCATCCCCGCCGTAAGTCGAGAACATACCCCAGGTCCCCGCCGCAACTCGAGAAAAACCATGAGACTTCCCCCTAGAGGCGAGATGAGGCCCCATTCCCCTGCAGTGCATGCAGAGCTATTCCGTGATCCCATTCAAACAAGTCAGATGCTTCGACTTGCTTAATGGATCTCGAGACAGTCCCCAAGAACACTGTCACCAGTCTAGACGGACCCTGAGGTCACCCCAGCAACGCAAAGCACCTCCATGTGCCCCAAATCAACTCGAGATGAGGCCCGATTCCCCTGCATTGACTCCAGAGCCATTCCCCGTTCCCCATTCAACACGAACGGTGGCTCGACTTCCTTCAGGCAACTCCAGAGATGCCCCGAGAACACTGTCCCAAGTCTAGAGGAACACCAACTTCAGCACAGCAACTCGAGGAATGCTCCGTGTACCCCAAATCGTCTCGAGATGAGAGCTGATTCCCTGGCTTAGGCTCAAGACGTATGCCAACTTTACAGAAGCACCTCAGGAGGAGGCTTCTCTCAGCAATAGGTATGTGGGAGGGACACCGAGTTTGCTGCCTCAAAGGGAATATACAGCGAGAAGCCCTAACTTGAAAGCAGGCCGGATTTCCTTGCAGTGGCTTGAATACAGGCTCGTTTTTCATCTCACAACATGAAGGGATGTCTGAATCCCCTGTGGAGTCCTTAGAGAAAGCCCTAGTTCCCTGCCTCATTTTGAAAGGAATGCCTCACATCCCGCTGACACCTCAAGAGGCACGCGGAGTTCATTGCTTCAAAAGGTGACGATGCCTGACTCCTCTTGAATATTGATAGGAATCCCAAAATCCCTGTGGCTACTGGAAAGGGTCCTTGAGTGCCCTGCCCCACCTCGAGAAGCGTCCCTTTTGCTCTGCCAAGCCTCGAAGAGATTTCTGAGGTGTCCCTCGTTACTAGACAGGAGTCCTGACGTCACTGAAGAAACTCGTGTTTTGAAGGGCCATCCCCGCCGTAAGTCGAGAACATACCCCAGGTCCCCGCCGCAACTCGAGAAAAACCATGAGACTTCCCCCTAGAGGTGAGATGAGGCCCCATTCCCCTGCAGTGCATGCAGAGCTATTCTGTGATCCCATTCAAACAAGTCAGGAGCTTCGACTTGCTTAATGGATCTCGAGACAGAACCCAAGAACACTGTCACCAGTCTAGACGGAACCTGAGGTCACCCCAGCAATGCAAAACAGCTCCATGTGCCCCATATCAACTCGAGATGAGGCCCGATTCCCCTGCATTGACTCCAGAGCCATTCCCCGTTCCCCATTCAACACGACCGGTGGCTCGACTTCCTTCAGGCAACTCCAGAGATGCCCCGAGAACACTGTCACAAGTCTAGAGGAACACCAACTTCAGCACAGCAACTCGAGGAATGCTCTGTGTACACCAAATCGTCTCGAGATGAGAGCTGATTCCCTGGCTTAGGCTCAAGACGTATGCCAACTTCCCAGAAGCACCTCAGGAGGAGGCTTCTCTCAGCAATAGGTATGTGGGAGGGACCCCGAGTTTGCTGCCTCAAGGGGAATATACAGCGAGAAGCCCTAACTTGAAAGGAGGCCGGATTTCCATGCAGCGGCTTGAATACAGGCTCGTCTTTCATCTCACAACATGAAGGGATGTCTGAATCCCCTGTGGAGACCTTAGAGAAAGCCCTCGGTCCCTGCCTCATTTTGACGGAATGCCTCACATCCCGCTGACACCTCGAGAGACACGCGGAGTTCATTGCTTCAAAAGGTGACGATGCCTGACTCCTCTTGAATACTGATAGGAATCCCAAAATCCCTGTGGCTACTGGAAAGGGTCCTTGGGTGCCCTGCCTCACCTCGAGAAGCGTCCCATTTGCCCTGCCAAGCCTCGAAGAGATTCCTGAGGTGTCCCTCGTTACTAGACAGGAGTCCTGACGTCACTGAAGAAACTCGTGTTTTGAAGGGCCATTCCCGCCGTAAGTTGAGAACATACCGCAGGTCCCCGCCGCAACTCGAGAAAAACCATGAGACTTCCCCCTAGAGGCGAGATGAGGCCCCATTCCCCTGCAGTGCATGCAGAGCTATTCCGTGATCCCATTCAAACAAGTCAGGAGCTTCGACTTGCTTAATGGATCTCGAGACAGTCCCCAAGAACACTGTCACCAGTCCAGAGGGACCCTGAGGTCACCCCAGCACCGCAAAGCAGCTCCATGTGCCCCAAATCAACTCGAGATGAGGCCCGATTCCCCTGCATTGATTCCAGAGCCATTCCCCGTTCCCCATTCAACAGGACCTGTGGCTCGACTTCCTTCAGGCAACTCCAGAGATGCCCCGAGAACACTGTCCCAAGTCTAGAGGAACACCAACTTCAGCACAGCAACTCGAGGAATGCTCCGTGTACCCCAAATCGTCTCGAGATGAGAGCTGATTCCCTGGCTTAGGCTCAAGACGTATGCCAACTTCCCAGAAGCACCTCAGGAGGAGGCTTCTCTCAGCAATAGGTATGTGGGAGGGACCCAGAGTTTGCTGCCTCAAGGGGATTATACAGCGAGAAGCCCTAACTTGAAAGGAGTCCGAATTTCCTTACAGTGGCTTGAATACAGGCTCGTCTTTCATCTCACAACAAGAAGGTATGTCTGAATCCCCTGTGGAGACCTTAGAGAAAGCCCTAGGTCCCTGCCTCATTTTGACGGAATGCCTCACATCCCGCTGACACCTCGAGAGGCACGCGGAGTTAATTGCTTCAAAATTGACGATGCCTGACTCCTCTTGAATACTGATAGGAATCCCAAACTCGCTGTGGCTACTGGAAAGGGTCCTTGGGTGCCCTGCCTCACCTCGAGAAGCGTCCCTTTTGCCCTGCCAAGCCTCGAAGAGATTCCTGAGGTGTCCCTCGTTACTAGACAGGAGTCCTGATGTCACTGAAGAAACTCGTGGTTTGAAGGGCCATCCCCGCCGTAAGTCGAGGACATAGCCCAGGTCCCCATCGCAAGTCCATAAAAACCATGAGACTTCCCCCTAGAGGGGAGATGAGGCCCCATTCCCCTGCAATGCATGCAGAGCTATTCCGTGATCTCATTCAAACAAGTCAGGAGCTTCGACTTGCTTAATGGATCTCGAGACAGTCCCCAAGAACACTGTCACCAGTCTAGACGGACCATGAGGTCACCCCAGCAACGCAAAGCAGCTCCATGTGCCCCAAATCAACTCGAGATGAGGCCCGATTCCGCTGCATTGACTCCAGAGCCATTCCCCGTTCCCCATTCAACACGACCGGTGGCTCGACTTCCTTCACGCAACTCCAGAGATGCCCCGAGAAAACTGTCCCAAGTCTAGAGGAACAACAACTTCAGCACAGCAACTCGAGGAATGATCCGTGTACCCCAAATCGTCTCGAGATGAGAGCTGATTCCCTGGCGTAGGCTCAAGACGTATGCCAACTTCCCAGAAGCACCTCAGGAGGAGGCTTCTCTCAGCAATAGGTATGTGGGAGGGACCCCGAGTTTGCTGCCTCAAGGGGAATATACAGCGAGAAGCCCTAACTTGAAAGGAGGCCAGATTTCCTTGCAGTGGCTTGAATACAGGCTCGTCTTTCATCTCACAACATGAAGGGATGTCTGAATCCCCTGTGGAGACCTTAGAGAAAGCCCTAGGTCCCTGCCTCATTTTTACGGAATGCCTCACATCCCGCTGACACCTCGAGAGGCACGCGGAGTTCATTGATTTAAAAGGTGACGATGCCTGACTCCTCTTGAATGCTGATAGGAATCCCAAAATCCCTGTGGCTACTGGAAAGGGTCCTTGGGTGCCCTGCCTCACCTCGAGAAGCGTCCCATTTGCCCTGCCAAGCCTCGAAGAGATTCCTGAGTTGTCCCTCTTTACTAGACAAGAGTCATGACGTCACTGAAGAAACTCGTGTTCTGAAGGGCCAGCCCCGCCGTAAGTCGAGAACATACCCCAGGTCCCCGCCGCAACTCGAGAAAAACCATGAGACTTCCCCCTAGAGGCGAGATGAGGCCCCATTCCCCTGCAGTGCATGCAGAGATATTCCGTGATCCCATTCAAACAAGTCAGGAGCTTCGACTTGCTTAATGGGCCTCGAGACAGTCCCCAAGAACACTATCACCAGTCTAGACGGACCCTGAGGTCACCCCAGCAACGCAAAGCAGTTCCATGTGCCCTAAATCAACTCGAGATGAGGCCCGTTTCCCCTGCATTGACTCCAGAGCCATTCCCCGTTCCCCATTCAACACGACCGGTGGCTCGACTTCCTTCAGGCAACTCCAGAGATGCCCTGAGAACACTGTCCCAAGTCTAGAGGAACACCAACTTCAGCACAGCAACTCGAGGAATGCTCCGTGTACCCCAAATCGTCTCGAGATGAGAGCTGATTCCCTGGCTTAGGCTCAAGACGTATGCCAACTCCCCAGAAGCACCTCAGGAGGAGGCTTCTCTCAGCAATAGGTATGTGGGAGGGACCCCGAGTTTTCTGCCTCAAGGGGAATATACAGCGAGAAGCCCTAACTTGAAAGGAGGCCGGATTTCCTTGCAGTGGCTTGAATACAGGCTCGTCTTTCATCTCACAACATGAAGGGATGTCTCAATGCCCTGTGGAGACCTTAGAGAAAGCCCTAGGTCCCTGCCTCATTTTGACGGAATGCCTCACATCCCGCTGACACCTCGAGAGTCACGCGGAGTTAATTGCTTCAAAAATGACGATGCCTGACTCCTCTTGAATACAGATAGGAATCCCAAAATCCCTGTGGCTACTGGAAAGGGTCCTTGGGTGCCCTGCCTCACCTCGAGAAGCATCCCTTTTGCCCTGGCAAGCCTCGAAGAGATTCCTGAGGTGTCCCTCGTTACTAGACAGGAGTCCTGACGTCACTGAAGAAACTCGTGTTTTGAAGGGCCATCCCCGCCGTAAGTCGAGAACATACCCCAGGTCCCCGCCGCAACTCGAGAAAAACCATGAGACTTCCCCCTAGAGGCGAGATGAGGCCCCATTCCCCTGCAGTGCATGCAGAGCTATTCCGTGATCCCATTCAAACAAGTCAGGAGCTTCGACTTGCTTAATGGATCTCGAGACAGTCCCCAAGAACACTGTCACCAGTCCAGACGGACCCTGAGGTTACCCCAGCACCGCAAAGCAGCTCCATGTGCACCAAATCAACTCGAGATGAGGCCCGATTCCCCTGCATTGACTCCAGAGCCATTCCCCTTTCGCCATTCAGCACGACCGGTGGCTCGACTTCCTTCAGGCAACTCCAGAGATGCCCCGAGAACACTGTCCCAAGTCTAGAGGAACACCAACTTCAGCACAGCAACTCGAGGAATGCTCCGTGTACCCCAAATCGTCTCGAGATGAGAGCTGATTCCCTGGCTTAGGCTCAAGACGTATGCCAACTTTCCAGAAGCACCTCAGGAGGAGGCTTCTCTCAGCAATAGGTATGTGGGAGGGACCCCGTGTTTGCTGCCTCAAGGGGAATATACAGCGAGAAGCCCTAACTTGAAAGGAGTCCGAATTTCCTTGCAGTGG